AGAAGGGTTGTGAATTTGAAAAAGGGCTAGGTGATCCAAAGAAGATATTCGATCTGTCTCTATTCTTCCTGACTTAAGGCGAAGTGGTCTTGGTCATACTAGGAACAAAACTCATCGAAGGTTGATTGGAGCCGTTTAGTACGTCGGAGCATCAAAAAGGTGGAATTCTAGCGAGTTCGGATATCCTAGATTGGAATAAGCCTTGGCTCTTCAGTCTAAAGGTTATAGAATGACTCCCGCCGTTGTGGGCTTATGTTGATATAGATAGCTAGGTTTCGAACCTAGATAAGAAGAGTTAGTATACTAGGAAAAGTATAATAATAGGGTCTTACCTTATTAAGTGTATCAATAATTTCTCTTTTTTGTTGCCTTGCACGAAGAGATCGGACACGATCATTAGACCAATCTATCTCCGTACTCTCGTTCTTTGGAATTGCCTTTATCTTGCCAAGAAGGTTATTTAGACTAAGCTAAATAACATGGGCAATACAAGGAACCCGAACAATCGTAGAACTATTATTGAGTTTAAGGGACTATAATGAGTCTTGGATACTCGATATTATAGTGTTATTATTTGATGCATTATTAGTAGTGACTGCAAGCACTCGATCCGTAATCTTATGCTGCTAAAGGAGTTTCAAAACCACGTCACTTAGATTAACACCTAAGTGGGATCTAGATAGAGGTTCAAATCCAAGAAGGACCTCTCGATACTCCCAATCCTGGTCAAGAAAATAGCTAGTGATAGCTATAAAGGCCTATCGAAATAGGGATATCCAGCAATCTAATGCAAGTGAAAGCTTTGCATTAGGAGGAAGCTTCTGTAGGATTGATTGCTGCTATTCTTGAATATATCCCCGTAGCCGAGACCGAATTGTTATCGTAGAAGGGATCTCTGGTTGTGTAGGGGCAAGTCGGGCAAAGGCAATAAGCTCCCGAAACTCTGGATGTTCGATAAATCGGAAGGGGAGACGTGATAGGGTAAGTAGTTGTAAAAGCTTATGTTCCTATGCTTCCTATGTAAAGACTATTAACTTTTTTGGTGCGTTCTGCGCCTAGTTATTAGGTGATCTATTAGTGAATAGTGTAAATATAGGATGGTTAGTATATATAGCATTCGTAAGTAGCCCTTTGATATTAGCCTTCTGACCGGTGGATTTGCGACAAGTTAGACTAGCTAAATGCCGATGAAGGGCGGTTGTTCCAAACCGCCTATTTGCTAGATAATCAAGGATTTTATAGCATTGACGACATATTGCCCCTGGTTTACCGGTTTTCGCATTAGCAACTTGATCGAATTGCTCCCAATATATTGCTTTCCGATTGCCATTCCAATTTAGTCGCTTTTTCTTTCCAAACTCAGTATTTAGCCACTAGGCGACAAAGTCATCTTTCGATATATCCGCGTATAGAATATAAGCTGTTAATCGACCAGGACCAACATACTAAAGTGAAGGCGCAATCAGGGGAGGAGGTATTGGGGTAAGAAACCTAGAATTCGATGCTGAGTCGAGTGTGTATTAGCTTCCAGAAATATCAGGGGTTGGGAATTGCTCGTTCGGAAAAGAGAGAAGAGGGTCGGTTATATCACCCTCATATATAGATAAAGGATAGATATCAGAGAACTATGAAATTTGTGACATTGTTAACCAACTAGTAACTTAGGGAGCATATATAAAAAAATAGGGTGAGAGCTTTGAGAGATATACTAAGACCTATATAGGCTTAGTAAACGGGATTAGTGAATCACTATAAGACTCAGCTTGTTAGTTTAATAAACGTATCACAAAATGCCCCCCACCTTTACTCGGGAACCCTATTATAACTAGTTAGAGTATTAGGGCCGCTCGCGGGCCGCCCTCAACTAGCCCTCGAAAAATGAGGGCGGCCCTCGAGCGGCCCTCGAGCGGCCCGCGTTTTTAAGAGGGCCGCCCTCATATTGCCAATCCGCCCTCGTTTTTTTCGCTGAGTTCAATACCCCCACTAAATCTGGTGGAAAATAAGCGACGAAATCCCGTACATTCAAAATATTCAAAGTTTAACCGTATACCAATAAATAATAATACCTTATAATCCTTTTATATAACTGAATTATGTTACTGTTTAGTATTCCTAATACTAGCTCATTTAGGTCTAGCGAGGGGATCTCGAAATACAATTCTCTAAGCATGTAAGACAAAAAGCATGTAGTACCTTTGCTCAAGTACAAATATATATCTCTGCAACCTTAATCGTACAAAATCCGCAACCACCTAACTTACCAATAACTATAGGACATCGAGTGATTTAAAGTCTGAATATTATCATTACCTACTTTAATTACTTATAATACAAGTAAATTTCTTAAAATTTCATGATATTTATACAGAAATAGAGAGAAGAACTAACCTGCAAACCGAAACACTGTTAAATAACAGTAATTTAATGGGATGAATCAGCAGTATAATGCATCTAAATTAGGAAAGGTCGACATTTTTTATGCAAATGAGGGCGGATGAGGGCCGCCCTCGAGCGGCCCTCAGAGGGCGGAGGGTCGGGTGAGGGCGGGCAAGGATCCGCCCTCCGCCCGCGAGGGTCGGGCGGAGGGCCGGCATGTCCCGCCCTCTAAATGTTTTTAACGAGGTCTAGCCGAGAGCGTAGAGCGGGGGACATCAAAAACCGCTGCAGCTCTACGTATAGAGCTAAATTCTTGTTTCTAAATAGCTTCAATAGCTAATAAGATCCTACCCTCTTGCTCTACACGTTTTTGAGAGCATTGAGAGCGAATTGGCGGCATGGTAGGTGGTTGAATAGAGACAGTCTAATTACATGGCGCATTTTTGATGGGGTGGCCAGCTCGCATGGGGTGGCCAGCTCGCTTATCGAATACGTTAATCGAGTACCTACTATTAACAATTGTAATTGCAAATCCTCCTAAAGCCATACTAATATTATACTAGACAAGCTACTATTAGAAATTTTGATATTAATTGCTAACTTGGTTTGTTTTTTACAATGACTGCTTATTAGTACTTCTAACCACCTACCAGCTGCCAGCCTTGAGTTTTCATACTCTTATCCATATTTCATCTAATATTTACTTAACACTCGTTCCCAAACTCTACTATGATCTCACCTTCTATATTGTCAGTAAATAGATACTAAATGTTCTCGATATTGACTCGTTTTTTCTTCAATACAGATTTTCCCGTACATCCAGCCATCTTCGGCATATAAACAATTTACACATCGAAGTACCCATCCATCTTACTAGATTTAACCAATATATATACTATAGCATATTCCGTACAGTAGGATTATCACAGTCTATATCAACATTAGAACCTTCCAACAATATAACAATATATAAACAATTCTTAAAAAATATAACAGTTCAACTCCAGCATATTTTTGCACAATTTAAAGTAAACCAATTAGTTTCATTTCGGTACATAAAAACGCTGATATAGCTCCCTTTAATACTAACTCCATACAAATAGCAACTGGGCACTTGTATACCAATAGAGATCCTGAACTAAGAGGGCTACCTCAGCCGACACCAAAAGAGCCTTACGTATCTATCGCTCGTCACTGACGGGACCTGTCCGCAAACATCGCACCATCTGAACGGTCTGTTTCAACTTTCATATCTGAAAAAGCTGGGATAGGAGGGGATCCAACATCCGGCCGAGGTTCACTCATTACAACAGTGCATCCGTCAAAACTTGTCATATCTGACTTCTCTCTCCATTAGTTTTGTTCCGTCATCCAACGCCCGCAACTTGTCCTGGGATTTGACCATGATCAAAGTGCCAGCAATACAGTAAATTGGGGGAAAGGGCTGGGGGAAAGGCCTAACTGCACTTCCAATCACAGGTCCTGTCTCTCCTAGTCACTAATGTGAAGATGTTGACCCTGATATCTCCAGAAAAGGCCCCTTTTGAGAAAACGTGACCTTGGGCTTGGCTGTGTGGTATATCCAAAGCACAGTATAGCAAACCCAAATACCACCCTTCTGACCATTTTTTTACTTGTGGCACCGCGTTTCAGCGGTTTCTCAATTTTCAATGATGGAAGGAAGGAATCTATTTCAATACAGACTTGTTTTCCCATAAAACCTCCCACTCCAAGGCTCCTTGGTCATTGTGAGATATCTTGAACCGCTCAACTCCACCTTGCTGAATATATCCACCTGCAGACACCGATACCACCGCGGCCCATGTTTTTCTCACTTCCATTGTTTTATAAGGGTGTTAGTCTCGATCTCCTGGTCGGACTTAATTAGGAGATTATCCTAACACCAGGGTTTGATCGCCTCTTCCTTGCGGATGACGCTAGTAAATAATAGACACCAGTTGATACGCGGGTAGGTAATCGGGACTAGACCTCCGCAAAATCCAGGTTTAGGTTGGGCCTGGCTCAAATGGGCCCCAAGCAGTGCAAATATGCCAATTCTTGACAGATGTATAAACTTAACAGATTTTTCGAGTGTTTTCGAGTATTCAAATCGCCGCGCCTGAAGCTGACTGAGTATGTATTATTTATAGATTTCATTGATCAATTCAATCGATTCAAAGTATCTAAGGTTTCATTAAGAGCAATCCATTAAATATTAAGATGCCTCAACATCAATAGTAGCCTCGGGTCTCCGATTATATAGAGGCGAGTATAAACTTCCAAGGTTACAGTGTAGACCATCCATGGATGCGTAAAATACATGTATTCATCAGCAATTTTATGGATGCCAAGACTGGTTTTATGCAAATAATGGGCTTTGCGGATGTCCAATCAAGACGCAGCATTTTGGTGTTATCATGTGATACCACGTGTTCAGTAGCCAAAAACGACGACCCACATCTTCGTAGCGTCTTTATAGTGGCAAACTCACCGTATACGGTATGGTCTAAAACACCAAAGGGAATCTCCAGAGGGCTCTACTTCAATATGATTAGCTAAGTTCTAGAGCATGGGGCTAGCAACTAGTACTCTTTCAGTTTCCACTCGCAGTAGTGGGCTCTTAAATGGCAGCCCTTCTCGTTCTTCATTTTTTCCCCCAGCCCAACCAACACAAGTCTTCGGGTCAAATCCAAACAAGAGCATCAACAATGTCACCTGTAAGTCATCATTTTTAACCTTCTCAGGATTCTGACTAATTTGGGTAGATTCATCGAGACCCACCGGGCTTGACCAGCTGTCCGAGAGACATCTTATACTCGATATTCGAGTTATTGTCACCGACTGAATTTTATGCACTATGTCTCGTTCATACCAACGTTCGCGTGGTAGCCGCAAAATTTCTCTACGAGAATATTCAAATGATCTGGGAGCAAGAGAATCATTATGATCCTCCCCTAGTCACTAAACTTTTGCGAACTCTGGTGGCCAGGCCTCATTTGGCTACTCACATCAGAAACCTTCAGCTCACCGGCCTACCAACCAAACACCCCGCACTCGTGAGAACCATCCGTCTCGTGCCCATCTCTCCTACTGAGCTGAGCGAGTCTATATCCTTTATTCAAAAAACTGGGGTCCCGTATAGCGACCTTTGGATACAAGAATTACAGCGAGGCAGACTCGATGCGGTTGTCGCACTCCTCCTAGCACAAATGCCGAATCTCCAGTGTCTGCGCCTGGGGCCTGCTTTCACACAGCGAAGTGAAATTATCGGGATGGTTCTTCGTTCCGCCATCTTCAAGCCCGTAGACTACGGGCTACCGGACTTTCGGCATCTCCAACATGTGACATACCTCCTCAAAGTAGGACGTGACTACGCGCGCGACCACGAGGTCAAAAACACCGCTGACCTTCTGCCCTTCTTCTATCTATCAAATGTCAAAAGTCTCTCGCTCGCCGTCGACAGTCCTCTCGCGATAACGTGGCCAAAGCCAAAATTGCCTATCCCATCAAGCCTCACATCGCTCGTTTTGAACACCGTTCGGGAGAACTATCTCAGGGATCTACTTTCAATCACGCCGCATTTGAAATCATTGCAGTGGAAGTTCTGGTACGACAGCGGTCTTCTCGATGCAGTCAATTCACCAATCGTTGACCTTGATCGGATTGGTGATGCGGTATCTTGTCTTAAGGACACTTTGAGTGACCTGAAGATACTAGGCGAAGTTTATTTGGGAGGAGACGGCGATATTAATCTCCCTGCTATCAAGACAGAGGGCTCATTGAGTGCAATGGTCGTGATGGACAATCTGAAGACACTTCAAGTCCCATGGGCATTCCTGGTGGGATTTGCACTAGACACGACGAAACGCCTGCAGGATGTACTCCCAAAATATCTTGAGCATCTCACCATCACCTGGGATTTGTGTCTACAAAATGATGAGGACGTGGTACCAGATTGGCCTCAGTTCGAGTGGGCGGATCACCACATTCTAGAGGTGCTAAAATCATGGCTCGAGGACCGAGAAACGTTCACGCTGAATCTTCGCAGGATTACTTTGGGACTAGTTAGATACGAGACTGACGAGTATGACTGGGAACCTTCAATGAGGCAACGGCTCGCAGAGCTAGGTGCTCATGCTGGAATTGTGTTTGACATAATATTCACAGACGAAATGATTCTCCCAGATGAAATGTGACTAACATTCATTGATTGTACATATCAGCCCCAGGGTCACTTCCATCTAACCAGATGCCAATCCAACATATCTCGCATCACCTATGTGCTCGCCTTAGGGGTCGCGCTAGCCTCGGGGGGCTTATAGTCCAAAGCGCACAAAGGGATCTGGTCGATAACCGGTTTACCCATTTTCTCCACCAAATCAAAGGGCTGTGCTTTTATCGTTATGTCCACCGGTTTCACCTCCAGCTGCTTGACAAACAGGTTGCATCCCCATGTTGACTTGCGAAGACGTTAGTGCTGTCAAGAGGATCCGCAGATTTGCTGATATTCACGATCACTCACCATGGATGAACACGGATCAGTATTTTGAGGCTTATCGTCCTTATCCGCAACAACTGTGCAATACCTCGCATCCCGACCTTTCAATGGAGTGTCTTTATTTTTGTCTGTGGTGTAGTACATTTGAGCACTCATTACCTCGCCACAGTTTGCGGAATTTTTGTGCCCGTCTGTGCTTTCGCCGCCATTTTTGTGGAAAGTCGTTTGGCATTCTTCAAGGGCATTGGAAACCTTTGTCTTGGGGTAGGCGAATGCAAAATTAGCTGACTTCTTCACTGACGAAGCCAAGAATATCTCGTTGCCAACAGCGAGTACAGTCATGGCTCGGGGTTTGTCCTTTTTAGCGGTAACCTCGTATAACTTCATGTTGGCTTCCATCTCCGCATATGCAAGATGTGCGAGTTGCCAGAGGTCACTGTCTTCAAGCGCGCTGACATCTTTTTCAAATGTGAGATGGCTACTCCACGCGAAAGTTCGGGGAATTTGGCGGCCTTTTTTCACATATTTTGTCGGCCAAGAAGTTGCTAGGTGAAAATCGAGTCTCACACCCAGATCGCCTTCAGGCGGATGTTCCCCGTCCAGTTTCCATGCACTGCACGCAGTGCTGAATGCGCACCAGATCGCAAATATGACTAGAACAAATCTCATTGCAATCATTGTGTCGAGCGCTCTGCTGTGTCACTATTATAACAACCATCAGTCAATCAATAGAAACGAATATTATACACCAAGGCGATAAGCTACATACCGGCTGAGAGGTGATATAGGGGACTTGGAAGAACAGTATCACTGATACCTATGAATCTGGCAAATGGCGCGGTTTTAAACCGTCGCCATTATAGGCTCTTCGACACTTGCCAGTCTCTTACCTCGATGTGGAAAGGTCCATTTGACCATAAAATACGGACAAAATATCACTAGGCTTACGCCGATATTCTAGATGCTATGGTTTCATTCTTGGAGGTGCATATGTCTCAAAGACTTTGATTTGATTTTCAAGTACATAGCCGACAACTATTCTTTCATTTGTTCGAGCCCGGATTGAAGCTAACAAGCGAGCTAGTGCTAGCTTTGGACCCAGAATCTTTGCTAGTCTTGTGAAGGGGTCCGTACGTGAGCGAAATCACAAATTCACCACCCAATGTTGCGCCACTCTGAGCGGTGCTACCGGTATCTGAAATCTGAGACGATAGTTACCAGGCATGAACATCATCGCTCAATATTGCTGATTGCAGCAGCTTTGAAATAATACAGAGGCTCAAACAACTTCCTGGTGAGGCGATAGAGCCTAGCACTCGCGATCCCTATACTGACTAGTATACATTGTATGTTCGGAGATTTGCGATATCTACCACTGTCTCCACTCTACGCCAAGGGAGTGCCAAGGCAGTGCCAAGAAATATCGCATTATAAAACTAGCCCACCACGGAGTTTTCACTCTTTATGGCGTAGAGTCACGGTAAGGCTCTTCTAGCGCAGGGATCAGGATTCGGCTAGGGATTTTCTGCGCATCGGCTCCCGAGATCCTAGGATCCGCCTCCAGTAGTAACACAAGGGCGTTATGAGACATGACTAAATTAGCCTCGGCCCCCCAATTCGAAGATATTTCCTCCAAACTAAAAAGGGGTCCAATACTAGCGCATTGCCCAGGCTTCTCTAGAAATTAGCCAACGGCAAGAAGCCACAGTGCAGGATAAACATTTATGAAAGAAGACATTTTAGTGATCAGATACGCCTTAACGAAAATCTCTGTTTGTATTGAAAAGAAAAGCGAATGATATCATTTTTGCAACTCATATACCATCAGCTGCACATCTACTGTATGGGTAGAATCATATGTATTGTAGAAGACGAAGAGAGAAGAGAAAGGGAGAGAGAGAAGCTCTGAGGTCTACCTAGACCAGGGTCTCGGAGCCTGACAGATCAGGCACCCACGGGAATACATTCTATACTGCTTTGGCGTAAACGAGCGTGGCGATCCGAAGGGTAGTGGCGCCAAAATTCAAAAAAAACACACTGTCTTCCAATTGGTGCGATACTAGCTCAAACCTGGCGTATATGCACGTAGGGACCTCGGGACGGTGCCGCATCTCCCACGGGCCATGGAAGCGTTCCAACGGGACTACCCGGTTTGATGGCCATTGGTTGAGTGACAATGACAAGGCAGATCGATCCATCGAAGTCGACTTGGCGCATCGCGTGGGAAGGCGTTTTCCTTCCCGTCTTTGTCTTGCCGAGATACCCTAGCGGCTGAACTTGCATATCTTGTTCATGCATGTTTCATTCTGGCGGTGGATACCAACCGAGCTTAGCAGTAAAGGGTCTGGTTGTAAACATGCCGTATTCATTTGCTTGATTTGACCGTTCAAAGGCCATTTTTGGACGTCCAAGTCGGCCGAATTCCGAGTTCATGCTCCGGATTGACCGGACAAATAGTATTCTATTCAGTAGATGGAGAGAGGCAAAATTACATGGCCCAAATATACAACCCTAATGCCTAGTAGTAGATGGCGACGACGATTATAAGAACGCTTTCGTCTCGTTGGATTAATTGCAAGGCTACACTTCCACATCTCCATCTCTCCCAGCGCTTCACTGTGGTCTCTCCTTTATCTGCCAAATATGCGTACGCAACCATGGCATGGCCTGGTGGTCATTGCTACCCTTGGGAGCTACGCTCTTGCGAATCCACTTCACAATTGGAGAGTCCTTAAAAACTCAACCATGAATACCCAGATGTTGATGGGTAGAGATGAGGCAGAATTTGATCCGTCGGATCTCTCGTTTATCACAAAAATGGCCGCTGTTGGTGATTCCTATTCAGCGGGAATTGGATCTGGCAACCGACTTGGAAGCTTGTTGTCAGAACAGGGTGGTAAGTATCTCTTTGTTAGATTCCAAGATAATATTTGTGGACTAATTCTTCTTTTTCATCCGCCCAAAGCTTTCTTTTGCAGTCGTTATGATGAATCTTACCCTTATCTTGTCCATAACGATGGACGGCTAGGTGATCCATCGACACGCACGTTCCAGTTCCACTCATGCTCTGGCGCCGTTATCTCTGAAGTTATCAAGGAGCAACTTCCATTGATCGACGCAGGACAACAAGTCATATTGCTATCAGCCGGTATTTATATTCTCCCATGGCGCTTCCTATGAACACGCTGATGTTGATTAGCGATCAGGCGGCAATGATGCTGAGCTCACAAACATCCTGAATCAGTGTATTTTCCAATGGGCCGCGTACACACCCCTTCAAGTAGCATCGGTGGAGTCGGCTCTTGAGGAGTCACAATTTGAATGGAAAGATGCCGTGGAAAATACCCTGGGTTTGGAAGAAAACAGCATCGGGTGCGATGCACAATTGGCGAAGACCAAAAAGTTCATTGGCGGAGATGCCTTTAGCAAAAGCCTTGACTCTGTGATTTCGGCGGCAAAGTTGAAACTAGCGTCTGAGTGAGTAATACTGCATTTTCCTTCGTTTCTGAATGCTAACCAACCATAGTGGAATGATTTACTATACTGGGTGTGTGACACTATATTCCATCTGCCGACATCGCCAACTAACATTTGCTTTCAAGCTATGCCAAATTCTTTGCTGAAGATCTGTCATCCGAATGTGATAAAGTCACTTGGTCAATGTGGCATCATGTGAGTACCATGCCAGGTTCCTCCAGCATGATACTGATGGATAAACAGAAAGCTTCGAACAAGTTCCAAGATAATGAGCGCCTCACGAAGGCGCATCGAAAGGAAATGAATGATCTTGTCGACGCTGTGAACTCTCAGATTGTTAGTTTCCCCCATGATACTCTGTTCCGAGCAAAACAGCCACTAACTCTGACCGAACCGCAGGCTGCTGCAGTGGAAAGAGCCGGTGATCAAGTCAAGTTTGTCGATTACGACTGGTACGTCGGCCATTTCAATGGCCGCTACTGCGAAGCTGGCGTAGATGAATCCACAACGGAAAGCAACGGAAGGTGAGCGTCGAAAACCTCACTCATGTGGTTAACTAACAATCTTGACAGATCCGGCCTCATGTTCTTTGAGATGAATTCAATGGACGTCTTTGGCAATAACCCGTGGAAGCGAAGCCTAAATACTGTCCCAGAAGCCTCTTTTGAGGGTCAAATGAATGCTCTTGCGCAGATAACTTTGTTACTAGATCCAGACGCCGAGTTCTCACAGGAGCAGTATGTGTCTGACGCGACTACTGATTCTGTCACCACTGCCAGTTTGATGTCAGTCAAAGTGGCCGCTGCTAATTCCGATGCCGATGCTCCTCTTCAGGTTCGAAGTGTTCTTCCAGACGGGTAAGAAATTCCCTCCGCCTGCTTTGACCAAGGACGAGAGATCTGACAGATTGACTTTGAATAGATTTTTGCGGGTTTTCCACCCCCAGCCCTTGCTTCACTCCCTCATTGCCTCACTGGTGATATACGAAATGACCAATAAAAACCAGCTTGATAACGGTCTTTCATCGATCCCGGAGCGAGCCACTTTTGACTCGTGTCCTATGCCTTCTTCATCGGGTTCGTCAGACTCAAATGCCGCTGATGGCCGTACGTACTTCCTGAATCAGAAGTCAAATTATTCAAAGCTAATATGAAATCATTGATTTCAGAACAGATAGCGGTGGCTTCATACATCAATCCCACAGGAGACCCGACTGCCTGGGATCGTCTGGTCGGTTATGATGAGAGCAAGATGCCTATTTTGATCGCCAACGTCGTCAATGGCCCGGATTCTACAGTCGACGCGAGCTGGACTAAAGTCATAGACCGAGGTTCGGCTTCTGGTAAAACCGTCCTAGGTTATGTGCGAACGGGATATCTTGGTGTGAGCACGCAGAAATTCCAGACGCGGCTTGGCTCCGGCGACTTGGCAGATTGGACTGCTCAGATCGAAGAAGATATCGATATGTGGTACAATCTTTATGATGACAGCATTGGCGGTATCTTTTTCGACGAGGGTTGGCCCGAATGTGGTGACAGCAATCAATATGTCGACCTCTACAAACACATCAACGACTATACCAAGCGCAATCATCCTGGAGCATACACTGTTCTAAACCCTGGGTCACCTATGGCGTCTTGTTTCGAAGATACCATGGACACACTTCTGACTTTCGAGCTGGATTACGATGCATACGTGAACAAATATACACCTAATGACTGGACACCAAAGGACCCGCGGAAACTATGGCATATCATCTACAACGTGCCAGAAGATAAGATTGACGAGGTGATCAAATTATCTAAGGAGCGCGGAGCTGGCTTTGTTCAGCTCACAGATGACCTTTTGCCTAACCCTTATGACAATTTGCCTGTCGATTCCTACATGACCAAAATGTTGGCTGCAGTTGATGGTGGTTCTCTTCTGAATGAAGACGCATCATCCTGGAAATCTGGAAGCGGTGTTACCCAGGTTTTCGGGTTGAAGGTTCTCAACTCGGATTACACGTCTGGGCAAATCTCTTGGAACAAAGTTGACAATGCTCTTGCATACTCCGTCTATTTAGGCGACAAGCTTGTTGCAAGTCTGCCAAGCTCAATGACTCAAGTCACACTTGGTGGTCTGACACCGGGGGGTGGATATGCCTTCAATGTACGTGCGGTGGGAGGAGGCGGCAATATGGGTCTTGCGTCTGATCCAGTTACAATCAACCCGGATGCTTTACCAGGCGGCAAAACCGTTGCCAACTGGAAATCAGTCCCGAAGGAGGGATCTACAACAATCACGGCTGATGTCCTTGTTCCATACGCGTTCGTCCGCCTCTACATCTGGTCTCAAGTAGGATGTGACTTCGACGAAGACCCTGGGTGGAGTGTTAACTTCAAAGTTGACAAATACGTCTGCACGCACTATATGGTGGAAGGTACCACGCTGTATAAATACAGTGGCACGATGCCTAAAGGCTCCACAACTCCACCTTGGTCGTGGACATCCATTGGGACCGTCGATGTCGATGTCGATGCTTACACATACACCTGGACGCTACCCATTGGAACTAATACCGCCGACACAAGCAAGTTTGTCGTGCAGACACAAGGCTACAATCCAGCGGAGAGCTACGTGGAGCCACGCGCGGACGATTATGACTGCCAGGGCTCGACGATGTGCACAACTCCGGACTTCCTGAAGTGGTGCGATCATGCCGTCAATGTCCTACATCGAGACGACTATCCCTTTTACCAGTCGAGGTACGTGCAAATACCACACCCATTACCTTCGATACACATACTAACACTTGTTTCTTAGTGGCGGCCTGAATGGCAACTGTTGGGGTGATCAGACTCGAGGCTGCCAGGTCTTTGTTCAGGGTGCGGGTTGCAGCATCAGTGGCAACGACATGTGGAATGCCTACCAGAATATCCGCAAAATCGGCGGCTGTGGTAAATGTGGATCATATCATATAGGTAATGGTTGTCTGGTCACTATCGACTACAAGTACCAATGCGACAACCACGGTTAAGATGGGGCGGGCCACGTTGCTGTCCCGGCCTGGAGTTAAACAATGAGGCATAGATATACATTTTATTTCATCGGTTTGTTTTTGTTTAGCAATGACATTTTGTATTCATCATATTGCACTGCTTGAACTGGTGGAAGTTAGGGTCAGGTGGCCAGGTGGGTGCCTGATATATCAGGCTCCGAGCCCGTAACTTAGTCTAGGTAGACCTGAGAGCTTCTCTGTCTCCCTTTCTCTTCTCTCTCTCTTCGTCTCCTATGATACGAGTGAATTTACCCATACAGTAGCTGTGCCGCTGATAACTACGGTGGTTAGAAACTGCCGCACCTAATCCAAACAGACCAAACATGCGAAGAATCCTTATTGGGCAGCAATCTTCGCCCCCGACTCCAACCCTCCTCAACCTCCAATCATACTTCACTTGCACCTACAGAGTACTGTGTCGCCAGTCTTTATTCTCAGGCCTGGCATGTCGTGAAACTTATGTTTGGATGCTTATCATGGAGCTGAGTTTGAGCCTGGGAAGCGTACGATTCGAGAGCAACGAAATGCCCGCACCTTCAGGTTGACCGCTAAGCGCTTTGCCCAGGTGAAGTCACCTGATACCTAGGCAATGAAGCCTAGCGGCCTGCATTCAGCTCGTTCAGCTGAGGCTCTCGAGTCACCGTCCGCCCTAATCCACCCACAGCGCATGCAACCCCCATCATGGCATCCACGTCTTATCACGGGGCCAATTACGGGTTTCAAGTGGGCAATAACTATGGCCACATCACGACAGAAATTCACTTGTCGAAGCGACCCAAGACCTCCCACCATGACGATTTGCGTGCCCCGCCGCACGCTAAGTACACCATCGCTTGGATCTGCGCGCTATACATAGAAATGGCAGCTGCTCAGGCAATGCTAGATGAGATTCACGAACGCCTACCTACCCGTGTGGACGACAACAACTACATACTAGGAAGCATCGCTAGGCATAATGTCGTCATTGCGTGTTTACCAGAGGGACAGTATGGAACGAACAACGCAGCGATTATCATGACCAACATGAAGCGGACCTTCCCGGCGATTCGTGCATGTTTGATGGTTGGCATTGGCGGTGGTGTGCCTGGCAATACCGATGTTCGTTTGGGCGATGTTGTCGTCGGAACAAGGGTGATGCAGTATGATCTTGGAAAACTTATCGGAGACGGACAGCTCCGACGAACGGCAATCCCTAGGCTTTGTCATCCATTATTTGGCACGTCTAACGTGCGCGCGAATCATGAACGCCGCCCTAGTCGAATCCACTCCATCTTGCAACAGAGATTACAAGGACAGCCCGCTTACTCTCGCCCGACCTCTTCTGATCTTCTGTTCTATGCATCGTATGATCATGAATCTCTGACTGATAGCTGTGACGGGTGCGACCACACCATGCTAGTCCCAAGGAGCAGCCGCACCTCTGACGAGGCGACGATTCATTATGGCGCAATTGCCTCAGGGAACCAAGTCATGAGGGACGGCACAACACGAGACAACGTTGCTCGAGAGCTAGATGTCATATGTTTTGAGATGGAAAGTGCTGGTCTGATGGACATCCTCCCATGTCTTCCGATTCGGGGAATCTGCGACTATGCAGACTCCCACAAGAGCAAAGAGTGGCAGAGATATGCTGCTGCAACCGCGGCCGCGTACGCAAGAGAGTTGCTTGAAGAGTTGTCTGTGACCGAATCGCGTCAAGGTGTCAGCCCCACTGTCGATTCTAGTAAGAATGCCTTCTAGCCTTGGAGATGTCTTTCCAATATCCCCCGCTCATACCTGACTTTTAGACCACAATCGATAGCGGGAAAATCGGCAGCGTTTACTAGAATCTTTCAAGTTCGACCAGATCGATTCCCGAAAAACCAGCATCAAGAAAGAAGAGAAAAAGACGTGTCGCTGGTTTCTTAACCATCCTGATTATAAGGCATGGCTTGATCCCGCTAAATTGACGCAACATCATGGCTTTCTGTGGATCAGTGGTAAGCCTGGTGCTGGCAAATCGACAATCATGAAGTTTGCGTACATGAGGATGAAGGACAGCACCCGCGACAAGCATGCTGTCACTGCTTCATTCTTCTTCAACGCTCGAGGTACAGACCTTGAAAAATCGACATCTGGGATGTATCGGTCATTACTGCTTCAACTGCTTCAAGGGTACCCGGATCTTGAGGTTGTCCTGGATAATGCCGAACTATTTCCTCAACATCAAGATGGCTGCCCTCCGCTGAATGTTCTGAAGGATACATTTGAGAATGCGGTTTGCGCTCTCGGAAAACGCTTATTTACCTGCTTCATCGATGCACTTGATGAGTGCGATGAATCCTAGGTGTAGGACATGGTCCAATATTTCGAAGCCCTGACCCAAACATCCACTGAAAAGGGCATCTCATTCCGAATCTGCTTTTCAAGTCGACACTATCCCTATATTTCCATAGAACGTGGGATCCGGCTCACACTTGAGCATCAGTCAGGTCACGCGCAAGACTTGGAAACCTACCTCAAAAGCTGCCTTAAAATCAGAGAGCCTAGGCTTATCGAAAAGTTGCATCCAAAAATTCTCCGAAAAGCCGCAGGGGTGTTCATGTGGGTCGTTTTGGTTGTTGGAATTCTAAATAGAGAGTATGGACTGGGTGGATTGGCCTTGGAGAAGAGACTCGAAGAATTGCCCAGTGATCTGAGCGAACTATTCAAAAACATCTTGAGGCGTGACAAAAACAACTTGGAGGGCTTCCAGCTCTGTATCCTCTGGATTCTGTACGCAAAGAGACCCCTGCGGCCTCAGGAGCTCTACCATGCTCTCTGGATTGGGTTGTCCCCGAAGGACTTGGTCGACGGTCAGATCCTAGATGCCACTGTCTCGAGTGTTGGTGCTGGACCGGAAAAATGCATGATAACCAGATCTGCTGCTGGTTACTCAAAAGGACTAGCCGAGACCACGGAAGCCACAAGGTCTAGCGAGCCTATTGTGCAATTTATCCACGAGTCCGTCCGAGACTTTCTCATCAAGGACCGAGGTTTATATGAGCTGTGGCCTGAGCTTGGATTGGACTGCGAAGGTCTAGGTCACGAGAAGCTCAAACAGTGTTGCAACCTCTATGCGAATCATGATCTGATCCGTAAATCTGTCACGAATTTACCGCCGGAGTCTGACGTCGACCGGCGAACGGAAGCTTTGACGGAATGCCCAAAAGAATACCCGTTTCTGGAGTATGCCACTCAGCATATTGTCTTCCACGCGAATGCAGCGGCGAAAGTCGTCCCTCAAGACGAATTTTTGTCATCGTTTGCTGTCTTAGACTGGATCGAAGCGAGCAATGCTTTCGAAAAAGTAAAGAAAAACAGGTATAGCCGGAATGGAAGTCTGTCTTACATCCTATCAAACAAAGGATGCCCCGAGCTCATTCGCGCGAGGCCCAAAGAAGATCCACATACCCAGGTGCGTGGGGAGAGATACGACTATCCGCTCTTTGCTGGTTTGGCCAATGGCGACAAAGATACCGTTGCTGCTATTTTGGACTCCTCCTCCAGCTTTTATGAGGGCATCAGTCTCACAGAAGGTCTCAACCACAGGAAGGACTTCAAGGATTTCAAATGTCGAACACCGTTGATTTGGGCGGCCCAAGAGGGCCGGACAGGCATTGTGAAGCTTCTCCTCCAGAGAGGGGTCGACATCAACGGTATGGATACTAAGTGGGGAACACCACTTATTTGGGCCTTAAAATGTGGCTACGAGACATTTGCAAGATTTCTCGTTGAAAGGGGAGCCGACGTCAATGCTAGCGTGAAAGGTGGGCCAAAACCCCTGCATTTATCCGTGCAGGGGGGTCATGAAGCAATGGCACGGCTTTTAATTGACAAGGGCGCCAACGTCAATGACAGCACAAGCTCGGGAGAGACAATCCTACATTCTTCCGCGACTAGTGGTCATGAGAAAATAGCAAGGCTTCTTGTTGACAAGGGTGCTGATGTCAACGCCAGAGATGATGAAAGAAGGACACCTCTACATAATTCCGTGTTTCGTGGTCATGAGGCGTTGGCCAGGCTTTTTATGGATCAGGGCGCCGATGTCAATGCCGTCAATAAGTATGGATCCACGCCCCTACTGAATGCATCCTCGGAACATGGTCATGAGGCGATAGCAAGCCTCTTGATCGACAAGGGCGCCGATGTCAATGCCCGCAATGATTATGGAGATACACCCCTACATACATCCTTAAAATACGGTCATGAGACAATAGCAAGCCTTTTGATCGACAAGGGTGCTGATGTGAATGCCCAAAATGAGTGGGGAGACATACCCCTACATACATCCTTAAAACGCGGTCATGAGGTGATAGCAAGCCTTTTGATCGACAAGGGCGCCGATTTCAATGCCCGCAATGATTGTGGAGATACATCATTACATACATCCTTAATATATGGTCATGAGGCAATAGCAAGCCTTTTGATCGACAAGGGCGCCGATGTCAATGCCGTCGATCAGGATGGATACACACCCCTACATGCATCCTCGGAACATGGCTTTGAGGCGATAGCAAGACTTTTGATCGAAAAGGGCGCCAATGTCAAAGCCAGACATGTGTATGGATGGACACCACTCCATCTCTCCGCGCGTCGTGGCCACGAGACAATAACAAGGCTTCTGGTTGACAAAGGAGCCGATGTGAATGCTCGCGATAAAGAAAGAAAGACACCACTTCGTCCATATGGGATTAGTTGCAACAAGGCAATAACGAGGCTTCTCCTTGATATGGGGGCCAAAATTGACATCTGCGATGAGGAAGGGTGGACATTCCTGCAACAATGCTTGAAGCATGGCAACGACGAAATAGCAACACTACTTATTGAGAAAGGCTCCTTCTTCGATGTCAATACCAGTGATAAAGATGGGTGGACACCACTTCAGAGGGCCCTGAATGTTGGAAAACGGCTAGGACCAGGCGTTGAAACACAGGGTGCCGTCTTGCAGTCTCGTACAGGTGCAGGTGAGGTATTTTCGCTATTGGCTCATGATACCGAGCTGTGTTGTCGAATATTTCCTGGCTGTGTGCATCGGGCCCTAAGAGACTTGTTATGACGCCAACAGAACGCTTGGCAGCCGCAAGCATACGCTAGTATACCAGGGACGAGGCCTGTGCAATGTAACGTCGAAGGGGGCAGAGGAAAGCGAGAAATGCGTCATCAGGTATTTTATTCGGAGACATCATGAAGGCGTGCGAGGTCGGCGGAAGAAAATAGATAGCACAGGCTCGACGTGCAAGAGTTCTGGTGGGAAGCGATCTAGATAATTTCTGTAGCAAAGAGCACCTGTCACTTTGTCACACCAATATTGGCCAGAAAGCCACCGAGAATGATCGTTTCAGACCCGATGCCCCTGGGCGTTGAGGTCGCGTCCGCGGGCCAGAACGACCTGAGGGTCGGAAGCAGCGGCATCTCCGGTGAAATGAAAGGGGCAGTGCGTCGTCGGGATGATGAGTCCAAATGCGTCGGAGGTTGGTGGGGGCGAGAAGAAAGGGGGATCGGGTGGCAAGGGGAGCGAAAGTGCGTGGGAGACTTGACAAGAGGGCGAGCGGTCTTTTATAGATAGGAACGGAGGCGTCAGCCGATAAAAGCGGCCACTGTGGCGCTAAGCCCATTCGGGCGGCCGCAGTGGACGCCATGCCGGAAGGGGCAGGGGCAGGGCGTAGCCGGGCAGGCGGTCGCGGGCGGCGGAAAAACGGGGCAATAGGAGCCATTTGTGGCCCCCCGCTTGCCGTCGTGTAGAATACTAAAAAAACGTTTAATATCTATATCTATAGCTAAGATTAAAAATATATCTTATATAATAGTAGTAAAAATAGAGAATTTATACTTATTATTTTTTTAAAAATAGTATAGATTACTTATATCTTATTCTATATATTATTAGTTTAGAATATAGGAACTTTTAGATATAATATTTATTAGTATTAAGATATTCTTTTAGTTCTTTTTATTAGACAGATTAACTGCTAGAAGTTATATAATGCAGAGTTCTTCTGCCGGACAGTCGTCGATCGATGACGTTCCGCTTGTTCGACGAGCTCCCTCAGTGATCGTCCTCGAAGCTCATGATTCGGTCCTACCTTGACTATAGCCTCGCGGCCTTCCTGGAGCTCGATGTTAGGCACCCTTGGTGACGAGGTGTCGTTGCTTGAGGTGGCGGGCGCACTCGCATTGGCCAGACCGTGCTGCCACTCTCGGGATCGGAGGCCGCGCCAGAACGTCGCGGGCGAGTCAGTCGAAATGGTGTTTTGAAGAGATAGCCGACGATAGGATAGTTGTCGCCTTTTCAACAGTATCAATTCTTTGGTTCAGGCGCTTCGTGTCCTCTGCAATTTTTCCGAGTGCTTCGACGGCCTTCGCCATCCCCTGAGTGTTACCCTGTTGGGGCGTTGAGTGCGTATTGCTTGATGGACCTAATGAATCCGGTGTAAACCCATCAGTGCCCTCGAGGTTGTTGTTGATGTGCCGCAGTACTCTCTCGGCAGTCTGGGCGATTTATTCCATGCTCTCGAATCTCTGCTGGCGTGGATCGCATGGTGCAGATATTTTTGGTGTTCCTATCTGAGCCTCCCTCTCGGGATGCAGGAACGCCATATTGGAGCCTGTCGCCACAACCGCTGTCATGACACAGATGAAACCTATATCAATGGAAAGCGCCTGTAGTAACAAGCAAATTGTACTGATTCATGAAGCCATGAGGCCTCTTATTGGCGAGATTTTCAGGAATACTATTTTGCAAGTCGTGTGATGTTTTTGATTCTTGCGAGGAACGTTCGTGGCCCCTGTCTACACGGACGCTGTAACAATGGAACTTTCAGATATTTTTGACACAGAACTGTATTATAGCAGCTGATGAGCCGGTAACTGTCATCAAATATAGTTAATTCTCATTTCCCCTATGAATTAGGTTGAAGGACCACCTAATCCCCACCTCGTTAGGACTTAATAGCTTTCTTTTCCCCTTTCCCATCTATCAGTTTCGATAGATCAATATATTATGTATTACTTCTCTTATCTAATTTCCCTTAAGTTAACCTACGGCTGTATAGATTTATGGCTACTATTAGGAAGCGGCTTGCCGGTTAGGTATAATAGTGACCCGCTTTAGCGTTATATGAGAGGTGGTAGAAGATCATTGTAGTAGATAGGAAATATAAAATTAGATTAGAGTATTTATTATAATTGACCAGTCTTTGATATAATTGTTAGATATTTGATATGGTAGTAAAGCCTAAAACCATAAATCGGATAAAAAGCTTTTTCGATACCAATTAGCTAGTAAAATCATATAGAATAACGAAGACCCAGCTACTCGATAGTAATAGCCTGTGCTGTATTTTTAATTAAAGCTTCGAATGAAACCGCGTTTATACTCTATTACTTATTTATAGACTTCGGCACAACCCACTCTAACCCGAACCCAACCCAACCCAACCCAACCCAAAATGGGTTTTGGGTCCAATTCTATAACCCAACATGTAATCGAGCGAGAACCCTATGCCGCAGGGGGTCGGAACCCGAGCCGATATCGTCCTCACCACGAATACGAAGAAACAAATCGCTAAGTGCGTTTCTGTTGAGTGCAAACGATACAAAACCCATATTCGAGATATCGATTGGGATCACTCGAGGCTCCAATTAGAGCAATATATACAGCGCTGGTCTTGAATGATAAGTCTCCCACGCAAACTTAGTTATGAATTAGTAGACGAGGAATGAAAGCTGTTGCGGGACTCAAAGTGTTAGCGACAAATTTGCGTTGCGCGGCGTATTACTTCATACGTCTAGCTAGCTAATGAGATCATCTCTTGATTCCACATACTTAATCGTCTATTTATGTCCATCACGTAGAGGTTCATTTCGATTAAGACCGTAAAACTTGATGCCCAGTTGAAACTTGGAACATCCGAGTGGTTAGACCTCTTCCCTGGAATCAGGAGATTAGCTAGACCATGAGTAACCAATATGTATTGAGATCAATCAAGGCAAGAATCAAGAACTAAGAATGATTGGATCATGCTCAACATGAAAAGTGGTCTGGTACATGGAGTTCACACCCGGGAGCAGCTCCTCTGTTTCTGTGGTCCAATCAGGTAAATACTGTCCAAACCAAAACCTCACAGTTCCCTGGGCTACAGCAGCGGTAGATTGAAGTGAAATGTATCTCTCCATGTAATGAACCGCGTCCTCCTGATCATAAGACGTTGCGGTGCTAACACCTCTTCCAGACATTCGATGCAACTTGGTACAAAAAAGGAATTCCCAAGGAGCAGCTAAGAGAGTAAGTCCAGGGGCTTGAAAAACAACTTCATGCTGCTCAAGCGCTTCATCGAGGAGAATACGTCGTATATGGGATGGGACGAAGAGAACAACGTGGTTGTTGAGCCACCCCTGTCCGAGTATACGATTCCTTTTGAAAGCGGACTTGGCTGCCTTCGAAAGGCACTTGAGCGCGGCGGGTGGAAGATTGTCATTGAAAAAATCGACATCATGAGTTTCAGGGCGACTTTTGAGGAAGATTGTATTGATGATTCCACCAACGACAACGAGAGTGATGTCTTGGTTCTTGGCTGAAGTGTATTTGGCAACATTCTCGAGGGCAGAAATGAGAATTTCACAAGACAGATTCGGACTCAGGTCGCGTATCGCGGCTGGTCGAGCGGCTAGCTCTTGTAGGCTACGAGCACTGCGACGCCAGCGGAGAGTGGACAGCGACTGACCCATTTTAATCAACGTAGAAGTTTTGAATGCAGATCTACCAGCTTCCAGTCGACTCGTGTATCTCCAGTCATTCGTGCATACTCGAATTCAATTTGGCAGGAGCATACGGAACTACTTTAGGGAAACAGCATACAGCCTAGGGCAGCGTGTTCCTATAATCCTTGTTCAGTCGCGCATATCACATGATTCTGCACATTGAGCACAGGAATGAGATACCAGTAGAGACTTGACGCTTGAAAAATAAAGCAATAACCTCGTACTGTCTCCTCCGTACTTTGCCTGCGGTCCAGCTAACCTTTCCAAGAACCTTTCTTTGTTTGCAAAACCAAAGACTAGGAGGAGAAAAGCACACTAAGTTTTACCTTAGTATCCAGTGATATTATTGCAGCGGGTTTGTTTATTTAAGTAGCTATCATGAATAAAAATCGGGATACATATCACGGTGATTCATGGGACAGATAAATATACCCTCAAAAAGCGAGAAATTCATCACCATGTGCAGAGATGAAATGACGAGTCCATAGAATAGGGGCACGGAAGCATGCATGGCACAGTTGCACAGGTGGGATTCAAAATAGTTGGTCAGCAAGATTGTAAAATTAGATAAAAACTTTGATAGGCTGCCTTCGTTCATTGTCCCGTAACCCTCCAACGATGGCAGGATTTACAAGTAAACATTTTGCTTCCACGGCTGGGCGTAGGACTTCCTTAGCAAACTCCCAGGCTGTAAACAGTAGATTTTTCAAGCCCCCTCCAGCAACGACAGTGCCCTCATACGCCTCCTGGAGCCTGTTGAACAGCATCAACTCAGTTCCTGAACCCTCATGTATATGGCCGAATACATGTAGCCTTGGCCGAATTCTCCATAAGGTCTGTAGCAAATAAGGACAGCCACTTCAGTAAGTCAAGATGAGCAAGTGGTGGACCATGAGTAATCAGCACATCAATTCCATCTGGTACTGAGCCAACCCATACATCTTGATTTCGGGGATATTGAAAGGCCCAGTTGCCATGGCGGCAAGAGTAGGGACTTCCGTAGACCCTCAGTTGACGACCATTTGGGCAATAAATTGTTACCTCCTCGTTTTCGAGGTAGATTATATCTCCCCAGTCGATTTGAGCTCGCTCGGAGGCTGCTCGACGGGACACATCATCCCGCGCTGAATCAAGTAGTAGGTCATGATTGCCAGCAATCACAATTTTGGTGGGATGAGGTAGTCTGCGTAGCCAGGCGATCGAATCTTGAAGTTCCTGGAAAGATCCAGATTGTGTGAGATCACCAGCATGGATGAGGATGTCTCCATCATAGACGTCGGTTTGGGTGTTGTGGGTATCAGAGATACAGACAACCGCGATAGGTTTTGTGAGTGGCGTAGCTGGTATAGGCTCGTACCAACCATAAAGCATTTTTGCGAGGAAGACACAAGGCCGGGCGCGGAATTCTTGCCATCGTCCTGGTCGCTGTCGGTGAAGGAGCTCGTGAAGACTGGACATGATTGGGGAGTTCAGAGTCCTCTACATCACCTTATTGGCTGGCACACATTATAGTAGACAAATCTTGTTAAAAAATAACCCATATTTGTTTGATTAGTTTGCATTTCCGTCGCTTAGTCAGAAGTCTGTATAAATTGCTAGAGAAAGGGATACAGAAATACAGAGTAGTGATCACGCATGATTGGCCGATACATTTTGGTTCCGACAGGGGTATCAACCGCAAAGTATAACCCTGGAATACGGTTTGTTGGAACGTGGAATTTAATGCTAATTTACACCGGGTAAGCGCACTTTGCATATCGTGCTTAGTACTCCGTATATACTCGCACTATACGGAAACGCCACGATTCTACCCCGCAAAACCACGCACAATCGTGGTCTTTCCGTTATGACCCTGACTTACACCATATCGGATGATTGGATGAAATCTATTCAAATTTAGTGTTATATGAACGTGTTATATGAACTGAGTTCAATGCGCGTTGTCTCTATACAAACCTGGGCTGAGTAAAGCTAGCCGACGGCTGATTAAGTGGCATCCTCAGGATGGATGTCACTGTGAGTACATAATTACTATTACCTTTCCGGAAGGTGCCTTCATGTCTGAGTCACCAAGTAGAAGCTCCCATATGGATCTTTGCCAATCCAGCTTCTGAATCGTGTACCCCACTCTCGTACTATTTCCAAGCTTCCCAGCCAAAGCAATTGTGGATCATCGTGCCTCGACATGTCAGCTAAACGTCCCAGACTCGTGTCTCCGGTACGGTATAGTCGCCTGCCCATCCCAGAAACCGACTTCGATACCTCCTTCCCCTATCATCAGACATCTTATCCCAGGCTTATACCGAGTAAGACGAATTTCGCTTTTTGTCCTTTTTAGACTTGAGTCGCTAAAGCGCAACAGGAACGGATTCGCAAGTATGGGGACTCCCTGAGTCAGCAGCAATACGCGCTGTTCACACTCTCGAGACTGCGCCAGAGAATGAACGGCTGGTTCGGACTCATCATCCCACATTGCGACTACATGATTCAGTTTACGTATCGCATCCCCAGTACGGCCCTGAGGTCTGGCTTGTGAAGGGCGCGTGTGAAGACATTGAAGCGGGAGGGCGACCATTGCACCCTTATCCTGAGGACATATTGAATCTTGTCCCGTTTGGGAGAATCTTGTCTCCACGTTCACCATGGAGGGAGGAATACCTTTTTAAAGAAGGCATCCTTTTTAAAGAAGGCATCAACCCAAGAAAGCTTCTATCCCCCGAGAAGATTGATAGCTTACGCGAGCTATTCCCCGCGGCAGTAGGGGCCCGTGTTTTCGTCAGTGGATTCCTAATCGTCCTTTTAAATCATTCCGCGACATTCAAACCGTGTATGAGAGAGACTGGATCATGGAAGTTGGTGGTTTGCGAACAGTCTATGATGAATATAGGCTCGAAGCCAGCGCCGACACCGTCATATCCGGTATGGAAGTTTGCGAAAACCCCGAGAGTCTCAATTGTCAAGGCTGCTTGGGCCTGAGAATTCGGATGACCGATGGAAAAGAAGCCATAACGACTGTAACGCATGGCTTTGCGAGAAACCCTCAACGGTCTCGCATGACGATGATGTTTTCCGAGTGGATCCTGAAATCCAAGAGCGCTCTTCTACGCTGCCGCCGCCCACCACCTCAATCCGACACTTGTGAAATTGGAGTCGTACGGAGTTCAAACAAAAATTCCCCGATTGGGAAAGAGGTTTGGCTAACGACGGAGAAGAAGAGGGTAAGTCTCTGCCCGTTTTCCCGTGCTTACTGCCAAGGACTCCGACTTATTCATCTAGATCGGTGTTATCTCCCATACATTCGACGATCCAAGTCCAGATCTTCCGTTTCCCGCTGGCTATCGACATGACCTTAGCCTTATCATGGACGATAATCTACCTCAGGCAACTTGTCAGCCCGCCTGGCTATCCCACTGTGTCGGGATGGGCGTCATACTCAGCTGCGCTCGCTGGGTCCGATGTCTACGTAACCAGGATGAGCACCACAGTCGTTGGGAGGCGGCTTCTACTCGAAGGAACCGTTGACCCTAATGCAATTAGAAAAGCAACAGTCATAGGTACCCAGTACCTATGGGACCGCACTGCGTATTCACAGACTGCGTCACTTTTATGGAAAACGAATGAACCGTCTAGTCCTGCAGATGGATGGTCAGGATCCGTCCTGTGCCTTGGAGGGCCGACAGATGAGTCGAGCCTGGCGGTTATCTTCCAGAATTTTCAAGTGCCCTGCACCACGCACGTCAATCCTGAATCCGGTAAATCTCATCAAACAATTGTTAAAGGAGGGTTTTTGCTCCCTGAATCGATACGGTCTTCCACAATTGTCACAAGCAATGATCAACACCGAGGGAGGAAGTCCGACACATATCCGCGCCGCAGCAGAGAACGCGCAGGTTCAGACCGTCGGGTGTTCTCGGCCCTTTAGGAAAACTTCAATTTGCTCTGGCTTTGGCTTGCTTGAGGATTCTTCAGAAACTCTTGCTCTTTACTGTTATTTTGAGACCGCTCCCCAGTGATAGCAAATTATATACCCTTGGTTTATTAGTGAAAGAATCACACGGTAAGAGCGCAGTGACCTGAAACAAAGCCATAGGTGTGTTAATAGCCAGGAGAGCACCATCACACTATGATGAAGTTGTGTTGAAGCCCCACCAATTTATTAAGCAGCCTTAGTGTGATGACCTTTGATTTCAAAACATGCCATGTATAGAGCTTGACATTTCCCATGGGAATTCCCATCGAGGTCTAGTCCCGTAGTCCCACTCCCATTGGACTATAATATTTACCTTTCTCCCGCCATGGGGATTCCCGTGGGACTATAGTAATTTCCCATCTACACATTATTTTCATAAAAATGATGGAGAGATCGTTGGAGTTTATCAGATGAGTTACGGCAATTTATAGGTGTATCAGCGAGTATCAAGACCCACCAAGAATCCATTACTTTTGATACATTTCGATCACAGATTTGTGATTATTTAGCATATCTTCAATATCACCTAAGGTGAATATTCGTCACCTTGCTCCTAATTCATCACACTTTCTGACTTACCTCGGAAAGTGAGGGCTGAAACAGAGATATCCTCATTCAAGAAACTTAAATTTAATTCCGAAAGTCAATAGAAATAGATCTTTGCGGCGTAGCTATAGGATCAAGTGGACGAGCGGGCGAGGATGCGTTAGTAATAGAATCGATTGGTAGATAGGCTCGTCTGAACGCTGTATTACCGGAGCTTTTGCGCTAACCAAGGCGTGATCGGTAAACTCATTTGCGGGTTTAATAGACAAGACAGGCACCGGATCCAAACCTCCCGACGCTGAATTAGATCAATTTGGAATTGGTACATGCAATCAATACGTCACCAAGTCACAATTCTTAATCACAGACCGTAACCCTGAAGTCTTTTCGTGCTCAATATTACCAAATATCCATAGATCAGATTGGCGCTCTCGGTCTACTTAGTTTTACATCGTGTCTGTATCTGAAATCAAACCCCAGTCTCCTGCCTTTCGTTCGACATTATCTTTCGCCTTGAAGACTCGAAGATGTCGCGATGTCGAAACATGCTTCTGGGGCTGCTTCATAGTATTTGGAAGAAAGTACCAAAATACTCCACCATACTTTGTTTACATGAGAGCATCTTACAGAAGATCTACCAACACATCTCACTAGTTGATCAAGATTGGTTATCCCTTAGCTGCAAAGAGCTCTTCAGCCTATCCGGGACAATAGTGAAGCACAAAGATCTTGAATTTCCACGACTCCTGCGTATTAGGAATCTAATACTGTGCGTAAACAGTCAGGATGTGCAGCGAAATCAACTCCTTCTTCGACTCGAAAATCGCCGCTGGGCCTACTGTGCAAAGTGTTTGAATCTCCATCCTCGGAAAGAATTTACGAAAAGTTTACTGAGATAACCAGCTCTGGAGAGATCTTGCACATATTACGCCGGTATAGATGACCTATGTCCCTGTATTTCTCTGACGATTCGACGTCGAGACCAGCTTATCAAGGTCCTCAAATCACCCGCGAAACCAGCTGAAACCAAATATGGCCCATTCGAGTATGACTTTGACGATAGGGGACAACCGGGCCTCAGCCACTGCTGTTTATTGAGCACTGGATCTGGCTATGATGTGCGAGTTGCTTTTATTTTATTTATCAAGGAAACTGGCCAGTTATGTGTAGCGGCTTGGCATACTATAAGCTTCTCCTCCGATGCTCATCTCACAGCTGAGCCTACCTTGCTTGTCCTCATCAGGAACTCCTCTCGTCCCCGGGGATCAAGCCGCAAAAGATCCTCACATAGACTAGACTTTGGTTTCTTCAAAACCTTATCAGGATCTCCTGTCTCTTGTCCCCGGGAAGCTGGACTCAATAGCCTGTCCCATGTGTCCGACTTTAATTACAAAATAAGCTTTGTCTGAAAACATGAATCAGGCTGTTTTCTGGGTGGCTCGGAATCTAGGAAGTTGTGAATGGCTTGCAGACCGTCCTTGGCTTGACCAGTGTCGTCTCACCGGAGCATGGATTTCGCATAATGAAAAATACTGGTGAGCTTATCAAAGGATCCGCGGAGAAAGAAGAGCTATTTACTGAAATTCCCCTATAGGTATCGGTCGCAGAAATTGCGGAAATTGACGCAAGGTGTTCACGGGCAGTGGAAAATAGATTACTGCCTAGAACAGGAAGGTTGCTTTAACATCAACGAGAAGCCCCACGAACTGCAGATGAGGAACATCAGATAGCTGGTACCATCCCGGCGCTGCTTCTTGCAGCGTCGTGTTGAAGAAGGAAAAAGAAAACATGATGTGCACTCCTGGGACAGCTCATTTCTATTTTAAGGAGTAAGACTGGCTGAATGATTGTTTGATATTTCAATGAGACTTCATTTCATCCCAGTACAGGTAATACCCAAGCTCCAGCATTTGACATCCAGCATAGAGAGTGGCGACAATATGTACATGAATTGATGCTGCCATGATACTTGAAGCCCGATAATTGAAGTCCTCATGCCTTAGTTGGTTCGCCCACCTGCCCATGTTTCCCAATAGGATCGAGTCGTACGGCTTTGGCAGGCCCTCGTAGAGCCGAAGCATCCTATTGCCCGGTGCTTTGAAAATTCGTCTGGTTGGTTTTACCGTCTTTTGTTCCTCTGCCTAATGATTGACGTATTTTCCCTTGCAACGCGCCTGCACTGCACTCTAAGCTGGAAGCCAGACGGACAGCGCCAGCGGTGGAATCTCCGGGACTCGATTTTTCTGCTCCGTTGGCCCCCTGCTCCCATCAGTGCGGCCGTCTTAGCTTCCAAATCGGCTGCCTCACTGCCAAAAAAGCCCACCTATGCAGGGATTCAGTGAATCATCATCAGACTGGAGGGCGACATGGTCGTAAATTTCAGTGAGTACGTGCTGGCTAGACGCTGACGTGCCTCTGCGCAGGTGGTTCCCCAACACCGTTGACCTTCCGGAAAACACGTCCCTCCAGGGTACTTCCTTCACCATTGCCTGTCACCGCTGCACCGGTGGCTTACCATGGATGGGTCGTGAAACACCTCTGGAGTTAGTGGGAGCAATTGGATGGTCATCCGTGTTTTCTCCGGTACGCTGGGGATGCGGCTGCGGCTGGGCGTGGGCTCCATGGGCTTGGTAGTGATGTCGACGTTTGACAGGTTCATGTGATGCAGCAGGTCGCTTCGCGTATCGAGGGCTGACGCACACCAATGTGCTAATGGGAGCGATCAGATTGAATCCCGCGGGGTCTTGTAGAGCGATGGAATATTAGCCTGGTTGTTGAAACTTAGTCACCTTAGTCGTTAGGCCCTGCGACTGCCCCGGTTCTGCTCACAGAAAAAAGGGCCAATTGGCTCTGTCATTTACCCTCCAGCGAGGATTCTTTTTCCAAAATATGGACCTCATGTGGATCCTATCTTGCACGCATTGAGCAGGATATCAAATTGACCGGAACGCAAAGAAAATAGAAAAAAAAGAAAGAAAAAAGGCGAGAACGAAAGGCTGGTGAGTGGCGGCAGGTTTGACACCGAACGCCGAAGCTGACCAAGAATAGATAGGTCTCGCTGCCATGGAGTAGGTGGAGAAGTCGAAGGGTGTTGATCATGGACCACCGAGCATCCTGGCTGTCGAGGATTTGGGGACAGGGCAGTGAAAACGTCAGTGAACAATCAGTTGAGAATGGAGCGTTCTGGGGGTGCCAACGCCGTGCGGGCAAGGCAAGGAGAGAGACGCTTGGGACATGGGGATGTGAGAGTGATTGCATTTTGGTTGCGCTCGGCAATCAGTCAGACTGCCTTGAGGACAATGTACTGACCCGAGCCTATCCTGGGGGAACGGATGGCATAGAGATTGTCCGTTCGAAGCAGGAATAGCATCGAGAAACAGAAAGAAGTGAGTTGTCTCATGTCATTCCCTTGCGCTCGAGATCCCCAAAGCAATGAATCACTTACATATGGGCTCGTCTTAGCTTCACCGGAGGTTACTGGTCACCAGCACTGCGAAGACGTGCGAGCCCGGCGCTGGTGGCCCCACCACTCCATCTATCAAGGTGAGCCGCCTCGAAAGATGGAGCTTTCCTACACCGTTCCCTCAGCCATCCTTCCCGGGTGTAGGGGTGGGGTCTCGAAGTACACCAATCCGGTCAACAGATCTCGTATGTTCGGAGACGAGTCAAGTTGACAATCACAACACTTGCCCGTTCATGTGTCATACTCTCCTAGTGACTTACTTCTTTAACTTGCACCAATAATCGAGCGTTCTCTTTTAGCGTTATGAGCAGCTTCATAAGGCCCCCTCAATATGGCCCATTATCGCTTAGCATTACTGCGTTGGCTTGCAGTTTCCATATTGGTGCGCTTGTAGTGGTTCAAGGCTCCTTTTCCGTATGTATTTTCTACAGACACATACCAATAGCTCAATTGGATTCCAAAGTAACAACTTCCACTGTCATGCACCAAACGAAAGTTACAAATCAGGTCAATACCTCGCACCCGCCTTTTTCAAAAGCGTAACAACCTCCCGAAGACCCCTGCTCTGTGCCATTTCAAGCGGTGTCTGAGACTGATTCCATAGTGAACATCAGCTCCACATGACAGAAAAACCTCAACTATCTTCAATTTTTAGTATAGGAACTGTTGGTTATTGCGATCTTAGGTACTGTAGTTTCCTGGACACGTGTATTCAGGTCCAGATTGAAATCCAGGAACATTAGAATGGTCCAAATATCCCCAAGAGAGGCAACGAAAACCATTGCCCTTCTTTTGCTATCGTAATCCATGTGTTTCACATGAAGTCAGAGTCATATCTCTGTAATTATTTCCAAAAGCCGCACCGAAGGCTTGCTCTACCGCATCGGAAGACCCATTGAAGTAGGCGAGAAGTTCCCTTAATACCGGTACATTTTTTCCCCCTCGTGGCAAACACCAAGACTGAACTCTCATTTGCTCCGTTCTCAACTAATCGTCGGAATTCAGAAAAGCTGCTAAGCTCCAATATTAAATAACAGACCATTCATGTTGCTTTACATGAGCAGAGCACCGCGAGATTCTTTGCGTCGTTCAAAATCAACATCAAATACTGTTTGGAACGGAAGTGGACGTTCAAGATATTCAGCACTGTTTGTTCGATATAATCACCAGCCTCATATGGACCTAGGTCCTCTCTAGCTATCGAAGAGGATGTCGTGAAAGATCCCACGCTATCCGGATTCCTCGGGCAACTACAGATACAAGGACAGACTTTAAGCGCTGGAAAATCTTGCATTTCACAGTAATTATGCCCAGGAGCTCTTTGGTAAACATCAGCTGGAATTGTGGTCATGAGATTCCGATTGTGTCGTTCCAGTTCTGCATCAAACACGGGCTCAGATGGAGATGGGTTCTGTATAAAGCCATATAAATTGATTATTGATCGCCAATCGGTCAGACATGAATCATTACACTCTGTTATAATGAAACTGAAGAAACTCTGCAAAGCTTTGAAAGTTAACGGACGATTTCCCCGGGAAACGATCGACCTGGTGTAAAACGACCTGTGGTCATGGTAGTTGGTCAATGGCTGTTCCAGTGGCTTGTCGGTTTCACTTGCAAGACTCTCAAGCCATATCCTGGAGCTGATAGTGGCATCATATGGCCCAGGAAAATTTGTTGTGATAGCAGGAAACAATATGTTCCTGAAATAAGTTTCATTTCCCAGATACCACCTTTTCAGTATAAATTCTTTCCCGCCCTCAATGACGATACCAAGCGTTAGGTTGCGTGTCATGAGTGGTGAATTGAGCGAGAATTCTTGCAATTGCAAGAACCCGTCTGCAGCTATAGCGGATGATCTCAAGACTGCTGGCATGTTCACTGAGAAAGTGACCACTTTCTTTGGTGCAGCCAGAGTTTTGAGGTAAAACGTGATGACGATACCAAAGCTGTCTGCGGCGCCTCTTAAAGCAAAATAGATATCGGGGTAACTTGAGGCGGTGGCATGGATAAAACTTCCATCAGCCAATATAACATCCAGGGCGATAATGGTATCCGTTGCCAAACCCCAGGCTCGGGATACATAACCATACCCTCCATGAGTGAAGTGGCCACCGATACTAACGTCGGGACATGTTCCATGGGATAGCGCGCGTTTACCCTGGGCATACAAGCTAAGATCAAGATTTCCGAGTCTGACACCTCCTCCAACAGAAGCTACCCCGGTCTCTGAAAAGATATCAGAATTTATCATATAGGCATAATATTGTTCTAACGTACTATTATCGACCGTGATTTCATTGAACATTCGTAGATCCACAATCAAAGAGCCATTCTTTCCTCCAGTGGAGTAGCTGGCGTAGGAATGACCCCCTGATCGGGCTTGCACCTTGATTCCGACACTTGCGGCGCAGCTGACAGATTCGGAAACTTCTTGAGGTGTTGTTGGAAGTGTGATTGCTACCGGATTATAGAGCCGGGCGAAGGTAAAAGATTTCGCAAGTTCCAACCACTGAGCGGAAGTGTTGAAAACAGTGAGGACATCTTTTGTAGCCAAACAGTCGGCAAGATGTGCTTCGTTGCTGCCAGAGTAAAAATCGGAAGCAGATATTGAGAACGTCAGACAGCCCGTACATAGGGCAGTAGTTATCAATAAATGTAAAATTAAAAAAATATCGAGAGAACCAGCTTCAGAGCTGTATTTAGTTTGCAGAATACAAAGCAAGGTAGCATGGAGACAGAAAATAGAAAAGAAAGTGGAGTGAAAAAATAACTAATTGGGTGCTCTAAGATAAGAAAAGGAATTACCAACAGAACTTAATATGCGTGACCTGAGACAGTTGGCATGAAGGAGAATATTTTTGCTTGGATTAAATAGTGCTAACGCGCTACGGCGGGGCTAGGCTGGCACAGATGAGTTGTCAGGAACGGATCGACCCTGAGCCGGAAGACTTAAAACTTAGCGCGATACTCGGTCCCGTGAGTGACAAGCACGCTTCAAAATCATCACTACAAGAGCCAGTTGCTATCGGCTATTTCAAGTGCATAAATGAATAATATGACATGGCGTTTGGTTGTTGCTATGGCGAACATGACGCATGGCTTTCAAGCTTAGCAAACGCCTTTTAATGAGGTCAAAATCCAAGACTATCATGCAGGTGCGAACCATGCTTCTTCAACCCTCCAACACTGTATCGTCTGGTGCGCAAATAAGGGCAGCAGTTGTGTTCGTGTGGCTTGGCATCCCGTGAACAAGAGGTGCGCCTTTGTTACCAACCACGCTGTTCCGACCCTACTTCGCACCCAGGGCGGTTGGCTCCACGCCAAGAAAGCCTAGGATGGGCATGAACGGGAACAATACTTCGTAACAAAGTTGCTCGGATCATGAAAGTTTTAATCTCCTGAAAGAGGGTTACAGAAATGCGGTAAGTGGCCAGACTCAGACTGGTTCACCCTTTTATTTTGCGGGGTTCATCAATCCTGCTATTTAGGCAGTTACATTCGTTTGGCTGAATTCATAAATTTTCAAATGAGTGAGATCATAGAGGTCCACCTATCAGAGTAGAGAACCAAGTAAATATCTACAATAGGGGCAGGGTAACCGCCTAGCGTGTTTCGACAGAGGGAGGGCTCGAGAAAGATTCTCGTTGTCAAAACAAAAATAAAAAAGGCATCCCCACTATTCAAATGTTGCTGTTTTGTACGGATTGTATAATAAATTGTCGCCGATAGTAAGACAGATTTACTAAATCCGGCAAAGCTACCGTTCCAAAGAAAAACAGCTATCGGCGACGAGCTAGTCTTAAAATTGGTGACTCGAGAGAAACTATAGGCCCGTCCGTGGGAAGAATTGTGATTAATTGTGATTAGCAGTAGTATCTAGAGCCATAAGCTAATCCCGAATTAAGATGAAACTTGAAGTGCGTTAGTGCGCTTCAGAACTGTCTTCAAATCGTCAACCCCCTCTCCAATATTTTGGTGACTCTCAATGTGTAGAACATCTGACGCAAGAGAGAAGTTGCCCGTATCTCGGCGATTTTGACTTCAAGCGCCCATAATATCCTTTTCTGAAATAGATAGATCACCCGAAACCCGTGGACATATAGTGCGCCTTTGAGACTTAAATATGAATCTTTCTAAAATCTTTCACACCGGCCTGTAGCTTATCGATAATTTACTAAAGCTCACGACCACCTTGTCGAGTTTGGAGGACAGCGTATTAGTCAAAGGGCCATTCTGTAGAGTGCTATCAAGGTATTTGAAAACGCCGAGGAGGGTTTCAAGCTTGTCTGTGATCTTGGCTAGATCTACAACCCAATTGTCGTATATAGAGTAAAAGTTGAACAGATAATCAAAGACTTGGATTCCGAGCGATAGAAATCCTGTACGGCCGGCAACAATGGGGAATGCTTCAACCAAAGCTAGCGAAGCTTTTCAGATTATGTCGTGAGAGTTTATGGATTTTCATGAGATACATAGGAAGTGGTACAAAAGTATTCGAAATCAGATTTACCTCTACGCTCTTAGACTTTCATTCCCGAACCCTGGCCCGAAACACGCTAGCCTAATTTTAGCCGTTCCCCAGTAATCCCTGGTAACGACTAGTGACGCGCGCTGCGCACGCTGTGGCCCTGAAACGAGCGGAAAAAGCGTGACATCCGCACACGTGAGATTGCAATAAACAGGCAAATCAGAAGTGCAGGAACAGTAGCGATTAGCAAACAGGCCAATCAGCGACGAGATCAGCGAGAAGTTTGGCAGTGGGAAAGCCAGCGAAGGTTTGCGGGCTGCTCGCGCAGGGTAGTAAACCCCTCCACATCGTTCCTCGTTTCAGGGCAAGCGGGGTCGCGCAGGCCTGCGGTTTGTAACCCCATTCACTCCGCTCCTTCTAGAAAAATATCCAGATTTGGTAGCTAAGGGTGATTTAGGTAGTGTGCTATACAGTAGACAGGGTGAGACCTAGGTGAGAAACACCCAAGTCGCGTGACCACTGCATTGACCCCCTTAGCTGGATGCTCGGCCTTCCACATAGCCTGCCCTCCACGAAATGCTTTCCAGATTGGCTGATGATGAAGCTGAGCCACGTGGCGAGCAGATCGACAAAACAGGCTCTAGGCGCTAGATTTTCTAGATGGAACCAAAATATTGTCCTAAAAATAGTGACATTTCATAGCGGCAAAAGAAATGTAATGATTCGTTAAGTGGCATCTCCTCTCTCAAGCGGCGTGTCAAGCTAGTTAGGCTCTTTACTTGATATTATCACAATCTTCCTTTCTCAATGCTAGTCGGTGGAAAATTCGAAATGAGTCTTTGCCTTGAACAACCTAGCATCAGAATATCCTTTTCCGATCTATCGATTCCACGCCAAACCCGAACCCCTCACATTCCTCGAGTCAATAGAAGATGGCCGAAGTCATTGGCATAGTTTCGGGCGCAATAACTTTCGCGACTGTTCTTGTCCAGATCAGAAATACTATAACTACACTGAAAGAATGCTATAATAACTTGCGCGATACGCCCGACGATCTACGGAAACTAGTACAAGAGATCGAGCTTTTTGGCTTTATACTTACGGATATCGGGGAGGATTTATCACAAAGTCCGAATCCCGCCTTGGGAAACAACAAACATGCACTGAAAAGCTTCACTCTTTGCAAAGATGCAGCGAAGGAGTTGGACATAGTCTGCACCGACATCGTCCGAGAAATAAAATCTCCTAACCGCTTACGTTGGTCTTTGAAGTCCTTCAGAATTGTCTTACAAAAGGGGAAGATTGAAAAGCATAAGACCCATTTACAACATGCTATTTAGTTGCTAATGCTATCGCAACAATGTTATACACGGTATATTTTTCAAAATCGGCGCAATTGATGTTTTCGAGCTAATGAATATAGAGCAGTTATTCAAGCTCAGCCTTAGGCGATAATCGAAAGGATTGTCCACCATGATATAAGTTGCTCGTGTGCAGGAAACTCTAAGTCCACGACAACTTTGAAAGGTATAGTTTTTCGTTGACTAATAACGAATTCCTCTCACTGATACTTTCGCCAGAGGCAGGGTCTTGTGCTAAACAGACAAAATTCATTGCATCACAAGATAAGAGAACGAAATTTTCCCAGAACAGTAGCTATAGGTGGCGGCTTAGTTTGCCTCGTTAGATCACTTCAGAAGTCCTAGAAGTGGCTGGCACAAAGGCTCTAGGAGGATGGAACTAGTACTTGAGATCTTATAGTATCATTCCTCTTGACTCAAAAGCGAGTAGTTATGTGATGGGTGGAAATATCCAAGAGCTCTAGGACATGTTTGCCTTGAGGCAGGCATCACCTTTTGACCTAATCTACCTCCCAAATAGGAACCTATTCTCACTTCTTGAGGTACGATTTCTATATAGACAATTAACTGATCTAGTTCACTAATAAATAGTCAAGTGGGTCACACGGAGAAATAGAAACAAGATAATAGCTTTTCTCTTAGATCAAGGAACGGATCCGAACTCTTTATTCGACCCACCATTTTGGAGCAAAGTATCCTACGACGGAACCGAAATAAAAATGGAGTCACTCATCCCATCTATGCGTGTCCTATTTCGCCATATAGACATAAGCTATAAATCCGACGAAGAAGCAGCAATCTCTGTCTTAGGCAGGTTTCATGGTACACCGGAAGAATTTTTGTTCTTACAGTAGCACGTTTGCCCTTCCTTCTACCGACTACCAAAACGGATTCGCATTAGAGTGGCCCTTCGCATAGGGGCGTTCTATATCCACAATTGGTCCATACCGGAGCTTTTTCGAGTCATATTAGGAACGGATGTCTTAGAACCCAACGATTTTAAATTTTGTCAAGAGTTAGATTCAACGTTAATCCATTGTGCAGCACGGGGCAGGGGTGTTAGCGAAAGAGGCTTTCGAGAAGGGACTAGCGCTGATAGATCGAATTGTGACGCTTGGGGTGACCTCTGCCATAAGTTTTTCTGTGTCAGAATCGATATTTACGACCTCGTTGACGGCAAAACTCCCTTTCTATCGTTTCTCGATGGATATCTCTCATCATGGTACGGACCCATAGAATTAGGTCCGGCTTGTCAAATTGCCGTTCAAGTCTGGCTGAAACAACTCGAAGTTGTTGGCGTCGATCTAAATAGGTATGGTAAAGCGGAGGAATATATGTGGAAAGGGGGTATCACCCAGCGAGAATTTGACGTGTGGAATATTCCGGAACAAGGGTTCGAATTGCAAGGAATGATTGGATTTACATATGGCTCTTCCCCTGGGAATTGGTATATATGGCTGTCCGAGGAATCTGATTCTTTTGTGGGAGAATTTTGGGATATGATCGAGCGGCCAGTGGAAGTGATGCCAGGTGCCTGGCCGAAAGAATGACCTCTTTATGTACGAAATACACACCCTGCATATGTACTTAGATAAACATTACACAACCTTGGAACGTGATGTGTGAATAATTTTGTACTTTAGTCCTTGGGCTCTCAATGGATTTAATGACTTAAGGTCTAAAGCGCGAAGAAAATGAAGATCAGGTAGAAGGGGGGAGCAGAGACGGAGCAAGCAGTAAGAAACTTAACTACCCTTCTTACTTACTATACAATCTCTATATATTCTACGTAGGTATCATATTAATGTATACTGAGAGTGAAATGGACCATATCACCCCGACGGGGAGAATTGTCATTCCGTTCTCACCTCTCTCACCTATAATATCTGCACTCACCCTAGAGGTCCCAAAAACAGAGAAGCGAGAATCTCCTTGCCCAGCAGGATTGAGCCTAAGACTCCAAGGCTGACGACAGAAGGTCAATGATTTCGTTTTCTGCGTTGAAGTGCCGTACGAACGGTAGAAGCCATATCAATCGGCTAGGAAGATACAAAAGACATGTAAAGGCCATTGATCGATCCCTACTATGTATCAAATCCTATGAATGAAATCCTACCCAACGAGTGCCCTATAGCAAGTGTACTACCTCTAATGGCCGAACAAATGGGTCGGGTCTCAGGAGGAAGCCATAGTACCTTTTCGCCGTTCATAGTTATCCACTGACTCTCCCTTATGAATATCTCGAGACTCGTCTGATCGAGATCAGAGCTACAGTTGCCGTTCAAAGAACGAATAATAAGACATCCGAGGTTCGTGTCAAGACGTGAATCGCCAGAAAACGCCAAATCCGTGACTATTCCATAAGACCTTATGGTTTGCTGCAAATTGCCCGTGGTAGGATCCCAAAGTCGCACAGTCTGGTCGCTGGAGCCGGATGCCAGTAGTCTGCTGTCCTGGGAGAATGTCACTGACCGAACTGGACTTGAATGGCCCTCTAGAGCACGCTGAAAGAGGCCAGTTGTAACGTCCCAGAGACGCACAGTCTGATCATAGGAGCCGGAAGCCAACAGCGAGCTGTCAGGGGAAAATGATACCGATCGAACCCAGTCGGTATGACCTTCAAGGGTCTGCTGCAAAGTCCCCGTTGAGATATCCCAGAGCCGCACAGTACGATCACCAGAGCCAGATGCGAGCAGCCGGCCGTCTGGGGAGAATGCTAAAGACCAAAGCCAATCTATATGGCCCTCAAGTTTATATAATAATGAGCCTGTGGTAGTATCCCAGAGCCGGATAGTTTGATCATCAAAGCTAGAAGCAAGCAGCTCGCTATCCGGCGAGAAGACTATTGACCGAGGCCAATCAGAATGACCCTCGAGGATTTGACGCAGATTGCCCGTGGAGGAATCCCAGAGCCGCACAGTCTGGTCAATAGAGCCAGACGCGAGTAGCTGGCTATTTGGCGAGAACGCCACTAACAAAACAGCGTCTAAGTGGCCTTTTAGATTCCATTTTATATCACCTGTGATAGGGTCCCAGAGTCGCACAGTATAATCATCGGAGCAAGACGCAAGTAACCGGCCGTCAGGGGAAAAAGCTACCGACCGAAGCCGGCCCGAACGGCTTTCGAGTGTCTGCTTTAGGCCATTCATAGCGTAATCCCAGATCCGCACAGTCTGGTCATAGGAGCCTGACGCTAGTATTCTACCGTTTGGTGAGAATGCTAACGACCAAACCGAATTTGAATGGCCTTTAAACTTCTGTAGTAAGGTGCCCGTAGCGGAATCCCAGAGCCGGATGATCTGCTCATTATCGCTAGATGCAAGTACCCGGCTATCATGGGAGAACGTCACCGACCGAAGCCCCTCTTGATGACCTTTAAATATCTGCAGCAGGGCGCCCGTGGCAGGATCCCAGAGTCGGATAGTCTGGTCACTAGAACCGGACGCTAGTTTCCGGCCGTCGGGAGAAAACGCCACTGACCAAACTGAGCCCAAATGGCTTTCGAGAGTCCGCTGTAAGTCTCCCGTGATAGGATCCCAGAGGCGGACAGTATTGTCTCTAGAACCGGACGCTAACACTTTGCCGTTTGGGGAAAAAGCCACGGACCAAATTGAGCCCACAAGGCCCGCGAACGTCCGCTGTAAAGCGCCTGTGATAGGCTTCCAGATCCGTATGGTCTCATCAAATGATCCAGACGCTAGTAAGCAGCCGTCAGGGGAGAAAGCCACTGACCAAACTGAACCTAAATGGCCCTCGAGCGTCTGCTGCAAGGTCCCCGTGGCAGAGTCCCAGAGTCGCACAGTGTTGTCACTAGAACCGGACGCTAACACTCGGCCGTTTAGGGAGAATGCAACCGACCGCACCCAATCCGAATGACCCTCTAGAGCCTGCTGCAAGGTACCCGTAACGGGATCCCAAAGCCGGATAGTGTTATCACTAGAACCGGAGGCAATTCTCTGACCATCAGGGGAGAATGTAACTGAAAAAACCCAGTCCAAATGGCCCTCGAGAATCTGTAGCTCTGCGTTCCATGTATCCTCAACATCTGGAAGACTGCATATATAATTAGGAATTTCTCCTTCGAACATCTTGCGGATAATTGACTTCCGGGGCGCAAACACGAGTCCGGAGCAATAAATTTGGAGGGGGGCATTCTCAGCTATTTGTCGTGTTTTAAGAATAAAACGCTTGGCATCATGCAGAAATTCTGGTATTTCGGGATCTTCTTCGTCCTATATCAATCAGCATGGATATCGCATGGGATACGAACGGAAACTCACAAGGGTCATAGTTTGCAATAGATCAACAACTCTCACAAGTTCAGATGCAAGACCTAGGATGCTCATTGCTTCTATCCAATGTCGGAAATGTTTCTGCAGAAACATAAACGCATCTTTTATCAGAGGAATCGGGTCGTGGCTTTGCATCAGATGCTGCGCCCAAAAGCGACAGGAGTACTGCAACTCTGGGGAAAGACAGTTGCTAATGATTTGAGGATCAATTTCCGAACGTAGGGTGCCATCACTTGTGAGTCCACAAATGTTCCGTTTCAACTTATAACAAATAATAAGACACCTTGTTGCCAAATTTTTATGAACCTGATTTTCATCCACCCATATAGAAGTCTTTTTGCGTGACTCTGGATCTAGGAGGAAGTCTCGAAATGAAAGATGGAAAGGTCGTAGCGGAGTTTCCCTAATCTCGGGTACGCGGATAACGGAATGTAGTGAGTTTAGCCTTCGCTTAATCAAGTTCTCCGAGAGACCGGTAAGTGTTGAAAGTGAGTAGACGGGAAGCGGGCTCGCAAGCACTACAATAGTGCCGAGAATCTCTCGAAACTCCTGGATCAGCTGGGCTTTCTGCTTTTCGCTTTGGTTGTTGAGTACCCGATTAAGTACAGGTAGATACGTTCTGTCCAACTGAGATCTATCGCCCCGATGGGTGAGTATCTCGGTGAGACTCTCTTCGGGGTCCCACTGGGGGTCCTCAAGGACGCGACAAACGGTCGCAGCGAAGATGAAGAGTGGAACAGATAAATTCACAAGCGATTTAATATCCGCACTACTAGGCCACTCGGCAGGTAGAGATCGTTGTTTCCTGATATTCGAAAGCCGCGAATTTAGGAACAAAGATATATCGCGTGCTGTAGCAGCCTCAGGAATATCGTGGAGAACTAGATCCTGATAATCTAGATTTTGGATTTCCGAAAAGCCGACTCGAATAGGTAGATCGGGTCGGCTTGTCAAGAAGATGCGGACGTGCCCAGTGGTTGGCCCTCGTAGCTGTGGTAGTAATTGGATTATGACTCTTATATCATTATCACTTTCACATTCGTCCAAGGCATCAATCACTATTACGGTGGTTGGTGAATGCCTAGTGGATGGTTCAAAGTCAAGAAGTGGTCGGAGAAGCAACTTGTCAAATTGCTCCTTTAACGACTTTGATGCTAGGTTGGGATCATCACTGATAGCCTTTTGGATACCTGGGATAAGTTGAGGAAAGCTAATCGCGAACTGACTTGCAATTGTTGGAAAAAGCTTTGTGGCACTACCTCGGCTTCCTTCTCCCCGCTTGAAAAAGAAATTTGCTCCTAAGATCTTCGCCTCTTTTAAGGATTTTGCCACTGTTCGGGAGATAGTCGATTTCCCTGTCCCAGCCATACCATTCAGCCAGTATATGCATTTACCTTGCGGTGACATGGCCCATTCTGTGATATGATGAAGGAGCTCTGTTCTGGTACCCGGAAGACATTCATCCTCATGTTGATCCATATATGAGTCAAACTCAGCACCAGCGACGATCGGCAATTCGTCAACACCCAATCTCTGGGGGATCAGGTCTGCACTCCAAGCCACACTGGTTAGAAGAGTTCTAAATAGAAATTAGCTAAGCTTTTCCGATGATTTTGACTGAAAGACCTACGTTTGGTCAATCTGCAATGATAAGGTGAAAGATGATTTATATCTCTCGAGACCCTGGATGATTCTATCCACCTCCGTGCGTTTCAAAGGCCATTTGAATGCTCGAACTCCGAATCTTCTCATCATACTCTTTCCTCTCCCAGGATTAATCTTATTTTCCAGGGCCCCGAGGTCCGAAAGACAATCACTGACATTGTTGACTAGCAACGAGCAAGTGGGAAACTTTATAGCATGAGGGCCCTGGAGAAACTCAAAGAGTTTTTGAACAGTCCCTTCTAGGCCCGTAATCGATCGCTGTAAAGCAATGATATCCTCTCGAGCATTCTTCGTCTCTTGAAGATAGCCACCGCATAGCTTCACAATGCTGCCGGCGAGTTGAATGACACCAAAGACGCTAGCTGCTGCTGAAACCCCTTCCATGTGTCAATATGTAATCAATCTCTGGTATTTACTCTTTGAGTCAGAGGTTGAACTATGTTCAATACTGGGGACCTCCAGTCCCACACCAGCCCCTCTCCAGCCCCTCATGTTTGACTTGTTTGTATCCCTATGGAGAGTCACGTATGGCGTATAAGAGTTTCGTGTAAATTACACCAAGGCTGGTCCTGGCGCGTCATGTAAAATACACTTCCTATTTTAAGAACGAGGGGGATCGATGGAATTACTATATGTGGATTAGCGTGTTTCAAGTCGGGGTTCGGGAATGAAAGTCTAAGAGTATAAAGGTAAATCTGATTTCGAATACCACTGTAAGCCATCAATTTGGTATCCAACACAAGTAAGTTCTGTTTCTTACGCGAATATTGGATCATAAAAATTACTTTTAGTACTGGTGAATCGAAGTACATCCATGTTTCTCATATCCAATAGGCTGGAACAGAAAGCAGCGGGGCGAAGACGGGCAACCGCTTAGGGACAAAAAGAGGCATTCCCCCCCCGAGCGGCCTAACATTGGGAACAGCAATTAGGCCACGACAGGTCTTGGGGTAGGAGAAAAGATAGTATGGAATTGATAATACGGATGGTTGCGTACAACTGAGCTAATCTTTAGGCGAGAAAAATCATCTAGGTCAGATCCCAGTTTAAGCTGCGACATCCTCTCCTCTCATCTCGCAGACAGAAGCGAGAGTCAAAGTCGAAGAGGAGAGGCCTTCCTTTTTGACAACGGGCAAAGAAGCCGTTGGAAAGTCTATCCCCGGGCGGCACAGCTTATCCAATTTTTTCCGTTCCTCACTTTTCAGAATCCACTGCTCCTCATCATCTATCATTTGTTTCTCATATGGCCTTGTCACCATCCAAGCCGACCACTTGCGGACAACTCCTATTGCAATATCCTTGGGGGTCTCGAACCATTCCACGTGTGATTTAAAACACCCAGGGCACCTTTTTTCGACTTTCCTCTGGTGCATCAATTCTAGATGCACCAGAGCTTCAACGCGTGATATGTGTGGCACCTGTTGTACATCTGGCGTACTCTCATCCCCATTTTTCGTCGGGAAGTGAACCTCCATATCCTTTTTGCACTGTTTATTCCATTCGCTCAGACGGCGGGATACGTTTCCAGATCGCCCAATTTTCAAGTGGCCAAAGTTTCCACGTTGCCAGAAAATGTAAATCGAGCCCTGATATTTGATATCGCTTTTTTGGAGAGGTTTGGTCAGAAGCTTTGCAAGCTCGTCGGAGATTGCCCTCGATAAAACTTCACTTGCGTAAGGCTTGAAAACTTGGATTGGGTTGACCGGATGCGAATTATTTTGGACAGTTTTGTCCAAATCAGGTTGCAAGGACGCGGATGGTGTTAGCTGAGACAGCGTCGCCCTATCTAGGAGACGAATCCAGCAAACAAGAGCCCATAAACGATGGTTCGCACTTTCAAAAACAGAATCATAGTCTTTGATCTTTGACAATTCTCGAAACTCCTCGCTCCAGGTTTGCATTTCTTTGAATGCGACCTTCCGATGTGAATGACAGAATGCCACTCCTATTAGCTGCTGAATGGCTGGTAGAAGTTCGCCTCGTTCGAGGGCGATCAGGGGTTGGAGTTGCGTTGGAATAGGCTTGAGTGCGCGAAAAACTTTGCACCTCTGTCCTTTTAATGTCCAAGCCGGGCATTTCCTACTATTTGCTCCCAAGTGCTCGAATAATTCAAGAGGCATGATCTTGAGAAGCGACTTTGGAGCCGTGCCCAAGTCCTTTGAGTTCCAACGCGAAAGTATAGATTCAAATTCAATCGACGAGAAAGGTGCTTGGTTGCCTGAACAGTTTATTCTATACCCATCAAGCAAGTTCTCGCCGGTCTTTTCTGCCAAAGTTGGCGGCTGTTCACTATCATATGTGACAGTACTCTGGGCTCTCGAAGCCTTCTCCGATCCGGGATCCTGCTTGACAGCATATACTGCTGTTTCGGGCCCAAGAAGTAGGGTTGCGGGATCTGAGAATTCCGTGATGACCTCACCGATAGTTGGCAGTTTCCATAACGCAGAGCTCGTCTGTCGAGGACGCTTGGTTTTACTTGATCTGAAGAAAACAGAAAGCAAGCTAATGTCCACTGGCGATGAAGGAGTCCGAATCGTCATCTGGTTGGTTCCACCAACGTGTTCTCCGTGATAGAAAACTTCATTTTGTTTCCGCTTGATTGTTGATGTGGAGATGTCCACATGGAGTATGTTGGGGTGTGGAGGGATTTTCAAAGCGTTGACACCAGCTTTATTCCTGCGTCTAGAAATCAAATCAAGTGAAGTATCCTCGGGTTTTGTGGCAAGCAAGCTGGTATGTTTCGTTTTGAGTTGTTTTGATGTTATCGTGTTCAGCTTGGAGGGGGAAGCCTCTTGTAATGGGGACCGGCCTTGGTTCTCAAAAACTATCTTGTGATTATTGGGCTTTTTGGAACCGCTGGTACTCAATGGCCGACTGCCGACATTGTGGATTGTTGGACTAGGTGGAGCGGGCATTGGTAGTACGCTGATCTATAGCACTTTGGTTGTTGCTTATATTCCTTCATAGCCAATTGAGGGGAACAGCGCGATTATAAACCAAATGTAGAAAGAATTCTGGGAACCGGGCAGTGTTTCTAAGTTCGGTTGGAAGGAGCGGCATCCATGTTCAATCCTGGTTCGCCTTATGGCGCTTAGATAGAGGTGGAGATTGGCTGCCTCCATTCTTTGGGGCGGAGTGCATCGCTCGGGAATGTGATGCGCGTAATCCTCGGGTCGCGCCGCACCATCAATGCTCCGCCTACTAGTTCGTCGCATGATCATTGCTAAAGGGCTCTGGAAATAGGTACCTTACGCTGAAGTTTACTATGAGATGTGGTTTTCGCAAACCTCACGCTCATAACAATAGTCGTGAGCGATCACGCACGGATTGGCGGGCCGGAGGTACTTTTGCTCGATCCTTCTCGGCTGCTGTTGCAGATGCCAAGATACCTAGTGTTTTATTTTTTTTTATTAGATCGGAAGGTCAATGCGGCTATCTCGCGACACACCATTCTCAGTCTAGTCGCGCGACGCTACAGCAGCGCGGACCCTAAACTCACCCGGGCGAGATCCACCCGATTACTGGCCGCACATAAGCCACACACCAAATATCCACCTTTGCCAGTCGTTCGGTCTAGCATAGTGGGGAAATAGCTGATCGCCGCTTGGCGGTCGTGCGACTCAGGGTAAGTATGATACTCTAGGCTTCCAATCCTTGTCCCTTGACTCACCCTGGCGACACCGACTCCACTACTGGCCGCACATAGGCTACACACCGGAAGGAAAGTAGCAAGGGTCTGCTCGCCTTACCTTCTTCATACTCCTTAGACCCCTAGAGACCCCAATGATTCCTAGAGGGCCTCTTCGGCCAGATAGCGTTTGCCTCAAGGCTTTTTTTTGCTTAGCACTATAACCGCCTGGCCAATATTATTGTGGCTTCAGTATGTAAATTGATTGCGCATATTGGTAACGGGATGCCGTCATTAAGGTTTTCATTGCGTTTTGGCTTAGAGCTTCTTCTACGCCCATGATGAGAAATCTACGTCGTGATATAAGTCTACTCTTGAAGATCTTATTGTTGTATCGTTAGACATATAGATTCGAAGGAGGAGAGGATATAAAGATGAGAAGTACTGTAAGAATATGGATATTCAGTTTCTGGCTCCCTTCCGGCTTCACAGGCAGATTGTTGTGAGCTTTTATAGACTTTAGTTTGGTAGAATAGTGTACCTGTAACGATGAAGATTTGCGACTAGGAAGGTGACTCGAGATCCCAGCTATGCTAACTTTTTTTTTTCCTTCAGCTTTACGAGTAAACGATCTTTGTCGATAGATTATGGCTGACGTTTCCTTTCATCGCGGGAACAACCATTGGTTAGTTGGGGGTCTTTATAATTCTAGTCGGTCTCTCAGGATCACCAGGAGAAATTGGGACAGGCTCATATGCCGTCGAGTGGACGTTTTTGGGGCTGAAGGTGAAAGTGAGAATTCTCCGCCCAATAACATCTTTACACCCGCCATGGCTAGTCGAGGAACCCAGGAACATGTCATGAGCATGACGCAAAGCTGCCATATTTGAGTGATCGTCTAACTCCGCAGAGCATTGGTGGTAATTGAATCACTTATGAAGTCTTCGTCCGAGGTATCATCAAAGCTTTTACTGCTGCCGCTGTGGTCGGCATCCCGACGAAATAGGTTGTGGGCTCGAACGCATACCGCGCAAATGGTGTAGGCGTGGCGGGGGTACCACCACAGCGACGGCGACAGACATACCTAGGACTACCTGACACGGCGACGTCAGTAGGACAGGAATTCGACTCTAATCCGGTGCGACTTACCTGACGGCCACTAGGGCTATCATTCGGCGAAGGGAAGGATATGCTTCTCCCGTTTGTTGCCCTGAAGGCGAGATCTTGGCAGGACGAGGTGCAAGGGCACGGAGTGCTCTAAGAGTGCTGCAGCGAATCCCGATGCTTTCGCAGCATAGCCTATGCGCACAGTGCTTAGAAAAGAGGGGCTCATTACTCCGTATCTTTGTCCTGACCTTGCAGGCTCAGTGAAGATCATTTCCCTGGCTTACTGACCGCCAAGTTCTGGAAGCCAACCCGGACACTTGAATCTTTGTTAGAAGAGTGCTGTGTAGAAAAAAGACACTAATGATCTCATTGTGCATGATCACGTTTTCCAACGCCAAGAAGTAGATGCCTAGCCCACGCACGCTCAGCTACGCCAGCCCTGGAGTGACGCTCCTGCTGTTGCTAGTAAAGTGGCTATGGTCACCGTGAAAACAAATCACATAACTGGGATGAGGATTTTTTGGATATGCAGAGTTTGGAGTCGGCTTTCTAAGCGCGGCACACTAGATGCCGGCCAAGAGGCGGAGAAACAAGCCAAGGTAAAATTGCAACAATGGAGAAAAGAGGAGTAGTCAGAGGTAAACCCATTCCAGGAAAAGCAACGCGGAAATATTGGATGGTGTTACATTCGCTTACAGGGAGAACAAGCCCTGTTGCTTTGAATCGACATCTCGAGGGTAGTATCCAAATAAATGTACTGATTTTATGCATGCAGATGAGGGGACACGATCACTGGGGCTATCCATGTGACTTAGTTGCATAGGCATAAGCCCTACATCTATGTGAGATGGGTGGGTTTGCTATTACAAATAGCTCAGCTCAAAATTCACTGTCGAAATATGGGATATATTAGAGTAAAGCTTGCGCCCAAATATTGTATTCTTTCTTGAAGACTAGAGACCACCAAACAAGTCAACAAAGGAAGTCAGCTGCACTCCTCAACATGATTTCTTCAAACTTAAGCATTGGAGCTTTGCTTTTGTCCTTTTGCATGACCCTTTTTGCATCACCTATACAGCTATCACGCCGAGGTAAGTCATTCTCACATTGCCGCCAAAAACTTGAAAGACTAATGATTTCACCAGATATCTCCTCTGAGCTACTGGATGACTTCAAACTGTTTGCCCAATTCGCAGCATTAGCCGCCTGTGACCAGAACATCAACTCCACTGGCAATAAGCTGACTTGCGATTATGGACTTTGCGGACTCGTAGAGGCCGACGATACTGAGACTATCGATGCCTTCCACAACAGTACCGCTGCTACAGGCTACGTAGCCTTGGATCACACCAAGAAGCTGATCCTTCTTACCTTCCGTGGGACCATAACTAAGCACGATGGAGACACCGACTTCCAATTTTTATACACTTCTATTGAGGATGTTTGTCCTGGATGCAAGGCTCACTCGGGATTCTGGACTTACTGGAAGAGTGCAGAAGAGCGTGCCATTGTCCAGCTTCAGAAAGCTACCAAGTCGCACCCAGACTATGGCGTGGCTGTAGTTGGACATAGTCTTGGTGGCGCTGTTGCGACTCTTGCAGGGACTGTTCTCCGCCAGAAGGGGTTTACTTTGGATATTGTAAGTCAATCTCGGACAAACCTGTGTAGAAAATTTTGGTTTGCTGACCAAAGATCAAAAAGTGGACGTTCGGCGGACCGAAAGTCGGAAACAAAAAATTGGCCGAGTTCATTACCAACCAAAGAGCTCCAGTGAGCGTATATCGTGCCACCCATGCCTCAGATATAGTGCCGAGACTGCCACTCACTGGGATCATATTTGATTACAGCCAACCTTCTCCAGAATACTGGATCAATCAACCAACTGGCGATCAGGTCACCACTGACGTTGTTAAATATATTGAAGGGATCAACAGCATTGAGGGCAATGCCGGCCAGAGTGGGATTCGCTGGCCTGATCCAAACCACGGATGGTATTTTGGGAACATGAGCATCTGTCTCCCCCCTGCTGATAAACCTGCGGACTAAAATTACTGAAATCCAATCCTAAACACTTGGCAATATATTTACGATAGTTGGTTAACGATACCACCTCAAGAGTCAATTCTCTATATATCAAGACTTGGCAGCTGAACCGCTTTTAGCCGTTATTTCCTTTTTTGGCAAAAACACCTATCTTACTTTTTGCATGGCTATGAGTGACAAAAAAGAAAAGCCTAGAGAATGAGAGATGAGGTTGATATTTTAAAATAGAGCAAAATGAATGCAAGAACTCCAAGATTGCTTTGAGAATTTTGTGTACAGGACATATGATATATGTCAGTTGCACTCTACATAGACTCCGATTGTTGTCAACTCAGCGTAAGATTACCCAAGAGGACGTTTACTATGGTGCAACATTGTGATATTAAAAAATCTCGCGTGGTAGTGATATATTACAAGTCACATCAACTTCTAGTAAGCCACAACCCTGGCTTTTAATCGATCAGGGTGATGAAGAACGAATGATAAATGGGATTTGAACATTGAATTATAAGTGTTCAAACACGGAGAAGATCTCAAAACGCCCAAGACCAAAAATCCTCAAACCCCAATGGGTATTCAAATATCAAACTTTTTCATCTTAACCCAGCAACCATCCCCGCTTGACACAACCAAGGTGAGAACCTGTTTTTCTTGACCCACTGGCATGTTAAATGGCTTATCCTCTGTCATTTCAATTGTTTCAAACTTCTGTAGCAACCGGACGACAGTGTATGCAGCCTCCAGCTCGGCAAATTGCTGACCCAAACACACCCGTGGACCCCTGTTGAAAGGCAAATAGCCCCACCCCACATCTTTCAGAGCGTCATTCTCCCAGCGTTCAGGGCGGAAATAATCGGCATCGGACCCGAAAAGGTCTTTTCGACGGTGCATGGCATAGACACAATATCCGACTGCTTCGCCTTTTCGTACTAGGATTGGAGCTGTTCCATCAGGACCTCCTCCGGTGGGAAGAGTAGTTGTCTTCGTAGCTGCACGTGAGTTCACGGGAACGGATGGATATAATCGGAGAACTGTTGAAAGGAGAGTTAGAGACAAAGGACAGAAGAAGGGACCATCCATTACCTTCTTTGATCACGATCGATAGATACGGTAACTTCTTCACTTGACTGAGTACGGGGTCGGATGCTTCTGAGCCAACTCCAACCGAATTTTCGATTTCGCGCCGAAGCTTGGAAAGAACTTCAGGGTGTTGAACAAGCAGGCGTCTTGAGTGGAGTTGCGTTAGTATTGAGCCGGAACGGTAGTGCGCCATGACTTACAGTGTCCATGTGAGGCAGCACGCTGTTGTGTCTCTTCCAGCCAGAAGGATATTCAGACATTGGTCTCTCAAAACTTTTGGGTTTCTGGTTTTTTCGATAATAGCATCGACGAAAGTGTACGATCCAGTTGAATCGGTCGACTTCGACGGGTCATACCGACCCAAAGCCTTCTGGACAGCACCATCCACGAAATCGTGGCAGATTTTACAGACTCTCCGAAAGTCTTTTCCGCCTATGACCCAATGAAAATCGCCTAGACGTCCTCGCTGCGCAAGGTAGTCCTGGCCTCGGTTAAAAGCGTCTGCAAATTCGGATTCTCGGCCTGTTATTCCTTCGGACTTCAGACTTGGCAGATGCTTTCCAAAGAGCAGGAAGAGGGTGGTCTCAAAGGTGAGACGAAAGAAGAGCGGCTGTAGATCCACAACTCCATCTTCAGGGACGCAGTCGATAAGGGCATCTACAGCAGATTTAACCTGTTCGAAGTTTTCCATCCTATTACTCATGAATTGTGGTCGTAAAAGTTCGCGTGAGTGCTGCCACTGTTCCCCATCTTGCGTAAAAATACCGCTACCCATTAAAGGGTCGAAATGCACCGGTCGTAGCCCGAGATCAAAGTCTGAAGCCCATTCGTCAGCAAAAGGCACACCCTTTTTCTGAATTAATCCTACCAGAAAATTGCGATGAAAGGATAGCCTCGATATTTTGGGGCTCAATTGTATCAATGCCTCGAGCAAATAGGAGCTTCTGCTCAAAGGTATTTCCCGACTGAGACACTACGTCTAGAAAGAATTGCAGAATCTGTTGCCTGCGATCGTACTCGAAAGCTTTGAGGAGCAAGTCAAGCCCCAGAGGCCATTTTGCATTCCAAAGCTTGAGTGGTTGGCATCCATGCTTTGCTGCAAATTGTTCATCGATCTATCAAGTGGGTCAGAATGAGTCGAAATCTTTCTGATCTAAGAATCAAGCAAAGTCCAGATGTCAGCCGTAGTTGAAAAGAAACACAACGTACTCGCCGCTCATTCTGAGACTTTATGAATTTGTATAACAGAGACAGCGCTAAGGAGCCGGCAATGAGGTTGAGAAATAGAGGGATTGAGAATATCATGATGCTTAGAGAGGGTAAGATCCCAAACCTTCAATAATGGACTAGAACTAGAATGAATGTTCGTCTGACAGAGCGGTGGGCGATCATATACTCAATGGTATGGAAGCGAATGGGACGGCTTGTTTTACAACGCCCGTTTCAATATTGATTCAGGCGTGGGGGCCGAAAAGAGTGATATGTCCGCGTAGCTGCAGCAATCACACGCTAAGACCTTGGCAGCTGCAGTAAGCAAACCCCTATCTCAGCTACTGCGCCCCGTGCTCCGTACTGTAGATACAGTAGGCAACCGTGTCGCTCCGAACCTGGTGAGAAGATATGCTTGCTCTAGAAGCTTTCAATTTGTGATCAGAAGAGGGCAATATGGAAATGGACAAAGGTTAGGGCATGTATTTGTTTCTTTGTTCCCCGATGTCTTGGCAAAGTTACGAAGTGCCGAGGCGGATCTGCGGGTGTCGCGGCAGTCCACTTTGATCCACTGGAGACAGCCTCACAATCTTGGCTAAGCAGTCACGTCGAAATTAATCATTACAGCCTACGTGCTATATGAGTATGTCGATCAGAGAGGGGAAGCCCAATAGAAGTAATAATATACCCAGCAGGCTTAAGAGCAAATAAGCAATCCTTAGCACTTGACAATTGGTTCGTCCAAAACGGCAACAGTGGCCATGAATCATTTCCTACCTCCTAGGCCTACTGGATCGAAAAGGCCCACCAGAGGTACTTGAAAATGGTCCCAAAAAAAGGCGAAAGACGAGGCGAAAAAAGAGAGCCTGATTTAGGGCACAAATAATGCATAAGATGGCACACTACCTTTGAGGTTTTGTAAAGAACTTATCCAATACTTCATGGCACTGTGAACGAACTTGCGACCCCTGCTATAGCTTGCAGATAACACTAAGGCATGCCTATAAGATTGCAATGCCACCCATTCCACCACACGTGTCTGGTACATCTTCCAATGAAAAGTGCGTGCCAGATTAGGCTGATTTCATCCATCCGCGTGAAACGAACACCTAATTTCCCCCTCTTCCTACACGACTGCTCCTCCACGGCTTCGTACACGCTATCTTTTCAGTAGCGTCTGGCTAACCCACGTTCCTAAAAATGGATCCGCTTTCCATCACTGCAGGAGCGATTGGGATTGCAGATGTTTGCTTGCGCGTCGTCATTTTCCTGAAAGACATTCCAGGTGCGGTCGCGGCGGTTCAACAGGAGATCAACGCCTTGATCTCAGAGGTGGAATCCTTAAGAGCCGTCCTAGCTTCGGTTGAAGCAACATTTAATGGCGACATAGGAAGCCCCGCAAGATTATCCCTTCTCAAAGCCACCAATCTCGAAGACCTATCAAGGAAATTTCGCACAAGCATCGAGGATTGCTATGACCTAGCAACAAGACTAGAGCAAATGACCAAGAAGGTCTACGGTAAATCTGGCTCTACGGTCATTGGAAAGGTGGATGGGCTTAGGAAAGAGTTCCGTAGGCGCGACAAGGATGCAGACCTTGGAAGGCTACGTATAGAGCTCTCCGCTGAAAAGCACAACCTGACACTACTGCTTAATGGAATCAGTCTGTGAGTTTGAGCCTGCTAGGCTGATAGAATGGCACTAAAGCTCGTGCAGGCACAACCAGAAAGCTTCCCAAGGAACCTTGAATCAAATATCCAGAGATATAGGTTCACTCAAGGCAGAAATTGCAACACTTGAGAGTCGCCTAGCGCCGCCTGGAAGCGATGACCAGGACAATGAGCAGAAAGAACCCACAAAGTCGTCGAGGATCAGGCGACTACAAAGATCCATCCGATCAGTTGCCACGGCTCTCTCTACCACCACTCCAAATGAGTTTTTTGACATACCTCAGCCTGTCAGCAGCTATTACACAGGTCGCGCCCAGTACTTGGAAAAATTGCAGAATATACTTGTGGCCTCCACAGCCGACGAGCAGGACCCACAACAGCAGCGTTTTGTTGTCTACGGCATGGGGGGATCGGGAAAGACACAGTTTTGTTGCAAATTTGCAGAACACAATCGAGAGAGGTACTTGGATTTTTCGCCTTCCTTGTCAGAAGCCTTGCTAATTCCTGCCATCTTGAAGCTATTGGGGCATCTTTTGGATTGACGCCACATCGCATGAACGGATCAAGCAAACCTATGCAGAGATCGGAAAACTTGGAAAGGTAGAGGCAAGCCACACTGCTGCAATGCATTGGCTATCCAACCGAGAAGACAGATGGCTCTTGATAATGGACAATGCCGACAACCCGCGAATTTCACTCGACCAATACTTCCCCAGAGGCGATAGAGGTCATATCATCATAACAACTAGAAACCCATCCCATAAGGGGTATGGTAACATTGGGCCTCGTTTTTTCAGGTTCGAAGATTTGAGCAATGATGATGCCAGCGACCTTCTTCTTCGTGCGACCACATTAGCGCGACCATGGGACGCTGATTCTTCGTCATGGGCGAGAGCAATCACTCGGCAGCTTGGCTGTCTTGCACTTGCTTTGATCCACGCCGGTAGCGCGATTCGAAATGGTTTGTGCACGCTGAAGAATTACTTAGCCTTCCACGACACCCAATGGGAGCACATTCGCAGTATGCGGAGATTATCTGTTGACGTTGACGATGAAGAGAAGTATTCGAGTGTACACGCTACATATGAAATCTGCTACAATGGAATTGAAGACAAAGGAACGCAAGAATCAAAGGATGCGATTCAATTGCTCAATATGTTCTCATGCCTCTATCACAAGAAAATCCGATTCGATATTTTAACGAAGGCGATCACCAACTGTGAGATAGAAAGAGCTCAGCGGGAGAAGGCGACACAGGATGGAAAAGGCCAGCTATTAGACTGGCACCAAAGGCACAATGAACTACGATTATTCCTACTGGTTTATCTCACGAAGGAACATGGCCGTCCTATATTGCCTGACTTCATACGACAAGGCCGAGAATCAGAGACTCTCGACGTACCAAGAATACGCTATGCACTAAAAGAGCTGACCCAAATGTCTCTCATCACGCATGACGGATCTGATGACAGCTATTCAATGCACCCTCTAATACATGAATGGGCACGCAAGAGGCCGGGCATGAGTACGTCAGACCAAGCTGTTTGGTTACACGCTGCAGCTACAACGCTGGTCCACTCACTTCTCATCCCACCTCTCGGCGAGGCTGAAGCTGAAGAGCGCTTTCGAATCAGTATTCTCCCACACGTTGATCACGTACGTAAGCTACAGGAAACAGCGAAGCACAAGATCTTTGAAAAACGTAAAAGCCGCAAGCCCAGACTTTTTGGACTTCTCAATTGGCTCGACTGGCTCTGGGTGGAATCAAACTTTAATCAAGCACAGGCATTGCGTGACGCAAAGTTCAGCATGGTATATGTCCAAAACGGGCGTTGGGGCGTTGCCCAGGAGCTTCAGACGGCAGTGAAGGATTCATTCGAGCAGAACCTCGGCCAAACCCATTCTCTCACTCGGCGGATAACACTGGCCCTGGCAAGCACATATCACTACCAAAGTCTTGTGGATGAGGCGGCGAGTCTGCAAGAATCAGTCTTGAATGCATGCATTGCCTCTTTAGGGCCTGCTCACGTTGACACCCTGAAAACAATGGACCTCCTTGGTCAATCGAGATGGCAGCAAGGAAGATTCAGCGATGCCAAAGTACTTCAGCAGAAGGCCGTTGACGGACTCCTCAAGTTACAAGGCCCAATGCATGTGGACACACTCTCTGCAATGGGTTACCTTGGTCGGACGCTGGGCAAGTTCTACGAAAATTATGACAAGGCATTTCAGCTACTTGAAGACTCATATGCTGGGTTGAAAGAAATCCAAGGTCCCGCACATTCAAGGACCTTGGAGGTGAAAGAAGAAATCGCTATGTTGAATCTACAAGTTGGGACCAAGTTGTCCGTTGCGTCAGGGATGATGCAGGAAGTGCTTGAAGCTCGCAAGAAGACTATGGGCAAAGAGCACCCGTTCACTCTCTTTGCAATGGCAAGTATGGCAAGATTCAATATTGCACTGGGTCGATACAACGACGCAGAAGATCTGCTTCGCAGTGGACTAGAGATTGCGGATCGAAACCTCGGTGAAGATAACCTTGGGACGCTCATGGGAAGGACCTGGCTGGGCACTGTTCTTGCCCATCAATCCAGATTTGACGAATCAGAAGCAACACTTCTTCGGGTGATGGAGAAACTGCGAAATATTTCGTCATATCGCGGTGAAAATCATCCCGATCGGCTGAACGCGATGATCCAGCTGTCATTGTGCTATAGGCTGCAAGGGCGATATGACGAAGCCATACGGCTCTGTGATCGGATCATCGAGGGCCTTCAGAAGATCAGTGTGACGCAGCATCCGCTTGAAATAAAGACAAGAGCGGATAAGCGTGAATTGATTGAGCTGAAAGCTGCCCGAGTCGGGGGAAATGAGCAGTGACACTGTACCGCAGCCCTTTGTAATATATTACTGAACATTAAACCAACAAGACGGCTCTTAGTTGTACTAATTACCAATGAGACGCCAGTTGAGCAGCCTGCAGTAGCTGTGTGAGTTGATGATCTCTCGAACAAGGGCGTGCGTGCAGTTATCCCACGAGAGAGTTTGGTTTAGCTTACGCCAAGATGAACCATCACAAATATCTTGGCTATATATATGTCGCAGAAGAGAAGCTTTGATCAGTAAGGTGACTGAGGCGCGCCGTGATGATCGCTTGGCTAACGACGTCCCATCCCGAGCGATTGCCATGTATCATCGAACATGGCACCTGGAATTAATTGTATCCAAAGTTTGTGTGAACGAATGGCACAACTCTAATACGTTCCCTTCTCCAATCAGTATGCCGATGAAAAGGTCATCATGGAAGTGGAGGCTCTGCACCTGATACGCAAGGAAACTACTATTTCGGTGCCAGAAATTTTAGCTTGGGGAATCTCTGAGTATAGCCCTCTTCACCATTATGAACTTTATTCAAGGCACACGGCTATGTGAACCCTTTGTTGGATCCGACTCCAGACCACTCAACGAGGACATCGAAGACAGCAAGACAGAGTTCTTTAACAAATAAATGGCGATTTCATCATCTTGGTAGCTTTCTAATTGCCGTCACCGGTGCAGCTGGACTAAAACGGCCTTTGACCTGGAAGGTGCATGATATTCTGCGTACGGGATGAGTTGATTTATTCGGTATGTTGCGAATCTATATTAGAGCCATTCTATACTAAAATTTAGGAGGCGAACGCAAACCAGGCTTCACAACTACCTCAGGGTATTTCGAATAAGTTCTTCAACAAGACTGGTCACAATTGCGCCATCAGCCAAATTCAGATGGGGCCTAATTGCGGCAAAATCTGAGTACAAAACAGTCAAGACAACAGTCGAGGTTCTACAGACCTTTCCCCCAAAGTTTATGAAAGCGGAATATGACAGAGGCTCATTCACTTGGCTAGGACCCAGCAGTTGCTATTATGGAAGACACCGAAGAAATTCAAAGATTTGTGGCCCGAAAGATGATTGATACTGAAGCTTATGATGACATCGTCGACAAGATTGAAGAAGAGAAAGCACTCAAGGATGAGGAGAAACTAACAACAAAGGAGTTCGTGACTCATGCACGAGCAATATTAGTGGGCATTAAAAACGAAAACACTAGCAAGGAGCACAGATGAAAGGTGATCCCTTGGATAGCAATTTCTCCGCCACTGACCAGGCTGCAAAGAGCCAGCTGGCCATTCTTTTCATGGCTCACTGAGTATATCAAAATTTTACAGTTTTGTCTGCTCAAATCTAATGCGGACTAATATGGTGCTTACTATATACCTGCTAATTCACACTCAAGCCGCATTGCTTCATCTAAAGCGGTCATAAAGGATTCTCCTTCGCCTGCCTTCAGCGGAAGTAATGGCCTTCGTGGAGCAACCCCATACCCGTGCAGCTTGTTCAAAGCGTACTCTAAGAATGATTAGCCTAAGACCCTTCAGTGAGCTTTAAAGATGTGCTCACTCATTGCCCGAATACCACCAGGAACCGCAGCAGCATCAGCCCTACCAAGAATCGCTTGAATTCTTTTCGCTTCTTTCCGCTCGGCCACAGTTGGCGACTGCAAATTCAACAGAGACCACAGCCGCATGGAAGCTAATGGAGTAAAGTTAGAGATACCACTAACGGTGCCATGACCACCACATTGCATCCATGGAGTGAGGTCAGCAATAAGGCCGTCAAGTAACAGGAATGGAAATCCCCGGGTCTCATTTATTGTGGAGTCTCCTGAGAGCAGGGCGTCCAGCCTGATCAGTTTCCCGATGCTTCCACCACACCTGCTTTTATCAGCCGTGTGCTTTCAATTGGGGAAGGCTAATAGGAATATTCAAACTCACGTTAACTTCACCCCACACAAATTGGTTGTTCTCTTCACTGCTGCACTGATAACATCTGACGACATATCCTGGCCGCCAGCGTTCGAGGGGAAGTTGTACAATAACAGAGGGATCTATCACCTCATCAGCAAAACTATATATAGAGTGTTTCGGATAATCCTTACCGGTGATGCTTGACAAATTTCAACATAATATTGAATAACTTGTTCCACATCGGCGTTTAGACTTGCAGCGTAATAAGCAGGTAGAATCACCATTCCTGCATCTCTGTTATTGTTAGAGTCAAATTATTCTGGAAATTCAGTATTGGCTTACGCTCCAGCCTCTGCGGCAGCTTTTGATAGACTTATAGTTTCTCTGGTACTGAGTCCCCCTACACCAGCCAGTATTGGTGTAGATTGCAGCCCTGCCTCATCCAATGTCGATCTGATGAAGCGGATAATAGCAACACGCTCCTCGAAGTCCTGGAAGAGTCAGTACAATAGCCAATTATTACGATGAAAAAGACATAGCCTACTAGGTGAACGGCCTCTCCTAATGATCCCGCACATACTGGTACTGGATGGGTGCTCTATTAGAGGGTATGCCTTCACAATACGGGCTCATTGACTTACCCATGCCACGAGTGGCCATAGCTGTGATAGGTGCGAGATAAGTGTTTGCCCTTGATCTAGTTCTTGATGAAAAAATTTTCTTACCTAGCAGATGTTTTTTGTAACTGTCATAGTCGATTTCTTGGTTTTCATCGAAAAATGTCGGCAGCGGCACGTATACCCCGGGAAGGAGGGGCCGTATACTATCTGTTGCCATTATAAGGATACCACGAATCTTCAAATACAAGTCACCAAATCCAAGATGTGAAACTTAGGTCGCCAAATTCATGGTTCAATCTTTCTTTAACTACGTCTTCGTATGTACGAGGGGAGGCGCGAGTGTCGGGAAGATCGGCATTCAGGCCGCTGATAAGAAAAGCGCGGGATATCCCCGCTCAACCCGCATTATTGTCGACCGTTAGGAGAGGAGCCTTATCACCAAGATAATATGTTAATTTAGGCTTTGTGTGGCACTTTGTAAATCAATCGATGCAATTAAATAGAATGAACTGTCCCTATTTTGTAGAACTCAGATCAGGCCCTCGACAAGAAGCTACGCTATTACTATGCACGAGCAAGTAAGGGATATATATTGCCTCATTGGACAGTATGCATGGATGTTTCAATACTAATAAAGATTATAGAAAACGAAAGAGTTGGCTTATGATGCCAATGAGATTCCCGTTGGAATGGGAACCGTCCAGGATACAGGCAGCAACCATGGCCTGCAACGGCAGCTCAAGGTATGTCGACAGCCTTTCGGTAGCTAATGAAATTGACTGACGATCCACTTAGCCCCGGCATCTGTAAGTGTCATAACTCTCCATTCTTAGTCCGAGACGGCTCCTAATATAATTTAGACAAATGATTGCCATTGGAGGTGTCATCGTAGGTTCTCTTTCTCTGGCTTCGTTTTACTTACTGATCAATTATTAGGGTACTGGCCTCTTCCTGGGCACAGCCAGTGACCTGAAGAATGGCGGTCCTGCTGGTCTTCTCATTGGATACTGTATCATGGCCTCGTTGCTATACACGGTGATGGTAAGGAAGATGTCCTCTCTATCTCGGAACAAGGGCTAATAGAAAATCTCAGGTTGCTCTCGGTGAAATGGTGTCACAATTCCCTATTCCTGGAGGTCAGTTTGCTTTGGCTGGCCGGTTCAACTCACCTGAGCTTGGATTCGCTATGGGTATTTTGTTCTGGTATAAGTATGTGATGTTTCTTCCGGCTTTCTTAGCGTCTGAACTTATGAACTATCTAGTTACATTGGTACGACCATTCAAAATAATGTCGAGAAATAAGCACAAAACTAATTTGTCCAGTTGTATTACCGGCCGAAATTTCTGCAGCCGCCGTTCTAGTTACCTTTTGGACCCCGGCAGGCCAGGCAGACTCGACCTGTTCCACTGGGATTTGTAACAACGCCATGTGGGTCGGGTTGATGCTCATAGTTGTGGTAGGGAGGTGTCCAGATGATTGAGTCGAAGAATGAGATTAATGATAATTTAGTTCGCCGTCAATTATGCCGGAACCCGGGTCTTCGGTGAGATGGAATTCTGGTTTTGCTCCATCAAAGTAAGCTGCAAAGCCTGGATTTTGAATATGACGGAGATGATGATTTCTATAGGTTGTGACTATCATTGGCCTCATCATCACCGGTGTTATCATCAGTGCCGGTGGCGGACCTAACCACGAAGCTATTGGGTTCAAATTCTGGCATGAGACTGGGGGTTTCGTGCAGTACGATGGCATTGGTAAGCCTGACTATTCAATTCTTCGACGTGGAACGGTATCTTACACATTTCAAAGGTGGCGCGAAAGGACGATTTCTCGGATTCTTCAGCGGTGAGCCCAAGTCCAAAGAACTGCAACTCCATGCCAAGTTGCTCATCAGTTCACAGTTCTGATCAACGCTGCGTTTGCTTTTATTGGGTCTGAGATTACAGCAATTGCAGCTGCCGAGACCTCAAACGTAAGATTATTTGAACCCAATTGCTAGTTCATGTCGCTCACAATGAATGACAGCCACAAAGGAACGTTCCGCGAGCCATCAAGAGTGTTTGGATTAGACTTGTGCTCTGTGAGTCAAGATGAGTGATTTTTTGAGTATCAATGCACTAATCCATTTTCTCTCTTCAATTTAGTCTATATTTGCAGTGCCTTCCTGGTAAGCATTCCATGCTAGATAGTAACTAGCACTTCGCTAACAATCGCAGATTGGAATCCTCGTTTCTCCATCCGATCCCTCTCTAAGTCTTGCTTCCACTGCAGCCAAGAGTCCCTTTGTCATTGCTATTCAAGTAATCTACCGTGAAGTATTGCATCAAGAGAAATGGGCTAATATTCGCAACAGAACTCTGGGATTTCGGTCCTTCCCTCCATCATAAACGCAGCCCTTCTCACCAGCGCGTGGTCTGCCGGCACTGCCGATCTTTTTGTTTCGTCAAGGACCCTTTACGGACTGGCAGTCCGCGGACATGCCCCAAGGATCTTCCTCAAGACCCGGAAAGATGGCTTCCCTTGGGTTTGCTTCCTCTTCTGCGGTGCTTTCTCCTTCCTTTCCTTCATGGCCGCCGCCCACGGAGAAGCGGGCAAAGTGTTTGGCTATTGTGAGTGGATACCTTCGGGCCACGCTTTATCAAATTGTGGACTAATTCCAAACTAGTCTCCAATATGACCGCTATGTGCGGTATGATCTCCTGGACAGGAATCTTGTGGACTAGCATCCGTTGGAACAAGGGTCTTAAGGCACAGGGCATCGATCGGAAGACACTGCCCTATATGGCACCTCTTCAACCTTATCTATCCTACTGTAAGCACCAACGGAAATTGAATTCTAGGTGTGAAAGCTAATGGTCGTGATTGTTTAGATGGAATCTCAATCTGTGTTATGGTCATAATCTTCGGCGGGTTTGGTTCATTCAGTGAGTACTGACGATATCAAGCACTCTGTTGCCATGTACTGATTCATCTCAAAGTGCCTACGTTTGATGCTTCCTCTTTTGTCACGACGTACTTTCCAATTCCTTTTTTCGCCGTGCTCTTCTTCGGATACAAGTTTTGGACCAAATCAAAGATGGTCAATTATGCCGACATGGACTTTATCACCGGCTCTTCGATTGAGGTCACCGAGAAGGTAAGTTCTCCGTATCGTAGAATGGTTCAGTTCACTAAATTTTACTGTTCAAGGAGAGTGACCAGACTCTATGGCAGAAAATTTCCGAGAGAATCTAAGCGACAATTTTGTGGCGCGACTTGCAATTTATGACGGACTATATTACCTTCTTTTATTTCAATTTATATGATAGACAAGTTTGCGAATTCACAATGTTCCTACCCGTTAGTCCTTTCTTATTCCAATGTAGCTGGATCTGTATGTATTTGCCCCCCTAGATGATAAGCCCTAAAGTCACCGAAGCTTGATTTAATGTGGCCTTGGTATGAAGATGTGGGGCGATACGAGAGACCCAGTTAGGCGATGTTGCCCGATTGTAATCCATATCTCGATAGCGATAACATTCAAGGTCTATACCCCAAAGAGTAAGACCGTGGCGTCCTTCGGAAAGATAAACGGCACCGACCGATGGCAGTCGGCTCGAGCGCCGCGTGTCCCGCATGCTGTCCCATTACCCCGATTTGATGCAGCTGTTTCAATTCGAAATCAACCGTACTATTGAACAGAAAAATGACACCCAAATTCGACTTGGCAGTCATCAATGGTACAATTGTGACTGCCAGCGACATCAGGTGAGAGCTCGGATATTGCTATAGTCAAATTGCACGGTCGCTAATGAATTATAGCGAATGTTGTATTGGAGTCAGAAATGGCAAAATTCAATCGCTTGCAAATGAATTCACGGATGATGAGTTGTCAGGTGCTGAGATCATAGATGCTGAGTACGTGTTATGCGAATCCCATGGAGCAGATACTCAACTCACATGTCCAATACAGAGGTGCCTATGTAATGCCTGGTGGGGTTGATGCACATGTCCATTTGTGTCAAGATCTCAAAACAGGTAACTCGACCATATTAGTCAAGAGAACTGTTCCTGAATCTTTTAGGACCTCACGGCCTGGGCGGCGAATGCTCTGATAACTTTGAGACCGGGTCGAGAAGCGCTGTTGCTGGTGGAACTACCACAATCATTACCTTTGCCACACAAACCAGAGATGAGGAAGACCGTAGTCTCTTGACAGTTGCTGAACGGTATAATGCCCGTGCTGAGGCGACGGGTAGTTACGTGGACTATGGATTCCATATCATTATTGTTCGCAATGACGCGGATATCCTGCAGAATGAGCTACCAGTCTTGATGAAAGAATGGGGAATCAGCAGTTGCAAGTTATTCTTGACGTATGCAACGCAGCGTTTGACCGACTCTCAAATGTTGGATGTTATGTTTGCGGCGAGGAAGAATCGTATCACAACAGTGAGTCCTGTTTGTTAAAAGAATACATATTATGAGTGGAGGCTAACCCGGTGGTAGATGATTCACGCAGAGAATGGGGATATGATAGAATGGCTAACTGGTATATTTTCTGCTGAAGGATTTGCGACAAAACTGACTGTTATACAGAGAAGCTGGAGAGCAAGGGGATGGTGGGTAAGTAATTGTTGACTGCAATCCGAGTTCTGCCTGTTAACTTGTACCAGCTCCGTACTATCATGCCTTGTCGCGCCCTCCTATTGTTGAAGGAGAAGCCACCAATAGAGCAATTGCACTGGCACAGCTCATCCAGAACCCTATCCTATTCGTCCACGTTGGCTCAGTAGTACGTAGAGTCCTCTACAGAAAAAAAGAAAACTTTGCTAAATTAGCTAGCTTGGTGCCGCCAATGTGCGTCGTGCTCAGACAATGGGACTGCCAGTCTATGCAGAGACATGCCCTCAATACTTCCATCTGACCTGGGATGATTTGGTAGGTGAACCGGACTGGATTGAACGGGAAATCGCTTACTGTATAAGCAGAAAAGGTTCCATTCGCCAACCTGTTTCGAAAACAGTAAGATGATCTGCTCGCCACCTCCACCTCCTACTACTGCTGATCATGGGGAACTATTTGTGTGAGATTGGCTGGATTGATTACAAGGCATTCGGGGCTAACTGGTAAAAGCGGGCTTTCAAACGGAACATTCACGATCTACTCATCTGATCATTGCCCTTTCCGCTACGACCGACCTCACGGGAAACCATCCGGTGTGCTAGAGCATGGACAAAGTATGCAAGGAGAAAAGCCATGTGACGGCGATGAGTTACAAGACCTATTAAAACGGAAAGGCGGAGCATTCCGCTTTATCCCGAACGGTATTCCGGGAGTGGAAACGAGACTACCATTGCTCTATACAGGGGCGTTGGCTAGTGGCCGTATTACGCCCCAGAGATTTGTTGAACTGACATCGACAAATCCAGCCAAATTGGTAACTATATAACTGCTTTTCGGACCGATTGAGCCGATGTTGACGTACCGATAGTATGGCCTATACCCCAAGAAGGGGGCATTAATGCCAGGATCAGACGCCGATTTTGTGATCGTAAGATACGAACCCTTACCTTGAAGCCCCGTCGATATATAGATATTGACCAACCATGCTTCTAGTGGCACCCAGAGAAGAATTTCTGCCCATTCAATCTTACTAATTCTATGCTACATCACAATGTTGATTGTAAGTGCGATCGAGGGCACTTTTCTAGCACGGCGAAGCTAACCTTTACATTCGAAGACACTCCATATGAAGGAATGAAATTTGTGAACTGGCCTCGATATACCATTCTTCGTGGTAAGGTTATGTGGGCAAACGGTAAGATACTTGGTGAGGTGCGAGATGGAGAGTATGTCAAGCGCGGGCCTAGCCAACTAGGATCAGTATCCCCCAGAGCTCATCGCGATCCTCGTGGAGTTGCCGATTGGCTTTATGAATGAATTGGAACAACCGCTATAGAGTGCGCTATGGAAAATAATCTTCACAGAAAATAGTCGACTAGTGTCAAAGTTCTGACTGCCAAAAGCAATAAAACCATAGCCATAGGCCATACCAGTTCTCGGCATACTGAGTGGATCCACTGAACACGAACATGGGTACCGGCAGCGAATTAGCGCCCGAGACGTTATCATAATAGCCAGTATCGCAGATTGGGTATTTTCTTGGATTGGACTCTTGATACTCTGTAACGTGTCTTGTCTTATTTCCTAGCAGAAAAGCACGCAAAATGTCCTTTAATGCCAGCTGGCCAGACAATCCGAGTACAGATGATGAGCGCCCCACCAAAGTCCGTCGCATTGCTCGAGCTTGTCTACAAGTGAGTGCTGCATTCTACCATCCAAGGCTGATACTAAATAAGACGAAATTAGTGTCGTGCACGAAAGCAGCGTTGCTCGCCATCATCCGAAGAAACCAATTCACAATTGCCATGCAAGCGATGTCAAAGATTGAGCATCACTTGTTCATTTGAAACAGATAGAGCCCCGACATTGGATGTGACTCAAAGTCCATCGAGTTTAGTACAGCTGGTGATTGAACTTCAAAATAGGTAGAACCAAGATTTATCACTCATTTGGAAAGCAGGCGCTAAAGTCAGAGGCAGACTCAACCAACATGAGACGCGGATCTTGGAGCTAGAAACTAGAAAGAGTCCATTCGACGTATCAAGCAAGGAAAAGCCCGGAGATATTCAACCTCAATATCAGCAGGACCTCTCGCCAAACCAAAGCGACATGTATAATTCCCCCGAGTCAAGTATTGACGGGATTCATCTTGGACCTCCTATTGCAACACTACGATCACTACGAGTACTTGCGGAAGAAGGGGTTCACATTTCAACTCCAATAGCAAGAAAAAACAAGAGCATCTATGATCCTACCTATCAGGGGCTACTTTCAGTCAAGGATGTCCAGCGAGCAATAGAAATGTATTGCACCACCACTTGCGGCAATAGAGTCATCTGCTCATATGAAGCAGATTTTTCCAGCATTGCCATGCCTCAGCGCCAGTACTAGATGAAAATATTCGCTATTCATGGCCAGAGTTTCTTGAAAAAAGCCCAACACTCATACTAGCAATATGCTCAGTTGGTACTCGGTTTTGGAACACGGGGAACGTGAGGTGAGTGGCAAGAATGGTCAGGTAAGTCTCATAGACCTAGCTGATACTCTCGTCTAGTGGAAACTCTGTGGGTGGCCATCCTAGATTTCATGATCTTACAAAATCACTTGACAAAGCGGTTTCCAGACTTCTACTCCGGCCCACTCCGTCAGATGTCACATTAGACTCTATCTGTGTGCTTCTTCTCTATGCGCAGTGGATGCCATGCAGTCGCGAAGACGAAGAGGATGAGAATCTTCAGCAACCCATTGCTCACCAAGCACCGAAGGCCAAGAGTCGATACAATGAGATTAGCGCTTGGGTTGTCCTAGGATTAGCAGAACGTTATTCTGTCCTCCTTGGCCTCGAACAATCAGCCATATCCATTTTCAAAGACCCAAACAAAATACCATCCGCAGACGAAGTTAACAAAATACGCGTTTGGTATAACTTGCTTACGTGTAACTTCAATCTCATGCTAACGTCTGGTTTACCTGCATCAATTGATCCTACACCATCGGTCCAGGTAGCGCAGAATTGTGTCGTGAGCGAGTTGATGCGGTCCCCTGCCGATCTTCGGGTTAGGGGACTAGTAGAGCTTGTCGGAATTGTTGACCTTGCGATGAATAGTTGTGGGGATAGATCCGGCCGTCAATTACAGCCGAATTGTCTGGAGCGATTGAATAGTGATTTAGATGACTGGGAAAGGTATGTCAAACTGCGTGGAAGCCTCATTCTTGAATTTCCTACTGACTTCTCCGTAGAGATTGGTTCTTCCGTTTACGTGGGTTCATTTGATGCTCTAATTTGCCACTTATTAACACTTTTCAGAAAGAACGGAATCTCACTATAACCATTTACCATTCACCTCAGCCCGGGTATGCAGTTAGCCATGTGCATTTATACGTGGACAATATATTCTAACAACTAAAGCAGTGGTATCGACTCTCACTAAATTGTGCGTCACTCGCGCCGCTGTTTTCATCTCCACGTGTGCACCGAGTGCCGAAAAATCAAATTCAGGAACATTTTCAACCGGCACTGTCGATTAGCTTGACTGCAGCAGCTCAGATCATAATGTCGCAGTCGAGCTACAAAGCAGACCTGGTCTTCTCACTGGACTCTCAGAACATGTCTAGCTTCCCCGAAGCGGCATACCACGCGGATCGTGGGTCTCTCGGTCGACTATACTATGCAGTGGACTCGACGTGGATCTCGCATACATTTGCTATCACGTTCCTTTCACTCTGCTATATAAGAGGCGTCATAGATGGTGAGATATTAAGAAAATCGGGTTTCCAGTCCCCCGGTTGCTAATGTTTTGGACAACAGAAAACCTCCAAATCTGTTACCAGCCTTCCAAAATAGAGAGCGGTAAATTGTTTACACGTCTCCCATCATCATCATGGTCGATTCTCGCCCGACTGCTTCGACTGGCAGAAGAAATATTCGACAGTGTGAACCCAGCAACGAGCTTTCATTATGCGCACGACTTCCAAGCCATTGTCCACTACGCAGTCACTTTGGTACTGGTCTCCGAGAAGGACAATCAGCATCTGGAGGAAAAAGAGATTGATGACATCGCAATTCAGTCATTACTTAATTTGATGAACGATTCTGGCGTTGATTGGGCAGGCAATCTTTTTGGAGAGTCGCTTGACTTCCCTGAGCTGAGTATGGACGGGATGCTGTGATGACAGAAAGCCCGGGGTTATAGCTTTGCGGAATCATGCCTAAACAGAATTTTAACATTTAATTGGTTATCATGAATAATCGTTGGCTATACGCTCCCAAGAATGAGCTTACCTATCAGGATCATCCAACTCGAACAAGATATTCTGAGCCCCCTCCCAAAGTACCAGCTCGCCCAGCGCCCTTAGCTTATCATCCCCTTCAGTGATAGTCAGAAAATGGTTTGCTGCCAACGGTCCCATATTGCTTGCAAATGAGACCCCGCCGTAGCAGAACAGAATCTCCGTTTCGGAGATACCACCTGGGTACAACAAAATCTGACCCGCAGCAGGGTGAGCCGTATGATTCTCAAAGGAAAGTCCGAAATCGGTTTCTCCCAATGGAATCCACATTCCTTCCCCGCTCCAGCGAACATGAATGAGCTTTTGGCGGTATGGGAGGAGAGAGCGGAACAGCGCTACCGTTTTAGGAGCCGATGATTCAAACGTCGCGCGAAACTGGTACGGTCCGGCTGTAATTCGAACGGTAGTCATCTCTTTGATATGAGTATAAAGAATCAGTCAACAATGAGTAAGTGTTTGAATTAAAAATCCACATTGCTAGGCTCTCTAAGTAGCCCTACCCAGCGCGTCGGCATTTTCGGGGTCGGGCCGCGCGGGCTTTGAGCCGTCTTATCAGTGCATATTGACCAGGAGCGATATCAAAAGCATGGAAATTCTCCCGAGCTCAGATACAGTACGACTCCCTTCGATGGCTGATAATATGCATATTTTGGTGTACGATAACACCTGTCCGTCTCGGACCGGCACGCAACATATCATCCAAGAAGGCTTATTGACTGTCCACCCGATACTATATTCGGAAGATTCATCTTTTGGCGCAGAGATATACGGCGTTGACTGGAGCAAGTATGTTCCAGGAGACGTTGTCACGCAGGTGGGTTAATCATGACAGAAGACACAAGAAACCATTGACATGACGCTAGTTAATTGCGCTGCAAGACAAGTATGGAGTACTGATCTTCCGTAAAACTGGATTAGATAATGGTCGACATATTGCATTTTCGCAGCAGCTGGGTGACAAGCTGGAAGTCAATCCGTTCTTTTATGGACGAGAAAACGACCGGTTGGGGGAGCCGTTACTATTCGACGTGGCCAAGTGAGTCTCCTGCGTGAGAAATAATACATGAAGGTCAGGATCTAATGAGAGCAGCATCGAGCTGGATGGCTCACTGGTGAAGATGAATAGTCGCAGATATCATCACAGTCTGGGAAATGCATTATGGCACACGGTAGGCTTACTCTTCCCGGGCAAGACAAATGGACACTGACCAACTTAGGACTCATCATATCACCAACAACGCTCCAAGTATTCGATACTGCTCTCTCATGGGAGCCCCGTCGAGGGTGGGTCGTGGACCCATTTTGCAGACACACGTCGTGCGTACAGTGAGCTTTCTGAAGCGAAAAAGAAGGAGATTGAGAACCTAGTTGTTGAACATGAGTAAGCCATTTATCTCAAAGACCCTAACCTTTGAAGAATGATCCCCAACTGACCTAATCAAGTCTCTGGCATTCTCGAAAACTGGCGTCCCCGGCTGTGTTTGGCAATCCTCTTCCTCACGAACTGGCAGCCAAGCCGCCAGCCTACCATCGTCTGGTTCAAATAGCACCAGATGGACGGAAAACATTGTATCTGGCCGCGCATGCAAAACGAATAATTGGCAAAGACATCGAAGAGAGTCAACGGCTGGTCTGGGAGTTAATCGAACACTGTACACAATCGAAAGTGAGTTGGAATTGGGCCATATTGTGACAAGAAAAAGCGCTAACTGGGGCAGTATGTCTTCAGCATGGAATGGCTCTCTGGTGGGGATATGGTCTGGTGGGATAATCGGTAAGTCCTGAGTGTCCTTCCATTGATCCATTGCTAATTCTTATAGCCAATCTATGCATCGTGCTAATCCCTATACCGCGACGATGACCGCAAGGGATGTTCGTCGGTCCACGGTCCTTGATGATGGACTTTGGGCATCAGGTGTTCCGAGAGAGCTACAGAACTAGTTGAGAGATGGGTAACCAATTGGCCGAAATTTTCGGTGCTTTCATGTATTCTTTGTCTCATATAGATGAACTTAGCGGCGTTCCTTTTCTTGTTACAAATAGTCTGCGATTTGGATCTATCTTCACTAAGGTCAAGTCGCGATATTGTAATCATTATTATTGGAATTCATTACTTTCATTTTGCCAGCCAGATCCTTTGCATCAGTGACATGACATTTATCTCTTGCGCACAAAAGCGATTTGAAGCAGTTCCTATCGTTGCCTTGGTCCGTATCGCGTTTTCTACCCTGGGAAGAACATCCAGAGACTGCACCGTATCAGGACATTACCGCTGGTGGACTTCGAATATCGGAGGAAAATGTACAAATCAACGAAACTCTACTGAAATGGACGAGTCTGAGATTTCCACACGCAATGGGTTCAAGTTCGTGTGCCATCACCATGCTCAAGTTCACCGGCCTGTGCATGAAAACAGATCTGTACAGTGTTCAAATGATTCTTTTTGCGGACGCTTGATTATCACCCCATGCTTTCGTCATATGCAGATTTCCAGCTGACATTATCCGCAAAGTAGCGCGTGAGAAGATATCGGTGTAGAAAGCCGATATATTCTGCTGGGATGTCACTGGAACACGCATTGGTAACGTCAAGCATATTAAAACGCCAGTTGATGATACTCCAAGCTTCAGTCAATGCATCTGGGCCTTTTAGATCAAGTTTGGGGAGTTGGCAATTTGGATCTTCCCCTAGTACCTGTAGAATACTTGTGGGAAGTTGTGTCGTAAGAGGGCATAAGAAGCGCGAGTTCGGCAAAAAAGGCAGGACAACTTATGACTCGTTGTATGTCCATGAGAGGCCAACAGCTTACTCAATGCTATTGACAAAATATGAGATGCCCAATCTGATAGAGAGGGTGTGCGTATGTAGCGGTATAAAAGGCGGTAAGAATCTGTACCGGGAAAGACGCCTTTTTTGACGCGATGGTGCCAGCAGTCTCCGATGCTCCATGATGTTTCGATCTCTTTGGGATGGGTTCAGAAAAGCTTCCACCTCCCTCCAGGTGGTATCTGATCTGCACCTGGAGGTGAACCAGCAATATGACTTATTCGAAATGACCGTATCCTCAAAACATCTTGTCCTTGCCGGAGATGTGGGGTGTTTGCAGGACTACGAGGAATATCTCGCTTTTCTCAAGAAGCAAACGTATATCTTCGAGACAGTATTCTAAGTTCTTGGAAACCACGAGTTCTACCATGGTACTTTTGAGTCGGGCCTCGAACGAGCAAGAAACCTGGAGCTGGAGCCAGTTCTCAATGGGCGACTCATATTGCTTCATCAAAGGCGATACGACATCCCAAACTCCAATCTCACAGTTTTAGGCTGCACTTTATGGTCTCAGATCCCCGTGCAATCACGAGACATCGTTGCAGCAAAGATTCAAGACTACAAAAAGATCACTTCGTGGACGACTGATTCACATAACGCTGCTCATGAGGCAGATTTGACGTGGCTACGAACTCGAGTCGAAGAAATTGAAAGAGAGAATGAGACAGTCAGCAAAGAATCAGATAGGCGGTCTATTGTGGTTGTGACGCACCATGCGCCTTCTCTGAAGCGTACGTCAAGTCCAAAACACGCCGAAAATCCTTGGACATGTGCCTTTGGGACGGATCTTTTGTCAGCAACATGGAATGGCGTTAAAATATGGATATTTGGGCATACGCACTTTACCACGGAGTTCAAGCAGGGCGATATAAGGGTTGTTAGTAACCAAAGGGGATATGTGCTCCCACAGAGCAAAGAGCCGGATGGATTTGACCCTCAGAAGGTAGTGGCTGTGCCTTGAGGTCTCCTGGATTCAGATGACACTTGTTGAGTCCCTTACCGACCCGCCGATCCTTGGCTACATCCTATCAATATCTCTCATCAACCAACTACAATATCAAAAGATTGGAAAAGAGAGTAGAGGTTCGTCAGATATGTGTACACAGATAGTAACTTGTTCTCAAGCGAGTGGAGAAGAAACAGCACACGCACGCAATATATACCAGTAAAGTGGCCAATTTTCATCTGGTCTACCACCCCTCCAGTCTCGTCAACTTAGCAAGAACCCCATCCTTAGGCGAAATAGTCGCCCCCTCCCTAACCTCCAACTTCGCATCCGGATATTTCAATTCCATCTCAAACCGAGCAACAGTAGCGGCAAGCAAACAAGCAAGCTCAGCCTTCGCAAAGCCCTGCCCAATACAACTGCGCGGGCCATGCAAGAAAGTCAAGAAAGCATAGTTACTGACCGCCCCGCCGGTATTCGCCTTTCCAGGACCCATAAACCGATCTGGGTTGAACTTGTCCGCGTCTGGTCCCCAGAATTCTTCCATCCGGTTAAGGATCTGTGGAGCGATACTGAAAAGTGTTCCCTTGGGAATATGTTTGCCAGCAAGAGTAGTGTCGCGAACTGAAATCCGGATTGTGGCTGGGACGGAGGGGTGGAAGCGGAGGACTTCGTTGCAGACGGCATTTAGGTAGGGCAGGTTATCGATTTCAGCAGCTGTGATGGGTCTTTCTTCATCTAGGGATGGAAGATTGGCGCGGACTTCTTCACGAAGACGGGTTTGGACATCTGGGTTTTTGCAAAGGGCGTAAACAGCCCATTGGAGAGCCGAGGCCGTCGTTTCATGGCCTGCGCCGAGGAAGGTCATACACTGGTCGACGAGATTCTCTTCGTCAAATGTTCCACTGCTCAACGCGACAGAGACGATATCGATGCCGGTTTCGGCTGCTGGGTCTTCCATTTTTGCTTTCTTCTGGCGGATCATTTGTCGCGCGACGTTGCGAATTACTTCGCCGCTTTTTTCGATTTCCTCGTTCCAATTCGACGGGATTTTGCGGGATAACCTGGGGTAGCCGATTAGGAAGCTGAATACGAAGATCAGCTTCAACCAGTCGGGCGGGGTGCGCATGATCAGTCTGTAGGATTTGTTGAGTGTGTTGTCTGGGTCTTGGAGAGAGTCGAAGTCGTGATCCATGCCTGCTACGCCGATTATGTCGAGGGTTGCTCTGCTGGCCCAGTTGCTGACTTGAACTGTGTTGTCGCCGCTTGAGGCTCTGTTCTTCAGGTCGTTTTCGATCATTTTCACCATTTCGATACTCTTAGCCCAGAAGACTGGGTAGAGGTTCTTGATGTGGCGGTATGCAAATGCTGGCATGAGATTTTTTCGTTGTTTCTGCAGTTGATCGCGTCAATGCATGTATGGTTTTGGATCAGTTTGAGTGGTACCTTGTGCTCATCACCCTCGGCAAGTAGAACGCCATCACCGGTAATACGTCGCAAGCTCTCGCGAATCATTTCTGGCTTCTCAAAATCGTAGTTCTTGGTGACGAGGAGTTCACCCAATGACTTCGGGCTTGTTAATAACAGCCTCTCGAGGTTGCCGACAACGTAGAACCGAACGATATCTTCATTTGGCATAGTTGTGACCCACTCCCGCATATGCTCAAAAGGGGGCTCCAGAAAGTAGGATTTTGTATTTCCTGTAAGCCAGTGTCGATTCTACATATGGTTAGACACGGCTGATGAACTGGACGTTTCATGGCATACCGGTGGTGAATGAATATGTTTTATCGGGCTGAAGTATTCTGGATAAAGCACAAGGCGATAAAGTAATTTCAGCGCTGTAACAATTCCAAATAGGATGATGCCGGTCAGAATTCGAGAGTTGAGAATCGCATATTCTGGTCGGAGATACACTCCAGCGGCCGTGCCGAGGAAGGCCAGATTGAGCGCATCATTGACGCCACTCATGGCGATTATCCGGAGTGAAAACTTCGAGAACTGATATTGTGATCCCACGAAATCACTGACGACCTGTCCAGCTGTCCAGCTGAATTGTGAATAGAACCAGAAGCTGGTCCAAATGTGGGGGCCAGATGACAAAGGTCTTGGCTCTGGTTTGTTCAGATCAGATCAGGATTGCGATCTGGTCATAACAACACTGCAAGATCAGTAGAAGATTTGAGAGTTATAGTCGAGGTCAAGGACAGCTATGCAACACGTGTAGTATAGTGTTAAGGCTGGTAGGTAACATGTGATAACTGACAAGAGAACACGAAGTGAAGTCCTCTCGGGACCAGAATAATAGATGAAGGAGACTAGGCACCATGATTTGAAGTGGGATACGGGATTCGGGTTGTTGCGACTCGCAAAGAATACTCTATTGGGTCGGGCCTAGCGAACAGACCCATGTGCGGCACTACAATCTCTCCGTGAACATCGGCGATTTCAACGCTGTCTGTCAACCCATACTTGCATCTGAGGAACATGACATCACTATATCTCGAGTTGTTAAACGTGATTCGCATATATTTGGCAATGCTATTAAGCCAAACTATACAATAACGTACAGAATGGCCACTGCATAATTAAACCCCACCAATCAGACCCCCTGTGTAGTAATAGATCCTCAAACGACAAACGAAGCATATGCTACATATCACCTAGCCTCCACCTCGCCCGTAATCCGCTCAAACTCACCAACAGTATGCTCCCAAACCTTCCTCACCATTCCCTGTCCCCTCAACAACTCCAACAGCCTAACAACCTTCTCTCCAGAATCGACGCCAGACCAATGGACACTATAAACACCACTCCCAACCTTCCCATCAAGCCCATTGGCAACCTCAATTTCTTTGCCTAAAGGAACCCCAAACCCATCCTCTCCCAAACGCGCCGGATACTTAGCACTGGTCGCGAAAAACAAATGCCTCTCCCCAGACTCCTGAATCGGAATATAAAACAAAGGCCCAATGACCGCCAAAACCCAAACCAAAAGCGTCATCAAGAAACCCTCAGCTTCTCGATGAAGGCCCGTCTTAACGGCGCCGGGATAGTCATTGATAAAGCTGACTTCTGGCGCTTGCGCTGCTAGATTCTCAAATGCCATATCGGTCATCGAAACGACATGCCCGCGTAAACTCAAGAGATTCATATTCCTCGCTTGGAAATCGTTCTCGTAGATCTGTCCTTCATATCCGCCCGCTAACACACTAACAACACGCCTGAGACCAGTCGCAGCCTTGAGTTGTGGAAGAAGGTTCATCGTGAATCTGATGCGCGCGTAATATTGTGTCGCAAGCATGATATGCAGACCTTCAGGTGTATCTATTGCGCGTCAGCCTCAACGTACATTTCCATCGAAGATACTGAAACATATACATACCAAACCCAGACCTCGGACCCCCACAACTCAGGAAAAGCAAATTGATCGTCTTCTCTTTCCTTTGAATTTGTCGGCATACATCATCAACGTTCCGAACAAGACTCAAATCCGCCTTGATGAAGATATATTCGCCCTTTGGGTTTATCTGTCGGCATTCGGCCGTGATCCGATTTCCAGCATCTTGCGAACGGCCAACGAAGTATGCGCGCGGAGACTTGGCTGAACGGGCGAATTCTTTTAGGGTTGCTTCGCCGATGCCGTTAGTTGCGCCTATAAAGACTGCGATTAGACCTGGCAGATTGGCGATTTGGGTGTTTGAGGATTGTATTTCTGGTAAGGAGATCATTTTGGTCTTTGAGTTTTGGAATAGAATTGGAATTACAGAAGTAAGGATTTCAGGGTTGACCTTGTTGTGCCGAGGGTTTTTTATAGATGAGATCATTGATCGGTGCATCTTTCGGCCGGCCAAGTTCGTGCGATGTTTTCGTCCGGGGAGAGGGATCGGGAATATTAAGAATCCCGTTGGTTTATGACAATTCATGTTTGAATAAGTTCGCTTCGATTGAGATTACATAGTCCTTTTAAAGCAGCTATGCTACCGACTATCAGTTGGCAAGTAATGTCGCAGACTCCACGGCTTGGCACATTGTCAGATTCAACGTAGCTTCAAAACCACATAATCCCTTCAGATTTCATGTAAATAAAGTCGTCTATCTACACAAAGATATCATCTAAAGCTTCTGCTTCTTGTTATGCAAGTAAGGGCCACCACCAGTGCCACGACTGGCAAAGCCCCATCTAATCTGATTAGCCATGGAAATATCAACCTCAAGCTCCTCAGCCCAAGCCCAGACAAGACCGGGATTCTTCTGGAATCCACGACCGACAAGCACAAAGTCCAGTCCATCCTTCTCCAGCAGGGAGTTGGCCAAAGATGCAGAACCAATCATGCCGACTGAGCCAACCATGATCTTATCCCCAACAGCCTTCTTGACCTCAACAGCAAACGGCGCCTGGAAAGCAGGCTTGGCATGGATATGCTGCTGCTCATGGTTTCCACCACTACTGATATCCAACACATCAACAGTCCCAGCATCAGCCAGCGCCTTCGCAAACCGGACCGTATCCTCCACACGCCACGACGGCTGATCAGGCATGGACTCCTCCAACCAATCCGTAGCAGAGACACGCAAGAAGACAGGCATACCCTCAGGAACAGTCTCACGAGTCAACTTCGCAATCTCCAACGAAAGCCGAATCCGATTCTCAAAGCTCCCGCCATACTGATCAGTCCGGGTATTGGTAGCAGGCGACAAGAAACTCATAAGCAAGTAACCATGAGCATTATGGATCTCGACAAGATCAACACCAGCCTTAAGCGCCCTCTTAACAGCAGCAACCCAATCCTTTTTGAAAGTCTCAATCTCCTCCAACGTCAAAGCCGTCGGCGTGGGGAAATTCGCATGGAAAGCCACATTCCCCGGACTCTTCACATTATCCGGCCATCCACCAACCTTAGCCGTAGCAGTATCAGCCTTACTAAGCCAAGGCGCCACAGTACTAGCCTTCCGGCCAGCATGCGCAAGCTGTACGCCGATGACCTGACTCTGGCTATGCACGAACTCAACCACGCGGCGGAGCGGCTCGATCTGCGAGTCTTTCCACAGTCCCGAGTCCTGCGGTGTGATGCGGCCGTTGGCTTGAACGGAGGTTGCTTCTGCCATTAGGAAGCCTGGGCCGCGCTGTGCGATTCCGCCTAGGTGTGCCATGTGCCAGTCTGTCATATGGCCATCATCGGCGCTGTACTGGCATAGCGGGGAGAGGCCGATTCGGTTGTGGAATGTGACGCCGCGGACTTGGAAGGGTTGGAACAATTTTGGGGGGTTTGTGCCGTCGGATTGGGGGATTGCGGCGGTTCCTGCGGGCGGGTCTTGGGCTGGGGTGTAGTAGGAGATGCCTTCGGCTGCTTTGTTGGGGATGTCTGGGGAAGGCATGGCGAGATTGGAATAAGTGAATTGATATATGGGTATGAGTATATGTGTGTCCAAAGAGATGGTTGGCAATGAAGGAAATGGGGAGTTTATATATGGCTCCGTATGATGCTATACTTCACCACCTTATAAATGCGGTCTGCGCGCAGCACTTCCGAGTTGCATCGGATCGACGTCACCACTGGGGTTTTGGCCAATGATGCTTCCGTGGCCCTCGTCCACTTTGTTTCTTTATCTTGTCTTGTCGTCGAACGGTGGGGAAATTGGCCATTGAGCCTATAAAATTAACATGCCACTCGTCGATGTCTTGGATTCACACACGATTAGTGCTGAGGTGAGGTGAGACCTCGAGGTTGTCGACTGCCACATTTCTGAGCATTGCCTTAAAATGGCCAACCTCGGCGCCGACGGAAGTGTAAGTATACACCCAGCAGATGGATGTATTAGCCGAGTGAAAGACTGGGAGGTGAGGGACATCTACACCTGGAATATCAGGTGTCAAATTATGCCTCAGGCCAAACTTGTTTGTTTTTTTTTTCTTTTTCTCAGTTTCAGCCTTGCTATACTTGGCTTTTTTCAATAGATTCTGGCAGAAATTAAAGCTGACGACGCCTCTTTGAAACATGACAGCGGTTATTCCAGCACTTAGGAAGCATTTGCCACGGCGGCTGTAGCCTGCAGGACTCGGGGATATACAATGTACAACAGGCGTCACAAATCTGTTCACAAAGCTATGAGTATTAAATTGATTTTATATGACAGATTTTAGATCAAAGACTTGAAGTGAGTGCACTGAGTGCACTTTTTAGTTTGGCCATACTTCGGCCTCTCTGCTGTCATCTCCCTTTTCACCACCTTTTGCTCGGTTTCGAGAGTTTCAGGGTGATCATAGTGATTCTATAATGACTGTTGTAGAAATTGATCTTTTGCCGCACTTCCTATTGTCCACATTCTCTGAGAAGTGGACGCAATTGTTTATCAAGATTGCAGTGGGTCAGGGCTCAGGGACCCTCCTTGGGCGCGTGCTGAGCCAGTGAGATTAAACGGTTAAATGTCGCCCCGAGTTTGTCTGGGGATGCAATATGCGCACCAGCATATGTCAGTGTACGAATAGGTTGGGGTCTCAAAAGGGAGAACAGAAGTCAATTGACCAAACATTCTAAAATAGAGCCCAACAAACTAGAGACAGTTGGCCAAGGGTTACAATCAAAGCCAAGCGTCAGCCCTAAAGTGCATATCGCGCATCTCCACCCCTGCCGAACGGTTTCATCTTTCTCCCCTTTCCAACCCCATTCTTTTGACCCTCGGGATTCCATTCATTCCATTCATTCCATTCTTTCATTCTTTCATTCCAGCCGTTGAGATTACGCACCTGACATTCTTTCTCCACACTCCAGCACTTGACCTCCCGCCTCCCCCTTGCTTGGCGACAAAGGGATCGGCCGATCTTGGCTCTCAAGGCGCATTGAATTCAATGCTTTGAAACATAAGCGCCCATTGACACGTACAGCCACTCCCTCAACTTCCAACCGATCGCCCTGGCCTCGCGCAGGTATGCGCCGTTCACGCGGTTAAGACTTCACTCTTTGTCACTCTTGACGTTCCGACCTGCGATACTTCCCTCACGCGACTCACTTGGATATTTTGTTCACGACTTTGCCCGGCTGGCCCGAGGAAGTCGACTCTTCAGCTTCCGTGATCTCGCCATTCGTTGGATGCCCGATCGCTTCCTGGCAGGACCAGGTCTACTACACAATGTTTTGCTCCGGAGACCGTGAGAAGGCTGCTGCCATGGAGGAGAAGTGGGATTATGTGGTGAGTGAAAGGAAACATCGCTCAATGAATTCCGTATACTAACATGTGCAGAACCTCGATGACTTCAAGTCCGAGTCATGCTGGACTCCCTTCTCATACTTCTTCCTATGGGTCTTCCTGATTATCTCTCTCGCCGTCTATGGTGTCGATGTCTTCACTGCAGTCAACCTGCTCGCCTTCTCGCGATGGGCTGGCCGAGTTCAACCTGCTATTCCATTCTACATCTCGCGATGGATCTTTGCCGCGTGTATTATCGCGTCGTTCGTGATCTTGGTCTACCGATGGATTCATGCCGTTCGAGCTATGCGCTCCGGTAGTATCACTCGCAGCTTCCTTGATCCGCTTGCCGTTCGTATCCAGAGTTTCCGGCTTGGCAAAAAAGGGCGTGGTTGGAGAAGATTCCTTGTCTTTGCGGAATTGACCAAGGACAGAAAGGCGGCTGAATATGTTGCTCTTTATGCACACTTTTCTTTCCAATTCTGGATGAACACCATCTTTGCAGATGGTCCCCGTCAAGTCATCAATGCGATCACACTCTACTCGGTCATGCAGATGGATCTGCTCCCTGGGGGCAAGAATGCAGCAAAGGATGATGGCAGCTCTGGAGCTTCGCAATTCTTCAACAACGTCAAGATTCTAGCTGAGGACAATAACCTTCAGGCTGTGGTTCTGTTTGGTATGCTCTTCACACTGGTCATCTGGGTGCTCTCCGTCTTGAAGTTGATCTCGGCGATCGTACTCTACCTGATCTTCCTGTTCCATCATATCCCTGCCGAGGACGGTACTCTTTCCAGATACTGCCGTCGTAAGGTTGGACAGCGTCTGAAGCGCATTGTCCATCGCAAGAACAACAAAGCATTGGCAAAGGGTCTCAAATTGCAGAATCGGACCCCCACTCAGCCCAGTCTGGTGAGCTCCGATTCGAAGCCGACACTGCCGTCTATCGCAGGCGACAAGATGCCGGTGCCCTCTGTGTCTAGTCTGTCGCGCAGCACCACTGCAACAACGCTGCCGCCTTACACCCGATCAAACTCGGCAGCACATCAAGAACAGAACCCAACACTGCCAAATCTGGACTTTGACACCAAGCCACCCCTTGTCCGAACGACAACACAGTCTTCGATGATGTCGGAATCCGCTTCCCTGACAGGCAACGCGGCCACAATGGGCTACAGCCCCCTCGACCGACAGAGTTCACCAGCGCCCCCTGTTCCGCCATTGCCAGCGGATGTCCCACCAAGACTGAACACATCCCACCCTCGTCCATACCAGCAGACATACACCCCGGCCCCAGACTACACCTCACCGGACACCACCCACGCAGACGACTACTTCCACCGCTCGCACACACCGCATACACCGCACACACCACACACGCCACACACACAAGCGTATTCCCACTACGACCCCTACGGCCCTTCACGAGATATCTACGCCGAAGACAGCTCCGAAGCGCACGAGCATGAGTCACCCTACTATGCTCAGGATCCCTACTCCACACGATCTTACACACCAGCCAGCACGGGCTCAACACCCGCGCCATACGGACGATCCATGACACCAGCAACCTACCGTCCAACACCACCGCCGCAGATCCAACCCCCCATCCAGCCTCCACTACGGGCGTTCACACCGATGAGCTCTGCAACTCCCGCCCCCCAGAACGGCGGCTACGCAGCATTTAACCCGCCACTGCCAAGCCAACCCCCGACACACCCACCCCAGCAGCATCGCGGGCAGGGGACTCCCGCGCTAGCCGGGTTCAATTTCAATCGGGCGAATACGGCCTCGCCTTCTGCTATGCACCGGGCCCCGCCTGGACATTCCTTTAACCGGTCGAATACACATCAGTATTAGATGGGTATTCTCTAGACAACGTGAGACCTTAGCGTTAGGCTATGGGTTTTACTGGTTTCTGTTTTTATGATGGAACATGGAGAGCTGGCTCTCTTGATGACTGGATCACTTGTTTATACTTTATGACGAGGGATTCTGCACATACCCTTTCACTTGATATCCTTTTTCTTTCCTATATTTCCCCGGCTTACAGTGATATGACTTGATGGATCTTTATCTTTCACCTACTCGGTTCTCTTGGTCGTATGCAGTAGTGATGAGAATGATGATATTACACATCTATACAACAGACACCTAGATGCCCAGATCTTCAAAGATAGAATGCATGTCCAAGAATTACAACCACAGCCACAAATCCAGGACCAATCAACTCTCCACCATCTCCATCTTTCCATCACCAAATCTTCTTCGCAATCATCTCATACCGCTGAACATGATCAATATTAAGTTCACCATCCTTATCCATCTTATCCTTCTCCTCCTTCTCCTTCTTTTCCTCCTTTTCCTTCAACCGACGCAGTCCATCCGCATCATCGGCGTAGATCAATCTCCGTTTCTCCTCACCTACTTCGACCATACCCCACCCACCAACACGCTGGCTACCCTCGACAGAGAATTCGCGAGCACGGGCTGCAGGTTGCTGGTCGAGTCCTGTTGTAGATTGTTGGTGGGATTGGTGCGATGGATGTTTATTGGAAGTGGAATTGGATTCCGCTTCCCTTGCTTTGATCTTCCTATAGCGCGATCGCGCGAATGCGAGGAGGACCATTCCCAGGAGGAGTTTTAGAATGAGGAGGACGACGAAGCCGGTGAGAAGGAGGATGGCTGTGAAAATGTGGACTGATTGAGCCGGGGATGGGATGGCGTTTTCGAGCAGTGTTCGGAAGAAAGCGCTGACATGGGCCGCTGAGGCTGGGAGGAGGGTTGCGAATGTTATTGGGGGTGCGGATGGCAGCGGGGAGGGGGCGTATTGGTTGTGGATTGAGGAGAGGGAGGTTGCTTCCATTGCTGTTGAGGAGGGGTGTTGGGGGAGGAGGGCTGCGAGGAACATTTGGTAGGTTTGGACTGAGACTCTGAAGAAGAGGCATGATAGTGGGATAACTGGGAGGCCGATGCGGCGAGTGAGGTTTTGTTCACCGAAGGCGTTTGTGTAGTAGTCCTTTGCTAGGACGTCTAGGAAGCGACTATAGATTGCTGGTCGGTTGTTGTTAAATTTGTTGATGTAGGCGTGTTTCAGCCAGTCTACTAGCATTTCGGAGCCTAGGACCACTAGGAATGGACCGAGGACTTGGGCCAGGGTTGGGATGAAGGAGTTCACGCTGTTTAAAGAGGACAGAATTGATGAAGGGAAGAATGTGAACGCTTGAGGCAAGATGGATGATGCAGTGCGCGGAGGTGTGGACAACGGTGTGCTGTTGGCACTTGTGGAGGGCTGGCCAGAGAAACTCGATCCAAGGCCGAAACTCCCAACAAAGTTGAAGGCACCCGTCTCCACAATGTTTCGTGACGCAATGATTGTAAGCATTAACCAGAGCTGGAAACGTTCCACGACATCCGCACAAGTGAGCTGAAAGAGGTTCTCTTTCTCGAACTTCCGGAAGACAGTAGACTTGATCTCGACAAACTGATTGGAAAGCAGTAGCGTGATCAAGGCGTTGGAGTACGAGTTCACAGCAACATTCAGAGTCATAACCTGGTAGAATAGCGATGTCGCATGAGAGACTGTGTAAACCAAGGCTAAGAGGAACAGCCAGAATGGACGAATGATCTTGCTTCGGCCATCAGGACGGCGCTCGAGAGCCTCCCTCGAAAAGAGACACTCAAGCACATCCTGACCTATCGCAGCTAACAGTCTGTCACTGACTTCCAAAACGTTGTAGATCACGTAGAGCTTGATAGCAGCCTGTCCACGAATCCAGTGGTACATTCGACTGGCGTCAAAGTACATCAGAACACAGCACGTGGCTATCGTAAGCAGGCCTGTCAGAATATCCGCTTTATCATCAGGAAGCAGAGCCGATGGCATAGACTTCTTCCGTCTGTGATTATGCCTGCGGGATTCAGAGGTGCGATGTTTCCTTTTTGGCTCCGATTGAAGCTGCCGAGGTTCTCTATCTGCTGCTGTTCCGTCTAGTCCAGCAGAAGATCCTGGAGGCCGAGATGTGGCGTCGGATTCGCTGTCGCGTCTTTCGGGTTGATCTTCTTTTGGGGCCAGATTCCGTCTGCGCCAGACTCGACCAATTCCGTTGAGCACAAACTTCCAGATAAACCGGGTCTCGGCTCCCAAATTGATGACCCATGATTCAACAAGGATGTAAATAGCCTTGATGAAGCGCAGAGGCATGATTGTGAAGGAATATAGCCATGCATCAAGACAGGCCAGACTGCCGAAGCAAAGCACTTGCTCTAACAGAGGTGGAAGCATGAGAAAGTTGGTGAGCCTCTCAATCTTCACGCGTGATGATTCATACGGGAAGTCGTTCGATGCGGGGCGATGAATGTATAATGGCGAGGGCCGGCCAGATGCAAGCTCAAGTTGAAGATATGTAGGCAGCGAAACTGGAGGCAATGGAATGGATGATGGCACGGTCGGAGACAGTGGAGTCTCTACTATTTGAGGTGATGCAATAAGGTGGCTCTTCAGGTCGTGTTCCGGCGCGAATTTGTCCTGTTTCGATCGTGAGACCCATGTATGGGCCAGCCTTTCATTATTAGGCGTTAATGCGGGTTGACGGCGTGAGGAACCAGGAGTGGAAACTGTTCGTGATGGGTGTGGGCGATTGCGCAGGGGCGGATTCTGTAGGCCTCGTGGGCAAGCCGGACTCGCCGGTGCCGAGGCCTCTTCCAGCAGGTCTTTAGAGGGTCGATGTTTTGGTAGCCCGTCTGAAGAAGATGGTTTCTCGCCAAGAGCCTGAAGCACGAATTCCGGTGTCTCAGATCGAGCCAGTGAGCCATTACCATGTGCGTTGTCGGACACCACTCGTCGACCGGTGTTGGTTTCCGGTGCTGCAGGGCGATAGGGTATCGACTCTGGCGAAGACGTAAGCTCCTGGATCTTCTCAGGAGACAACTTCATGATTTTGTCTTTATCATCGGATGATCTGCTTTGTAGATCGTCGGACAACTCAGCTAAAGCAGCCTTAGTCTGTGGTCCATCGTAGACATTAACGACGGATAAATGACCAGGTGTCTTCCCATCATCCGGCGACTGTTCGACTAGGATACCGAGACCCTGCTCTGGTGATCCAGACTCTGCCATCTTGTGTACACTATTAGAAAAGCGTCGTTCGGGATATCCGCTGGCATGGTATGTCCATTGCTCCTTTGTCCCATTTTCCCGATCGATTCTGTCTTCGCCAGACACTCCGCTGGACGATTTCGTTGAAGCTCCTGTCTCATTTCGCTGCTTCCCTGATTCATGGAAGCTCAAGTGTGTGTTGGCCTTTGTGCTACCGTTCGTCCGCCTATCCGCGCAGTTCTCCGTTATCTTCTGCTGATCGGACAAAGCTTCGCTCTCCACGGAAGGACTCATCCTGCCTGCTTGAAGTTCTCGCAACAAGCCAACGGCTGCTTTCAAGATATCAACAACCTCGCAGTATCAAGTCTCATAGCCACAGTAAGCAAGAAAGTCCGATGCGCATAATTCGTGTTCGGTCAGGGTCCGAGTCGGTGGAGCCTTGAGCGGTCGGCGAGATGGAACTGTCGATCGCTGCAATGCAGTTTATCGTGCTTGTACAGGAGTGTGTGCAGCTTGCATTATCGAAACTGCTCGTTGATCAGGACTGTTCCGAACCCTTGTTGATGTCCGGGTCTGGGGGAAGATAAGGCGAACTATCTGGCAGGTCGCCGTTGGAGCCGCCTCAGGCATGCACAGTGTCACGTGCATGATATGTCCGAAATAGGAAATCTGACACTAGGGTCCACTATGCAGATGGACACACAGGTCATAAATCTTTTCATGGTGCCATGAACTATGAGAGAGTTTCTATACAAAATACTTGATGCAATTTTACAATTTAATGAATGTTTTGCCCACGTTCGGGGGCTTCCTATCGATCAACTAGATCATTCATATGTAAGGTTGTGAAAGGACTTACGGCTTCGGATGGAATATGGAGAAGACAAGACCCTTCCACTGGGTGTCTTGCATTAGCAGTACTTCAAAGGTTTTCGATCTGAATGCTTTGGAACTATGTGTAATCAAATCTCAGAATCATTATTCAATCATATCTATGCCATAACTATAATGCATAAATGCCGTTACAATATATACCTCAAGTAGTTAAGTCCATGCCATAGCACAAAACGCTTTCAATCTAGAAGTATCCAGGGAAAAGCCATTCCAGCTTCTCCTTGGCAGCAGCGCTCCAGTGGGCCTGAGGAGTGCTGACACCGAACTTGATACCACCAGCCAAGTGCTTAGCGTTAACTAACTCGGTGTGCTCCTCGCCAGCCAGGGCGTCAAGAACGGAAGTGACGAAACGGCGAGCGTTCTCAGCGTTGGACTTCATGTTGCCCATGACCATCTCGACAGTCACATCGGCGGAGTCGTGCCAGCAGTCATAGTCGGTGGACATGCAGATCATCTGGTAGGCAATCTCAGCTTCACGGGCGAGCTTGGCCTCAGGGAGAGCGGACATGTTGATCACGCTGCCGCCCCATGAGCGGTACATCTTGCTCTCAGCACGAGTGGAGAACTGAGGGCCCTCTGCAAAAGAAAAACGGGTCAGTGATACAGACATGCAACAAATGGCAGTGGAACAACATACCCATACAGACCAGAGTACCACGGTCATGCAGAACAACACCGTCACCCTCAAGGCTGTGGCCGCACTCGCGGACAACCTTGGCGATACCCTCATCGAAGGGGTCACCGAAGGGAACGTGAGCTACAACACCATCCTCGAAGAAAGTCCATGGGCGAACACCCTTAGTGCGGTCAATGACCTGGTCAGGAATGACAAAGTCTCGGGGCTTGATCTCCTCCTGGAGACTGCCAACAGCGGAGAAAGCAATGATGCTACGGACACCGATGGAGCGCAGAGCAGCGATGTTGGCGCGGGCGGGAACCTCATGGGGAGCAATCTGGTGGTGGGCGCCGTGGCGGCTCAGGAAGGCGACGGCCACGACCTTGCCATTGTGCTTGCACTCGTGGTGCAGGATGGTGATGGGCGAGGAGGGTTTGCCCCAGGGGGTTGAGACGGATAGCGAGGCAACCTGGGTGAAGCCAGGGAGCTCACGCAGACCGGTGCCACCGATGACAGCGATTGGGACAGCGCCTGTCAGGTTTCAATCGTCAGCTTTGGCAAGGTGGGGTGGTGAGGGGTAAGGAGATTTTGGAAGGGAAGTGGTTTACGCACCCTCGTAGGTGGTAGGAAGGGGGGCCATTCTGCGGGCTAGTTGCTTCACAGATTCAATTCGGATGAATGGTTTGGAGATAGAAGAGAAAGAGCGAAAGACCGAGAAACTGCGCATCTTGCGCCATCAATTTTCAGATATTGCGGGCAAACTCACTCTCCGATTGGTTCAGATTGACCCACGTGCGGGTGTTCCTGAGGCTTCAATTTGCCACTTTGGGACTAGATCCATAATATTTTGATCTACTCAGGGCTAATGATCGAAGAGGGTCAATCTACTAGGAGATGGTAACACTCAATAAAGGAAAATATAGACAATCTGTATGAGTAAATACTGGTAAATACAATCTGGTACGCAAAGATGATTTACGCCGGCAGCCACTCATAATGGTGGGGACCCTTATGAACAGGGCCGGGATCCTCACCTGGAATACCTGGCTTGTTATAGTTATGAGCACCAAAGTAATCCATCTGAGCCTCCATGAACTTGGTTGGCAGACTCAATCCACCCTCATACTTCAGATATTCCAGGGTAGCCGAAAGCGCAGGAATATATTGATCAGAATATGTTCCCTCCATGACAACCTCTTTCAAGCCATGGAAGCTCTGGTGCAGCTCGTGCGCAACTGAGTCAACAAACTTGGCATTTGTGAGTTCGTTGTGAGCGGCAAGTGGGGGCTGCAGTAGATCTGCGATGTGGTCAGACTGGATGATACACCCAGCACGCCAGATCTGGAGACAATCTCCTAAGTTGACGTTCCAACCCTCGTCAATGGAAGCACGAGAAATCAACTCCAGACCTTGACAGAACGATGCCAGGAAAGAGCAGTAGACAGCTTGGCGCAAGTTCTCGATAATCTCGGTATAATCGCGAATTCCCTCAATTGGTTTCGGCATGGGCATCTCCAATTTCTTTGCAGCACGCACTCTTTCCAGACGGTTACCGCTGGAAATCCTCATATAATGAGCAGCGGCTAATGTGGGACAGGAGACATGACGAGAAGCAGACTCCATGAGACACCAAAGGGGTGTACCTTCAGTATTATCATCGTCCTGAACAACCTTGTCAAGAACATCATCAATCACATATCCATCATCACGACTGGCACCTTCACCCTTCTGGTCACCCTGAGGGGTTCTCCTAGTATGAAGAATCTTGTCACCAATGTGAATGAGGAAGTTGTTCCGCAATTCACCAGATGAATTCCACTTGGCAAACACATCTCCAATCTTGCTATGCTCCATGCCAAGTCCATCATGCATATAAGACCAAGCCTCAGCAAGAACAGACAGCATACCACCCTCAATGCCATTGTGGACCATCTTGATGAAATGCCCAGAGCCACCTGGTCCCATCCGCTTCACACAGGGTGTACCAGTCTTAGCATCCTTCGCAGCATAAGATTCCAAGAAAGGCATGACAAGTTCAAGAGCCTTGGCATCACCGCCAGGCGACAAACTCGGTCCGCGTCGAGCAGACTGATATCCACCCGAAACACCCATTCCAATCCAGGTGACACCGATAGCTTCGCACTCTCTTTGCCGACGCTCAGTCCTGCGGTAGTTCTCGTTTCCGCCGTCGAGGATGATATCGCCCTGTTTGAGATCTGACTTGATCATTTGAAGAACTTCATCTGCAGGTTCACCGTGGGTGATGGAGAACATGAATAGCTTGCGATCGGATTTGCCCTCGAGGCTCTTGGTGAATTGGTTGATGTCATAGAAGCCCAGGACTCGACCTTTAATATTCTGGTCTTTCTTTGCATAGTCCACAACTTGGTCGACATTTTTCTTCTCAATGTCCCATACTGAGACTTCGAGGCCCAGCTCAGCAAACCGGAGTGTCATCATGGATCCCATGTTGCCGGCTCCGACAACACCGATGCTCTTTATGCCTTTGTGCGAGGTTGAAGGCATTGTGATTGGATGAGGTGCTCGTTCTTGCATTTCGATACTATATTTTTGAATATTTGCGGGGTAAGGATCAATTTTCATGCAAGCAAATTAGAATTCTTCGAAAGCATCTAGGACAATTGAGGCTCTTCTTGAACAAACCTATTGTGGCAACGGGGCTCTGTTCCGTGATTTCGTCAAGATGTGATCAGATACGCCACAGATAGCAGTATGCACTCTATCTTGCCTTCATTTTGCCCGCCGTGGCATGCATTCAAGAACAAGCAATGTATGCAAAATATGGCGACTGTCTTGTTTGGATATACCCAATTGAGGTAGATGTGGTACCGACATGACATAGACCTGACGTACAGGCCCTCACAGAACAACATTCCATCACAATGAACACCAAATGAAGCACACAAGGCAAAAAATAGCTAGACCAAAGCAAATCCTTTCAATTGTAGTAAGTGCGAATTCCCAATATGATAATTGGGATCCTCAGCGCCTCAAACCAAATCACCAAAAAAATCCACAAACACAAGAACCAAAAAATGTCCCAAATCACATTCGCCAGTCTCCAGCAAATCCCCCTTTCCTATGCCTCATGTTCAATTGGCTGTGATCCAACTGATACGCTTCCCCGCAAACTTGAAGTCATCGCCGCGGCCGGTTTCAAAGCAATCGAGTTATCCTTCCCAGACATCCTGGACTATGCCAATCAAATCCAGGGCCGACAAATCGCCCCGGATAACTATACCGAATTATTGCCTGTAGCAGACCAGATCCGGAAACTATGCGAAGAAAAGAAGTTGTCTATCATGATGTTGCAGCCATTCTCGAACTTCGAGGGTTGGCACAGGGGTGTAGTGGAGCGCGAAGAGGCATTTGCGCGGGCAACAGGCTGGATGGAAATTATGCATGTTATTGGGACTGATTTATTACAGGTAAGCCAAGTTTAGAGTATCTTTTGCAAGAAGTATAAAGGATGCGAGCTCAACATACACACACCCCCAACAGGTCGGAGCAACAGACACCCCAAAAGACACCCCAAACTTCAAATGCAACAAAGAAGAAATAATCTCCGATCTCCGCACTCTCTCAGACCTTCTATCAAAACGCAACTACCGCCTCGCCTACGAAAACTGGTGCTGGTCTACCCATGCACCGGACTGGAAAAGCGTCTGGGAAATCGTCAAGGCAGTCGACCGCCCAAACTGTGGACTATGTCTGGACACATTCCAAACAGCCGGTAGCGAATGGGGTGATCCAACCACTTCCTCGGGATTAGTTGAAGACGTTTCAAAATCCGAGCTAAAGAATCGATTTGATGCCAGCATGGATGAACTTGCGAGAACTGTTCCCGCGGACAAGATTTATCTACTGCAGGTTTCGGATGCGTATAAGGTTCAGCCGCCGTTGGAGGATAAGACTATTGGAGGGTTGAGGGCTAAAGGTCGGTGGAGTCATGATTACCGGCCTATGCCGTATGACGGCGGGTATTTGCCCATTGAGGATGTTGCACGCGCTGTGCTGAGGACGGGGTTCCGGGGATGGTTTTCTATGGAGATTTTTGATAGTGGGCCGACTGGTTCTGGGAAGAAGTATGAGATGGGGTCTTATGCCAATCGGGCCATGGAGAGTATGCAGGCTTTCTTGAAGAATTGTGCTACAGATTGTGAATGAGATGGCTATAGAGAGAACGATGGATGGAATGGAATGATATACTCTGATTCTGTTTTAAACTGAAAATGAAACTGAGACTGGCAGTAATTGGTACATGAATTGGTTGTCTGAAATGAAGACGTGTATACATTTAGATTCCTTGGAATCTTGTAGACAATTTGAAAGAACGCCGGTGGGATGCAAAATTGACGCCAATAGATCATAAAGCATGCGAGGTCAACTGAAAGGTGTGGGGTTCACTCCTTTAGTTGGCGTTGCTGGGGTAGGCAACGGTGTATGTGGGAACATACTCCTCCTTGATGGAGCGCAAGCTGACGAAGCGAGACATGAGGTTGGCACTGCCAGCCTTGTCGTTGGTACCACTGGCACGTGCACCACCGAAGGGCTGCTGGCCGACAACGGCACCGGTGCTCTTGCAGTTGATGTAGAAGTTACCGGCGGCGTTGCGGAGGGCCTCGTCGGCGACCTGAATGGCCTCACGGTCCTGAGCGAAGACGGATCCGGTCAGACCGTAGTTACCGGTGGTGTCGATCTTGTCACAGATCTTGGTGAAGTCGGCCTCGGTGGCGTCGTTGTAAGAGTGGATAACTAGGATGGGTCCGAAGAGTTCACGAGAGAGAAGAGGGTGATCCGGGTTGGAGGTGCGGTAGACAGTAGGCTGGATGTACCATCCCTTGGAGGAGTCGTAGGATCCACCAACCAGGAGCTCGAGCTCGGGGTCGTTCTTGGCCTCATCGATGACACCAGCCAGCTTGTTGAAGGAACCCTCGTGGATGACAGGGCCGCAGAAGTTGGTGAACTCGGAGGGCTCGCCGATCTGGATCTTCTGCACCTCAGCGACAACCTGCTGGACAAAGTCCTCGGCGATGGAAGAGGCGATATAGGCGCGAGAAGTGGCGCTGCACTTCTGACCCTGGAACTCGAAGGCTCCGCGGACGGTCTGGACTGCGGCGTTGCGCACATCAGCGGACTTGTGGACCAAGTGGAAATTCTTGCCACCGGTCTCGCCAACAATGCGAGGGTAGCTGCGGTACTTGCCGTCCGCCACACCCTGGGAGATCTTGCCGTAGAGCATACGGAAGACATCGGTGCTACCGGTGAAGTGGAGAGCGGCGAACTCGCGGCTGTTCAGAACGGTGCTGGTGACCTCCTCGGCCTCGCCGGGAACGAATTGGATGACATCCTTGGGCAAGCCGGCCTCGAGGAGGATCTGGTGAACCAGCCAGTTGGAGGCAATAGCCGAAGGCGAAGGCTTCCAGATGACGACGTTACCCATCAGGGCAGGGGCACCAGCCAAGTTACCACCAATGGCAGTGAAATTAAAGGGACTGATAGCGTAGACGAAACCCTCGAGAGGGCGGTACTCAAGACGGTTCCACACACCGGGAGCGTGGTGAGCGGGCTGCTGAGCGTAGAGCTCCTCAGCATACTTGACACCGAAGCGGAAGAAGTCGCACAGCTCAGCGGCAGAGTCGATCTCAGCCTGCCAGGCGTTCTTGCCCTGTCCGTGCATGGTCAAGGCCATAATATCGTAGCGGTACTTGGTAGCGATCAAATCAGCGGCCTTGAGGAAGATGCTGGCACGCTCGGCGAAGGGGGTATCAGCCCAGGACTTGCGGGCTGCGAGAGCAGAGTCAATTGCGGACTGGACATCGGCTTTGGAGGCATTTGAGTAAGTTGCCAGAGGAGCGTGGGAGGCTGGGTTAGTCTGGGTTAAAGTCTGAGAGCTCTTGATCTGGACTCGATGTTAGAACTGTCAATCTTCAAGACTGCAGGACCAATGCTCACCTCCTTGCCAGCAACAACCAGGGGCACATTCAGAGGAGCCTTGGACTTGTACGAAGCCAATGCATCCTCAAGGCCCTTGCGATCGGGAGAACCGGGGATATAGTGTTTCTAAACGTTGATTGTCAGAAGCAACTTTCAAGTAGTTTCTGCAAGGATAAAGCTCACGTTAGGCTCGTTGTTGATCTGGGGAACCTTGAAAGTAGCATAGGTGCCCATAGCACGCGAGCTAGAGCTAGGAATGCGGCATGCAAGCGATTGCACGCGCGAAACGGGCGCGCGGGCACGCAGAAGAGCGGATTGCATCATGATTGCTTTTGTGGAATAGTTGAAGATTGCAAGTATTCCAAGCTCAAAAATGTTTAAGAAGAGTGAAGAAAGAGAGCTAAGTTGGAGAAGAAAAGTGCACGCGGGGTATGATGTAGGCCGGCTACTACCGGTCTCGCTGTACTTCCATAGCTCCAAATTGCCGCCCCAGAGACGGGGGGGCATTGAATGTGCCAGCCAATCAGATGTCGCCGGCAAGCGTCCCGGGTGGCACAACCGGGCCGGAGTTGAAGTACATCAGGTGCCAGGTGCCGGATATACAATCAAGATACATCGTTGCTCTGCAATTAGTCAAGAGATCGTACCCCAGAAAATACAGATAGAACAGGTTGTAGAGAAATATCAAGATAAGATTTTTGGGGCTATTTCATGCTATCTCACACATTATTTCAGTTCCCCACTCCAGACCCACTACGATCTGTAAGATCTCAGATCTATGCAATCCACCACCAAACTTTCTCTACCCAGTTGCGTGGAATGGGTTCAATCTCCTCCTCGGTCAGTCGGTCAATCTCTTCCTTTCCAGTGAAGACATCGATATCTGACGCCTTGGTCATCCATGGGGTCTTGTACCACAGCTTATGGCCGAAGTACAGCAGGAAGAAGATCACAAAGACAATGTAGGAGACAAGGAAGCCGGAAGCAGTAAACTTTCCAGGGAAGAATATCGCGTAGCCGTTTGTAATGGCTAAAATAGACACGAAGACAATGGCAAAGTAAGCGCCATATGGTTGAAAGGGCGTCTTGAATGGGCGGGAGTCGAGGAGGCCGTGGAAATTCAAAGCGCTGCGGAATCGCTAGATGGCAGTTAGTAACGTCACCAAATGTGATATGTATGGATGAAATGGTACTTAGTACTTACAAGGTATGCAACTCCAACGAAAACCCAAGAAATGAAACCACCAACTGTGGTAATATTAGTGAACCAGTAGAAGACCTGTGATCCAGAGCTGGAAAGGTTGAGGAAAGACAGCAAGCCAATCGCCCAAGTGATCAGTACAGCAAAGTAGGGAACACCATTCTTGGTGCATTTTGTGAAGATCTTCGGGGCCTGGCCATCACGGGCAAGGGAGTACAGTGTTCTCGATCCAGCATACACCCAAGAATTGCCAGACGAAAAGGCTGAGATGAGAATGGCAGCATTGATAACATGGTTCAATCCCTCAATACCGGCATTCTGAATACCAATAACAAAAGGACTGGCACCAGCACCTGATCCACCGCTAGCAACTCCCTGCAGCAGGTTCTTATCATTGTATGCGACCATAATACCAATGACCAATGTTCCAAGGATGTAAAAGGCAAAGAGTCGGTAAATAAACCGGTTAGTAGCCTTAGGAATATTGCGACGGGGCGAGGTAGCCTCTCCTGCAGCGGTAGTGATCAACTCCGGAGAGAAAATGAACGAGAATCCAGATTTGATCAATGCAGTCCAGAATGCCAGTAATCGACTGGTATTGCGGTTGGAGACGAGGTATGGATCTGCGAAGGCGCCGGGGGTTTTCCAGTATCTGAATCCTACTCGGTCGTGCTTTGGGCCCCCGCCGAAAAAGAGTACCACGCCTAGGATGATGAGGCCGATGATGGCGATGATTTTCAAGGATGCGAACCAGAATTCGGCTTCGCCATACCAGGAGACTGCGACGATGTTGAGGATGAGGATTACTGTTTTCTTGTTAAAGTGTGTAGAGATGCATGCCGAAGGTAGGGGTGCTTACCGATGAGGATGACTGCAATCCACACCCCAATGCTGACGGGTGATGGCCAATACTCAATGACTAGACTTGCGGCGGTGACCTCTGATGCTAAAAGCACCGAGAATGAATACCTATGGCATCGGTTAGTTCTGTGTTCTGTATAGCCACAGAAATGATCAGTTACCAATAATTCCATCCTAGATTCCGGGTTAGCCCTTTTCTTCACGATCGCCTGAGCCAAGTCAAAGCCTACCAACAGCAAATCCCAAACTGGGTTCCGTAAAACGAGTAATAAAATAAGGCACAGAAACACCAGGAACAGGGAGGTAGGTGGTCATTTCACCCAGCATATTCATGACAAAATAAACAATGATGGACATAACCATGTAGCCCATGAGCAAGGGAGCTGTCACAAGTTAGCACAGTATCGATCTTGCGCACAAAGTTACTTACCGGGGCCAACTGTGGAAAGTGTAGCTCCACTGCCAACAAAAAGACCAGTTCCGATACAGCCACCTAGGGCGAGAAATTGAATATGACGAGAGTTCAGGCCACGGTGGGTATCCGAGGGCGGCAGGGTAGTCACTTCGCCCAAGAAGGGCTTTGGCTGAGCTGCATCTTGCGAGGAGGACGAAGGGGTCTTCTCGAGGTCGGGGGGAGAGAGATGCCCCATCGTAACAGGGTATATGTGCAAGATACAAGATTGCCGTTAGATTCGTTGGGGCAGTGAGAATGAGAAGAGAAGAGTGAGAGGGTAATTTGAAGAAACGAAAGACGGGGTGATTCTACACAGATAGCGTTAATATAACATTGGCCATAAGTCCTTTCCCACCCCTCACAATTATATGGTTTGAGTAGCTCACTCGAGGCAATTAAAAATGGGCCGTAAAAAGGTGAAAAATGTATGTCCGATACTCATAGCTCTGTGAACAAACTTATGACCCCTGTTGAACTACATGTTAGGCACCAGAACTTGCTTTTTTTACTAGACACGAGGCTGAGAGAGCAATAACATCCAGCCAATCACTGTGCTAAGGGGTTATCTCGCATTGTCTATCTATAATCACCCGCCCTAAGCAGGACTCGAATGTTACTGTACCGGAGATAGAGAAGGTTAGAGCGCGGTCCCAACGCGGGGAAGACTGCTTTCTCGGGGCAAAATCGCCTTAGATAGCCAAGTCTCGGAATAACGCCTCCATCAGGCACGCCATGTGTTCAGAACAGCGCGCTATTGTGGGTCGTAGGTGTAATTGTCTAGAGATGATCCCGCTACAACAGACCCACAACGGGCCTTTCGGGTCTCGGTGAGCGTCCTATCGATATTTTACCCGATAGCATATCTCACCCTCTGCCCAAATTGTCATGCTATGGTGTAATGGCTTTCTTGAGTTTTTAGGGTGGCGGGTATGCCACTAGTGCTTTCTAGCGTCATTCGAGAAAAACTTTAAATAAAGAGCTACCGCCTTCTCCGATTGGTTGGTGATAGAACTTTACGTTGTGAACTTGTATCACGTGGGATCGTCTGGGGGAACTAGATATCTGGGGTAAAGCAGATGGCTATCCACATTCTAATTCACTAGGTACATGGAAGTCCACAAATGGTCTCCAACTGGGAGTTTCTCTTTGTCATATTTAGTCCAATATCGGACCTGTCAGCCGGCCCCAAGTCGCGTGACTGCAAACTGCAGAATCTGAAGTGTACCGGGCCGGTCACTGCTTATCGGTGGTCCGTGCATTATCAACCCGGCCCGACTATCTGCACTTTGATCTTGATCTGACAAAAGTTAAGCGCAACGAATACGAGTCTGGGGATGTGCGTTCGCACGGATGCTTGGATTGTAAGTCCTGGCGCGATCGTACCTGAAGCCATGGCAAAGGTCCGGTTTGCCGGGTTCAAGGCTTTCGGTTCAGATCATGAGTAATAGAAATCTATGATAGAACAATAACCTTGAAGTATTCTCCATAGTGTTCTCCACGAGCTTGAAGTGGCTTTCCCGGTCCCTGTTTACCGTACCGGTGCCTTGCGGTTGCCACCGGCCCTCCAACTGCCAAAGAAATGTACATAACTTATCTACAAGTCAGCCACCTTTTCAACCGTGGTTTCTCCTGCTAAAGCTCTCTTGGTTATCTTCACCTTTGCCTCCCCCTCCTAGCTACCAACCTCATCCATCTCACATACAATAGTCATGAAGGCTGCTCCTTCCATGCGGCCACTTAAGGCGGCCGCTCAATCTAAGAGATTCGTCAGCGGCACAAACAACTCCCGCTCGTCAGTCGCCGCAACCAGTCTCTTGAACCCGATCGCGCGTTCGACGCCTCCGCAACCACGCAAAGCGCTGGCCGCGCCCTTGGCTAAGCTGCCCCTTTCATCAGTGCTGCGGTCTTTGCTAGTGCTCTCTGTCTCTTCTTCTACTCTTCTCCTCAAGCCATGCATCTACACTCTATCGTTGTTGGCACACCCCCGTTCCGCCATCTGGGATGTCGCTAAGAATCCGTTGCTGAACGCACTGGTAAAGCACACCATCTACAAGCAATTCAACGCTGGTGAGAACAAGCTTGAGGTCCAAGAGTCCATCCGCAAGATCAAGGATCTTGGATGCCGCGGTGTTTTGCTCGGATACGCTCGTGAGGTCCTGGTCGGCGAGAATGACGATGCCGCCTATGACGCCAAGGCCGCTCTAGCTGAGATCCAAATGTGGCTCGACGGAACTCTGGCCACCGTCGATATGGCCCAGGCCGGTGACTTTGTTGCTCTCAAGTTCACTGGAATGGGTACCGATGCCCTCCGCCTCCTGCAGAAGGAGACCATGCCCACCGACTTCATGGATGAGTCGATCAAGCGCGTCTGCGACCTGGCCATCTCCCGCGGCGTGCGTCTGCTCGTTGACGCCGAAGAGCAAGCCGTGCAGCCCGGTATCGAGGCCTGGATCATGAAGTACCAGAAGTACTGCAACTCCCAAACCCCCGGTCGCGCGATCTTTTACGGCACCTACCAGGCCTACCTGCGCTCCACCCCCGCCACTCTGGCCAAGCACCTCGAGATCGCCCGCGCTGAGGGATACACCCTGGGCGTCAAGCTGGTTCGCGGTGCCTACCTGAAGACCGAGCCCCGTCAGGTCATCTGGGCCGAGAAGGAAGACACCGACCGCTGCTACGATGACGTTGTCGAGGCCCTCCTCACCCGCAAGTATAACTCCATGCTCCAGGCTCCCACCAAAGAAACCCCGACCGAACTGCCACCTCTCAATGTCATCATCGCCACCCACAACCGCGAGTCTGTCCGCAAGGCCCACGCTCTCCGCATGGAGCAGGCCACCCGCAACGAGGACTACGGTGTTGACCTCAGCTACGCTCAGCTCCAGGGTATGGCCGACGAGGTTAGCTGTGAGCTGCTTCAAGGATTCGAGAACGCCGAGTCTTCCGTCGGTGCTACCCCCATGGATGCTCCCAATGTCTTCAAGCTTTTGACCTGGGGTTCCGTCAAGGAGTGCATGGGCTTCTTGCTCCGTCGCGCTGTCGAGAACACTGAGGCTGTTGGCCGAACCAAGGACTCTCAGATCGCCATGATTGGCGAGTTGAAGCGTCGCTGCGGCTTCGGTGGTAGCCAATAATTTCCATTTTTCTTTCTGATTTTTCTTATGTTATACCTGGAGAGTGCTATATCCTCTCCTTGCATCAGCCCCCGCGGGGTGCTTTCTGTCTGCGCATAGCTGGGGTGCATCCTCGATTGGCGTTTCGGGTTTTTTTGAATTTATTCCATAATGAGCAATGATATCAATCTTCAATATTCAATATCCGAGTTAAATAGGAATTGTGTGTAAGAGAAGAAGTGATGTTCCGAGTCTAGTCCCCGCCGGATCGGCTTGCCCCTCATAGCTCGGAAGCACCATCCGTTATGATCTGTCTATCTACTCCAATTCTCTTAAATAGCTGACTCCTGCAACATTCACTTTCCGCGATCATCACTCGGCTCCTTTCTTTTCTTTTACCTTGATTCTATACATCAACACCACCACCACAACAAAACCATCAAAATGCATATCCTCTCCGAGCCAGATGTCGCCCACATCTTCCGCAGCCTCTCCCAAGAACAATGCCAAACATTCATAGAGACCCTAAGCAACGCTCTGGTCTCAATAACCCGCGAAGCAAACCCCCAAACAGCAGAATCAGACAAACAAATCCACCAACCCCTCCGAACAGTCTTCACAACAAAGAAAAACAACACATGCATCTTCATGCCAGTCTCCGACACGCAAACAACAGGCATAAAGGTAGTAACAGTCAGCGAAACCGGCATCCAAGGCGTAATAAACGTCTTCAACCCCGATGGCCGACTACAAGGCCTCCTCGCCGCAGCAGAAGTAACAGCCTTCCGCACCGCACTGGCAACAATAACATTATTCGTGCGGTGCACGACCATCCGTAAGGATAATGTCGTTGTTTTCGGTTGTGGGCGGCAAGCGGAGTGGCATGCGCGTCTTGCTTTACTGCTTTATCCTGAGCAGATTCGAAGTGTTACGTTTGTGAACCGTGGGAAGGGGCGATTGGAGGAGTTTGGGGGGGATGTTGTTGTTGGTCTGGGAAGGTTGTATCCGGCTGTGAAGTTTGAGATGCTTGCTAAGGAGGGTCATGTTGATTATGAGGGCAAGCTTGGGGAGGTTCTTGGTGCTGCGGATGTCATCTTTAGCTGTACGCCTGCTGTCCAGCCGAATTTTGGGTGGGAGGTCCTCCAGGCAAAGCCTAAGCAGAGGTTTATCTCGCTTATTGGGTCCTATAAGCCTCATATGCGTGAGGTTGATACGAGGACTTTGCTTTCGGGGGGGAAGGTTTATGTTGATTCTAAGGTTGCTTGTTTGGAGGAGGCTGGGGAGTTGATTGAGGCGAAGGTTGGAGAGGAGCAGCTTGTTGAGATGGGGGACCTTCTTGGGGCTAAGACTGGAGTTATGGAAGATACTGTTGATGTTCCTGCTGGGTGTAATGTTGTTTATAAGTGTGTTGGTATGGGGTTGATGGATCTTGTTGTTGGTAAGCAAGTTCTTCATGTTGGGGCTGAGATGGGGCTTGGGACGCATGTTTCTGGGTTTTAGGTGTCTGTCTCATCTGTTTTACGGGCTATATTGGCTGATCGTTTAAATTAGTGGTTGGCTTGTGTATTTGGAATGTAGGGTCTACGGAAATATATTTCCCTATCCCATCAAGGTTCGAGGACAGGATAGCACTGAAAATTGATTCAAATGACAATTCCAATGTATGAAAAGTAAAACAGCCTTTACGTAGCGTAGATAAGTGTACATGTAGATTCAAATTGCCCAAGCTAGAACACCCTTGTATAATCGTAACTCACTATATTCCCCCATTAGAACATACGTAGTATTTATATTTGCTTTTCTCCCCACCAAAGTAGACCTATTGCTTAGAAATAATATAATTAGTCAGTTGTAAGTTGTCATAGAAAGCTATCATTGGAGAGACCACCGAGCCCGTAACCAGGGCCGGAGTCGGGGGAACGGCCATGCGGGGGTCACTTATCGATAAGTTCGGACTTCACTTCGCAACTTTCTCTCTTCCTATCTCCGCTCTCTTTTTTTGACCTCAACCTTAATCTGTTTCCCCCGAACGCAACTCCTTGTCCATATCTGCTACTCTCCCTCCTTGATTCTTTCTCACTCTCTCTCCCTCTGTGCAGACGATGTTCCGACCTCTGTCTCGCTGATATTGGCTATGGATGACTCGACTTCGGCGCCCGCGCAAAAGCGCCCTCGTGTCGCCGAGGAAAACCGCAAACGTGCAGTGCGAGCGTATGTCTTCAATTTATTCCCCTGTTTCTTCCGAATTGCTATCTGGAAGTATGGAATCGCTAACACAAGTGATCCACAGGTGCGATGGATGCCGCCGAGTGAAAGAGAAGTGCGAAGGTGGCGTACCATGTCGCCGATGCGTACGATACAGCCGCCAATGCAATTTCACACATATCGACCCCAATGAGAAGAGTCGGTCAACTTCCGCCTCGTGAGTCTGCCCTCGTGACCTTTTCCCGTTCTGCCGTGCAGACCGCTAATATCGCCGCAGGCTATTGGATCGGGCGGCCACATTGAGTCGCAATGAGATTGCCGAGGCAGAAAGGGTGCATATTATGGAGCGCTTGCTCTCGCATTATATGCCCAACATCAGATTCGATATTCAGTCCTTGCGCCAGGCCGCCGAAGACTTGAAAAGCAAACATCGTGATGGTGGATCGGACGTGATTTCTACGAGGGCAGACCCCAATGACATGGAGGATCTTGCTATTGATGAAGAGGACTTTACCATTAAGGCTATGCCCGATAATACTACCCGTATGCTGGTCCTAATACTCACCGAAAGATTATGTGCTGACCCCTATCTAGAATATTCTGGAGAATTCTCATATCTGAACTTCACAATGAAGATTCGGAAGAAGATTGATGAGTGGATGAAGACAGCGGCTCCAGATGTAGGTCTTATAAGTCGATGGATGAGTACTGAGCATCCTGCTAACCTGCCCCTAGGCGACCTCCGAGGTCGAGCCATTTGAGGAACGATGGCGAAGCACACAGCTTCAATCTGGGTCGCCTTTGATATCATCCTCGATTACTTGTCTTCCACCGCGATATGTGGCCGACTTTCTCGTTCAGATCTTCTTCAAATATGCACAAACCAACAACTTCTACGTCGAAGAAGATTGGTTACTTGAGAAGTTGGCTATCTGTTACAACGACCCTGACAGCTTGTCATCTGACGATGCGGGCGCAGTATGCTCCATTCTAATGGTACTAGCAGTCGGCACACAATTCGCCCATATGGAATCATCCACTCCCGTGAATTGTCTGCCTTCGGGCTCTACCGCAAACCAGGACCATCATTTCTCTGAGGATGAGGTTGGCCTGACCTTCTATCAATTTGCCTCAAAGCTCCTCCCAGATCTCATTGCCACTGCATCTGTCCGCAGTGTACAGGCTTGTCTTCTTATTGGAACATACCTCCTTCCATTGGACACATCCGGGCTATGCTACACGTATTTCGGCTTGGCACTGAAGCTAGCGGTTCAGAATGGAATGCACAGAAGATATTCTGGCGAGGGTCTATCATCCCGGATGATTGAAGTCCGTAACCGGGTCTTCTGGACAGCTTATACCATTGAAAAGTATGTTTCCTTTCACATTGTCAAGGTGTACACATACTAACCATATCCCTCAGGCGTATAAGTATTCTTCATGGCAGACCATCGTCCTTGTCAGACCCCGACGTTGATGGTCCACTTCCGGTTGATTTCCCTGGTCTCATGCCTGCCCACCAAGTCTCAAACCATACAAATATGGTAGCACTGATCACGTTGACCTTGAAACTTGGGCAGGTCTCCAATGAGATGTAAGAAAGCATCCGTTTTATCTCATTGCAGTATGGGTCTAACTAATTGAACAGTACTTCCCTGCGAAAATACCGCAGAGGCCAACAGCAGGATTGCCTTGAACGACTGCTCAATCTCCGGAAACATCTCGTGGATTGGTGGTCCACTCTCCCGGAGGAAATCAGCTGCCGCGACTTGAATCCAACAGGGCCTCTGTTCAGGTCAAACGTACATCTCAAGCTTGACTACTGTCTTACTCGTGTCTTCATCGGACGGCCATTCCTGTTCAGTAATATCAAAGGCATTTACCAAACACCGTCTCAAGCGCCACCATTCAAGGGAGCTTCCGGCTTGTCGAAGAACCGAGCTACTCTTGTAACAGATTGTGTGGAAGCCGCGCTGGAAATTATCGACCTGTGCCGCTTGCTCCGCGACGAGAAGGGTCTTGCACGGGCCTCATTTACAGAGTTCAGTTCGTGTCGTGCGGCATTGCTGGTCATTCTGGCACAAGGTCTAACCAAACGCACGGAAAGACTCGGTGCGGCTCTCGAACAGGGCATATCCCTCATCAAGATTATGTCTATGGGGGTTGGCTCCGCACGTTCAGCAGTCAGCGTAATCGAAGCACTCGAACGAGCCATCCGCCGACTAGAAGCATGGAGCGAGACCCACCCAGACATCAACAACGGAGGAGGCGCAGAATCAGCCTACGACCGCTTCAAAAACTGGGAAATGCTCTGGAAAGCTGGACCCATCTCACCCTCCACCTTCGCCTGGCAACAACAAGAAGCATATGGTTCAACCGATCAGAACATACCCCATGGCCTACCCTCTCACGCCGCACCGACCATCCCAGCACCCATCCACAATCCAAATGCAAATGCATCAATGACACCCCCGTCAGCAGTGATGGTCAACCACGGCGCCGCAACAACTCCCGGCCATCCAGACCAGGACATAGAACATGATGTACCTGGCAGTGTTCTCTCTGACAGTTTTTCGATCTCGCAGCAGTCACTTTCGCATATGCCGCACTTTGGCTTTGATCATTTTGTTTCCAATTTCCCGCAGGAGCTTGGCGAGTTTACTGCCATTCCTTGTTTTGAACCTGATGCTCAGAATGCTAATGGGCTGCCGGTCGCTGATATGAAGACTCCAAGCGGTGAACCTGACCCACAGTGGTTGCAGTTCATGAAAGGTTGATTAAGTCATTGCGCCTGGTTTGCGTTGGGTCGTTTATGTTTTCGCGTTGGACCTTGTCTTCACATTCTGATTTACTCGTTATACCATTTTGCGACTGCTGTTACTTTGAGCTTCTTGTTCACTTCAGTTTCTGGCGAGATATATATTAGAAATCGAATATTGAGTATTTCCGATTTCCTACAGTATGAGTTGAATGCTATATGAAATCCTAGATGCGATTGTATCAGTTGAGGCATTCTTTGTGCCTTGACTTAGCCTCTCTTTTGTTCCCATTTTTATAGCCCATTCTCGAGCGCCTTGGTTTGATCATCTAGATCATTCAATCGCGAGGGATATGAAAGGACTTATGGCTTCTGTTGTGTATTATAAATATCCTTTTCAGACCGAAGAAGTGTAGGGAAACAATATCACGAATGGGCACCTAATATCTATTTAATTGCTTATGCCAATGCCTCAATTCATCATAAATGTACAATTTAACCGTCCTAATCGAACGAAATCTTCTTTCCTGCGAAAGCCGCAGTAGTAGCCTGTTCCTTGGCCTTCCGCTTTGCTTCCCAAGAAGGATGCAATGGACCTTCGTCCTTCTTGGGCGCAGGTTTGGATCTGCCAGTAGGAGCATCGTGCCGTTCCTGAGCCCGTCCGGAGCCACCACCAAATCCACCACGGCGACCACCTCTTCCTCCTCTTCCACCATCCGTAGCTCCACGCTTGGTATCCCAGCCATTGTCTCGGCCACCATATTTCTGAGCCATCTGTTCATTCTTGACGTGATTGGCTCCTGCGCCGAACTTCTTCTCCCACAACGCCCGGCGAGCCTGCTGACCCATGCGGTTCTTGCGTTGGGGCTTCTTTCCAGATGTTTCCTCGTCATCTGTGGCTTCTTCTGAACCAGACCAGTAGCCACCCATCATTAGAGAAGGAAGGAATGTTGTATCCTTCACTGGTGCAGTCGAACCCTTGACTCCCTTTACTTTCTTAGGTGGCGGAGAATCTTCCCCAGAGAAGTCGGGTGAAGGAGAGCGGGAGACAGAGTGGGAGATATCGTCTGCGTCGGAAGCCTCTTCTTCTTCCTCGTCATCATCATCACCAGATTCCTCATCGGCCTCATCCTCAGAGTCCGAACCTGGCGCAAGTCGCGAATTGAACTGTGAAAGATCTTCACTCCCAGATTCATCTTCAGAGATCTCCATGTCACGGGAGTCCTGCTCACCGCGCCGAGATTTTAACGTCACTCCCTCAGATTCTGAATCGGAAATATCATCTGTTGGCGCTTTCTTAGGTGCAGCCTCCTTCTTGGCATCTTTCTTGCCCTCCTTTCCAGTCGGCGCATCGTCGACTCTCAACAATTTTCGAATACCGGCCATGATGACCGGCATCTCTTTCTGCACGGGTGTAGATTTGAATAGGCGCGCGAGAATATTGGCTTCGGCGGTATTCTTCGGTCCATCCTGTGACACTTTCTTGACTTCCTGGAACTCGCCGAATGTCCGTGTCTCGGCAATGCGCTTGGTCTTGATAAGTTGTTTGAATAGGTATTTTTCGGAGACGGCGAGGTAGTTCAGAGTCTGTAACACAATATTAGCAATCCAAGTTCCCAAGATATATTGAGCGCAATCGCCAGAGCCAGTGCAAATGTACCTTCAAGGCTTCAATCTCCTCCGATAGCCGCGCCAATGTCTTCATATCCTTCTGCGACTTCGCGGTCTTCTCTCGTCGGCTGAGCTTCTGTCGCTCAAATCCGCGCGACGTCTTTAGCGCGCGGATCAGGACCTGTACGCCATTCTCGAACATTTGCGTCAGGCGGGTGCCGTGGATCGACATTTTGCGGGTGTCGCTCGACCGCGCGGGGCCGTTGAGCTCGGCGAGTTTGCGTTTCGGCATGTTGAGTGGCTGTGCGAGAAATTGGTAGAGAGTGTTGTGCAGGAAACGTCAAGGAATTGTGACGGTTAAAAATGGAGGGCTGTATCGAGGGTCGCGGATTAAGTTGTTCGATGTTGCCGTAGCTTAATTTTTTTTTCTTAGGCGGAGCCCGTGCCAAGACAACTCCAATCGACAAACGCGAAATCGATTGCATTTGAACGGACCGACGCTGGTTAGACTGAATTTTGTAGTTGGTTAAATAATTTACTATAGTACACTCAGGTTACTTCATACTGTTGTATGACTTGGCTACGTTACATGTAATACAACATATTCTCTTTTCTTGCTTGGACCAAAAAGACCATCGATTAAACAGACGGATATGTACATACAGACATTGCAAAAGAAATGATACGCATACAGCTCCTTTCTATTTCTTTTCTTCTTCCTTCTCCTCGGGCTTGGGAGTGGGGAGCTTGAACTGTGGGTGTATAGGTTAGGACTTGTCCCGTGATGTATGAGGATAGTTAAGGATAAAACTTACAGACTCGGGAGTGCGGTTCTGACCAGCACCAACAGGCTCCCAAGCGGTAGAGCCGCTCTCAAAGTTACGGAAGGCTTGGGTGAGCTCAAGAGGCTCAATAACGATGCGCTTCTTCTCCTCGTCGTAGCGTAGCTCAGTATAACCGGTCAAGGGGAAGTCCTTGCGGAGAGGGTGACCGTCGAAACCGTAGTCGGTCATGATACGGCGTAGATCGGGGTGGCCACTGAAGAAGACACCGAACATATCGTAGACTTCACGCTCGTACCACAAAGCACCCTCGAACAGACCAGTGACACTGGGAACGGGGGTGGCCTCGTCGGCGTAGGTCTTAACGCGGATACGAGAGTTGTAGCGGACACTCAGGAGGTTGTAGACGACCTCAAAGCGCTGGTCGCGGGTGGGGAAGTCGACACCGGTGATATCGGAGATCTGGGTGAACTCGGCGGAGGTGTGGTTCTTGAGGAAGCTCATCACGGGGACGACACCGGCGGGGGCAGTGTAGACGGTGAGCTCGTCCTTCCAGACGGTGAACTGCTGGATGTATTTGGGCAAGCAGGACATGATGTACTGTCCGTACTTGTGCAGGCTATCGGCCATGGGCTGGTACTTGTCGGTAGGGTTGACGACGGGCGCACGCAGGGGGCCCTGGGCTGAAAGAACACGCTTCGGTTAGCTCAATTGACCATATTTGATCGACATGTCCAGTTCACGTACGCGGGCGCTGCGCCTGGCGCATGTTCTCAGGTTCCGGTCCCGGTTGTGTCGAAGCCTTAGGAGCATACTGCAGGGAGGTTGAGGAAAAGGTGCGGGCGGCCATGGACCTCGTGGCAGGTGCCACAGAGCGTCCAGAACCCAGGCGCATCAGGGAGCGTGCGGAGGCCATTGTGTAGAGCGAGCAATGGCAAATGCAACGGGAGGAGGGGACGTAAGTCGGATTGCGAGAAACTAGAGTGGTCGACTCCTTCGGTCACGTGAAGGCTGATCTAACCACGCTAAACGCGATCGGGTAATGCCAGCAAAATGAAGCCGCGCTTCAATTTCCTTCCTTTCTTCTTCCCGTTCATCCTCTACATATCAATCATTCTGCTCGTTTTTCTCTGTCCTCTCTTACTATCGCCCCTCCGCTTCCTCCAATCGCCGTTTCTCTTGTTTTGGTTTCGGGGCGTATTTTCCCTCGTTTCCCATCCGTTCGGCGTTCGACATCTCGTGTCCCTCCCCAGTTATCATACACCCCCCGCGATAATGTCGAGCCATTCACTGATCGACTCGGTCATCGATGACGATGATGAATTCTGGTATGTGTCGAGCCTTGTTCACAACGCGCGATTCGAGTGCTGATCAAGTCACAGCCCCCTGTGCATTGAAGAGTTCGATCTTTCAGATAAGAACTTTAAGCCATGCCCTTGTGGATACCAGGTATGTCTTTCGAAAACGATCACGGTTTTTAAATGTGTTGGAGGCACAGGATCACTGTCTCTTCACTCATTTTAATCACGCAGCCCTAACATGTGACCGACATTAGATCTGCCAATTCTGCTACAACAACATTAAGACCCACAGTGAAGAGGGTCGATGCCCCAACTGTCGACGCGGATATGATGAAAGTACTATTCAGTACAAGATTCCCGACGCCGAAGAGTGAGTCTTTTCGTGCCCAACGACACCGCCCCGCCACACCCAACTAACCAGATTTTCTCCTTCTTAGGTTCAAAGCAGATTTGGCATTAAAGCATCGCAAGGCAGCTGCGGCAAAGAAGAAGGAAGCCGAGAAACGCGAAATCGAGGCTTCGAGTCGCAAAAATTTAGCCGGCGTCCGTGTTGTCCAAAAGAATTTGGTCTACGTTATCGGCCTCAACCCCACGATTCGAGACGAAAATCAACTTCTGCAAACGCTTCGTGGCCGCGAATACTTCGGTCAATATGGCGAAATCGAAAAGATCGTGGTCAGCAAGGCGAAGCCCGGTGGCAACCCCAACCAGGGAATTGGTGTCTATGTAACCTTCTCTCGCAAAACCGATGCTGCGACATGCATTAACGCCGTGGATGGCTCCGGAAATGGCGATCGAGTGCTTAGAGCGCAATATGGCACGACCAAATACTGTTCCTCCTTCCTTCGAAACGAGCAGTGCAACAATCGAAACTGCACTTTCTTGCACGAGACTGGGGAGGACAGTGATAGCTACAGTCGCCAGGATCTTTCCTCGATGAACACCATCTCTACTCAACGCCAAAATCTCCCGCCAACCCCCTCAAGCGTCCCCGCACATGTGAGGTCCGCTCAACCCATCTCTCATCCGATGCGCAGGCAGCCAAGCAAGGATGATTCCGTCAGTAGTCGATCGGGCATTCCAGATGGTCCTGCGCTACCATCCTCCGCCAGCTGGGCCAATAAGGATATTGCCATTCACCGGACCAGGAGGACTAGTCTTACGGGCAGTCAGGCATCCAACAGCCCGCGGCCTGCAAACGTCCACGTTGCAACCCCAGTTGAAGACCCAAAGCGACCCGAAAAGCCATCCCCGATATCCCAAGAACCTCAGCAACCTACTACCCCAGCTGAGCCCCAATCTCCTGCCTCGGAGCCGCGCCCACGTGCAACTTCGAAGCCTCCAACACAACCCACGCCATTCGATAATCTGTTGAAAGATATCACATCTCCACATTTCAGATTTTCATTCTCTACAGCCGAATTGCCCCCCGAAGAGGTCAAGTTAATTGAGAACTATCCGTCTTTCATCGATCCGTATGGTGGTGTCAAGCGCAGAGCTATGCGTGAGAAGGTCGAACAAGAACGTCTTAACCGTGAGCAGGAGCTACTTCAATCTGTTGCCGCCGAGGAGGACAGCCGCGAAGCTGGCAGCCTTCAGCTTGGTGGTGAACCCGAGGATGCCAACCCTCCCCGTGGCCGCCAGACCAGAGAGTCACATGGTGCTATTCAACCACCTTCGCAGCAGGGAACCGCAGACAACTCGACAGTCGGATCTCCTGTTTCTGCGAGCAGCCATCAATTCCAAGGCTTGAACCTTGCAGGACGAAGCCTGACACCTCTCCAGCAACAGCAACTGATGTTGCTCAAGTCTGCTGGCAATCAACAAGCTGGCTTGGCTGACCCCCTGAGCTCCGCTGCTCTCGACCAAGCTGCTCAAGTCCGCCAGGGGCTTTTGCAAAATCAGATGGCCCAATTCAACGCGCTGCAGGCAGCACAGAACCGACAGTCTTCCCGATTCTCCTTCAATGAAGCCGGCTCGAAGAACATTCCTAATGCTCGCATGTTGAGCCAGATGCAATCCGCGAGCCCTAACCCACTGTCGACCCCGAGTCCTCAGCACAGCCTTGCGGGCGGTTTTTATGCGAGCGGTGTCCAGGGTCCTCCCCCTGGGTTGAAGACGGCTGGTACCCCTCCCATCAGCGGCGGTGGAATGTTTGCTCAAGGTCACGGCTTCACTTCAGGCCTCGGGTCCAATGTCGGCAAGCAAGATGCCACCCCGGAGTTGATGCGCGAGTTACTGCGCGGAAGAACTAGTACAAATGTTGGTGGTTTACAGGGCCAGGAGGCGGCTAAGCGTGAGTTCATGATTCCTTTCCTTCAACAGCACAATACCCCACCCCCTATGACTCCCACCAATGGCCTTCTCGGCTCGTTCTATGGGTCCCAGCCAGGCATGCCTGAATCTGGTGGCCCACAGAAGCAGAAGAAAAAGGGAAAGAAGCACAGACACGCTAACACTTCCTCCGGTGGAGGTGGTGTAGTAGATCTTGCGGACCCGAGCATTTTGCAAGCGAGAATGCATCAGGTCGGTGCGAATGCTACAGCCGGGCAAGCGTTATACGGGAGTCAAGGTCAAGGTGGGTACAACCCCTCGATGGTGTATGGCGGTGGCATCAGTCGCTGGTGAACCCCCATCGTCATTCCCTAACCTGTCTTCTCTCATTCCTGCAATCCCTGCATTTCCCCACTTGCTCTTCCAGTCATGACCTTGTTCCCTTGATGGGATGTTTTATTTTTATGACATGATATCATTTCCCTTTCTTTTCTTCTTTGCCGAAGAGCCGGACTTGCACCTTGATGTTTTTCTCTTTGCGATCAATCTGGCTGCTCTGATTTCTGCGATGGCCGGGCGTGCCTCTGGCGTACTATGGGCTCTTTGATTGTTTCCTTTCCCTGGCTGTCTCTTTTACTGCATGTTATTTCCGGCTCTTTTCTTATTCCAAGGTGTCTTTGCATTTAATGGACATACGGCATGTCTTGTCTCCTTTTGTATTCGGCGGCTGTGTTTTCCCTTTCTTGTTCTTTGCATCCGGATTTCATGATACTATCTATTGCGTCTTGATGACCGTGGACCGTATTTACATGGATTAATGTACGTTAAGATGTCCCTACCCTGATACCACAAGCCGAAACAGGGTCTTATTCGAAATCAGTTTCCACACAGCCGCCGTTTACATAGACGACCTCCCCTGCAACGTTCTTTTCCTCGGGAGTCGCAGCCTATCATGTAATTATTTGATGTGTCCCGTTTGTATCTTTATTAGTCTTGCTGCTTAGTCGTCACGCTTTCTTCCTGGGATTCGTTTTGTTTGCTTGTCGCTTCCGCATCATCTGCCCATCTCTGTCTCCCTGTCCCATCTTTGAACAAACGCTGATGTCGCTGGTCTTTCTAGTCAATGAGGATTTCCCTCCGCTTGGAGACCAATCCAAGGATCGTCGACCCGTTGACAGTTTTGGCTTTCTGAAGTCTCAGTTGCCCAACGAGTCAGCCGCTAGGGCTGGAACTCCGACCCTACCACCCGGATTGCCTCTGCCCCACGCTCATCCCTCTACTTCTGCTTTCCAGGATCAACCTAGTTCCTCGAAGCCGTCTTCGCCTGCTCCAATGCTGCCGCCTGGCTTAGGTACTAGTATCTCAAGACTGGGTACACCGAATCAACCCCGTGATGAAAACCGGTCCCGGCCGTTGAGCCCGGAGCTCACTGTGGGAGGCCCGGTGACATCCAACCGCGTGAAGGACGCCTCTCAGATTTCATTTGGCTCGCCAGTGCAAAAGCCTGCAAACAAGGCTCGTGCCCAGCGCAAGATTGATCTGGCTGCTGCCGCGGATGCGAAAGATTCGGCCATCAAAGCCCCAAACCATTCGGAGCCAAGTTCTGCAGCCACGAAAGGCAGCCCGCTTGGTTTTAGCACACCATTAGCTGCTACTACCAAGTCTGAGCAAGTGTCTGCTCCCGGTTCTGTCTCTGCAATCGGTTCGCGGCCTCACACACCCCAGACTATCACGTCCCGGATGTCCGACTCACCTGCTCCACGTCAGCCACGTATTCTGCGTGTGGTGGAAACGACAAAGACTGAAACGCCTTCTCCCGTCCTTGATTCGCCCTCTGTGACTACCTCTGTCATCGGAGGAAGCAAGTCACGTTCTAGGCGCCAGAGCCTTTCGTCCAACAGCCGACCTGATACTCCCGCTGATCACAGCTGGGAAGCCGATTACTATCCCTCCACCTCTGCTTCTCGTGCGAATTCACCTCCTGCGTCATCCCGCATTGGCTCTGCCCCGGTTCGATCCATGACGAAGAGTCAAGCCAAGAAGGAGAGAAAGCAAAAGGCCAAGGAAGCAGAAGCCAAGAAGGTTGAAGCCGCTCCTACACCCGAAGAGCCTGTCCAAGCTCCTATCATGGGGGCGCAAGCGCAAGACCAAGAAGGAACCCAAAGTCACTGTGAATACAACCGACAGTGCTGCTGCCAGTGGCGCCGAGATAATGAGCCCTGCCAAGGCGGGAATCAGCTCTCCAGTCAAGCCGGAGCCGAAGGTAGAAGTTCCAAAGAAAGTGAAGGCCAAGGAGAAGCCTGTCAAGGAACCGTCCCCTCCTCCGCCTCCTCCTCCCCCTCCTCCCCCTCCTGTTGAAGAGCCACCTCGTCCCAAGGAACCCCCTGTGGAGCCCTGGCGTACCAACAATACAGTCGAGCAATTAGTCAAGGATTCTGAGGCCAGTGGAAAGTCAATCAAGGATCTCTTTGTGGAACGGACCAAGCCCCTTCACGAGTTACTTGCCGAAATGCACAAGTCTGGCGAGCTGGACCTCTACAAGAGCTCGCTTTTCAACCCTACGAATCTCAGCCAGCGTACCGATATGAAATGTCACGCAGACGACTATGACATCCTCCAATGTCCCACTGAACTGAACGAGGATCACCGCAAAGCTCTACTTCGTGGAGAACCCGTTCGACTTGGTGATGAGCGCCTAAAGAGCCGATGCCTCATCACACCTCGTGGCTGTGTGCTTCGCCACCTTGAACCAGAGGAAGAGGATCGGTACCTTGAGCTGGAGAAGAATATGGCTGTCGTCTCTGATCCTTTCATGATTGGAGATGATTCCAGTAACCCCAGTGGCGGTCTGGAAGCACTCTTCGCCAACCCAGAGAAGTTCAACATCTGCTGGGTTGAGGACATGCCCACCCGTCTTGGGGCCACATCACCAGCCTCTTCTCTCGGCGTGCCCGACTCTGTGATTCCCCCCAACGTGCTCTCTGCTATGGAAGCCGACAGCACCCGCAACCACGACTGGGCCGTTGCCAACTCGGCTGAGCTACTCAACACTACCCCCGCAGCTGTGCGCTCTTTCGCGGCTATCACTGCTCAACACATGCTCAATAACCAGGGCATGCTCGGTGCCAACCCTACCTTGGACGATGTTGCCGGGCTCACCAATGAAGAGCTGAGGGATCTCTCTGGCCGTTCTCAGAAGGACCTGGAGTTGACTCGCAAGGAACTGGACTCGCTGGACAAGAAGTTTGCAGCTCTGCTTCGCCGTAACCGCAAACTCCAGCTTCAGGCATTGACATTCGCCGCTGCGTCCGAGCTGTAAGCAGTCGCTGTGTTGTATCTCGCACTGGAGGTCTACCGTTTGCCTTTTCAATTGTAGTTTTATGGAGTAGGATGGAATGGTGAATTGACACATGGGGATGTATGATACGCTGGACATTGGTGACTGCGGTGATATTGATTAAACTTGTATGATTAGCATGAATGTATGAATATTGTATGAGTGCATTTTTGATCCCTCCACTTCTATCCAACGTAGTTTCAAAAATTATCCAAGACCTTTGGTACTCCCAGATTCGGTCGATATCGCGGGTCCTTGAATGAGAGGGCCCCAAAACGTACAACCGTGGCATGAATCGATTGGTGCTATGCCCAGCTCTCATGTTCAGCCATAGTTTATGATGATTTCAGGGAAGTTTCGCTCTTCTTTCACCCACACCACACCCACACACCTTTCTTCTACATCTTTCAACATATCTTTTATCAACTCGTACTTCAAACGCTGTGAGACAATGGAGCCCGACACGTCAAAGGCACATGTACGTTATTGCTGTTTGTTTCAAAGAATATAGACGACCATGCAGCACAGGCGGCCCAGAAAGCCAAAGACGACCAAGCCGCTCACCTCGCCGAGCTTCGTGCTCGGCTCAACAAAGAGGTGTACGTTTGGGTGTTTACTTTATACGTTGAGTGCCCAAACAGGCACCGGCGGTTCTTGTCCCTCAAGTTCATTCTGAATTTTCAAGAACGCCCTGAGTGTAGTAAAACATCAATCGTATAGCATAGCTCGTCTATATTCGTCTTCAAGTGATCGTATATCGCCTGAGGCTAAACTCCGATTCAAAGACCAGGGTAGATTGCTAAGCCATGGCAACTCGGGAACTCACTTTTCGATCTGAACCATCTCCTTCCTACTTCCTCCTTCCTCCTTCCTGCTTCCTCCTTCCTCCTTCGGCTTTGTCCCTCAACCCCCATTCTCGACGAATCGATTCACAATGTCTTCCCTTACTGATGATCAGCATATCTATTCTGAATTCGCCGATGTTGAGCGCCAGACACTTATTCGGCAAATTGTCGATGACCACCCGGGTTTAAGTCATCTCTCTCGCTCAGCCTTCTTCTTTCTTTGGTTCAGTGACATTCGGCAGCTTAGAAACCTCGCGGCCCCATGCTCTGACGAGGACCGCGATGGACGCTACTGGGCGTTGACCGGTACCAATATGTGCGACCTGCCTGACATTTGTGAGCACGCCGAGCGCTATACTCGAGGAAATCTCAATAATTTTCCTACGAAACACAGTGCCAGTATCCCCATCTGAGAGGTCCCGTTCCGAGTCACCAAGCCTCTTCGAAGACGCGATGACACCAGAGAGCGAGTACTGCCAGGCTGCTGTATGCTAATCAAGGATAACAACAAGATATGGTGCTAATCGTATGATCTGTCAGAGCCTCCAACGGGATAAATACCAATGCGTCGTGACCAAGATGGGCCGACCGACCCTTCAATCCGCTTACATCTTTCCGAGTATCTCAGATAACTCGTGGCGCTTGCTTCAAGTATTCTTTGACAGAGAGCAGCTTATCGCCCTTAACCCCGAGCAAGACAATTGCATCACAGAGCAGGTATCCAACTATCTCACGCTGTCTGTGCTCGTACAACGGTTCTGGCACTTTGCAACCTGTGCTTTCCGTCCTGTTTCGATCAACAACGAGAACACCGAGATGGAGATCGCCTTTCACTGGTTACCTATCACAAATCACAAACGAGCTGAGAAAGTTCCCATTTTCCAGCGACTAGACCTCAACCAAGTCCAAGAGTGGGTCGAGGGTCCACACGACGGTATTCGCCTCCGTCATGTGGAGACTGAACAAGTGATTCGCTCTGGTTTCCTCTTCAAGGTCACCACATTCGACCCAGAGAGTCAGCCGCTGCCTTCATTCGCGTTGTTACAATTGAAATGGAGGCTGTCGCGTATTGCCGCGATGCAAGGAGCCAGTGGTGAGGGAGATCGTGTTTGAAATGACTTTTGCTATCTCATTTTTTGCCCTTTCGCACCATGAGGGCAAACACGAGTAGTCCAATCACGAAGGAGAATTAAGGAACAGCAGCGAGAGATTGTGAGTCAACTTGACTAGCAGTTGATCCAGCCCCGGATATGACAGTCTAATCGCGCCATCAGCTCAAAAGTCATTTCACCTCTATTTCAAAATGCCACCTCTTCTACCGCCTTGGAGCATTGCTTTTGTAAACGGTATAGAACCTATTTTGAAATGACTATATTCTAAGCTACCAGTCATTAAATGAGCAAAAAAGAGGTAAAGAAAGAGAGGTTAAAGGAAGGCCAATTAATTCCTACAACGGTTCTAGGGGTCTGTATATACCAGATTCAATACTTATCAGGAGCACTATATATAACCCTCGACCCCTATAGGCTATCTTCCAAGTACGTCCAGTCTAGATTCAACATTAGTTAGTAACACTAGAGAGATCGTACATGGCACGTAGAAAACAGAAAGACGATTAAGCTAATGGCAGCAACAGACGGTGAATTTGCAAGTGCCAACATACCCAAGCCTTATTACAGCGTAACTAATGATCTGATACAGTGAAGTCATTGCTACCAGAGATGACATTTCTTTTTAATTCATTATCAGAACATTGGACAGGAGGCATCATCAAGCTCAATATCAGCGTCGTGCCTCGGGGGTCGGCGTATGTGTCAGTGCGCGATCCGCATCTGGCTATCTTGACAAGACGGACCATCTCATGTTTGCTGGTATAACATACGCCTCCGAAACGGAAATACCATGGCGAAGATGGAGACGAGACTTTGGAATCGGAGTCAGTATTGGACCGAAGAATGAAAAGACGGATGACATCTCAGTAGCTTACGCCTTGTTCCTAACCTCGCATAAAATTTCCTACTTCATTCTAGCTTTGGCCTTTCATTACCCAAATCACCAGAGATGAATGTGCAGTATTCGGTGATGACATGCAGCTACTGGACGTATCCTGAATACTATGCTTGGCAGGTCAATCAAGAACTTCTGTTTCAGAATACGCCGACTAACTTCGTCTTCTGCGACTTGACCGTAGTTAGTTAATGATTCGGAGGTTTGTCTCATAAGCTATTCCCAATCAGGTACGGGGTTTCCTTCTATCCAAGGCTCACAGGTAATAGCGAAGAACTAACCTCAGGGGGTCAGTATCGAGCGAGAGCTACGATATTCCGCTAAGATATCTGCCCAGCACCAGATCTGAAACAAGAATCAAGGGATCCAGCCAGAACCCGTTCCTCGTGGCGTCAGCTGCATGTCGGGCGACCACTCGGAACAATGATCAGGCACATCCACCCCAAACCAGTTAAATTGCCGGGCGATTTACTCACAACTTCATCGTGGGAAGAACTACAAAGCAGAGTGACAGGGTATGAGATGCGTCTCATGAGCCGCCGCCCTCGATCAATCATCGAGCGGTCCGTCTTCGGCGCTTGGAATTCCCCTCGTACTCACATTCCTGCCAATTTCAAATATGGCCAGAATTTTCATAAGGACTCGGCTTCCTGCTCGCGGAATTTGGCATTGGCTCATTCTTCGTCTCGTCTTTGCTATGGCCCTCGCAATAACTCATAGTACGTGCTTTAGGCCGCATGAAACAACTATCTTGGTACCTCTCAAGGACATTGTTTGTCTCACTGAATTGAGTGGCTTCCTGACTTTTCGAGTCTTTACTTGGCCCTGGATCCAATCGAAATCAAGAGCCCGTTCTTGATTTTGTCGGCTTTTAAACTCTTGATTCGTATTGCCCGTCAGTGGACCCTGGTCAGGCTCATACTTATCGGATCTCGCCTCTATAAACCGGTCTATTCCCCTGCCGATAACATTCGTTATCATCGTGATATTTACTATTCAACTGCAAGATAAACCACCGCACTGAATCATTTGAGCGATCCTCTACAAGCATACAAAACCCCCGATACCGCACAATAATGCAGGGGATATTTTCCATCATCGTCACGGTCTTCACCCTAGTGTCGGCCGTGCAATCTGTGGCCGTCCTAGTACCTCTCTACACATGGCCCGGAACAAATAGCTGGCAACCAGTCTACGACGCACTAGCAGCCCATCCATCGACGGTATTCTATCTGATCGTCAATCCGCAAAGCGGACCAGGGCCCTCGGCATTCCCCCAAGAAGTCCTGACCACAGCCATCGCAAAGCTAAACAGCTACGGCAACGCCAAGCTCCTAGGCTACATCTCGACAGTGTACGGTAATCGAGCCATTGCAGATGTGCAGCGTGAAGTCGGCGTCTACTCCAACTGGGCCTCCTACAAGGGCAAGAACATTGCCGTTGACGGGATCTTCTTCGATGAGGGATCAGACGGATCAGACGCGTCAAAGCTCGATTATTACCAGCACATCTCAAAGACTGCCAAGAGCAACAACCTCATCATCGTCGTCTTCAACCCAGGCTCTAAAATCGTGGCCAGTGCCCCCGAATGGTTTGCCGCTGCTGACTTGATCGTTGAGTATGAGAATACCTGGGAAAAATGGGTTTCCGCTGCACCGTCTAATCACCTCTCTGATATCAAATACTACCATAAGGATGCGATTATGATTCAAAAGTCTCCTGGAGATGCTAGTCTTACTGATGTTGCTTTCTTGGCTAGTAGTATGGGTCTTGGTGCTCTTTATGTCACTTTTGATGATAGCTATATGACTGATATGTCTATTACTTCGGTTTCAAAGGTTGCTCTTGGTGTTAATACGATGTTTCCACGGGATGGAATTTTTACGGGAGAGGTGGTGCGTCTACGCTAGTCTCAAGGGGTTTGAATCACTTTTTTTTTTCCGCTCTCTTCTTTTACTGCCTTCTGGTATCAAACAAAATATAATTTCTAGTTCGAACAACAGCCGCATTGTACCATGTACCATAGGTTACTAGTGTACTCCAATGTGAAGAAGTAAAATGTTCTAGTCAAATGATTTCTAGGACGTTGTGTAGACGTAGCCGCCATGGTAGAACATATAGATGCAGCCGTAACCAAAATACCTTTATTCTCACTCCAAGCCCTTAGCCCCATCTTGATAAGGCCGCAGATCATACTCATCAGGATACGTCTCGAGGATCCTCTTCAGCTCAGACATCTGCTCCCGCTGTTCCTCGGTAATCTCCTCATAAACATCCCTAAATGCCTCCCGAAGAGGTGGCTTCTTCTCCCGCTCCGCCTCCCCAAACTCTTTAAGCACAGCCTTGCGCATCTCATCCCTGGTTTCCTTCTCCATATCCTCATTCCAAAGCCCCTGATTCTCAAGCCACTTCCGCAGCCGAATAATAGGATTATCACGACGTTTCCAATCCTCAACTTCGACCCGCGCACGGTATGCAAAGCTATCATCTGAGGTACTGTGATGTGAGACACGGTAACTCATCGCTTCGATGAGCACAGGGCGTCCGCCATCGCTGAGGGCTAGACGTCGTGCTTCTTTCATTGCTTCGTGTACGGCGAAGACGTCGTTTCCGTCTACGCGGATCGTGTCGATTCCGTAGCCTACGCCTCGGCTGGCAATCCCGTCGCCGCGGTATTGTTCCAGTGTTGGGGTTGAGATTGCGTAGCCGTTGTTTCGGCATAGGAATACTACCGGGCAGGATCTCGTTGCGGCGATGTTGAGGGCGGCGTGGAAATCGCCTTCGCTGGCAGCGCCTTCGCCAAAGTAGCAGGCCACGATACGTGGGTCTTTCGTTGGGTTTTGCATATCTTGCAATTTTAGCGCGTAGGCTGCGCCTGCTGCTTGGGGAATTTGGGTTGCTAGAGGTGAGGAGATAGTGTGCTATTGGAGTAAGTTAGCCTAGAGCTGTTCTTGTATCAAATCAAAGGTACGAACCATGCGAGGGTAGTTTTGTCCATAGTGAACGGGCATGTTTCGGCCTCGGCCAGTATCATTGCAATTGGCGAAAAGTTGACTCATGAAATTCTTTAAGGTAAATCCTCGTTGCTGGAATACTCCAGCTTCACGGTATTGGGCAAACACCACATCGTCCGGTGTAAGGGCGGCGGCAGATCCCACGGTAATGCCTTCTTCGCCAGCGGAAACCTGCATAGATTGGTTAGACACCTCACATGCTCTTTCTGGGGCCTTCCAACTCACCATGTAGAAACTCAGTCGACCCTGCCGCTGTGCCTCGAACATGACCACATCCATGACGCTAACTAGATACAGTCAATCCCTTGATTCCTCGATGGCTGGACACCGTACTGACCAGACAACATATTTTTGTACCAGGTCAACACCTCCTCATCAGTAACATCAGGAGCTGGTCTCGTCTTATCAACCAATTCGCCATCCGAATCCAACACTCGGTAGGTAGGGATAGCGGGCAAATCCGAGGCTTTGAGGAAGGTCATATCGGTGGTAAACCTGCTATTGACGGCACCGGGAAAGCGAACACTGCATCACATTCCAGTTAGCTCGTCCCAATAACGAAACACCAGACTTTGAAATCCCCCTCACCTGTCCGACCCAGGCCGCTGCGAAATAGAGCTACTCCATCTCCGTGCGGGGGAGCCGTATGTTGTCGCTGCAATCTGGCTGCGAACGAGCCCACGTCGGGCCAGGAGCTTCATAGACATCATTGATTGCCGTGGTATTAACATGCTTGCAGTCTTTCTGTATGAAAGGGGGGACATGTGGGATGTAGTTGCGTCTTGTTGCGTCTTGAATGTCCGGGGCAGATGCGGAGAGACTCGGTTGGCCGCGGGGGTGACGCCAATGCCGACGCCAACCGAGTCATGTGGTTTGGGGGAGTTTTGAGCTCGGCACGCAGTGTTGAAGAGACACAATCATGGACCACTAAAGTGAACCCGAGGAAAGGCTAACTTTATCTGACTTCTTTGTTAAGCGTTTTGATGGAATTAGAGGATCGCATTCTCTCTCTTGGCCGAAAATCTTTTTCATCACATCTACAATTCAACAACCGGCGTGTTCATTCGTTCTGTGACATGCAGGGATCACATTGTTTGATTCACCCATCTTGATGGTAGGGCTGGGCATGGCCCCGTTCCGTCATCAAATTCTGCATTTACCCGAAATAGGTAGGCCTGTCATAGATAGGAGCCTAGCAGGAGCAAGTCGTATTGGAAATAAGATAGCAGATCTTGACGGGAAGATAAAGGCTGGATTGGGGGTATCCTCATTCGCGATGGCGGATCTATATCTCGGTGTTGGCTGGCATCTGACTCGACATCCAGGGGGAGCAACGCTGAAAGGATCAAAGACCCTGGATTTGTAAGTGGCGTTCAGGGACCCCAATGAAAAGATCGTACCTGAGGGTAGAGGGAATGTTCGTCATCATACTATGACGGCAATTCCCCACTACTTATTTCCTTGCTGGACGCTATGACATAGCCGCATGCTTCACGTCAATGCCATTATATCTTCGTTTTGAAGTCCATATCTTTTTGCAATACATTTACATCCAACACAATGCTAGACACCGATCACGTCCAGAAGGTATTAAATACCGAGATCAGCACTCCCATCCCAGAGCCCATGGTGAAGAAGATCACATCCCTACCGCCATTCATCGCCATACCAGGTGTCCAAAACTTCCGCGACCTAAGCCATGACGATAACAAGTTGCGCCCGGGCTTTGTCTACCGATCCGGTAATCTCTCAGACATCATGGACTCGGGAAAGTCCATAATTGCCAGCGAACTCGGAATCACCACCATCTTCGACCTGCGAAACGAGGGCGAGCGACAAAAGGCCCCGCCCCCTTCTCTTCCTGGAGTGGATACGGTCTGGATGCCATATGGAGCGCGCCCGGCTACTTTGAACCTGCGCGACTTTGCCGGTGAAGACAAGGGCACGAGCGGGTTTGTGAAGATGTACTCTGGTATCCTCGAGGCTGCGGTTCCTGGATTCACCGAGGTCTTCAAGCACATTCGAGATAACCCCCATGATCCATTTATCTTCCATTGTTCGGGTTAGTATTTGTGTCCGCTTGTCCCTCGGGTGGAGGAGACATATGCTAACCGCACCTCTTCTATACAGCCGGTAAAGATCGCACCGGAGTCCTCTCATCTCTCATTTTGCTCTTAATCGATCGGCCTAATGAAGAAATCATCAACGATTATATTCTCACCCGAGTCGGGTTGGAAAGCGCCCGCGAGAATCTCATGGAGGCCTTTGCCCTGAACATGGATGCTGACCAAGTAGATATCAGCCAATTGAGCCCCGAGGCTCTGGGCATGCTAGAATTATGTGGTGTTCGTGCTTCTGCAATGGAAGCATTCTTGAACTCATTCAAGAGTCAGTATGAGAACGGCGTGGAGGGGTATCTGACCACTCGACTCGGATTTTCGGCAGAAGACGTGTCGATGATGCGCACGAACCTGACTTCGGAGTAAAGGACCGATTTCGGATGTCAATAGAGACAGATATGTATACTAGATGTCACAGCATGGGCTGCAGTTTAACTAGACCAATTCACGAGGTTATGTTGTCGACGCTTTACCGTTGAGTACTTGGAACCAAGGGATGAATTTCAAGACATTCGTACTCTTGTACATCATTTTCTAAGTAAGGATGAATACTACTACACACATACACCTAACACTGTTTTGTACTGCGTACCTATTGCCGAGATCCAATGATCCAATGAAACAAGCATCAGCCCAACCCGTATAGCTCCTCCACGACCCCCTCTCCGTATTAACTCCACTGCAGATCATCGCATCCTCCCGCTGCCCAAGCCTTTCTTGGACATTTAGGCCTTGATCCCGCGGTTACTCGCTACTTGCCATTGCTACCGTTGCTTTTCCCCGCTCGAGAGATGCAGCTGCAATCAAAACCCTACATATGCTGCCGACCAGCCCTCAGACCACGCATTTCTTTTAACCGGAGTGGCGGGAAAATGTACTTGGTGGGTCAAGTGTACTTTCAAGTGCGATGTTTTTCCGTTGATTAACTTGGTGACCAAGTGATAAATGGCCTGCTTTCCCCTGATCACTGACAGGGCGCTTCGGTACTTTGCTTCTGTACTTTACTTTCGCTTTCTGCCGCTATGCATCTCTGGAAGCAGCTCGTGCTGGCTGCGCTTCCGTGTCTCCCAACTGCTTTGGGACAAAGTGTTCTGGACCTGAGCGGTGATGGGTGGACGGTTAGTAGCAAGGCGCTGAATATCAGTGTCCCCGGTCGTGTTCCTTCGCAGGCGCATCTAGATCTGTTTGCTGCTGGTGCTATTGGTATGCTTACTTGGAATCAAATCGTGGGATTCGGTTTTGATAAAAGTCACAGATGATCCGTTCGTTAATCTTGGTCACTTATGTTGTCTCAAACTAACATGGTTTACTTCAAAGTTACCACGGTCTGAATGATTTTGACTTGCGTTGGGTTGGAAACAATAACTGGACATACACGAGCAAACCAATTCAAGGCTTGTATGTAACACTCACTACGCTCTTACTACTATCGCTATCGCTAACAATTTAAAGGTCAAATAAGTCCAAGTCGTCTTGGCTTGTGTTTAATGGACTGGACACTTTCACAACCATCGAATTCTGCGGACAGTTCATTGGAACCACTGACAACCAGTTCCGCCCATACACTTTCGACATCTCTGATGCATTGAGCAGGTGCAAAGGCTCGCCAACTGTATCACTGAACTTTGGAAGTGCCATCAAGATTGCCAACGATATTGCTGCCCAACCCGATGCTCCAGGTGAGTCCTCGCAGGGACACCTGAAGGCCACGTTCTAACTTATATTCAGAATGGCCTGCCGGAGTCCAAGGAACATTTGAATTCCCCAACCGCTGGTTCATCCGCAAAGAGCAATCCGACTTTGGTTGGGATTGGGGTCCAGCCTTCTCGCCAGTTGGACCATGGCAAAATGTGTACCTCGTACAGTTCGAGCGCGACGAGGGCGCGTATGTCCTCAACACCGATCTTGACATCTACCGAAAGAACCAGGTCAATCATATTGCCCCGGATCAGAGTCAGCCATGGGTTGTGAATGCAAGTATCGACTATCTTGGCTCTCTCCCCAGCAAACCGTCCATGGCCATTGAAATCAAAGAACTCGAGTCGGGCAAAGTTCTGAAGTCTGGATCACTTGACAACATTTTCATGACCGAGCAAACTATCACGGGTACCACCGTGGTCGACGCAGACGCAGCCAACCTCTGGTGGCCCGCAGGTCTGGGCAAGCAGAACCTGTACAATATCACAGTTACAATTCAGGATAAGAACCAAGACTTGGTGAGTGTCACTAAGCGCACTGGCTTCCGCACCATCTTCCTCAACCGATCGAACATCACCGAAGAGCAGTTAGCTCAGGGTATTGCCCCAGGCGCCAATTGGCATTTCGAGGCCAACGGCCGTGAATTCTACGCCAAAGGATCCAATCTGATTCCGCCAGACGCTTTCTGGCCCCGAGTCACAGAGGCCAAGATGCAGCGACTATTTGATGCCGTTGTCGCCGGAAATCAGAATATGCTCCGGGTCTGGTCTTCTGGTGCTTACCTCCCAGACTTCATGTACGATCTAGCTGATGAGCGTGGCGTCCTGCTGTGGAGTGAATTCCAATTCAGCGATGCTTTGTACCCGACAGATCAACCGTTCTTGGACAACGTTGCAGCTGAAGTTGTCTACAATGTTCGACGCGTCAACCATCATCCCTCGCTTGCACTATGGGCTGGTGGAAACGAGATCGAAAGCTTGGAATTACCAGAGGCAGAGGAAAAGGCACCAGAGCGATACGCATACTACGTAGGCGACTACGAGCACCTTTTTATTACCTTGATCCTTCCCCTGGTCTACGAGAACTCGCGCTCAATCTCGTACATGCCCAGTAGCACAAACAACGGGTTCCTAGAGGTCGACCTCTCCGCCAAAATCCCCATGGTCGAGCGCTACGACAACGGCACAGACGCAGCAGGATATTACTACGGAGACACAGACTACTACAACTACGACAGCAGCGTAGCCTTCGACGTCGAAGGCTACCCAGTCGGACGATTTGCCAATGAATTTGGCTACCACAGCATGCCAAGTCTACAAACCTGGCAGCAAGCCGTCGACGACGAAGACCTCCATTTCAACAGCAGCACCATCATGCTCCGGAACCACCACTATCCCGCCAATGGACCTGATACCCATAACTACAAGAATACATCCATGGGAATGGGCGAAATGACACTGGCTGTGCAGCGATACTACCCAACACCCAACAAACACGACGCCGTCGCGAACTTCAGTGCTTGGTGTCATGCGACACAGCATTTCCAGGCCGACATGTACAAATCCGAGATCCAATTCTACCGGCGTGGCAGTGGAATGCCTGAGCGGCAGCTTGGTTCTTTGTATTGGCAGCTAGAGGATATCTGGCAAGCGCCGACGTGGGCTGGGATTGAGTATGATGGGCGCTGGAAGGTGCTTCACTATGTTGCGCGTGATGTCTTCAAGCCAGTTATCGTTTCTCCGTTCTGGAATTCTTCGACTGGGGATTTGGATGTCTATGTTACTTCTGATCTCTGGGAGGACGTTCGTGGAACGGTGAATCTTACTTGGGTTGATTTGGCTGGGCGGCCGATATCTGGGAACGCCGGGACGCCGAAGAGCAAGGAGTTCTCTGTTGGTGCGCTGAATACTACGAACATCTATTGGACTAATGTATCGAAGCTGTCTTTGCCAAATGTGCAGGATGCTGTTTTGGTTATTGACCTCCTTGCTCGGAGTCATCTTCCTAATTCTGAGAGTGAGGCTTTGACTACGTTTACCCACCGGAATCAGATTACACCTGTCTATCCTAAGGATCTCCAGCTCAAAGATCCAAAGCTCAGTCTATTGCATGATGCCAAGTCCGGTGTGTTCACCGTTGAGGCGAAGAGTGCAGTCTCGCTGTACACTTGGATTGATTACCCCGCTGGTGTGGTGGGATACTTTGAAGACAACTCATTTACCCTGATTCCTGGCGAGAAGAAGACTTTCAAGTTTGTTGTGCAGAAGGATGAGACTGGTGGGAAGTGGGTGGATGGTGTTACTGTGCGGAGCATGTGGGATCAAACCACGTCCTGAAAAGCTCATACACTATATGTCCTTACATTTCTCCTCGCTATAACTAGGGTAATCAACTTGTTTACAGTGCCATTTCATACACCATCTATGCCTTAACTTGGCCTCTCTGTTTTTGCCTCTTTTTGCTCATTTTCGAGTGCTTCGGATAACTCAACAATGAAGCGAGCCAAAGGACTTATGACCCATGTTGTACTTTGATCACTAGAGAAACAACAGTGTCTTGTCAACATGCAGCATGTTCTACGCTATATACGTAAAGTTTGGGTTGCTCCAAAATGGAAGTCATTAGATTCATCATTAAAATATTCTAGTCTAGTCTATCTGGTAATATCGACTTTTTTCCACTCGAAGAACCTCCAACTGGCCCACTGCCAAAAGCTCCCATGTCATCCTATTAAGCACATTCCACTCTAAAGAAGACGAGAAACGCAGTAAACTAGTAATGCTTTAATCCCTCGTGAGCTTCGCCCGCAAGCGAGCACCAAACACGTAAAAGACATATGGAATAAAAACCATAGCAACCCCGATAAAAGCAAGCAGCCAAGAAGCCCACTGCAAGCCTAGACGGTCATACATCTGAGTAGTAAACAACGGGAAAGCCGCACCGCCACCAGAGCGCAAGAAAACCTTGGCCGCCAAGGCAGAAGCCGCATACTTCTGGTACGAATCAATAATATAATTATTGACGGCATAATAGCAAAGCACCATGCCAAAGCCAAACGCAATACCTGAAGAAGCAGGCCCAACCCAAATAATATGCTTGTAGGAAGTAGCGCCGAGCAAGAACAATGCAATTGGAATAAATGGGGCACCGATCAATGCAGCGATGAGCCGGTCTTCGGGTGTTGGCGAGCGAAGACTACAAATCTTCTTGAAATTCTTCTCGATGAGCGGTGTGATGACCAGTGCGAACGCGGCACCGATCAGGATCGGAATGAACATGAGACCGATCTGGCCGTCGTTGTAGTTGTATAGTTTGCCGAAGATGACTGGGTATGCGAAAAAGAAGGCGTATAGCATTGCGTAGATGAGGACGATGTACATGCACATCAGATCGAGGACGGGTTCGGTCATAATCATTGTGATGGGGCGGATGAGGCTTGTGCGAGCGATATCACCAAAAGTGAGTTTCGTCTTTTCTTGCTCCGTGATGATATTCGGGTTTCCGGTTTCCTTGCGAAGCTTTGCGGCGCGACGTTTGAGAATTATCGGGGCATATGTCTCTGGCACGAGGCCGACGAGGACCATGACTGCGCCTGCGAATGCTAGGTTCACCCAGTAGAAAAGGTCTAGACGGCCGCTGCCGACGTTTATCCAGCCTGTTACGATTGGCCCGAGGACGGGTCCGCAGTATGGGGCTGCGGCGAAGTAGGCAATTGCCATGCCGCGCTCTTCGATGCTCCAGATGTCGGCGATTGTGCCTCCTGCTAGGGAGAGTCCTGAGCTGGAGAATACGCCGCAGAGGAACCTGCACACAAGGAGACCACCGATATTCGGGGAGAGGGCACAGGGGATGTTGAAGATGACGTAGAGACCGAGGGAGATGATGTAGACGGGTCTTCGGCCTATGATCTCTGAGAGGGGGGACCAGAGGAGTGGGCCGACTGCGAAACCGCAGACCATGATTGAGCAAGTTAGGATTGCTACTTCGAGAGAGACGTTGTATTGGTCTTCGATTAGACCCAGGCCGCCAGTGACGATTGAGGAGCCGAAGGCGACGCAGACGACCAGGGTTGAGGCTACCATGGTGATGTACCATCGGTAGGCGCGAGACCAGTTGTAGGGGTGTTCGGGGTCGTTGATCGTGAATGTTACAAATTCCGTGGGGCCATTTCCTCCTTTTTCAAGATCCGTGTCTCTTTCGTGGGCTGGTGTTGCAACCTGAGTCGATGAGACGGATCCATGCGATCGGATTTGCTCGAGGGTCCTCTGGGGGACGAGGCCGGTGCTTGTTTCGATGACATATTCCTCAGGAAAGACAGGGTCTGTATTATGGCCAATAGCTGGATAATTGGGCTCTAATGCATGAGGGCTTTCAGTGATGCCCCGGCTGCGAAGGGTTTCTAGTGTTTCAGTCTCGGGTTGAGGTAGAGGCTCAGCAGCTTCTGAGTGTGGTTCAGGTATCGTCGAAGACATGTTGAGATGTGTGAAGGGTCAATGAAGTAAAAAAGATTGGATTGTACATGAATGTTGGAACTACAGAACTGGAAGTGACGCACTCTTTATATCTTGCGTAGCTGTGACAAAGAGCTTCCGTATATACTTGTAGGCCGACTGATCTCCGAGATAGACCGCGCCATACCGGGAGTTCGGGACACCAGAAAATGACGCATTCCAGAGGATTGATAGACGCAGGGCGGCTCGTGTCTCGCCAAGGAGCGACAGAATAGATGACATTTAGAGTCACTGACGCATTTGGTAAGCGATATCATGCCGGTAATAGTTCGGTCCGAGCTAATGCCGAACAAAGTATGTAGTCTGGACTTTTCTCGGCGCTGATTTTGTCTGATATCTGCATCTGACACATCAGTTATTTGTTTGTATTGAAAACGTCAAAGTTTCCAGAATGCAGTAATTGGGAAATTTTGAAACTTGATTGTGATACAATGACCGCGATCTCACTGCCAGCGCCAACGACCAGGTGAACCGATGACATATTGAAAGACAATAAAAGGAGCTTTACTTCAGACACATATTGAAAGCAATCGGAGAATAAGTCCTCGTTATAGAAAATGTAATCTGGTAAGCTCCTAAGAAAGCTAACGCAACGAATGACATGTCTCAAAAAAAGGCATTTACTGCCGGATCAGATTACATAGCTTGGTCCATCATATCCTATCGCATCCAGACCCAGGAACAGCCCTATGACCAGGATGTGACCGATGCTGGTAATTTTAGTCGCTCCGATGTAAAAACAGGGCCAATCAAGGTGTGGTACTGTATACCGGGATCAAGCACGCATAGAGCAACGGGTCGAGGATATCGTAGTGGGGAATGGATGGGACTGGGTGGACATATATAGACATCATACCTGCCGGATCATGATCTCGTGTTTCTACTATTTCTACTATTTGCCTTGTCACCCCTTGCCAGGCGAAATGCCATTACTTTTTGTGACTTGATCTACAGCTGAACCCAGTATGGTAAGACGGCCACGAAAAACATTGCAATCGTTATTTCATATACATATATGCAGAGTATTGCGCCCAAAACCCCCAAACTGAATGCATCCCAATACCGTTATGCAAAAGGACCTAGTCAAGTCCACAATTACCACTTGTTATCGAAAACCTTGCCATCGACATAGTTGACCATCTCCTTGACAGGCGAGAGGTGGTCACGACCAGCGCCGAACAGCATACCCTGACGCAAGACATTACGGTAGTTCTTGCCAGGCGACACTTTTCCAAGAACATACTCCTGGCGGGTCTCGACACGGGTGGGGACAGGAATAGAGCGACCCACCACGGCCTCCATACCCTGCCAAGCGAATGTGATGGCCTCCTTGGCGCCACCAGGGATACCGGCCTCGTCGAGCATGAGAATGCGAGTGTTAGGATAGTTCTCCTGGATGAAGGCGGCAATGTTGGGGTTATACGCGCCGCCGCCGCACATGAAGATCTCGGCGATTTCAAGGTCCTTGGGGGCGTAGCGGCGGTAGTGGTCGACAATGGCCTGGGCGGTGACGCGGGTGATCGTCGCGACGACGTCGTCAGGCTTGAGGCCCTTGGCTTCGGCCTTCACAATTAGATCGTGGGCGAGAGTGTCGCGGAAAACTTCACGGCCGGTCGTCTTAGGGGGTTCAAGGGCGAAGTAGGGGTGAGTCAGGAAATCATCGACAAGTTCCTGGTCGACGGTACCGCGGGCACCCATCTCACCATCCTGGTCGTACTCGCGCGTTCCATTGGTATAGTGGCGGACAACGGCGTCGATGAAGACGTTTCCAGGACCGGTGTCGAAATCATAGCAGGCGTCCACACCGCCGTGGGTGTCCGGCAGGACAAAGCAGACATTGGCAATTCCGCCGATGTTCTGGCACGCACGCAGCTTGGTGGGGTGGTGCAGCACTAGTGCATCGAAGAATGCGATAAGGGGCGCTCCCTGGCGACCGGCGGCTTGATCACTGACCCGGAAGTCTGTAACCGAGGTGATACCTGTGCGCGAGGCAAGGAAGGTGCCCTCTGCCATTGTCAGAGCACTACGCGTCTCACCGGCCTCGGGCATAGAGAGAAGCCAGATGGTCTGGCCGTGGGAGCCTAGGACATCGATGGTGTTGATGTCGACCTTGTAATCGGCGCAGAACTGATGCACGGCGGAAGCAAAGGTCTCGCCCAGAATGACATTCACTTCCGACAATTCAGACGGAGACGTCTTGTTGTGCAGAATCATGTTCATGACTCGCTTCTTGATCACAGGCTCCAATGGGATTTCTCCATACTAACTATTGGTCAGGTTCCTGTACTATGGAGATACAGCTCGGGGTTACTTACCTTGAGCAATTCAAAGTGCATGGGAGACTCGGGAGTTTCCTGACAGAAGCGACAAAGAGCGCAGTCAATGCCATCCTGTTACTGTAAGTACAAGATATTTACAGCTGTGAATGAATACAACTCACCATCGAGGTTCCACTGTTCAACCCCAGAACAGTAATGTCCAACGCCTGGTTGGCAGATCGGTGAATTCCATTTGAAGCCATCTTGTGCAGTGTAGAAGAGAAAGAAAAAAAAGCAAAGTAGGAGAAAACAGGGAATATTTAACAGCTCCGGCCCGTCCAGTGGAGACCAAAAATGTAATTTCGCCATTCCTCTAGATCGCGATAGTCCGCCAGAAGGGATGATCGCTTAAATGCCTATTCTGCCAAAATCCTGAATGCTAAATGGCTACACGCTTGAGACCCAGTGTGGCTTGAAACTCCCCGCGTCAAACTCGAGCTCCATCTCGATCGCCCCAGCTCACCCATTGCCGGACCCATACGGCTTCGTCAGCCTAAACCCCGTGCTCGACCGTTTACCTCATTGGGATCGATTCCTGGACACAATTACATTTCGGCTATGGGCTACACAACCCTGTGGAAGCGGCTTTCGCCGCGTCAGCTGAATGTGGCCATTCAAACCTTTTCGCTGATTTCCATTTTTTTCGAGGGCTATGACCAGGGTGTGATGGGCGGCGTGAACAGCTCACCAACATATGTGACTGAGGTCGGAATTGGCAAGGCTGATGGTACAGTCACCGATACCACTCACCAGGGAGGCATTGTCAGCGTGTACTACCTGGGTGCGATCTTCGGTTGCTTTGCTGGCGGATGGCTTGCAGATCGAGTTGGCCGGATCAACGGCCTACTAGCTGGCTCACTGTTCGCCTTGGTGGGTGGCGCGTTGCAGGCGGCTGCTCAAAATTCGGACTTCATGATCTGTGCGCGAGTGGTTACAGGAATCGGCACTGGTGGTGAGCATCCTTGCTAGTGTGCGTTAGTCTTCAGGATAAAGATATCCGGGGATGCACGAGAGTGACCTCTTTTCTGACTTGTCGCACAGCTCTTACCGGCATCACCCCTGTGTTGGTGTCCGAGACCTCTTCGGCGAATCACCGTGGTGGCTTTTTGGGTTATGTGTTCATTGCCAATTGTGAGTTCATGCGATCTGATCCATCTGAAGTGGGGAATGCTAATTGGGACTTTTGTCAGATCTCGGTATTTCCGTCGCATATTGGATCTCCTTCGGCCTCGCTTTTGTGAACAACGGTTACTCGGACGTACGATGGCGGTTCTTGCTCGCATTCCAATGTTTCCCGGCTCTCATCCTGGCAGCGGGCATCAAGATGCTGCCGGATAGTCCCCGCTATCTAGCGTCAGTGGGACGGAAGGAAGAAGCGCGCGATCTGCTGAATAGGATTCGTGGAGGCCGATTCCCTCAGGAGGAGATCGATCGCGAATACCTCGAGATTATCACAACCGCCCAGGACAGTAAGCCCAGCTCTCCAGTTGAGTTTGTCAAAATTCTAGTTGGAAAGAGTGGAAAGCCAGGCTTGAACCTAGGCCGTCGTGCATGGCTATGTGTTTGGCTGCAGATTATGGCCTCTTGGACTGGTATCACTGTGAGTCTGCAAGGTGGACTGCGCCTGTTATATTAAGTGGCTCACAATGACATCAGGCCGTGACTGCGTATTCCCCCACACTTCTGGCTCAAGCTGGATACAGTGACATCAAGCAAAACGGATTGGCCGGAGGTATCAACACGATCGGAATCATCGGTACCATTATCAGTGCTCAGATCATTGATCGCCTGGGCCGACGAGTGTGTTTGATGGGCGGAGCTGCTGTTTTGTTCGCAGTCAACCTGATTGTAGGTTAACCCTACGGTTAAGATGTACTTTTTTCTGACCTCTATAGGCTGGAGCTGTTTACGAGGGATCTCTGCACAATCCCGAAAAGGCAGCTCAATATGCGCCGGGCGCGGTCACTATGCTCTTTTTGTTCAATCTGGGGTAAGGTTTACCCCTCGCGTCTGTCCAAAGCTTACTGACATGATGTATAGATACGCCGCAACCTGGGGTACAGTTGCTTTCTTAGTCCCCACCGAGATCTTCCCGAGTGATCTGCGAGCTCAAGGAAATGGATTCGGAATCACTGGGTGGGCCATCGGTGTGGGTATGACCACTTTGGTTAACCCGATCATGTTCAACGTCATGACTGTGAGTTCTAAGCATTGAAGGGCCACCTAATGAACAATACTGATCACCTCTCAGAGCCGTACATATTTCTTGTTTGCCGGTCTGAACCTAATCTGGATTCCCATTGTCTATCTGTGTAAGTTGAAACATTGCCTCGGAACTATGTTACATCATCTAACAAGATTATTCTTAGTCTACCCCGAAACCCGCAACCGATCCCTCGAATCCATCGATGCCTTGTTCTCCACCACTAGTCCCTTCTACTGGAAGATGGAACAGGCTTATAAACTCCACGGTGATGTTCTGGCTGAGCATGGAGTTACCAAGAGCGACGAAGCCCTTGAGATTGGCAAGCCCGAGCTTACTTCGACACCTGCCGAAATCGATGCCGAACGCCCAGTCACCGGCAAAACTGCAACCGTCTAATGCATATTTGCATCAAAACCAGCGCTATAATCATGTTCAGCTCTATGCTGACGCCACACATGAACACATGTATAGGATCATGTAAATCTAGTTACCCGCACATAATGTTTTATAGACCCCTCCCCCCAGCTATTGGGATAGAACTTATTATTCAGATTATCACTTATTACTATCATTATCAAACATGTCAATCTCATCAAATTGAACACTTTTCCCTCTAATCGCCAAGTCTGATCCCGAAGTCAATGACACGGTGCTGACTCAGCATCATTGGCAAAGTCGACATTGACTTTTATCCTTCAGACACCGTTCAATTGCTTGATCATCGATGAGTTCGGAAAGGTCCACTGCTTAAGCTTCTTTTCCCTTCATTTTGGTGCCTTTTTCCCATTCTGCCTCCGCAGTCTTACCCCAGGAATTCTTGAGAACCGTTGCGAACCCCGAACCCCGTGTTCCAAGCTCCGGGGCCCGCGATTTCTTGTGGGCTGCCGTTGCCACCCCCAACAGCTCACTCCTGGAATGAATTAATGGATTGAATGTCGCAAAAACCACGGAAGCTCCAACGCGTTTCGAAAGCCTGTAAGTGCTCCCCGCGTTCAATTCATTCCACCCGCTCCACTCGCACTTGGCAGCAAAATGCCCCAGACTGCAAAAAGCTCTGAGCTGACCCCATTTCAGGCGACTTCTGCAATAGGCGCAGCATCAAGTGCGGCAGAAGTGAAGACCCGTTAGGCAGGTGTCAGAATTGCGCCGATTTTGATGTCCCGTGCACCTTCGATCGCCCCGCAAAGCGTCGGGGCGTCAAGGCTGGCACGAGGGCTCCTATGCGCGAGACGCCGTTGGTGAGAACCCCTGGCTCTGACCATGCCATCCCTGTGGCTACTGCGCCGGCAACAGGGAGGACGTCGGGCTCCTCTGGTTCGAGAAGCTCGTACTACCCTGAGTCTGCGCATCGCCCGTCCTTGACTGGTGATCCCTGGTCGACGTTCAACGTCGGCGGGGTAGCAGCGGAAGGGTACGATGATGACGGCGCTTTGCGCAACTCTTGGAATGCTTTTGCTATTGCTAGTGATCGCCAGATCCGAAATCTTGTGCAAGTTTATTTCGAGATCGTTTATCCTATGTAAGATCCTTATCAATCACCCTTTTTATCTGATCGTGTGACTTACCGTTTTCAGTTTCCCGCTCTTCCACAAGCAATCTTTTATTGAAAGAGTACATAATCAAGAGCATCTTCGAGACCCGGGATTATTTGCCTCGACCATGGCAGTCTGTGCTTTGGTGTCTGGCCGCGCACGAGATGGGGCGCTGTTCACGAACAGGTGGCACCGCGATGAGCTGGCTGAGCCGCCATCAGAAGCCTTTTATGCAGCGGCCAAAGACTCCATCCCACGAGACCTTGCCTCAGCCAAGGGCATAAATTATATGCGCGCATGTGCTATTCTTGCCATTGCCAGTATTCAAAATGGCCAGATAAAGAACATGCAAAAGTTCTCCGGCATGTATCATACTTTGACCAGCATGGAGGGACTTCACGACGAGAAGCTATGGCCGAAGCATTTGACTCCTATTGAAACTGAGGAGCGACGGAGACTAGTATGTACATTTTACCTTCCAAATGTCGCAATTGCTAACCAATGACCCAAAGTTCTGGTCCATCTACACTCTGGATATCTATTCTAGCATCGTGTGGGGCGGCGTGATTAGATATCGTGAAGCTCACTCTCTGGTACGATATCCAAGTGAAATTGACGACGAGTTCATCACAGTACACGGATACGGCATGCCGCCCGTGTCTCCAGCGTCGAGCGTGCTCAGCCCGGGAGAAGTGAGGGTAGTCTCACGGCAGCCCCTAGCATGGCTTCGCGGCTGGAACTTCACTACGGATCTTTATCGGATCCTTGAACATGTAGTGGATGGCAACCGGCGTCGCTTCTCTTCCGCAAACGGGACTGCACAGGTGTGGTCATTATTCAGCCCAGCATCGATGTCAGAAGAAGCAGTGATGGACCGGGTCTATTCCATGTACGCTGCACTGCCATCACAGTTTAAGGAAACTCCTCCTACTACTGGCGACATGGCCAAAGATCTATTCGGGTTCCAGTCTGCCAATATCACGGCAACTTTACAGCTTCTCCGCATGGTGCTTCTCTCTGCGGAAGAACTTGGCGTTGATCGCAAGTGCAACGTCGCTGGAGAGCTGCTTAGTGTTTTCAGCAAGGTTCCTGTGGAGTACCTCAAGGCTATCAGCTCGCCTCTGGTATGTGCAGATATCATTCCCATTGGAAGCATATTACTAACATGGATCAGCTTCACCATCTCGGTGGAATAGGATACATCCTCGGCTCGGTCATGGAAGGAAGTCTATCAGAAGCATCCTACCGCCGAGTCCGCACATTGCTGTAAGCCACCCTCAATCCTAAATCCAACCACCTAATCTAACCACAACTCCCAAGTCTCGAAATGGCCGACCTCCTAGGCCGTCTAGAAACAGGTCTCCAACGCGCAGCCGGCGCCAGCGAACGTCTCCGGTCCCAAGTCGACCGCATCGACGGCTACATGACCTCGCGACCATTTAATCACCAAACAGGCCACCATGCCCCGAACCCTAATGAAGTCCCCGTCGACGTGAAACCCCATATCGCCATGACATCCGTACCATACATTCCCCCTAGTGGACCGCCAGGCCCGGCACCAGGCGCACCGCCCAATGCTATGGGTGATCAGATGATGCAGTTCCAGATCCCACCGGAGCTGTTGTCGGATTGGCCGTGGCCGTTGGATGGTGGGGGTAATCCGGAGGGTTTTTTGCCTCTGGCGTTTGAATGATTGGGGGGTGGGGTTTGTCTTTCGATGGGTTTGGATCGGTTGCTGGCTGATTGTTTTGTAGGGAGTTGGAGGTACTAGTCTTTTATTTTTTATTTTTTTTTAGGTTTTATGATTCCAAATTTCGCGATTAGAATAAGATTAAAAGCAATGTATTTAATCATTTGTTTACAGTAGTATATCAGGGGGTTGGGGGGATTGTGTGTTGATGTTGAATCGGGCTGTAGATTTGGTTAGTCGTTTGTCGATATAGTCATTCTCGAGAACTGATTTATTCAGACTCACTTGTAACTTATTCCGTATATCTGACTTGCTTGCAACGCTAAGATAGATTTGCTTGTCTATAAGTCCCACATAGAGGGGCATGATATCCGACACGAGGCTTAGTCTTTGGAGTAGATCCACAAGCAACTATTATTGAATCAAAAGCGCGATCACAATTACATTAGCTCTGCTCCTTCACCTCAACTTGTGCTTGCTGCTAAGCTCATATTACCCTTGGGACAGGCGCTGGTCTTGACAAACCTGATCTTGATAGGGGCTATTCTTAGCTCTTCTACCTCGGTCTCTACTTTCTCCTCTCTTATGTGATCTATTGCAACCCCCGCATTAGACCGGTAGACCGGTAGACCGGGAGTGCTCAATGCGCTAGGATCAGACTCAAGCCTGACATTGCTAGCGCCTATACCCCTTCGGCTTTTTTGGTCGCCAAAATGCGGGGTATGGATGTTGAGTTTCGCTTTGGCTTCGTATTTGCCATCGCCGATCTGTATGGGAGGCGAAAACAACAACCTGATAGGACTGAGATGATAAGTGAGTAACTACATAGAAAGCATTGGGGATATGAGATCAAGGTTGAGGTAGTGATTCGAGATTAAGACAAAGGGCAAGTTACCCCGGGGGTTTACAGTTTGATATAGGGTATTAGTCGACCGACATGATGCATATCATATGTAGAGCAAGTAGACCCCACATATCAAGTTAGCCCCTACCCAGTATCTGCATAGTCAACACCAAGGGCCTCTTATCAAAGCTGTTTCTCGTATGACCAAGCCCCAGATAAGCTTATCACTTGGCAAATCTTTAGCATCGCCATCTCTTCCCCCATTAGGAATCCCAGTCTTGTCTTAATCAAGCCTCTTATCATTCAAGCTTGACTCCAACTGCACGCCCGGCCCGTCCTCTTGGCTGTTTCATTCGGTATCAAGATGCCTCGTCCATCAATGCTTGGCACTCTCCCCACCCATAGATTCTATTCTATGTGACCCCAAACACAGTGTCAGTGCACATATAAATGACCATGTCCCCCGCTTCTAAACTCCTATTTGGGGCTACTTCCAGCTTGACATTCAATCATGGAGACCATGGAGAAGAAAGCATCTGCCGAGATCTCTGGATCCGATCCCGACCTTAAGGCGGACACTAGTGCTGGCGATGTCTTGCCCTTTCGTCAGACGCAGCGCGGTCTCGCTTCGAGACATGTGCAGTTGATGGCTATTGGTGGCTCTATTGGTACTGGGCTGTTTGTTGGTATTGGCTCTTACCTGCGGGATGCAGGACCATTGTCTCTATTCCTGGGATATCTTGTCTGGGGATGTCTGTTCATTCTACCTGTTAACTTGTGTGTTGGAGAGATGGCTGCCTATCTCCCCATCCGTGGATCTATATTCGAACTTGCTGCACGGTTTATCGATCCTGCATTTGGATTTGCTATGTAAGTCTATGCTCACCGGCGTTGACTATACTCCGATTTTTGTACTAACAACCACAGGGGCTGGGTATACTTCTACGGCGGCGTAATGCTAGTTTGTACAGAATATTCCTCAGTGGCAACAGTAATGCAATACTGGAACACGGGCGTGAACCCAGCAGTCTGGGTAGCAATGGCCCTAGTCGTGTGTACAGTCCTCAATCTCGTCGCGGTAAAATGGTACGGAGAAAGCGAGTTCATCATGGCTTCAACGAAGATCCTCCTGCTTTTTGGCCTCGTCCTCCTCACCTTCATCACAATGGTCGGCGGAAACCCCAAGCACGACGTCTACGGCTTCCGCAACTGGACCGACGGCGTCATGTTCGAATACTATACAGACGGCAGCACAGGCCGCTTCCTGGGCTTCTTTTCCGTCATGGTTTACGCCGCCTTTTCCGTTGCCGGACCAGATCTCCCAGCCCTAGCAGCAGGCGAAATCCAAAACCCGCGCGTGACCATCCCACGTGTGGTGAAGATGACTTTCTGGCGTATCGTCGGCTTCTACGTTGTCGGCGTGCTGGCCGTCGGAATCATCTGCAATCCCCGTGACCCACGTCTTATGTCGGCTATTGATGATGGTGCCTCTGGATCCGCTGCCTCACCTTGGGTTATTGGAATTGATAACCTAGGAATCAGCGGTCTACCAGATCTGATCAACCTACTCATTCTCTTATCTGGTTGGTCTTGTGGAAACGCCTACCTCTACAGCTCAAGTCGAACACTCTACTCCCTCGCCCGCGATGGCCAGGCCCCGAAATTCCTCTTGAAGTGTACCAAATCAGGTATCCCTATCAACTGCGTCATCACCGTCTCGGTTCTTTCTTGCATCACGTTCCTGGTAGCAGGTAGCTCCTCTGTCGAGGTCTTCTACTGGTTCGTCGACCTGACAACTATCGCCTTCGTGCTTACCTACACGGGTATGCTCTGTGTCTTCATTGCTTGGTACCGAGCCCTGAAAGCACAGGGGATTGACCGCAAGTCTTTCGTCCCCTGGGCTTCGCCGTTCCAGCCGTACGGAGCTATCCTGGCTATTATCATTGGTTGCTTGACTGCTCTCTTTAACGGATTCTCCGTCTTCAAGCCGTTTAGCGTGCAGGGCTTTATTACTTCTTACTTTGGTCTTGCATTTTGGGTGGTTATGTTTGTTTTCTGGAAGCTTTTCCATAGGACTTCGTTTGTTAGTCCTATTAATGCTGATTTGTACTCTGGTAAGGCCGAGGTTGATGAGGAGTGCAAGATTTGGGAAGAGGGTGGTTGGGAGGAGAGGAGGAAGGCTGAGCTGGCTCAGATGCATTGGGTAAAGAGAGTTTGGGAGAAGATGTGGTGATCTTACTGTATCTTAAAACTATCTCATGTTTATATGATTCTAACTTTCTTGTTTAAATTTCTATCGCAGTAAAAGGACGCTGGAAAGTAGATAATTTTATACTCCTCCCCTAACGACCTGCCACCACGCAGTTCTAAAATGTGTTCCTCTCTTTTGGACCTCTGTTTCATATATCAGAACTCACACAACAAGATACTCATCAAACCACAAACCAAGCAACAGCCTGAGCAAACACCTGCTCCTTAGCGAACTTCTGCCTCGGGTTAGACAAATCACATCGAACAGCAAAGCCATGCTCCACATCCGAGAACAGATTGATCTGATAAGGGATATCCAGCTTGTCCAGAATCCCCTCACTATGATAGAGCTTAGCAGTCGTAAAAGCAACGTCCCGCACTGCAAATAAACATTGTTAGACCATCCATTTCATATAGGCTAGTTGTTCGGCATACCACCAGCAGCAATACTCAATGGGCCCTCAATCCTTGCAACTCCTCCGTCTCAACCATAGTCGGATGGGCCGTAAACCCAGCATCAATCTTGCCAGGTTTCAGGTACCGGCAGATATACTTGCCGCCAAAACAATAGCCCACACCACCGATTCTCTCACAAGCGAGATTATCACACATTTCTTTGAGGACGGTGTCGATTATCGGCTCGGTCTGCAGGGGTAGGTGGTTCTTCACCCAGTCCATGATGTTGAAGCCCTCTGGTCTGTTGATTGGGACTACATCGCCGTTAAAGAGATCTGGCATTACGACGAAGTATCCCTTGGAAGCGAATTGGTCGGCAATTAGCTGCCCATAAATTCTGTTAGGATCAGAACTGCTTTGCTCGTGGATTTGGTTTCTGGGTAGGCGAAATAGGTCGAGACTGGACTGAATTAGGAGCCGGACCATTTATATACAATCGTTTAGATGACTTACTATTTCCAATATATTTGATTCCGCCGTTTGCCTTGCCATCATGAAGAGAGCCAATAGTGCAACAGTGAGATAGCTGCTTGGAGGTCATTTTCTCGGTTTTTATCGAAAGGAGTTTGTTTGGTAGCTCTGGTTGAGTGTAGAATATGGAACCTTCGGTGGAATGACCAACTATTCATACACTCCCAAAGCCCTCGGAGATAGCCTACGTCCATTGAACTCCAGTCCGTAAATCCGACAAGTCCAACTCAAGTCAAATGAAGCAAAAGAAGAGAAACAAAAGATCTACTGGACAAGTCGGAAATTGAGCAATGTGATTGGCCAGATAGTGCCCGTGCTTCGGGACACGCACTCGGGCTCGGCGGATTCTGCTGGGAAAAGTTGCCCATCACAGCTTCTCCAACTTAGCTACACACACCACCCACCATGTCATCCCGTCCAGCATGGCGTGCCTTGCACTACAGCGCAAAGCGTCGCGCTTTCCAGCCACCTACCCCATATCGCTGTTTCTCCTGCACCACCCGAGCCCAGAGCAAGCCCGAAGATGAACGCATGACACACTTCGGCTTCACGAATGTCCCCGAATCAGAGAAGGAGACACGAGGTAAGCCCAGAACCCAGCTTCCGAACCTCCTACAACCCCAATTGACCCAGTACTAACCACCCAATCTCCCCACAGTTGGCGCAGTCTTCAGCTCCGTCGCCGCCTCTTACGACCGCATGAACGACCTCATGTCCCTAGGAATCCACCGCCTCTGGAAAGACCACTTTGTGCGCTCCCTAAACCCAGGCTCCTGCCTGCCAGCCATGACAGCCGACCAACGCGGCTGGAACATCCTCGACATAGCCGGCGGCACAGGCGACATCGCGTTCCGAATGCTCGACCACGCCAGCAACATCAATCACGACATGGAAACACGCGTAACAATCAGCGACATCAACGCGGCCATGCTAGCCGAAGGCCGGAAACGGTCGCTGGACACACCCTACTACAACACGAACAGGTTGGACTTTGTCGAGGCCAACGCCGAGCACATGCCGCATATCCCCGACGCCTCGGTGGACCTTTACACTGTTGTTTTTGGAATTCGTAATTTCACGGATAAGCAGGCAGCGCTGAATGAGGCGTTCCGGGTTCTTAAGCCAGGTGGTGTTTTTGCATGCATGGAGTTCTCCAAGGTTGATAACCCTGTCCTCGATGGGATTTATAAGCGGTGGAATTTCAGTGCCATTCCGCTTATTGGGCAGGTTGTTGCTGGGGATCGGGATTCTTATCAGTATCTTGTTGAGAGTATTGAGCGGTTCCCTAGCCAGGAGGAATTTAGGGGTATGATTCAGAAGGCTGGGTTTATGATTCCTGGCCAGGGCTTTGAGAATTTGACTGGTGGTATTGCTGCTATTCATAAGGGTATCAAGCCTATTGTCAAGGCTTAAGGCTTGAATTGGGATTGAGTATGGCCTTGTCAGATGAAAGTGTACTGTATATTTAGGCTTCGCATGCTGTTTGTATTATCAAGAAATATTATTCGAATTGATTTGCATAGAGTGTAATGAGCCTAGGCCTCGTGGCTAGGCTTCCTTGAATGTAATGTGCAAGAGCTGAATTCTATGTAAACATGCAAAAAAAAAAAAAAAAACACAACAACAACAACAACATGTGCGGGCGTAACTTCGTCAACCAGACGCATCGTGATGCAGGTGGCATGTAAAATCAAATAAGTATTTCCAGAGAAAGGAAGAATGGGTTGCTTTCCAGCGGATCATGCTTCCAGCAGATCCTCTGCCTCTATCACTCCGATACAACTGTCGGGATATTTCATATCCTTCACTATAGCAACGACAGAAATCGGGTGCAGTCCCTTTCGGGACGCACATACTTTGTGCCTGAGGTCTGCGAGTGGTGTTGAGTCCAGAACCAGAAGCCACTTGTTACGATGTACGGCAAATGAAGCATTAGGATCCTCGGCAATCACATCAGAAACACGCATATCCATGTTCCCACCCGGTGAGAGCAAAGAGCGAGTCTGTCTGGGAGGAATGATCTCATCAGGCGATAAGAAGACCCATGATTTGGCATTAGGGTGCTGAAAAGCCGTGAGAAGGATATCAAGTAACCGCACATCGCCAGGTGAAGACGACGGTGACGAAGCAGTAGGAATATGATCAAGCGGCACCAACATATCCGAAGAAATCCGTCGTTGCGCAGGCGGTGATTGAAGATTAAAAGGAGGGATCAAAGGCGCACTCCCAATCTCCTCCCAGGGAAGAGACACAGACGATGCCGGCGAATCAAACGTCGTCGATATACCACTTGAAGGAGTCGTCAACGGTGTACCCGCAGCCGCAACCGCAGCCCCAATAGCACCACCAGGATGGAACCCCCGAAAGACCTCTGCAGGACCCTTGCCAGGTGCAGTATGCAGCTTACGCGCTGTAGCAATAGCCAACGCATCGCCCAGCGATAAGGCGACAGTCGTGGACGAAGTAGGAGCACTAACACCAAACGAGGCATCCTCATCCTCATGAATAGGCGCAGGCAATAAAATTCCCATACCCGAAGGCCCATGCAACGCCAGCAACGGACATGCAGACGGATGTGTATGAGAAGTAAGAGCGATAACAAGCACGGAAGCAGGAATATGCGGAAGCAGCGAAAGCAACTCAGGCGAACGGCCCGAAAATGAAATTAAAAGAATAGTATCATTCTGTGGAAGTTAGTCAACGTATTCTTCATGGGTGTATAAGGTGCCTAGTTTCCGCCCAAAACTCAAGCATGAAGACCAGACACAACATGCAGGACTTTTGCACTGGCCTCTCTGCTCTAGCTTGTGCTTGTGCTCTGGATAGACATACCGGCCGAACCAATCCCAGATCCCCATGCAACGCCTCAGTCGGATGCAGGAACGCACTATAAACACCGAGACTATTCATAGTGGCCTCGATTTTCCGTCCGACCTTGCCACTCTTGCCAACGCCGCAGACGACCAATTTGCCGCCATCCCGCACGCTGCGCGCAATCTGCTCGACGGCGCGGGCGAGGTCGTGCTGGGCTCGCGCGTCGGTTTGGTAGATGTGTTCTAGGTGGGCGAGGGCTGCGCGCTCGGTTGAGATCACATGGATTGCTGTTATGACTGATGAGACGTCCTTTATTTGGGGGTCGGAGAAATCGGGAGGGGTGAGTGGCCATTGGAGGCTGTGGATGTGTTCTTGGTCTTCGGTCATGGCGGGATTCGGGGTGGGATTGGGTTTGCTAGTGCATAGTGAGGTATCGAGGGGTTGGACAGGGAGAAATTGAGAAATTGGGATTCCGTAGCTCTTCTCGGCGTCTTCTCTTGAGGGCCACAACCCGGCTAATTGTGGGGAGAAGAGATCAGTCGATAACGGATAATGCGCGCCGGGGATAGTGAGGGATCGGGCTATACTGCGCTTTACTCCGTTAATATACTTCATTTTTACTGCTTTATTATTCCGTACTTGGTATTCATTAGCTCCGATCCCTTACTGATGGTGTCATTCTATGCTCTGATCGTGAATGTGGAGGCGACTTGCCTGTTTCAGTATTTCCGAGGCCGGTTACATCTCCAGATCGAGAACAGATCGAGAACAGATCGGAAATTGATGGGAATCTTGATTATAAATATACAGCCATGACACCTACATATATTGCACAGGGACTAGTATATACATATATTGGGAACCATATGGAATACTCTCTTAGATCTAGTCTATTGAGTCTGATATAAGCCAAAAATAGTATGTACAGCCCGTTAACCGTTTTATTCCGAGTGCGGGGATAGCCTCAGGTCAAGGGCAAAATGAAACTCCAACTCCAGTAAGCAAATCAAGGCAGGGGTATCGTATCGGGCGCTGGTCATTATGTGTGCCTTTCCAGGCAATCTGGTCGCATCATCCCGATCGTCCGTCCTGCCGCTCCTTGCCCTTCTCCATTCCGTCATCCTCATATAGATGGTGCTGCTCAATATAGTGAATGACGGGGACGGGGATGAGGTAGCGGACACTCATCTCACGTCGGAGGAAGAGGCGGATCTTGGTGCTGCTGACATCGTTCTGGATGAGTTGCTGGATAACGTGGATATTGTCCTTCCAGGGCTGCAGACTGGCCAGAGCCTCGTCGATGTCTGTGCCACTGCGCTCGACAATAAAGGACTGGAATGATGTTAGCGCTCCATATTTGTGACCAAAGTAAACATAATCCAAGGCTACATACTCCGTATTTGCCCAGAATGTGGTCCAAATCCTTCTCACTCCACACGCCAGGCGTGGACATGGTATGGATCAGGTCCGCGCCCGCAAGCAGAGCAATGCGGACGGGCTTCCGGGTTCCATTTCCAACATCCACACCCTCACGCACAGTATTGATCTCGTGGTCGAAGTGGTCCAACACCACCGCGGTCGGCTGGTACTCTTTCTGAATCGGCTCCCACGTATCCACCATCAACCAGTCAGAGGTTTGATCAACAGCAAGTTGGCACATGGCCACCCTGCGCAGTACAGTTAGCCTAGTCGGACCAGATAGAGCGGGAATACCCTTACCGATGCTCTGCGCTGGCAAGACCGGCCTTGCGGTAGGCATCGGATACAGGCGACAGGTATCCTCCGATAAGTTCAAAATCAGAACTGAATCTGACGTGATCGGCGGCCATTTCGAACATGCGCAGATGGAGATAAGTAATTGGCGAGAAGGAGCCACATGCGACCAGCAAGAGAGGGGTCTTCTCTGGGTCGCTCATCTTGCGCTTCAAGCGCAAATCTGGGAATGTGTACTCCTCCATCGGGGTGGGGGGCAAGTGGGCGGGCGCCTGGTGAACGTCGTCGCTCTGCCCTCCGATCATTTCCGTTGACATGTTGGAAAATGCGGAGAGAATATAGAGAGGGTCAAAGAGGGTCAAAGTCCGGGGTAGTTGAAGAGGAAAAGTGAAGTTGGAATTCTCTCAATGGCGGGGGGGGGGGGCGAACCGAAAGCGGCAAGGAATACTCCGGGGAGAATATTGGGGATGTGAGGATATGAGGATATGAAGATATGGGGAAGAGAAGTCCTTTTCTCTTCTTTGGCCATCAAGATGGGATGTAGTGATTATTAAGTGTTGGCTTCCTCGGTGAGTCAATTGAGGGATCGGGGCGCCTCCGTGATCTTCTCTCCGGATCGAAGGCCGGACTTGAAGCTCAACCTATACAGATACTATATACTAGATACTATTATAACTATGTAAAACCCAGGTCAGATACAAAGTCAGTGCGTTGTAATAGTGCATATAGAGTAGTCAATAGTCAAACATTGGAATCCCTAAGTGGACTCGTCTTATATCATCGTTGCACTCCGCCTATGTCCGTCACCACTTCCTTCTCTCTTCCTCTTCTCTCTCTCTCTTCATCACCTTTTGCTTTCCACCATTTCCTTTGCTTCCTTTTGATCTCGACAAAACTCCCATTCTCTTACGCTCTCCCGAGCAAGGCGGATGGCGGGTTGATGTGACCAACACTCAATCGAGCTCCCCAGACCCAATAACTTATGGCCAGGCAAAGGCCCTCCTCCAACCGTCAGGACCCTCTCGAGGATTATCCCAATTCCCCAGGCACTTCCACGGCCTCTTCTTCCCTGAGGTAGTTTCCCACCCAAATTTTCCCTTCAACTCTCAGGGAGAACCTTGTGGATGACCCTGAGAGCATGTTTCATCAGCTTCAGTTCGGGGACAATCAACTCATCCTTGGTTATTGCTACCATTGCGAGCATTGTCACCTTACTACCCAATCTGCCTTATCGCTTTGACCGCTCTACACCTCTCTTTCTGCTTTTCTCCCCTCATTTCACATCTTCACCGTGAACTCTTTCTCATGTCATCCAGAATCACTCGCTCAGCCGCGAGACTCGCGACAGACCCTCCTCCCCCTGCTGAGTCCGGTACCCAACCCGCCGCTGGCTCGGCTTCATCCCGCAAACGCAAGGCTTCCTCTCGCCACGACCGACAGACCGACAGTCCGGCCCAGCCATCGCCTCCGTCACCTCAACGGAAGCCCAAGCGACCACGTACGGCTGCCCCACCGACAGCGCCGTCTGCTAGCTCTGTTGCTGCTCCCCGCCGCACTCGCCGTGCAACTATGTCACAACCAGGGTACGTGATGCTTACCCTTGCTGTTTGATGGAGCTGACAAGAATTCTTAGCCCGTCGTCCCGACCAGAGGAATCCAAGTCGGCTACTTCCCCACAACCCGCCCGGAGAAAGACAAGTCGGAACGGTGAGTTTGTTGATCACAATCAGTCCTTTCGATATACATACCTGGTAGATGCTGATGTCACTCTCATCCTAGATCGACCTTCAACGACACAGTCTCCCCCGCCCCGGCGTCAGAAGAAGCGTACGACGAAGGCAAACCCTGATGTCATAATGCGAGATGCGGAGGAGGATCTTGAGGAGGAAGACCCTGAAGAAGAACAACATGAAGATACCCCAACAGAAGAGAGCCATGATGGCACCAACCCGTCCGCCTTTGACGATGACGAGATGGACCCCTTCACCAGCAGTTTATTCGGTGGGCGAGGTCCGATGGGTCTTCAAAGCACCCTCCGTGCCCTTACTGGCATGATGTCCGGCATGTCTTCCCGACTTCGCGATATTCTCGTCAACCTACGGGCAAAAGATGACCCATCTATCCAACTTATCGCCCTTCAGGAGCTTTCGGATCTCTTGCTTGTATCAAATGAGGACAACCTTACCGGCCAATTCTCCCCCGACCCGTACGTAAAGGAGCTTGTGACCTTGATGCAACCCAATCAATTCGGCGAGGAGAACCCCGAGATCATGCTTCTTGCATGTCGCTCCCTTGCTAACCTCATGGAAGCCTTACGAGGCTCCGTGGCCAACGTTGTTTATGGCGGCGCTGTGCCGATTCTGTGCCAAAAGCTTCTTGATATCCAATTTATTGATTTGGCTGAACAGGCTTTGAGCGTGAGTTGCTCTTATTCATTCGTCTGATAACGTCTACTAACACGTTAAATAGACCCTGGCCAAGATCTCTGTCGATTTCCCTGCCTCAATTGTGCGGGAAGGTGGACTGACTGCTTGCTTGACCTACCTCGACTTCTTCCCTACCAGCACTCAGCGAACAGCAGTCACAACAGCCGCAAATTGCTGCCGCAATCTCCCTCACGACTCCTTCCCCGTTGTCCGCGATGTCATGCCCACCTTACTCAGTGTTCTGTCCAGCAACGATCCCAAAGTTGTTGAGCAAGGCTGTCTTTGTGTGTCACGGATCGTAGAAAGCTTCAAACACCGCCCTGAGAACCTGGAGGAACTGATTGAACCTGCCATGCTCAAAGCAGTTCTTCGGCTGCTGCTACCAGGAACTACTAACCTTATCGGTCCTCACATCCACACACAGTTTCTTCGTGTTCTAGCCATCACCTCAAAGACCAGCCCTCGACTATCAAATGAGCTTTTCAAGATGGATGTGGTTGATACTCTTTATCAGATCTTGACGGGCGTCTCCCCCCACAGGACGTGGACAACACCGCTGTCAAAATGGACAGTGTGCTCGTTATGCAAGCATTGATCCACCGACCCCGTGAGCAAGTCTTCGAGACTCTCAATGTTATCTGCGAACTGCTACCCGGTGTTCCCAGTCGCGAGGCATCACGGACGGACGCTCTGCTCAGCTCCTACTTTGATACTAGCATGTCTATCAACTTGAAATCTTCCAAGACAAAAGATGCAGTGGAGGAGAGACGGTCTTTGCTCGACAACTGCAAGACTCAGCTCAAGCGATTTGCCATGATCCTTTTCCCCACCTTGACCGATGCCTACTCTAGTACAGTCAATTTGCATGTCCGACAGAAGGTTCTCATTGCGCAGCTTAAGATGTTGCACATTTTGGAGCCTTCTTTGATTGAAGATGCTCTCCGAACCGTTCCATATGCCTCCTTCCTAGCGTCTATTCTTTCTCAGAAAGATCATCCATCCCTTGTGTCCCTGGCTCTACGTTGCTCTGAGTTGTTGTTCCAACGCCTTGAGAATGTTTACCAACATCAGTTCCACCGTGAGGGAGTCATCTCAGAGATCGTCAAATTGTCAGAGGGCACTCTCTCTGGCAACGAACCTCCTGCCATGTCCGATCCCGCCGATGCCGTGAACAACGCAAACCCCTCGCATCCCAACCGGGCAGAGAACCAAAGCCACCAAAATGAAGACGAGGATCAAGATGAGGATGAAGCCAACGATTATGATGACGATGAGGGCGATGGTGAAGATGAAGACGGCGAAGAGATGTCGGACTCTGATGAAGACTTGGCCCCCGGCCCTCGGAGTATCGAGAAAATGGACAGCACGATCAACGATCTCATCATTCGAGATGCGCAACAGTTCCTGGAAAGCTACGAAGAAAGCCATGGCGGAGCAGTCCGAGAAGAGTCCCTTAGGATTTTGAAGGAACTTCAATCTCTGGCCACTGAAGTACGCACATGCTATTCCAACAACGGCGATGGCAATGCCTTGTTCAAGAAGCTGGCATCATACTTTGACGGGGACGCGTTGGAGAGCATCACCAGCTCCGAACTGCTGAACTCCGGCATCGTAGATGTCCTCCTGGAGGTTCTCGGCAATCACCAGGCCACATCCATCCGTAACGCTCGAGCGGCCTTTTTGCAATCCTTCATGGGAGTTGCGATTTCGGAGAAGGCTCAGAAACAAACTACCGCAACCACCCCCTTCAGCGTTTTGATTCGAAAGTTACAAGACTTGCTTAGTAGGACTGAGCATTTCGAAGTTTTAACTGTCAATCATAACTCCCTAGAAAACACGCGCAGCAATGCCAACTACATGTTGAGCAAGCAGCTGCGACTCAAGTTGGTTGCCGATGATGCCTCTGAGATCCCCCGTCCTTACCGGAACCTTATGGTGTCTATTCATGCCATCGCAACCTTCAAAGCACTGGATGACTTCCTTCACCCTCGAATCAGCGTGTCGGAGCGCCCTCGGCCGTCGCGCCCTAGGGATTCTATCCTGTCTCAAATTGCCAACGCGGCGCGAATGCGTGATCAGCTCCCTGGCTCTATCCCCTCCCGAGGCCCACCAGGAACCATCCTCCCCAGTCGCACAGGAGGTCCCCGTGCCGACCCTGCCGAAGGAGGCGATGCTCCTGCAGATGAACGTCGCCGATCCCGTCGCACGGCTCTTCAAGAAAATGATGAGGAACATGACGACGAGCCCCTGGAATGTGCGGACGAGAGACAATTGACCGACGAGGAGGATGAAGAAGATGAAGATGAAGACGAGGAACTCAATGCCATTGTTGATGACCTCGATGAGGATCTTGAGGACGACGGTGTTTCCGACCCCTCCGCAGTCAACATGGAAGTGGCGTCTTCAGGCAAGGTCACCGCTCGCAAGGAGGACGGTACTCGCGTCGGCACACCCTCCCATGGTGCAGCCGCCAGATCTTCAGCTTCAGCCCCGAGCGTCGGTTCTTCCAACCCCATGGGCAACGCATCCCTGGCTACTGCTGGTCGTCCATTCTCGTCCTATGCTGCTGCTATGGCTTCCGTTCCCCAGGATTGGCACATTGAGTTCCTTGTAGATGGCCAGCCCATTTCAAGCGAGACAACTGTCTATCGTGCTGTCCACCACAACCGTGAGCATTTGGATGAGAACAGCGCCAAGAATGTCTGGTCTGCTGTCCACACAGTTACATTCAGACGCGTTCCTGGTCCTCCACCTCCAGAACCGTCCACTCTTACACAGGTCAACCAAGACCCATCCACTGGCGACAGTCTGGATATGCCAGAGTCTCTCGACAAGGACAAGACCACGGCATCTATCCTCCGCCTGCTTCGTGTCTTGCACGAGATGAATGCGACCATTGATGATATTCTGACAGAGAACAAGGACTCCGTCGCCATTACCCCAGAGCCCCTGGCCCAATTTATCAACACGAAGCTCACAGCAAAGATCAACCGACAGCTGGAGGAGCCTTTGATTGTGGCAAGCAGCTGCCTTCCAAGCTGGAGCGAAGACCTCGCCCGGCTTTTCTCATTCTTGTTCCCATTCGAGACTAGGCATTTGTTCTTGCAATCAACCGCCTTTGGCTACTCGCGAGCAATGATGAGATGGCAAAACTCCCAAAGCGAGGATAGCCGTCGCGACCTGCGCCGTGACGATCGTCCATTCCTCGGTCGACTGCAACGCCAAAAGGTCCGCATTTCCCGTGCCCGCATCCTTGATTCTGCTATGAAGGTCATGGAGTTGTATGGCTCCTCTCCTAGTATCCTCGAAGTGGAATACTTCGAGGAAGTTGGTACTGGTCTCGGTCCCACTCTTGAGTTCTACTCTACCGTTTCCAAGGAGTTCTCCAAAAAGAAGCTGAAGATTTGGAGAGAGACCGAAGGTACCTCTTCTGGAGCGGAATACGCATTTGGCAAGCGTGGCTTGTTCCCGGCTCCTATGAGTGATCAGCAGGCAGCCCAAGACTCCGGCAAGAAGCAGCTGAACATTTTCAAGGTTCTTGGAAAGTTCGTTGCCCGCTCTATGCTCGACTCGCGAATCATAGACATCTCCTTCAACCCAGCATTCTTCCGCATTGCCGACACCTTGTCTTCTGTTGCCCCATCCCTGGGCACTGTGAAGTTGGTTGACCAGGACCTTGCTAAGTCTTTGATCATGCTCCAGCAATTTGTCAATGCCAAGGATGCAATTGAGGGAGATGACAGCCTCAGCCCCGGCCACAAGACAGAGGCTGTACAAGAGATCACAGTGCATGGTGTCAAGGTTGACGACCTGAGCTTGGACTTTACCCTTCCTGGATACCCTGCCATTGAGCTCATTCCCGGTGGCTCCGATGTGCCTCTGACCATTGAAAATGTCGCCATCTACATTGAGCGTGTGATCGACATGACCCTGGGAAGTGGTGTCCGTCGTCAAGTCGATGCCTTCCGCGCCGGCTTCTCTCAGGTATTCCCCTTCTCTTCCCTTCGAGCCTTCACACCCAACGAGCTTGTCATGCTCTTCGGGCAGGCCAAGGAAGACTGGACTATCGAAACTTTGATGGACACCATCAAGGCCGACCATGGCTTCAACATGGACAGCCGCAGTGTACGCAACTTACTTCAGACAATGAGCGAGCTGGACAACCAGCAACGCCGAGACTTCCTCCAATTTGTCACAGGCAGTCCTAAACTGCCTATCGGTGGTTTCAAGAGTCTCACTCCTATCTTCACTGTTGTGTGTCGTCCAAGCGAACACCCCTACACCCCAGATGACTACCTCCCCAGCGTGATGACCTGTGTCAACTACCTCAAACTCCCCGACTACAGCGACCTGGACGTCCTCAAGAAGCGCCTGTCAGTCGCTATCAAGGAAGGACAGGGCGCCTTCCACCTCTCCTAAGCCTCCTCCACCGCAGTCTCCAAAATCATTGCTTAATTTGAATTCAAACTTGTATTCACAGTGAACTCTAGCAACCCGATTTCTGCCATCCTCTCTTCATCAACCTCTCCCATTGCTTCCAATTTTGCTCGCTCTTTCGCCTCCTCACCCAAGGCAGAGAAGAACGCCCCACTTACGATTCGACGATGTTTTGATTTAACCTTGTTTTGAGCTCTATCCCCCCCCCCCCCACATTATCAATTTCAATTTTTCAAATTCCCCTTTGCCCTGAGCCCTTTTTCTTTTCTTCCGTTGTCATTTTGTTGTTTCTTTTTTTCTCTTGACAGATCCCCCCATTTTCCCAAGTTTTCGGACGGGCTCTTTCACACCCTCTTTCTTTGTTTCTTCTGACCTTTCAGTTTTCGTATCTCATCTGGGTTGAAGGGCGTTTGTGGTGGGTTTTCCCTTTTCGATAGTGATTAGATAGTAATCATCACTTTTCTTATTAAAAACAAAATCTATTGGATCTTTTGGTCGAAAATAGTATGTTGGGCTTGCATTTGGCCAGGAGAACTGCAGGACTACTTTATGTAGCCCGAGTCCCATCACCATTCTGGCACGGCAAACGCAACTATACGAGTTATGGATCGACTATCGCCCCTATGTACTGATACAAGTTTTGTTAGAATATATCTCCCTCAATATCCATGCAATAATTTGCGGGATGCTCATTCCGGTATGGTCCAAAAATGTCGATCGATGTACTAGTGGAGTCTGTGTCTCAGTATGCTATGAAGCTTGTAAGGTTTTGGCTTTAGATTTTGTTTTGCGCTAATTCCTGCCTCCTTTTTGCGGGCATTTTCTACAAGGAGTGTTTCATTTGCCAAAAGCATGTATAGTGCAGACACACTATCGAGTTGGGTTAAGCTTTTTGAAGTACATCGAGCTTAAACTGAGCTTACTGTAGGAAACATGTGTAGTCTCAGGTATGCTAGTCGGTCCTAGGGAAATTTTGGACGCGATCTGAAACACAATAATGGACATCGAAGAAAAGGGGAACTTGTTCCCTTTGTACAGTACTATATGGATCCATTGTGGTTCTGTAGTTCCTGGATTTGTCGAGCCCCGACTCCGCTGGGTCCACTTTTGAAAGAACAGTGAAAATTTGGTTATCTGGCGGGAATCCGTTGTCATTGTGGGCTGTTCTTTGAAAGGGATCATCAATATGTACACAGAATGAAAGATCGCGACTCACGGTATGACTATAGCTATAGTCCATACCGTGAAGTTTAAATGCAAAATTCACACATCCAAGTTCCTCCCATAGTACATGGTCAAGACAAACAATCCGTCTTAAGGAAACAATCACAGTCCACACATCGGGTGATATGGCTAGTCCTGCCAAAATCAGAGTAAAACAGCCCAACCATCACCCATGCCAACCAATTCCGACGAGCAAACTGATCCATAGCATACCGAATACCTTCAGTGCGACTGAGAAGGTTATCGCTCATATCAATCTGCGTGAAAAGCTGAAGACCAGACAGCTCCTGCTCAGGTATTTTCCGACACATAGCAATCGTTTTAGTCTCGGAGAACGCAAAAGAAGTACCGAAAATAGCATAGAGTCTCGACATCGGATGTTGATTGGATGATTTCCAATCCTTTTTCACCCAGCGCGGCCGTATTTCCCAGGGAAAACGACGAATCTTTACTAATGATTGCCGCCATGACTCGAAGTTCAGTCGCGACCGGACGCCACTGACAGCGTGGACACAGCCGTGTGAGCCCATGGCCAGATGGAAGAGTAGGCGGTCGGCTACGACATCAACGGGGACTTCATCGCCGGTGACGTCTGCATTTGGATCTTTCATGTTTGTTGCAATCTTCAAGCTTCGAGATGGGGATAGGGCTAGTCCTGCAGCTATCATTGTATATGGTGAGGACATAGGCATGTTGTATCCTGGAAACGGTAGGGACTGAGCTGGTCCGATGACGGATGGACGCACGATGAGTAGTTTTTCACTTAATGAGAACTCCGTGAATCGACTTTGGAGCATTCTTTCAGTGAGGTGTTTGGCGTATGCGTACGCCCAAGGAAAGTTCTCCGCTTCGTATGCTTGGCTCTTGCCATGCTTTCGAAGTTCATTCAGCTCGTCAAAGGGGTGATAATGGTGCGTGAGCTCGTATATCTTTTCGTCAATTCTCACGTCTGTATTTTGACTTCGTTGGTAAAGATGGGCGTTGGCGTATGCCGTCGACACGTACACGAACCGGTCGAGCTGAGCGCAGGAGAAAGCAAAATTGGTGATCATCTCTATTGGATCGATGATTGTGCGGGCCAGGCGTCCTAATGGCTTTATCATATTGATTGATGAGGCTGCATGAATAATCACGTTGATGGTTTTGTGTATGGTGTTCAGCCCTAGCTCAGAGAGCCCCAGGTTCGGTAGTAGTATGTCGCCATCGAGGACCACCAAGCGTGTTGAATGGTAGAGTTTCTCCAATGTGCCATGTGGAAGCCATTTTTTCCATCTTGCTTGAACTTTCCTATATAAACGAGATTAGAGTGATATCCTAGCAGGCAGTTGGTGCGCCATAGATAGACTCACTCTTTGCCTCCCCTGCAAATCAGGTATATGGTTGACGCAGATGTGCTCGTCAGTAGCCGATGTACAATTGCAGTACCCAGGAAGCCAGACCCACCCGTCACCAGGATAGATTTCCCGTCATAATACTTCCACATGTCAAAGTTGTAAATTTGATATATCAAAAGAGCCAAGAGGCATATTCTTGGCAGAAGGGTCAAAGCAAACTCAAAGAACGAATTTATTGAACTTTATGAGATTTAGCTACCACGTGTGGTCCCTGTTAGTTCCTAGTGTGAGGTCATTGCAATTTAGAGTTGCCTCCTTAGAGCATACCATCTGTCTTCCGCGCCGCCGTACCGCGGCTTGGAATGATACATATCGCTATCCCTTGCATGGAGCTTGGACCAGGCCGTCAATCATCGGAAACCGCGTCAATCTGGTATCTGGTTCAATCTCCCCATTCTGCGTCATCGCTTCCCATGGGCAAGATGCGCGGGGGGAAGTATGGAGGGGTTTTTTTCTTCTATGGCGTGAGGCTTAGATGCGAGACTATGCATTCCGTAGAGGTATGGGATCCATGTGACATATTTCCCTGGTTTTTTCACATTGTATTCGTGTTTTGCGATATGAGTAGGTTTGGCAATGCTATGATGGCCGGAAAGTTTCTAGCTTAGTTCGGACTATATGTTTGTCCTATCCCTTGTTTATCCTATCTAGAAAGAGATGATCGTCGGTAAATATCAGTAAGTTTAGGCAAGAGTAACAAATGAATAACGTTGTTCTCGGGCCTTGTAAAGGGAGCATTCAAGCGAAATACGTCTTTCGATTTGAGCCTTGAGTCTTAGGTACTGAAATAAGTCCCAAGGAGCAGCCAGCCTACAGCTTGTATATGAGAACTCACTGTGGTTATATTTTCCTCCAGTGACTACCTATACTTGCAGAGGATACTAGGATATACCTGCTAGACAGACCTGTGGTTTGTAATACGAGAAATTTGCGATTAGACTAGCTAAGACTAAGCTCAAGTACATTAGTAGCCAGGTAGGAAAGAACTTACTACCATGATTGGAGGGCTAATTGATCTTAAAGTGACACTGGTTTAGAAAAAGCAGGAAGAATTATATCAGGACCGTGTTGGCCGCATGTGAACATGATATTAATAACAAAAATATCCTCATATATTAACTATCATGTTCTATCGTTCTTATTACATTCCATTATATTCCACCATATTTTGTCGCAGATTACTCGGCCTTGTCGTGAACCCAGTTCTCAAGAACCTTGTGCATCATATCGCCCTCAAGCAGGTTCTCATAGACGATGCCAACCCAGCTACCAATGGTCTTCTTGCCTTCAGTAGGGAGACCATTCTGGTGGTTGTACAAAGGATCATCCATGATGCCGTAGTGAGCAGGCACATTAAGCTTCGTGCGGACGAAGTTATATAGCTGAGAAGTACCGTCACCAAGCTGGGAGGCAACATCCTCGGAGGAGATAGTAGGGTTGGGATAGTACATAGCATCGGCAGTGGTGGACACGATACTGTGGAAGTTCTTCTTAAAGGCAATGATGGCTGAGGCGGGGCACTCGGGCTTGTTGGCGGCCATGAAGTCGCTGACGGGCGACATGACGGCCTCCGCAACGGAAACAACACGATCCTTCCAGGTGTTGGTGTTGGCCCTATACCAGTTCTTCTCGATAACGGGGAAGAGAGACTTGCTCAGAGCCTCGATCTGCTCAGCGGACAATCCGAGGCCGTAGAGAGCACCAAACTCGGAGGCGTCCTCAACCTTAGTGCGGAGAGTAGAGAGGAAGCGCTTGTGGTTGGCACGGATCTCGGCGGCCTGGCAGCAGACGTAGATGTGGCAGGCGCACATGTGGGCCAAGATATCTGCAGCCTCCATGGTGCGGCGGGCAGAAATTAGAGCAAGGGAGTTAATACCCTGGTTGTGCATCTCGGCAGACATAACGTGAGCGGAGACGGGATGGGCAAGGGCAGCCAATTCAGACATGTAAGCGGACATGTTGATATCAATACCCTTCATAGTAAAGCCTTCCACGGCACTGGCGTTAAGGTTGGCCTCGAGACCGTTGTTTGTAGCAGGGTTAATGATCTCAGTGACCTGGGACCAGAGCATACGTCCAATCATCTGAATGGCCAGACGGGCCTTGTCCATAGCGGAGGTAACAGCGGTAGCCTGGAAGTTACCTCCGTTCAACACCTGGCCGCAAGTGGGGCTCTCGGGGTTTGTGTCAACCAAGGGGTTGTCTGATGTAGAGTTGAGTTCAATCTCGAGCTGCTGCTGAGCGAGGAGAAGGTCCTCGAGGTAAGGACCGACCCATTGGGGAGCAGTTCTTGTGGAATAACGGTCCTGGCAGAGACCTTCACCGAACCTGCGCTGCGACTCGAGGCCAACAACATACTTAGAGCCCTTCAGGAAGCGGCGGATGTTGTTTGCGGCCTCGATCTGACCAGGGTGGGGGCGAACATCGTGAATGAACGGTTGGGTCCACTCGACGTTTCCGGCCAAGCACTCGGAAGAAAATGCAGTCAACATCTGAGATAGCAAGGCAAGCTGCTGGGTGTCATAAAGCGCCAAACTGGCGACTGCTACGGAAGGAGCAGTACCGTTAATGAGACCAAGTGCTTCCTTGGGACCGAGTCCAGACGGGGCGAGTCCGGTGATCTTCAATGCCTCACAAGAAGGCATAATCTTGGCATCGGGGCCCTTGCCCATCTGGACAAAGACATCGGGGTTACCCATGATAGCTCCAGCAATGTAAGCCATGGGCATGAGGTCACCAGATGCGGAAATGGTTCCACGAAGGGGAATGAGGGGGGTGATATCGTGCTTGAGCAAGTCAATCAGGCTGGAGAGCACGGACTTGCGGATGGCACTGTGTCCACGGAGGTTCTGGTTGGTACGGGCCACAATAGCGGCACGGGCCCAAGCGGGAGGCATAACATGGGACGGTTGGCGCTCCGAGTTGCTGGCGGGGTTCTTGTCGACAGAGGTGACGATTCCACTCTGGATGAACTGGAGCAGATGCGTTTGCAGCTTCACAAGCTCCTTGGTACGGGTATCAGCGCTACCACCGAAACCAGTGTTGACACCGTAGATGACGCATTCTTGCGAGATGTTGTCGGCGAGGGTTTGGACAGAGAGGTCAAGACGCTTCGCAATCGCTTCGTCGTCGCTGATGGAAGCTTCGACTCCGTGACGGGCGACGGAGACGATGGTAGAGATGTCAAGGTTGTTTCCATCGAGAACAATGTTCTCCTGCTTGTTCTTCAACTCACGGGCACGTCTCAACAGCTGAAGAGTTGCGCTCATGTGAGCCGACTGGTTGTGCCTTGTGACGGTCATGATGGGCAGACAGCAAAGGATTTAATGCTTTAATTAGAGATGCCGTATTGTATTTTGCTCGACTGCGGTACCCAAAAAAAGAGAACTGGGATCCGAGGGACAATGCAAGGGCTAGAGAAATGCAATAAAGAGAGAAGAGGGATGGAAAAGAAAAGGGAAAATGGAGCGAGGACAGCCCGGTATCTATGTCTCCTTATTTCCTTGACCAAAAAAAAACCATGGTCAGTGGAAACCGGTTCACAGTGATAGTGGAGTAGAGTTCCTCAGCTGAAGCTCCCGGGTGGATCTGATACAGTGCCGCCATCGACATCAGCGCGTATTTTTAAGCTCCACATTTAGACCCACTCTCAGCTTAGCTCACCGGGTCCACTTCTGCCGCTACATGTCCATTTAGAGTTTAGTCGGGAGCGGATCATTACCCGCCTGAGCATCAACCAAGATTGAATTTCCGATCGGCGATATGCGGCCTTTTACACGAAAAGAGACGATCTGAAGATCTAAACCACGACGTGCCGTGTACAGTGGGTCGATAAAAAAGGGGCAGAGATTTCCTTACACTAGTATCGCATATAGCCTATCGGACCTATCCGTACTCCAAAGAATTGTCAACAGGAACCCTCGATCGGATCAGATCGGCTTCTTTGTGGTTCTATATGGCCTAAACTAACTTTGCTCGCGCGTTCTAGCGCGTATTATCCACTCTAAATAACCCACCTCAATAACCCACCTTCCTTGGACCTCCTTAAGTCATATTCTGTCGCCTCAGTCCCGTAGTGGAAATCTGGTGAAAATCGCGGAGCTTTACCTATTACCCAATTTAGTTTCCCACTCCGAGATCAACTGGTGTATCAACAGAGCTCAAAACAAAGAACTATCACTTCTGGATAGCATTGCAAAGGAGACTACGTAGAATTTGAAGCTTTCTAGAGAGTGTTGTGGTCTCAATGCGCAATATGAGCAGTGCTATCTGCGCTGCCACGATAAGCTGTTTAAGCTAGCGATTTGATGGTTGATCGCCGTCTCCTCTCAAAAATACCCAGCCAGCCATTCACATGCGCTTCCTAGCCACGAGTTCGTTGCTCGGTCTACAGATGGATTGTTACAGTATACAGTACACACATAAGTCGTGTATAAATGTACTGGGAGTGGGGCGCATCAAATTATATCACTTTTCATTGGTAGGATTCTTGGTGGAGGTGTCAACCCGTAGATCTGGTTATTTGTTTTCGCTTTTACTCGGGCTTTCCATAGGGGTCAGTGCGACGGTATATGAGTTTTGCCTTCATCAGATCACCCATGGTCGCGTAGGTACACACTGAGGCGGAGCTCATCCCTTTCTCAGGCACATACCACTACCAAGTCCAGACGCAATTACGGTACAGTGCATATGTTTTTTTCTATTTTTTTTTTTTTTTTTCTCTTTTTTTTTCTTGTGATTCTTAGATCGAATTTTGCGTTAGTGGAGACTGCATTATATACATTTGAGTGTAATCTGCCCGGCAAAAAGGAAAAAAAAGCAACTCTTTTGTCTGCTGATGCATAATTGACTACTTTCACCGCTCGCTGTAGTGTAGCTTAGGGTTGATTGCAACTCGTTTCAATCTGGTTTGTGACTACTAGACCGATGATGGCAAGTATTCCATCGATCAGTAGGTGTCATCCTGCTCGAGATTTTCAATAAGTCTGCGGTTCAGACCGGGAATAACATGTACCTATTCAGTACACACCCAAGACACTTGCACTAGAATTTCCTTGGCCTTGTTCCGCGGTGGAACCCGTCAAGAGGTGATCTTCAATCTTTATCCACAGCGATAGCCCTCCTTGCATGTACGAAGTATATCTATCAATCCCTGAGGTTATGCTCACTCATCCGTTCAAAACGACTCCGCCGTTAGGATGCAAACTTTGACCAGACATAAAACTACTGTCTTGGCTTGCCAGGAACACAAAACATGTTGCCACCTCACTTGGTTGTCCCGGACGACCCATCGGCGTGGCACTAAATTGCTCCATAGCCGAGGTAGTCATTGTTGCAGGTATCAGTGGAGTCCAGACTAGTTTCTGTCAGCGCTGATCAAATTATGTCAAGTCTATTGAACCTACCTGGTCCAGGGCACACGCAGTTTACACGTATCCCATTCTTGACTTGCTGATTAGAAAGCGCTCTGGTGAATGCGACGATTGCACCCTTCGTTGAGGTATAGTCAATCAAATCGGGACGCCCGATATAAGGATTGACTGATGCACAGTTGATGATCGTCGATCCACTTTTCAGGTAAGGCATTGCATATTTTGACAGGAAGAAGACTGGATGGATATTCGTGTCAAATGTGCTTTCCCACTGGGCTCTATCTCAATATATCAGTACTAGATCCGATGAGTGCGGAGAGTAGAAGATGAAAAACTTACTCCTCCAAGTCTTTAATGTCGTCGAGCATTGTTTGGGTTCCAGCGTTGTTCACCAAGATGTCAACGCCGCCCATGTTGTGAACAGCCGTTTCAACCACCCTTTTGCAATTATCCTTATCCCGTAGGTCTGTTGCTAGACATAAGCAAATTTGACCTGCTTCCTCCACGCGACGTTTTGTCTCCTGTGCATCTTTTTCTTCTTCAGGGAGATAAGTAATCAAACTAGACGCGCCTTCCATAGCAAACAAAATAGCAACCGCGCGTCCAATTCCCGAATCACCGCCAGTTATAATGGCATTCTTTCCTGTCAACTTTCCGGCTGCTCTGTAAGTCTGGTAACCGCTGTCCTCTGTTGGGAGTTGAGTCGACGTAGGTTTTGGGTTTTCCATTTCATCCTGCAAGCCGGGCTTTTTGTGATGTTCGACTGGGATTTGATGGTCTGTAACGACTGTCAGAAAACTGAAAGGCGCATGTAATTTCGATAATCCAACCAGTCTGGAATTGGGATTTAGGCCCCTTAAAGGATCTTTCCACCTGCTCTTGCATAATTTAATGTTTCGTCGGCTTTTTTTAAGATTATTGATGCGGGTGGAGAATTATCGTCAACTGCCGCTGATATAGAATTTCAATTGGTAATTGATTTAATATGAGCTGATGGAACACCATCTGCGCAAGGCGAAAACCTGGTGGTGGTTTATAGACAGGCCGATTTGGCACGAAGTGTCAATCTCGTCAGTATGACGTCTACCTCGTTGTATCAGGGATGTTTAGCCATATATCCGCTACATGCATTTCTTGATATCAATTTTCAGACATTCACATTTGAATTTTCTGCAAAATCCTGTTTTAAAAGTCTGTCTAGGTTTTGTTATCTTATTTTAATGACAGGTTTTTGTTGTCTTCAAACAGGTGTAGGGGGTAAAAGTGGGGCTGGCATACGACCTCATGTAGAATTACACGGTCCGATGCGAATGATGATGCAAAATTTGGCAGAACTAAATGGGATGAGATCTGAAATAATTTTTCAGAAAAAAAGTGATTATTACAAGAGTGGTGATGGATGAGGTTTCGTTCAGTGAGGATCTATATTCGTGGTAGTGTAGACGTAGAAAAGTACTATGGATCCTGTTTCAACATCATGTCACTCAATTATAGATATGAGTCAGGATAGGATATCAATGGCATTCCTATGATTAACAAGTATTTCATCATACACTGATCATCCTCAAAAATCTATCACCCAAGGCATTTGCTGCTAACGGATTACCTCCAGTGACCAGTTCCCGATGCAATGTAGTCCCACCAATTTTCTCAGGCATGCCTTCAACCATAACGGCACCTGCATTTCTCAATGCAGTCTCAACTTTCTCAATCTCCCCACCGAATAGGCTCTCCATCATTTTCTCTTCAGCGTCACTCCAGCAGGTAATCTTATACCCTTCATAGGCAAATGAGCCATCACCCGTCTTCTTTGTACTCAATAGAGCATAAGGCCCATGGCAAATGGCAGCTGTGGGTTTATTTTCCTTGTTAAAGTAACGCAGGATTCGCCCCAGCTCTGGGTTGTCCCCAAGGTCTTGAAGAGGGGCATGTCCACCTGGAATAAAGAGGCCCGCGAACGTGGCCAACTTCTCATTGCTGAGGGTATTGAAGGGTAGAGGATGACTGAACCCATTCTCACGTTTCATGCGTTCAATGAGTTCAAGTTCGCGTCGACGTTCGTAGAAGTTGCCTGCATAGGCGAGTAACGATTCACTATTTGGATCTGTCGTAGGTTCTTGGCCTTTCGGTGAGGCGAAAGTTACCTCGTGACCGGCATCAAGGAGTTTCTGTAGAGGTTTTGCAAGCTCCTGGAGGAAGAATCCTGAGGGCTGGGCTTCCACTTTGCCAGCGTTGGGTCCACTGGTTTTATGAATAGGAAAAGAGTGTGCATCGCTGAGGATGATCAGCACTTTCTTGGACGGCATTGTTTGTTGCAAATATGAGTCAAAGGTCTGTAACCAGGGGTTATGATTTACAATCATTCAAAGAGAATTGCTGCCTTTATATCTTTCTAGCGCAGCAACATGACATCGAAATGACGTATAAATCACAAAGGGTATCGCATGGACGGGGTCTTGCATAATTGACTGTTGCAAGGTATTCCACGTCTAATCACTCGGTCTCTGTCTGTGGCAAGGCTCTTTTACCGAGGAGAAAATTGCCGGTTAACGGAGTAAACGTTGAACCGGTCTGCACGCCAGTACTAGAGACAACCGGCCTCAAAATCAAATGTGGGGTTATTCCATTTTGGGTGCAGGTACTTTTAAGGCTGCTGCCACTGTGGAGGACAAAAGCTCGGTGTTTTTTCATTTATGATCTTCAAATTCGCTAGATGAGCCAGTGAGGATCTGCCGACATGCGCGAGCAAGGAGAGAAGCCAGCAATTCTAACAAGAGAGCTTGCACTGCTAATATATTTCATTTCTTATGAAGCAAGTCACTTATAAGACGTGTTCACATTAGGCTGAGTCGCAATAGTAGCGCGTGTACAGCACGTCGCGCGGTACGCTAGCGACACATCTCTACTGGCAAATTAGTTCACGTGATATGGCAATGGTATAAAAGTGTTGTACTTTATTATGAGAGTTCAACTGTTTCTCATCTATCCTCCAGCCATGCCTGACCTCAAAGCAGCCCTCACCTGCATTACGGGTTTCGTACCAAAACAGTACCCACATTGGCACCCCACCGCCAGCCGTATGCAAGCTACATGTGCACGCCAGGGATGAAAGCAGTATTGTATGCCAGTTGTACTTTAGTGATGCCATACTATTATACATAGTTGGATATAGCATCTGTGATACCTCTTTCAAACTAAATGTGCCTGATCCTGTGTTATTCAGTAGCTGATAGGTGTTGGGAATGCCAGTCCCTGCAGATCTTTATTAAACCCACAAGTTTAGGTTCAACCAAGGCCCAGACAACTTGATCTGCCATGAGTAATCTTGGTTTGATTTTTAAGGCTATCTGATTAGTGCTAAGGGGGGCCGCTATTGGAGTTTATCGACTATGGATCGCAGCTTGGACCCATTCGGTACACATAGTGTCTCCCCTAGCTTTTTATTTCCGCACCTATCCTGCTCATGGCTGCCAGCTCATTCCTCATAAGACACTGCTCCTTAGGTGTATCTGACAGTAGAGCAATGCTGTGTGTTTCTGAAAGGGATGAAGGTCGATGTGTAGATATTCGGAAGTCACAGTTCACTTACTTGGCGGTTTTCCAGCAAACTTGAGATCTAAAACAGGTCAGTGTTTGTTTCACTTCCGCTATTTCGGTGGCTTAAGAGCCGAGGACTGCTCAAATAACTTCCAAATCAAAGGCCAAATGCCGAACAAAAGGGGTGACGAGAGTCTTCCGTAGTGGATGACATCTCCACTATATGGTAATTTTGTCTCTTGTTATTGGGGATCGACGAGATACAGAGGGTCACACGTGATTTACTAATACCCTTATTGGCTCTACGTCAGGGTTCCCAAGTGGGTATTTCAGTGGATGAATCAACTGGGCAATCTCCGTGCTGTACTCCGTGAACATACAGTAGTTCGATTCAACAAACCTAATAGAAGGTTTACCTAGCGTACCGCGAAGAAAGGGTTTAAAGCACTCTTGCTCCCCCTAACATTCGGATTATCTCTCACTTCTCTCACTTCTCTCACACTCATTTGATACTCATTTCCCACTCTTTACACTCTTTTCACATTCATTTTAATACCACCACAAAATACCACCATGTACGCTAGCAACATCGTCCTCTTCGCCATTGGCGCCATGACCGCCTCCGCCAGCCCTCTGCTCCAGCAGCGCTCCTCTTACACCGCCTGTCCCTCCGGCATGTACGAGAACCTGCAGTGCTGCAAGACCAACGTTGTTGGCATCGCTGCCTTCGAGTGCAAGGCTCCTTCCAAGGAGCCCGTCAGCCTGGACGAGTTCAAGAGCATGTGTGGTGCTCCTGCCGTTTCGGCTCTTTGCTGCACACTTCCTCTGGTGCGTTATGGCGATGATCCCCCCTTCTCATTCACGTTACAGTGAATAAATTACTGACCAACTCCATAGGCCGGTCAGGACATTGTCTGCATGGACCCTCTCCCTGACATGTCCGCCATGTCATCCATGGGAGGCTCATCCGGTTCGTCCGGTATGCCCTCCATGGGATCCGGTTCCACTGGTTCCACTGGCCTGCCCTCTACCCGCTAAAGGGTTGTTGTCAGAAGCTGTTGATTCTTTTCTACGATCCACACTACAATTCAAATCTCGGGCGTTTTTTATTACGGCTGAAGCTGACATCTCTGGAACATATAAGCAACGTTAATTCTATACCCTTACTGTATACAAGTCATCCTATTACACTGATGTCGATTCCGACCGTTCCAATTAGCAAGGCATTGATTTGGCCTAAGATACATCGCGTACTATTCTTCGACCTGTCAGACCATTCTCACCAAAAGAGTGGATAACCCCCTCATTGCTAGCCTCGTACCTCATGAGCCCCACTGTACCATCATCCCTCAGGACAGTGTTTGGCTGGACGAATTTTCCACTTCGGCTCCAAATTTGACGCGAAGATCTTCCTCCACGTCTCAAACTCCCTATCTACAGTACTTAGATTTCTGTAAAAAGGCCGACATGACTTTATATCGGCCGTAGAGCATGGAATTTACAAAGCATTCGTTCGATTGAAAGTTTCCCAGGCGAGATGAGTTTAGAGCGATAAAAGCTAACAAATAGCGTTCCCTCCAGGGCGTTACACTCTATACTGAGCACACCACCTCCGTCTTCAAGGATATGCTTGAATATTACAAAAAGAGCCTTGTGAAATAGCAAGCAGTGATCGGTTTATTTCATACTATTGCTGATCATGGATACGTGAGCTTATCTCGTCATGCTCAGCAGACCATGTTTGGTTTTCGACCTTGAAACTACAAAGTAGCGAATTGCAGTATTATTCTCAAGTGTCAGACGCGTCACTAGGGTGGGGGCCGTTACAGGGATCCTTACCGCCCGGTCCTGGACCCTGGCAACCTCGCCACTAATGATACCATCAAGCAACCTAGCAACCTAGGTGCATCTGCAGAGAGACCTTTTTGAAAGAAACGCCTGTCTGTTCAAAGGCCATTGCATGGCTCAACTCAAAATGGAAACACAGACCCAGGCATCTTCGTCTGGTCTGTCTCAAAGCTCAAACGCCCGTTGGCTCGCTCTCACCCACCGCAACCGCTCTTCCCATTCGTCCTTTCTCTATGGAGTCAAATCGACAAAGATTTACTGCCGACCCACGTGTCCTGCTCGCCTTGCGAGAAGAGCCAATGTCGTCTTCTATGACACTGCAGAACAAGCGCGATGCGACGGGTTTCGCCCGTGCAAGAGATGCCAACCAGACAATGCGGAATTTGCCGGAGACAGAGAGGAGGTTGTTACAAAGGTTATAGAGCTTCTGCGGGTAAAGAAAGATAATTTGACGATGAAACTCGGTTTGAAGGAGCTGGCCAAAGAGGTCGGAGTAACGCCAAGCTATCTATGCCGCGTATTTAAGAAGACGATGGGGATCACGGTAGGAACTTATTTGATGGAGTTTGAAAAGGAGCCCAGCGAGGATGGGACGGAGAGCTCAGCACGCACCCCCAGTCAATTTGGATCCGATGTGAGCTTAGGGACAGGGTTGCCATTCCCAGCGACACAAGAGAGCTCCCGAGGGCCTTTCGATGATCTTCAAGGCGACAAATCGAAAGCAGGAATAGTGGATATTGCAGAGGCTCTAGACTTGAACTTTAATTTCGACGCTTGCTGTGCCAATCTTGACGATCAGTTTTGGACTGAAGACTATTGGACCGAGGACTCGTGGAACGCAGGGTTCTGGAACGAAGGATCCCTGTACTAGGGGCTAAGGCCTCAACAAGTCACTCTTGTGGTATCAATGTTTGATTCTATTGGCCAATGTTCATAAATGCTTTATACATGTACATATTTTTTGACAAGCTCTTTCGCTCTTGTACCGCCAATAGTCTACCATTTAATCCTCCAATCGAATCCCTTGACTTTAATCCTGACCCATAGGAAAGATAAGAATGCAGCCACATAGCTCAGTCCGGCAAAAAGAGCAACACCCCAATACTTCTCTTTCCCTTCCGCTTCCACTGCACTGAGAAGGCCTCCAGCGATCGGAATACTTACCAGTACTCCAAATGATACTGCAGTGAAGCAGGTCGCATAATAGCGCCCATATTCCTGAGTTTCACAAAGCTGGCCAAGGCATATTGGAGTCAAGCTAACATTGGAGCCGCTGCAGAACCCAAATAGCAGAATAAAGACAATTAGGAGCGCGTAGTTATCCAGATCCGGCACGACGATGTCTGGCAACCAGAAACATAGAACTGATACCGTGCAAAAGAACAAGGAGACAATCATTGTATTGTATCGGCCGAAACGATCAGCCATATCACCCGCCACATATCGACCTACGCAAGAAGCAGCATTGAGGATTGCGAGAAGCTGGTACGCGAACGCCGAAGACCCCGTCAGGGCCTCACCTTGAGCAAGGTGCTGTCGATCGATGTAGTAGATTGGTGTATAGGTGATGGGAATGAAATACGCCAGATCCGTTAGAAGGACACCAATGGTTGTGACTGCCATTGCTCCAGTTCCGTCGAGGAAGATTTTCGGGTCGGGCAATGTATCTCGCCAGGTGGTCTCTGCGCCTTTCCGGGGTGGGATTCTGCTTCGGCAAAATGCTATGCTGATAGCACAGAGCGCAAGTAGCACAAATCCCAGGATACGTATTGACCATCCCCAGCCAACTTTAGGGAGAAGTGCTTGTATCATCAGCGGGAATAGGACGCCGCCGAAACCACCTCCAATAAATGCTATCCCGCTGGCGAGACCGCGGCGTTCCATGAACCAATGGGCGACGCAGCCCATTGATGGAGTCAGGAGCAGGGATGAACCAATCCCGGTCATTATTGAGAACGAGAGAAATATTTGATAATATTCTGTGTCGTCATTAGTAAGGGAAAGGCACTGGTGGCAGATTGGACAAACATCGATCTCGGAATGAGGGTAAAGATCACGGATAATCATGGGACTTCGTCTTACCTGTAGATACACTGAGTGTGAAAATGCCAATCAGAGTGCAAATTGACCCGGCAAGGATCAGTAAGCGAGGTCCCATTGCATCGAATGTCGGTCCAACTTGCACTCCACAGACCCAGTTCACAAATGCATAGACCGAAAAGATCCAGCCAAGACTGGACGGAGAGACATCTGGTAAAAGTACTCTTGAGACAACGACCTCGAAGACCCCGGTTGTGTTGTAAATGCCTAGCGATGAGGTCAAACCACACCACGCACCAAACACTACTAGCCAGGCATCACGACCACCTTCGGGATAGGTAATCTCATCCTCGAATGGAATTCTTTCATTTGTTGGGGAAATGTTGCGTGTCGCTTTTTCGGGTTCGGAAGGAGAATGTTCGTTGCTGGTGGGCATCTCTGCTTTGTCACGTAAGACATCCGGAGACTCCGTGGAAGGAGACCTGTGTTCAAAGATTGGCCCCATGTTTGGAAGGTATGTTCCCTTTGTTAGTCGTTCAAATGCGAAGAGCGAGTAAATGACAGGTGATGGCGACTTGCAACCAGTCAGGAATTTTATATCTAAAGGAGGGGGATATCCCGCAGTTATAGTGAAACTATTTACAGAAATACCACATGGTATGACGTTTGAAGCATAAGAGATACCACTCAACGAGGAACAGAACAGGGCAGAAAAATATAGACAGCAGAACAAATGTATTAAATATGACCAACCAGAGGCAAGCGAACTCAAAGTAACCAATCAAAGCCAAGGGTTGACCCTGAACTCGAACTAGCCAATCAAAGCTAAGCTTTGACGGTGTACTCGATATAACCAATCAATACGTTTCGCCTAACAAAACATAGTCAAATGTACAATACGTATCTACATGATATTGGAGGGCAGTAAGTGGGATCAAAGTGACTAGCTAAAGGTAGATCTTCTCGAAATAGCTAGTAGTAATCGGCCAACCCTCCTTGGATGCCTGCCAAGGATATATTAAGCTACAAATCGAATGCTGGGATACCCTATCTGTCATTGTTTCTACATTGAGTAACTTGAAAGATTGTGCGTTAAAAACAATTGCATTCATCATTTGAGCGCCAACATCACCAAGGTCATTCGAGCAATATTGAGTAGTGGTTTTCAATGAATGAAAGACTGGTAGATTTCTTCTAGCTATATAAAAGACCGTTGGCAATACTCAAAAGTATAACAGTCTCAGTTCTCATTGTATTCTCATGTAAACTAAAGAGGACAGAAACGAATGACTCGCCGTCACCCTTGAAACAAGGCTGGTCCATACCGCAAGTTGAAAAGAAACAAACAATAGATCTTTCACGAATGCAAATCTGCCCATCCCACACCTTTTATCTCACTGCACAGAATCAAATGTGTTGTCGGCATCCTATAGGCTAATCACGCCTGTAGCTGGATAGCTTTGGGCATATTCTTCCAACTACTAGCGCTGATCACGTGCTCCTTCTCGTTCATCTGTTCCTTCTCGCTCAGATGTTCTTGCTCATTCAGTCCGTACACAGTGCTGTTTCTCCATTGCTGAAATTCGAATGCTGTCATATCGGGATAGATGGCAGGCTGCTTGTCCGATACAAACTTTGGCAATGGACCAACCGAGACATTCCGTTCCGCCTTGAAGAGATAGGCCATGGACATTCGTGGTGGAATAGTCAGGCCGCTACTGTGCTTCATTGCCTCTGGGGCAGTCACCTGGTGGATGCCACCGGTGATTCTTCCATTTGTCCAGCGGGTTAGCGTATCGCCAACATTGACAATCATCTCTGTCGTATCGGCGGGTGGCAGTGGAACAAAAGACTTTGTCTTCGAATTCTCATCGCGGTCTTCAATTTCCAAACCCCCGGTGCTGTCCTGGAACAGAAGCGTGATAGGACCAAAATCGGTGTGGGGTGCGATACGACTCGCCCGGTTACCCTGCATCTCTTCAACGGGAATTGCAGGATAGTGGGTGAGTCGGAGGTCGGTCGCGCTGGGGACACAGCGTGCGACCAACGATCCATCATCGATACCCCAAGCGACCTCAAGAGCTGCCATGAGTGTCAGGCAGGTATCGTCGCATTGGCGGTAAAAGTCTTCCATAAATCGTTTGAAGCCGGACAGCTCAGGTGATTTAGGCCACTGGTTTGGGAACTCAGTGTCATAGCTTGGACCTTGATCAAAATGTTCCTGATAGTGAAATTCTGTCAAACTCTGAGCGCTTTCGGATCAAGTGTCATGAACACGAACCTTGGAATCTTTCATGAGTCTAACTCTCGCATCACGGTGAAGTCTTCCAACTTCCTCGACCCTCCATGGGGTGTAGCCACGCATAGGACGAGGGCCTGTCTCATTCGGAATTTCATTCTTCACATCCAATGGCTGATCAAAGAATTTGTGACCCTAGGAGGCAAGGTCAGTCTCATCGCCATTAATCTGTCAGAGAACGCCTTACCCAGGTGAACAATTCCTTCAATTCCGGCGCATCAAAGGTGTGGGCTTTGAGCTTGGCGAACCCAGTCCTCTCAAAGCTGTCTAGAAGGTCAAGGGCAAAAGTTTCACGCTGCTCTTGGGTTCCCGAGGTGAAGTGGGTGTAGTTCAATGTTGGAACGGACATGATGAAGTCTTGTGATTGAGTGAAGTGCAAAGTTGTTGTTTCTTCGATATTTTGTTGATTATGTGGATAATCAAGAAAGCTCGAGTTGCATGTTCTCTCACAGACCGGATCTGAGTGAGGCTTTTATAAATTTGTTCTGATAGACAATTTCAATGTTGAGTTCATCATGCACATGAAGCAGAATTCTGACGACACGACGTGGCGATTACTTTTATTGACCTCGTAATTCAATCACTGTCATGATTTGTTGCTATGCTTACTTTCTCCTAACAAGCATCTCAGGGTTCTGAATCCTTCCGCAACGTGTAATCAAGAGGCTCATCTCTTATTGGACATTTTTGGTTCATCATTCCCTCGCGGGTTTATTCACAATTGGGCATTTTAAGTTCATCAAACAATAAGGGGAAAACCTGCCTAATTCCGGTCTTCGTATAGTGCCAGGGGTTTCTTCAATATAGGACCTAAACCGTAATTGGTTGTTTTGAGTACGCAGTCAAAGGCTAGGCCCAAGTACTCAGTGCTTTAAGAAGTTTGCCACTCGTATTCTATTGGTTACATTTGGTGCATAATTGGTAAATCTTCAGCTATTGCCCACTCAATTTCCTGTTCAACTGAATCCTGCCAATATTGAGCAAGGTACATGTTCATGGGTGGCTTAAACTTAGTTGGTCACTGTAAAACAATTTCGTCACTACTCCAAGCACAAGGCACAATACTTAGAGTTTGATCAGCCTCCGATCTTTAGCCATCTCAGAGTTTTTAATTAAGATTTGGCTGGCAGGTGGCCATGGCGGTAGCTCTTAACGATCACTACATTACTGTCGCCTGTGGCTGATTGGCCATTTCCAGTATCAACCCTAAGGTTCTTTTGTTTGTAACTTTCCGCATCATGCTGGGGGCGATACTTTTACCGGATGGTGTTCTCCCGATTAAACTCTTTTCAAGTCTGGACCCTTTTTCACGAAAGGTTACGGGCCGCCCGCTTACCCCACTATGGACCCTTCTTTTCACGCCCAAGATCTATGACATCTTGTGACTTTACATCAACTTTTCATTTGATATTTTAGATAAACAGGTTTATTCCGAGTCAAGTTGATCTACGCAACTGTGTATTGATGCTACTGAATTCGTCAGAAGCGGGATTGTCTCGTATTGTCTCCAAAACAACACGTTTCTTGCATCATGTTACCCCGCAGAAGGTCCTGTTGCATTGCATAGCAAGTATTCATTGTGCCATTAAGGCTCATATAGAGCCCGCACTGTCCCCCACAATATAATTGAACGATGCTTTGTTCGACGTCAAATGATGTTATCTGCAGAATTTCCCTCGCGGAATCTTGGCAAATGCTTCCGTAATACGTCGCATAGCCAAACCTATGCGATAGCAAACAAGTTTTCCATTTTATTCGCCTCAAACATTCTAAGTTTTCTAAGGTATCTTGCCGGCTTGACACGTCAACCGCGATGGACTCTTTTTGATCGCCCATCAATACTGGATTTTGGAAGCTCACGGGGGCACACTACGATAAGTTTTAAGATTGCGAGTTAGGAAGAGGGACTGTTGAATACCTTATCAAGTGTGGTTCTGATAGTCTTGCTCCCACTTAGCAACATCCCTTACCTGAGCCTCACCCAATCTAAATCTAACTCTAGCTCTATTCTAACCATCCCTCCATTGAAACTTTAAATTTCAGATGTCAACTACTGCAGCCGAAGAGAGCCGTGCTCCTCGACTTTGTCCAGCGCATCGGTGACGCGCGATCCCTCTCCTTCGTACAGCATTCCATCATAAGTCATCGCACCTACAACACAGCCGACAACAGGGGCGAAGAGGGGAACAAAGAAATAATAGCCAGCGGCCGTGAACACTTCACGGCCATATATGAGGGCAGAGAACAATCTCGGACCAAAGTCTCTAGCAGGATTAAGAGCCTGGTATCGTTAGTAGAAATTTTAAGCATTGTAACCTGGTAAACGTACATAGCCGGTCTGCCAGCCCAATGCCGCGCCGATGCTAAGCAAAAGCAGGAACATCGAGAGCTGAGGAGCAGGGAAGCGCTGAGCATTTCCTGGATCGGAGATGCTAAGGCAGCCAAACATCAATACGGCAGATCCCAGCACCTCAGCAAACGCGGCCTCCCAGTTCGACTCGAAGAAGGCCGATGGGTAGGTAGAGAAGATGCCCGCTGAATGGTGACCGGAAGGACTCAGAATCGACCCCCATGGAATGGTGTATTCGGGATCCCAAGCCTTGATGGCCGATCGGTAGTTTACATACACGATAGCAGCACCGACGAATCCACCCAGGAACTGCGCAGCCAGCTTGCCTGGGATGGTCTTCCACTGTCCGGCAGATGGACGCACCAAAGCCGTGCAGATAGTCACAGCCGGGTTAATGGTCGGACCAGGGTCAGACAAATAACCCGAGAGGCAGACAGCAGCAGCCCAGGCGACGTTGATGGACAACCAGGTGCCGTACTGGTAGTCGGAAAGCAGGCATTGAGCGACGACGCCATCTCCGAGGACGATCAGCAAGGCCGTGCCAAGGAACTCGGCCAAATATGGCTTCAATGCCCGACGTGGGAACATATTTACAGACCGAAAATATGTGATTCCGCGTTCCCAGGGGCTGCGGTGTTTTTTAAACGAGGGTGGGCCATGACGTCATTTGTCTCGGACCTGCCTAATCGGGATCACCGATCCCATTCCCCTCAGATAGAGAAGTTGTGCTATACATCTGCCAACTATGCATACGTATACTAGCTTATACATGTGCTATGCATATATACGTGCATCCATGGCTTAGGACCTTGAAGACGCAGATCTTCTACTCCCGCCACTATTTGAATCACAGCTTCCCCCCAGTCCCCGTGTTCCCATTGAACACACCTATTGGCACAGTCATGGCATAGCCAACACCCTATTTTGCACCTCCAACAGCACCTTCAGGGCTAGCTACAGCTCCAAGCTTATCATTGGATCCACATTTCGCGTAAGGGTTATCACAAAGCACGCAGCAACGCTTCACCAGAAAGGCTGTGGTCTTTATTCACCCAACTCACCCCGTAGATACGACATCAGTCAATCCCCTCCTACCTCAACCAGCCATCGATTATCCACACGAGACAACTAGGGCGGCTGTTGACATGATCGCCACGAACACAAAGTTGGCCTACTCATCTTGTAAGGTGATCCTATCCCACGCCGGAGGCACGCTCCCCTTTTTGATCACACGAATAAGCACTGTATCACAGGAATCAGTTGCCACTGCTAAGATTTACGGGAAAAGCTCAGAGGGATTAATGGAGGATTTCCGGTCGTTTTACTTTGACCTCGCTCTTTCGAGCTCAGATGCAATGCTTAGGCTGGTTCTGGATAAAATTCCCCATAGTAAACTTCTTTACGGTAAGCTGCTGCAACAATTCCCATTTCTACCCATAATTTTTACTAATACAATGTGCAGAGTCTGACTATCCCTATGCTTCTCCAGATAAGACACTTGTGTTCAAGCAAACGTTGGACACTTTTCCGATGAAGGATGATCCACGCGAGAAGATTCACTTCAAGAATGCGGAAGCTTTACTCGCAGAGGAAGAGTAACAGCCTTTGAATTGAAGAAGTGTCTTGCCAATTCTTTACAACTTTTGCTCATATTCTTCTGTCAAAATAGAGCTTGAAGTACCACCCTTGGGGAGTGACCAGCCCGTGAAACGGCGATTTTTTGTAGCGTCGCTTAGGACCCTGATCCATGATTCTGATTACCATAACTGGATTCTAATATTTTAAACCAGTATGTAACACGAGGCTGAGTCCTCGTGTTGATTTTTTCTTCTAAACGGGGGTGAGAGGCTTTTGTCATACCTGTCAACCTTTCGTTCCTTCACCATGCACCGCATCCTTTTTTATCTCTCGATGTTCGGTTATCTTTTGGGAGGAAGCAATAATTGCTACTATCCTAGCGAGGATGTCGCAGTTGATGACGTCCCTTGTTATGGGGGCGCCGCAGACTCGCCATGTTGCTATAAAACCTCGATATGCAAGATATGCGTTTTTTTATGGCATCTCACAGCCATTTACACTCAGCCGAGGTAGCTGTACCAATAGTAGCTGGCCGGACGGTGCATGCAATGGCAAAATTTTCTGATGATAATTCAACTAGCCTGAAAGTATACTTTCCTCTTCTCAACTAACATGGTTCGAAATCAGCTACCGAATGCGCGCCCAAGAATGTACCTTGCCATTTTACAAATCTATCAACGGCAAGCCTCACTACTGTGCCAATTCCGTCAGAATTAACTCGGGTAATCTCGGCTGTTACGTAGGAACCGCTTTCACACTCAATGACCGTGATGTTTATGCGGGAAAGGCCGGCCTTGTGAACTTGACCTCAAGTGATTACAGCTCAAGTCCAACGTCAAGTTCCAGTTCAGCTTCAAGTTCAAGCACAGCTCCAAGCAACACGACTGGGAATGCAATGGATAACAACGGTGTGAATATAGGAGCTGGTGTGGGAGTCTCCCTAGGGGCATTATTTTTCCTTGCGTTGGGCTGGGCATTGTACGAGTGAAAGAAACAACACTCTGTCCAAGCTTTGGTGGCTGGACTTGATTCCGAGGCGGCAATGGCACAATCGAATACTCAGAGCAATGCACTGGTGTGTGCTCCGCCAAGTGGGCTTTCAAATGCCCTGAAAGCGCCGCAAGTGCTCGCGATAAGTGAGCGTCAGGTGTAATAGTTTTGTGGAGGTCACAATAGTGGTTTTGCATCTTCGTCGACATAATATTTTAATCTTACATTTTCTGCATATTTCTTGACACAAAGATTTATACTAAGTGAGCTCTTTGTTAATTTGCATAGCAGCTAAATCATCAATATTGCGTAGTTTATATTATCGACTCCTGGCGGGTACATAGAGCTTAATGGGGTTGAGCAGACATGCAGTCTATAGTGGCGTACTGAACTCCTTACGGCAAGTCCGAAACTCCGAGATATGTCAGGCTCCACTTTCTTTATCGAATTCGGAGTTTTGTGTTTATCTATTTTGGATACTAGTTATTTTCCGACCAGAAGCTATGTAACTTGATAAAAGCTATAAAGACCAGACACACTTAAATACTTTGTTTTCCTTCATTCCTATACCATATCTGCTACTGTAACAATGACTCGTGTACTTCTGACAGGTGGAAGCGGCTTCATTGCCGCTCATGTACTCAACGTTCTTCTAGGCCGGGGCCACTCCGTCGTCACTACAGTTCGTTCCCAGGCCAAGGCAGATGCTATTCGACGAACCCACCCGAAAATCTCCAACGACCGCTTGTCATTTTTCATTGTTGAAGATATAGCTCAACCAAACGGTATAACCAATTTTAATATTTATCTAATGTGTATCTTGGCAACAACTACTGAATCTGGTATAGCTTTTGACCTCGCGGTTGTCACGGACCCTCCCTTCGAGGCTGTCATTCACACTGCCAGTCCATATCATTTCCATGCTAAAGATGCCCAGGAGCTCTTGGCTCCAGCCATCATCGGCACGACAGGGATTCTAAAATCCGTACAGAAATATGCTCCTCTCGTGAAAAGAGTAGTGGTGACCTCATCATTTGCTGCAATTAATGATGTTTTTGCCTCGTCTGCCGACAAGGTCTACTCGGAGGTATGTAATTCTCCCACAGCAAGATACCGTTTCAATCGCTGACATGACGACATGATACTCCAGGCAGACTGGAGCCCTATCACAGAGGAACAAGCAAACGATAGCCCTGCAAACGCATATCGCGCAAGTAAAACGTTCGCTGTAAGATTCCTGATTTCTTTCTGATTGAACTGGGATAACCCGGCAGCTAATCATTGCCTACAGGAGAGAGCAGCATGGGAATTTGTTGAGAGAGAAAAGCCCAGCTTCACACTCTCTGTAATCAACCCGCCCCTCGTCCTGGGGCCTATCAATCATAATCTTACCTCCCTCAACACCCTTAACACCTCCAACCAACGAATCCGGGACCTAGTCTCCGGTGCAGCAAAAGTCCGTTGTCCCCCGACAGGAAACTACCTCTTCGTCGACGTGCGGGATCTCGGTCTAGCCCACGTACTCGCTATTGAGAAGGAAGCCGCCGGAGGGAAACGATTCTTCACTGTTTCTAGTCATTTCTCGAATGCTGAGATTACTGAGATCATTAGCGAAGAGTTCCCTAAGTACAAGAATCGTCTGCCGACTGGAGATGCCTTGAAGCCTGGGGAGTATTCCGCAGATGGAGTGTATGGGTTCGACAACACACGGGCGAGAGAGATCTTGGGTATTCAGTTCAGGCCTCTGAGGGAGAGTATTGTTGATGCCGTGAAGAGTCTAATACCTCTGGGCGTAGACAGGATATGAGTTCTAAATTGTTTAGAAATGACCATAGAAGACTGTTTCATGCTGTGATTCAACCACATATGTATGTCCACGGTTGCTAGGACCGTGAAGCTCTTGTTTTTTTCTCAAAGAACTTAAGCCGTTGTTTAGGGTATTAAGGTCAACACCATAGTCAAGTAGCGCTTGAACAAAAGCAATACCGCCACAATTTTGCCGCTAAGAACAGAGGCGTTTTTCACTGCCAGTAAGAAGCTCGACATATTTGCTCCCGTTTGTCCAGTCTTGTACGATCTTTTCAAAGCGGCAAATTTCATTTCATGGCTTCAATATGAAGCGTAAGACATTTTGAAAGTTGAGCATTGCGGTGGTAGAGATATTGAATGAGGCAGAATGCAATGCAGAGAAGTATTTTGTTTCGAGATTTTTTGAAAGAACATGACGGTGAGTCGGAATGCAATTTTGAGGGACAAGAAATAAATGCAAACTGTGCCTTCTTTGTCCAGATGATTCTGAGAGCTTGTTCTACTTTTCTGTCTATGGGGTGTAGCCTATTACTCCCAGTAGTTTCCTTTTCTCGGTGTATCAGGGCTACTTTGTAAGACTAGTCCCAGCTTCAGTACGGGAATCGGAATTAATATTGTAATAATTTCCATGACTAACGGTAGTGTAGGAATATCAGTGTTCCAAGACTGCTACAGACGCTGACGAGCACCAAATTTCGATCAGTCTTGGAGGTTCAGTCGGACAAAGGCCGATGCGCTTTTCTCAGAACCAAGTAAAGAGAACGATTGAGGCTCCATTTGTGTGTGATCCATAGAGACAAGCTTCTATGATCGGAGCGGCTGTTTCCGGACCAATAGCTTGAGATCCTCCCCAATCCTTTCAGATCGGGCATCCCCGAAACTCCTTTGGGAAGTCCATGATTCCGGTCCCAGGTTAAAACAGAGAGAATGACTCGAGTGGCGGGGAACAAATCTACCGGAAGCCGACTATCTTCTCACAGGCTTTCTCATTTCAGCTGGGCGTTCATCATGACAGTCTTTGTATAACCCAGCTAGAACGCAAGCCATTGCACCTCCACGGAAATGGGCATATACCGAGCAGCAGATGCCTCGTAGCGAGGCAGTTAGGGTCCTCGTTGGAATCTTTGCTCGCATCATCACCACCCTTTTGTCCATGGAGTGTCTGACCCGACTGAGATGGGGCCATGTCTGGTCTTGCCTCTCACTCCCAGGTGCTTATGTGTATATACATATACACGTATGTGACTCCAGGTCTCTACCTGATATCGCCAGTTTGTTGAATCTTGAAGATGAAAGGAGCTATGGCTGATGATGTTCTAGTTTGAATATCACCACGATCGTAACGTGCGAGGATTGCCTGGAATGAACCCAGCCGGGCTTAAGTCAAGCTTGTCACATAATGTACACTTCTCTTCAGCTCAGCTGGACAACCCCTGAGGATCTTGACAAGGACAATCAGCGTCAAGTCAACTGAATAAACTTCACGGGCATTGGCGCGTTCATCTCAAGCCACATCTATCGATCGGATGACTGATGAGATAAGCAGCTAGAATGGACTTCCAGCCACAGGCTCGTGGGGGCCAATACGAATTGATTTCACATCATCTCTTGTCTGTACTTGTACTGCTTCCATGAAGTCTCTTGTGTCACAACACTATGTTCTCCACGTTTTCCGCCCTCAACTCCACTGATCGTCCGGAACAGCCCGCTCCACCCCGTCCCAAGCGGAATCAGGTTGCGCGGGCCTGCGACTGGTGCCGCCTCAATCGCATCAAGTGTGACGACAGGCTGCCATGCCAAAATTGCAAGAGTCGTGGCGGCCACTGCAGTAACACCAAACAATTTGGAACCCAGTCACTGAAAGCCGCGAATCGGTAAGATGCCCCCTGTCCAACCCTTCTTTGTACCATGTGTTCGTCCAGCTCAGCCACTATCAGAGATAACTGATAAGGGATAAAATAGGGAGATACATCGACTACGAAACCGACTCAAAGATTTTCAGGAGGAACTGGATAAACTGACCGAAGAATCGAAAAGACAGCCTGGAGCCGCTAAGCATTCATCCCAACATCCCTTGGATGCCTCCAGCTCCAGCTCGAGCACTGTACCATCAGCCGAACTTCCAGAATTGCATCGCACAACATGGAATGGCTTTCAAAATCCAGAGTCCCAAACGGGACGGGTGATCCATTTTGGCCCTTTCTCCTCGCCATACATGGTGATGCGCCTGAACCGATACATGTCCGAATCTTCCCACCAACAGCCTCTCAAATTTCCTTTGCCAATCCGCCTCTCACAGATAAACCAATATTCGCCAACAAATTCACTGGGTCAGTTATCGGATGAAGCGGAACGACCCAGACTGCGTCTAGGACCAGTCGTGGCCGAGGACCTACCAAGGGAGCAGGAGGAAAACTTCTTGGTGCTCATGTGGCAGTCTTATCATTGCATATATCCCATTATCATAGAGGAGGATTTCCGGGATTATTACAATACCTTATGGGCTGGAACCAAAGATCAGGGCCCCCGCCAGCCTTCTGCTCTGGTGGATAGCTTATTGGCTGTCTGCACGCAATACGGTAGCACTTTTCTGGGTGATGAGGAGGATTTCGCAAGTGGCGAAGAAGAGCCACAGGCGGCGCATTTTCATACAGTCGCGCATGCTTTCTACGATCGGAGTCAGCGCATGCTGATGGATACGCTGGAACATCCTTCAATCCCGACCCTGCAGAGCCAGATATACTGCATAATATACCTATACAACATTGCACATCTAGATACCGCTCTTGCACTTCTTGGGACTGGCATCAGAATTGCTCATATGCTGCGGTTACACCTCCGACCTTTGGGCGATCTCCCAAGGGCAACACAAGAGCTGCATTCTCGGATTTGGTGGACCTTGTACCAGCTAGACAGCCAAATTTCAATGTCGCTTGGCCGTCCACCCCTAATTAATCCGGCTGAGGTCGGATGTGCGATTCCCACAGACATGCGTGACGCGGTGCAACTGTCAGGCACTGTGTTGGTATCACCTCCCGAAGAGGAGCTTACTTGGCTCAGCTTCCATTTACATTATATCCGCCTGACAGCTGCGGCGCGTAGTGTTCAAGAGGTTTTCGCTGCGCGCTGCGATGAGATGTTGCAGGAGAAAGACATCCAAGATATCCAAGAGGATCCGCCTGCTCTCGAGTTACTCTCAAGATTTATGAGCAGCCAAATTCGCCCCATGTATGACTGGGTGCAGGCCGTACCATTGTCTCTCAAGAATCAACGCAAGGGCTCAGGCGAGGCCTTGTCGACAGATCGCACACCACTGAACTTAAATCCTGCTAGCCCGCTATGGCTACAGCGCCAAAGACTTCTCTTGGAAATCACATATCATCATCTGCAAATCGCCACCCTTCGCCCCTTTATTCGCTTTCCTCCACGAGGCCCATCCCTCACCCCACTGACCGACGGTCTCGGAATTTCTGCTCTAAATCACGCCGTCGTGTTGACTAATATATTGAAATATGTGCTATCAGAGACAGATATTCTGTCCGGTTGGACTCCAGCCTTCCAATACCAGTGGGATGCCACCATCTGCCTCATATCATTCACGCTGGCGAACCCGGTGTGTCCTCCGACCCCAGCCGCACGAAACGTCTTGCCAGCGGCGTTCGAAAATCTTAGTACTCTCGGCAAGACCTTTGCCCCTGGACACAACTCTATCCGACTTGCATGGGAGCAGTTCCGTTCCAGTTCAAGCCGGCGTGGGTGGTCCCAGTTGATGTCTCCTAGTCAGAGTGCCTCTGACACAGCGGGGCTGCTAGGGCCCGTGTCTGCCACTGGCGTTGATTCGAATAGCATGCGACTCACTGGCACTGGGGGGATGGCTTCCGTCTCACGGCCTACCGATCCATTTTCGATGAAACGGCCCTCCAATGCGATGCCGGGAAACGAATACTTCGATCCAGTCGCTATGACTCCGCCAATGCACTTCATGGATGCATCTTTCAGCCTTCCTATGGATATGTTCATGGGAACTGAGAACCGGTGGATGTCGAATGGTGCGGTATCTTTGGATTCGTGGGATGTGCCTGGATCTCAATGATCATCTGTTGCTCTTTTCTTGATCTTGTGCGTTCTTCGAGTGCAATTTCATGAAAGATGTAATCAATATTATGGCAATGGTCTAGTCAAAATTTTCTAAACTTTTGCTGTAGCTGATCAATGAAGCCACGAGCAGTTAGCACAGCTAGACAATCTATGGATCTCCAAGATCTATTATGAATCAATGACTAATGATGACGACTAGCAAGAAATACTGAAACAATTAGTAAATCTATCATTATAAGGTCTATCAGTCTATCAGTCATAAGCTCTCTATAGCGCAATCTTGGGAAGAAAAATAACAAACAACTTCCCACTACCTGGAAGCCAGTCCAAACCTAGTTCTTGTAAATAGACACCATGGACTAAGAGGAATCATTAGCAAGTCATCCCAAACAAAGAGAGGAAATGGAAAATTATAGCTCACATCAGCAAACTTAGGCTCAATAAACAAAGCCTTAGCCTCGGCAACCATAACAGCACCCTCATTCTCCTCACTCAACAAATCAGTATCGTGAACAATACTGCCCGGGTCAATTGAAGATGAAGGCAAAGAAAGCGGCAGATAAGTCATCTTTCCCTCAACCCACGCCTTCCTTCCCTCAACCTTAACAGTCTCAGTACGTAGCACATACATACGGTCAGGAAGCGCCGGCTTCCGGAAATCAACATTCAGATTCGCTGTCATGCCAAGGCCACTGGGGAAAGCAACAGAAACACAGCGAGCAAAGACCTCATCAAATAGGACAGAGAGCAGACCGCCGTGTACGAAACCGGGGTGGCCGCAAAGGTCTTGGCCAATGTGGAAGACTGAGACTACGCTGCTGGCTCTTTGCTGTGTCTCTGTTTTGCTTGTTGATGTCCACATGTATGGCTGGAAGGCGAGCTTGCCTGGACCGGCTAGACTTCCACCTACTAAATGGTGTTGTCTGATTGTCGGTGGAATGACGAGGTGGGGACGGGTTTCTTTGTAGGCTTTGTGGGTGTTGCGGAGGGTTTGAACGATGGGGATTTGGGAAACAAGGGTGTCGATGGTTGTGGATTCATGCTGGGGACGTTGAGGTGTAGGGGTTTTTTGTTGTTGTGCATGAGAAAGGAATGGTGAGCCCTTGGGGGTGGGTACATGTCTTTGGTCCTGGGGAATTGCCCGGTCGTGGACGACAGCAGAGCGCGACGGGCCCTGCTGGTGAAGGCGTGCGATAGATCCCCATGGTGAATATGATTTCAATGCCAAAGCATTTCGAGATCGGAAGAGCCGTCGGCCTGTCTGTGAAACGTTTGACATATTCAAGTGTATATTTATATCCCGATATAAGTTTTCTGGTGGGATGTTACTGCTAATTCGTCAGAGGGACTCATATGAATGCCGACCGGGATACATACTCCGGCAGAGGCTTAGACTGCGACGTCGGCGTTGGGGTGCGTCGCCGATCTTTTAGTTTAGCGTTGCTGTTGAACTAGGGCTGCAGCAATATGCAGCATATCACACACGTATGGGTTGGATATGTCGATGAAATGCACAAAAGGGCAAAAGTACTTTCCAGAAGTAGGAAAGAATCGGCACTTCGGATAGAACCTGTTCAAAGCCACGCGAGATTTTTTGCGTCGGGTCCATCAGTGGGGCACAAAAGGCCGACTTTCGGCGATAGGCATGCCGGTGGCTCGGCATGCCGATCCCGATGACGTTCCGGATCCATGAGTGAGGGTTTAGTTGTAGCTGCCCTGCATTGCTGTATTGCTTTTGATGAACGAATCAGTAATCTACAGTACATTCATAGGGTTTACACCATTGCTATTTCTAATTTTCGAAATAGGATGAGGCTATATGCGACCGTTTCACGGGACTGCTCATTACGGATGAACTATTAACTATGCGGTTCCAAGGACGTTTCCGCGAGACTCTCCGTAAATATGACATCTTAGCCACCATTAGAACAAAGTACCATCCCCAAAGTTCAGAATAGGACTAGACTTGGTATCAGGACGATTCGCCGCTGCAAGCTCACGTCCCGCTTTCCAAGAACCAGCCTCCAAAACCTGAGGCAAAGAAAGCTTAACACCATCAAGTTTTTCGAGAATCTTGATATGAAGTACATCTAACAGGGCAACAGTCATAGCCCGCCACTCCACAATCTCGTCATCACCCGCTCCATAAGAGGGCAAAGACCCGCCCGACAAATCAAGTCCGCGCTTCAAAGCCTTGGGCTTCAATTCGAGGACACCCATGTCGACAAATAATCCACCATTGCGATATTCAGGTAGACCAGTGCCAAGCTCGGTATTAGTCCATGAAACTGAGAGTAAACGGGAGAATGGAACCATCAATGAGTATGCCAACCACTGGGTCAGCTTATGGAAAGGTTGGATATTTGAGAATGGCTTCGACTCGGCATCACCCTGCTCTTCAAGTGCGCGAAGAGGCCATGCATCGCCTATGGGTTGGCCCTTGACGTGTGTCCGGTCAGATGGCCAGATGGGGAGTAGGAGTCGCTGTAACACATTCCAGAGGTCCTCATAGTTAAGCTTTCCGTCATTTGCCTTCGATTTAATAAGAAGGAAGTCTGCGATTCAGATTGCTTGTTAGCCTGGAGTAAACTTATGTCACCGAATTGATTGAACTTACCAACCAGATTACCAGGACGACCAGTAGGTCCAAAGACATCCTTCACATTGAGAAGTGATTCGCCAAGTTTGCGAATTATATCTGTCCGCGCAGGAACCCCAACCATTGGGTTAGACTCAGTCACTTGCAATCCACGAGACAAGATATCAACATCAATATTCCGCAATGCATCACCTACCACATGTTAGTCCCTCATTAAAATCCAGTGAAACGAATGAGATATACCATGAACAGTATGTTTAACATCAAAACCTTTTCCAGCAAAGTCCCCATTGAGGAACATATGCAAGGCCGCGACGGCAATACCCTCACTCCTGGTTAGAGTCTGACCACTCTGCAACTCTTGGAAACGCCAATGATCTCCAGCACCGGCATCAAGAAGAACAGAAACGAAGAAGAGATCAACCAGTCTCCGGGCTTTCTCGGTGGTGTCGCATCCCTGCCCCTCCCATTCAGCGAGTAGAGTGTCTATGCGGGGAACCCCGCCGACTTCGAAATGTTGCCAACGGCCATGGGGTGGGATGAGATGGTATTTGTCTGGGCCAAAATCGCGCTGTTCAAATCAGGTAGCATAAGTATGATATGCCAGATGATTGATGGTGTCTATAATTCAAACATGGGCGTGGACCGTACCTGGATAAGCTTAAGTACGTAGTCGGTGGTCTGTTCCATCCGCTCGCTGTGATAGTTGAAATGGTTCAACCCGCCTTGTTCGGCCAATTTGAGTACAATGTGCGCTCTGGAGCGGACAGCCTCCAGGCTCAGCAGTTCTTCGATTTGGGGATCCATGGTGTGTGGTAGTAAAGAGGGATGAGGTCGGATTTGGGGAAGAGGGGAAAGCCTGGAGTATTCAGTACATGGGTCACATGTACATGTACAAGCGTGTTGGCATGTCTGAGGTCGCATTCAGCTGTACTGTGACGTGAGCTGCTGGTCTCTTATCGGCGTTCGCCTATCTCTTCTCCAACGGCTGTAGATAGCGAGTTCATTGTTAGATAACTTCATGTTTTGGTTAGACACGCAGTAACAACACAGCATTCAGCTTGGTTCAATTACTATATAAGGTATTTCATCTCATCTCATAAGGACATCGTTTGTGCTTCACACAATCTGCGCGCTCAGACCTTCTCGGCCAACTTGCAGCCATAAAGTATGCCGAAGCAGCACGGTGATAGAACCGGACCTCCGAATTTAGGTAATAGGAATAGTTTTATAACCTACAATTGGCAGAAGAAAGACAGACGATCGAAACATGTTTTGGTATGCAACACTATATCACAAGTACTATCTATCCTTTTTACAAATTCCAAACGCTACAGTAGTCACAAAGTTAATTAGAAAGTGAGCGGGTCAAGGTGTCCGAGGAAGGCTTTGTTACCCTCGCCACGGAGCAGAGCCTCGACATCAATGCGACCGGAAGTAAGATACTTCTCGCTAACACCAATGTTGACACGCTCAGCAAGTAGGTGCTTGAGCTCTGCGCGGAGCCCGGCCATCTCTCCCTTGGTCATACCACTAGCCTCCTTCTCGCGCCTTTGGCGGCCACCGCCACGACCGCGGCCTTGACCCTGAGACTGATCGAAATCGTCACTATCATACTCTACACCGAGGTCCTCAGCTGCAGCGCGGAGCCAGTTGTCCTCTGTATTGACCTTTTCTTTGGCAATGGTTGTGTCGGTAATTTTCTTGGCAAGGTTGATGCGGGGACGGAGGCGAGCCACGACCCGACGATCAATGTCGAGCGACTCGAGAGGAAGCTTCTTCGATGCACCCTCACCCTTGTGCTTTTTAGCGTTGATCTTGGCGGCGAGACGAGCGACGCCGACGACCTCTTCGGGGGCGCAAATCAAGATACTCTTTCCAGAGGCACCGGCACGAGCAGTGCGACCGGATCGGTGGACGTACATGTCTGCTGCGCGAGGGACGTGGTAATGAATGACGCTGTCAATGCCCTTGATATCGAGACCACGGGCCGCAACGTCCGTGGCGACAAGGATTGAGCTTGGGTCCGCAGTAGGCGATGAGAACCGCTCGACGGAACGAAGTCGGGCTTTTTGGGCCATGGAAGAGTGGAGGGCAAATGCAGGGAGTTGAAGAGCTTGCAAGAGCTGGGTAACGCGACGGACAGCAGAAATGGAGTTAGTGAATACAATTGTCCGGTGCTTGGGATAGTATAGAAGGACTGAGTAGAGGTAAAGATCCTGTTTGAATGTTAATGTGACTGTAATCGTTGATAAAGTTGCGCAATGCTCTCACCTTCTCCATAGCAGGACATTCAACAATTCCTTCCTTGAGACCCTGGGCCATCTGGTCCACCGGGTTCACATCGATAAACTTGGGCTTCTCCTCGCGGAACTTTAGCTTCTTGAGAAGATACTCCATGGACTCCTTGTTATCCAACATATCACCGTTTGTCCAACGGCCCTTTCCTGCGAGCTTTTGTTGAAGGTCACGGTGGAAGGTGGCAGAGAAAACAAGGGTTTGTCTCTCTGAAGGCTCTTCCTCCTCTTCCGTGGCTTCCTCGTCCGTATCCTTAATATCTCCGGCTTGATGGTTGTCAAGAGCGCCAACGATATCTTCGACTTCCTTGAAGTGACCCTCGCTAAGAAGTCTGTCGGCCTCGTCGACAACTAGGAACTTGATCTTCTGCATCTTGCGGATAAGACCTTGTCCTTGGCTCAGAATCTCCCACACTCGACCGGGGGTTCCTACGACAATGTCAGCCGCAGCAAGTTGTCTCTGCTGCTTCTGAATGGACAGTCCACCAGTCAAGAGGGCAATGCGAGCATTGGTGTCGGGGGCGTTAGCAGTGAGCTCCCCGATATGCTTTGCAAGCTGGTGCGCCAATTCACGGGTGGGAGAAAGAACCAATGCGATTGGTGTTGAGCCAGTCTTCTCGGTCTTCTTGTCTTGCTTTCCTCTCTTGTCGAGATAGTGCTCGATAATTGGAATTCCAAAGGCCAAAGTTTTACCCGAACCGGTCGAGGCCTTTCCGACGACATCATGTCCATCCATGATAGCAGGAATACTGGCCTTCTGAATGGCCGAAGGAGAGCTGAACTTCATCTTGGAAAGACTTGTGTAGATTTCAGGCGAGAGATTGAGCTCATCCCAGGCCGAGACATCTACGCTGTCTTCGTCCTCGTCTTCCTCAAGGGCTTCGAATGAGAGAGCACCCTTCATACTTTGGTCCTTTTTCGGCTTTTGTTGCTTTGGCTTCTGTTCGGGCTTTTTCTTTTCATTCTGTTCCTTGGGCTTCTGATCGGCCTTCTTCTTTTCCTTCTTATGCTTCTTATCTTCCTTCACTTCGGTCTCCTCGGCCGTGGGACTCTTGTGGGCAGTCTTGTCGGTCGAGTCTTCGTCGCTGAACCCAGTCCACTCGTCTTCGTCACCTTCTTCGGGAGCTTTCAAAATTGACTTTCTGGGCTTTCCTGACTTGGCCTGATCCAATAATATCACAGATTAGCGTCTTATGAAGTTGACCATAGCTTTGGAATGCATACTCTGAATTGGATCTCGCCGCCACTAGACCCTTTGATGATATCCACGCCGTCAATCTCTTCTAGACCGAAGAATCCCTCTGCATCCTCCATGCGGTCAGGAAGCGCAACCTCCTTCCAGTTGAGGTCCTCAACTCCGACAAATACATTGGCATCTTCTTCCGCAGCATCAGCCTTGGTGGACTTCTTGCGCTTTTTCGTCTGGAGCGCCTGAGCTTTAGATTCGTGTCCACGCTTTTGACCCATGATGAATTTAAATAATCCCAAAGGGTTGCAGCTTGCACAAGTAGACAAGAAACACAAGCTCGCCGTCACGGAAGAGGAAGATTCGCAAAGAAAAAAAGTGGCAGAAAATTGAGTCCGCCTTGGAATCTTATCTTTTCGTTCCCCACGTCGCAAAATTAACCCACCTCGACTGACTGCCAATTGCGCTTGATCGACTTGTCAATTCACAATGGGCAAATCATCCAAGGACAAGCGCGACGCTTACTACCGTCTCGCAAAAGAACAAAACTGGCGCGCCCGTTCCGCCTTCAAACTTATCCAGATCGACGAGCAATTCGACCTATTCGAGCATGAGGACCCGGACAATGTCACAAGAGTGGTGGATTTGTGCGCTGCACCCGGAAGTTGGAGTCAAGTTCTAAGTCGTGTTCTGATCAAGGGCGAGAGCTTCGGCCGGCGCGCATGGCTCGAGAAGAAACACCAAGCACAGCAAGGATTGGCGGACGAGCCAACGAGTGATGATAAAATGGAAATTGAACCCAGCTCAAGCTCCGAGCTCAAGCCTCGCAAAAATGTCAAAATCGTCTCGATCGACCTGCAGCCTATGGCCCCTCTCGAGGGCATCACAACCCTCAAAGCCGATATCACCCACCCCTCTACAATCCCTCTCCTCTTGCGCGCCCTTGACCCCGAAGCATACGCCCAGGCCTCCGATTTACAATCTTCTGCCCCGGAGGTTATCAGACAACCCCACCCCGTTGATCTGGTCATCTCCGACGGTGCACCTGATGTAACTGGACTTCACGACTTAGACATCTACATTCAATCACAATTGCTATATGCGGCACTCAACCTAGCCATGGGTGTCCTCCGACCAGGCGGTAAATTTGTTGCTAAGATCTTCCGTGGTCGTGACGTGGATCTGCTTTATGCACAACTGCGCACCGTTTTCGAGCGTGTCAGCGTTGCCAAGCCACGGAGTAGTCGCGCGAGCAGCTTGGAAGCTTTTGTTGTTTGCGAAGGTTTCATTCCTCCGGTTAGTGATAGCGGTGTGGTCGGTATGGCTGCATTGAAGGATCCTCTGTTCGGAGGTGCTGCTGCCCCAGTACCTGTGTCTGAGGATGGCAATGTTGCCGTCGAGGTTCGCGAGGAGATTGATGAACTTGCACAAAGACAAACTCCTCTGGCTGGAAGCACTGCTTCTGCACCAAATCACACCACAGGAACCCGTCACCTTCAGAACCCATCTGAAGAGAATCAACCTACGAAGCTTTCCAACAAGTTCTCTGAGGAGAACCGATGGATTCCCTCATTTATTGCATGTGGAGATCTTTCTTCTTGGGACTCAGATGCCTCATACACGCTGCCGCCGGATTACGTTACCTTAGATCCAGTACAGCCTCCTACTGCTCCCCCATACCGACGGGCATTGGAGTTAAGGAAAGAAATGGGCGGCGCATACGGGAAGACCAAGTTTGGAACTATAGGCCGGGCTTAATTGCTACGGCCCATTTGAACAATCATGTATAGACGATAGATGACCTAGACGACATCGCATTTACAAAAGCTTTTGCAGGCATTGTCGGAACAGATACCCAATTAAAGTGCAGTGTCCAGAAACTATACTTAGCTGAGAGCAGAGCCGCGGATCCTCGTTTTGGCCCCCACCGAGGCACCTTTCGAGGTAATGTGCTGTCCCTTTTTTACACAGGAAACTACCATTGTCTCAAGTTTCGAGAAACAGCCGAAGTGATGAGCTTGTCCGTTTCAACCCTGTCGAGCAAAATGTCGCTCTCATTATTATCCAATGAGCTGATCTGCATGATCGCAGAGCGTATCCCAATACCAGCAGGCGTCTTGGCGTTCATGCTAAGCCATCGACGTGTTCAGGGCCTGCCTGGGGTGCAAATAGCTCTTACACTTGGCTACTAGATAAATAATTACCCTGACCGCAAAGACCGCGATGTATCACAAACATTGCGCGATATAACGCCATCTTCTTCAATGAAGACCTCATGTGACTACTTTGACTTGGGTGAGTTCTCCCACTCACCTATATAGATAAAATACGAGATAAAATGTAGAATTTCCGAAGAGGACATCCCATCTACAACGTTTCCAGACATTGTAATATCAGAAGTGGGTACCCAAATATATTGAAGTGATCACATCGTCCATAACATTTGATATGAAATCTACATCAAAGACCAGAGTGAAGATCGTGAAGAAAATGCATTTTGAAACATCTATGATGCGATAGACAAGCGATTTAGTTGTAAGGGGGAATAGATGCGAAACATGAAATCATGAGAACATAATTACTTCCACAAAGCCTAGTAGACTTCCAGAACATAGCGCTCCTCATCCTTCAACTTCTCAATCTCCTTGCGAGTGTCGACCTTCTTGCCGGTGAGCTTAGCCTCGGTGGCAATAGCTTCCTCAAGAACAGCGGTGACGTCGGGCACGGGCCAGGTGGGACCACACAGATAGAACGCACCCTCCTCGCGGATGTAAGCCCGGATAATCTCAGGGAGAGACTGGCGCATACGGTCCTGAATATAGATCTTCTCAGGCTGATCACGAGAGAAGGCAGCACCGAGGAGAGTGATGACACCAGCCTCCTGGTAAGCCTCCCACTCCTCACCGTAGCAGTACTCCTCGCGCTGGTGACGGGAGCCCATGTACAGCAGAACGGAGCCAATCTCCTTGCCCTGGGCCTTCTCGAGAGCGCGGTGCTGGACGAAGGCGCGGAAAGGAGCAAGACCAGTACCCAGACCGGCCATGATGAGGGGCTGGGTGGACTTGGGGGGCAGCTTCATAACACTAGACTTGACGCTGACGGTGATGGGGGAACCGGCTCGGAGGCGGCTGAGGTAGCGGGTGGCCAGACCAAAGCGGTCGCGGCCGTTGGGGTCAGTCCAGTTCACGGCGACGATCATCAGGGCGACGGTGGTCGGGGTGACCTTCTGGCACGAGGCGATGGAGTACTCGCGACGCTTCAGGGGACCGACAATGCGGACGATCTCGTGGAACTCGGGGTGAGCGGAAGGGTACTCGAGCAGGACGTCGGCGAAGGTGATGGTGTCAACTTCGGCGCGGCGCTTGAACTCGGCGGCACCGTCGGGACCGCCCAGCATTTGGAGGTCCTTCTTCTCCTTCTCGTCAGTGGCGAATTCGGCAAGGGCCTCGTAGAAGCGCTTGGGAGGGCGACCATAGATGTCGACGTTCTGGATCAGAGCCTGGTAGACAGTGCGGTTCTCCAGGACGGCAGGGTCCTCGCGGCTGGGAACCTCAACAACGGCGTCGGGGTTCAATCCGTAGAATTCGATGAACTTGGTGATATCCTCTGGGTCGTTCTCGGCGTGAACACCAAGAGCCTCACCGATGTCATACTTCAGGCCGGTGTTGCCGAGGTCGAACTCGATGTGGAAGATATTACGGTCGTAGGTGACGGGCGTCAAGCGACGGTTCTCCTTGACGTGAACGGTGAAGGTCTTGGTTGCCAAGTCAGGACGGAGGGCATCCTTGGTGCCATAGGCCTCCTTGAAGGCCAGGCCACGGGCAGCAGTCTCCCAGTCCTTGAGCAGGGTTGGGGGCTCGGCCTCGTTCTTGTCGAACGAAACAAAGCTGTTGGAGGAGATGTCCTTGGGGAGCTGGATGGCCTCGCTGATTCCCTCGGGCTCCTTCCAGGTTTCGGGAACCTCAATCTGGCGCAGAACCTTCTCGAGTTCCTTGGTCACGTTGTCCAGAGACTCGGCGTTGCCGGTAATGGCGGACAACTTCCTGGTGGCAACACTCTCTTGGGAAGGCAGAGCAACACGCACAAAGGAGGCCTGGAGAACAAGAGCATCTAGGGAGGAGTCGTCGACAATAGATGGGTCGACAATGAAGACGGAGATTGCGCGTTGGGCAACACCCTGCTTGAAGGTGGCTGGCAGCTTCTTCTCAAGATCCTCATCCTTGACACCCGGCGCGTTGACAATGATCTTGCCGTTGTCCTTGACGGAGGCCAGAACATCAACGTCCTTGAGCAGGGCGATGCTGCCGACGTAGGAAACATCAGCAGCAGTGACAGCGTAAGGTGCGTCCACAATCTTGGCGCTCTTGCGGATATCAATGCGGACGGCACCACCCTGAACAAGGTTGTCGTGGACCTTGCTGGTGGTGACGTTGCTTGCCGAGTCGGCACCAAGAGCCTGGCCAAGAGTGTAGGCAGCCTCACTGGTGACGGAGCTATCGACGTCCCAGAAAGTGTACTCCTGGACGGAGGTGGGGTCGAGCAGCTGCAGAGGAGCAGTCTGGTTAGTCTCGCTGATAATTGGCTTGTCGGAGATGAATTGGAAAGCAGCAGCTGTCGAGACAAGGTCCCAGCGCTGAGAGCGAGGGTACTTAATCTCGACACAGGAGGATGCCTGCTCACGACCAGTGGCAAAGGTCAAAGCAGCAAGGACATCCTCATAGAGGGCGGAGTGGACGCCCTCTTCCTGAACGGCCTGCTCAGAAGCAACCTGTCCAAGAATGCCGACAGTCGTGGTGGACTGGGGGAGGACGCGCAGGAACTCCTCTTCAATGAAGGGACGGTAGACACGGACGTTGACAACACCGACACGAACACCGTCCTTGGCCAGAGAGCGGGCAACCTGAGCAGTCAGGGCAGCCTCAACAGTACCGAAGGCAACCAGGACGGAGGCGGGCTCGGCGTGACCGTGGTACTCAAAGGCACCGTAGTCAGTTCCGAGCTCGCCGTTCAGGGTCTTGAGGAGATCAAGGACCTTGCCCTGGGAATCAAGGTGACGGGTGCGAGACTCATCGAGGGTCTTGCGAACAGACTCGTAAGTGCGAGTCAAGCCCTCCTTGTCGAGAACGTCGATCACACGGGTGGTCTCACGGCCAACGCGGACACCGTCATAGATGTGGACGGAGGGAAGGATTGAGGAGAGCAGAGTTGTAAAGAGAGCCATGTGCTGGGACTCGTGGGCAGAGCCGCTGGAAACGAGACCAAGTCCGAGCTCCTCGGCCAAAGCGAGGGCAGAGGCATAGTCGGAGACGAGGCCCTCGCTGGCATAGTCGACGGCGGCGACATGCGCGGCAACAGGGCTGGCGACAGAGTAGAGTAAAGAGAGTTGCTCAAGGGCTGCGCGCATATAGGGGAGGGTGGCCGAAGAAGCAACAATTCCTTGGGGAACGTGGCGCTTCTTCAGATCAAAGTCCTGCGAGAAGAGGTAGCCGAGGGCCATGTTGCCGGCACCCTGGCGAGTTTCGAGGGTCTTGACGGCAGGAGACTCGCCATTGGCGTTGGTCTCGTTCTTGGAAGTCCACTCCTTGAGGGCAGCATCCAAATTGAAACTCTCCGGTGAGTAGGAGAAGATCTTGTCGCTCAGCAAGTATGCGACTTGCTGGATCAGCGTCTGGGCTGTGACATATGTCGGGCCATTCAAGGCCGACAAAGCAGGAACAGATGCCATGACTTCTTTTGTATATACCGGACTCAACACCGATATGAACAAAAAACAAAGAAGAATGTGGAGAGAAAGAGAATCCCCTCTCTACAAGTATAAGAGAAAACCCCAGTCATTTTGCCTAAAGCGGCTAGCCGCAATTGCGTGATCTCGTTATCGGGCGATAAGATTTTTCTGCGGGCGGAACAAAGTGGCAAATCACTGCCATTTTCGGGGTAGATACTCAGCCAAGCTCAGGTGTGGACTCTGGCCTGAGGCAAAAAGCCATGTGAGGATCACATGAGACTTCAGCCTGACAAATGTGGTCACTATGCATCGGCATTAGATAAGCACAATATGAAACCATGGAACACACACATCTAAAAACACCGAGCCTCGGTCGTGCTTTACCCCATAATGCGGGGAACCTCCATATATTCAGCCTTAATATGATACAAATTTCATTGAACATTTAACTGTATCATCGATTTATACAAACCAGATTTACATTTATTCAACCATGGCGGAAAATTCTCCTAACCCAATCCCTTTCTCGGAACCACCTTACATCCGTGGCCTCCCTTCGCCGTACATTACACCCGCACACCGTCGGTTCCAACAAGCATGTCGTAAATTTGCGACAGAGAACCTACTCCAACACGCCTTGGAATGGGAGCGTCAGGGAACAGTTCCCGAACATGTTTTTGGCACGTTCTGCAAGCATAACATGCTTTTGCCCAATATGCCTGCTCCCTTGCCCGTAGATTGGCTGAACCGCCTTGGAATCAACGATATCCTGGGGGTCAAGGTCGAGGACTGGGACTACATCTACACTGGTATCTACTGTGATGAGGTATGCCGGATCATTTGGTGGTGTTTTAAGGTTTGCGGCAACTAACTATATCGGCATAGATGGCTCGATCTGGTCTCAGTGGGCCTGGTGGTTCTCTCAACGCAGGATTCGCCTTTGGAATCTCACCAATTGTGAAGTTTGGTAGCCGCGAGCTGCAAGAAAAGTTTTTGCCTGACCTGCTTACTGGCAAGAAGCGAGGATGTATCGCTATCACGGAGCCCGAGGCCGGTAGTGATGTTGCCAACATTACCACCACTGCAGTAAAGAGTGCTGATGGTAAGCACTACATTGTCAATGGCACGAAGAAATGGTAAGATTGCCGGAATGAACATATATATCTACGGTCTAACTCCTAGCAGGATCACCAATGGTATCTGGTCCGATTATACAACCATGGCTGTTCGAACCGGTGGCCCTGGAGCAGCAGGTCTGTCTGTTCTAGTCGTCCCTCTCAAGGACTACCCTGGTGTCACGATGCGTCGCCTTAAGGTCTCTGGCCAAGTGGCTGGCGGAACCACCTACATCGAGCTCGACGACGTCAAAGTTCCCGTGTCAAACATCGTCGGCCGAGAGGGTGATGGCATGCGTATCATCATGACCAACTTCAACCACGAGCGCCTGGTTATTGCCATCGGAGCTACTAGACAGGCCCGAGTGGCGCTCTCAGCAGCATTCTCTTACTGTCTCAAGCGCGAGGCCTTTGGAAAGACGCTCATGGATCAACCAGTGGTCCGTCATCGTCTTGCCAAGGCAGGTGCTGAGCTTGAGACTATGTGGGCCTGGGTTGAGCAGATTTTGTATCAATTGACTCATCTCAGCAAGGAGGAAGGGGATCGTCAACTGGGTGGCTTGACTGCACTTGCCAAGGCTAAGTCTGGCATGGTCTTGAATGAGTGTGCCCAGACGGCTGTTTTGCTCTTTGGCGGTAGTGGATTTACTAAGACTGGACAGGGTGAATTGGTAGAAGGTATGCCTCTAAATTCTTTAAACATGTTTCTCGCATGCTAACCAAAATTTCTCGCAGCAATTCTTCGTGATGTCCCTGGTATTCGTATTCCTGGTGGCTCTGAAGATGTGTTGCTTGATCTTTCCGTCCGCCAACTGGTTAAAGTCTATCAGACAGAGGAGAAGAAGCTCTTGCAAAACTCGAAGATTTGATTCGTGTACAACCTTCAGAATAGAAACAGTTTCAGTTCACCTATTAATTCATATTAAGTTCACGGGGTTTTGCGTCTGCCAAAGAGGGACAGTGCAATTATCAGTAGGTCGTACTTTGAAGATATACATAAAGTGTGTCTCTACTCTGATATCTTTTTCTCTCTTCCGCAAGTTCGTTCGGTCGCGCATTGGCCTGATTAAATGCTAGATCTAGCCCGTTATATTGTTAACGAAAAACAGAGCCAGGATAATATGGACAGAATGTAAGAAGTTTTACAAAATTAATTGAAGATGATTCAAGCTGCAATAGTATCTGAATTATGCTGGCTTTTGTATTAATCTTGGTGTATCAATTACTCGTACAATTGACAAGTCAAATTCTCGACTATCACGAGATTCCGCCCGAAATACACATATCATTGGAGAAGTGTCAATGCGCTTTTTGAAACAAAAGCCAACCATAATTACCTTGCTCCGTTGAAAAGTGAGCAAAGCGCAGGAAACACTTTAGCTTGTGGCTGATCAAGCGGGCCAGACCACCCTATTGATCCAAGGAGTCAACAGAGGCGCCTTATTTTAGGAGCAGCTCGAGGACAGCATTTTTTTTGTATTTTTCGTGAGAAATCACGAGCATCTTCATACAGGCAATACCCGTTAAGCTCAGCCGAGTCTGGAGGCCATATGCACAAAAAGTCTACAAAGGTAGTCCCACTTCTGCCTTGGTACTCATACTTGCCACCAGCGTCGAGCAGCAGCTTTATTGTGTCTAGTTTTGACAATATGCTTGGACATCCAGTGGTTGCACACCACACCAAGGATGTGCACATTGGATCTGTTTCAAGATTTCGTTTGTAGAACTTACGGAAAGGAGGCCGCAGAGCTGAGAATCGCCCATATCAAGTTGAGAAAATCGCGATTAGATTGTAGCTCCCAAGCAATTGTTTATAACACCTCCAATGGCAATTATAAAAGAGACATCATGGTTTAGGGGTGTGCATGAGGTGAAAAGCGAGTGTTCTTGTGTGATGGAAATAGCAGCAGAAGTTCACGCTTACCTGTTTGGGCTTAGCGTCTCTATGACGAAAGGCACGCATCGCACCTCTCGCCTCTCGTCCGCAACACTCACAATTCCTACACCGTACAAACATCTTCGCAAAAATGGCAAATGTGGCATTAATTGGCTGTACTGGCATGGTAGTAAGTGACAAATACCTGCAGCGTTTTTCACATTGATCATGAAATCATCTACAATATTCTCAACATAAATTGAACTAATCGCATAAACCGCAGGGTTCCCATATCCTCACCAGCTTGATCGCCAATCCCTCTGTGGCACGCGTAGACACCATCTCCCGCCGAACACCTCAAGCAGCTTCTACTGCGCCCCACGCCAAGCTCACCACATTCATCTCCGGCGACACCGCCACCTGGGCTAACCAGCTCTCCTCCCTCACCCCGACCCCGGATATTTTTATCTCCTCTTTTGCAACCACCAAAGCTGCTGCAGGTGGATTCGAGAATCAGTATATGATTGAGCATGGTCTAAATGTGGAACTAGCCAAGGCTGCGCGCGAGGCAGGCACCAAGGTCTATGTTTTGATCTCAGCTAGTGGCGCCAATAAGAACTCCAACATCGCCTATAGCCGTATGAAGGGTGAGATTGAGGAAGATGTTAAGGCTCTTGGCTTTGAGTGCACTGTTATCCTGCGCCCTGGTCTGATTGCTGGTACCCGTGACGAGAGTCGTCCTCTTGAAGCTGGGATTCGCTTTTTTGCTAGCTGGGTTGGCAAGCTGCACTCTGGCTTGAAGGATGGCTGGGCCCAGGAGTCTGATGTCATCGGTAAGGCCGCTGTAAATGCTGGGCTTAAGGCACTTGAGGGTGATGTCCCTGCTGGCAGCGAGAAGGTCTGGACCTTGGCTGGGAGCGATATCATCAAGTACGGCAAGGAGGCCTCGTCGTGAACGGGCTCTGTGTCACTGAACGAGAAATGTCTATAAATAATGGTTATGTTTTGATAACATGTAATTTTACTGTCATTGCATTGATTACTTGGTTTGTGAATTAAACACAAATTTGAATGAGAAACCACAATTATATATCACTCCTCTGTCCAAGCTCAAGATGCAGCTTCACTCAGCTGACAAGCCAACCATCTCCAACGAATCCTTCCACAGTCTGGCCTCATTCTCGGGGCTGTAAGTGTGGCTCACATAGACCTCGTTACTGGGATCATCATCATCCGTGGCTCGCTCCGCCTCAGCACAACCAGAGAGATACTTTCCACCTTTCCCCTCCCATTCCTTCCCAATGGCAGCTAGTACAGTCGTCGCGGCACCTTGCTCGATGCTTTTCATGATCTTCGTCATATCCTTGATTCGTAGCAATTGATCAATCTGCTCGGCAGAAAGAAACTGTCCCAAACCAGTAGCAATGAACCCAGGATTCAGACTCAGGGCATGGATCCCACTCGATCCATAACGGCGTTCGATCTCATTGGCCGTGTAGATATTCGCCGTCTTCGACTGACTATACGCAGTCCAAGCCTCATATCCGCCATTTTGGAAGTGGTAGTTGTCAGAGGCGTTGATACCACACAGCTTGTGTCCTGCCGATGCCACAATGACAACCCGAGACCGGAACTCCGGCGAGGCAGCAGCCAACAGTGCCGGCTTGAGCATTTGAAATAAGAAGAAGTGAGATAGGTGATTTGTTCCGAACTGCAGCTCAAAGCCATCATTCGTGAACTGGAGGTCAGGGACGGCCATGATGCCGGCATTGTTGATCAGGATGTTCACCTTATCGGTCTTAGAAAGGATGACATTGGCTGCTTTTCGAACACTTTCAAGGGAGCGCTGATCCATCTCAATAAGCTCCATTTGGGTCGGATCGATGATATCAGCCAGGGCATTTCTCGCTTTGGCTAGGTTCCTTGTTGTCAAGTATAGAGTTGCTCCAGTGGTTGCGAGAGCGCGAACTGTCTCGGTACCAATGCCAGATGAGACACCGGTGATGACGGCTACTTTGCTTGAGAGCTTGCCTTTCATGCCTTCATCTTCGATGATTTGGAGGGCGGTTGGACGGGCATCTCCCGGGCCTTGGGGGTCCACGTGAGCTGAAACATACTGTGACATGGTTGGTATGAAAAGAGTATTGGGAATGGAATATATATAAAGTGAATAGCTGCGAGATTTTGAGTTGAGTGTAGTCTATATTTGTGAGGGTTTTTGATGTGCTTTTATATCCCATTTTCTGTCCGTTGGTGTAATCGCAATGGTATACTTCCACGTCTTGGCGATGCTGACGGGTGTGTCCAATTCCAGTAAAGCGCCACTTTTGCCTCTCCAAGTCGCATCAATCACCCGACCAATGCCTCAAGGCTCGGATCCACTAGCTGACAGATTTGCCTGCTTGGGACTAGTCGGGTGCTTTGTATAACGTGGGGGCCGGTTTCTCCGTCTCTTTCTCCTTTCCCTCTATTATCTTTCAACTAAACGATGCAAACTATGGCATTTTTTGTATCCGAAAATTCCCAGATAAAGGAGCAGGATGTTACATTAGAAAGGAGGCTGCGAAAAAGGACACAGAATCGGATAAACCAACAGGCGCATCGTGAGTATTGGTGTATCGATTAAAGTCAAGTAGATCTCTAACATCAGTATCAGGACAGCGCCTCAGAGACAAGAGAACAGATCATTCTAAACACCGACAAGGTCCATATCACATATACACGTGGCGAGTTGACTCAACGCAGCCGCCACCAGGACAAAATAAGCAATTCAGTCATCCAAGTTCACCATCCTCCCGAGTATTCCACCCGTCGGGTGAACTCCTCGCCGATTTGGACTCAGTTTCGCAGCCCCCTTCAAATTATAGACCCATCTTGGAGACATCTGACCTCTCACGATCTCCTTCGCCATCCTTACCAGCCGACCACCTACTCCACCTCATACAGTGGAACGCGTTTCGAGGACTTTGCGACACTAAACACATCCTCAGTCGCACAGTAATAGCTATAATTCCCGACACAAACCAAGCCAAAGACTTTGAAGATGTATTTGCCGAGTACACGCTTGTGCTCCCCAAAGCCGAAGGGGCAATGACTCTGCCACCGTCTCTTCAATTGACGCAAACCCAAATAAACATTGTTCACTCTACGTGGATTCATACGCTTCCATTTCCCAGGATGCGGGAGAATTTGATGCTGTGGGAGGATTGTTTTGATCATTTGGAGCTTGTCAGAGATATCATTGGCAACATACTCGATCCAATTCTTCTCTCGTTGAATCATTGGCTCCAGCCATTTTCGAAGGATGATAGGACTTGTAGTAGGATAGATGTGTCAGGGGACGAACACGATGATGAAGTCACTGCGTCTCGCGTTGGACTAATTTTATGGGGAGATCCTACGATAGTGGAGAGTTGGGAGATTACTCCGGGCTTCTTACGAAAGTGGGCATGGACTGTGGAGGGATGTGATGATCTGATGTACGCTACGAATCGATGGAGGAGGATTCGAGGTGAAGCACCTATACAATTGGTTGTCAACAACTGAGGCTGCTGCTCTGGAGCTAATACATTGTACCTATATGATCTCTTAAGTAGATCCAATAATTCTGAAGCTTCTGTCTGACTTTGTTCGACCTGTTTTCTCATATGCTGGGAATATAGCTTGATGATCAAGGGACAAAAATCAAATTCTGAATTAAAGCTGACAACCTCATCAGTGTCTTTTACCACCTTCCCATTGGCTACAATCTGGTAATCACCATAATGGACAAAGCCAACTCAACATCTTGCTCCTCACAAATCCCCCTAACACCTGCAAAGGCCGTTTCTGTACACTTCGGAGGCCCCTAGTTTCTTCTTTCTCATACATAAGTTCTCACCAGGAACACGCTCCATCTTAAACGTCAGCAGTATTCCGCAAAGAAGAAAACTGCCGCTCTCTGACATCCAACAGGCGCCTCAGCTGTCCCCCAAGCAAAGAATAATCAACGAAATCAGCCTTGGTAAGAACGAGGACCGCAAGACCAGACGGGAGGATCTCGCTCAGAGCTAGATTAGGCTCCTTACCCACCGTAGAGTCCAAAATATGACGCACCGGCATTCTCAACTCCTTCAAGGCCACAAACTCAACTATGGTCCCAAACCAATCCTGAGCCTTCTATATTGCTGGGACATCGTCAGTTGTTGCAACGAGTGTTTGTAGGTGTTGCAAAGGTACTCTGGGAGATTTGCTTCCCATCTTGGAGACCGCCCATAGTGTAACCTCTGAATCCAGGGTGAAGCTACCCCACCGCATATCGAGATGTTTAAGATTAGGAAGGAAAATTAGGATTACTGAAAGCCAAGCGGAGGTATCTTGTATGTTGAGCTTCTCTTCCTATTTAGTCAGCTCCTCGTCGTTGTCCGTGAATGACTGCAATGACTCGTGAGAAAGCGTGCGATTTTAGACCTGGACATCTTCGAAATAATCGCAGCATAAGCTCGGGAAGCAGATCTCGTGTACGAGAGGCTGAATTCCGGGGTTCTCCTGGAGCGCTTCCGCTAAGGGGACTTAGGTGAACGGCTCTTCGTATCTAATACTCGAATACACCGCGGTAAATGGCGCCGTGTTACAATGTCGAGACTTGGAGGAGATGGAGACGGTCTTTGGTTTCTTCGTCTTCGTCGAGGACGAGTAATGGTATTTCTTTTGGTAGGACTGGAGCCCATAGTCATTGTAGGTGGATGGTTGGATAGGGCCGGCGTTGGGTAATGACAGATTTGGCCCCCTACCCCCACGTCTTTCAGACTCCCGCCTGGCACATTTGCTAGAGCTTGGCTCTATTACTATGAGATCTGATACATGGAAAATCATAATAGGACTAAGCAAGGGCTGATTGTGGGTAACCTGATATCGCTCAGGGTGGTTTTGTATATGGGCCATGACACAAACTATATACGGATACGTACACCGTACAGTTTTCATTAACGAAGACGACTACACTTGCTCCTAAGCATCAGAAGCTAACAAAAAAAACCAAACATTCATAATGCAGTATAGGATGGTCAGAATTAATTATTAGTGAATGTTAATTAACTAAGTGAGCAAAAAATTCAAAAAGAAATTGCAAGCGATGGGATTCGAACCCATGCAACTTTCGTTACCAGGATTTCCGTTGACGGATATCAAGTGTGGATGCTTGAATCTGGCGCCTTAACCAACTCGGCCACACTTGCAAGTGTGATGCAAGACTTCTTATATTTTGCACCTATGTGTAGTATAAAAATAAGCCCCTTCTATCCCGTTCTAAATTCCAATGCCGGTAATTCTCTGGAGCATAGTAGATCACCACTTTATTATACTGCAAATAAAACCTAAATTGTATAGCACATCAATTATAGTACAAAAAGTTCAATCCTTGAAAGATACATGAGTCCCATCCTCCTTGACATGGATGCCCCGGTTCTTGTTGGGCGAACCGCGAGAACTAGAAGCCTCGCGGTCTCGGTTGCGCGCAGGGCCACCTTCAGTTGGGCCTCTCCAAGCACTGACGTCCTTGTTCGCAGGGCTCATATCTAGGGGGCTGTCTGGCTTTCCTTCCTTCTTGCTCTCTTCCTCTGTAGCCGCAAGCTCGCTCTCTGGTGCTGTGTTGGACGGATCAAATGCGGATGGGTGCTCGGCGACTTCGCCGTCTGTGCCTGATTTGGTGGTTTCTGAGCGCTGAGGGTCCAGTGCTTCGCGATCTTGGAGACCTTCGTATCGTGACTTTTTGGTACTGGGGGTTGTGCTGAAGCAGGCTTTCGGTGCCGTTGGAGTGGCAAGGGCTGGGAAGGTTGTTGAGAGTTGGGAGCGGGTTGTTGAGAGTTGAGAACGGGTTGCTCGAGCTGCTTGTGGACTGATTGAAATGATGGATTTCCACATATTGGATGGTTGGGATGCAGATAGCTGGGGTATTGACTTGTTCGGTAGGAATGGTTGGAATATTATAGAGGATTCGCTCTATATTGAGGTTGTAGAGGGGATGTAGTGGGCAACAAATGATTGTAGAGATGGGGTGAAGATGCTTTATTTCTACCAAGGGGCAATTCAGAGCAAGTTGAACATTTAAAGCCGTCATTATTCTCGTTCTTCCCTGTTCTCTGGACCCTGGGATCATGTTGACGTCATCTACATGGAACTGGTGGTGCTAGCCGAATCCGGTAATAAGCTTGCCCTAAGTCAACTCACCTATTGTACGTTGAGAGTACATTAAAGGGTGTGATCCTTTTTAAAAAATATAGAAAATTAGAAAAAATTGCTGCTTTGTATCTTTGGTTTCGGAGAATAAGCAAAATGAGACGGGGGAAATGAAAACAATAGGAAGAGGAGCAGGGCCAAATTAGCTACCGACAGTCTGGCAAGAAAGAATTACCTTATCGTGTCAGTTTGAGGGGGGATTCTCAATCGATCAGTTTCAGCTCAATTTGGGTGGTTAATATATCGCTATGGCAAATGGCTTTCAAAGACGTTTTCGAACGCGGGCTCGGTCTTCGCTCGGTGGTCTTGGGCAGCGATGGCAGAATATTGGGTAGATCAAAGTTCAATCTGCTGTAAGCATACCCTGGCAAAAGCAGTACCGCAGTCATTGAGGGACTGTGTACTCACGTAACTGATACGGATTGAGAGCGTTGGTGGTGGCAAGGTCTGTCTGTATCAGTGCGTGATTCTCGGAATACGAGAAAATACAACGAGAAAAAAAACGGTAAAGTAATAAACGGCACGCCCCTAGATCAAATTAATGTGTACACGACATATGCCACAAGTGGAGTAGAAGATCATCATATCAAACACTCAGTGGAAGGAACAACACCTGGTACTATGCGAATGCGAGGGCCCGCGTCGAGACAGACACGATCTACCAATAAGCAGAGGGCCTCGGCCTCATTCAACGCAAGTGCTGATGAGATGCACAACGTGCTCCTAGCGCAGGATGGGTGGGGAAATGTCTCGTTAGTTGCATATGACCGGCATCCCAGACAGCACCTGTCATTGGACAATGTGCCCGGCTGCAAGTCAGGATAAGTCCATGGCCAGACCTATCCCCGTGCGCTGACGGAACATGCAGGCGGTGGCATTTTCCCTCTCGAGCCCCAAATGTACGGCTCGCAGTACCCATTTGTCGCCCGTCAAAAGCAGGGCGTGTGGAGGATGCGGGAGCCTCCGTTCACTTTGAGATCACGGGATCAAAAGAGCCCGGCGCTGTGGGATCCTGTATGCGGGTCCTGGAATTCAATTTCAACGTTGTAGCACGTAGGGCCAAGGTTCAAGGTACGCAAAATCGGTCTGCAACGGCTCTAACCCGGTTCAAATTGATCTGCTATTTCACCCGGCAACTTCGCTTGTTGGGCAGAAATTCAAACCATGCTTTTGTCCACATCCTCGGCCTGATCCTTGCCAGGACGAAAGGCTGGTACACTAACAATATATGAGGAACTTTCGGTGGTAAGACGGAGCAAGAGGCAAAAAGGCAGGGGGGCTTCAGAAGTTGATTCGAGAATTTTTCTGGGCTAGACGCACCCAACTCGCCGCAGCAATGGATTGATCCACCAAGTATGACGGGGCCTTTTGCGGCTGTTCGCCATCGTCCAGGGATGCCAGTTGCCAACTCAACATGCCGGTCATGGATCATCTTCCTAGGGTATTCCTTGGTACAAGTGTTTGGGCGTAATCTCGGTGGCAGTCGCCGACGATCGCGTGCCGTATTGATGGGAGTCTCCCAAAAGGAAAACCCCCCTCTCTCCGAGGAGATTGCGGTAAAGCGGAAAGGCGGAAATGCAGAGAAATCTGCAGGATCTTCCATCAGACCCCGAAAACCGGTCATCCTCCGTCATACTCAATGATGAGAATAGCAATCTGGAGCCTCCGGGTGGAGGCTTTCATTGAATCCCCAAACGGCGACCCACAGTCTCGCAAACAGCCCTCGCTACCAGGAATCTGCAAATTGAACCAGAAGCAACGTGCCACGTCAGAGTCTCCGAGCTTTGGTGCAGCTGCATGTGGTTCAGCAATATGTGGAAGGTGTCACGGTTCGTGTCTGCGGCGAGCGCCGTACAGCAATCCGGTCCTATCATTTCCACCCAAAAAAGCAAGTGGGTGACGATGAACACACACACACACACACACACATGAACGGGGGCAAAAGCAGCCTCCCTCTTTGCAGGTGTGAGAGATCAGCTGAACGAAAATGGATCTATCTGGCCTGCATCCCTGGTTTCCGGGACGAGCACAAGAAAAATTCAATTCCATTGCCCGTATCCCGAACCCAAGTGCCAATGATAGAGCCTCAGAAGGGCAGGCATTGCCACTCAGGTTAGAACTATTGGCTGATAGTCATTGAGTGGGAAGGTGCGGCAGGCGTGGAACTAGAACCAAGTTTGAATTTTGATATCCCTGCGAGAAAGGCTCGGCAGGAATAACGCACGACGACTGGGGAATGATGGTTGCAACCATATGCTGAGACCAAAGGCCTACGTCCATATTGACCCAAATGCAGGAGGCGTCAGAGCCATGAGGAGCAATGGCAGGCAATGAGTCGGAATGTGCATGCGTATGCAATCACACAGACGGTAGTATCGGATAGACATTTTCTGTGGATGTAATATGGCGTTCGGTCAGAATCCCGTCTCAAAGCCCATGGTAATTGAAATGTTGAGCCAATCAAGAATTGTTTCTGGCGAGAATACATATCAAGATAGAACATCCCCTAGTGGTGGAGTCACAGGGGGTGTGCAGAGTCCCATCACATTCGGGAAGGCAGTAGCGTTTCTCTTGCATGAGAATACGGTCATCTTTGGAAGGGAGAGCCTGATCATAGCATCGATACGACAGCTGGCAAGTGCCGAGACCGAATCGGCCATGCAGGAGCAGAAATGTAAAACGCAACAGCATCACAGGAGTGTGTGTCCATGCGAACAGCCTGCACATGAAAGCGGGGAGACGTAGCTGGCGACAGCATGGTTGCAGTAGTCGAATCTGGAAACTCAAGGATTGACAGCCATGCATTGAGGGATTTTTGATCCATTGACCATCCGCGATGAGAGAAAATCGCCACGGCTAGAGGTTGCATGCATTCCTGAAGCAACCGGTTGTCAATGGTGGCTCCGTCCGATATACTATGGCCATCATACCGTCCCCACCACGCAGAGAACTGCTCACAGCCAACCGGATCCACGGTCAGGCAGGTTGTGTGAAATTCGTGGACTGGAAACCACGGATAATAAGCCATCGGGCACTGGTAACCGTCGATCAGTAGTGCGACGACACAAACATTGGAGATCGGAACTGTGGCATAAGAAACTCTCGTCCGAAACATAAATAGGCCAGTCAGGTCCTCCAGGATATTTTCAAATTCTAAATCACCCTCTTCAGTTTCATAAATCAAGTCTGAATTCTGCAAGCCAGACCAATAGATATTCCTCACAAGAAAGCTTCCACTCAATTTTTGTCTCAACTTCGAGGTTTTCTAAGCCCTTCAGGAAATCAGACAAAGGTCAACCTATCAAGTTGGTTAAGCGTGCCGCAAAGTCAGGTGCAACCAATAGCGAACCGCCATTCAAGCTGAAACAAAGACGGGAAATCGGGAGCAAGTGAGTTGTGTGGCACCTGCAGATTGAACAACACTAACGGATCTGATAGGCATGTGTTTCTACAACCAGAAGAGATTTGCCTGCGGAGACTGGAGCTGGACCAGCTTTGCCCACCGATGCAACTATGAGTACCGCACTGGCGAAACGTGCGGTATGAGACTTGTCAATATGACCGAGAACGAGAAGAGCAACTGCCGACTCTGCGAGAAGATTGAGACCAAATATCGCCGGCGAAGCGCCGAGGTCGAACGTTTGGACCGATGGAAACGAGAGGGTGCCACCCTGGTAGCCTCGATGGATCGGTCTCACAAAATGATCGTGGACCTCGAGAAAGAGATCCGCAACCTGCAACGGGAACGGGATGACCGAAGGAGCACTCTGCTCAGATAGTGTCGATTTGGATGCGCATAGCCAGTAGTGTCCCTCTCGCTGTTTTACTCTTTATTTCTCTTTCTTTTGGACAGGCGAATAGCGGCCTGTGTTCATTTGTTTCGGAACTTTTGTCTCCAAAGTTTTTTTGGTCGTTTGCCATTGCCTGCCACCATTTTCTTGGGTGGAGTTTGCAGCGTGTTTCATGTTTCATCATTTTATTCGTGACATAAAGTCCAAATCGAGTTTCTGCAAGGTGATGTGAGAACCACATTGCTCTTGAAAAGATTGACGAGAAATATAATTGGTTCGGTTTCCATATTGCTTTCTTTTCATAGGCTGTCAAGCTCTCAAAACATGTCAATGGGGACTAGTCATGCCATAAGCGCCGTGTTTTCCCTGGGTGAGCGGTTCGCTGAGACAGATCAAGATGGGTCGAGTCTCACAGGGTGAAGAGTGGCACCTACTACGACCAGAAGGGAAGGCTATCGACTTTTGTTAGAGCAAATGAAGGCCATTGAGAGCCGACAAGAGTCAATCCGATGCAATTGTGTAAGAGGGACACATATACCGCGTGAAACGGAATGCCCCTCATCTCATCCCCGCACGTGATAGTATGCAGCATGCTTATATAAGTATCTTGAGGAATCATAAGTTACCTGTCACAAAAGCTGCCCAATGTAAAATGTAAAGAAATTGAGAACTTCAAAGGTGGAAGTGGGCATGGTTGTCTTGCTGAAAGAATTGGGCGAGGCTGTTTGTTGGAAGCGGAAGAATATACATAGTTGTCTGAAGGGTCCCACTCCCTTCATGTGAACTCAGGTACCTCAATACAGACGTTGCTCGAGAATTTTGAAGATGAAAATGATTAGAATATTGTTTCCCTTCTCTTTATTACAAAGAGAATTTTTGTGAAGATAAAATTGGGCACTTAAGAGACATATGGAATTAGAGGCTCGGAGAATTTATTTGTGAAGACTGGGGGTCCTGCAGGCCTTTAGGCGCATCCACGTCTCTTGGGCCTACGTATACTGTCTGATTGAACGTTTTCGGAGCATTTATCATCAAATTGGGAGGCAGTATCGAACAGACAGCCCTGGAGACTGGGCCGTTGTGCATGCCACGTCACAAGCGAACAACAGATGCAGATAAGCAAGACCATATTGATGTATTGTTTAGACATGACCGTTCAGATTTGCAACTTGTTGATTATAGTCAAAAGTATTGGATTCGAGTATCTGAAACGGAAAAAGGGCATGAGGGTTTAATCTATTTTATGTCGCCAGCCTCGGGCTCATCATCGACCTTGGCCAACCCTTGTTCCCGCAGAAGAGCATCGATCTCATCCGCAGTCCATAGGTGGTGGTAGATCTTGCCACCCTTGGTCTTGCCCACTGTTGCGAACTCGACTGGTAAACAGGTTAGTATGGAAATAGGCGTATATTGGTGCGCACAAGGGACATGGTAACGACTCACTCTTCTCGCTGCTCAGCTTTGTCGAGTCCATAGTCTTGCTCAGCACCTTGACAGCCATAGCACAGGCCTCCTTCAGATCGCAATCCTCCTTGTAATCTTGCTTAAGGAGACTCTGTGCGCTTGCGTTGTTCGCACCAACGCTCGTGGCCTTCCAGCCTCCGTAGTTTCCACTGGGGTTGCTCTGGTACAGCTGGAACTGGCGGAGGTGGTCGTACCCAGCGTAGATGAATGAGACACCGAACGGACGGAGACCACCATGTTGGGTATATCCTTGCTTCAGATCACACAGCCGGCGGACAAGCTGTTCACAGGGGATGTCTTCGTTGTAGGTAAGGAGATAGCGTTGGGCGTTCTGGCGAGCGTAGTTGATCAGAATGTTGGCATCTGCGTTCATACCGGCAACGGCGCAAATCATGTTACTGGAAAGGGTTAGCTTTCATCATGTCCAGAATATTCAACAGCCTCAGCTGGAATAGGAATAAGGGCGCTTTACTCGTTGATTGTGTAGAGCTTCTCGGCGGAGGTATCCTGCTCCAGCAACTTGCTGGTCACCTTCCTCTCGGCGGCGAGAACAATTCCATCCTTGGCTAGAATTCCAAGGGCTGTGCCAGCGTGTGAGATAGCCTCAAGCGCATATTCGACCTGGTAGAGTCGACCCTCTGGGGAGAAGATGGTGGTCTTTCCAGCAGCGTCATAGGTTAGCCGGAGCTGCACAAATGGAATGACGGTGTGAACAAACCCGGGAATCGTATCTCCGAGACATCGTAAATGGAAATGGGGAATAGAAAGCAACAAAAACTGGGAAGGGAGGAGACTAAGGGTTGTGGACGATCGAGATGATGGAGGTTAGTGGTGAAGACCGTAGAAGCTCCAGGCAACTCGCCCTGGCGCGTCCTCTGTCATCCAAAAGCTCGGACCACTTCACCACACCAAAGCTTCGTTGCGACAATTTCATCACTTAGACCTGCAACAACCGGGGAACTTTGGGCTGTGATCACTCTTTTCAATTAAGCAATTTGAATCGCTATGCTTAAGTCAACATACACTGCTCCTCCTCCTTTGCCCCCAGGTTGGACAGAGCATCGAGCTCCCACGGGTGAGTCTTGCGTTGGAGATATCTTGAACATTTTGAGCATGGCTAACACCCAAGTTAGGTCATTTATACTACTATAACTCTTCTACTAAGCAATCGACATACACCAGGCCTCAATCAGCCCCCGAGCCTGCACCGGCTGCGCCCGATTTCCCCCAACCAACCTATGATCCTGAGACATTACCTGCATTCTCTTCAACACCCTATGGACCGGCAGGATTTGGCCCAGGAACCGCACAGCTTGATCAACGACAAGGACTTCATGGCCGGGGAGGGTTCCGCGGCGGCAGAGGCTATCATGACCATCGCCAGAGAGGACCTGAAGATCGACCAAAGAAGAAACACGCCATACCCGATTGCGCACCATGGTTACTAGTTAAGACCAAGCTTGGGAGGCGATTTGTCTTCAATCCCGACACAAATGAAAGCTTTTGGAAGTTTCCCCAGGAGGTTTTAAAGGGTGTTATTGAATTCGATCGCCTTGAGCGTGACAAAAAGGAAAAGAAAGAACGAAGCGAGGAGCCCGAAAAACCTGCCAAAGACACAGCACCTTCGAAGCAAGGCGACCACGCAGAACCACAAGAAGCCACAGAAGAAGCCCAAGGCGCTGACGACGATGATGAGTACGAAGAGGTCGAGGTTACAGACAGCGAAGGAGAAGATGGCCAGTCATCCAAGCGCGCACGAACTGAAAGTGAGGGTGCCCAAGACCGGCCTTTAGAATTTACTGAGGAAGATATGGAATATCAACTCGCCGCCATGGGAGAAGACTATGGGCTTGACCCCGGCGAATACGGCGAGGCCGGGGAAGAAGAATGGGAAGAGGGCGCAGAAGGCCTACCACTCACTGAGGCTGATGCCGAAGCTCTATTCCGCGATCTGCTCGATGATTTCCAAATCAACCCTTTCACAACATGGGAAAATGTCATCGAAGAAGGGCTTATCATCGAGGATCCTCGGTACACAGCACCCGCAAACATGAAGGCACGACGAGAAATATTCTCCAATTGGACCCGAGACCGTATCCAATACGTCAGGGATCAAAAGGCGAAGCAGGAAAAGACAGATCCGCGCATTAAATACCTGGCATTGTTGCAAGAACATGCGTCCCCAAAGCTTTATTGGCCCGAGTTCAGGCGCAAGTACAGGAAAGAGCCAGAGATGAAGGATTCTCAGCTTTCGGATAAAGATCGAGAGAAGTTTTACAGGGACTACATCTCGCGTTTGAAGCAACCGGAAAGTACCCGGAAATCCGATCTGTCTGCCTTGCTCAAATCAGTCCCCTTGCACTCATTAAATCGCTCTTCGAACGTTGAAGCTCTACCAACCGTTATCATTACTGATATTCGCTATATTGGGCTCGCACCCAAGGTGCGCAATTCCTTGATTGAGGCATATATATCTACCCTTCCTCCGGCACCAGAGGGGCAAATGACGCCAGAGGAAAAAGCAGAACTTGACCGAAAAAGAAACGAGCGGGAGAAGCGTGAAAAGGCCTTGGCTGATCGGGAAAAGCGAGTGGAGGAAGAGAAACGGAGACAGCATGGAGATCTCATCCGTGGCAAACATCTTCTCCGCGAAGGCGAAGCCGAAATCGAAGAGGCAATGAAGGTCAACAAGGACGGACTACGGAGCTACATGGACATTGACCAGGTGAAAACAGAAGGAGAAAAGCCAAGCCAATAGATGCGACGAGACATAGCTTTTTGAAAATCAGTCAGCCAAATTCTATTATACAAGCCGACGGCGATATTGCATGACGCCAATGCCATTCAATTTCTGAGGGTATCATTGTAGACGAGAGGGAGCAATCATCCCCTCGCGCGGACCAATCGTAGATTCAATTTAACCATAAAGGCAATCATTTCAATCGCCAGTCATCCCAATCCTCATCGTCATCGTCATCATCGTCGTCGTTGTCGCTTTCGGCAGAGTCCTGCTCCGCTGACGCCGACCCCATGGCTTCATCTCGTGCCTGATCTTCGGCGCGTTTTTTGCGCAGCTCCTCGCGCTTCTGCTTGAGGATTCTAACCCGCTCCTCCAACTGATCCATTTCATCGAATTCCTCTTCCATAAACCGCGCGGCATCCTCCCGCTCGCCTTCCAACTCCGCATCTCGGTTTTGGGTGGCAGCAGCCTTCTCTCGAGCTTGCTGCGCAGCAAGTTCTTCGGTAGTGATTGGCGCTGCTGATATCGTAGCCTCTGCAGCGAGAGCAGCCGGTGCCTGTGGTACACGAGATGGTGCGGCGACCTCCCGTTCAAATGCCGCCCATTCGTCTTCATCAATAGCCATAGCCTGGGGTTGTGGTGGCGCCGTAGTTATCGTTTCTTCTGCAAAATGAGTTTCCTCGACAACATCCTCAGGTCCGTCAACTGGAGGCTCTGGGCCCGCGACATCTTCGACTTGCGCTGAACCTTCGTCATCGCTGATTTGCTCTGTGCTTGCTGCGCCAGAGGTCGACTGGATAGCATCAAGATCGGCCGCGCGGAGCTTCTTTCGCATCAAGCCATCTCCGCTGTCAACTTTGCGCTTCTTGGTAACCCGGTTCCCTGTTGTGTTTGGTTGGGATGTGCCCTTGCGCGAAGCTAGCTCACTCCGAAGAAGGGATCGAATGTCGGCCATATTATCTGCGATATGTCGGATGGGATGGAAAAAAGAGAGTTGTAAAAGTAACCAAGGAGTGGATAAATGTGTTGAAATCCGAACAAGCCTCGGCCTGAATAATAAAAGAGCCTATGATTAAGTGGGGAATCTGGAGAAGCTTCAAGATTCGAAGCCGCGAACCTGTGGCTGGTGATGTCACATGATCATTACTAATCTCGGGAGGCAAAGCCACTTGATCTCTCCTCACCTAACAGCTTCACTTCTTTCCTTCATTCATCTCCCTTGGCATCACTGCGTTTGCCATCAAAATTTACAAACCCCAACACCACGCTAGTTTTCACTACAAGCTCACTTTTCAGTTTTTACTGCAGAGTGCGCGATTGAGGTTTGAACACCTACACGCGACCCCGCCCAGCGCCAAGTGTCGATTTGACGCGCAGCAAGGGATTGCACAGTCCAACACAACATCCACTTCGGCGCGTTTCTCACCCCCGCGCGTCCGTTTCACAAAATATTGCGCCCGTTCTGGATCACAGTTGTTGATCAAGTAATACCTGGGCACACTATTCATCGTCTTCTTGTTGTATTACTTTAGCGCCTTGAGCCTGTAGAGACCGTGGTCAGCCCTGGGTAGCAAACTTGCACCCAGATTGTGAACAACTCAAAAGACATTTATCTTTCTAGCGCTGTAGTACGCGCTCAATTTACCATTTATCATGGCTGGTAAGCTTTCGTACTCCACTGTGGACAACGCAGTCAAACCACTTTGGGGTGGCAGCGCGCCCTCAAGCTGCGTCGCAAACCATTTACATGACCAGACGCTAATGACAAGATCAGATGAACCACGACGCTCCGGTCGCGCCACCAAGGGCCAGCACAAGAACCTCGAGTTACCTCCCGATGCCCCCGGCAAGAAAGGAAAAAGCAAGAGCCCCAAGGAGAGGAGCGCGAAGTTGTCTGCCGAACCTACCCCGGGTCCCAGTGAAGGAGAAGGAGAAGAGGAGGAGATAATCCGATGCATCTGTGGGGAATATGAAGAGGAGGAAGATGTTGAGCGAGACATGATCTGCTGCGACCAGTGCTCGGCATGGCAACACAACGACTGCATGGGCTTGACGTTCGGCAAGGGCCAAGAACCAGATCAGTACTACTGTGAACAATGTCGGCCTCAAAATCACAAGGCCTTGCTCGCCAAGATTGCTGCTGGCGAGAAGCCTTGGGAGAAGGTTGCCGAGAGACGTCGCCAAGAAGCAGAGGAGAAGAAGTCCAAGCGCAAGAAGGGCAAGAAGGGAACCGCCCGCAAAGGAAGAATGAGTGAGAGCAGGACAGATGCAGGCACACCAGTACGTACTGCAACCTCGAGTACGCCTGGTCCCCATGAATCCCCTGCACCCGCTGTGTCTGCGTCAGCCGAGCCAGAGAAGAATGGCCATGCTGACTCTCGGCGATCGAGTACGCACAAGCGCAAACTTGAAGAGAGTGCCGAGGCAGAGAATGTAAGTTCTTGCATCTTATCCAAGCTCCTGACTGGGACATGCTAACTGTTTATTCCAGGGTCCACAGGTCAAGCAGCAAAGGATATCACCCCAATCGACCAGCGCAGCAGGTATCCCAATGTCGACTGAACCCCAAGTCAAGCCAGATCCTACCCCTGAAGCACCCGTTGTTGGAAACCTGCAGGACCTTGTCCCTGCCCGCAAGAGTGTGGCTACAGCGCTCCTCAAGCTATTTGTAGAACAGATTGCCGCGGCCCAAAAGACCAAGGCTTTTACTTTGAGTGCCGGAAAGTCGGCGGAGGACGTTGCACGGCCACTCGCTTTATCCATTGAGGATGCCATGTACGAGAGTATCTGCGGACGTTCGGGCGATCCCACTGAACCATATAAGTCGCAATTCCGCTCGATCAACTTCAACGTAAAGAAGAATGCTTCTCTACGAGATCGTTTGCTTGTAGGTAGTCTCTCTCCAAAGGCGTTGTCTCAAATGACATCGCAGGAGATGGCCAGCGAAGAGTTGCAGCAGAAAGACGCCGAGATCAAGCGGGAAGCAGAACGTCAGCACATGATTATCCAAGATCAAGGCCCCCGGATCCGACGCACGCACAAGGGAGAAGAATTGATCGAAGACGAGAACCATGCCGCCAACGATTCCGTCTTCTCTGCCGGACCCCGTCGTGCTACCGGCGATGGTGAAGGCAGCCCAACTGCCAACAGTCCGTCCAGTCCAAAGGGACAGCGATCCAAGATTGACGGTCCCCATCGTGGCGTCTCGCCAGAAGGTGCTCATCATGACCACGTCTTCCCGGAGGTTGCCGCAAACATTCGTGAGTCGGTGCCCAGGGGCAGGGCCCAAGCAGACGCCGAGATCGACCAACTTTTGCGAGACGACGAACCCGATTCTCCTCCTTATTCCCCAAAGGACTTTGATGACGACGGCACTGTGTGGCGTGGAAAGGTCACAATGTTCCCCATCGGAGAGTTTTCCTCGTCCGCAAAGCATGTGGGAGGCGCTGACTTGAGTGGCCGCATCCCATGGAGCCAGCTTTCGCCACCCACAATGTTTGTTGACGGACGTATCGATATCAAGCGGGCCACAGACTACCTCTGCGGTCTGCAATTTAGCAAGTCTACCGACGTTTCTGTGATTGCAGTCACCAGCCCTAGCCAACCCGAGGACCGCGCCGGTTTCGACAAGATCTTTGACTACTTCCACAGCCGCCAACGCTACGGTGTGATTGGAAAGCACCCCCTGTCTGCTGTCAAAGATACCTACATCGTCCCAATGGAAGTCGGCACCACCAAGATGCCCGAGTTCATCGAACTACTTGAAAACATCTCCCTGGAGGCGCCCATCACTGAGCGCATGCTTCTCACCGTCTTCGTCGTCAAGACTGGCGAGTCAACCCCTCCATCCGTACAGCCATCCTCCCACCAGGCCAGCCAGGAGCCACCCGTGTCCGCAAGCCCCCTCACAGCTGTAGCGGGAACCCCCCAACAGCCTCATTTCAGCGCTGGAGTCGCACCGACTCCTCCCCATTTCGGCGGATACAACTCAACCAACGGAGCCCTCAACCAGCAAACGCCCACACCGGCAGCACAGATCCCGCCTCAGCAGCCCCCGCTGACCGGCCTGCCCGCTGCTGTTCAAGTGTTAGGCTCTCAAGTTGAAGCGCCTGCTATCCAACAATTGTTGAAGACCGCACCTAACGTGGAAATAGCGCAGCTGAACGTTGTCCGCGAAATTCTGGCTCGCCAACCGGCGGCCGCAGCATCCTACGACACCTTGATGCAAGCTCTATTTGAGACCCAAGCGAACGGCGGTCAAGTTCCTCAATAGGGCCTTCGATAGAATTATGCTTATGATAGTCATACATTTTTCCTGTACAGTTTACTTCATATTGGGGTTTCATCATTCGTTTGCAAGGCTGCACTCGCAGTCTGGTGTTCGGGGCTCGAGTCTGGGAAATTGGGTCTCCTTTATTGACGTGGAATGCTCACCACCGAATGTTCTTCAAATTTTATTTCTGCTGGTTTTCTCTCAAAATGAATACTGGTTGTCCTTAGTCTTTCAAATTTCATAGGCATTACCCTACAATATTTCTCTTAGGTTTCAACTCGAAGGGATCCATGTTTAACTTCATTCAGCTTAGTCCCCAAAGTATGTAATTGATATGTTCAGATTGATTCTGTAGCTTCCACATAATCTGACTAAGAACTAGAGAGGACAGCGAGATCAGCTCTGCTGTGATACAAAGTGCATTGATTAAGGGCTGGTAACATATGTCCATGGCCAAGTGCAAAAAGAAAGAAAAAAATCTGGATATTGAGCACATTGTCTTATGACCCTCCTAATCGCCATCCGAACATCGTCCACGAAATCAAATAAAACGCCTGCGCTATGCAAAAGGACCGAGCCCAAGGCCTGGAGGTCAAACCAGGGACACAGATCAGTATCTTCCATGACCACCACCACCGCGTCGCCTATAACCGCCGCCGCCACCACCACCACCGCCATAGCGGGGACCACGACCGGCGTTGGGACGACCACCAGAGGTGTAAGGGTTATCGTCTTCTTCGTGCTGACGTACAGGCGGGGCGCGTCCCTTGAGCTCGACACTCAGCTTCTTGCAGTTCTTGCGCATATCCGAGTATCCCATATGCATCTTTCCGAAGAAATGATCGGCCAGACGGCGGTCGTTATCAAGACGGGACAAGTAAGCGCCGCACACGTCGCATACTTGGAGCTTTTGGTGGCCCGAGGGGCCAGATGTATCTTGAAGATTCTTGAGATCGCGTTCAAGAGTTTCCTTTTGGAACTTTGCTGTGCGGACTTTGTGCATTTCACTGAGAGCCATTGAGACCGAACCTGTCTCGCCTAGGACGGAGACTTCGAGAAGGCCGGAGTTGATGGTGTTGGACAGATCAGCGATTTGTTTGAGCTATGAACAGTCAGTAAACAGTCCAAACTATACGAATAATTTTGAAGAGTAAAAGCGAAAGCGCAACGCACCAGGGTATTGGTTTGCCGAATCTCATCCGGGGTCTTTTCGAGTCTGCGCTGCGCACTGTCAATTCGGCGGTCACAGTCGTCAATGTACTTCTGCATGTCGCGCATGTAATCAAAATCGAAGCCCCATTTCGCCTTCTCTGACGGAGACGCAGTGTCATATTCTGTCTTCAGGCCTTCGCTGTGAACTTTCGGGCAAGGACCGAGGTCTTGCTTTGTGTTGGTGAACAGGTCGTGCGGGCAAGTGCCAACCAGGTAAGACCGGCAAACTTTCGCGTCTGTGATAGAGAGCTGGGAATTGCGACCCTGGGCACTAGTTCCAATGAGTTGGTCCGCTATCAGAAGAATCAGTGTTAGCTTGAACCGGAGACATATTGAGATCTGGAGCTCTGCTTTGAGGGTACAAAGAAAGTCACGTACCTCCCATGAGCTGCTCAAGCAGCTTCCTCTGTTCCGCCGCCATGATGATTGCGTGTGCACCAGGCTTTTAAAAAAAGAGAGGGCGAGTAATTGTCAATGGGCTGGTTGGAGGCAAACTGCGAAGTCTTTCGGTTTCGGTGCATTTGGCGCCAAGGAAGGCGGTGAGGCTCCGCAGTCAACAGACCAGATGGACAACTCTCGAAGCTTGGGAGTTTCGCTTTGCATTCGATGCCGAGTTGCTATTTCTGCTTTGACTAACAGGGTCTGACTGTTCGGAGCTATAGGTCAATCTCTCGTTCTTTCGCGATCGACCTTCCCCTGTCCTGTCAATTGACATACATGAAGACCGAGCTCCGGCAAGCATGAAGTCATGACGGTCCTCTCAATACTTTCTCTGCCATTTGTCGCAGTCCTTTTGACGCTATGGAGCTCGCTGACACTCGCCTCCGATTATCATGAGAACTTGCTCCTACAGCCTCTCCCACAATCCTCCCTCCTAGCATCGTTCAACTTCCGGAGCAATACATCGCAACAATCATTCGACCAACAACACTTTAGATATCTGCCCCGCGCGCTTGGTCAGATCTTACAGCATGCTCAAACCAAAGAGCTACACCTACGTTTTACTACAGGACGATGGGACGCCGAAAGCTGGGGATCACGGCCGTGGAATGGGAGCAAAGAAGGAGGCACCGGCGTGGAGCTATGGGCATGGATTGATGCGCCAGGCGATGATGAGTATGTGGTACTTCCGAGAGGTAATATAAGTGCCTCACAATGCTGACATTCTCAGAGCATTTGCCAAATGGATCACCCTGACTCAATCTCTCTCCGGGTTGTTCTGCGCTTCGTTGAACTTTGTGGATTCAACTCGCACCACTAGGCCGGTGGTTTCTTTCGAGCCGACTGGGGACCACTCAGTGGCAAATCAACTTCATCTGCTGCATGGAACCCTCCCCGGAGAGGTTGTCTGCACGGAGAACTTAACCCCTTTCTTAAAGTTGCTTCCATGCAAAGGAAAGGCGGGTATTTCTACGTTATTCGATGGCCATAAGCTGTTTGATGCAGCATGGCAGAGTATGTCAGTGGATATTCAGCCAGTCTGTTCTTCGGATGGAGAATGTGTTATCCAGATCGAGCAAACAGTGGATATGGTTTTGGACATTGATCGGTCAAAGCGGTCTCGATCGAACCCAATTCCTCGACCTGTGCCTAATGACCAGTTGATCTGTGACACCTCCAAACCTTACCATGCAGATGATACTTGCTACCCGCTGGAAAAGATGAATGACAAAGCTTGGAGTCTAGCGGAAATCTTTGGCCGTAGTCTGACTGGCGTTTGCCCTCTCGCAGACTCCGATAGTGCTAGTGATCAAAGCGTCTGTCTTCGAGTTCCCCATGAAAGGGGAGTCTTCACTTCCGAAGAAGCCCAAGAGATCAAAAAGGAAGATGGGATCACACGCTGCTTCAAATTGACGCCATCGACATCCTTTGATCTGTCAATTCCACAGCAACCAGTGACTACAGAAATTCCATTGGACGAGCCTGTTCTCCACGCCGAGCGAACCATTGTTGGCCATGGCCAGGAACGTGGTGGAATGCGTATCATTTTTGGCAACCCATCCAACATCAGACCTGTCGATTTCATTTACTTCGAGTCCCTCCCATGGTTCCTGCGGCCATATATTCACACCCTGCGTGCAACTATCACAGGAACTGATGGAGTTCCACGCGAGATTCCCGCCTCCGATATTATCAAGGAAACATACTATCGTCCTGCCATTGACCGTGAGCGTGGAACACAATTGGAACTTGCACTCTCGGTACCAGCCGCATCAACAGTCACTCTCACATACGATTTTGAGAAGGCTATTCTGCGGTACACCGAGTACCCTCCAGATGCCAACCGCGGATTTAATGTTGCACCTGCAGTCATCCGCATCTTGGACAAGGCCCACAACTCGCCGATTTATATCCGCTCTACAAGTCTTCTTCTTCAACTGCCTACCCCGGATTTCAGCATGCCGTACAATGTGATTATCCTCACTAGTACTGTCATTGCACTCGCTTTCGGTACTGTTTTCAACATTCTGGTGCGGCGCGTGGTCTCTGTGAACGAGGCTGAAGCCCTTGGTGCACAGAGCTTGAAAGGAAAGTTAGTAGGCAAATTAGTGGCCTTGCGTGATCGATTCCGCGGGAAAGACACCAAGGTCGAATAGTTCATAATCGAAACGAATGCATTACAATACGTGAATAGAGAAAGATTTTGGGACATTGGAACATTAGAGAGTATTCTTTACTTGATAGGTCACGCCGCTCGCCAATGACAACATGGCAGGGTAACATGACCTGCGAGATCATCGAAATTAGGAACCGTTGGTGCTTTCTGTAGTTCTCTTCTAGAGACAACCTCGGTTATCGTAGACCTCGGTTGTGCCTCAAAAGTAGACTTAACACTGCGGGAATATCGAGATGTATACCTGGAACTACATACGATGATCACAACAGATTCACAAGACAATGGAGGAACTCGATCAAATCCTTGAAAGGTTCACTGACCCATCGACTGGGTCTTTACACGGTGCGGTTTTCATTGCCATTGACCGCTCAGGTATACAAATATCCTAACCTTCCAGAGTCACACTTGCTCCCAAAGCAATGGCTTTGAATTTCTTGAGATACCGATAAATTTGCACAGGGAAAACTATCTACAACGGCTCTGCCGGAAAGGCAACTTTTGACACGCAAAATACATCCGTTGTGAACCAACATTCCCTATGCTGGATTGCATCAATGACAAAACTAGCAACAGCAGTGGCTGTTATGCAATTAGTTGAGCGGGGCACTGTTTCCTTGGACGATGATGCTCGTGAAATCGTTCCTGAGCTTAGAGATATCGAGGTTTTCATAGATGGCCATGGTACGCAAATTTTCATGCTGCAACCTCGTCTCAGCAGATATCTAACATTGTGATCGCTATAAAGATGCTACGCATTCCTTGTTTCATGATAGGGTTCAGCCTCTGCATGAAAGGCTGACTCTGCGGTATGTTCTCCTTGTCTCCGAGCTTGGAGCGAGGTCGATTATTGACCAATGGGACCAATGAATTCCGTACTAATCCTCCTACAAGGGATTTGATGTGTCATAGCTCAGGCTTCGTTTATGATAGGTCTTCGCCATTACTTCAAAAATGGTCCGAATCCAGAGGTCGAACAGCGCATACGTTTTCTGGAAGTCTGGTAAGTTCCTTGTTTCCATTACCGATCTTGTCGCAATTAAGGTTGAATATCTGATTATGATTATTGTACTAGGAGGGATATTCCCACCCGCTAATCTTTCAGCCTGGAAGTTCATGGGCGTACGGTAGTGGGATTGACTGGTCTGGACGACTAGTAAGTAACCCCAACCTCCCCCCCCCCCCCCCCCCGGATCTAGCTTCTAAACAAAAAAAGATTGAAATTGTGACCAAAAGCACGCTTGAAGAATACATGCAGAAGAATATTTGGTCCAAGCTCGGAGCGAACTCAACTACTTTTTGTCCAGAACTGCATCGCGATACTTTACCTCCGGCATTAGAGATGGGATATCGACTCAGTATTGGCCAGGGCGAAAAGTCCATAAAAAAAGGATCTATCATTCTTGGCCAGCCTGCTAAAGACAATTTGGGTGGAATTGGTCTATTCAGTACACCTGCCGACTATATGAAACTACTATCCGCCCTTGTTGGAGGTGGATTTCCGTTGTTGTCTCAAGATAGTATTGACATGCTATTTCAGCCCCAGCTGAGCGAGGCATCTCGAATAGCTATGCCAAAGCCTCTTGGTTCGCAAATGAGACGAGTTATTGGAATCGAATCACCGGATGATTACACACAGGCAGATCATTGTTTGGCTGGGACCATGACGTTGAAGGATATCCCTGGTAGACGGAGAGCAGGCACTGTTAACTGGAGTGGGTTGCCAAATTTACATTGGGTGAGACAATTTGTTTTTCCTTTCTTCGTCATTATCATTTCACTGTTGGAAAATTTCATTGGATTCAATTCCTTTCTATTGCACATCATGTTCTAACATCTGAAAGTGGATCGACCGACAGACGGGGATTGCAGCTGCGCTTTTTACCCAACTTATGCCGCCTGGGGATGCAGCTGTTACTGGTCTTTTAATTGAGCTAGAGAAAGCTCTCTACGGAGCATTGAGTCGGAGCGCAGGCCATTATAGTAGTGGGTCAAAATTATAGAGATACTATGTCCATCACCAATGTCTTACACGTACATCGCGTCATATCTTAAGTTATATGCATTCCTCCTAGGATCTATTATTTCATGCACGAATTCAATCAATTAATATAATCAAGGCCATGAAGGTTACCTTGTAAATTTATAAATCAAATAAATGTACAAATATCATAAAAAATACAAACAACTCGAGCCAGAACTGACCAACTTGCCCATTTAACTACCTGGACCAGGCCTCCTGAAGATACACCGTTAGGTATCACTCAATATAGATTGTCCTTGGGTCAAACTCACCAGCCAGTCAAATTTTTGATAGTATCCCAACCAGGCAAACAATCTGCATCACCAGGCTTCCGACCCATAAAAGAATGATCCTCACTGGCACACGTCGGCTCTCCATGATCATTCGTAGGTTTAGAACCATCACCAGCCAAGCCCGCTCGCTGAAGATATTTGCTCTCGGCGCGAGCTTTCTGGTCATTTAGACCGAGGAATGAACCCATCGTTGATCTGGCGTCGGTTGCCTATAGTTGTCGTATACTAGGTTGATGCTTGTTTCAATAAGGAGGTGACAAATGGGGCTTCACATACATCTGCATGACCTAGTCCTTCATTTTTGCCTGACAGCCAGGGCTTGTCTCCCCAACCAGAACCGTCACCTACATTATTGGCGGGTGTAGGTGTGGCACTCGTGCCGCCGGAGACAGAGGATGTTGGATGATTGGAACTGCTGTTACCACCGCTGGAACCTGATTCTTGGGCCATTTGGATGGTGTACTGATAAAAGCTGTTAGCAAATGAGCCTTGAGATATTATGAGTGCTGCATTACTGGGAGGAAGTGTACTCACGCTATATGTAGAGATAAAAACTTGGATGTAAGTAAGTTATTCTTTCGAAAACAATATTGTGAGTATTATTATAGGAGGAACCTGTCTTGAACAGATTGAGATGTCTGTAACTTTATATTTACTCCTTGGATCTTGACCTCATCCCTGTTCGCCACAACCCCAGATGAAGTCATGATGAGTTGATACCGCCTGTATGGACACGATCACGTGCATCGACATAAACAAGAATTCCAGTCCTTGGTTGAATGTAATTAAACAAATTAATAAGGAAATGTATGAGCTAGACCGAAATATGAAGGTACTCATTGAGCGTGTACTGCTCCGTAATACTTTGGTGGCTATCAGACCCACCAACTGGTTCAAGTTAACCCTATGCTTGCGATTAGTTGAGTGCAATCATCTTTGTGCCTACGCCTCTAATATAGTATATTGGACATGTTCTAGTATTGACATATACACTGTAATATACCTCTGGTCAAGATTTATGCGGATGATCTCGATCATACCGAAGAACTTTGAAAGCAGGCCAAAGCTGCAACAAAACAGCCCCAACCAGCACACACCCAGCAAAGACCTGCGCACGTAAAAAGTACGCGGTATCAAGATTTACCAAAGCACCTGCAACAGGGGTTCCAGCCAAAGCTCCAAAAGAAGAGATTCCCCACATCATGCCGAGACGAGTCCCCAGGAAGGTAGAGTCCGGACAAAAAACGGGATGGGCCACGATAGATGTGGGCGCAGTAACCAAAACACCACTTAAAGCTCCAAAGTAGCATGACCACACAATGAAACCAGCAGTGCCAGTAGCTGCTATCCAAGTAAACATAGCGATAGCACAAGCCGCCACTGCAAATATAAGAATGCCAATCGGCTTCACATACGCAACGAGAAGGTATGGCACAACACGACCGATGACCGACGAGCCATTCACAATAGCAACCATATAAAAGCTAAAACTAGTTGTCGTATGCACAACCGTGCGCGCATAAGAAGCGATATAGAAAATAGGGACATAGTAGGCGAGCATGACAAGGGTAAGTGACAGCGAGAACATCACAAACGAAGGTTCACGGAAAGCCTTCCAGTCAATGAGACTTCTTGCCCGTGCCCTTTCACCCGGATGCCGACAGAGAATGATACAAGCGGTAATAGCGAGCAGCAGGCTGATAAAGCCGATGCAGCGGACTGCCCACGGGAAACCGATTTTGGGCTGGAGTTGGCGGAACATAATCGGAAAGATTACTGCACCCACACTTGATCCGATTGACGCGCAGCCGATTGCTATAGGGCGTTTTATGGTGAAGTTCGTGGATATTACTACTAGGGCTGGGATGTATGAGATGCCGCCGCCCATGCCAACGCAGAAGCCTTGGGCTAGGAGGACCTGTGTTTATTAGAGACAATCATACAGAGACTTGAAATGTGTTCATACTTGGTAGTAGGAAGTAGCGAGACTGGTCATCATCATTCCAAAGACCGTTAGGAAGCTCCCAGATATTATTAAAGGTCGTAGATATCCGACATCGACTAATGGGCCAGTGGCAAGACCAACCATAGGGATCAAGGTGGCTTGAATACTACCAACCCATGATATAGTTGATGGTGTCTCATCTGGTAAGAGTACAGTCTGATAATACTCCTGAAAGGCGCCATAGGTCGTTAAAAGACCCCTAATATAGCTGTCAGTACTATAAAAAAAGCAGCTGGGATGGGATACACCCACCAAGAGTTCACAAACACACAAAATCCCGCAAGAACGCTTAGCCACGCATCAAGACCACCATTTAATCTCCCCTTCGGAAGATCTGGCTCAGTTCCTTCATTGTTGGGCGGGGAGTTGTCGCCCAATGTAGGGCTAAGAGACGGTTGAACCCCGTCGGCCTCACGTTTCTCTGACATGGTGAATAGGGATCATGGCAAAGGAAGAGAGACCTCCATGAATATAAGAGAAATACCCCAAACTCCACTCTGGGGGGACCTTTCCCACGGGGTTTCCATTAGTCACTTCGGCACTGCGTAGCCGAGCTCTACCGTTTCTTCGTTAGATGTAACCCCAATTTGGAGACGCGGTAATCTCCGCTCCCTACTCTTATATAGCTCCCTTTTAGCCCTAAGGCTGACACCGCATCTTTTGTGTTGCTCAAACATAACGGTCTGAGTACTGCTGCCTCTGACTTCGGAGAATTATAGGAAATAATTGCGGCCTCGGAGATTTCTGGGCTGCATACTCCTGCCAGTTGACACAACACTAGACCAATCATAGTGGCGGGAACAGCAATGGTCTACACCAGTTCAGCCAAATGCTTATAATTCAATCGATGTATGATCTTTGTTCATTTGAAATATGACTTTCGTAAATTCTTACGACTAAGTAGTACCTCGCTGCTGTTGAATCTCACTTCGTAGAACTTTCGCATGGGTATCTGAATCTAGATTAATAAGGCGGAGTATGAAACGGAAAGAATATATGCACTTTCATAGAAAGGAAGTGGTTGGCTGGCATCGATGTCCTGAGCCTCAGTGTATCGCATGCAAGAATACTGTTATATGAGCCACTAGTCGGCGATAAGAGCGGGATATCAATTCCAAGAGAAACATGAGTCTTTTCGTGTCGTGAGAAATCCAAAAGAAAGTCGTCAGAGGCAATGGAACAAGGAGAGGGAACACGAGATATGTTCATGAAAGAGGTGATCACTCATCATCCTCGAACTGGTCAGCCCAAGTTCCAGTAATCGGCGAAAACGTAGAATCAAGCTTTTCCAGTGTAGCTGGTGACTTCGAAGGTGCAGGTGCAGTAGCGGGCGCTACATTCGTCTCAATCTTCTCGGTCTCTGATTTCGCCTCTGGCTTCTTGGTTCCTTCAGGCAGAGCAGGGAAGTCACTCTTATCCAGCGCTGGCGCGGCAGGGCTTGGTGTGGCATATCTACTATCTGACAGGCCCTTTCCAGGTCGCTCGCTTCGGGGTTCGCGCGGAGATCCGCGGCCACGACCGCCTCGTCCGCCTCGGCCTCGGCCCCTTTGGCTATCAGCGTGATCAGCAGTATCTTCTGAGCGGCCATCGTCAAAGTCTCGTCGAACATAGCCAGCAACTGCTCCGTGCATCCCTCGGCGGAATTGGCTACCGCCTCCACGGGGATTATAATCCTCCTCACGTTTCTGCGAATCCCACTCGCGCCCGGTTTGAGCCTTGAGTTTGCGTTGCCTGTTTTGTTCACGTTCATTGTCCATGACGCGGCGATGTGCGAGTTCCTCGCGGCGTTTCTTTGCTGCCACCTGCTCGCGCTCCACAAATGACGCTTGATCAGCCTCCGCGCGAGCATGTGCCGCGGCTTTCTTGACAGCGTTCTCTTTAGCGGCAGCAATACGTTTGGATAGCTCCTCTTCGGTGAGTTTCGGCTGGTAAAGTTAGCTTGCTACTTGCCCAATTCCACAAGAATCATGTTCTTACCTTCCTCAAACCACCGGTAGCACTTCGATCGCCACGGACAGCCGGTACTCGCTGAGCCTCAGCGCCATTTGCTTCAGTATCAGCCTCCTTAATCTCGCCAGCCTGGTCTTTGGAGCCCTCTGCGGCCTTTTCAGACGTCGAGGCACCCGCATCACCATGGGATTCGGCCTCGGCAGCAGGTGCAGGAGCCTTCCGCCGTTGAGAGCCTTCTGACCTCTTTGAATCAGAGTCCTTGCCACCACGCCCTCCTTTGCCCCGATTCCGTCGTCCCCGACCTCTTTCTCCGCCACGGCCCCGCTGCGGAGTCTCCCCACGTGGAATTGACTTCTCAACAGCTGGTTTCTCAGGCGCCTCTTTTGGTTCAGGTACTGGTGCGGGCAGTGGTTCTGGTTCTGGGGCAACCACTTCCGTTGGAGTCTGCTGTTCCGGTGCGGAGACCGGGATGATCTCGTCGTCGAAGAGGTCGTCGTCGCCGCGGGTCTGCGCGAATTCATCCATCTCGGGGTCGGTCATTATAGTTGTATCGGAATGAATTGATGAATGATAGGAACGGGTTAGGGTGAAATGTAGGTGTCGGAGTACGCGGGATTGACGCGGCTGGTATATGCGGTTCGAGGGGTAGCTTGTCTGGGGGCCACGAACGGAGATCCGTGCGCAGGCTATTGGATGGCGATGTATATCTCGATCAGTGTACCTGTCAACTAGGTTGTCGTTGGATTGTCCAAATTATACATATAGGAAGGATATAAATAGCGGGAATAATACCGGCTCAGGTTAACATCGAACCCAGCGGGCAACACGTAGGGCGGTCTACAGTCTCCAGAGGGTGTTCTTCTGCCGGCGATTCCCGCTTCTTTCTGCCATGACCCTTTGTTTTTATACTTCCTTTGTTGGAACCACTCTGACTTTTTTTATTCTTTTTGGGTTAGGCCTAAAGAATGGCCAGGCTACAGTGCGGCTGTCATATGCTTGGGGTGCCGGATAACCCACTAATCGAAATAACACGTGGCTGTTTGATCTAATGTTACAAAGTATAGATCTTCATCACTCAGCTCTCAGCCTCCCCACCTAACAGTGACATAGCAGGAATTGGGGTGAGTTAAGTCATTAATATTCATCGAAGGTGATGTTAAACAGCATAGGTAATTATCAACTATATCGCAACTGCAGGGCTGTCTATCGTCGTTATTACGATTTACTATGTCGCCATGTACGACCACATGTATGACCCATTCGAAAAAAAGAAAGTAAAAAAACTGAAGAGACGTCAAGTCTCGCTCGCCTCAACTCAGTGGATCATTTGATCTTATGAAGTATTCCACAAAGAACAAGATCTCTGTTGAAGCTTCTCGGTTTCAATCAAGTGGGGCCTCATGTCAGGGCTCGCCTTGATAATGGTTTGATCGAGTGTATGGTTCCCCCATTTTGTCTATTAGTGACTCCACAAAGTGTGCTCTGGTAATGACTGACTACAAATTGTCACCGGCTTAGCTATCCTCGTCAGCGGCTATACCTAGCTTCAATGTGGTCTCGATACCTCGAAATGGCGAGCTGTTATTGAATTATCATGGTCTACCTACATCACACAATTGGCCTGCCTAGTGATGCTGCGAGACCACCTTCGCCCTCGTACATTTGATCTCTCCTGGCGCTTACTAAGTACAGAAGCTCTTGCAACCTTGTTAGCTGTCGGTCGACTCATGTCAGCCAACTCGGCTTGGTATGAGCCACATGACAGTCGCCCGGCTATCTGTAAACTAGGTTGCTATCTAGGTCCCCTAGGTATGGATAGATCGTCGCTGCTCGCCAATTGGACAAAAAATATCTCTGATATTTTCGTTATTCTTCCCTTCGTCGATCGGCCTGTCAGGCTACACAAAACTCCAACGGGCAGAACATTTGACCGAACTGTTGCTTGGCTCGACTCGCAGGGGCGGCGACTTCTCTGGATCCTTTTAGGATAGCTTTGTGTTGGAGAAAGTAGTTAAACTCTCGCTCGTATATCGCCCTCTTTTAGGTATCTTCCTGATACCACGTCTACCATCAGTTTCAATATAATTTATCCCATTCAGTATGGTGTTTTGGGGTGGCCAGCGTGGGGGTGTAGCCAGCTCGGTAGTGGAATACGTTAGAACCTCCGGCTTTCATGCAGTATTCGTTAGACGTTGCCGACATAATGCTCATGCCTAGGCGACTCACCCGACGGCGGATTGATTGCTCCCAGTTTTGGATTTTTCAATGGCTTACCATAGCGTCGAATAAGTTTAGTTGATGCAGCAACGTTTATGCATTTCTGTGTTTGAATTCTAGGAGCAACTCCTATGTTCACTAATCTAAAACAAAAGGAAATATTGATCCTCCGCATTCACTAGATCGCGTGAGGATCTTCACTTATGGCAGATTCATCTAGGACTAGGTCATACGCTGACGACCCAGAAGTTGTTGTCTAGAACGAGCTCCAAGTCCCTACGGCGACGAGCTTGATACCACTAGATAGGCTGGATACTTTTAGCCGCTAGTTAGGCTCCGGGTCATAGAAATTCTTATTAGCCAAGAGTTTAGGGTCGCCTAGATATTGTTATCCTAGCAATATATAAGTCGGATATATATACTAATCCTTAGCCTACTAATATAATCCCAAAAGTATAGAGAATTACCTCGGAACCAAGGAGTATTATAGCCTCGCCCTCCGCCTAGCTATACCGGAAGAATCTTGAGAGTAGATTAATAACGCCTTAATCCTCCTATAAGATAACCTACCGCGGCCTAGAAAATTGTTCCCCTCTTTGCAGAGATCATACGTTCGACTATTTTGGGTCTACTGTTCGACGCTAGTGACCGAAGCTTAAAAAGCTCAAATTGCGAAGCTAAGAGGTATTTAGTCACCCGCTCTAGGACCTAGGGATCCTAATTCGTAAGCGACTTCAATTGTTATCCTCGAGAAGCTATAGACCACCAAAACAGAGTATTTGCACAATAAAGAAACTTAGTTAATGCTATAGCCGCATTTCTAGTGGGGTGTAGAGAAGGCCTAATAGAGATATAGCCCGGCACAAATAATAGAGGGCAGTCTTATAGTCGGTACTAGAAGCAGAGAGGAGGATTTCCGTGTCAAGCTAAAGGCAGTAGGCCCGTTGGACTAGAGGGAAAATATTTGTGATTTTTAAGCTATTGCATTATGTTTAGATATAAATAATTAGTTTAGAGATATTGAATTCAACGACTATATATTCTAGCTATTCGTTTTCGATTCCCTAGAGGATCATATTCTCTGCAATTCCTATTGTCTCTCGTTAAATAGAGACTAACTCGGCTACCCCAGAATGGAAGCTCCATCGGTTATTTGCCTCTTTGTTCTATTTGGTCTGCTAGAAATGCCAATACCCAACACTGAAGAACACGTAACTTTCTTTGTGTTGAGCCAATTGAGCGCGAATTAATGGCATGGTAGATGTTTATGAAGAGCGAGTTGAAATAAAACGCAAGAGTGACGCGGGGTGCGGCGCTCGCTGGGGGAATACATTATGTGCTTTGAGACATAGAATATATGGATGAACAAGAGGGATATACATAACATAAAAGAAGACAATTGGGTTACCTAGATATGGATTGGATTTAATCTCAAACTCTATCTATATACAAGGAAGGCTGCTGATTGTACTGGCTAAACACACTGCCAAGCATTCTCATCAGTATAGTTACCAGGTCCATTGTACACATTGCGACGAGGCCACCTGCAGTGCTTGCGTCTGTACTCAACTTTAGAGCCAGTGCCATTGGCAAACTTAGCACCACGAACCGTTTCAGGCGCAATACCCTTCTCAACCCACTGGACCATAGCCATAAGCACATTGTCCTCGGGCTTGGTACCATCATAAGTAGAGGAGCCCTGACCAATACCATACGCGCCGTCACCGCCACCACAGTGACCCATACCACTGATCTGGAAGAAGCGGTAGAACTCATCCAGCTTGGATGGGGGTAGCTGCATAGTCTGCGAGACGTGGGAGTAGTACAACTTGGAATCCTCAGAGCTAATAAGCTGGTCTTGTAGACCGTGGTAATGCAGGACCTTACCACCGGACTTCTGGAAGGGAGAGAGATCGCCCTCCCAGGTTTGGATGTTGTATGGGTTCTGTGCGAGGGCTACTGCGGCATCATTAACGGTGAAGTTCTTGCCGCTCCACGATGGGTTGTTGTAGACGACGTAGCGGTACCAGTCCTCGCTGTAGGGGAATGGTGAGCCGTCGTACATGAGAGAGGCAGCGAGCATTTCAGAGCCGGGCTGCATGCGAGGATACAGCAGGGTGCTGTTGATTCCATAGAATGGAGCGAGGACTTGATTGACGGTGTTGACCTGGGTGCTGGTTAGACAGCTAGTCTTGTTCGCAGCGTGGGGGTTGCAGGTCAAGGTTTCCAGAACTGGACGGCAGAGATCGGGGTCTTCGATGATTCCATCCCTGGCACCATCGATGCTGTCACATTGACGGATGATCTCCTCGTGGACAATTTGCCATTCAGCCGTTGTTAGGAAAGTATCGGAGCCAGGAGAGCCAATGATAGGGTAGAAGTGTGCACTCCAGGAGAACAGGTTGATGAGGTTGATCGCTGGAGCACCGGCAACCACACCGTCGAAGTCATTGGGGTACTTCTGGACGGACTTAAAACCCTGGCGCCCGCCTGTTGAGCATCCCAGGTAGTAGCTCTTGTCGAAGCCCTCATCGTAGAACTGCTTGGTAAGTTTCTTGCCCACCACAACTCCGGTGTGGACGGAACGGTACGCGTAGTCCTCGACTACTTCAGGGTGCTGGTAGAATGGCTTTCCAGAGGTGCCATTGTGTCCGTTGTTGGCTCCGACCGTGGCGAAGCCTAATTGAGCTGTGTATGCCAGGTCATAGTATTGAATACCTGATCAAGATTAGCACTTTGTCGTACTTTGTTGTTGAATTCCCACTAGTAGAACTTACAGCCAGAGATGCCACCATTTCCGGTGCTCAAGAAACGTCCCTTATACTCTTCAGGGAACCAAGCTTCCAATGTAATCTCACTGCTGTTGGAAGTAGCCACAGCCATAGCAACTCGGCACACATCGACCGAGACAACCTGCGAGAATGTCCCACAGGTAGTAGGGTTGTCAGGCAAGGACAGGTTGGTACCGCCCTGCACAAACTCAGCGAAGTTAACCTTCACATTAGGTATGTCGATCTGATCGGCAAATTTGGCACATTTAGACTTGAAGGCATCCTGTTTGGCCAAGGCAAGAGAGCCCAAAGCCAGCAGGGGCAATGCAGAAAGACGAGTCATGTTGAGAGGTAGAGGATAGACAGCCTAGCTCCTGAACGAAACATCAACGGATGTAAACCAGACTAAATATACTAGGATGACATGCGCCGAGGCACCAATTCTTGGCTTCATTTCTGTATCAAAGGAGCCGTAAATCGGCATACGAGAATGCTAGAAATCCCGGGCAACCGTTGTGGGGAAGTGACGAAATAAAGTGCAAGGTCCGAAGTGGCGCCGAAAGAAACGGGACAGAGATATGCTGAACCACGCGAATGAAACCTGCTGTGGCGTCAATCTGACCAATGCGAAACGGTTAGCAGAGACTAGTGAAGCTTGGTTCGGCTGAAAGCAGTGGGCCAAGGGATGATCAGGAGCAGCCGAAATTACGAGTGTTTATACTTGTACATGTACTTGTGGGAATCCCTAGAAGGGGGGAAATCTGGGGATTCCCCAAGCTACGGCAATGGACAGCGGCATTCTTAAGAAGCGGGGGGGGGGGGATGTTAGAGTGTTGAACTAGAGCGCAGTAAATTGGTCCATTGGTAAGTTATAATGGATAGGACCCTGTGAACGTCAGGATCTCATAGGTCCCCCCGCCTCTATAACGAACACGCAAAGCGTTCCACTTTGATAGCGCGGAAAGTCTCCGTGAACCCGCTTTTTCCAACTCTACGAAATCCCCCATTCCTTGAATCTGTGGTATCAACCAGTGCACTTGCATGAAACTGTTAGCTTTTCATAATTTAGTATTTCATACGAAGTTACATGTAGAATCCCAGTAAAGATCCACTATAGTATTGATTTGCCAATCCATAGACGTGTCGTCATCAAAAGTGTTGCCTGGTGGCTCTACTCCTAATCTACATTATGGGTTTAAATGTATCGTACAGTATGACATAAATATGCAGTGCCTTATCGACAGTGTTGATCCAGCCGATTCCTCTCAAAACTTAGCCCCGATGACCTGTATAGCTGGTCGGGTCTAGCACCAAGGAGCTATGGCCACTTTGGTAAAGAGCTATGGACTAGTGGTTTCCTTCGAATAAACGATGCGAATTGGGTAATCTCATTCTAGATTCAATGAAAGGAGCAAGTTATAATCACCAATCCAGGGGTCAATGTGGGTATCGTGGATAGTGGATGGAAATATCCCAGTGACTGAATCTCTTATCCGAGCCACTGAAAGACCCTAAACCGTGAACCTTCCTCGCTTGTTTGTTCCTAGGTCGCTTTCTGGTGACTCAGACCCACGTGTCTCTTGGGACTCGCAATTGTACTTGTTGTGTTCTGGCATAGAACCCGGACTTGAACACAGATGTGACTGCCAAATAAACTTGCAGATCCTCGAGGGGATGGGGTTTGGACGTGGGGAATGTCTGAAGTGGGGATGCAATGGCGTAGATGCAGATGGGTGAGCGAAACTCTCTGGGGCAAAACAAGCGGGAAGACTGCTGTGTTGAGCCATCGGCCGGAGTCGGATCCCCAGATTCCCCACCAATGCGGGGATGCCCTCCAAGTTTGCGTCGATGGCTGTTGAACTTGGCATTTGACATATCGTGGTGACCGGTTAAATACTAGCGGCTGTCAGTCAAACTGGAGATAAACAATTAAGGAAAATATCTGACCGTCAGGCTTCAATCGCTCGACCGCGCGCCTCGATATTTCCAATTTGGTCCCGGTGCATCGTCATATGCAGTACCAACTCACGTCAGAGGGCCCTTTGTTTTTCGTTCATGGCGAAGCCCCTTCTTTCTCGGCTGTCCAATTACGCGGTTTTGCTCATAGCACTCGTCCCTCAAAGCCTCAAGGTAGTTATTGGCCTCGACTTGGTGAAGAAGTTCATTACACGCTAGGTAAGCATTAAAACAGTCCGCAAGAGATTGGCTAAGGACAACTTCAGCCTTGAGTTGCCGAGAGAGCTTCTTCATCTCTCTTCCATGGGCCACGAAGCGATGCAGGTGGTTACTGATCTTTCTGCCCTTCATCTCACGCCGGTGCTGCCAAGGGCTGACTTGAATGACGATGTACTGAATGCACACTGTTGCGTAGGTTACGATCAATACAGCCAAAATTAGTCCGAAGATGAACAGCGAAGTGGTCTGATCTATGGCTGTGGTGAGTACGGAGGGCATGTTCTAATTTATGTCGAGATTTGGGGACGGCATGGGTGTTGAGGAAGGTGAGAGAAAAAGGAAGGAGCTGGTGGGCTCAGATTGCTTGACTAGGCAGCGTCCTCAATTTTCACCACCTTGGGCTATGTGACAGAACCAAATTTGCTAACATATCCATCTCACTACGGCTAGCCACGGAATCAATTTGGAGACAAGACGTCAACATAAACTTCATTATTTAACAAAACTAAAGAATATATATAAGACTATATAATATACTAAATTTGCTAATAAATTAAGAAAAACCAAATAAATTTAAATGTTCCATTAATAATGTTTATATTAGTAGTAAACAATTTCAATTTATAAAGGTTGACATCCACAATTCGTTCATCAGATGTCAGATCTGCAGATCTGCCAACCTTACCTCCCGCGAATGATATCAGCGGCCCGTTCCGCTACTGCGTACACCGTTGCAATTGGGTTGGCATGAGGAATAAGTGGGAAGACACTCGCGTCGACAACACGCAGATTCTCAGTTCCGTAGACCTGCAAATCCTGATCGACCACCCCACCAGCCTCGCGAGGAAGCATTGTAGCAGTGCCGCACACATGGTGAGTAGTCAATGCTGATTTCTCACGCAACATGACCTTGAGCTCCGCAAGATCTGGCACCTCTGCACTAGCATGGAAGAATGGCTGGAGGGCAGCTGCAGAAGTCAGCCGGTGCAGGTGCTGGACATCTCTCGCGAGCATCTCCAGGTCCAATTCATTGTCGAAGAAACGTGCGTCAACAGCCGGCAACTCATTCAGGTCCGATGATGTGATGTGCACATTGCCTCGCGAAAGGGGAAAGCTTGGGATGGCACCCAAGAGCGCAGTAGTCTCTGACTTCACCACAAGGAAGAGCATAGCCGAAGCCTCATTTGGATTGCTCAAGATGGACTCGACAACTTGATTTGGGCGACTGCCCCGGTCATCAACTTCAGAAGACAGCTTCTGCTGCTCTTCCTGATCGATGCGCACAAAGGCAAGGCCCTTGAAGCCAGGAGAGGTTCTCGCTATGCTTGGGTGCGGCTTGAGGGAAACAGGTATCAGGCTCATAACATGATTCTGCAGGTTTTCACCCACCCCCGGTTGATCGACGACCAACTGAATCCCAAAACGGTCCAATCGCTCTTTAGCCCCAATGCCGGACAGCTCCAGGATCTTCGGTGTCTGGAGAGCACCAGCCGCTAGGACAACTTCCTTCTTTGCTTGGACGGTGATCACTTCGCCATTGTGGAGAGCATCTACACCCGTGGCCCTGACCTTTTCCTTTTCGGTGGTAAACATAATCCGTTGGACCGTTGTTTCTGTGATTATACTCACGTTAGGGCGCTTGGACGCGATGACCCCGTAGGTGCTGTCCGCACTACTGCGAAACCCAGAGACTGGATCAATTGTGGCTGTATAATCCCGAGTGCCAGTTGTCTTTTCTTCAGCAAGGAAGTCATCGGTAGGCTCATATCCTTCGCTCTGAAACGCTTGGATCCACGCTTGACTAATTGGGTTACCCTGTTCATCCCCAAAACAAGGATAAATAAGCTGTATCGGTCCTTGGGCCTCGCTTTTGCTCCCTTGACTAGACTCTGAAGCCGATATTGACTGAGTTAAAGTATAAGACTTTTGCAGATATGGTCGCAAAGTCTCCCAGTTCCAGTTCGGGTTTCCCAGCTTTCCCCATGCATTGATTCCCGCCGGGGATGGAGGGACATATGCTAGTCCATTGATAGCAGACGAGCCACCCAAGACTTTGCCTGCTGGATGAGTCTGTTCTCTACCATTTAGGCCCAACTGGATGGTGAACATGTGTTAGGGAGGCGTTGATCGGGTATCAGAGAAAAACCTACCTGAGCGCCTATCTTGAACTTCCAATCAAGCTCCGACCCGCTCAGAGTTGGCCAAGAACCTGGATTCTGAACTCGCGTATCAATCGAGGCATCAGGTCCGCTCTCTATCACGACAACATATGTGTTGGGATCTTCTGAGAGACGGCACGCAACTACCAAGCCAGCAGTTCCTCCGCCGACAATAACATAGTCGGCTGTTGCTGGAATATCCATAGCGATCATAGCTGAGAGGTAGGAAAGTAGAAGTAGCAGTAATCTTAGTTGACAGACGGAAAGGAAATTTGGGGATAAGCTTACCAACAAAGTCCAAAAGATGTATCTCAGCCCCCCGCGGAAAGATTGGCCAAAGGATATGGGCCTAGACACGCGTCAACGCATCTGATAGGTAGGTCATTTTTGATTATTGTTACACCCGAGAAAACTTGTTATAGATGAGAAGTCGGTGACATATTATGGCATGAGTGGTTTGTACTTTTCATGTTGTTTCATAGAACAAGGTATAAGAGGGCTTTTCTGATTTAGGAACGCAGGTCCATACCTAGGAGAAAGCTTGGCCAAAGATAGATAGTACAAATCAATAAAGGATTCAATCTGATCATGCAATATACTATTACAAAACTTATAATTGTCGTGAAGTTGTAGATGTCGGCCTTCCCCCGCAGGCGTTCTCCGCACGCGGCAGAATGGTTCCTGCCCCAGCACGTCATCCCGCAACCTTGAACATTTCTGTCCCTGTTCATCTTCAACTCTTACACTAACCATGTCCGACACGGAGAGAGAGCCTGCATCAGAGCAGACACCTCTGCTCCGCGATGCGTCTGAGAGCAATGCAGAGGATACCCCGCTACCAGAGGAACATAGCATTAAGGAGCTGATCTGGATCCTGGGTAGCATCTGGCTGGGTGTATTCTTAGCGGCGCTGGGTATGAGATTCAATTGTATAGCATTTGAGTCAAGCCTAATCGTTTTGTGATCGCAGATACAACAATTGTCGCTACTTTGTCCGCGCCTATTTCGTCCTCGTTCAATTCGTTTTCGCTACTTTCATGGCTGGCTACCTCTTATCTGATCTCCAACGCCGCCTGTCAACCCCTCAGCGGACGGTTGACCGATATCTATTCGCGGCGCTGGGGACTGGTTTTCTCCAATGTTTTCTTCGCTATTGGAAACTTGATCTGTGGCCTGGCGCGAGCTCAATGGGTTATCATCCTTGGTCGCGTCGTGGCGGGTGTTGGCGGCGGCGGTCTCACAGCCATCTCAACCTTCGTCACGTCGGACTTGATTCCTCTCCGCAAGCGCGGTATTTGGCAGGGTATTGGAAACATCTGCTACGGTGCCGGCATGGGACTTGGAGGTGTCTTCGGTGGCTGGATCAATGACACCTTAGGATGGAGATGGGCATTTTTGCTCCAGGTCCCCTTCCTAGTTGTATCTTGTATTTTGGTCGCGGTGAAGGTCAATATTCCTGTCAAAGAGACGGATACTGCTCGTATCAAACGGGTTGACTTCCTTGGTGCCATAACGCTTGTCCTGACACTGGTGTCTCTGCTTCTGGGCCTTAACACTGGCGGAAATCAAGTTCCTTGGACTCACCCATTGGTCCTGGCGTCCTTGGTTATGTCTGCTGTTTTCCTATGTATCTTCATTTATGTTGAAGCCTATGTTGCCTCTGAGCCTGTCATCCCAGTGCGTCTTCTATTGAACCGGACTGTGGCGGCTGCTTGCTTGACCAACTGGTTTACTACGATGTCTGTATTTGGACTTCTCTTTTACCTCCCCGTTTACTTCCAGGTGCAGGGTCTCTCAGCAACTGCTGCCGGCGCTAGATTGATCCCCCAGGCCATCGGTACCTCGATTGGTTCTTTGGGGTCGGGCATCATCATGCGTGCCAGCGGTCGATACAACTTACTCAACTATGCTGCTATGGCTCTCCAGGTTATCTCAGCTGGATTGATCTGCACTTTGAACGTGTCCACTCCCATAGGACTACCATTCGTATACTTCTTCTTGGGTGGTGCATCTTACGGAAGCATGTTGACCATCACATTGGTGGCGCTTATTTCAGCGGTGGATCATCAACACCATGCCGTGGTGACCTCTGCCTCCTACGCCTTCCGCAGTACTGGAAGCACCATTGGTATAACCATCGCCTCAGCCGTCTTCCAGAACACTCTTAAGCAGCGGCTCTGGTCTCGGTTTGGTAATCATGAAAACGCTAAGGAGCTGATTGGACGTCTTCGTGATAGTCTAGATGAGATTTGGAAGCTTCCTGCAGACTGGATCCCCGGTGTGCTGGACGCTTACATGAATTCCTTGCGGTCTGTATTTCTGACCCTCTTGGGTCTTGTTGTCCTGGGAGCATTGGCTAGTCTTGCAATGAGAGAGCACAAACTGCACAACAATTTGGCCCGTCGATAGAGTGATTATGAAGTGCGGGTTCGTTAGAAATGTACATAGCATTCAGTATATAAAGTAACAAATGAAGAGCAGGCTCTACCTGCTCCCCTGATTCGCTGCACTTATACCCATCCACATTACAATACTATTTAGGAGTGAGGATCAAACTAGTCCTCTCCCTATATAACATAGCCGCCTATTTTTGAAGACTCAATCCTCGGCAATTGCTGTAGCCCTCAAAGATGTATCAAGTGGCTTGGAAAAAGGCAGATTGAGCCGACACCAATCCAACCACTTATGGCTGAGCTATCGAGCTCCAGGCGTTGTATATGAGAAGCAGGGCTGAGGTTGCCACAAATATTGGGCTGCGCTCGTTTTTATCAGACATCCCCAAACCTTAATACGAGAGTCATTCTTCTTCACTGGTACAATGATTACCTGCATTATACTGCTGCCACTCTTCCTCAACTTCATATCCGCATCTATAGGTTCACACTTGGAGGATTAGCGGAAGCACAGCCATTCTCGATTTTCATGAACCTAGCTGTACGCGATATAAACCCAGCTGTACCGGATATCTACATCTTTCCGTCGAGATATATTACATGGCTAAGTTCTGGCCGCGAAAGAATTCTCAGGGAATATTAGCTATAGAATTCAAGGATGGATCTCTATATATGCATCCATAGTCACGTTTTCGCTGATGATCACAGTGCTTATTGCGGCCGTTACAAAAAGTACTATCTGGATGTATTTCATGTTGCCTATGTTGGTACCTCTGTTCATTTTTGGCTTTCGGTTTTCTTATCTGATTTGGATCAATTTCTTCCTTGGTCTTGCAATTTTGCACATGTTTGATGGGTACCTGTGTCACGAAACTGTTACATCCAAGTCTTGTTTCTTTATGCCTTGTGCGCGACAGTCTATTCAGAGGGCGGATGAAAAGGCTGCGCTGCTGCAAGATTTATCAGGATCGTGTGGCGTGGTTAAATCATGTTGAAGGATGGTTGACGACGTTTAGGGTGCAAAATTCTGGGTAGCGACGGCGAGATGCAAAGTTTGGATATCGATGAGGCGGCTGCGGACATATTTGAGGAATACGTAATGTAAGTCTAAACATCTAACTTGTCGCTCTACTGGAACTTGGTAACTGTGGAAGAGTAAATTTTGAAAAACTTATTCGACATTGACAATAAGACGGCAAAGAAAATGTTTGTCAGACTGTCAGCTAGAGCAGTTAAGCTTTCCCTTTCAGAATGAACAAAATAAACAATTAGTCAAAATAATAAATATAAGGTATGAGATATTACACACTATGCACATCACCTAATCATTAGATTCGAAGGTAAAAGTATCACTTATAGATATCATGCCCCAGTAGAATTATCTGGATGTTCCTTAACAGACGGTGATGTACAGACCAAGACTAAAAGAAAGTTAGTCAATTCCGTTCCGATAGCGCGATAGTAGGGAAGAGAAGACTCACGGAGAGGGGTTGTAGTCCTGGAAGTAGTTGAGATCAGTGCTACCAGCATTCTTTATCTCGTAGGCCACAGCTTCGCCAGCAGGGCAGGAGAAGGTCGAAACGACATAAGAGTTGCCAGGCGAGATAGTAATATCGCCAAGATCATGCTCAACCGAGGGGGCGTTGTTGAATGTGGTCTTCGTATCAGCAGGCTTGGAGAGCTTAGCAAAATCAATCTTGCCGTCACCGCTGAAGCTATAAGACGAGGTCTCAAGATCCTTCAGTTCGGGGAAGAGGAAGACCAGGCTGCAAGTCTTGCCCGAGTCAGACTGTGGAATATCAAAGTTGAAGATACTTGAGATTGACGAGGTGACAGTGCCGTTGAACTGAGTGCCGGAGGCTGTGTCGGGGGACTTGGAGTCCACCGGCACAATCAAATGAGGGAACTCAAAGTTACCCGAGCTCAGGGTGGTTGGGCAGTTGTTGTCCGTTGACGGGGGAGGAGCCGGGGCGGAAGGAGCGGCACAAGAGTCGGCGTTCAGCATAACCTTGCTGCACTGGCTGAGATCGGAGCTTTCGGTGGTGTAGATGTTCAGGCCTGCGTTCTGGCCGGTCTCACAGGCAACGAAGTCCGGGCTTCCATTATACTCCAGCATGCCAGAAGGGCTAACGGAGAAACCTGGAGTGGGAGTGGCACCAACATCACACTGAAGCTGAGTGGTAGGGGCTAAGGCATCGATCAGTTCAGATTCAACGTCTATATATGAAAACACCACTCACGAGTAAGAATGCAACCACGGCCATTTCCATCAGTGATGGAGCCATCAGAGCTGATACAATACTGTGCGGGAGACAAGCTATCATCGCCGATGCGGTTTTGACCATCACTCAATTGGCCAACAGGGCCTGTCTTATCCCCTGAAGCATTAAGATGGAAGCAGCAGCTATCATCACGGGCAACTAGAGCTTGTGCGCCGGCAGCGAAAGCTGCGAGGGTCCCAAAGTTCTTCATAGCGAAAGGTAGTGTTATAGAGTCAAGGATTGAAAGATGTAGTCGTTGGGATAAGTATAAGCAGTTGACTTCCTGGGAAACAACCAGCATATTTATAATCGAGAGGTACCAGAGACCCTTGAATAATTTACAAATATTTACACTAAATTTACTAGCCGAATAGGCAAACAAGAAATATAGTCGACGTCATTCTCCATTGGAGATCGTATTTCTTGCTACATCCACTGGACGAAACTATACCACATCGTGGCCCAGCACATACTTGAAGGGGCAATGGCCTGAGCCGCCGGGGTGGCAAATATGTCTACCACGGCTCGTGCCCTGAGTGCATTCCAATGCGATTGGCTGTGATTGACCGCACCCTACATACAATGAGGAGATTGACGAATAATATTGTTGGTTTGCTTTATGATCAGGTTCTCTGTCATTACTTGGCAATGCTCAGGTGCGGAGTCCCAAGAATAGCTAGCTGTAAACTTCGAGCTTTACCTCATGGCAACCCAGCCAATGGCTTGAAAAAAGACGTCTCAATGATTTTGTGGCTGATATCACAGGGGTCATATCCTAGGCTCTGAAGAGCGGGACAAAACGAAATACATTTCCTGTCGGTTACGCAGAATGCTTAAGTAGATCTCTTCTAAACCCGCTGAAACACCGAGCCAGAACCAATATCAAATTGTGACCGGTTGTGCCGAAGCACCCACTTTTCTTTGAATGTATGCGAGAGCGATCACGAACCTGTTAGAACCCTTATTATGTCACATTCAACTACTTTCGGCTTGGTTCGGATCAAAAGAACCCGGGACTCAATGATCCTTGTTCGGATTGCTGGTACGGTGGTTCCAACCAACAACAATCGTTCTATTTTCGTGCGCTTGGAACGAACCAGACATAGTATACCCTAGGTACGGATAGCAGCTATCCGCGAGGTGATGTATTTTGCCCACAACAAAGAATTGGTTGTTAGAATAAGTGTGTAAATGCGGGGGGATGATCGTGCTGATCAACGTCATGACTACAACTGTGTCCTGCATCAGACATCATAGATGCGGGGGGGGGGGGCAAAAAGTACAATATTGCACATGAAAGTGGTTCTAAGGTCCATTTCAAGCCAAGTATTGCATCGAGAACAATATGTATGTCGCCTTAGATATCTGATGTTAGGCTGCCGCCGGAATCAGAATCAGAATACGGTTGTTTTATAACAACATTTGGGCTCATATATTACTCATTGAATCTCTTTGAATCTCTCATTACTAATTTAAAAACGAATGACATTGGCTCGCAATGCCAACAATAAATTTCTACTCTACCATCTGACTGAAAAGGAAGAGTAAACAGGTTAGCAACCGTCATAAGCGAGAGCGAGAGATGTACACAAAGCCGATGCCGCGGGTGTTCTCTAGGGACGAAAAAGCTTTCCAAAACACGACCCCGGTGGCTCTCCTAGTATGTTTTACGAAGTTTTTCTGTTTGAGCTCGTGTCAACCCTAATGTCTGGCGTAGACTGTAACCAACAATATATATCAGCTTTACAAAAACCACACTTAGCCTTATGAGCTATACGCTCTCAGCGAATGTATCGGGTACATATTCTTGGAAAAGGGAAAAAAACATCTATATCAGTTTTCAGATGAAAGGTTCTTGAACTGTGTAAATAGCTGGCTAAGGTACCAGAATATCATCATCATCTTCAGACCTGGATTTACGTTGTTGGTCTGGGCATTGAAATGGAGTAAACTAGCTGCATACTATAGCACCTTTACCTAATATAGTATGGGGTGAACTAGGAAATTCAAAGAGATTGACTCGAACCACTACATAGATCACATACCTTCGAAGCCCGAGATGCAGTTTCTGCCTCAGGCGCCAAGATAGAACGTATCAGGCCCAATCAGTTCGAGCTCTTCCTGCACGTCCGCCTCTAAGCGCCCGCAGAGACCTGCAGAGACCCTCAAACTAACATTTGAACATCCTATCATTGGCGGTGTCTTACCCCCCTTTGACAAGAATTCGGTATCTGCTGCTGCGCGCCCAATCCTGGGAGTGGCGAAGACGTGGCGACGCCTAACTCGGACAACGCAACAGCTTCACCGCTTGCAACTCGACGATCGCACGACAACGAGCCTGAAACACAAGTCTCCTTTACAAGGATTGCATGATTCAATCCCGATCAGCCCATCTGCGCTGGGTAAACACTCAAATATTCTGCACGGTGCTGAACGTCAATTGCTCTTCCTTCGTCACTCGAGCCCGGCCGCTGTGTTCCCATCCCCTCGCAACGATATCCAGTCCCATTGACAAAGTCAACTATTCCTACTTCCTTCCGATTTTCATGGTCATTTAAAAACTCGGGCATGGCAGTTGGTCTTCGATCTGAGTTATCCAAACCAGTTGATCAGAGAAACAGCACTGCCAAGGGAGTGCGGTCTAAGGAGATGGAGGTGGAAGGCGACTCTGAAGAAACAGTGGTAGGAAACAAAGCGAGATACCAAGTGTCCCGCGATCAAGCAGTTCAAGATCCCACACCCTCCCATTCACGGCGACGACGACTTCTCTTATCGACCGATAGCGCATTCGCCGATACGGTACTCCCATCCTTCATCCACAACCCAAACATCGAGCTGCGCCTGATCACAGACGAGCCCTCGGCGTTGCTCACTGGCACGAACAAGATCCCACACTATATGGATACGGTTGACAGCCAAACTTTTGACAAGAAGACCGGGGCGCGAAAATGGCTGAAGGCAAAAACTGCGGAGCTTTGTGAATGGGCGGACATGCTGTTGGTTGCGCCTATTGATGCTGGAGCTCTTGGTGCGATGTTAGCTGGTTTGACAAACACCTTGACCTTGGCGCTGCTTCGCGGTTGGGTGTCAAAGAAACCAGTCGTACTCATTCCAGGAATGACTGTGTCTGAATGGGACCACCCGCTAAGCTCTCGTCAGCTGGAAGAAATAAGCAGTTACTGGCCTTGGGTCCGCATTGTCAAGCCTGTCCTCTGGAAGTCAAATGGACCTGAAGAATTGACCATACTTCCATGGGACGGACTAAAGGAGTTACATAAAACATTGGAAACAACATTAAAACTTCCTTCCTGGGATGCGACTTTGACCCGGGCTAATTTGAATGGCGTGTCGCCAGTCACTAAGACTGCATCGGCAACTATATACTCGCCATTAGCCTCGGGAAGTGGCACTGGCTCTGCAGTAAGGAGCATCCCGAAATCTGAAGGCAACGCCCATTTTTTACCGCTCGAGATATGGCTGAACGTTTTTGAGGATCAGCTTGGAGATTGGGAAACAGCAAAAGCTGTTGGCATTCCTTCGAATCTCCCTGTTCCTCAAGAATGGCAAAATCATTTACTCAAAATGTCCACACCAGCTTCACTTGAATATACCATCCTGCGAGGATCTTTTGCTGCAATCAAAAAGCGAATCGACGCCCTTCCTCGCTGGAAACCGCTTTCTGATCTTGCGTGCCACCTAATTGTCAAATTTTCCCGAACCGACATCCTCTCATATCTCACTGAAAACCACTTGGACCTGCTGTGGACAACTTCTCGACTAACCAATATTCCTTATCGCGCATCTGCAATTTACGGCAATCCAAAAGTTCTTACCTGGTGGCGCGATGCGCCCGCTCTCCCAAACAAAGAATACATGGCAGATGCCATGGACGGTGCCTCCCGAGCCGGCTATCTCCACGTCCTAGATTGGTGGCTCCATTCCGGCCTTCCGTTACGATACAGCGAGCGTGCCCTCGAAGCTGCCAGCGCTGAAGGCCGAATCGACGTTCTTGATTGGTGGAAGACTGCTTCCACAAACGCCCCGGCACATAGCCCTGTGCCCCTCAAACCCGGAAAATCTGTTCTTCTCGCAGCACAGTCGGGTCGCACTGCATCACTCGCTTGGTGGGATGCATCTGGCATTCCATACAGTCACGCTGAGAACGTTGCTCGCATCTCAAGCACTCACGGCCACGTACACGTTCTCGAGTTTTGGTACCAACTCAAGGGTCCCAAGATGATATTCGATAACCAGGTACTAGTCGGCCCTACGAAGAACGGACACGACCATGTGCTGCAATGGTGGAAGACCTGTGGGATGCGCGTTGAGTTCAAAACCTGCGATATCGAGGAAGCGCTCGAAGACGCAGATCCTACATCTGGTGCCGAGGGTCGTGTCCGGCGCTGGTGGGAACGGAATGGACTCAATCTTGGAGTTGGAACGAGCGAATGGATGAGATCGAAAGTTTTGTGAAACATTGCATTGAACGCATTGGGGTTTTGGGTTGATTTGACCTCTTTTGGCTTTTTTACTCTGTTCTGTTTCTGCGGTTGCGTTCTGAATTTTGCATATCACGACTTCAGATGATGACGACCCATAATACCCATTTGAATATTCACAAACATGTTATTTACTTTACTCGCTGGGGTTTGGGGTTTGGGCGCTCTACATAGACATACTTTTTTTTGGTGTGCTTCAATTGAACTCGAGCTTTTGATATCAATTTACTTCGATAATCAGCTTCTGAAGGTCATTCACTAGGAATAGAGTAATAGAGGGCTCTTAGCCTCTAGAAGCCCTTGGAAAATATACCTTTTTACATAATTGAGAGCCTGCAGCATAGTCCTTGCCAATATTCTTGCTCTAATCCAAATGAAAGACCACCAAATGGCCAGGAAACAAAGCTTGAAGCTCCCGAGGCTTTTTTTTTCTAGTTGATCCCGGACGTTGCTGACTCAAGCTTCAGGTCCACCACCGGCTCATAAACTCCGAGCAACCAACATCACCGAAGATCCACCATCGAGCTTTATTGATCGGAAACAATTGATGTTAGCACGGTGCGCACTACGACGCGTGCTGCGCGGGCCAAATGCAAGAACAAGAATACATGCCCGCACTTGGCAGCCAAGGATTCCTTCCCAATACATCCCATCAAATGACATCCATACCACCACAAGGAAGAGACCTAGCATCATTCAATATGCGCTATTAGAAAAAACTCAAGTCCAGGGATTGGCCACGGCTGCTGTCCCAAGCATCCTCGTTCCACCACTCATCTTCATCGGACTTCTCCTCGGCCTCTGGACATGGAAATGTTTCTGGATCATTGTTATGCAGAACAAGCTTCTTTACATCTCCTGGCTGCCACCATTTACACGCTCTGAAGTTATATCAGACTATCAAGCTGAGTGCAGGCCTGTGAAATGGGAAGAGAGGCAGATACGCAGTCTCGATGGGACTAAATTGGCTGTTTGCGAGGGCCGCATTCCACCAGGCCTCAAAAATCGGGAGTCTATGGCCCTTTTAAGGTCTCAAAACAAGGACTGCGCGAAGCTGAAGCGGAAAAGATCCGTCATAATCTGTTATTTTCAAGGAAATGGTGGTTCAACGCCTATGCGACTGCCACTTCTTTCGCAGGTCTTGCGCTCAATTACGGAGGCCTCCAAACCAGCAGCCTCTACTACATCAGACTCTATAGATACAGATTACACGGTTGTTGCACTATCATACCGTGGCTACTGGACATCTTCAGGTCGCGCTACACAATCCGGCATTGAAATGGATGCCCAGGCATTCTTGAACTGGGTATCAGAGACCTACGCGGCCCCAGACACCGATCTTGAACTTGTTCTGTGGGGCCACAGTCTAGGAGCAGCAGTTGCAAGTACGGCGATAGCTACCTATCTTCCACGTCGTGAGGACACATCGACATCATCTTCCGGGACAAGCAATGGCCAACCACTGCCGCCAATCTCTCGGTTGATCTTGGAGGCACCGACTTCAAGTATCAAGGACATGCTAATTGCCCTCTATCCGCAGAGATGGCTTCCTTATCGATATATGTGGCCTTTTTCTTGGAATACGTGGGATATAAAGGCGAAAATGAGAGAGATTGCTACATGGAGAGACTATAGCAACAGTCCATCTGGCTCTGAGAGCTCGGCATCTAACACGAGGAATCCACCGCCTCGTTCAGTTCCCCCGGTATTCATTCTTGCTGCGGAGAAAGACGAGGTCATCCCGGAGTATGTGCCGGGTCAGCTAGAACAACAAGCGAAATCACTCAGTATACAAATCTACCGGAAAGAGGTTCTAGGCGCAATGCACACAGAAGGACCGCAAAAATTAGATGGCCGGAAAGCACTTGTGCAATTTATCATACATGGCACCCCAACATCGGAAAGGATACACTCAGCATAATCTCAAGATACTTTATGAATGAAATGTAAATACTAAACTATTCCCACTTCTGAACGCAGGCATGTTTAACTTCAACCCCCTTCACTAACTGGCTAAGCTTCGCAATATTTTCTGCTGCCTCTGACTTCGCAAACTCAATATGGTCCGCGATATCCTTCCACCCACTGAAAAAGACAAATTCCTCATCCTCGCCTCCTTTATCAATGCGCCATGCACTACAGTAAGATAATGATTTTTTGGTGGTATCAGCCAGGCCAGAAACGATCGGCTTAAGTATAGAAGTGAATTCTTCTTTCTTGCTAGCCTCGACAAAATATCTGCCTATCGCAATGACAGGTGCGTCAAATGGAATTGCGAATGTTGAAGGCTGGGATTGTCAGTTGACCATTTCCGGATATATATTATCAAGAAACGGCGGCATGGCGTCTTTGTGTTTAGGACAAAAGAGAAACAAAATACATGGGTAAGAATAGACTCACATCGGCATCTAAATGAAACATCCAGTCAACCTCAATACGATCGGCCAGCTGCACGAGATGCCCTTGATAATGGATGCTCTGGGTACTATGTCTTTCGAGAGACTCCCATCCAGCCATCAGATAAAAGCAAGATGGGTCTTCAATTTGGCGCAGGAATCGTACTTTGTGCTTTGAATGTTCTTCCTGTGCCTTCTGTGCTTGTATAAGAGCTTCTGTGACAGATGGGTCCTGTTCAGCCTTGAAGTGTAGGAGGGCAACTTCAATCACGGCCATTTAGTGGTCGATCTAAGACGGAGCCTTTGAAGGGAAAAAGGTCGAGGCAGGTTTCTGTATTATATTTCAGCTAATGAATGTCGTATTATATAGTTTGTTGGTGCAGGGGTCGGACACGGAATAGCCCGAACCCGCGAAGAAGGATTCAAGGCAGCAAGGAGCCGCGTTGCAGTGTCGGGGATTTTTCAATTGGCTATGACATGGAATTATCCATAAAGGGGCTGCATCCTGTAGTCGTAAGTCGTCGTTGCCTAGCAGGTACTTTTCCTTGCTTTTTGTTGGAGAATCTATGGTTCACTGGAAAGAATGGGGCATGATAGTGTCATAAAGCTATGCAATGAGCGTCCAAATGAACCGAGACTTAAGAATAATCGAATCCAATGCACCAACAACCGGAAAGGATATTCCTCTCGCAGACAAAACGATAGCCAATTGCCTTGGGTATACCAATGAAGTACAGGACTAGACAATCTATGACGAAACCATAAGCACAAAGAGCAACAATAAAGATAGATTAAGCCCAGAGGTTGTGACAAGCCGATCAGACCTCTTTCCTGAAGAGTTGTTAGTAAGCCGAGGGATATATTAGAGGAGGTGACATACCAAGAGTAGCCTGATTTCTCAACACCGGGCGTCTTAATGGCATTTCGATCACCGAAGGGGTTGTCTTCATCATCTTCTTCCTCTTCTGACTCGCTCTCGCTCTCGAAAATCTGGCGCGAATGCTGCGATGAAGACGCAACAGGAAGTCCCTCTGGGCGAGCTGGTCGCGGGGGCTTCGGAGGATTGATATTTAGACCGGCAAGGCCACCGTGCACATCATCATCGAGGCCAAGTCCATGCCTTTCCTTCCAGTTGCCTTCAAGAATATCATCCTCACTGTCACTGTCGTAATCCACACTCTTATCGAGCACCTCAAAGGCCATCAATGCCGTCACAAGCTCCTCATTCGCATGGATCAGACCACCCAGGAACTCTTCACTCTCAATATACTGAATATACCGAAGAATCTGGTGACGAAGGGACTTGCACTTATCAAAACGGTTGATACATTCTGCATCTTCACTCACTCGGTTTGTCTCACGGTTGACGAGCTTGAGGGCGTTCAAGAGGTCAGTGCTGGCAACGGATGAAGCAGCAAGCGTCTGTAAGATTTCTGGTCGTTCTTTCTCCAAGTTGAATCCCTTGCTACTCATACTGATTGAAAGTTTCTTGTCTTTCTTGTCCTTCTTAGCCTTGGCCTTCTGTTTCGGGCTAGTTAAAACCGTGGATGGGCCAGTACCAGCTGACACCGAGACAACATGACCCATTGGAGGCCCATTTGAGTTTGAACCCTCCCGGAGGACCTTCGCCTTGGCCTGGTTTGCGGGTTGCTTGCGTTTCGGGAGTTGCTTGTACAATGCCGTGACCCTGGCCATGCCAGGGGTGTCTTTAAATGTCGCCGCCCATTGTCCAAAGATCTGTTTACACTTCTGCTTCACAAGAGGGTCAGATACAGAGTCGGTACCCGCGATCCGAAGACGCTCGAGAAGCGCCTCATCGGCGAACTCGCGCAAGAAGCGGTCTCCAGCATTTTGGACCAGGAAATCGAGAATGACGAGCGCACGAAGTTGACGATGAAGGTTGCCGTATTTTCTACATGAATTAGCCGGGACCGAACAGACTTGTAAGGTAGACTTTTACTCACAGCTTCTTGCGCAGAGCTCGACTTGCTTCTGTAGGACCACTGGCCTGAATGCGCACTACCTCCACCAAATCGACGATGCCACTGGAGTCTTCCACCTCATATTGTTCACTCGTAAGGACCTCCACCTGTACGGTCACCGCAGAGTAAGGTTTCTGATCGCAATCTGTCAGCGGTGCCGCGAGCTTCTGGGGTCATTGCCGAGCGACTTACCGAAGATTGGAACATATTGACTCAGGATGACTGAGCAGTCGCCCGATATAGAAGGAAATTGTTGTGCTCAAATATACCAGGAAAGGATCAGACAGTCCCACTGGTATGAATCAGCCCACAACCACAATCACCCCGCGTGGAGATGTCGATGTAGAAGGGACCCCGCACGGCACTGTTTACAACGGTCGGTGAAATTGAGGAGGTTGCGAGAGTGCGATGGCGAGATTCTGGAAGTGGAACAACTATAAAAGGGAATTCAAAGATATTATCGGGCAACAAAATCCAGCACAAAGATCCCGCAGCGCTTGCGACTCTTTCACGTGGTAATGTCGGTGACGTCGGAGGTCGCAGGAAGTCTTGGCGCTCGTTAGTCCAACAAGTCCTGGCAACTGAAGCTTAACAGTAGATCGACAATATGAAGCAACAGAAGATGCAAATCGGACTTGTCAAGGAAGAAACAGGGGAAACTGAGACAAATTAACCTTATCGGCCCCTCGTGACTACTCCGGCCCAATGGGGTTAGCGCGGGGTTGGATGCCTGAGGGAACAGACAGAAAGGGACGACGTAGTTCCCTGGAGACCACCAGAGTGCTCAGTTTCGAGCTACAGCGCATCTCAGTTGGTCTACTGTTCATGAAGCAATCAATTGCAAGGGATCCATCCCCCCATTCTTATTTGTTACGCGTCCTGTCCCGCTTGGTGGTTTGCTCCACCCTCGTCCTGGCCCTCAGTGTGGCTCTCACCCGCTCTCGTCTCTCCCTCCTTCTCCCCCACCTCTCCTCCAACCACACAATCATGTCCTACCAACAAGAACGTTATATTGCCGAACTAGCCGTCCAGCGGGCGTGTCTTCTGACCCAGAAGGTATTCTTCGAGAAGGCCAAGGGTACCGTCTCCAAGGACGACAAGTCCCCCGTCACCATTGGCGACTTCGGAGCCCAGGCCCTCATCATCTCGGCCATCCGCAAGAACTTCCCCAACGACGAGATTGTTGCCGAGGAGGAGGCTAGCTCCCTTCGTGAGGATAAGGATCTCAGCGCTGAGATCTGGCGCCTGGTCAAGGACATCAAGCTTGACGATGCGGAGAGCGACAACCTCCTCGGTGGCCCCTTGGCCAGCGAGCAGAGCATGCTGGACATCATTGACAACGGCAACAGCGCCGGTGGTCCCAAGGGCCGCATCTGGGCTCTCGACCCTATCGACGGTACCAAAGGTTTCCTCCGTGGCGGCCAGTACGCCGTCTGCCTCGGCCTAATGGTCGACGGCGATGTCAAGGTCGGTGCTATCGGTACCCCCAATCTCCCCGTGGATGATGCCGCCACCATCGACGCCAGCACTGGTGCCCAGCAGTCCGAGACTGCCGGCAACGGTGTCCTGTTCTCCGCCGTCCAGGGTGAGGGTGCCACCAGCCGCCCTCTGGCCAGCGGTGGTCTCACTACCAGCAAGTCCATCTCCATGCGTCCCGTTGCCAAGATCTCGGACGCCGTCTTCTGTGAGGGTGTTGAGGCTGCGCACTCTGCCCAGGGTGACAACGCCGCCGTCGCTGAGCGTCTCGGCATCACCGCCCCTAGCGTGCGACTGGACTCGCAGGCTAAGTACTGCTCCATTGCTCGCGGTGCCGGTGACATCTACCTGCGCCTCCCCGTCAAGAAGGACTACCAGGAGAAGATCTGGGATCACGCCGCTGGTGACCTGATTGTGCGCGAGGCTGGTGGCCAGGTCACTGACATCTACGGCAACCGTTTGGACTTCAGCAAGGGCCGGACCTTGGCTACCAACAAGGGCGTCGTCGCTTCCCCCAAGGCCTTGCAGGACCAGGTCATTGACGCTGTCAAGGTCGTCCTGAAGCTGTAATGAAATATATGAGGTTTAATGTGTCGTCTATTCACGGCATTTGGGCTCCTGGGGAGCAATCACGCTAGCTGCATTTGAAGTAGATTTGTGATACCATCGCTGTGAGAGATAAAAAGTACATATTGACGATAAGAGTACAAAACACGGAACCAAAGTAACACGTCCCGCGTAGCATAAAAAGTGAAGCGCTCCTAGACTATTTGATCTTCTTGGCCTTGAGCTTGATAGTCTCTCCGTTGACGAAAATACCCTTGCCCTTGTAAGGCTCGGGGCGTCTCCAATCCCGGATCTCAGCTGCGAACTGGGTCACAATGCGCTTGTCGACACCCTCAAGCAGGATACGGGTGGGTTGCGGTGTGCTTGCTTCAATTCCCTTGGGGACAGGAAGCTCAATTGGGTGGGAGAATCCGACCTTGAGGGAAACGAACTTCTGGCCGGGGAAGGTGGCCTCGGCCGTCGTGGCAGTCTCTTCAATGGTGGCCCTGTAACCAACACCAACCATACTCAGGACACAGACGTGACCTTCGGAAACACCGAGAATGTGGTTCTGGAGGAGCGCACGGGTCGTTCCTGATAACAAATCAACGCGTTAGACTCAATTGACTTGTTGCGCGGATCGGAGAATCGGGGAGAGAAAAGAACAATACATACCCCACATAGCACGCTGATGAGGGACAGCCGCATCCAAGACAGACAAGGTAGCTTTCTGGCCAGCCTCATCGGGGGTAACAGTAAGGAAAGAGGGAATGCTCAGGGACATCTCGCCTGCAGATTAGAATAATCAGTATCCTACTCTAACTTTCATTCGTGAACAACACATACCCCTGGGGCCCTTAATCTCAGCCGCATACTTGGGTATATCCTTTCCGCGCGTCCGAACCAGAGATTTGGGAAGGTCGACGAGCTTGAATGATACCTCTGGGGGGATGGAGATCGCGGCACCTCCGACTCTGGACTGCGCCGGGGACGTGGAGGAGAAGGCTCGGGCAGAAAATGCGGGGGCAAGGAAGACGGGCACTGAGCTGCGCTGGGAGGCTTCCCGGAATAGTCGCCGGGCACAGCGCTGGGGTATAGAGGCGGACATGTTTGCGTGTTGTTCGGGTGCTGCGTTGCGGACTTTCTCGATTTTGTTGCGGATGGCCGATAGGGGTTAGCGTACACGTGACCACCTATACCATGGCTTTGGTCTGGGCATCTTTTTGCAATTGAATTGCGAATATCGACTAATTATTGCTTGAATCAAGTTGGGAATATTGGTCTTGCAAAATTTCATTGGTTTGTCTCCCAGAAAATGTCGATAAGTGAGGTAAATTTCACTTTCCAGTGGCCGAAGAGGACTAGCATAGCAACAATTCCACCAAAAGACTTCAGATTGGAAGTCGAGATGAAAAGTCTATCAAGAAAAGCTGAGAGACTTTTGAAATAGAATATCAGTAAGGATGGCTATTGAATGAACAACCTGGATATCAAGACACTTCTCAACTGAGCTTGCTTCTGCCCTTCTGACAATCATCTTCCGCTCCTCTCCATTCGCACTACTCCCAAGCGGTCATCCTATACAGACCAGTTACACACCACAGATTGAGAGTTAGACAGGCCCTGTCTACAGTTTACTTCTATAACCAAGCCTCAACAGCCCATGCCCAATATGAAGGTAGCTCTGATTTCGCAGCTGCTTTTCTACGTCACCGCGCCACTCGTGAGCGCCAGTGAAGTGAGATCATCTTATAAAGGTTAGTGTTCGAGTCAGAAAACCGAGATCCACTGCTCATTAACCAAGGTAATCTTCCAATACCTGCGCTGACACAGCCAGACATCGACGTGATCTCGCTCCTGGGCTCTCGAGCACGAAACCAAGACACAGTCTTCAAGGAAGCAATCGACCTTCTTGAATCGCTCAAATCGTCACCATCGTGCAGCCGGGTGGCAGCAACGAGGCTAGTGGTGTCATGCCAGGCATTCGGCGGCGACAAAGACCGCACGCATGCGGACAGCCCTAATACCATGGATTTCCTGCGGTCAGTCTACGCAGCACGACTGGCAATATGCGAGATTGAGGGTGCCGGTACCACAGTACCACAGTCATGCCTTCCAGTGACAGTGCCAACCGCTCCCCAGAAAGGTCGGTTCGGATTCGCGTCTCGTCACAAGTCCTCCGACAATGCCGCAGATGAGATGCCAAGGGAGATCCTAGAGCAATGTCTGCGAACACTCGAGTCGCGGCCTCAATGGTGGACTTCATACAGCAACAGTCGACAGAATGCCCTGACCATATGTCAAGCCTCGCGGATCGAGACAGAGAAGGATGAGCTACTCGATCTTCACCGATCCATTGCCAAAAGCAGTCTGAAACTAAGCAATGGCATTCGAGACGCATTGCGAGATGCAGCGGCACAGTCTGAGCAACAGCAATTATTCATGCAAGCTGTTCAGGCTCAACAAAGGAAGATCGTGATGGAGGTGGAACACACAGAGTCGCTGTTTCAACGAACTTTCGGCAATTTCTTTCGTGAGATAGAGCTTGGCGTCGGGGTCCTCCAAGACAGTATATCCTCGGCTTTTCTCATTTTACGCGCAGGGACCGGAACTCTTGAAAAGGTCAGTCTAGAGGCTGATGGCTCACTGGAATATGCTGACCATGGAATAGGAAATTCACAATGTCTCAAGCCAGGTGAACGCCCTTCAACATGCCCTTCTGGAAGTGCATCAAGATGCCATTGCTAGAAGTCAGGAAGCAACAGTGGTACAGGAGAGCAACGCCGTGGCTCATGGAAAATTTGCGGCCTCCTTACACCTTTCACTTGAGTCACTTCTAGACTCTGACATGGTGAAGGTTTATAGAGGAATGCAAAAGTTTGACGCTATTATGGTATGCTCATCTAAGCATCCAGGCCCCCTTTCAAGCAAGTTTACTGACACTTATCACAACCTCAGGAATGGCTGACAAGCCGAATGAACACGATCCTCGAACAAGAGCTCCGAATGACCGAGGTAAGAATCTCCCCTGCGTGTCCCCGAATCACCTGCTGATTTTCTGAAGCGACTCCAAATTATGGAGACATCCATGCAGCTATCTGAATCAAAAGCAAGCGAATTACAGCACGCCCAAGATCAGCAAACAGAAAAGCTCGCTGCACATTCCCGCACTCAAGAGGCGATCCAATTCCACGCACAAGTCTCGCAGGCTCTCATCAAGAAAGCCAGCATCGCAGCTGCCAATCTTCAAAGCATTATTGATGACGCAGCTACGAAATATAAAAGTGGTCCAAATCTCCACATTGGAGGATATTCCGCATGGTCTCTTTGCGGATTTCTTCTCTTGATCATCGCGGCCCAGAACTTCAAGGTTGCAATTCCATTAATATTTTTCGTTTTCGGTATGTTTAGTCTTTCCAGCCTTCAAAGTGTGCTTGCAACTTTCTAAGGCTTTGATATCTAGCGCATTCCATAGCGTCGACGATTTTCCCCTTCTTTTAGCTATATTACGGACACCATTTACGATCCTAACAACCTTAATACCCCGGGGGGCTCTGCATTTTCTTTTTATGGGCGTTATTTTTCTTTTTCTGTTTTCAGCTATCTCAGTTATCTAAAGATTTGCATCATAGCTATCGCGCTATAATGATCAGATTATAATGATAATTTAGAGCTACATCATCACATTACTGGCGGAGACTTTATCTGCCTCGTTGACAACTAATGCTTTAGTATAAGCACTTCAACACTCAAAATAAATTGTTACAGGAGTATTAGTTCCGCGGATGTTGATCAGGCTATGCTCTCTCCTTGAGCCTATATCCCGTGAGTGCAAATCTAGGCAAATTATCCACGAATCAATTGTAAGTGGGACGATAGTATCTCTATTTGTTTTACGCCCTCTGATCTGAGCAACATTAAACTCTCCTTGAAGGTATACAATGTTGCCCTATTGCTTGGTCCCAACGATGTGAACCATACACCCCCTGGATTCGGTGCGGATTCCTGATATACAATGGACTTGTTGGAGATGTAATTAGAGGGCTGAAAAGTCCGACGGAATATAAAGGCAACATACAGAGGCCACTGTCCCCCAACGTCGTAAGGCTACTTGTTCTTGTTTGATCTGCCAACTCATATAAGTAGGCTATACATACGTTAAAGACAATCTACAGTAAAATGAAAGCAAGTTATTGCCCCTGAAAGGGGTTTAGCGCCGGCTGCACTAGGATAAGATTTAGCTATGCGGGCGGGTACAAGTGGGACCAGTCTAGCCAAGTGAAGACAGTTCATTCGGCAATATCAAAAAGATCTCCAGGTAGCGATAAAATGAGCCTTGAAGTGATAGAACTGTTAGAGCAAAGGCAGTGAAGGTGCCTGGAAGTAGCAAGCAAACCCGTATAGCCTCGACGAGGGCGCACGTGCCAGTCCAGTAGCGCAACCACGCCCAATCACCTTTTTCAGCCCTGGATGGCAGTCTGTTGTTCTTCCTCAGGCAACTCCACGTTCGGAATACCAACCATTCCGAATCCTCCAGCATTTTTACTTTGAAGTTTTACAACTGGAATGCGTAGCTTCGGTAAGTGGTCTTGTCTGATCTATATACATCCAGCCGTGAATGACTGTGCCGCAGGACTAGCTCCAACCAGCGGCCCTCAAACACAGCCCGAAGGCCTTCTTCCGTCGCTTCTGGCACAGCGACGCGTCGGAGACCTCCTCCATGGAGGTTTTCACGCCTCGTGCAGTCCCAACTGTACGCGCCGCTCTCCCTGTCCTGCCGGGCCGAGAACCGGCCTGAATATTGTGAGTGACCCATCTTTTATATTCCGCACACACCAATCTTCGTTCACAGCGGTAGAACCACTCTCTGCGGACACCCTTGCTAGACATCTAGCAGTGAGGAAGGACGCCTATGGGTGCACACAGGAAGATCTGGGAGCCTGTGCCTCGTAAATGTGGGGTGGCGTGGCGTACACCCATAAGAATCATGTACATATGTTGGCATTTCTGCCTGGAGCCGACGTGCTCCAAATATGATCCGAAAGTCTGATCATCAATTTTTGCTGTGCAAGCTTGCGTAGAAGATCATAGCACTCGACACAAGCATGTGCTGGTAGTATTGGCACGATAAGTATGAAGAGAAAAGCCTCTGAGGGTATATTATTGAGAATCTATACTAACGCTTTACGCTCTCAATTCTCCCCTCCAGAAGAAGCATCATCGTCCCCATCGGCCATGGAGACATCCTCGGCACCAGCATCCGCACCAGCGACACCCGCGGCCGCGGCCTTCTGCTCTCTCGCTTTCTGTCGGCGCTTGAGCTTCCTCGCGTGGTTCTTGCGGTTCCGCTTCTCGGCCTCCGTTTCTTTAGCAGCCTGGGCAGAAACAACGCGCTTGCGCAGCTGGACCCGGCGCTTTTTGCCGGGCTTCTTGCGGGTGAGCGGGCTTTTTGAGACAGGTGCACCTTCTATCACATAGACAGGCGCGCTACCAGCTGGTCGTGGTAGCTTTGTCTGATGGCGTTTTAGGTGGATCACTCGCCAGGGCAAATGGCAGCCAGGCTATACTTGGATTAGCCAAAATCACAAGAACAAAAGCTGTAAGAGGTATAGAAGAGGCTCAGATGGGACGAAATGCACTTACCCAGGCTTGTGACCGGGCCCATGTTAACATGTGCTCTCCGGACACGGCCATAGTCTCGAATTGCTGTTTCTTCTCGGCAATAGCGTCCTCGTTTTCAGACAAAATCTCCACATCGCGTCTACCCAGTAGTTCGGGCGTAGAGAAATAATAGTCCCAATCCCGGGAAGCTTTCAAGAACCGTCCCTCGGAACCACCAGCTCCCGGTGAGGGTGACCGTAATCGAATGCGCAACTTTTGTGTGACTCCGGAAGACTGAGATTCGGCTTCTGTGGATTTCATCTTTGCGTCGGTATCCTTCTCCGACGCCTTGGTTGCATTTACTGTCGATTTTGCGGGGGCACTGAACAGCCGGAATTCGAATTCTTGCTCCTCATCGTTATCCTCTGGCTGCGCGAGGTCGTTCACCTGTGCAGGTGTGTCTTGCACAGCAATCAATTCATCCAAATTGAGAAGTTTCCCTAGGCGGGCTCGTGCGTCTTGTGCTTCAGCATCGTCTGGTGCGGGTGATGGTTCGCGGGATGACAGTGGAGAGTGGATGTCATTGCGCCGGATGCTGTACCGAATTAGCCACTGGGTCTACAAGATACCAAATTGTGTTATTTCCGTGCGTACCGCTTGGCATTTGGTAGATCAAACATTGTGGGTGATGATATAAAGAAGTTGCGAAAGGAAAATCGGATTGTTTCCACTCCGCCTTTCTGCGGCCACGGCCTTATCGATGACATGGCACGGACCCCAGCCTGACTTCAGAGTTCAACCCGATCATTCTCTGCTTGACTCTCCATTTCTCCATTCTGCTTCATTTCCGCTCTTGCACATTCTCACACTCCTTAGATCGATACTCCCTCTTCCAGCCGCCAGGCCAACAAGTCCCACCTCCCACGCGATCGTTGGGACGATTAATGCCTCGTGCCCTTCGCATCGTGCAATACAGCCCGCAATCTCCCCGGCTCTGATTCCAATTCCGTTAAATGGGTGTCTGTGCCTCCTGCCTTGGCGGAAATCGCCATGAGTCTCCTGAGGTGAGTCTCGATTCCGCCGTCTATCGCCATGTTCAACGCGCATTACCTCGGCATCATGCGCGATGCATGGGACGCCTGTCAAAAAGACCACTCTTCTAACTTTATCTTCTTCAAGCCCGAGTCATCTCGTCTGCTCGACGACGACCCTTATCAGGCCGGGTATGGCTACGGAGCGCTCAACCATGCACAGCAGGCTAGCCAGCCGGATCCGGAATACGTGAGGCGCGAGAGAGAGGCATTGGAATCTATATGCCAGCGAACTTCGGAGTAAGTATACCTCAGCATCTGGCCTCAATTTCTGGCTATTCCAACATCACTGGTTGTGGCTTCCGCTAACCAATCTCCAGCTCGGTAATCGACATTTGGTCGCTCCAACCACAACCACATCTCCAACCTCAAGCTACCCTCCACACACCCATCTCTGCATCTCCCGCTCAATCGCAGAAAGGCGAGTCCACCACCGCCTCGGCCACTCGTTCGCCATCAAGCCGTCCTTCCTCAGGTGCAGATGGCAATGTCCCCAAACACTGGGGTGAAGTGGTTGTCAACCCAAACAAGAAGCGCTCTCGTCCTGACATGAAGACCGATATCAAAATCAAAGATGATGTCTTTGGAGTCTTGAGTGTCAACTAGGTGGCTCCTCGCCTATCGCGACATATTGACGATGACGATTGACACGATACAAAAACAGGCTGTGTGGTCGATGTCATACGATTAAGGGTACCGGAAAACCTTTTTTTTTTTTTTCTATACTTTGTTTGCGCTATTTTTGGGGGGGGGGGGGGTTTGCATGGATCGCAGGTCGACTGTTTTCGCACATACATAGCCATTCCTTTTTGTTCCCTTTTTTCTGGTCTGTTAATACCCAGTGGCGCAGACTATCTCCTTTGTCAAGTCTTTGTGGTTTCTATTCTTCTTGTTTGTGGGCGTGTTTGCAGACATTTTTGTGATTTTCATGTTAAAGTTTGTCTTCATATTATCTTTTTATTTGTATATCTCAAGTCCAGTGTGGGTTACTGCTTATCTTTTCATAGTATAGAGCACAATTTGAAGCACCTTCGCGGGTCATTCTTTATCTTTCGTCTGATGTTAACATCACTATTAGAGATATGGGACGAATCAAGGGGACAGCCGCTCATAGTCAAAGAGGAGACTTCTCTGTGGACTCAGTTCATGCTACTGATTGGAAACGACTAGATGTTGCGACTAACAATGAAAAATATCCACATTCCCATGCCCACATGAAATCGCACATGAGCATACTCAACCATGACTCCGGCCACAACCATCGCAAATGCTCAATCAAATCGAATGAAGATAGACGAAGAAAAAAGAGAGAAGAAGACATTGGAAAATTAGAACTAAACTCCATGAAAGAAACGCCCGCTGATCCAGTTCCTGAGAGGGATGGAGGTATAGGGTTGAGATGGGTGATGCAATATGTTCATACAGACCCAATCTCGGATATGAATCAATCGCAGTCGGGCGAGTTGATTAGACATCATCCATCGTACCGGCCGGCTCTTCGCCGCCGGATTCGTAGCTTCCGGCTGAGCTCAGCTCATCCTCAGACTCGGTGTCCTCGCCTGCCTCATCCACGGCTTCCTTGCTGGCGTACTTGGCAACGTATTCTGAGGAGGGTTAGCACTGATACGTAGGGAAGAATCAATTATCTCATGGAGACATACCTTTGACCTTTGCCTCGTACGCCTTTGGCTCCCGCATCATGAGCGCCGCAGCCTCGCCGTTGAGCGGGTCTGATGGGTTGGGGTAACGGAGGAGCTGAGGAAGGAAAACTTCGAAGATGTTGAGCATGTCGTACATTGGCGACCATGTCTGGTTGATGACATCAAGGCAGACTGATCCGGACCTACTCCGTAAGGAAAATCTTAGCTTCTTGATCCCCTGATTTTATCCTCATATAGCCTTGACTTACAGCTCATCGATGTTCGGGTGGAAGATGCGGTTGACGAACCCAATACTAGGGCTCTTGTATGGGTACTGGTCGGGCAGTTCGACGTGGATCTTCCAGTGGCCTCCGGTAAATGGTGCTGGGATAGTTAGCATCATGCAATGCTGGCTCAGGATTGCAAAACATACTCTCCTCCGGACCCTTAAATCGGACATAGAATTCTTGCCTATTCACAAATATTGGTATCTCGAAACTCCAAGCATATCGGTACAGCGGGTAGAAGAAACATACACTAGATTTTAAAGTCAGTGGTTTGAGGTATATCCCAGAAAGGTCAGACGTACTATTATCGTTGACCAGAGTCACTTCGTAGTCACTCATGAGCCTAGGTATTATGTCAGGGTGCATTCCAACCAAGTTAATTTGCCCGCTGGAGGACATTGAGGGGGTTTAAAGCGGCGGCCACTTTGGAGTTGAGGGGGGGGGTGGTTCTCGAGCATACATCCTAGTCAGAGGTTAGCGATCACAAAACAGACGACATTTTGAAGCCGTAATAACATACTTCATGACCTAAAAACAAAGAAAAAGACCAATTATTAGCATTGTTGGGGACCGTGATAGCTTATCGGAGTCGCTGCGTCGTGACTTACATCGGTCTCGATTCTGCGCTTAGGGCTACTCATGTTGGCGATGTGGCGTGAAAGTAGCTGTGGTATGTGTGTATGATATCGATAATCAAGCTTGCAACGCTGTCTCGCAGCCAGTGGTGTGTCAGGGCCACTTGTTCACCAAGCAGATATTCCCGCAATCGAAGCGGGGAAGCAATTGGCGGGGCAGGTGATCAAGGTGAGATGAAGGATAGGACAGAACTGGAGAGGATGTGGATTTCAGGACGAATGAATACGAAAGTAAAATGCTGAAGAAAGCTTCAAATGGTAGCTGGATGTTAGAACAAAGAGAGAGAAGAGTGGGAGTCGACAGGGCGATGAGATGATGCCTAGATGAGTCAGCGTATTGCAGCCCGAACCATGGAACAATCGCCGATCAATCTTCACTACTTTGGCGATACTCTTTCATTTGCGCAATTCGTTTACATTCTTATTTATAGTTTAGAAAAACGAATATTTGCCAATATCAAGCGCTTAGAGCTTGTGCCAATACTAGCTAGTGGCAGCTAGCGGCACATCGGGAACATGATCTCATACATCAAGATGGAACCCTTCCTATCTTACAGCCCCAAGTCGAAAGGTGTCACTACAATGCTATGAGCTGTAGACAGCATGCCAATGATTTCCAGATAGGCTCTATTAGTGCTTAGCTAGATAACCCATTCTTACTCTGCAGTGTCAAATATCCAACAATGCCTTCCTTCCTTTGTGCACCGTGATGCTGGTCACTTAGGGCTTAGCTAGTAGACCTAAAACCATATACGTATATATCCCAGTCACAAAATGCTAAATCTTGAAGCTCTAAGTGATGACCCAGCGCTCTGTCCTTGTGCCTACCACCTTTAAATATTTCCCGTTTGTAGGCATTATTGCAATAGGGAGTAAGCATAAACATTTTGCTTGCCCTACTCCATTGAACTACTGAGTGTGCTGCCCTTCATCAGGAACCGACCATTCCTCTTCCTCCATCTGTGATCTCCAGAAGGAGTGTCCCGAAAAACAACTTTCTACCCTCATGTGAGTCGATTTAATAATTAGCTCATGTCCGACAGTATATAATACCGGGAGATAATGCTGCTAGTGATGTAAGTCGATTTCCCGCTACTGCCTCAAAGTTTGACACTGGAACTCTCCTCCCTGACCTGAGAAGTAATAGAGATGTACGACTACAACATACATGCACTCAAGAAGGACTGGGAACGGCTAATTCTCACTATGGATCACGACATGAACAAACTCGCCAGAACCTTTCAGAAAATCGAGGATCTCGTATTACATGAAATCTCTACCTTCAATATCGCATAGCATCAGCAACGCCCACAAAGACAAGCCATGGCCCAAGACCTGGATCTTGCGTGGCAGAGGCTGTAACTGCCATCCCTAGTGGATACGTCCATATGCAGATGGGGCTTACTCGGTCTAATCCATCACACGGATGCATTTGGGACAATCAATGGGTTCAGCTGTCTTCCCAGAGAACTTGTAACAAAGCTCAATTTCCAATATCTCGGGCCTGGAGTACAGCGAGTTACAACATCGTTTCGCATGGTGGAGTACCTGCTCCAGAATGGTGCCAACCCACATGCTAGCAAGATGCTCATACTCTAAGCCTTCACGATATCATGAATACAAGGATAGTGATACTGTGTAATAAAATTTGAGACGAATGATATATGTCATACAACATAAGGATCTCTAATATTCCAAATAGCCCGACCATGTCTGCTCAGGATTCAGTGCTGCTCCTCAGCAGGCAGAGCAACCTTCACTGCACCCTCCGCCAGGGCACGATTCTGCAAATTCTTATTGGCAATGTAGGATGTAATATAGTCCGGCACATCAGAGACCGTACCATCACCGTTCGGAATAGGAGTTCCAAAGGTCTCCCAGACGGGAACAACACCAGTCCAGACATTATTGGTAATCTGCTTGTTATCGTAGTCCTTGCGCTCGTCGGAAACACCTCCATCCCGAATCTTGCCGCTGCCATCAACAACCTTGACCTTAAGGATAACAGTAGAAGACATCTCTGCACGGTCAGGCGGCACACGCGAGTGGTCCCACCGATTCTCAAGAACCGAGTTCGTAATCATTTTCATGGCCCAGAGTTTCTCCTCTTCATCAGTGACGAGGCTAGCATAGCCATGTAAGATAGCGGAACGGTAGTTGTAGCTGTGAGAGTTGGGCGTGAGTGACAAAATCAACCCGTCTACCTTGCTGGTCGCCACGCAGATGGGTAGGCCCTGGCTGTCGCTCTTGCGTGCAAGATTCATGATGCGCGAGCTGACGTATCCGTGGAGATAGCATTCGAGAGGCTCGTCGATGCTGGCGGAAGGATATTCGAATGAGCCCATTTGGCCGATCATTGGGATGATGGCTGGGAAAGGGTCCTCGGGACCTGGGTTGAATGATACATGGAGGACTTGGGAATCGTTGATGATTCTATGAATTGGGCCCAGGTCATACGTTGCTATATAATGGTGAGAACTTGTCTCTGGTGTATGGTTTATAGTTCCTGCATACCTCGATGTTTATATCTGTTGGCGGTGTTGGACACGCCCTTGGGGTAAGTCAATGTTCGTCCCATGATTCAAATAATTTAGAAAGTGAACTGAAATTGAGAACAAGCAGAAGATTTCGAGACAAAATAAGCATTTAAGTAGATCGACCAGATGGATCAAGGTCAGTGACCAGGTCAACAGTATGGTACTTCAACCCTTTATAGAAGGTCCAACCGCGTGAGAATTCCCCACAAAGTTTAGAGTCATATTGGAACGGCGCACAGATAGCAAACCAGTCAGACAAATGCGACAGGGTAGTAAGAAAAGAGGAAGATGCCAAACGCACCCGAGGTGATTGGCCCACACCGCCGACCAGCAATTAACCTGGCGATAACAACTTCTGTCTTATCACTCACCACCAACATGGCGTGCAGGTCTCTTGTTCGATGCGCTGTCCGGATGCGCTCAGTGCGCCCTTCAGTGGCCCTGAGTCATTCATTGCGTCAACTTCCTCGATACAACATCCCTCGGTCTTACGCTACCTATCTCGCCGCCGCGGACCTCAAATTCGGGCAACCATTGCATGAGACGCATCCCCACCTGCTAAGCCCTGGCGAACGTATGTCATTGGATGCGGAATAAGTTTAATTGGCCTTGGGTAATTGTAGCTTATTGGCTTTTATCTAGTTACGCCTGGAATCACCGCCCTCGAATATGCCCAACGTCGATCGCGACTCGCCAACAAACTACCGAAAGGAGCAATTGCGGTGCTAGCTGCCTCGGAGGTCAAATACCGTGCCCAGGGCATCTTTAATGAATACCGTCAGGATTCAAACTTCTTCTACCTGACCGGTAGGTTCTCCCCGAGTGGTCGTGTGATGTGGGACGACAGGCTAAATGGTTATGCAACACAGGGTTCAACGAACCAAACGCACTGGCAATTATCGGCAACGACGGCTCCGGCGACAACCATATCTTCCACCTATATGTTCGGGAAAAGGACCCTAGAGCAGAGCTCTGGGATGGCGCACGTTCCGGCACCCAGGCGGCCGTAGACGTTTTCAATGCGGACGAGGTGCGGAAAACACCGGAGATTTGCATGGAACATGGCTGATACAAGAAACAGACAGGAAATATTGAACGCATTGGCGACATTCTTCCAAGTATCGTCTCGGGAGCGACAGAGATCTACTCGGATATCCCCTCACTCGACAATGCACGATCAAGTTTGAACCGCTACTTGTACGGACCCACAGTCGCCTCGGAGAAGCTCAAGAAGATCGTCGACCACCATCGGGTCAAGCCTTTGAAGCCCATTCTCAATGAAATGAGAGCTTTCAAGAGCGAGAGCGAGGTTGTACAGATGCGTCGCCTGGGACAGGCTTCAGGACGGGCTTTCACCGAGGCTATGCGCCAAACTTTTGAGTATGAGAAGGATCTCCATTCCTTCTTGGAGTACCAGTTTAAGGTGAACGGGGCTGAAGGCAACGCTTTTGTTCCAGTTGTTGCAGGCGGTCAGGTAAGTAAGGCCTTTGCTTTCGATGGGCTAAGTACTAATGAGAATAGAACGCTCTGGCTATTCACTACACCCGAAATGACGATGTATTAAAGTTTGTGCTCCTTGACTCCACTATGCGAGTCTGTGCTTACTTTCAATGTTAGGGATGGCGATTTGGTTTTGGTTGACGGTGGTGGTGTGAGTATCCAACACAACTATACCCTGTCATCCCAGCTACTAACCGTATCATAGGAATGGGGAACCTATATCTCCGATATCACAAGAACATGGCCGGTAAACGGCAAGTTCTCCGATCCTCAACGGGATCTGTACAATGCTGTACTCAACGTTCACCGGAGTTGCATCTCCCTCTGCCGCGAGACCTCTAATCTCTCTTTGGACAAACTGCATGGCATCGCCGAGAACGGATTGAAGGACGGGCTCAAGTCTCTTGGCTTTGATCTTTCTGGCAAGGTATGCATCTCGACCCATCTTATCTGGAACATTTTACTGACAGTGGCCAGGCAATAAACACTCTATTCCCCCATCACCTGGGCCACTATGTGGGTCTGGACGTCCACGACTGCCCGGGATACTCCAGAGGCTACAACCTGAAGGCAGGTCAATGTATAACTATTGAGCCGTTCGTATCCCTAGCATCTCGATCTCCACATTCTGAGACAAGCTAATTCATACTAGGGGTATTTATGTTCCTGACGATGAGCGATGGCCCGCTCACTTCCGTGGGATCGGCATTCGTATCGAAGACAGTGTTTGTGTCGGAGATGAGCATCCGATTGTCTTGACCCCGGAAGCTGTCAAAGAGGTATGTTTCTCATCATTTCTTTGATATGTGATTTGCTAACACAATATACCAGGTTGAGGACATTGAAGCATTACGTAGGTAGGTGTATAGTAGTTGGAAACCCTCCAATATCCATGTACAATAGAACATATGGCTTCAAATTCAATGTTTTGAGCCCCTTTATTTTAATCTGAACTATAAACTCCACATGTCTAAATTATCCTTGCCTACTTTAGATTATTTGGTGGTGGCTGGACTGTTGTTTTGGGGCTGATTGGGGGCTGGTCTGGGGGTTGGAGACGATTGGTGACCGGGAGGCTTATGTTTGGAGGGATTGAAGGGATTAAAGGCATTCAGGAGGATTGCCATAATAGAGAATGGACAAGAGAATGAAGTAAAAGAATAAAAGAAGGCCAAAAGAATCCTGGTCGCGGTCAAGGAATGTAATGTTGATGTTCATGCTTCGCGCGACGCCGTTGGTTGTCGGGCCTCCGCCCAAAACAAACTGAGCTCCACACCACACGACTTGCTTTGCTCTTCTTTATTTCTCTTCCTCCAGGTCTTCCACCTCGTCTTTCCCTTCACTACACACCTCATTTGACGACTACGACTTGCTCCTCACTCCTTAGGCCACTTCTGCATTGTTTTTGGTGATACAATGTCACTCTAATCCCGTCCAACATCGGCAAGACGTGTAGCACGTCGCGTACTCTTCGAGTACCCCTCTTCCTCTCTTAAGCCCTGTCAGTCTCCAGTGACTTCCATACGTGCCCTCGATCGTGGGATCCTATTCCCCGATGGCCACTGTATTCGTACCTCCATCGCCGCGAAACTCCCTGGCCATGGCGACCCGCCGCCCACTTGCCAACGTGCCGAATGCAACCAATTCACCACATAGGTCAGGACCTGTACAAGCCAAGCGATCCAGGTCTACACAGATGGATATCCCATACGGCCAACCACCCCCGAAAAAGCAGGTCATGGAGGTTATAGAGAATGATGACCGGTCCCCTAGTCGAAGCAGGTCGACTACTGCTCAAAACACGGACTCGAAATTATTTGCGCGACGGTCTAACAACGTGCCTCCTAGTGCTTTCGAGAAGAAGCTTGTTGCAGCTCGCGAAAAGGAACGTCAGCCGGTGGTCAAGACTATCAAGACAGAAAAGGCTTCTGCGGATACCATGGATACAATTAGACAGTGGCAGAGACATTACAGAAAGGCATTCCCTCAGTTTGTTTTCTACTTCGACAGCATCCCTGAGGATGTTCGTCGCAAGTTCTCTCGCCAGGTCATTGCTCTCGGCGCTGTAAGTTTGATATCCCCTTCCTCAATTGTGATGTTTTTCGAGCATGACGACATTGCACTTTATATCCACTCTTCTGATTCCCAATCTTTTTTTTCCGGTTACTGACAACTTCGAATCTAGCGTGAGGAGAAATTCTTTTCGCGTCTCGTCACTCATGTTGTTACATCTCGTGCTATCCCACCCGAGTCCACAAGCCCAACCGAACCCGAAACCACTGCCGACGCGACGAACGGAGAAGGAAATGTGCAAACAGTCAATCCTTCTATGCTGGAGAGAAATGGGGACACAAACCTGCATGTGTCATTGAAGACGGATACCCGCCGTGACCAAGGAACCATGGATGTTCTTCAGCGCGCTCGCCAAATGGGCATGAAGATCTGGGCTTTGGAGAAACTTCAACGCATGATCACCACCATTAACGATAGTGATATTGGTGCTCAAGCGGACGCTGCATCACGGAGCAAGTCTGCTGGTGGAAATGCCGCCAATGGAAAGGGCGAAAATGATCTCTCGCGAGTCCTTCGACAGGAACTACTCAATGGACCATCCGATCGTGATCCATTGGCGTCAATGGAGATGCTGATGTTCAAGGGCCCTTTCCTTTATATTCACGACATGAATGAGAAGACAAAGCCCGTCATGGTTCGGGAATACTCTCGGGTCGCCAGGCGGCAGGATGGTTCCTGGCCCCAATTCAGAAGTGCCCCTCTGGGCAAGTGTCCTTTTATCGATGAACCTCCAAGCAAGAAAGAATACGATCGACACCGTCTGCGCCACCTCCAGAAAGAGAAGAAGGCCGCCCTCCACAATACTGATGGAAACCGCGAGGCTAAGCCAAAAGCAATAGCTCCTGCTCAGCATGATCAAGACGCCAAACCAGTCACTGAAGTCATTAAGTCGAAGCCTACAGAGAATGAACAGCGCATCTCACCTCCAACTCAAACCGAATCTCAGAAGCCCTCAGTTGACGAGAACAATGAGCGAAAGAGTTCAGAGAGCTTCATCCCTCCTCACTTCCCTCGCACTGGTCCTTTCTACACTGGTCGCGAGCCAGCCGCTTCAGGCGTTCAACCGTCCAATATGACCTCTGCAATTCGCTCCCAGATGATCTCCTCCACTGCTGCAGCACCTGGTGCGAAGGCCGGGCTCAGCAAGGAAGTCCACGGGCTCAAGCGCAAGGTCCTCGAGAAGGGCACTGGATCAATGGCTGCTCCTCAGCGTCGCGAAGGATCTGCACCTGTCCAGTCTAAGAGCATGAACCCCCCCGGACGATCTAATCTCCGCCATGAAGATGATGGAAACCAGTCCGAAGTTGCTGGCTCCAAACGTCAAAGAGAAGACAAGGAGCAGCAACGGAGGGCCGAGCGACGCAGAGACCCCAAGCCTGGCTACTGTGAGAACTGCAGGGACAAGTTCGATGACTTTGAAGAGGTTTGTTCCACTATTTCCTGTCCATGTCACTCAGATACTAATTACTATTTCAGCACACTCTCACAAGAAAACATCGTCGTTTCGCTGCAAACTCCACGAACTGGGCTGAACTTGATGCGTTACTCTTTGAAATTCAACGTCCTCTCAAGGACAAGTACGAATATGATGAATAGATCTCGGGCTATCATGGCCCGTCATGATTTCTTTGGACCTTGACCTTTGCCGGACACTTGCATCCCGGCACCGTTCGAGATTTTACTAACCGTTATCTTTCTTCTGCCACCTGCACTTTTTCTTTCCGCCTGTCATGCTCGATTTGGATCTCAACCTCGCTTAATCATACCCTCGGCATTGACGCATATGCATATGGTGGCGTTTTTTCTTCTCTTTTGACTCTTTACTTTTGCATCAGCACTCCCAGGAGACAGTGTCACCGAATACGGTTGTCTTCTTTTGATCTCCACCGATATCGTCCACTCATTTGGCATTTTCACTTCTTTCCACTGTATTGAATATCTCATTTTACATCAGCATCGCCCTCGACCCGCGAGTCAACCACATTCACAGACGAGAGACTTTTGGACTATATCAATCATCATCGGAAAAGCTGCACACTAGTTTACGATGCAGTCCATGCATGTCGCCTCTCTACTGTGGCCAGACGCGATATAGCGAAGGTATAATGGACGATCCAGCATGAACCCAAGCGACTACCCGCTTTGCATTGCCTTCCATTCAACATCGTTATCCCCGATTTTGGTCCTACGGGGCCATATTTTTCGAACGTCAGATTCATTTCCTTATGTCTTTCTCACTCCACGTGTGGAGTTCATTTTCCTTTTCGACGGCTGAGGCTTGTTGCCCAGCGCAGACGGCGGTAGAGTCTCGTTGAGGCTTTTCCTTTCTCGTGACATTACTTACCTGAATACCGCATTTATTCCAATGATCTGTATGCAGTTTGTATCGTGTTAATTGAATTGTATCCACTATTTTCTCCTTTGTAGACTGAGTATACAGTACATGTAAACAGTGTGGTCCCCCTCACTTCCCGAAGCGGTAATCACCTCGGCGAGACGCAACCAGAAGGCGGTGACTCGCCTCCCAGGGCGGTGAAAGTATCAAAAGTAAAATACAGCCGAGCTTGATGAGCTTCACTCACCGGTTCAAGCTTTGATCCCTACCTACATTTGAATTAATTAATACATTTTTCCCTTTGAGAACAATAATCAGAATCTATACTGTACCGCGTCATTCCAAGTTACCACAGCTGATCCAAATACACGCCCCTACGCGCTGTAGCTCGCCCCGCAATTCTCGGTACTCGGCGCATGTAATCATCGGCAGAACGTATCAGATCTTCGACTTCAAGATTTTTTGGAGATGCTCCCGTCTACGCCGCATAACCCAGCACGTACACCCGGACGGATGGAATAAATTGATCAGTTTATTCTAGCCGTGATATCCGAGAGAGTCTTATATTGGATTTGTTCTTTTTTTTTGCTGTTTTGTTTCGTTACTGGATTGTGAAGTGTGCTTTAACTTTGTTTGAGGATTGTTGCTGTGAGGTCATTGCCACAGCTCACAACTCAAGGATAGTTTTGAAAGGCTACTGAGGACTACTTCTTTTTCTCTTGGTTTCTATTTTGGGAGGTGGTTTTGCTTTGGAATCTCTCGTTTGTGCTTTTATATCATTCCGCGTCACTCCGCTCATATCGCACATCACACATCATGGCTGCACCGGGCCCTGCGCTGCGTCGCACGGTGTTTGCTTCTTCGTCATTCACCCGGACCAGATTACTTTCCGGTACACGAACACCGATCTCACACAATACGCTCGCTTGCTGTTGTCCCACCCCGATCTCTTTCTTGACGCCACACTCCTCGCAAACCCGATATAGTTCATACTCCTCCCCGACACCGACACCAAGCGCAAATGGCAAGGCGCGCAAGAAGGTCACAATTCAAACATTGCAGAACCTCTATAAAAAGGGCGAACCGATTGCCATGCTGACGGCGCATGACTTCCCCAGCGCGCATGTGGCTGATGTGTCGGGGATGGACATGGTTTTAGTTGGGGATAGTTTGGGCATGGTAGCTTTGGGATTGGATAATACCACCGAGGTTGTAATGGAGGAGATGATATTGCACTGTCGGAGTGTTGTCCGTGGAGCGAAGAGTGCATTTATTGTGAGTTGGCGACCTTGCTGGCTGGCGTGTGTTGTTCCACGTACTGACGAATATCATTCGACAGGTTGGTGACCTCCCCATGGGTTCATATGAGATATCTGCCGAGCAGGCCATTGAATCCTCATTGCGCTTGATTAAGGAAGGGCGCGTCCATGGCGTTAAGATTGAAGGCGGAGAGGAATTGGCATCCACTATTAAACGCATCACGCAGGCTGGTGTACCTGTCGTGGGTCATGTTGGTCTCACGCCCCAACGACAGAATGCCCTCGGTGGGTTCAGAGTCCAAGGGAAAACGACATCTAGCGCTTTGAAGCTGTTGGATGACGCGGTGGCGATGCAAGAAGCCGGAGCATTCATGCTTGTTCTTGAAGCTATGCCCGCAGAAGTCGCAGCCCTCATCACAGAAAAGCTCAGTATCCCGACTATCGGTATTGGTGCTGGCAACGGCTGCTCCGGCCAAGTTCTCGTGCAGGTCGACATGACTGGCAATTTTCAACCTGGTCGATTCATCCCGAAGTTCGTTAAGCCATTTGCCAATGTCTGGGGCGAGGCTGCGCGGGGAATCACACAATATCGAGACGAAGTGAAGAGCCGTGCATTTCCGTCAGAGGAATACACGTATCCAATCCCGAAAGAGGAGCTCGCCGGATTCCAAAAATCGGTAGACGAGCGCTACCAGAAATAATGATTGCATCTCATCTCATATTCTTTCACCGTGGACATTCCATTTCTTGCATATTTCTGTGATAAGCATCGTAATCTGTACATAAAGTCATTTGATTCATTAGTTCGTGCGGGTGGGCTGCAACAAAGTCTGCTTAGCCAAATGCCGGGGTCATTGAGTAAGCGACAATCAATTGATCATCCGTTTTGAAACACTATATCACGAAAATATCAGTATATGGCATTGGTGTTAGAAGTAACCACGAGACCGAACTCACCCTCCACAGACCACCCATACCCTCATCTAGGCCGGGCGCAAAGACGCTATTGACATAACAGAACACAGAATCGGTATCCTTGCAGTCGAGCTTTTTCCGCAGGAATTTGACAACCGTTTCAAACTTCTGTGATGCGCTCACCTTGAACACCCGATTCTTGAGAATGGGTGCTGATGGCAGAGGCTGGAAGCGCACGGTGACTAGACACATATTAGTAAGGTCCCATGCAAGAGGAGTCTCCTAGTCGGCAGAACGGCATGTAGAGACAGGTGGTGAATACCTTTCCCTGAATCAATCCTCTCCACATCGGCGAGTGCCTGGTGCGCATCGCGGGGTAAGTTGGTCAACATAACAGAAGCCGACATGTTCATCGGCAGGTCGGCGCCATGTTCATCGTCTGGAATAGGTGCGTTTGCTGTGCTGCCCGGTGGTGTTCCTGTTCCTGAGCTTGGTGTTTGGCGTGGACTTGGGCGATGGCTGAGGGTGCTTGATGCCTGCTGGTTTGGGGCGGGTGAGCCCTGTGGAGAGCTGGGTGAGGATGGATTCATCGTGCATGTACTCCGCAGACAAAAATTCCGGTCTTGAATCTTGGGGTTGAAGTATGTAGTCGCGGGGAAGGGAAGTCGCAGATGGGAAGAGGTGGGGAGCTTAACGAGATTTGGGTTTGGGCTGGCGGAACGCGCATGTCGGGCTCTACTACAACTGTATGGACGGAGATCCTTTTTTATTAGGGATCTTAAATGGTACTTTGAGATGCTTCCAAACAAATATCTTTTCTCGATAGTCATGTTCAGAGGATGCAAGAATCATATCGTAAGATCACTTGGATATCTATTACCTGGCCGGATAACTGTGGACGAGATCGAAGTATAAAACGACGTCTGGTCTAGCGTGGTTTGGAATAAGGCAGGCGCGTCATCGACTATATCTGAGAACTTCATCTTGAATACTTTCTTTGCTTTACGACCTCCTCACCTCACTATCCAAATCATGGCGCCTGTCAGCCACGGCAAATTCTCCTACAACGTGGATACATTCTACGTCGAAGCCTCCGGCAACATCCATCGACGAGCGATACCGGCAGAGCTCAGAGCTCTTTTTGATGCTTCGATCCCAGACAGCAACCAGAGGCCCGATCATCCAGCTCACTGGTTTGAAGCACAACTCCTGCACTATGGCCTGTCCCCATCGAAGGCCAAAGCAACAGCAAAGATGAGATTATCAGATGCCATTCAAGATGGAGCTCTAGAAGTTCCTCTCGAGCTGGTTCAGATGGAGAAAAGACTCAAGAGAGAGTGGAAGAGACAAGATGAAGCGGCACGCACACTACCATCTGGACTCGCCCATCTACCAACCCCCGTTACTACAAGTAGAACAACAACAACAAAGACAGCCACCACAACTACAGTAGCTACCTCATTACCCATTCCACGCAAACGAGCTCGGGATATCGAAGACGATGAAGTGGGAGAGAGACCATCTGTAAAACAGACTGCCCGGCGCGTCGGCTTCCTGCAGAGTAATATTACTCAGTCAACAGGTCCTCGGCCTCAAAAGACACAGAGACCAGAGCTTCCAAATCGAGCACGACGGAGACAAGGGAGTGGCAATACAGTCCCTCAACTTCAGACTGCCAGAAAGGACGTGGTGAGTAGTGGTAGCGGGAAAAGTGCCCACATCACTCCCCTGACTGCCAACTCCCATCGACAGACAGTTTCAACTGTGGAAGCCTTACTGATAGCGGGCGGAAACTCTGATCTGAGTGGCCGGATTGGTCAAGTTGGCATCCAGTCCTCCAATCCCTCGTCTTGGGACAACAATGAGATGGTAAGTAGATCGTTTCTTTTACCCAGGTACAAACTTATAACCAATTATAGCATGATTATGACGATAGCTACGACGACGAATACTTTGGAGACTCATCGGATCCTGACGATGATCAAGAGATTCTTGAAAACTATCTTTCTTCGGATAATCTCCCCTGTCAAGATCCCTTCGATGATCGTTATCCTTCGAGTAGCTCTAACTCAATGAGCGCGAGACTCTCGAGTGGTAGCTATGCAGATCCCCGTGGACCTCCTCCGATCTATAACCAGCTGTTCGAATCCCAACCCCCACAGCGACGCCTCGGTTTATTAAAAGGTGAATACGACGTTGCGTCCAACGAGCCTACCGGCAATCATATCAATGGAAACGGTCCCAGAACTTGCCCAAAAATATGTCTCACATTGAGCGGGGAAGAAATGTTCGGGTCAATCACGCTTGGGATCCTCGAGGGCATATTGTGGATACCAGCACGACCGAAGAAGGCTTCAGAAGAGAAGATCCCATTTCAATGCTATGGTAAAGTTTCTGGACAACTCGTTGTTAGTCACGAAAACTCGGGCTGGATTCGATTTCTGGGCGAGGGAGAGATTGAGGGGGAAATTTCATGCTTTCGTCAATACAGCTTTGTTGGTCAGCGGATCAGTGGGGAGAATACTAGCTCGGTTAGGAGTGCCCTTGATCTGCGAAGGGAGTGGCTTGGGTACATTGGTCAAATTAATGAAGCACAGCTAAATGGGCTGATTGAATAGTTGGAGGGATTGAGCTGTGTAATGGGTCGACTTATGCTTCTTGCTACCAATAATCTTGAACGTTTGCTAAATTTTCTTACGTCCTTGTGAATAAACGTTTATCCATACTCTGAATCCGTAAGTATTCTATCAGAGGTGCAAGGTATGTACAGTTGACATTCAACAATCTCATAGCTATTGGCACTCATCCAACAGCTATTCAACTAAGAAGCTACCCGTAGGGCGATTTTCATTATCAATCAGTTCAAATTGAAAAGGAGCATCGACAAGGCTCGCTGATGCCTCCCAGCCCTTCTTCATATACCACGGTTTGATAAGACAGACCTCAAATTTCCTAGGTTGCCTAACCTGATGCAGTGGTATGAGCAGATCATCCATATCACCTACGACATGAGGAAACAAATGAATAGTCAACGTCTCCAGTGCCGGCAGTTTATTACCAAGGACCCAACAGCAACTGTCCCACATCCTCCCACCAGGATCAGCGAATCCAAGCTGAGCAGTCCGAATCAAGCTCAAACGCTGTGGTAGTATAATTCCCGGCAGATCAATTATCGTATCTGCATGGTTGAATAGGAAGGTATTATGCCGGTAGATCATATCGATCGTCTCAGTATATCTGTCATTATGTCAGTTGTTACTGATACAATATGAAGTAAAATGACTGACTTTACTCACATCAATCGACAACTCCGCAAAAGAGCCACAAAGTCAACTCTCGCATCGAACTTCCACTCTTCATCCTCATACCCGTATGCTTCAACACCCTTGCCTGTACCAACACATCCCCCAGCAGGTCGACGAGCCAACTGTCCCCAGCAGCGATGACTACACGAACATATTCCGGGCTGCTCATGGCACTGAACCCCTACGATTCGTGAGCGGGCTTCCCTTCCTTGCCGCCATTTCATCCTCATGATATGTAGCTTGCGGATACAGAGGTAGTGCCCCCAGATGATGAGTCTGACTTCGGCTGGAAGGGTTTTGAATAGAGGAGATTTAGTTTGAAGAGATATTGGTTGCCGGTTGCGTGGCTTCGAGAAAGACCATCGCCTGTTTTGCCCGGGCAGTTCTGGATCTTCTGGCAGTGGGGGTGTGAGTGGCCCCAGACGAATTGGAATCTCATCTGCTTGTGTTGTGGGCTCTTGCGCTTGCGCATATTCGTCTCTTCTTCTTATGATGCTTCTTAGCTTGTGTCCGGAGGCTTCCTTGATAAGGACCATATTGCGGGGTGAAACTCTTGGAGATCTGGAAGAGGATGGAGTCAAGTCTGGAGGTGACAATATAGCGACTATCATAGACACCAGGTCCGGCTTGCTTGCCGCGTGATGTATACCGTTGATATCCTGACTCGCAGGCTGCTGTGGGGGTTCGTGGGGGCCAAAGGAGAGACGTTCCTTGTTGTTTTCCTTGTTTTTTTTTTAGTTCAAGGTTGGATGATTATTGATCCATATAATATTGTGCAAGAAGAACAGTTGCATGCATATATAAGGCCAACCGTTTTCCTTTTGCAGCAACAAACATGCGCCCGGATCTCCAACTGGATTTCTGCCTTGTCGCCTTATTCGCCAAGTCTTGAGAACTATCCCCGCAGCTCCACCTAAGCTTGCCCTTCAGCTTCTCCAATCCCTTTGAATGAAACAGAGATACATCACACCTCATGGCTTCATCAAGAGCCGTCGTGCCAGCTGCTGATCTTCAGTCTTTCACTGAATACCTGAGTGGCTGCAAACGAGTCATTGCCCTCCTTGGAGCTGGAATCTCCGCATCATCAGGCTTGCCTACCTTTCGTGGCGCCGGCGGACTCTGGCGTTCATATGATGCAACTTCTCTAGCAACTCCAGAGGCCTTTCAGAGAACTCCGGGTCTTGTCTGGCAGTTCTATAGTTACCGCAGACACATGGCCCTTCAGGCTGAGCCTAACAAAGCACACTACGCTCTGGCAGAGTTATCGCGGAGGAATCAGGACTTCATTACGCTCAGCCAGAACGTTGACGGTATAGCCTCTATCAATATCCCTCAAAACAATCTCTGATAACATGCTAATACTGCAATCTCCATTTTATAGGTCTCTCCCCGCGAGCACTCCACCCCTCTAAACAGCTACATCTACTACACGGCAGCCTCTTCGACGTCAAGTGCACATCGTTCTATTGCGATTATGTCCGCGAAAACGACTTCACAGATCCCCTAGTCCCAGCTTTAGACATCCCCAAAATGGCAGCAGGCCTTAATCCCTCCGCGACCGACAAAACCGGCGAAGAAGCAGCGCAAGCTATCCATAATGCTATGGGCACAAATGGAGATGTAGACATCTCCGATGCTAGCAACCCGATACCTCAGCTAAATGAGGACGAATTGCCTAAATGTCCTAAATGCAAGAATGGTTTACTCCGTCCGGGTGTTGTATGGTTTGGAGAGGCCCTGCCAGATAAAACGCTTAGTGAAGTCGACCGTTGGGTTGCAGCCGGTCCTATTGATCTCTGTCTAGTTATTGGGACCAGTGCGAGAGTTTGGCCGGCTGCGGGATATGTTGATGAAGCTCGTTCTCAAGGTGCACGCATTGCTGTGTGTAATATGGATTCTAGCGATACTCCCGGTGATCTCCAGTTTGGAGATTGGTTTTTCCAGGGTGATGCCGGGGTAATTGTACCCGAAATTCTGAAGGGTGTTATTGGTGAGATTTAATTATCTTCCGGGCTAGCACTGAGAAGAGTGATCATTGGAATATGGTTAGAGGCCAGTCCAGGGGTACTTCACCTAGCTTTGCAGAGCTGGGTAATGGTGGGGAGTGCAAATTACGAGCATTTTACGACAACGAATAAAAAAAAAAGTTCGGCTTGATGATCTGATAGATGAATATAGAGTATCACAATGATTCGACGGAATCGTAAAATTCCGGTTCACGTATCATAGTCGAAGGAGAAAGAATAGTCAAAGCATTTTTGACTAGCAGACGGCCTTTTTCAGGGCAACCAAAATGCATGGTTTCTTCAAAAAGCAAAACACTTTTTGCGCATGTCTTCAGTAGTCCAGCCTTGTCTTCTGTGGAATCGTCACAGACAATTGTCAAGATAACAAGACTGGCCGCAAGAACGCGGTGATAGTAACAAGGCCATTCATCAGGATCAGCGGCGTGCTCCATTGCCCTGCATAATGACATTATTGTCTCTTGAGCGGCTCCGAGGCAAACATTCAGAGCCATGCCAGATGTATAAAATGGCGTTGAAAAGTTTGTGCTAGCGAAGAATGGGCGATGCATGACCATCATCACATGGTTGAAACCTACATGGTTCACCGAGGTAAGCATGCCACAAACGAAACAGATCATACTTGATCACTCACGAAGGTCAATGTCGCGGCACTGCCGTCGAACCCAGCCGATGGCATCATAGCCAATTGCGTCGCCTCTTACAGGATCCTTGTTCGCGAGATGTGCCGGCAACTCCCCTTTCCAGGTCATGAGTTCCGCTTGAAGATTCATGAGCCGGCCAACGAATGATTCTATTTCATTTCGTTTTTCGTCAATGTTCGAAACCTGTTCGAAGGAATTAGCATTGGTCGGCAACGTTGAAAACTCAATTATCTGACCAAGTCAATGACTTTGCGGACCGTTCTGGAAAATTTAGCCATGACAATTACGAAGGATATCCTGCTGAAATTGGCAGTCTCGTCCTAGTCCTTGTCAGATAACTCATTGAAATAAACGTGGTTATAATACTTACCAGAGTCTCCTCGGGGTACGGCGCCGTGGAATCCGTCTCTCGGATACAGAGTGGTCTACCGTATTCCAAACACAATTCGGACTCTAAACTATACAGCACCCACCACGTTCTCCTGGCCTCTTGGACGGCAGTGTTGGTGAAGCCGGCTTGGTCGAAGTTTCTGTTCAGCCCTGCCGAGTATGCAAGCCTGATTGCAATTCCTAAGTAGTCATATGCAACTAATCGCGTCGTTAGCATATAAGTATAGCACGGTTATAATAGAACGTACGATTGTGTCGTGCCGTATAATGAGCATATACAGCCTATCATCATCTTGTCAATACAATCCATCTGACAGAGAAAGGGCAAACAAACCATCAATAAAGCAGCCTGCACAGTCTTCAGACTGCTAGCCCCAAGTAAATTTGCAAGAAGACACTGTGCTTCGGCAAAATATTTCTCGCCAGCATTGGGGATGGTGCGGCGTGGGTACAGGGCACCAAGAGCTAGGACTGAGTATGTGAGACATTCCAATTCTAGACTTTGAGGGGTTTCGGGCTTTTCCCCGAAGTCTTTGTACGTATTGCAGAACACCTTTTTGTCAAGGATTGGGACTGTGTTATAGACATAACGGAAGAAAAGGAACGCGTTCGTCTCATGGCGATCTTCCATTGGCCACTGTCTTGTCCCCCATCTCAAAGTTAGTGATGTATAGATCTCCTGTGGTCGGAAGTTGCGAGGTATATCAGAGCCTATTGGGTGCTCATTCGTGTCCTGCCGCCGACGCTTGCTTGCCCGCTCATCGGCCCCATTGGTGTGGGCCTGACCGAATGCTTTGTGGAATGATCTGAGGAGATCTATTGTTGATGTAGACCCAAAATATTCGGCTACTCCAGTTTTTTCGTCGACAAAAGTAACACCAGACACTGCAATATTGGTGGTCTGTCGGGCATCTACTCTTTATAAGCCTTTGTCTTCGGGTAAGGATGAAACCTATATACCTGGAAGCTCAACTGTTTTCCTAGGCTTATATGTTCTCTCACCAAAAACGGCCCTCTCAAGCTCCATGAGCCTTGCATTCATGACATCAAGATCACTGTGTCGAACATTAATCCTCGTATGCATGAGGTCACTCTTGGCGCAATTTACCTAGTTAGTCTGCTTGCAGACGTTGAAGGATCATAGGAACATTGTGCCTTGTTCTTCTCACATGATGCACAAGGGAGCATCCCATCGCACTAGACATGTTAGTATGAAATCCAGTGATTCGGAGGAGTCCTTTACCTTCAGCTTTCGAGTGCGACATGGATTGCATGCTTCGGTTGTTTTCTTGCGATGCCTCAAGGACCCCGCAATTTGTGACATTTTGGCAAAATCGAGGGTCAGCTGGTTGTCGTTTGCACACTAACTTGGCTCTTGAAGTTGAGGTAGTGCCGGTATGCTGACTAATATACTGTCTCGATCAACTTAAACTCACGTTCAAATTCTGTGATAACATATCAGATTCGAACAACATACAAGTAAGTTGAATAGCGTCTGTATTCATTTTGAATATGTTCATATATGAGGGCATGGTATGCTGGTTGCTCTACTAATTGTTTTCTGGATCTTAGCTGTATCCAATGCACTGGAGAAGGAATACTTGTCCACAATTACATAGTTGTCTTTCTCGCAGTCCCCGCCTACAGGCGGTAGATAGTGTTTCAACTTCACACCTCGGTATGCTCAATGAAAAAGCGAAGCATTGGTGCGGAGCCACTACCCTGGCCATAGTTTAAAGCAACATCAAGACCTGGGCCAAATTATCAGCATCGGGGATAAACCCAGAGCCTTTCGCGGGCTGAAACGTGATTTCAACTTACCGTAATCGCTGATACCTGGCTGAAGGTTATACTTCGCCATATTGAGCGTAGAAGGATCCTTTTCTGATGCGTCTGTCTTACCGATGGCATGTGAGACTTGAACTTGTATGTGTTCAAATGGGAAATATGCCCCTGATAGAGCACCTGCTCCCAAGGATATTATGCGTGGAAACAGTTGTTAAACATTAGAAGGATGCCTTGGGGTATGCTGGTAACTTACCTGGCGCACTTGCTGCTCGAGCCGCCGCTTTGATGTTAGGTGGCTGATAAACTCAACGATCAAGACTGAGAGTCAAGATTTCACAAACAGTGGGGAATATACCTTTCTTCTGCTAGCCTCCACTGAGAAGTAATCTATCAGTACGTCATTACGTTAATGAAAAAACTAAATCACCAAAGGAAATGATAACATACTGTTCCATGTCACTCAGGGCTTGCTTGTTGTCTGGAAAGCTGCTAGTATATTATGATTCGCAACTGTCTCCCTTACCGAGCTTTTGAAATCGCGCCATCACCCTTGGCTTAAATGCCACCAAGCAAGCCAGTATGGTCCTGACGCCACAAAGGAGCGCCTTCAGAGTCAAGCTGTTCGGATGCCGTTTGAAGAAACATTGTTGTAATGATGTGAGAAAGTTGAGGATTTAGACTTTCAAACAAACATTATCTCTTACCATTGATGAGAGACAGTTGTCGGCCCTTGTTAATTCATAAATTGGCGATGTCGGCATGAATATCAGCACAATGAACTGGATCGTGGTGGATCTATAACTGTGGGTCGTCGGACTGTCGCTCAACCAATCGCGGAGAACCCGAGAGACTTAACCGCCAACAGAAACCTATGTCCTACTAATCAAGCCCTTCATAGGTACATGTGCGTACTCTGCAGCATCTAGTATATTGCTTGATATTCCACAAGAGCCCCCGGTATTTGCTGTTGACCGGCTATTGATATCTATTCCGGCACGTCGAAGCGAAGACCATGCGTCAGTTTATTGGCATACGCCCGGAGCGCCTGACAGAATACGTCCATCATCTCAAACATCTGTAACCCGTTCAATATATCAGATAACAAACCCATTACGACTGCACCCATTCACCGGAGATGGTTACTCCCGATTTTTTCTGTTTTGTCGTCCGACGGACTCAAATCTGCTTCACATAGTACGCTATTGATGATCCTCAGAAGCCGTCTTGTATCACCACAGAATTCTGTCTGCTCCAAAGCAAGGGTTTCCAACCATTTGCATATGGATAGGGCGTACTCAAGGTTACAGAAAGAATGAATAGTGCTCCAAGTTAAGGCCTGCGTCTATACAACAAACTCCACACCAAGTCGCACTGGCTGCATTCTTTGAGTAGTTCTGTGACTTAGGGGGCTTGGAGGATCATCCCAGCATACATCATGGAGCAATCAGCTGCCGCGTTCCATACTTTTTTTGCAGGACCAGCATACAAGCGTGGCAACCTCGCATCGTCGGCCTCTTCCATGATTGAGGCAAGGCTTGGTGAACAATACCGCTTCTACCGACGACTTACGCAGATGGTCCTGTTGTTGAGCGCTTGAACTACGGAAAGGTGATTTGCATTTCCTTGGGAGCTGTTTATGCCTATAAACGGATTATGATTTTTATTGAATGAGAAAAGATCTCCTATCACGAGCATTTAAAACGAGCCAGAACAAAATTGATCATACCGGTTTGATCCAAGGACTATACATATCTGAGATAGGGCACTACTCCATGATGTCTTAGCTGAGTACCTGATTTAAAAACATCCACTTCCTTCCAATAACCTTGAGATCTAAAATGTACCTGCTTATGATAATTATGCATCCTAGCCCCAGTGAATATGAGCGCAATGAACCGATCGTGGTGGATCTATAACTGCGGATCTCGGAATCGCTGGTCAACCAATCGCGGAGATCCCACGATCATCAACCCCAACACCCAGGTTGCCGATCAGTCCCCCTAGTGTAATCGAGCAATGGCCCACCGTAAAATTCTTTGGCCAGCCCCTAACATTTACTAGCTTCGCCGTATTGGTGCGAGTTGAGATATTGGCGTGCGGGGTTATACATATTTAAAGGTGGACTTCCCCCTTGCGCAGACAGAAAGCATCATCGATATTCAACACAGCTGCACATCATGACTATTAGATCCTCAATCCCCCAAAAGAGAAGAAAGGAATATGACGATCATGATCAGATCTTGAAAAATGACCGGCTAACTACTGCTGCTGAGAACTTCTTTGAGGCTCTGTGTAAGCGATCTTGTCCAACGAGCAGTTATCTAGAGAACTAACATTGTTCCCAGCCGAGGCCGGTATCACGCACTGCTTTGTAAACTTGTAAGCTTTGTCAATGTTTACTCGAGTACGTTATGCTAACAAATGATTAGAGGAAGCGATCACCCCGCAATGTTGGAAGCGATGATCAAGGCGAAGCAAGGTGAATCCTGCCAAGATTGGATTCGATGACCAGGGCTGATTGGAAAACAGAGAACAACACCAACTTTCCAAACATCATCACTTGCCCTTCTGAGCTAGTCGCTCTTTCAGCAGCCTTAGGCTATGCTCAGGTTACTGGAGTTCCGGTATGATCCTCTGGAGCCCGATCACACCGCACACTACTGACTTCTGACTGGCTAGCAATGTGTTCTGGTGCATGTCGATTGTGGTACGCTTGCCTTGGGACAATCAGTCCATAATGCCTCCGTTGGCAGAGTCCCCGTTCTGTGCTTTGCTGGCCTGAGTCCGTTCACTCAGAATGGTGAACTGTTGGGTTCGAGAACAGAGTAAGTTTCCTCGAAGAGATGCATTTCGTGATCCAGACTGACAGTACTATAGGTTCATCCATTGGCTTCAAGATGTTCCTGACCAGGCAGCTATTGTTCGGCAATACTGCAGATACACTGGCGAAATCAAGACAGGTCGCAATATCAAGCAAATGGTTGCGAGGGCGTGGCAGTTTGCAACATCTGACCCCAAGGGACCAGCATATCTAATGGCTGCTAGAGAGGTTCTCGAGGAAGTAAGTAGTCAAATAACATCTTATTTGCTGGAATTATAGCTGACAAGGACGGTTCACACAGCGAGTGCCAAGGGAATGTTTGGAGGCAGATACTCTTACTTCCGTTGCTCCAAGTGCATTGCCAGAAGCAGGTAAGACATGTGAACATATCATGACTGGCCATAGCTGACGCTAGCAGATGTGGAACTCATCGCCAAGGAATTGATGAACGCAAAGCATCCGCTTGTTCTTACCACATCTCTTGGTCGCAATCATGAAGCACCCCCACTCCTTGAGAAGCTTTGTGATACATTGCCAATTACTGTAGTCGAACAGATTGGCTCGGACTTATGCATAAGCAGTTCTCATGAGGCTTATCGAGGTTGTACCGTCAGTACCCATCCCGAAGTTTTGGAAGCCGATGTTATCCTCATTATGGACTGTGATGTGCCTTGGATCCCGACAGCCGGCAAGCCTCGACCTGGCACAAAGATCTTCCATCTCGATATTGATCCACTGAAGCAGCAAATGCCACGTGGGTGCCCCGATTCTCTCCTATATGGTCCATCTAACGCTGAAAAACAGTATTCTCGATCAATGCCACTCGCAGATTCAAAGTCGGCTGCGCAATTGCGCTAAAACAAATCAATGATTTCTTGGCCAAGGCTGACATTAACACAGCTCGATACACCCAGGCATTTGAGGAACGATCTACTAATCATAAGAACTGGAGAAAGGCCCTGCAAAATCTTGAAACACCATCAGAGGACGGTGTTGTCAGTGTGCCGTATTTGACATCGAAGTTGCGAGATACGCTCCCACAAGACACTACATATGCCATAGAGGCTGTCACCAACGCAGGAATCCTTATCCATCATCTGAATCTGACCAATGTATGTGTTACCCTTTGATCTTCTTCGTCTATGCTAATAATCGTTTAGCCAGGGAGCCTTGTTGGTAGCGGTGCGGGTGGTCTAGGATGGGGCGGGGGTGCAGCACTGGGCGTCAAACTAGCAAAGCCCAATTCCTTCGTTTGTGGAATGTGAGTGTTCTCAACACTAGCCTCTTTCTCAATGCGAAGCTAACAATAACTCAGTGTCGGTGATGGTGTCTATCTGTTCTCCCAAATGGAGAGCGTGTATTGGATCGCCAGACGCTACGACGTCCCCTTCCTAATGATCGTCCTGAATAACAACGGATGGAACGCACCAAAGGTTTCTGCCCTTCTTGTGCATAAGGACGGCTTAGCCTCCAAATCAAACAGAAGAGGTACGTTGGAAGAGGCCTTATACATTGGTGAATGGCAGCTGATTCACTACAGATCTCAATATCTCGTTTGAGCCCTCGCCTGACTATCCTGGAATTGCCACTGCAGCTGGAAACGCTTGGGGCAAGACTGTCACTACTCAAGCTGAGCTCGATCCTGCTCTCAAGGAGGCGCGAAGTGTTGTCGAGAGTGGAAGATGTGCCGTGGTTGAGGTTGCGTAAGTGCGAAGCATGAGATTTAACTTACATGAACTAATCATTGGACAGGGTTCCATCCATGTGGAAAGAGGAGTAAGGATCAACTTTATTGAAGTACTGAATGAACTAGTTCAGGAGGTTCTCTGTTTGTACCATACCTATAGTGGTCAATGTCTTGATAAATGTCTCATATGAGTAGAGCTAGGGGTGGAGATCCTTTTCAATTCCCTACTTCTGCTCTGTAAAAAGGGCAATAAGATTTGTGGCAGATGATCCATAAAGTCCAGGCAGCTTAATGGCTTACCCTATACAAGGAGATCGCTACAGGACCCTTACCCTAGAGTTATTATTTGCTTTATAATTCTATCTCTTGCGTAGAAAACTTAGAAATTTATAGAAGAAATCCAGTGTATATGTCAGGCGCAATCTCAAAATAAAGTGGAAGAGGCCAGGATTTATGATCTTGACTGTTTTTACGCGGCGTGATACAACGGGTGTCACTGATATACGTGACGGCATTCGACTGTAAAACAATTGGTCATGAAATGATACACATATGTGATACCCGTTTTATCATATAATGGCTGTTCCATAGCTTTCCGAAATGCCTGGCATGCTACTCGAGTAATGGCTATGTAGAAGTCCGCTTCATGTCCCACCGACATAAGTACGTGTACGAGGATGTACCATGCCTTCTGGATCCCTGTAATTCCACAGCTCAGACAAGCTGGAGGAGCTGAGCTCTTCGCCTTCAAATAGAACTCTGTGTACTGAGTGAAATTTTACACTGCTTGGCCGGTCACCAGATTTATTGCAGAACGATCGATATTACGCTGACTTGGATGCTGGCAATGGAGTATGATGACATCCGTAGATCGGATAGCATCTAGTATAAATGGTCAATAGCGTTTTTTTTCTCTGGGAATATGTCTCAAGCCCTGTCGTTCTTCACTTAAACATGTCTTGCGTATGCGAGTACTCTCTCCAACCACTTATTGCAACCAGAACGAACATCACAAGTGGACTTGATAATGTTAAGATAATTCGAAGGCCCAAGACAACTTGACAATTTTTAAGCTCCTTCCCGACAACAAGAGTTCAATCCTCTGAACTATTCGCTTTTGCACTGGCAAGGCAAGTGGAGACTCTGCTGGCCTTACGGTCCTCAAGGGGTTTGAAGTGACATGGACTGATGGGAAGGAATTCGGGATATTTTGCCCAACACAGTTGATGGGTAACACCAATGGAGTTCTTTCGTCTCCAAGTTAGCTCAATGGACATCTGGGCAGGATAGCGAGTGGATGGCCGAGTTACAATAGATCATACGAGGCGGGTGCCGAGGGTGGTCAGACTGAGCAAAACTATGGACGAGGTTATGTGCTTGGGGTGGTAGTTTATATGGACAAGGAAATCGAAGCCATCGGTTTCCAATTCTCAAAGTAGGCTTCTTCAAGCCGCAAAGGGTGAGGACTACATAACAAAACTATTTTAGTGTGCAAGGAGCCTTTCGTTTAAGTTTCCCACTACATGGGTTAGGCTTCCCATATACCGCTATGCGAATGCGAAGACAACGCAAAATATGATATATATTGCAAAATGATTACCTCCATAGAATAATCAGTGGCTTTCTGTCTTTGATTATACTGAGCATGGAAGCTGCAATAGTATTTTATACCTGGTGTTATACTCTTCGAGCTCTCTCTTTTTCTCATTCCTTGTTGTTTCTAGGTCTCACTACATCTGTCTTGTCTTCTTTCTTGTTTTCCAAACTATTCGTGCGTATACTGAAAAGACAGAATACTCGCGTGCTACAGTATAGAGCTTTCTTTGTTTGCCCGCAGTGGTGCCTCAGGCCTCGCGTTGCTGGGGAATCAGACCCGCACACCAAAACAAATCGATATCGATAACGTTGACCTTTCTTTGTTCAACCCCACCATCCACGCCAAAGGTAAGTGAGATCGTCTCGATTTACTCCTGACCGTGCGTCTATCCTCAAGCCACGAAGTGGGAGCCCCTTGCTTCCCAAGAAACAAGAAATCCCCGAGCGGAACACAACATTCCAGAACACCAAGACTAACCTCTAGTTCTAGCGCCCTGATCAGATTCTTTTTCTCGTGTCCAGCTGCGGCACATTGAATTTGATCACCCGAGGCTTCACTCGCCTGTCAATTCACCGCGAACCGCGCCTTGCTCGACTTCGGTCCCAACACCCCGCCGCACCTTCAGCCCGCGTCCCTCGTTCACCACGCAATGGCCAGAGAAAGCAACGCTCCTGCGGAGCCCCTCACTCCAGGCAAGCCAAATCCTCAAGCTCGCCCCGCCCAGGTTCAGCAGCAACCAGAATTCGGAAAGCCCTCGCCGATCGGCCACCCACAACACCGATCAAACCATCTTTTCAATATCCCGAAGCCCAACCAGTCTCGAGCCGAACATCACCGACCTGCCCCTCGACCGCAACCTCAGCATCCCGGTCATCATGCCGCGCATCAGCCATACCGCCAGCCCGCTACAGGTGGCCCAGCTGCGACCCCGTCAGCGAAGCGTAGCGAGCCGTGGGATCCCTTCAAACCAGTGGCACCATCGGCCTACAACAATGCTCGTCCGCTCAACCCACCCGGCTCAGTGAGCATCAAGCGCCCTGAGAATGTCACCTGGACAACTCCGCGTGCCCCGCGGCCGATCTTTACATCAAAGCCAATTCCACCAAAGATGTCGAATGCTTCTAAGAACCTCCAGAGCTTCATAGACCTCACTCAAGATGATAATGGCTCTGTTGCTAGATCCGGCCCTCGTGCGCCACCTGATTTTGGGGCTATGGATATGAACGGGTATGTGGATACAGCTATGGCACAGGAGAACATCAAAGCCTTGCTGGAGGGTGCATTTGAAGACGAGGAGGAGAAATCCGTATCCAAGCCGAAGTCCAAGAAAAAAGGAAAAAAGAAGAAGCAGTCCAAGAAAACCTCAAACGAGGAGAAGAAAGAACCAGTCGCCAAGGATACGAAGAAAGAACAGGCTGCCGATGACCTTGACGATCTCGCTGCTCAGCTTCAAGGAGTCACTGTAAACGATGCAAAGGACTCTAATGACGATTCCAACTACGTGCCTGAAGAAAGAAGCCCCTCAGATAGTCCATCCATCGAAGAGGACGAAGTCGCCGAGGAAGAAAAGGATGACGTCGAAGCCGAAGAGGAAGAAGATGAGGAGGAAGAAGAGGAATCAGATGATGAAGAGGATAGTGTGGTTGAGGGCCTGAAAGTAACCCTTTTGCCGCATCAAATTGACGGTGTGCGATGGATGTGCGACAAAGAGACCGGCCGAAAGACGACTAAAGGAATTTTCCCCAAGGGCGGAATCCTTGCCGACGATATGGGCTTGGGCAAAACAGTGCAAGCTATTGCTTTGATACTCAGAAACCGCAAATCCCACCACGAACACAGCGATAACACCGACGAAAAGGAGGGCAAAACTACCAAGCTGCCTCCCAACTGCAGCAGTTCTACATTGGTCATTGCGCCCCTTGCGCTGATCAAACAGTGGGAATCTGAAATCAAAGACAAAGTCGAAAAGACCCACAAGCTCTCTGTGTGCGTCTATCATGGTGCGACACGGGCAAAGACCTCAAAGAACTTGGATGACTATGATATTGTTATTACGACATATGGTACACTTACCTCGGACTTCAACTCATCCGCTACGGACAAGGCTAAGAAGGCCGGTCTGTTCTCGAACCACTGGTACCGTATTATTCTCGATGAAGCACACACCATCAAGAACCGAAACGCCAAAGCAACGCAATCAGCATATGCGTTGGATGCTCAATACCGGTGGTGCCTATCAGGAACACCCTTGCAGAACAACCTGGATGAACTGCAAAGTCTGATCAAGTTTCTTCGAGTAAAGCCTTACGATGACTTGGCTGCTTGGAGAGATCAGATCAGCCGACCGTTGGCCAATGGCCGCGGGGGTCTTGCTATCCAGCGGCTCCAGGTCTACTTGAAGGCTTTCATGAAACGACGTACTAAGGATGTCCTCAAACTCAACAACGATGTAAAAGATGGCGAAGAAGGAGAAAATGGCAAGCCTAAGAAGTCCAACGGCTTCCACATCACCAAACGTGAGGTCATTAAGGTGGCCCCCGAATTCATGCCTGGAGAATTGAACTTCTACAAACGCCTGGAACAACGCACGGAAAACAGCCTTGAGCAGATGATGGGCGGTGCCAAGGTTGATTACGCCGGCGCTTTGGTACTGCTTTTGCGTCTTCGTCAGTGTTGCAACCACCCGGACCTTGTCAAAGGCGATTTGGCCAAAGACAAAGATATTCTTTTGCAAACCAATCCTACCACCACCCAATCTTCGCAACCGAAGTCTGATGACCTCGACAGTATGGCTGAACTCTTCGGCGCAATGAGTGTTGTGACCAAGAAATGTGACGTCTGCCAAACGGAACTTAGCCAAGACCAGGCCAAGGCTGGTAGTACTCGCTGCGATGAATGTGAAGCCGATCTCAACACCAACATCATTGGCACAGACAAGAAAAAGAAGAAGTTGAAGAAGAGTCGCAAAGAGAAGGATGTTCCGGAATCTCCTTCCCTGCGCAGATCCGAGGCCCAGCTTGCCCGTTCTCGCAAGAACCGACGAGTCGTCCTTGACAGTGATGATGAAGAGGAAGAGGGCGACTGGGTCGTTCCCGAGGATCAACGCAAATTGCCAAGCCTCGGCAAGGCAGGTGGTTCAGATGATGAGAATGCTGAAGGTGGCGGCGAATGGCTCAACTCCGAAGACGAGACTGATGATGAGATCGAGTCTCCATCTAGGAGAAAGAGCAAACCCATCGTTTTGAGCGACTCCGAGGATGAGGAGTCTGAATCTGATGAGGAGTACAACGAGGAAGGTGAAAACGGCGAGTTGCCATCCACTAAGATCCGTCATTTGATGAAGATTCTCAATCGTGAGGCACCCGACTTCAAGTTCATTGTCTTCTCCGTCTTCACCTCCATGCTCGACAAGATTGAGCCTTTCCTGAACTCGGCCAATATCGGCTTTGCACGTTACGACGGTGGAATGGCGAACAACCACCGTGAGGCTAGTCTTGAGAAACTCCGCAACCACAGCGGAACCCGTGTGCTGCTTTGTAGTCTACGCGCTGGTGCATTGGGTCTGAACTTGACTGCCGCCAGTCGTGTTGTCATTCTGGAGCCTTTCTGGAATCCCGTAAGTCACTATATTCACTTCTTCCATATTATGCAATGCTAACTATCAGTCTAGTTCGTGGAAGAGCAAGCCATCGATCGTGTCCATCGTCTCAACCAGACAATTGATGTCAAAATCTATAAGATGGTCATCAAGGGCACTGTCGAAGAGCGAATTGTGGAGCTGCAAGATCGCAAGCGCGAGCTAGCAAACGCCACCATTGAAGGCAAGGCTGGCGCTGGCAAATTGACCATGCGTGATATGATGGCGCTGTTCGGCCGCGACGCCGAATCAAAGTTCACCGATAACCAGAGCACACTGGACTTCAATAGCAAAGTAGGCTTGTTGAACTCTGGAGAAGATGCTACACCCGCGCGTATGTCTTCGCAGGTGTCCTATTCTGACCCTCGCAGCCGTGGCCGGGAATCCCAGCCTAACCGTCCTCGAAATGAGGATTCGGTTTATGGTCGTCGCTGGTGAGCGAGATGAAATCAAATTATGAAATGACGTTTAGGGGCAAGATTTCGGGGAGTTATGGTTGGTGGCCGGGGATATGGTGGACAGCATCAATTTTCGGTGTCTTTTTTCATTAGATCTTTCTCTTTCTTGTTTGATATTCATTCTGTTCTTGACATACTCCACATACTCGATTCATCAACGAGTAAGCTTCTGCTCGTGAAACCTCCATTTAGTTTATAAACCATCGAGCAACACCTTGCAGTCTCGATAACCAGTGCTCAAATTGTTCTAGGCCGGATTAGACCAGAACCAAGGGTGGGAACAAGCCATTGCCATAGACCCGGAACGCATGCCCACGAGTCAAAAGCTTACCCCGGCTTTCGGTATGCCAAGCTCTGGGTCGAACCCGGGATTGTGATCCGGTTGGAAGCTTCAAAGCTGAGGTCTATCTCTATTTCGATGATAGCTGCTTTAAGGAAATATATAGCCCCACAATAGACGGTATCTCCTATAATGACCAAGCGGATTCCTCATGACGCACGAGCCAAGCTACAGAGCCGCTTATATATGCTTGCATGGTGAATTTAGACAAATGCTATTTCTTACACTATTTATTATTGTGTTTTGTCCCATAGATTTCGCTCTATCAATCTCCATAACGTAAAGGTTTTCAATTGTGTGTGGGGACATCTTCTATTATGCTGAAGTGGAGTGATTCTCGGCCGGTCTAGAAATGCACTGTACCTCGCAACTAAGCTCTGTGGTTATAGTCCGGAGTCACCGAATGTCGCCTCTGTATGCCGCCTCCGTATGTCTTGGCCTGATACTCGGGAACACGGATGAGATTGCTTGTCTCTTTCGCTTAGGAAGCCTTGCCCTTGATGCTTAAGTGGAATTGACTAGGCCCAGATATAGACTTCGCTTACTTGGTGAACTTTCCCAGCTGAAATTGGTCTTTTCGATTCAAAATCGGTAGTATATAAGCCTTCACAGACTATCTACCGAGTTCGCTACCACGGTTTTGAGTCTCTGGATGTAGGCTTGCGAGACCGTTTATACTGGTAGGCTCCGGCGAACCGGACGAAGGAACCGAGGACATGGATTCAGAACCAAAGCTCCTCCCTGCTGGTTCATGTGTTGATAGGTTGAACATGCAGGAGAAAGCTTGAGCTTCGGATAGAATCTCAGGGTAACCCGGTCAGAGCACAGCTTCATGGAGATCTTTTGACTTCATCCCTAATTCACATGCTTCTTAGTATATTATAACTTCAAGTTTTGTTAAAGGCCTCCGTGTTGTTGACTTTCCTTTTTGTTTGAACGGAAGCAATACCGACACGGTTGAGTGACTCTCTCTCTATGGATAGTTTATCGCTGTCGTCTAACACTTAATGCTTTGTTAGATTACCCTTTTGCCTACTCCTCAGCCCATCGAGGTTCCAAACTGGGCTATGTCTTTACCACCTGATATCACGGACCACAGCGATTGGACAGTGATTTATGATGATGACGATGGCAAGAAAGAAGACCAATTGTCTCACAACAGACAAACCCTCGCAAGGACGTTGTCGATCCCCAAGACTATGTGCATTCTGTCCGACACGAAAACCGAGATATCAACGGTAGCCGAGCTACCCTCGCCGAAGCTGAAGCTACCCAAACTAGGAGACGACTCAGCCGAAAGAATCTTTCCAATTCGCTCAGCTCTTTCATTCGACTCGGTCCCTTCCTCAGCACTGCCAACTCCTGCTATTGAGAAACTCGAAACACCAATATCACCCTTCTCGGATACATGGACTGGCAACTTCGGCAACGAAAAGGCTAGCTTTCAGCCGACAATCGCTGCTGTAAAGGAAAACAGCGACCAGGAAATTCTCAAGCGACCAGATTCTCTTGCAAAACTGCATCAAAAAAGCGACTGTGAGGCTGGTTATTCATCAACATGCAAGAAACAAGATCGAGACGACGAGCATTCCTTGGATGATCCCACTAAACCTCATGCATTCAGAATGAATGAACCAAGCGCCAATGCCTTGAGACAATTGCAAAACACCGTAGAAAGTGGAGGCGATGTTCTTGGTGCTTACAGGCCCACAAATGGGCTACAATACTCGAAACAAGATGAAGAAGCCGTCGCCATCCAGTCCTTTGGCGTGCTCATAGTACTAGCAGAGTCGAATGGAAAGTTCAAGGTACAAGTGGCAAGCAACAACTCATCCAAGATCATTGGATATTCGCCAGACGAGCTTTTTGAGCTGGATTCATTTTGCGATGTTTTGTCTACGTCACACATCGATATCTTTCTCGACCATGCCAACTTTGTCTTGGGTGATGAGTATGAAGTTGTGGAAAATGGACCAGAGGTTTTCTTTTTGACCGTTTTGCTACGTGAACGGCTCAGCCAAAACGGGTGGTGTAAGAAGGTTTGGTGTACTATGCATACCAGCAAAGCATATAAGAACTATGTCATTTGCGAACTCCAACCCGCCATGACCTCTGGCTCGACTACGAAAACAAGCCAAAGAGTGCAACAGCCAGAGAGACAGACTCAAACATCGAAGGCAAGCTGTACAAATCTTGCCCCTCTTGGAAATTCTGGGAACGTTTATATCTCAAAGGATAATGTTCGCGCAACCGATATCAAAGTCACAGACTCCTCGGAGATTCTCAACACTATTCCTCGCATTCTGCAACAGCTGGCAAGATCTCAGACGTTAGAAACACTCGTCCAGAATACCTTCGCCACCTTACAGGCTCTCACTCAGTTTTCACGAACTACTATCTATCATTTCGAATATGATCACAAAGGAACAGTGGTTGCCGATGGTGTTGACTCTTCACTGGAACTGACCTCATTTGAGGGCACCAGTTTTCCCGAGTCAACGTTTCCTGACCCGTTAAGAAAAAGATATATGCGCAACACTGTTTGCCTCTCTTATGCCAGGGTCGATCACTCTGCAGAGCTTGTATATCGTGCCTCCACAAATAAACATGCACTTGATATGTCACATACCTATCTCGCTGCGGCACCAACATCCTCAAGACCCAATTCCGGTCCTCCTGTTAGAGCTTGTCTCTCAATCGCAATTAATGTTTTTGGCAAGCTTTGGGGCTTGATATCATGTCAGTCATATGAGGCAGACAAAACATTGCACCCAATCGTTCAGAAAGTCTGCTGGTTCATGGCAGAAGCAGTTTCAAACAACATCCAGCGGCTTTCTTCTACTCTCCCCATTGTCTTGAAAAAACTCCCCATGTCTTCGAGCGATAAAGACAATCTTCAAACTGCCGATAGCCCGTCAGGAGATCTGCTCAGTCTGTTCGGGGCGGACTATGCTGCGGCATCTATCATGGGAGAGAGCAAGATACTTGGCAAAGCGACCGACTCGCAAGAGGTGCTGGCAGTGCTAGAGTACATGAAGGCCAAAGAGATTGATACAGTCCTGTCATCGACGAACATTACATCAGATTTCCAGGACCTGAACTACTATCGCGGCTTTCGTTGTATATCTGGTCTGCTGTTTGTTCCACTTTCAGCGGACGGACGTGACTTCATCATGTTCTTTCGGGCTGAGGGTCGTAATATGCCCCATGGCTCTGACAATGAGTCAGTATGGTCTGCAGCAGAGTTCGAAAAGGCTTCCTCGTTGTCGTTGCTATACCGAACCTTCAGTGAGATCTGGCAAGAAAAGGAGGCAGCAATGCAGAACAACCAGTTGATGAGATTACTGCTTGCCAACTCTGCGCACGAGTTTAGGACACCTCTCAACGCCATTATCAACTACTTGGAGATTGCCCTTGATGGATCTCTCGATCAGGAAACACGAGTTCACATATCTAGGTCTCACTCAGCTTCCAAGTCATTGGTCTATATCATCAATGATTTATTGGATTTGACGAACGCCGAGAATGGAAAACAACTGATAAAGGACGAGGTGTTGAATCTTTCCGAAACCCTCACTGAGGCAACGGACATATTCTGGGAAGAGGCAAGACAAAAGCACGTCGACCTGCAGGTTGTACAACACGCTGCACTACCACCGGTACTCGGAGATCAACGACGAGTGCGTCAAGTCATCACCAATCTGATTAGCAATGCTATCCAGCACACTGCCTCTGGAGCACTTACCATCGAGTCGTGCGTTGTTCCAGAAAGCGTCGACCCCGATCATATTTCTGTCGAGGTTGCAATCCATGATACCGGGTCTGGTATGTCCCAAGAGACCGTTGAGACATTGTTCTGCGAACTAGAACAAGTCTCCCACAAGGGCTATATGAAGACACCAAAGTCATATAGATACACACCCAGCAGCACATCAGTGGAAACCGAAAGCGTACTTGGTCTCGGTCTCGCACTCGTTGCTCGGATAGTACGCAACATGAATGGACAACTAAGCCTAAGATCTGAAGAAGGAAAGGGGAGTTGTTTCAAGATCAGACTCAAGTTTCCGCTTCCAGCCGAAGAATCCGACAATCAGGCTTCGTCATTTGTTTCCGATGCTTCCCAGCCAAGACAAAAAGAACAAGAGAAGCAAGAAATATTGAACTTCTGTACAATCAAACCGAAAGATGGAATACCATGTGAATGCGGCATCACATCTGAATTCACAGAAGGATCAGTATTAGACGTCGACGTCAGCCCAAAGACCGGAGAGTCAAAGAAGCTCTCGCTGTCACGCGCAAAGTTGCAAACGAGCAATGGGCTGCAGGAAGTACATCGCAAGACCTCCCCTCTCCCAACGCCACCACATTCCCCGGAGGTATCAAAGCCGCCAGCCACCGCGTCACCAGGTGACCAACCCCAAAGCCTCGACCAGAACAACTCCAGCATGGAGGCCACACTCCATGTCCTGGTCGCCGAGGACGACCCGGTCAATAGTACGATCTTGCGAAAGCGTCTGGAGAAGTTCGGTCATACAATCGACATGACAGCAAACGGCAAGGAATGCGCCTCGGTCTACAAGAACAACCCTACACTTTACAATGCTATCCTGATGGATCTGCAGGTAATCTTACCTTCTCTCTAGCTCTACTGTGATTACATAGCTAACCCCACCTGGTAGATGCCTATTGTGGACGGCCTAAGCGCCACGAAGATGATCCGTCAATATGAACAGGAGATGGCATCTTCTGGTCTGCCTGTGACTCGCGTTCCTATCTTTGCTGTCTCGGCTTCTCTCCTGGAGAAGGACCGTGAGAGATATGTTCAGTCTGGGTTTGATGGATGGTTCATGAAGCCGATTGATTTTCAACGCGTAAATGTTTTGCTTGGGGGTGTGAGGATTAAGTGGATGCGCAATGAGTGTGTTTATCGGCCTGGCATCTGGGAGCAAGGTGGTTGGTTCAACCGGATTTAGTTCGAGTGAGAGATCAATGCAGTTCCAACAGAACTCAAGGAGGATTTCCATACTTCGCTTAGTGGATGAGAACGCAGAGGAAGCTGAAAACTCCTTTTTTTGATAGCCATCAAAATGCATAACATGCAAGAATTCTAAATTAAGTCCATGGTATTAAGAAAATGCAAGTAATCGCAAAATAGACAGAACATTATCATCACATCAGTACGTCAGTAATACTCCGGCAGGTCAGTGAAGTCGGGGACTGTATCACCGCATTTGAAGGATGGCGAGTATGCCTTGCTGGGCATGTAGCCATTCTTCCATGCTGTGCGGTAACTCCACTGTGCTGCGGACTCGGTGCGCCATGTCCAGTAGAACCATCCCATGGCTGTCTCAAAAGCAGACATCTGTGCCTCTGCATATGTCAACAGGAACTTTTTGTACGTGTCCGAAAACTCAGACGGGCCTTTGTTTGCACCGGAGCAGCTGCAGGTTCCTTGATCGGCGGTTGGGCAATATGCTGTAGAGTCGCTCGTGTCGTATGTCCCTTCCCAGCGCGTACCACGGCCGACGTTGTTGACGTATTGGCCACAGTCCGTGTCGGCTTGAGACCATTCGCCACAAATAGTAGGACCCCATCTGTTTGTGTGTTAGCTTTGTAAAGAAAGGGGGAGGAGGTAAGCCTACCCAGAACTTGTCGAGTTAATATTCGAGAGCATGGGGGACCAGTTATTGCAGATGATTTCCACCTTGGCGGTATGGTTCAGCACAATTTCACCTGTGTTGAAGGTAGTGTACTGGTGGGTATCGAGGTACATGTTATCGGGGCCGTTTTTGAACATGTTATCCCACTTGTCAAGGTTCAGGAAGCCATCATGCAGAACAATAGTAGCATTGATACCATTATTGCGGACGAGCGTTGCAGCCTCTTGAGTCCAGTTCAGGACTTTTTCAACGGGCAAGGTCAGCATCAAAGGCTCGTTCACGAGGCCATAGATGGTCACCACATTCTTGTACCGATCCTGAGCGAAGAACTTGGACAGCTGGTTATGAATTTCAAGTGATCGCTTCCGGTTGAGCGCGCCGTTTGTGCCGTCGATCCAGTCGATATTGCCCTGGCGACCACTATGGTTCCAACCGTTCTGGCTACCAGGAAGTCCGTGAATATCAAGCTTCACGCGCAATCCATATTTGCGGCAATATTCGATGGCACGCAAGAGGTAGCGCCACGAGATTTTGGCAACGTATGGGTCGTCATCGTACGTCTTCACGGCCCAATAAGAGTACTGAATACGAACGTGGTCCAGTCCAGCCTCCTTGATCTCCTGAAAGTCAGACTCAGTTATGAATGTAGCGTAATGCTTTTCAATCGTGGTTGCTGCCGAGCTGCCCAGCTTCTTGCTCAAGGTGTATTCATCGATGATCCCATCACTAGATGACCACTTGCTGAACAAAGAAGGTACGATGAAGGGTTCAATTGACAGCCATCCACCAATGTTGACTCCGCGGATAGGTTGGGAACCATAGGGAAATGCTTCATTAAGAGGAGGCACGTTGTCATTTGCTCGGGTAGAGTCATCCCAAGTTGAGTTGATCCCCATAAGAGAAAGATCACCCACTGTGGCGTTTGTGAAGGTGACATTGAAGCCGTTTGTGTCGTACCAAGTAAACGGATCCAGGACAGTACCCTTTGCGTAGCTCTGCGGAGAGATTAGTATCCATCATGAACGGAGTCCCGTGGAGACCTACCGGAATACTGTCACGGCTGATACTATCCAAATTGGAGTTGGAAGGACCCCCAGAGCCAGAAGAGCTAGAGCCAGAGCCTGCGTCTGCATCCGAACTGTTCTTTTTCGAAACAACAAGAGCAACGGGAATGATGATAGCAAGCAACACCACGAAAGCTACCAAACATCCAATCACAATGCGCTTCTTCTTCGACCAATTCGACCAGAACTTCCAGGCTGGCGGTCCTCCACCGCTGGAATAGCTGCCCTCCCAGCTGTCTTCTTCCTTCCAGTGCTCGTCCTCGTCCGGAGGAGGGCCGCCGCCGCGATGACGAACCCTCGCATTAGGACTGCGCCCCTCTTCGAGATAGGCACCAGAAACAACCCGAGCACCAGGTCTATGACGAGACCGGCCCTCTGCAACGTCAGCACCAAGCGCCGCTGCGTCCCCTCTAGCAAGAGCAGCACGTTTTCGCTGTCGCCGTCGCTCGTCGCGCGAATCTTCTTGATCGCGAGACGGCTGTCGTCGGTCTTCTGCATCATGTTCAGCCGCTAGCCGCGCCATGGCATCCCTACTCAGCAGATGTGAAGCACTGCTAGTAGACTCAGTACTGCGATGCTTGCTCGCAGGCACAGCAGCAGCCTCAGTCTCCATCTCACAATCGAGCTCACGCTCTCGTTCCCGTTCACGCTCCCTCTCCCTCTCCCTCTCCCTCCTTCTCCGCCGTCTAGCCTCGGCCTCAGAGTCAACATCAACATCCCGATTCCTGCGCTCCCTCACATCCTTGACAGGACTGGCACTCTCATCCCGTCTCCTCCGATACCCATCGCGATCTCTCTCTCGATCCCGTCTTTTAACAGGCGACGTAGCAGGCGACTCCTTAGCCTTAGATCTATCCCTCTCCCTATCCCTCCGTCTCCCATCCAATTCTTCCTCCTCACGCTGTCTCCTCCTCCTCTTCTCCCTCCTCTCCCGCCGTCTAGCTTGTTCTTCCTCATAAGCAGCGTCATATTCGTCATCAACATCCCGTGCAGACTCATTCCCTGATTCCCCTCTGAAGCGATACTTCGCATTGCGCGCATTGCTAGGACTAGACGTTGTAGCACCCTCATCTGCCTCCTCGTAGCGGCCGCGGATATATTCGCGCTCGCGCTCGATATCGCGGTCTCGACGGCGTGAGCGTTCCTTGTCGCGTGTCCGGTCTCGATCTCGGTCTCGTCGCTCGGGACGGTCCCTGCTGCGGGATTGGCTTGGCATGTTACTCTCTGCAGGTGTGCGCGCTTAGGGTTTGGTGATCTTTGTGGAATGTTGGCACGTGGGGATGGCGATCGGTTTCTTGTTTGGGGGTTGGGGTATCAGGGGCGGAGAAGGGTTGAATTGGAATGCTGTGTCGTTTTGGGGGTGGGGGGAATGGTTCAGGAGACACTGAGGATTGTGGGATGGTGTGTCGGAGGAGTCTTGGGATAGCAGCCAAGGCACAGTTGCCCAGACTGCCCAGTTGTGTTGTTTTCGCCGATGTTCTTGCGGGATCTTGGTTAGGCTGCTTTGTTTTGGTTTTCCCCCACACGGAACTACGCCAATAAAAGCCACAATATGCGGGAGATTTGCTATTTGATATATTAAAGATATGTAAGGGGATTGGAGCTTTCTTTTATTGTCTTATGGGACTAGTGGAGCTGATGAGAAACTGGTGGAGCGAGTATTAGGGGGCTACGTGGACTATATGTACTACAGCTGTACGAAGTCGACTATACAATTGGCAGGGATATTGGTATCTTGGGTTGTAATAGATGACAAAAAAACATTAGATACAGCTGTTCATTTTGCACATATGCAAACTCCGGCCCCTTCTAACAAGACAGAAATAAACAAGCATCATGTCCAACGAGTGAGGGTATGCGAACTCCGAAACACAATAAAGAAGTTGAAACACATCATGGCGAAGAGAAAGAAACAAAATCGACAAAGCCTACCGAGAGAAGGGTGATACTAAGCACAATAAGCCCAAAGACGAGGTTTCCGGGGTTGCGTCTGTCGTGAACATCTGTACAACTCTGCGCGGAGAATGCACGGAGAGGGAAAGAAAGTAAAATAAAATATCAGATGAAATGAATTCTCGCTGTGCCCGGGGAATCTAATAGAAAGTAAAGAGATGGTGCCCTAAGCATTCCATCTGGTGCAATGATCGGTGCTGGGTGACATGATGTCAATATGCATGATGCAATCAGACACAGTGTCAGTAAAGGCATTCCCCTCAAGGGCTTCACAGCGAAGTGAGAGCGGGAAGTGGTCGAAGTGGTGGCGACTTGGCCAGAATGTGGGAGATGAAGGTCCGTTGCTTGACCATTGGCCTCCGGATGCTGAAAATAGCACCTGTCTCTGAATGGCAATGTCCATTTCGAGTAGAGACCACGGATGGGTATTTTTGTGGGCTCAATAGTGCAATGAGGCTGTCACGAATAATAGTGCCGCATTACAGATGGTAGAATAAGAAGGCGAAGCTTTCAGCTGATGATCTGTCTAGCCCCCTCTTTGCCCAGAACACCAGGCTCAGTGGGCTTGGGACTGCGGTCACGACCCTTCTTCCGACTGAAGAATGACATCATCCCATTGGCTTGCTTGCCCTTGTCGTCGGCACCCTCCAGTCCTTCAGCGGGGAGTGTTGAACTGTGAGCCAGCTCGCTCCAGCTACCAGCCTCGTTAAGAACCATTTGTACACCGCCGCTCTTGCTCATTTGGCGTGTAGCCCCACGTGGGCGAGGGTTGTGAGGTAGGGGTCGATGGAAGGACGGGGCAGGGGGTGATGAAGGAGATACGCGAGTAGAGGGGGAAGCTGGCTGCGGAACAGGTGTGGAATCGTTTGGGGTGAGGGCCTCGCCGACTTGGTGCATATTTTCGTTGGGCGCAGCGCGGATGCTAGCGGCGTCGTGTTGACTAGTAGTGTTCTGACCAGGTTGATCAGGCTGGGAGAATTGACGGGCGTGTGTGGTTGAGGTTGTTGTTCCGGGGAGGCAGTCCTCGGGGTTTCTGTGAAGAGTGTCAGCGAAGGATGTAAAGTGAAGTTAAGAAGAAAACTCACACTACACCGGCAATGGCATCTGCGGCATTGCCTTGGTAGTCAGTCAAGGTGTAGTCGAATGGCTCGAACATGGTCTCAATCAAGCGATGTAGCTCGTCCTCCCGGATTTCCTTGGCTGTGGCATCTTCTCTTAGCTCCGCACGCGGCTTTTGTCTGCGCGCTCGAGCTTCGAGGGGCGCTTCTTCCAGGAGAAGTTCTTCCAAATCGTATGTCGCATCGAAGTTGGTTTTCTCGCTAGATGGTCGGAACACCGGTGGGATCTGCTTGCGCTCAAGGGCCTCGAAGTCGATCTCGGCAAAGAACATGTGTTGGGCAAAGGTTTCGAAGCCAATGGCACCAATTCGGCGGCTCCGGTCTCTTTCCATCAACGAGCCCAGCGCGCGCAAGCAGGGAACTGAGACTGCAGGGTTGGTCACATAGTATTTCGGTTGGGCCTTCTTGATGTTCTCGCTCAAGGTCTCCTGACTCCGGCCTTCAAATGGTCGCTTATTGTAAATGCACTCGTAGAAAGTGACACCTAATGACCACCAATCGACCTCAAAGTAGTACCCAGTTCCCTCGTAGACCTCAGGTGCCAAATAGGCTAATGTTCCTGACTTACTGGTCAGAGGCTTGCCCGGTCGGAAGTCCGATGCCACGTTCTGGGAACCATGATTAGCCTCATCATTTACAATTCAGGCGCACGACACTTACAAAGTCAGCCAAGTGAACATGCCCCTCAGAGTCCAATAACACATTGTCTGGTTTTAGATCACGATGAATGATACCCTGTGAGTGGATGTACTTCAGAGCACAACCCAATTCCGCCATCCAGAATCGCACCGCGTCCTCGGTGAAGCATTTCCGTGAGATATGGAATCTTAGATCGCCTCCGTTCATGAGATCGACCACAATGTAGCTGGAACGTGGTCAGCGATGAAAAATACGTATCGCTGTAAATGAACTCACATGTATTCCATGTCCTGGAAACTATAACGCAAATTGCAAAGGAAAGGATGGTTCAAATGCTCGAGCATCCTCCGTTCGCGAATGATGTTCCGTACGCTTTCCGAACGAACCACTAACACGAATGTTAGCTAGAGCTTCCACCGACGATTCTGGTGTCGACAAACGCACCTTCTTCTTTGCGAATATATTTCAGGGCAAATGTGAGGCCAGTATCCTTCCTCTCCACGATTCGGACTTTTCCGAACGCACCCTTTCCGACGACGCGCAGAAGGCGGAAGTGGTTAAGGTTGACTAGAAAGAAGAGCGATCAGCATGTGGTTCAAACCCCGGGGTCATGAACAGCCCCGAGGACATCCTTCCATCCCAATTCAACTGAAGCTGACATACCCGCATCACTGCAGTTCACTGGTTTTCCCTGAGTATTTCCCATGTTGTCGGTATGAGGTATGGGTGAAGTAGTGGGGGTTTGACTAGTATCTTCCTTGTAACATCACAGTCGTCCCAGAAGTTCTGGTGGAAAGACGGGGGAATCAAAAGGACGGTGAAAAGACTGGTATGATCGGAGAATATCGAGCTCCAATGGCAACACCTATGAGAGGAGGTAATTCCGAAGGTAGAGTCGCCGAGCGGGGGTCAGGTGTTTCAGAGTCGCAATAGGATGCAGGTCCAGATGCTAATGCACGGAAAAAGAGATAGGTCGAAAGATGCAAGGGCAGACAGGCTCCAGAACTCTCCAGAAGGATAATCAAGGGCGAATGTATGCAGGATATGTATATCGAGAAAACGTGAGGTCCGGGAGCTAATAGCGTCCTAAGCGCAGCCTAGACGGGATGAGGAAACACCCACACAAAGAAAGGGGTTGAGGGCGAGACAATCTGGATCTGAATCACCAGTTCCTCTGTAAATAAAGCCAAGGGGAATTCACGACTTCCACTTTAGTGAAAGAAAGGGGAGAGAGAGAGCGGGCGAGCGGTCTGGCAGAAGCGGCAGTAATCCTGGGGCCAATCACGCGTGACGCGCAAGAAAATGGGGAAAGGGGATGAAAGGAACACTTCGCTGTTCACTCTTTTCCACCTATACTGTTTCGGGCTTTTGACGCCGTGCGATCTACATTGCCTTACTACTGTTCTAGACTAGCTGGATGGAACTGATGACCGGTCTTTTGAGTTGGGTCTAGGTCCGTATACACCATTGCAAAGACCAGGGACCCACGATGTTCTCCAGTCAACATGAAGTGGAGAGCATAGCCAGGTCAACTTGGGCTTAGACTGATAGGCGGAGGCAATGGCATCCGCTAAGAAAATGCACAGACTTTGCTATTCGCCAGTGACTTGTGCATTATCATCCTGGCGAACATCCTGGCGATCAAAATTCAATATGAAACGGTCGGTGGGTTTAGGGGGGAACCGCCATTTAGTGTAGCAGATCGCTTCAGCCACGAAGACATGTATCTCTTTGCTTTTGTGACACTTTGTCCCACTTGCGCTTGCGATGCATCCTTCGTCTCCCAATTTTTTTTCTTTTTTTTTGCCTGGTGGATATCACGTCAAGTCGGAGTCTATCACATATAGTTCGATCGATCGATCCAACCAGGAGCCAGACTAGGTACATTATACATGCGTCTGCATCTGACTGGTCACTGTTTGCCACAGTGATAGACCCTGTTCTCCCCGACTTCTCGTGGCGGCCACGTTACCGTCTCGGCCTGAATCGCAATGTTTGTCTGGCAAGCGCAGTCTAGGTCACACAAACGGTCCTGGAACGCCTGTAGAACATTCGATTGGACATTCGATGTGATTTCTCATATACGTGGCACCCAGCCGCAGGAGAATCAAACCCACATTCTAGGTCGGGGCTTTTCACTCCGCTGGAACCATGCTAAACACGCATATCCGCCTAAGCAAGCCAGTTACCTTCTTTTTGCCAGCGTGCCAGATTGATAGGACTGGCCGAAATACAGTCAGCTTGCTAGCGTGGCCGCCACAATTTTGCAAGGTTTTATAAGCTTAGCCAGCGCCCTAGCTCTTGGGCTCTTTAACTTGGCTCGAACCCTCAATCGGATGACTTAGGCAACAAAGAGAGGTGCTCAGCTTGAGACTGGCTGTTTCAGATCCACCTTCCAGATTTCGCGGTACCTAATTCATCCTTGGCTAGGAATGAGGCTGTTGCCAGAGTAAGATATATAGAATGTGGATAACAGCACACGACCTTGGGCATATTGCTGACATGTGTCAATGGTTTTACCACCTGTTGCTACTTTCATATTATTTAATGGGACAGCTGTTACCCAACATGGTTTTGAACTGTGTGCATTTAGTGATCCTGTCTGTCAGATATATGATCGGATATATCTGTCTCTACTTAGAATGGATATGTACATTTCCATTAGCTAGTCTCCATTCATAGTGCATGCAGATCACTTTAGCTTCTTTTCATAAAGATTGGATTTTAGCAGTCTTCAATATCTGCCGAATTATGGTTGGTCTTGCAAATACTACCTACAGAACATAGGACGACCATTGGTTCAAACGAATCCGCGAAATCGATTGTTTATCGCGTATACAAGTTATAATTTATTAGTCTTAACAATGAATGTCTCATCTCAGACTTTGAGTCTGCGTGTCAGATACCATGAAGGATCATGAAGTGCAGTGGTGTAAAAGATGTCACGGGATGGCACCTTCCTCAACCTGACACCCTCAACACCAGGTTCAGTCACACCGTTACCCATCGAATCCTTTCTTTCTTTTCATCTACACTTCAGGTCATTTGCCATTATGGAGAACTCCGACAAGATCCCTCCGCTCCTAATGGAACGACCACGCAGCGCAGGTGTTGATGCAGAGGCATTCTCATTTGCAAAGCCTGCTTCCCACGGGAAACCATTCTCACTTAAGAAATTTACCAAGAAGACACCTCTCTCACAATCTGCAGTCGGTGATTCCCAACCTTTAAAAGAGCATACACAAGGCGAGGGAAGCTTCAATGGCCAGTTTCTCCAACTAGAGGCGTACGTATTCTGTCCTGAATTATTGTCAAGTACAACCTCTGAGGACATGTTGACATAATTTGAGAAGTACAGAGTGCCCGAATCTCACACACTTCGGGACGAAAATACCTCCAATTTTCAGACTCCTGCGAGGAAATCCTTACTTTTCCAACCGCGGCGGCGGCTATCAATGTCCAAGGGGCAATCCAAGGAAAATGCAGCTCGACCTGGAACAGCAGTTTCAACACATGTGCACAGATCAAACCTCCAGATTGAGCAAGCCCTCTCGCTTCCTCGGCCGAATGAGACGATTCGAACGGATGATTCACTGAACACTTGCATTGCTGAGGAGAATGTTAGAATCCAGTGTTCCAGTCTTATTTCAACTGTTGACAATGCCAATGGATCCATTCCTATGCTCCCTGGGTCCACTGGGCCAAGGCAAAAGATTGATCAAGTCTCAAACAATGCGCTTTCCAGCATGCCCCTAAAGGTAGTGGACAATAAAAACTGTGCTGCAGAGCGACGTCGCACTAGACAAGAAATGCAGCCAACAAAGCGTTTGAAACCTCCCGTGGTTGATAGAGATGGCGTCCTTTTAGGTGAAGATGATCTCTTTGAGCTTTTGATCATGAAAATGAGGAAGCGCGAAGAGAACGAGGAGAGGTCTGCAAATGTTCAACAACATATCGAGATTGAGAACTCCAAATTGAAAGCCGAGATCCATTCTTTACATGATCGACTCAAATCATGCCAGGCCAAATTTGTCGAAAGCTCATCCGATGCAAATTTTCAGCGAGCACAGATAGACAAATGGAAGGCACGACTTCACAAATTCAAAAATGTTATCAATGAACTCGGGCTCGAATATGACACGCTGCGAGAGCAAGCCAATGACCTGAAGTCGACTATGTCATGCCTTCAAAAGGAAAAAGCGGAGATTCAACTGGCTTTGGACGAGATCAGGCTGCAGGTCGCAAAAGGTACAGACATCATTGAGGCTCAACGCAACAAGCTTTCCAGCTTTGAGGCGAAGATTGCAATGCTGAGAGAAGCTTTGGCGAAATCGGACAAACAAGAGGAAAGCATGAGGTTACAGCTATCTCATGAAAAGGAGCGAGTGGTAACTCTCGAATCCTATATTCAAAACGAATCTCAGAGTCAGGCGCGCTGTTTGACTATTGTCAGAAAAGGCCAGAGTGAAATGATTGGGAAGCTTGAATCCGCCTGCAAAATGCTTGCCACAGTCTGTTCTGATTCTCAAGACGCCGTCGCTTTAACAATTGTCCCGGTACTTGAACAATGTGTCTCTTCAGTTCAGGAGTTGAAGGAACGATGCGGCGTTCAGACAATGAATGTCGAAGAGTTGACATGTGGGGCTCATGAAGCTACCACTCGGTTTGTGATGGAATTACCGATTATGTTGTAACAGGTACTGACGAATGTTTCAGAGTCGATGCGCTCGCAGGTCAGTTGACAAGATGTGTTGAAGCGAACATCAATGTGGGCAACGGTATATCTCGATCGTTTCAAGAAGGCCTGCAATTGATTAAGGGAACCCTTGGTCCGAATTCATCACTTTCCAAACAGCTTGCCAACAGTGACAACCAGTATGCACAACTTCAAGAAAAGCTTGAAGTGGTTGAGCCCATGGTAGATGGTCTCAATGCTTCTGTCAAGGCCATCAAGGCCACAGAAACGGATCTTGTGCACTGTATAGAGATTTTCAGTCAAAGACTTGCCGATGCCCAAATGCCAGTTGGAAACCCGGTACTCGAGATGGAGATATCGAACAAGTTCGCTGAAAATACTCAACTGCAACTTGAACTCGAAAGGGTGTCGCTTGGGCTAGAGTCTCTGCGGAAGCAACTGGGAAAAAGAACTTCTGAAAACGAGCATCTCCAGCACGCGCTGACCGAGGCTGTCACTAGTGAGCAATCATCCAAGAGCCGAAACTCTCGATTGGAGATTGAAAAGACTGCCTTGAGGGGCGAGCTTCAATTGGTCGAGCATAGAGTCCGCGAAGAGTTGAGCATTGCGAACACCGAGGCTCAGGATCGTCTGAAAACAAATTTCGAAAAACAGATACAACGGCTTGAAATGTCGAATGCCAAACTGGAAACAGAAGCTGAACAGCTGAAAACCCAGCTATCCGAAGTCCAGAGATCATTGGTAAGTCCACGAACAAGCGTCACAAGTAACCCATTGACAATTCCAAGGCCGAAACAGAGAAGACTGCCGAGACCGAGCAACTGGAAAAGACGACCATGGTAAGTCATTTGAGCGATACGATAACGGAAATTTGCTCAGGGTTATAGCTCGAGGAATCGAAACGACAGATTGAAGAGTTGATCGCCGCTTGCTCAAAATACCTGGCAGAAGCCAAGACCAATGACATTGAATTGCAAGGCTGGAAGAGTTGCGAAGCCGAACTCAAACTTGAAAAGGAAAGACTCCTTGGCGAACTCGAGCAAGCAAGAGAAAAGACCCACGTGGCTGAGGCAAGCTTGGCAGAAAAGGCCAAGGAGCTCAAGGCAAGCCTGGCGCTGAAGACGAAATCTGAATCTCACGCTCTCAGGGCCACTCAAGGGGCAGAGAAGAAACTCAAAGCACTCGAGCTAGAGACAACACAGAAGACAGAGGAGCTTGCAAAGATGCATGACAATTTTGAGATGATAAAGTCCCGTTTCTTGGCCTTGGAGAAGGTCGGAGAAGAGGCCGATTCCGAGACCGTTGCACTTCTTCGTCGGGCTCAAGAGGCTGAAAGCTGGCAAGCGACTATAAGAGAGGGGTTTGCCAGGATCATTGAGATGCATTCCGATGAGCCATTCGAGCAGACGTGGCAGAAAGTGGAAAACATTCTGCAGTCTTCGCCTAACCAGCGGCCCATTACCATGGTGTCATCGAGCACGAATCTTTCAGGTAGTGCCAGCCTGCGTCCATCATACAATGAACGACTTTGTTTCGGGCCACGGGAGGGCTTAGCAAGTGAGGCTTTGGATGTTGACCAACGAACAGAGAATGGTCGTGAGACGATCGCGAATAGCCATTCAAACATGCCATTGTCTCAACGGACATACAATCCCTCAAAGCCTTTGACCAGAGACAGTGCTGACTGGTCACCAAAGATGCCCATTGATGTAGGTCATATCGTTCCGTTTGCGAGTCTTCATGACAAACTTTCACGGGAAGATAGTCTCTCGCTTTTCAACGACCCAGCTGAGCTGGAAATGCTGTTCATGTCGACACCAGATCTCCAGGGACCTGCAGATCTAAGCAAGACTCCAATGTCCTCTCAAGGGCGGAAAGAAATGTCGGAGAATCCCGATACTGTTGGTCAAAACGCCAGTGTGATCGACTCTGTCATCGGTAAACCGGTGCGCAAGGCAGACGACAGCAAGATTAAAGGGTCTAACGCGGCTCTCGGGAAGCTTGATGGCCCGTTGGTCGATACAAACATGGAATCGGAAAAATATCATACTAAAAGGAAGGTTGTCAGCTTTGAGGGAGCTGGTCAGACAGAAACTGGCAGATCGCGACGAATGTCAGATGCAATTGACAACAATTCAGGAATGGCTTCCGAGGACAAAGTGCCAAAACGAACACAGAAGCATACTTACAGCCGCCTTCGCCAGTCTATCGCACAGGAACAGACTTCGGCCGAGGCAAGCGTGCAACCTACTGACAATGCATTGGCAGCAAAGCCACAAGTTCCCATGAAAACCAAAGAGTCCGATGCTGGGCCCGCAAAACCGGCAAAGAGGGCACGCAATTCAGCTCCTGGTCCTGAGCGACGGCTGAGTCCCAAGAGACTGGCTTCAGGCAGTAGTAAAGCAAACGTAATTGCCACGCGAGCCCGCACCAAGCGCACCACTCGAAGTACGATATCTGGATCTTGGTAAGACATATCTGGCTAACAGTGGATAGGTGATCGCTATAACCGGCGTTTTAGCCAGAACGCCTGACCAACTCACCTAATATATCATCTGGCAAAGGCAAGACATGTTCGCCATTTTAATTCGATTGTACTCATCGGAATCCCGATGCGAGTTTCGTCAAACGAAAATGTTCAGCCGGTTCAGCTATATCCAATATTGATTAATCGCAATCTGGCGTTGCTATCGATGGAGGAAACCCAAGCAAATTGAACGAATCAGGAGATGGTGGAGTGGGATATGTATTTTATCTTCATTGAGGTATCCAAATCTGTATTGCTCTTTAACGCCAAACACAATGCTCCAACAAAAGGAGGTATACAGCGAAATATTCAAGAAACCGAAGGAATCACGATTACTCAATTCCAGTTCGCATCCTCCAGGAAATAATGTACACACAGGGGCCGATCCCCTGAGACCCGTATCGAAAATTCACAGACGTCGACGGAATCCTCAAGACTTGTCGGTCATAATTCAGGATGGCGGGTCCAACCCAATAGTAAGTCAAGTTCACTTCGAGGCTGGAAATCGGATTCAATCGATGGGTAATCGGAGACAGTCATCCAATGCCTCAAAGCGCAGAACGAATCGACTGAAGATGGGAAATTGAGAATTCGAGAGACGGGAAGAAACGAGAAATAAGCGCAAGAACAAAGTAGTCTATTTGTTCTTTCCGCCCTTGGTCGCCTCAAGGAAAAGCACCTGCTTCTTGATGACGGGGTCGTACTTCATCATGCTGAGAGGACGGTGCACACGCGGCCGGATCATGGTGCGGTAGTAGCCCGTCATGGCCATGGAGATCAGCCGGACGGCGATGGTACGGGACTTCGCTGTGGGCAGGAAAGATTGTTAGCTTGTGCTGCGTGAAATCCGGGGGTTCCTTCGTTCGCTGCCATCGTTGTTTGCATCCCGTGGTCAGGAATTAGGCGGTGGATGGTGGGTGTATAGTGCGATTATGGAATCGGGTGGTGATATCATGTACCTTTCTTGGCCATCTTGGGCGGCTCGGAGTAGATTGTTCGAGTGTTCGCTTTGGAAACAATTTCGAGGTTCGGAGATGATCAGATCCCGCGGGTCACGTGTGTGGTTTATGCTTAGTCATGTATTCTCTATTGGGATACGGATGCACTTGAATTGGGGGCAGGCAGCGAACTTTGGTTAAATTATTAACGTTATACTTTGGAAAACAAGGTCATCAATTCGTCTGCCCTCAGTTAAATAACTTCACTTACAGCGATGTTATGCTTGGCAACATCATATGTCATATACCAACTCGTATCTCGCCGTGATTGGCCTAATCTCTCACCAGGGGCCCTTTTACCGAGAATATGAGAACTGGAAGTGTAGATTTCGCATAAAATATTCTTTCCAAGTCTATCCAACTTTTGCCATGATGATTTTGACTCGTAGCAAGACTTTTGATATCTCTTAACGGTTTCGCTAGGCATCTAAAACGCAAAACCATGTGTCCTGGAACTCAAGCATACAGTAATAACAAACCTAAAAAACCCCAAAAGAGACTAGTATGAAATGTGAATCGTACCTCGCTATGACTTGTGTGTGATAAGCACATCCGATGCTTAGGGTGGAACGGATCTATAGTAGATCACAAAGGTGAAATATGCTTAGGACGGTTTTAATCGCCTCCACGTGCTTGTGTCTTGAATCGCACTCACAGATTCGACTCTTTTGGCACAATTTCAAAAGTACATCCTGAACCAATATCCTGGTAGAAGCTCAAGCACCTTGCAGAGGTTTGTGCTGACTCCTGCAGAGCCGATGTGACCCTATACGGGCCCCTAAGTTGCGCCCCACAGTCAGGCAGTCACGACGTCCTTCATTCAATCCCTATTTGAGATCAAATATCGTCCTATGTGGTTGCTCTGGTTGTTGTGGCTGATCAGCGTAGTATTCGCGCTGTGTTCGGTTAGTACGTTTCAGCCAGGCTGCAGGAATCAGGGTCCGATTTGCATAACCGAAACTAGCCTGTGGGGGAATCTGTATGTACCGTGCAATGGAGACCAAATACCCCTTTCAGAAGGAAACTCTCGTCCGAAGCTTGTGTTTAGTTTGGTTATGAATAGATTAAATTTTGGGCGAGCATCTATATAAAGCCCGAATTCCCCAGCGCTAGAATAGAGAAATATCACCACTTCATCCTGCTTCGAATTGCCTGAGACTCATCATTATGTCATTCAAGTCCTCTTTCCCCATTGCTCTCCTTGCCATGTTTGGCACGGGGTTTGCCCAATCCGTGGATGGGTCCAAGTATAATAACCCAACCGCCGGACCACCTGCTAGCTATTTCGCGGCTGCCACGACAATTCCTGTTGCCGCTTTGCAAACTGCAGCTGCAAAGGCTAGCACAGCTGCGCAGAGTGCAACTTATCCCATCAATGGAGATAGTGGAGCTAAGAAAGTCACTATTCATAGTGACTGGTCGAATTTCAGCGAGGTGTGTGAGCCATTATTGTCCAATACAGAGCGGAAGGATTTATTAATGTTCTATAGGGTGCTGCATTCGTCTGGGTGGCAGACATGGATGTTGACTGTGATGGTATCGACTATAAGTGCAAGGTAGGACTAGTCCACATTTTACAAATTTCAGGTATTTACTCGATGACAGGGAAACCCAGATGGACAGGCAGAAACCAACTTCGGTGCTCTTGCTGCCTATGAAGTCCCATTTATTGTGATTCCTGACAAATTTGGAACTAAATATGCCAGCGTGCTCCCCGGAAACAATATCGGAGCGGTTATTTGGTAAGTCTTTGTCTAATTTTCAACGATGCTACAATGTTCAAAGCTAATGCAAAAGCAGCAATGGAAAGATGTTCTATGGTATTTATGGTGACACAGATGGTGATTCGCCCCAAGTCATTGGAGAAGCATCGTGGTTGATGGCCCGTACTTGCTTCCCAAATGACGATCTTAATGGAAATGCCGGTCACGGCGCCGCAGATGTGACCTGTAAGTTACAGAAGCATTTGTTTTGGATTTGGGCTAATGCTCTTAGACATCCTCTTCACTGGCAAAGATGCCGTGCTCCCCAGTAGCGCTCTCAACAAGAACTATATCACCAACTTTACCGCACTCCGGTCGATGGGTGACAAGCTGATGAGTTCTCTGGCGAAGAGCCTCAATCTGAGTGGAGGAACTACTACCCCTCCCAGCGGATCCTGCTCTTGGGCTGGACATTGCGCCGGTATGAAATACCATGCTCAACTTTTTTTTTTGTATACTTACTCATACTTAGGTGCTTCTTGCTCTGATGAAAATGACTGTTCCGATGATTTGGTTTGTACAAGTGGAAGATGTTCTAGCCCTTAGGCTATTGTGTCTTTCTTTTATACTATTGTTTGAACTCGGTTGTGGTTCCTGTGTTGGGTTATTGTCATTAACAACTTTGTGATTTCATCCAAGCTCGTGAGTAGCATTCTATATATCCGCCAGAGCTTATTTTATTCAAAAAAAAAAAAAAAAAAAAGAGAAAGCGCGTTTTTTTTGGCTTTTTACTGAAGATAAGTAGGTTTCGATCAATTGATGACCTGTTCTGTTGCCTGAAATCACACATTATGCGATGGGATATATCCCTGCACAACAGCTTTTTATGTCGAAAACTCTCTTCACTCAAGGTTAGGTCCTATGCCAGTGATGCATTCCCTCTTCTTGATATTCAATTTGACCACTCTATTTGCCCGCCCCAAGTCTATATGCCGCGCAGTATTGCAGTAAAGTTTCTGTCAGGCATCTAATTGCGCTATACCCATGAAAGTAACACAAGAAGTATTTCTAAGCTCAGCTGTGACTTTCGACTGGCCGTCAAAGCCAAAAGAATGCCGTGATCCCACCATAGGCAATAATACTTGGCCGTCTTCCATTGCAGAGAGGTCTCTTTATTTCTCCAACGGTTGAATAGGGACTTGAGTTACGAAGGATTCGTCCTTTCGCATCAAAATAACAGTAGTCGAGTATCGAGCGGGGTTCTTATAAGATAGAGGAGATATATAGCGACCAAACTGATCCTATCTCGATAGAAAAATCCAGTGATTTGACGATCTCCGATGTCTTCAAAACGGAAACCCTCATCAAATTGAAGCAAATCCATCAGGTCAACCGAAAACACACCTTGACGACGTATTCCTTTCAATGGCTTCGACATGCTCACAGTAGGCCATCTCTCATTTTGCCAGTGGAAGAATCCCGCCAATCGATCAGCCACGAAGCGACGCGACCTCTTATACTGGACCAATTTGGCCAAGATACTGGACAAAGGCGACTTTAATGCTCTGTCCCTTGCCGACACATTTGTTCCATATGACACATACAAGGGGACCGCGGAGCCCACTATCCGGAATAGAGCTGAATACCTAATGGGTGACCCCGCTATAGTATGTCAAACCCTTCCTCAGATTCTTGTTTCTAGGAATAGCACATCGCTATTCGCAACGCTCAGGCCATTCCTGCAATGGCATCGGTGACAAAGAATCTCGGGTACGCAATTACTACGTCGACATCGTATGCAGCTCCGTATGTTGTCGAAACCGATTTCCCGCTTTGGATCAGTGGACCGGTGGTTGCTCCGGTGGAACATTGTGACCTCGTTGAAAGAATCCGCTGCTGAAGCCGTCAGCAGTATTTTCAATGTCTCACGCATCAAGCTGACATGCATAGGTAGGGTTGGCCCTAGTAGATCATGACAAGCGATACGAAATTGCCGGTGAGTATCTGACAGTGTTATACAACTAAGAAGCAAGCAATCATAAGCTCTGACTTGGAAACATACACCTTACAGACTGGGGAAGAAAGATGGGCCGACGACGCCCTGCAAGAGAGCGCAGAAACGGGAGTATATGCCAACCCAAGTCGAATCAATTACATCCACCATCACAGCGAACACTTCAAATTCGACGGACCTCACATTTTGGCTCCACCGCCACAGCGCACGCCCTTCCTCTTCCAGGCCGGGACATCATCAGCCGGTGTAGCATTTGGCGCCAAACACGCCGAGGGAATCTTTGTGTCAGCGCCATTGCCCCACATCCTCGCATCGCGCATCAAAGCCATCTTCAATGAGGCAGCGCGAGTCGGCCGTGATCCACGATCGGTGAAAATATTCGCAATTTTCACACCGATAGTTGGCCGGACAGACGAGGAAGCCCGGGAGAAATACCGCGAGGCTCTAGCAAAAGAAGCGAAGAAGCAGGCTTTGCCTTTTTTTTTTTTTTTTTTTTTTTCTGAAAGCAGCGGCATCGACCTCAGCAAGTTTGATCTACACTCGTCACACCATCAGACGAGCATGTCGATGCACGGGTACATTCAACCATCAACACACTCAGCTACCAGAGTTCCGACGTGCCGTCGTGGACGCCAAGGAACATCGGCAAGCGCATCTCCATCGGCGGGGCTGGACCTATTCCAGTTGGATCCGCAAGCACTGTCGCGGACTTCCTGGAGGAATGGGTCCGCGTGGCTGATCTGGACGGGCTCGATATCGGTTACGTCCAGACACCGGGTACTTTAAGAGGATGTTGTTGAGCCGCTCGTGCCGGAACTTAGGAAACGGTGGCTCTACGCACCCGAGAATGAGAGCGGGACTACACGTGAGAGAGTGCATGGTTCTAGACAGACCGAAGCGGTTGAGGGAGGGCCAAGTCGGAAGAAATTACGCATATGAGGTGTATGACGGTCAGTAAGGGAATTTCGGTGCCTGGGCGTACCTGGCTGGCAACGCTAGCAGGGATTTTGACTCGGGTCACATATTATACGTACGGAGAAACAGGAGTATTTGCCCCTGCAAGTAAGATGAGATCTGGGAAGCCGATGTGTCAAAGTGTCTCCCCGGTTCAGGTACATGTCTGTGGAAGCGCCCCTAACCCTGCGCCAAGGCAAGCGGAGATATTAAGGGCCTGACTTTGCTTCGCAGAGGCCAGACCAGATGCCATGTGGTAAGGGACCGGTAGGTGTCATTGGTCAACTTTATGATGGCTTGCGACTAACGTCACCTAATGCATAGATCGGGTATTTTGTACTCCCCTTGAATTGGTTTTCTTTGTGCGGTTTTGGGCCCCCAAATCCTTTCATTTATCTTGAAAGAAATTGTCCGACTGGTATCATTCCTGCTGGTCCTTGAAATTAAAGACAATATTAGATATAATATTGCTTTTCTGTGGGTTTGATATAGCGCTATGTAGCTCATTAATTAAAGACAACAGAGCACCGGCACCTCCGATTGGGACCTATCGGCGCCTTTTCAATCTCCCCAGGGCTAGACCATTTACTGATTAGATTTCATGACTTCATTCAATGAGGTAAAACAGTTCTTTGTGGCAAATGAACGGATTTCGTCAACCGCGAGGCGTTTCTTGGCAGGCGTTTCATCTTTCATTTCATGCCCATCTTGCCTGACTTGCTTTACATTTTCCTGCCGACTACGAGCTCTCGCTTCTAGTGGACCTAGATGCAGTGTGATCTGTTTGCGCCCTGCTTGGCTCGTTTAAAGTCCCCCGCTAGTGGCTAGTTCACCTTAGGCTAATTATTGCACCCCGCTCTGACTTTATACCTCCGATCCGGTGCGAATCTGAAACATCTCTATGCAGGGCATACAATTTCTTCGCTTTTGAGCGAGATGGGATTATAAGTATCGACTGTCTGCTCATGATGTTCATACTATTCTCAACCAGTCTCTCCTTTAACTGACGCTTTACTGACGCTTGCTGGACTCAAGTCGTCTTCCATTCCTTTCTACAATCATTCATTTCTGACATTCTTTCAACCAACTTTTCAACCAGTTTTTCAACATGATGTACTCTTCCCAGAATTCGGGCTGGCCGGCCTTCATGGCCAAGAGAAAGGTCCTGGTGTCCTGTGTTCTCGGCCTCTTCTTCCTCGCCATTGGAGCTGATATCCGGGCTGAGCGCGCCGCTGGACATGCCCAGAAGAAGATGCTGAAGCGTGACACCGACACTACTATTTGGCAGCCAGCCGCTGGAGTCAAATGGCAAATCCAGCTGATCGATGCCGTCGAGGATACCACCGCCGATGCCGACATCTGGGACATCGACCTGTTCGACAACACCGCAGCCACGATCTCCACCCTCCAATCCAAGGGCCACAAGGTCATCTGCTACTTCTCCGCCGGAACCTACGAAGACTGGCGGTCCGATATCAGCAAGTTCGACTCCGCAGACTTCGGCAGCAACCTCGATGACTGGCCAGGCGAGAAGTGGCTCAACATCAAGTCCACCAGCGTTCGCTCGATCATGACTGCCCGCTTGGACATGGCAAAGGAGAAGGGCTGCGATGGCGTGGACCCGGATAACATCGACGCCTACGGCAATGCGAACGGTCTTGGCTTGACTGAAGCGGACTCGATTGACTTCTTGAGTTTCCTTTCTACCGAGACCCACTCTCGCGGCATGGCCATCGGTCTTAAGAACGGTGGGGATATCATTGGCTCTGTTATTGACAAGATGCAATGGTCTGTCAATGAGCAGTGTGCTGAGTACAACGAGTGTGATGTCTATGCTGCTTTTACTGAGGTCAACAAGCCTGTTTTCCACATTGAGTACTCCGATGAGACCATCGAGAGCGACAGTTCTTCGACTGATGCCACCGACGACACTAACGAGGATGTCGCTGCCACAACTACTGCTAGTGCCAAAATTTCTGCTACTGCTGCTGCTTCTGTTTCTAATTCGGCTTCCGCCTCCGTGCCTGCCGGCGCTACCACTAGCACCAGTGCTACTGAAACTACTTCGACTGCTGCCACAACTTCTACAACTGACGCCGATGCCGACTCCACCTCGGACGCTACGACTGACACGACCACTGACGAGGATGATGAGACCGACGACGACGAGACTGATGCCGAAGACGATAACTCTGAGGATGATGACTCTGAGGACGACGATTCCGAAGACGATGACTCAGAAGATGACACCGATACCGAGACTGAGCTTGACAACACCCATGTTCGCAAGCACAAGCACCGACACAACAAGATCGAGCGCCGAGCCACTCTCTCCGCCTCTCTGAAGTCAACTGCCTGCAACGCTAAGAGCGCCGACAAGTTCTCCACTGTGATCAAGAACATGAACCTTGACGCTTGGGTTGAATATTGCTAGATAACACGCTCTCAACTCGGGAACTATGCCAATTGCCACTTTTTGTATACCTACCAGTTCGGGAACTAGTGGAGGAATGACTGTCGTTATAGCATATATTCAGAAGGCAATTCTTGTTCAATCTAAGAGATGTCATCAAAGATTTCGGAAATCACTATAAAATTCATTCGCAATCGTCTTCTAAACCGATTCCATCAAACTCATGGATATGTTGTACCTTGCTCACAAATGCGCCCAAACACTTCCTCGGTATGCACCACCCCCTTGTCCACAGCCCCTTCCCTCCTCGTCCTCTCCAACTTTGGAGCAAAAGACTCCCCATCCCAGCTCCACCAGTAGCACCTACTTCCCTTGGTCCCGTTGCTACCAACAGCAACATCCCCATTCCCATTCCTATCCCCATCCCTATCAACCCCCTCCCCATCGGCCTTCGAACAATACCTCTCACTAGTAGCAGCATGCAGATGCCTATCCCAACGTTTTTCTAAAGGAACCATAAAAGAACTAAACACCATCCACAAAAACAGCAGACAAAACCCGACCAACAGGCAATTCCCGAAATAACCCCGTGTTAACACTAGGAGGGTACGCATGCACAAAGGGAATAGACGGATATCGCCGCGCCATCTCAAGAAAGAAACTCCTTATCAAACTAGCATGTACTCCACATTTCTTTAGACTGAATGTATGTTCCAGACCTAAGTCTGAGAAATTGACTTTGCCATTTCGGCTTGCACGGACTGAGACGAGGGGCTCTAGTACTGGTACCACTACGGATAGTCCTGAGCTAGCGTTCGAGGGGTTTTGCGTCGCGATATTCAAAAGAGGAAGCAGACTAACGATAAATCGCATCCGCGCATAATAATACAGGACGAACTTGCGATCTAGACCGACAGTCTCATCTCTTCCTTTGAATGTCACATACCACGATATCATGAATAGTAAATTAAGCTTTCTCTCTTTTGCTGCGATTTCGGCGTCTACTTTGCCAATAGTTTTGAGGAGAGATATATCTGTTTGGAGGGATTTTGGCTGGGATGTTGGGTTTATTGTGTTCATTGAGGCAGTTGCTCTGTCGGCGGCGCTTCGATTGTAGCCTATTAAATAGATCTCTGGAAAGGTGTGTATTTGGCTAGGGCTAGGGCTGGTGAGAGGGAGGTCGCTGATGTGCCGCCGACTAGGTGATTTGGAGAATTGTAACAAATCGGCATGGAGAAGGACCTGGGATATGGGCAGGTCGAGCGCACCGACTTCGGCGACGAGGGGCCTGGGGTGAGGAATTTGAGGGCTGCATTTTGAATTCTGATGATCTTTCGGTTTACCATTGTTGCTTGCTTGCTCTGTGGTCCCAGGTATAATTCGAAAATGAGATAGTGGCCATCACAATAAGGTTGATAACTTGGTGAGATAAATGAACGAGGTGAAGAGAAAAGGAAAAGTGACCATATCAGTATCAGACAAACAATGTTCCACAAAATGCCAGTCTCTTTATCAAATAATCGAAGGATTCAGGTCCATCCCCCAGGGAAGTGGCTCATATAAGCCACGGCAGTCGCCGGCTAAACCCGAGCAGATCCATGGATTCACCGGTTGGCGGACTTGAACGCATTCCAAGTCGGAGGTTTTAAGTTAATATCCAACGCAACATTCTTCAGGTACCAAAAAAGCCAAGGAATGCGCCAAGACCAATGCTAAAGACACGCGATATCCAAGCCTCCAGCCCTATAGGGCTACGATCTTCTTTCTGTAGAGGCTCCATTTCTCTGACAATTCGATTTGCATGCTTTATCAAGATCCTTTTAGGTAGCCTTGAATCTCAATAGACTCTTAAGACATGGGAGCTTAACGGTAAAATCCAATCATCCCGACAAGCTTGGCACACGAACAAGCGAAAGACAAGCAGGCGCTAACTAGTCTTGATTCTACTACCATGCCAAGAAGAATAAACCACCTTCCAAGCATGTGCACACTTAGCCAAACTAATTACGTACACCCCTCAGAGTCGCAGAATAGTAAATTCCGGGCCCGGGGTGAGTAGCCACTATAAGCTTAGTGCCAGAGTCGGGTGCATCCGCAGACTTGCCAACCTGTTCAACCTGCAGCATGAGGTTAAAAGGATAAATAGCGTGGACATACTCTGCGAATCAGTTCTTCTACTCCCTCCTTATATTGACCAATCCCCACACAATATACTAACACCACGCACGATGAGACCCGAGACCCCGAAAGGGCCTGAAGACCGTGCCATGTCTCAGAGGGGGTGTACTCCACCCTACCAGATTCTTTAAAATCCTTGATCTTATCTGATGGTTTTCCATCTATTCTTCTCTCTTTGAACAGGAATTGGGTTTGTTCTCGGCTTCCCCTCTTGCAATCTCCATCCACCCTCGCCTCGATCTCTCAATCCCATCCACAACCCTCCCAACAAGGCCATTATCCAAAAGCCAAAATGGCCACCGAAGCCCTCCCAAAAGACCCCGCCCTCTCAGATCCAGAAAGACAACAAAGGATAGACGGCGACGCCAAATTCCACCGCCTAGGCTGGAAGCGCCTAACAGTGATCTCAATCGTCGAAGCCATCGCACTAGGAAGTCTAGGCCTCCCCTCCGCATTCGCAACACTAGGCATGGTGGCTGGCACCATAATGACCATCGGGCTAGGCTTCGTCGCAATCTACGCAGGCTACAACATCGGCGAAACAAAACTGAAATACCCTGAAATAGGCCACTACGCCGACGTCGGCCGACTCCTCCTGGGCAACATAGGCTCCAAGATATTTGTGGGCAGTTTCGTCGCGCTGCTCGTTTTCGTCATCGGATCGCATTGCTTGACAGGTGCTATTGCTTTCCAGACCATTGCGCAGAGTAACGTGTGCTCGATTGTGTTTAGTATTGTCTCCGCGGCGATCTTGATGTTACTCGCTATCCCGCCGTCGTTTGCGGAGATTGCCATATTGGGGTATATTGATTTTGCGTCGATTATTGTTGCGATTGGAGTTACGATGATTGCGACTGGGATTCAGAGGTCTAGTGGGACTGGGGAGTTTGTGGATGGTATGATTCCCTGGTCTGCGTGGCCGAAAGAGGGGCTTACGTTCTCGGCTGCTATCGTCGCTACTAATAATATTGTTTTTGCGTATTCTTTTGCCGGGTGTTTACCTTCTTTCATGGAGGATATGCATACCCCTGAGGATTATGTCAAGACGCTTTGGTGGATGGGGGGCATTCAGATTATTGTTTATACGTTGACTGGGTCGATTATTTATGCTTTTGTTGGGCAGGGTGTGCAGTCGCCGGCGTTGTTGTCTGCTGGGCCTGTTATCTCCAGGGTTGTTTTTGGTATTGCGCTTCCGGTGATCTTTATTTCCGGCTCGATCAATACCACCGTTGTGTGTCGGTATATTCATGGGAAGGTTTATCGCGACTCGGTTGTTCGCTATGTGAATACTAGCAAGGGCTGGATGACTTGGCTTGGTCTTGTTTTCCTTGTTACCATTCTTGCTTGGGTTATTGCTGAGGCTATTCCGATTTTCTCGGAGTTGCTTTCCATTATCTCCGCTTTGTTTGTTTCGGGTTTGTCGTTTTATATCCCGCCTATTATGTGGTATGTGCTTTTGAGAGAGGGGGCTTGGTATGAGAAGCATAATTTGAAGACTGCCGTTTTGAATGGCATTGTCTTTGTGGTTGGCATTATTGTCTTTGGGTGTGGCACTTATGCCAGTATTGCTGAACTGGTGAGTTCTTTTCATTTTGAAATGCATGATGAAGTGCTAAGTTCTATCTCATAGATTGCCAAATTCCAGTCAGGATCAGTGGGCAAGCCATTCACGTGTTCTTAGCTGAATATTTCAACAAAGTCGCCTACATATGGCCGTGTGACCTATGTCCAAGTGAGATGACCTAGATCTGAAAGGCTATTTGGCGGAGTCTCGGTTGAAAATTGGAAATCACCATATTCAGAATCAGGAGACCTAGCAGACGTTCAAAAAGAAGAAAGATCAATCAGGCGACACTAGAATATGAGATCAACGCGTGAACATTCTCCAACTGACTCGGTCATATTACCGATGAACCAAGGTCACTCCTTATTAAAGCAAAACCCAATAATTCTGGTAAAACTTTTCAACACCAATTAGGGGAAGACAAGAAACCGATCTATGAGGCTTTTTCAGAGTGGAGATGTAGAGCCGCAGGGTCCACCATAGTATAGTGATCAGCAGGTGGCTTTGCAGCCTTGTCGAGGCTGTGAACAGTGCAGGACATTTATCCTTTTGTCGCATTCCCGAGTATCTGTACATCGTGGAACAAGCTTTATTCACACTAATGCATAACAATGTTGTACATTACAGGGTACTTTCATCTGACGTATGAAGCATCTTGGCCTTGCCTGAGGCATATCCTCATACACCTCAGCCACAACCCCGCAGTGAGTCATGTATCGGACTTGTAAGTTAAAAAAAGGTATATCAATCGGTAAAGAAATGGAGACAAATAGAATGGTGGGGAATACAAGTGCAGATGGGTGGGGTTGATCAACATTGTTTGACTCAGGCCATATGACCCAGACACGAAGGACGTATGAATGACCTAATATGTTTACAGTATATGTTACAGTATAGAAACAGATTCACATGTTGCAAGATTCATATTCGAGTTCATAGTTCGAAATCATAGTGACCATTCCCAGAGGCTGTCCAAAAGAAGGAATGGCCGACAACCTCGCAGGGCGCATATCGTAAAATCACATAAAGTTCACAAAGGAAAAAGATAAAAAGATAAAGCTGCTGCAAGCTTCTCCACAAAACAACAGAATGAGTCACACAAACAAGCCAATAAAGCGTGCAGGATATAAAAACATGCATGAACATCAACGAGTCCCCGCATCGTTCATTGGCTAAGTCATCCACACCTGCATCCCCAGATGGATGGGTGTGAATGTGCACCAATGAAGGTGCCTAGCTAAGACTGCAAAATAGCAGGGACACAGCAAAAAAACCCCGAGTCACATTCAAGTGTCGGGGGTTCCCAAGCTGGACCCCGACCTGCGACAGTCGAGTCAGAGATCAGTGAAAACAGAAAATTGAGTTTCCGAGGGCGCATCCAGGCAGGCCCTTTCAATCCAGATCTCAAAGACGGGAGTGGGTATCAATACATGCGGTAGCGCACATATTGGCAGAGCACCGAACATGGGATTGGGGAGGTAGACAATCAATGTCTATTGAATTGAAGCTTATTCGAAGCAATTGGAGGGTAGTAGACTAAGTCGTAGTTGAAACCGTACAGTCGTAGACCGAGAAACCAGAAGCGATCATCGGTCTCGCGTTCAACGGTGATACTTGCTGCCACCCTCGACGTACCGACGGGGGGCCTCGTACTGGCGCTCCACGCGCTCCTGGCGGTCGGTGTTGTATAGCGAGCCACGGCTGGATGAGGGCCGGCTAGGGGAGGAACCACCAGGGGAGCGGTACATGATCGAAGCTGGGGAGCGGGAGCTGCGAGGAGTGCGCTCGATGATCTGGTAGGTCTCTGGGGACATGGAGCGAGGACGCACTTGCTCGCTGCTGACTCTGCGAGCGGGGATTGGGTAGGTGCGGTCGTAGCTGCGGCCAGTGGAGGGTACTTGAACTGGATTCTGGACGATGACGGGCTTGGAGCGCAGACGGAGGCCTTGCTCGATTGCTGTGAGGAGGTTGCGGACGGAGTAGGCGTCGCGAGGGAGCTTGACTCGTGTGGACTTGCCGGCCTCCGCGTCGACTACGGAGTAGTACTTGCCGTTGCGGCTGTGGATGTATTGGATCAGAGTGCGAGCACCGGCGTTGCCTTGGTCACAGAGGGAGCGGCCGTCCCTGAGGGTCTCGACTGCATTTGAGCAGTGGCGGCAGTGGATGGCGTGTTCCTCGAACTCGGTCACGACTAGGCTCTCGTCGTCGGCGAGGTCGCGGACGACGACGAGAGGATCGGTGATTTCAATTGGGGCGGGCATAGTGTTTGTTCGGCGGAGTGCCAGCAGACGTCGGGTCAGACTGCGAGGAGGGGATCTTTCCCTTATAGTTGCGAGAGTGGAAGGGTCGACGATGTATGAAGTGGAGCGGAAGGGCGACACCGTGACTGATTTATGAGGGTGATGAGGGGATAATGGATGATCGGCCTTGTAGGTGAGTGACTGAATGTGATAATGTGAAACTTGTATGGGACAGTTGATGTTGTGTGTTAATGGAGTATCAAATGGGTGGTGTGGGGGGGGGGGAGGGAGGGTTATATAGTACATGACTTGCATATACATATAGATGCCTGGTTGATCTGCAGCCTACCCCCGGGGCCATACGAAGTTAGTAACTTGACTAACTTAGTGTATTTAGCGTCTTATATTTCTGGTTAGTTTGTGGCTAGGGGCTGTGCCTTTGGCGTCAACACCGCCAGGTTGAAGCCTGCCGATCAGCTTATTGGCTGCAACTGTTCAAACAAACGGTATAGAGTCCCCTCTATCTTCAGTGCACTCTCCACCTACGCAGTATAATGACTATTCTTCCCATTACATCAGGGGTAATACCAATACTGTCATTCTGTCATGGCTTGTGGCTGATGCTGTCTCGTGTACCCCCCTGAGAACAGGCCTCAGGTTCGCGTCATTTTCTCTTTTACTCTCTAGATTGTGTCTTTGATTTTGATTCAGAACCAGAACATTCAAACACCTGAAACCGCTTGATCTGAGGCTCCGTTGCATCTCCCTACGCTCATAGGCCCCCGCAGCCGCCCTCATAGCGTCTACCGAGACAACTCGCGAACTCTTGAAACGAAATTTGCAACTCGATATTTCCATATTTGAAGCCTGTTTCACGCTATCTAAGAATAACATCGAGTTCGGAAATGAGTAAGTGGGTTTGGACCCCACGACTATCACCAGCCCCGATTCCGTCAGCCTCAAGTTCGTATACGGAAACCGATCAATCTCACCCAATACCACAAACAAAACTAATCCTATTCCAATGCCCTGCTCAGCCTCAGCCACCAATTTCGTTATCCTTCACTCTTGATTCGATGCACCAGCCACTGATGTCTGCTTTCGTATCGCGCCCTTTGAGGGATCCCTCGCATGTCACTCCCACCCTCGGACCCTGAATCCTCAACAACCACTTTCAATTCCAGCTCTTTCCATATCTCTGTCTGTGTCGCTTGACGCGCGCGAGATCAAATCCTCCATCCTTCTGGACCTGTCTTCTTGCTGCCTTCGCAGGCACCAGTCCGCTTACTGACATGGGGGGGGGAAGGGGAGAGGGGGGGTCTGACCTCCCAAGTCCAGATCAGCGCTATCTCAAGGACAGACTGTTCTTTTTTTATTTGGACCTTTTTTTACCATGTCTATTCCTATTTCAAGCATGCAGGTCTTTTTTTCTCACAACAATTTTCCGATACTTACTTGACATCCACCCCTTGCACCCGGGCGCATACCTTATTCATATTTATATTTACATAGGCGCACTACAACCCTTAACGCAAATATGGTTTCTCAAAGTGCATCGTCCTTCAACAGCCCGGCCGGGCTAGCTCAATCGGTAGAGCGTAAGACTCTTAATCTTAAGGCTGCGGGTTCGACCCCCGCGTTCGGCTATTCCTAAACACCGTCCTCGAGTGAGCGTTTCTTTTTTTTTTGTGGAAGAATTTTTTGAGCCGCCGATATCCTGCAACGTGAGTGGTTGCGTTGTTAGTGTATTCTCCACTGGCGGGCCGCAACGAAATGTGCACGAACTGACCCAATGGCATTCATTTACTTGTTTTTTTTTTTTTTTTTTTTTGACAATGCACACTCTATAACTCAATAATCTGGCAATAATACGCGAACTCACAAGTTGTACAGGCAGACATCTTGGAAATGGCCAAAAAGCAAAAGCAAATGGCCCCATGTCAGACCCTGAAGCTTGTGGCTTGACTAGATCCGAGCGCAAGGCAGAAATCGCCTTAGTGTCGTGAGGGCTTGCTAAGGTTTCTTGTTCAGCTGAACATGGTCTTTGGCTTGACGAGTGTAGACTTCAACTGATTTTCTGAGGATTGTCACCTGGCCATTTCTTTCTTGATTCGTCGTCAGAGGCTTTGGGCACTGGATTCGGCGGGTTTTATTGGTTTTTTGTTTTACTTGGTCTGGGGTGGCTGCATCATCCGGCCGGGTTTTGACTATATTCTAGACTAGACAGAATCTGTGCTTTATAATACTGATTATCAATCTGTGTGTTTGGCTGGGTTCAGGGATTGGCTGTTGTTTCTTCGAGGTCCTGATACCCTGTAGTTTTATGTTGCCGTGGATCACTGTTGCGGATCTATTCTGGCACGAGATATGTAATTTATTCCATACCTCGTTTCGGGATTGAAACTGATCTTGTTTGCCACCTAGGCTGAATGAAACCGTAGATGACTGATTGTAAGGGGTTTGACCCCTCAGTTTGATATTCTGCCTTGATTGTTGTTTGGAGTAGTGATCGGCCTATCTTCGAAGGCAGCAGTATGTTTCGTTGATGTCTGTTATCTCGCACATTCTTTTAGATTTTCTCACGCACTAGATCATTCCAATACACTTCGAATGTAAGTCCTGAGGAATCTGGCATCTTTTCTTGGCCATGAGCCATGCAGGTGGTTTCCGTATCATCTCCTATCCCAAATCCAGGATTTCTCTACTTTCTAAGCTCACTCCCTTGACTCCCCGCCTCTCAATCACATACAATGACTATGTTCATATTCTTGCAGAGGAAGCTGTTCAATATGTCGGGCTTGAATCCAATCCACAGAAACGATTGAGAAATCGCGATAACAAAATGGCAACCAGATCATCTATCATTGTCTTTCATGGTCAGTCTATCTACTGCTTTGATATCAGAGCCATAGTTCATAGGACTAATGAGATAAGAGCCAGTGACACTTTTGTATTATATAGGCAAGTTCACCCCTGATTCCGCCTCTCGTGACTTGAGACAGCGGATAAAACGCAGACTGGACTTGATAAATCAGTGAGATTTAGTTTATATGTTGCCCGCTCTTGCTGGTACACGGAGTCCGCTCTACTCCACCGAGCCACCAGTGATGGTTTTGAGTGTCCCAAAGACCTGGATATGTGATACTACAAGACTATCTCAAAAGTCCAATCACGCTTCTGGACTTCCGAGACCAGGGGGTTTGACCACAAGAAGCCTCGAGCGTGTTGGTCACTACAAGAATAAATCATCCTTCCTCATCCGGCTCTGGTCTTTGCTTCTTTTCCTACTCCGCTTCTAGGTTTTATTCAAATAGGCTGGCAATTGCAAAGTTTTGACCATACTTATACCTTGAAGGTCAATACGAAGTCTTGCCCTCGCTTCTCTTGTACCCGAGGCCAAAGCCGGGCACTTTTGCATCGATAATTAACATATTCTTCAAATCAAAGCAAGAGATGAACGAGAGATTGGAATGAGCCCTCAATTATCAACACACGCAGTACACACATTGCCCCTCCCTCAGATATACGTGGGGTTTATATAGTCTTCGACTTGCGTAGAATCAAGACAGTACAATCTATAAATATCAGGGCATGCAGAGGACATAATGAAATTCGCCGAAGCAGCCGAGTATTCCGTGTTCATGTACTCTAGCACACTTGGAAGGTTCGCCCCGATTCTGGAGCCAAACAAGCAAGTCAATGCGAATTCATCCGATGGTGTCCGGAAACCATTGCCGATATCAAGCGCAAGTCAATCTGATTGGCAAGGGACCAGTGGAGCAGATCTAATAAAATTAGTTCATCGGCAATTTGTTGACAACGCGGAACAGACCAAGAATTGGCGAGGATGCGGGGAATTGACTTAGGGGGGGGGCGTTTGCCGAGCTGTTATCAATTAACACTATAAGGGTCGAGAGACTTCCATATTCTCACCTCACACATCGCCAACATGCAATTAAGAGGTATGAAGACCCCCTCTCACCCATTTACTCCCAACTTACCCTTCGCAGAAGATAAGAATGCGCTGGGCGACGTCATCAATCGCTACCGCCCAGACCTAAAGTCATTCGAAGACCTCTACCAACACCTACACGCCCACCCAGAACTATCAGGCGAAGAAGAAGAAACCGCCAAAAAGGCCGCCGATCATCTCAAAGCCCTCGGCTATGAAGTGCACACCAAGATCGGCGGCCACGGCGTCGCAGGCGTCCTCCGCAACGGCGCCGGCCCAACAATCCTACTGCGGGGTGACATGGACGCCCTACCCGTAGAAGAGCAAACAGGCCTAGCATATGCCAGTAGAGTAATCGCCAGAGACTCAGAGGGCAAAAAGCAACCGGTGATGCACGCTTGCGGCCACGACACCCACGTCACATCCCTCATGGCAGCATCGAGCCTCCTGCACGCCGCCCGCGACGAATGGAGCGGAACCCTGATCTGCCTCTTCCAGCCGGCAGAAGAACATCTGGACGGCGCAAAGGCCATGCTCGACGACGGTCTTTACGATAAGATCCCCAAGCCGGATCTCGTCCTCGCGCAGCACGTCATGCGCATGCGCGCCGGCACGGTCAACCTGCGCGCCGGGCCCCTCTTGACCGCAGCTGATGCATACGACGTGCGGATATTCGGACGTGGCGGGCACGGCTCGGCGCCTCAGACGACCATCGATCCGATTGTTCTGGGCTCTTCGATCGTGACACGTCTGCAGTCTATTGTGTCGCGGGAGGTGACGCCTGGTAAATTGGCGGTTGTTACTGTTGGCAGTATCCACGCGGGTCAATCGCACAATATTATTCCTGCGCATTTGGACTTGCAATTGAATGTGCGGACTTTCGATGCCGCGGTGCGGGAGCGCATCTGCGCGTCTATTCATCGCATTATTCATGCTGAGTGTCAGGCTGCCGGTGTCGAGCGTGAGCCGGAGATTAAGCTTACTTTCTCCACGCCGTCGACGATTAATGATGGGAAGACTATTGATGCGCTGAAGGAGACTTTCGGGCCCTACTTTGGAGATGATCTGGTTGATATGGAACCTCCTAGTGCAAGTGAGGACTTTTCTTTGCTTGCTACTGCTGTGGGGGCTCCTTATGTTATGTGGATGTTTGGTGGTACTGACCCTGAGACTTGGAATGAGGCTGTGAAGAAGGGCACTCAGGATACGCTGCCTAGTAATCACTCGCCTTTCTTTGCGCCGGTTATTCAACCTACATTGAAGACTGGTGTCGATGCATATGCGCTCGGTGCTTTGACCTTCTTGCAGAAGAAGTAAATAGGAATGGCATCACATCCATCAATTCAAATCTCCAATGTTTACCCGATAAGAAAGATAGTGAAGTCATTGCGGGTCTCCAAAAAAAAGTGGCCACCCCAACCCTCTCTCTTTCCCCATCTCTGTATCTCCAAGTGTACACTAGAACATGGCAGCAGAAAAATCCACAATGAAAGCCTGGCTATACAGCGACACAACGAACGGCCTCGAGCACAACCTCACCTTCACCCTCGAAGCCCGCACCCCACCAGCACTCCGTAACGACGATGTCCTAATCAAAGTCCTCTCAGCATCCCTAAACCCAGCGGACTACAAGGTCCCAGAACTAGGCTTCCTAGCTCCAAAGCTACTGATCGGCACACCCGCCTCTCCAGGAATGGATTTCTGCGGCCGGGTAGTGGCAACAGGACCTGACGCAACGGATTTGTCGCCAGAGCAGCTAGTTTACGGGAATCTAGGCAAGCCCTGCCAATTCGGGTCCCTAGCCGAGCTTATCGTCGCACCGGCAAGCTTCCTAGTTCATTTGCCGGAAGGCGTGGAGGTTGATCACGCCGCTACGCTCGGTGTCACTGGGCAAACGGCGTATCAATCGTTGAAAGGGTATGTCAGTGCGGGTGATAAGGTGTTTCTTAATGGCGGTTCGGGTGGATGTGGAATCTTCGCTATTCAAATTGCGAAGGTGATGGGGTGCCATGTTACGACTACGTGTTCGACGAAGAATGTTGAGTTCTGTCGTGGGCTTGGTGCTGATGAGGTTATTGATTATACCGTCGAGGAGGATCTTGTTGCGGCTCTTGGTGAGAGGGGTGTTGTCTTTGATCATATTGTTGATCATATTGGGTACCCTGCCGCGTTCTATCGCCAGTCTGATCGGTTCTTAGCTCCTGGGAAGACCTTTGTGCAGGTTGGAGCTCCGGGTGTGGGCACTTTTGTGGAACGCATGCTTTTGCCGGGTTTCCTCGGCGGTGGAAAGAGGAGGTATGTTATTTTTGTCACTAAGAATAACAAGGAGGATCTTGCTCAGCTTGGAGAGTGGGTTCAAAAGGGGGATGTCAAGGTTCAGCTGGATACTGCTTATGAGCTTGAGGGTGTTGTTGAGGCTGTCAGGCAGCTGAAGTCTGGCCGGGCTAGGGGCAAGATTATTGTTCACGTTGCTAAGCCTTGACGGTATGATCGAGCTAATCGGTGTTTCTTGATGTACGTACAACTATTGAGGTTTTATCACAATCGTCAGGTTGCTCGCTTTTCTTCCCTCTCTCGCACGTGCACCTCACAGCACAACACGCTCACCTTATAGTATATCGATTATTCTACGACATAACGCCCACCTTAACAGAACTACCACCTAATCGGGTGGTGCTCAATCTAACACATAATTCACGTTGCCAAATATCAAACATCTCACCATATGAATGTTGAGTGTCATTATCTACTTTAGATCGCGGAGAGAAAGAAACAAACATTCTTCAAGCTGTATGAGCAGATCCCTGGGATTTGGTTCTTTGAATAATATGTGCCCGTATAAGTGTTAGCATCTCACTTGCTAGGTGCCGCTTCCAAGAACAGATCAGGCTGATCTTGTTCGGGCCGACAGACCTGCAAACGTCGCAGTCAGGTACGGAATGAAAAATGGCCAATAAGGCAAGACTCTCACATCTCACTGATGCGAACAAGTCTCGAGCTGTTTAGATCAGGGGCTCTTTGCCTTCGTCCTGGTTTATACCAAACCCCCCCCCCCCCCCCCCCCGGGGTCTGTCCAGCCAGTGGTTTCGGTCCTGGGTTGATGTGTGATACAGGCAAACTATCACCGCCATTCAGGTCAGATAAAACATGTTTGGAGTCGCTCGCTTGAGAACTTTGGTTCTCTGTCTGGAAACTTGCTAACTTTTTTCTCCACGAGAAGGGTGTCCGAACTGCAGGAGGCATAGATAGTGCTAGCAAAACTTTCTTCTGAACTTGAATGAGAACGTCCTCAATATCCGTTGTGGTTATACTCAACCTACCTGTGAGCGGACTAATTGATCAAATTGCGAAGCAGCATACCTCGTTTGAACAGATAACAACCAGCCGAAATTTCTATCTCTCTATCATCCTCAGTAAGTCCTGAATACCTTCTCTTTCACCGTTCATTTGACCTTCTTCTCTAATGTAGCAAGCTTTGAAGTCGAGACAAATTCCTGTAAGTACTTCTGTAGCTGTAGATAAGTATTGCTGCAATCGACCAGTATAGAATCAAGGGCATCAAGCCACTCAGAGTTCTTGGTTTCCTTCACTGACTGAAATTGTACGATCTGTTGGATCTGGCATAGTATGCCACGTACAGCGTGGGCCTCCCTGAACATCGAGTCCAGCTCTTTGTTGTTCTTGGATTCGATGGTGTGGATGATGCTAAAGATCTGGGTTGATATTGTGATTAGCCCGGCTAGCGAAGCGGCGAATGGAAAGGGAATCCATTGTTCGGCCCCGTCATACTCATGAATAATCAGATTATACAAATGACAGCCGGGCGGCCTTTGTCCTATAGTTACGGCAGGTAGATCCACGGCGGGACGTTGTATTCGTTTAGACCCTGGGGCTGTTCTTGGCGACCTCCAATCTGCACAAACACCGATGAAGTCGTTGTAGCGCGTTATTACTACGGTAGATTCAGGAAGCAGGGGTTGAGACAGAAGTCAGGGGTATAAATGAGGTTGGCTCTAGAATGTGTTCAGTTGAATTAACATATAACTTCAACATGAATAAAAAATTGTCCAATGTATGTTGGTATTGGAGACCAATTTGCAAACTGGCTTGGCCGATAACCTGTATTTCGGATGTTGTTTCACGTCTAGAGAGCAGAATGTTTCAAAGGATCGTCCTTCAAAGGTGTCGAGTAATCATCATCGTTCATATCAAGCATTTGAATCCGATGATTCGTCATATTCTCCTGAGTCTGCATCTCGACCTGCTTTTGCAGCCGTGCATCTTCTCCGAATCCTGCCTGGCTGTTCAAAGTCTCCTGGGCAGCAGATGATTTCGGGTCTTTAACACCAGCCTCGCGCTGGTTCTGTTGCAGTTCCTTCTCCTGTTGCTCCTCTTCAATGGCAAGTGCAGTTTCTTCTCGTTCAATTTCGTTGGCGTCCAGATCCTGTAGCCCAGTGAGGGTGAGGATTCTTCCCAGCAAGTATTGATAGCGTAGATGGCCGCTAACCATTTCGCTTACATCGAGGTTTTCAACACCCGGAACACCCTCAACTTTCTGCAGTCCGGCGACACCAAGCTGCAAACTACTGGTTCGGTAGAGGAAAGCGAGGACATTATCATTCTCAGAGAAGACATTCACGACACGGCCGCTCACGACGCTGCGCATCAGACGCCAGTGCTCCGCGTTGGAAGGGGTAGGTGATCCCATCATAATGACAGACTCGACAATGCCGTATGCATTTCGTTTAGCCAAAGTTTGGAGGCAAGAAAAGATCAAGCGAGATCCGAGAGAATACCCGATCAAGGTCACAGGTCGTTCTCCCTGAGCTTTGTTGATGAGAACGTCGGCTAGCACCTCGCCTGCTTTATCGGCGCGAGACTTGGCGACGCTGAATGGATTGTCGACAACGCCAGCAACATTCAAAAGACCAAGGGGAAGCATCACCGCACTCATAAGTGTGTGGAAAACAGTACGGGCGAGGACTTCACGTCCGGCAACTGACCATGCGGCACTGGTTACAAGGGCTGAAATTGCATTGCCCAAGTTCATCAGCGGTTCCATCTCCCAGCGAAGACCAAACACCTCTGAATTGGAGCCAATGACCTTCCATGGGACAGTAAAGTTCGCTTCTTCCTTGACCCATCCGGTGACACCGATAGTGACCCGTAGCCGATGATCCTGCCGAGCAGCTTCGCTATCTTTTTCATCTCGAGACCGTTGTCCGCGAATAGGGAGAAACGCAAAGTCGTCAACTTCACGGGCATACTTGTCCATCATGCGACCAGTCATGCGGCCTCCGTAAGCACCGAAGAGACCGCCAACAACAACACTACTACCGGCGAGGACACCCAAGTATCCAGCAGCGGCAGTAGCACCGAGACCCAGCCCACCCATAACAGTTCCAAGGCCTGCAGCCACTAAAGGAGCTGCAAGCCCACCAGTGAGACCGATAAGGGCAGCACCAGCTACAGACGCGATGCCGACCTTCCATTTCCTCATGTCGTCTTTCTTGGGCTCTTTCTTGGGCTCCTGGTCTGAGAGCGCTAAAGCCGTATCTAGCAGACCACGGGCAACCTTGACTTCGTCTTCGTTCAACACGTTGATATCTATGTTCAAACTGGACGCGACATTCAACATCAAAACTCGGGAGTAGGCGCTGTAATGTTTCAAGCTGAGCATCAACAGAAGAAGCGAATGGACAATGAGTAATCGTGTTGCCTTTGGAAGTTTGACCAGAGGCGTCTCCACGGGGTGATAGATTTCTTGTAACTTTTCCAGGCTATCTCTATCGCCTTCAAAGGGAATCTCGTCAGACTTTGCAGCCTTCTGCATTTCTTCGGAGACTTGATGTCCTTCATCATCGTCATCTTTATTGACAACCTCGCCGATCCGCAACAGTACAGAATCCCGCCAGTCCTCAAAAATAGAAAGTGCAGTGATCTTTGCTTGCGGTTTTAGTGGCTTGCTAGCCCCAGTTCGTGGACTGCCACCCTTCCCTGCACTCTCGTTGCTGGGCCTCGGGGGCAGGGGCGGGGTGTCTTCGTCGGTTTCCTCGGTAGGAAGAGGCTTGCGTGGAATCGACGGAGTACGCGGCTCATCTTTTGAGTCTGACTTTGAATTGGGTGTTTGGTTTTCGAAGATTTCCAAGACACTAATTCGCATAGACTCAGCAACCTCAGCAACGAGAATGGTCAAGTCAGCACGTTGCGACCGATCCAAGATGGAGCTTAAATCTTGGCCGCGGTCGCTTTCCGAGGCATTGTTGTTGGATCGCTTGGAATCGAACAATGCCGTTTGTTTTTCTTTCAAAGTTTTAAACATTGGCGCCAAATGGTGTAGAGGACAGGTTGACAACCTCAGAACGAGCAGAAGCTGAGCAAAGTCGTTGGAGAGGGGCGATGTTGTCATAGAGCTCCAGCTTGGGGGCCAGCTGACTCAGGATTTCTGCCCAAGGCAGACAGACAAACATATGTACTTTTGCTTGGCTTCATGATGAAGGCACATGTCTGATATAGATCCAGTAGCCCAGAGATAGACAAGACGGATTCAATTGCCGATCTCAACGACAAAATACTTGCCCTTTGTCTTCGTAGCGGAGCCAAGCGCATTACCATCCCAAGCGGTCCCATCTGGGTGAATATTCTTTTCGCCTGGAATACGCTGGATTCTTCTGCGTCTTCCAGAGACTTGTTCCTTGAGCAGAGCCCCTTTGAGCCGTTCCAGGCCAATAGTATTCTCCTCAACTGCAGCAGAGCTTTCGTCGCGAATGCTAGGAAGCGGTTTGACACCAGTAGTATCAACGAGCTGAATCTCCTTGACAAAGTGAATCTGAGACTCGAGTGTCTTCAGCATTGTCTGCTCTTCTTCTTCGTTGGCAGGTTGAGGAAGTGCCGAGATGCGCAATAGGTGATGAAGTTGTTTCGGCGTCACCACTTCGGATGCAGATGGTCCTGAAGCTGGGTCGGGAAGCAATGATCGGACCGACCAGTTTGGCTCGCCAAGAATAGACTCGATGTCAGCAACAGCGGATTTTCCGGAGGAATAACAGCGAGAGACGTTGATGTTAAGTCGGCATGAAGGACGCAGCGACTTGGACAGCCGAGCAGCAGCGCGTAAGGAAGCCATTGCAAAGATAAAACAATCAAATAACCCGTCAGAATGTGATATAAGTCAAAGATATTTGGAAATGCAGCAAGCAGAGTGCAATATCAAAGTGAAGACAAGAGCTCAGGCGGAGACCGAAAAATAAAGGGACACCGCCTCCAGCGGGACCGCCGATCGATGCTCTCATAGAGCCGTTGGCCACACTCCTTCTAACATCTGCTCTTCTTTAACATAACTCAACATGACTCAAGATCCCCGTGTTCTGCTCCAAAAAGTACGCCCCCGTGCTCGCCATGTTCCCCTTTGATCCCCCGCCTTGTTTGCATGGAGACCTAAGCAATGACGAAAGTGCAAATAGCTAACCATGACCTCGCTCTTGCGGTGAAATAGGCCGACAAAGCGCTCTCCGGCGCCTCTGGCGGTTTCAGTTGGTTTGGAGGACGGTCAGAGAAGTACGAGAATGCCGCAGATCTGTATACCCAGGCTGCAAATGCATTCCGAGTACAGAAAATGAGTGAGATACCCCGCCGCCTGCTCAACACCACTTGATGTGCTATTTGATGCGATAGCTAAACCTGGTTACTGATATATGTTGATTTCAAAACAGACAAGGAGGCCGGTCAGGCTTTCGAGAAAGCTGCCTCTATCCAGACCCAGAACCTTAACGAACCTGACGACGCCGCCAATACCCTCCAGGAAGCCTTCAAGGTCTACCGCAAGTCAGACCCTGAGGATGCAGCACGTGTTCTTTCTAGTGCTATCCAGCACTACGTACTACGAGGAAACCTGCGACGTGCGGCGACGCAGCAGCAATATCTTGCCGAGGTGTATGAGGTGGAGCTCGGAGATATGAAGAAGGCGCTTGACTCGTATGAGAAGGCTGCCGAGTGGTTCGAGGGTGATAATGCCGAAGCGTACGCATCTCATATCCATTCTGAGCTTTGTATGCTTGTAAAAGGGGATTCGGCTAACATCGACGTCATACTATAGTCTCGCAAACAAGCACTACCTTAAGGTGGCAGACTTGTCCGCCCTGGACGGCGACTACTACAAGTCCATCACTAATTACGAGCGCATCGGCCGGACCTCTATCAACAACAACTTGATGAGGTGGTCAGTTAAGGATTACCTCCTCAAGGCTGGTATTTGCCATCTTGCCACGAAGGTACGTTACTCCCGTCCCCTTCAGTCAAGAATAATACTTATCACATCTTTACAGGACCTGGTTGAGACAAATCGTGCCCTTGAATCATACCGAGAGCTTGATCCCAGTTTTGCTTCCACACGAGAGCACCAGCTACTCGTGGACCTGACCCAGGCTGTCGAGGGTGGTGACCAGGAGGGCTTCGCTGACAAGCTGTTCCAGTTTGACCAGCTTAGCAAGCTAGACAAGTGGAAAACCACTCTTCTTTTGCGCATCAAGAATAACATTGAAGAGGCTGAGGAGGACTTTTCGTAGACGGCGATTGAGTTATTGATTCCCCGCGCGTGACGTCTTTGGAATATTGAGTCCTCGAGTTTCGGCTTCTGTTTGAATTGTTCTTTTTCACTTGTACTGTTCTGGAAATGAATACAGATTATTGAATCTTCTGACAATGACCCGTTTCTTCCTGACCTCTGACTTGTTCCAAAGTCATTTCACTATGGAAATGCTTGGAGTATATGATCTCGACTAACATGAATAGGCTAAAATTGTACGGAATGAAGATCAGGAAATTCGTAATTCATCATTTTAAGATGCCTGGGTCTATATGTACTTTTGGTGTATCATGACAGACTCCTTCAACAACGGAGCTGTTCTCATCGTCGTGTAATCAATTCAGTCAAATGGTATCATATCATCCACTTCCCCAGAGCCCAAGTCAATAGCTTAGGCAGAAATCGCCTCCAAAGGCTGAGCCTTGCGAGGGAAAACACGCTTGTACAAACTGATACCCACAGAGTCTTGCGGATTGATCTTGGCATCAAAGGTGGCCTTGAAGTAACCGTGTGTTCCCAAACTCTCCTTGAAGTATCCGCTGCGGCCACGGCGGGTCCACAACTGGAGTGCCTTAAACCATTGAATGTCCTCGGCGTTGAAGAACATGTACCGGATGGTAACGACCTTCTTGTGAATCTTGTAGGGGTGACCAGTGAGAATAGCGCGCTTGGCAACGACACGCTTCTGATCCGGTGCAACGACGGTACCGGTACCGATCAGCTCAAGGCGGTCCATGTCAATAGCCTCTGTGGCATCGGCGGTATCCATCTCTTCGGGGTCCTCAACTTGCTTGTTCTTGAAGACGAGGATGGGGACTGCACCCCAGGTAACGGGTCCAATCCAGGAGGCGATGGCGCTGCGGCCAGGGTGCAGGAAACGGTCGAACTTGTGGACGTTGTTCGGTGTGTTGTCGGCTGCGGAGAAGATGGGGTTGACGATCATACGGCGAGGACCGCATTGGACGACAAGCTGCTCCTTGGACTTGAGGGGCTTCTCGTAGCTGGAGTTTAGGGACATGTTAACGTTGACCACAGTCTGCTTGTGTTCGTGGCGGAGCAGCGAGAAGAGTGAAAGCGGCTGGGGCTTGTTGCGCAAAATGGAGGGCACTGCGCGGAGGTGCACATCGACCCGAATGCCGGGGTTGACTCCACCTGCCAGAGCCTCTCTCAGGATGCGGTTCTTGGAACCCTTGTAATCAGCGAATTGCAGCAGTCGGCGCCAGTCCTCAGGCTCGTAAGGACGATCCTCGGATGTCTCCCAGGCACTGAGCTTGAGGTTCTTCAATCCACGGAATCGGGCCAGACGCTCTCTGGCCAAAACGTTGGGGTGCAATTCGATCTCGTCGGGGAACTCGAGGTCCTCCTCTGCCTCAGTCTTACGGCTGGCACGGTAGGCAGCCAGTTCTTGGGCCTCGTCCTCTGGAGATGGGTCGAGGAACATCTCGGACTGGGGGTATTCTGAGGGGCCACCTTCGGTCATAGCATCCTGGTGGTCAGGGAACACACCATCCTCTGGCGCACCGGCGGTGTCCATTTCCATGGGCTCATCTTCGTCGTCGACGTCGGATCCGGAGTCTGAGACATCTTCGAGATACCAAGCCGACTGGTACTTTGAAGTCCCCTTGGGCAACTTCTTAGGTGTTGCGGGAATGTGTGAGTCGTCATCAGAGAAGTAGTGATAGTCATCCAGCAGAACACCCTTCTTCTCGGTTTCGGCCATCGAGACCATATCATCATCGACCATATCGATTTCTTCAGGGGCGACGGTGGCCATATCATCCTGGTCTGCTGAGGGGGTGTCCAAAACTTGTGTGGTCTCATTGGTATCAACGTTCATCGCATCGTCCTTCTTGTTCTTGGTGGTTGCTAGTGGTGCAGCAGTGATCGAATCAATCTGGAAATCGCCCCAGCCGGGAAGATGGACAATACGGTCAGCCTTCAGGCCCTTTCCACGAACAACACCGGTGACAACGACGTCATCCACAACTTCCAGGTTGGACTCGGGCCACTGGATGTTCTCGACAAACATCCAGCTGCGATCATCACGCCAGCGGATTCCCTTGGGGGTGGCAGTGCAGAGCGAACGGATGGCATTGGAGGACTCCTGTCGAGAATCAAGAGACATGACCTTCTCAATAGTCGGGAAGAAGTGGTTGATGAAAGACTTCAACGAAGCAGCAACTCCAGGGCGCTTCTTGGGAGGCTCAACGCGGTTGAGACCCTGAACAACGGTCACAACATTCGAGATACCCTGGCTCTGAATCGAGCGCAACATCATCTCTCCATCATCATCAACTTCAACTTCAGAAGACAACACCAGCATAACGAAATCGGCCATACGGCACACATCCAGGGCGCTAATCAAGTCGAACTTGGCCGGAACATACTGCACACTCTGGCGGAATCTATCAATGCGCACGCGGGTAGGTCCATCGGGCGAGACCTCGCACGCAACATCGACACTCTCGTTAAGGGAGGTAATAGCGGCGGCAACGTCGATATCGGGGGACAATGGCACAACTGCGACATGGCGGGGAGCACCGCTCTGGCCGGCGAAAATGCTGGTAGCTTGGGCCCGGTCCTGCTGCTTCGTTGCCTGCCTTTGGCGGGCGGTGTTTCGGCGATCGAGTTTCGACTTGAGCTGTTGGTGGGGTGTCTTGCGTGAGCCCCGCTCATCACCTTCGATTTTGCCTAAGTTGAAATATGTTAATATGTGCAAATTATTGTGCATATTAACACAATCATACCTTTAGCCTGGTCTTTCAAGGCACTCTTGGAGGCATGTTTGCTCTTGTAGGGCTTGTGCGAAACCTTGGTGGTGGACCGGTGGTGGTGCACCGTCTGGGAAGGCGCCATATTGGCACTTGACCCTTTGAAACGAAATGGGAGAGAGTCCAGATTGAAATGTGAGGATAGTCAGAGATCCTAGGGCAAAACAATGCTCCCAAATGCAATATCAAAGCACGAAGTGTTCGCGGAAAAAAAGGAAAACCGATAAGAAAACAAAATTCGCCAGTGGAGGATAAGCGAGCGGTGAGTCCAAGTCTTGGCAACCTTTCGGGCAAAAAGACATTTTTTTCGGGAGCTTCTCAACCACCGTTGGATCTTTACGTTGGGTTACCTCACAAAGATTTCGAAAATGGCCGATTTATCCTCGAAAATGGCTGTTGCTCCCACGGGAGACAATGAAGCCAAGCTGAGACTGGCTGAAGCCCAGAAAACATACGGACGAGGCAAAGGCAACAATGTGAAAACCGCGCGAGACAAGAAGTTGCGCTCAAACCTCAAGAGACAGGAATACAAGCACAAGCAGGCTGTGATGCAAGCGCAAGATGCCGAGATTCTACTTGAGCACACTGAAGGATTTCTCGAACCCGAAGCCGAACTCGAACGGACATACAAGGTTCGCCAAGATGAGATCAAGGCAAGCGTTGGAATTGAGACCGCAAAGAAGGGATTCGAATTGAAGCTCACCGACATGGGCCCCTACCGCATGGACTACTCACGGAACGGACGTGATCTGCTGCTTGCTGGACGAAAGGGACATGTTGCGACGATGGACTGGCGCGAAGGCAAGCTCGGTTGCGAATTGCAGCTGAACGAAACTGTGCGGGATGCCCGCTGGTTGCATAACAACCAGTACTTTGCTGTTGCGCAGAAGAAGCACACCTATATCTACGACCACCAGGGTACTGAGATCCACTGTCTTAGCAAGCACCTGGAGCCATTGTTCCTCGAGTTCCTGCCCTATCATTTCCTCCTTGCAAGCGCTGTAAGTTCTCTCTACTACTGAGTATTATGTTTTCCGCTAATACGTCTGCAGCAAATGAGCGGTCACCTCAAATACACCGATACCTCGACCGGCCAAACCGTTGCCGAGCTGTCCACCCGGTTAGGCAAGCCTACAGCTCTCGCTCAGAACCCATGGAACGCCATTATGCATGTTGGACACCAGAATGGAACTGTCACATTATGGTCTCCCAACTCTCAAACCCCACTTGTCAAGGCTCTTGTTCACCAGGGTCCCGTCCGGTCAATGGCGATGGACCGCCAGGGCCGATATATGGTGTCCACAGGCCAGGACCAGAAGATGAATGTGTGGGATATCCGCATGTACCGTGAGGTACACTCATACTCTTGCTACCAGCCCGGCGCATCAGTCGCCATCAGTGACCGCGGCCTGACTGCTGTCGGCTGGGGCACCCAAATGAGCGTCTGGCGAGGCTTGTTCGACGCCGCCACAGCTGACCAAGGCAAGGTGCAGAGCCCATACATGGCTTGGGGTGGAGACGGCCAGCGCATTGAGAATGTCCGCTGGTGCCCATACGAAGATGTCCTTGGTGTCGGACACGACCAAGGATTCGCCAGCATTATCGTCCCCGGCGCCGGAGAGCCCAACTTCGACTCTCTGGAAGCCAACCCTTACGAGAACGTCAAGCAGCGCCAGGAGGCCGAGGTTCACTCTCTGCTTACCAAGTTGCAACCCGATATGATCTCGCTCGACCCCAACATCATCGGAAAGCTCGACACTATAAACGACAAGAAGGTCCAGGAAGAGCGCAGACCCGAACTGAAGGAAGACCACATGGAGAAGCTCAAGAACCGCGGTCGTGGCCGCAACAGTGCCCTGCGCAAGTACCTTCGCAAGAAGGGAGGCCGCAACGTTATCGACGAGAAGCGTCTCAAGGCCGAGACATTGCGCAAGGAACATGCCGCTCGCACGAAGGACAGACTTAAGCAGGAGCGTCAAGATCTGGGACCAGCTCTGTCCCGGTTCGCCAAATAAGATCGCTTGTTTCGTTTCTTGCCTGCTTGGCATATTCTTGTCGAGTAGGGAGGTAACCAACCTACCAAAAAAGCACCCAGATACCCAGCCCACACACGGCTTCTGTGACATATTTGTCGGAGATTTGGCGACAGCTGCATTCCAGGCGTTTCTTGGGGAATATATGTTTGTATTCGGGCAAAAAAGCAGTCATTTCACGAGTGTGTACCATCTACTTTCCAACATTACAATGAATATATTGAATATATTGAATTGAATTGAACTGAATTGAATCCAATTGCATAACCCTCGAGTCCTGCCATAATCCTTTTCAGAATTCATATACTACAGATCCTCTCTTCTCTTCTCTTCTCTACTCTACTCATCCACACTCCCAGAACCCCGAACAGCACCTTCTTTCCACCTCCTCAAACTCTCCTCATAAGCACCACTACCCTTCCAAGCACTAATAATCAAATTAATAATATGATCCATCCCCTTCCCATCCTTAACAACAGCAAAAACAGTCGGACCGCCCTCACGCATCTTCTTCGCATCCCGCTCCATAACACTCAAATCAGCACCAACAGCAGGCGCAAGATCAATCTTGTTCACGACAAGCAGATCAGACCCCGTGATTCCAGGCCCGCCCTTCCGGGGCACCTTATCACCGCCCGCAACGTCAATCACGTAGATGATGAAGTCGGCCAGCTCGCGCGAGTAGTTCGCTGCTAGGTTGTCGCCACCAGACTCGATAAGCAGAAGGTCTGTTTGGAATTGTTTTTGGAGTTTCTGGAGGGCGAGGAGATTGGCGCTTATGTCTTCGCGGACGGCGGCGTGGGGGCAGCCGCCTGTTTCGATGGCGCGGATGCGCGACGGGGCTAGGGCTTTGTGGCGGGTTAGGAATTCGGCGTCTTCTCTGTTTTTTTGGGGTGGTTAGTATTTTGGTTTGGTTTGTTGTGGTAGCATAGAGCTGGAGGTATAGGTTGAGCGTGGTATGGGGTAGGTATATCAGTTTCCTTACCTTGTGAAGATATCGTTGGTGACAGCAGCGATATTATACTCATCACGCAGAGCCCGGGAAAGAGCCAGCATCAGAGCAGTCTTGCCGGATCCAACAGGACTGTTCAGATGTTAGCAATTGTCTCTTCCTATGTCTATACATATCGAAAGGCGGATGTTCGACGATAAACATGGACCACGCAGACCATGCCCTAGTTGGTAAACTATACATACCCGCCAATACCAATGGTGAAGGCACGATCCTTCCAGTCACGGCCCTCGATCAGTGGCATCTCACGGTTAACGTAGGAGCCTGGGCCATCGAGGATATCGTGGGAGTGGCCGTGGCCGTTGAAAGGATCATCGTGGGAGTGGCTAACGCCAGCATCGTGAGAGTGAGAGTGAGCCATTTTGGAGATTGTATTTGTTATGGGATATGGTAAAGGTAGAAAGAAGGAGGGGCAATGTTTTTCAAGAAATGGTGGGGAACTGATAATGATAACAAATGCCGAGCTGCCAACAGTTGGCCGATGCCGAACGGAGTTCGCCGACTTGTGGGGAATTCTATCTACTATACGAATAAATTTAGCATGTTGGATACTACGAGTCATATAATGAGAAAGCAGGTATTTGTAGATTCGTCAAAAAAGCGGCAGAAAGAGGACAAACCCCATGGGAAAGTGTCAAAAAAGATCAAAGGCCACCAAGCAAAAGGCCAAATGGAACACCCCAATGCACGCAGACGACGTCCCAAAACAGAGACTTCAAAACCGGACGCCGGTTCAGTCACCAAACACGGATATCAATAATTCTGTCTGTTCACGAACAGACAAGTAAGGAAATAGCGAAGAATAGCTAAAGCCTAAACAAGAACAAACCAGAAGTCGTCAAATCCCAAGTATGGAAAAAGGATCAAAAGAAACCGAACGCAAAAGTGAAAACATGCAATGTCAGGCGGTTATCCCGAGCCAACCAAGGAAACGCTGAAAGGAAGATAGAGTACATTAGGTCGGAGTCAAATGGGATCGATGCGGCCTGGCGCCATCTCCTAGCGAGGATGATGGTGAGGTCACATGCAATTATATCCCGTTTGGACTGTGAACTGAGTCGTCATGTGCCGAAAGCGCAGATCTTTCAAGGCGATTGAATAAACAAACAAGGGTGGGCGATATGCTTTGCCCAGGTATCCAGTCGTACGCCAATTCCACGTCGCCTGAAATGGGGATGAAAAAGAAACCGAGTAAAAGCAAAAGAACTTCAACATGATCAGGCGGCGGCGCCCTTTTGTCGTTTTGGCACCCGAGGGCTAGCCTTCACTTTCGCTGAGCCCTGTTGGGGTGCGCCGTTAGCTTCGACTCCACCACCATCCTCAGACTCCATTTTGACCGTGCTTGCCCGGCGACGTTTGTTGCCACCTACATTTGGACTATTGTTCACACCAGCCGGAGATGGCTGCATTGGTGGTTGCATTCCTGGAGGACCAGCGAGGTTGCTTTGAGCAGGGCTTGGATGTGCTGAGCCAGTCAGATGAGGCGAGCCTTGTTGCCCAGGCAGGCCAAGATGAGCCATAGCAGGCGAGGCGAATTGCGAAGGGGCGTTCATGTTAGGGCCTCGAACATTTTGCATAGGTTGCATGCCCGGGTTCATGGGGCCTGGCACAAAGCCCGGGTTGGGATTTTGCGTTTGGAGAGTGTTGACGAGATTCCGCAATGCATCAGGGGGTGTTAACTGCGGGTTTGACTGCGAGAATTGGAACAGCATCTGCATTTGAGAAATGGTCTCGGCCACCTCCAAGAAGCCCATAACCGGGGTAGGAACACCATTGGCGGTGACCATCGAGTCCGGGAGAGATAATGATGGTGCGGGCTTCTGCTGAGCGCGCTTTGCATTTTTGGGGACCTTGGGGCTTTGCTTCTGCGAGTCGGCCTCCATGGCCAGCAGCAGGGACCGAGGGATGAACTCGTTATGATTGACAACATTGATATCAAGCATCTCAAGCCTGTTGTTGGCATCGAACCACGCGCGAAGTGTGCCATTGGTAAATAGCTAGAACGAAAAATTAGCCAATTGAATAATATGACAAAAAAAAGGACGTGAAGTACGTACCTGGCACTCATTCTTGAACCAATAAACGAACGAGGTTTTGCCGCTCTCTACAATGTGGCCTCCATTGCCAGACTCCCTCTCACGGGCAGCTTCCACACACATCTGAATTTGAGTAATTCCACTGGTGAACTGGGTCAGGTAGTAACGCGCAAGGGCAGGTGTCGCAATTTCGAATTGCTTTGACCCAGCGGTGTTGTTCCAGACACCCTGTCGCAACACACCTCCAGGAGAATAGAAGCGCTCGACGAAAGTCTGCCAGTATGAAAGATCATGTGCCTCGCCCCGGGATTGGAAATTACTCAAGACCTCCGCATAGCTGTACAGAGTCAAAATTGACTGTCCTGTGGGTTTCATCCTTTGCTGCATCATCAGGGCGTTCTGGTGCTGTTGCGCTTTCAATTGAGCCTCCTGGGACATCATCTGTGGGTGTTGGGGGCCTTGTGGCTGACCAGGTTGGCCTGGCTGGGGCTGTGCGCCCTGAGGAGTCTGCTGCGGACCGGGCTGTCCTGGTTGATTTGGCTGCTGGGGCAGTTGCTGTGGCGGGGGGTTCGGAGTTGCCTGGCCTTGAGGCAGTCCCTGCGATGGCGGTGGTTGGCTAGAGGGGGTCTGAGCAGGCTGGGAGGGTTGCGGTGTACCGCTCCCCGGTGGTGGACCATGCTGCGACTGGGGAGTGGCGCTCTGCGCTTCGTGCATGTTCGGTGGTTGCGCAGATGCCCGTTGCGGTGTATGCTGGCCCGGTTGTCCGTTATTCGCCTGTTGCGCCTGCTGAGCCTGATGCGCCTGTTGCTGTGCCTGTTGAATGGCGAAAAATTGCTGCTGCTGGAGGGTCTGTGGCTGGCCATGAGGCATTTGCTGCTGCTGCATGTGCATTCCCATGTTAACTGGTCGCATTCCGGGGTTCGCTTGCATCGCAGCCATTTGGGCGGCACTAATTCCTTGGGTACCATTGGGTAATGACACAGGAAGTCCGTGTTGCTGCTGTTGCTGTTGCTGCTGTGCCTGGTGTTGCTGCTGTTGCTGAAGCATCATCCGCTGACGCATAAACTGCTGCTGTTGGTGTTGCTGTAATAATTGCGGATTATTTGCGACTATAGGATGGCCAACAGTGTTAGCATGCGACTCGGCAAGATGTCTTTGCAAAAGATGTGGATGTAGCGGGGGGGCGATAATCCACCGCGGAAGATGCCGATCGCGTAACCCATCCAAGCAATATCGCACACACAGTATCAAGGAATAATGATTAGGCTGGATACTGACAGTTTTGAGGAAAAGGCTGGCCCTGAAGCATATGCGCCTGCGCGGGATTCAGGTGGGAGAGAGCGTGGGCATTGGGAACGGGGCCGCCAGGACCAGCCGTCCCAGCGCCCGGGGGCATCCCACCCATCATCGGACCAGCTTGGCTCACTTGAGGTCCTCCTGGTGCAGATACACCAGGGTGCATTTGCTGTACCATTCCGGGTCCCGGGTGTCCATTTGGATGTTGTCCGGCCATGGGGTGGCCGGGGGGAAATCCATGCTGCGGCATGCCTTGGTGGGCAGGGAACGGCTGCGTCATCATCATTGCTGAGCGACGAAGTCACCACTAAGGGGAGACTTCCAAACAGATCGCGACAGTGAAAGAGCGGCGATTCGTGACAAGGAAAGGAGCGCGTCCAGGATGCGAAGGCCGCTTTAGCGGGGCCAAGACGTAGCAAGTGACTCCGGTATTCAACAGAGATGCTTAAGCATCGATCGGGGCCTGCAAGTCACTCACCCGCTAACCGGTGACTTTTCTGAAGAGAAAAGGGTGTCAGTGGGGAGTGATAAGAGGGAGGTCGGGGGAAAGCCCGGGGGGCAGGGTAGTTAGGGGGGAGGGGCTGGGCAGCGGATATAGAAAGACACTCACCAAGATGAAGATGTAAACTGATGTTGACAGGGTTAGTAGGGGAGTTGGCGCCCATAAGTTCAAGAATTAAGGATGATCGCCCGGTGGGAGAGAGAGAACTGGGGACGGAGGATCCGGGTCCGTAGGTGGAGGATCTAACCGAGACGACAACGCGATCAATATCTCCTGGAAAAAGAAGATATGAAAACAGCTACAATGGCATGATGAAGGGATTGCAGACTAAATCAATCATCTCTGTGCTTTCTCAGGAAACGCGAGGCTTTTTTCTTCATCTCAGTCTGATCCAATCACGCGCTATGCCTAATGGGGAGGTCACGTGGTAAGTCTCTAGTCTTTTTTCTTCAACTTTTTTCTTCTCTTCTTCCTTCTTCTTTGTCTTCCTCACTCTCCTCCCCAGTTACTTCTGTTCTTCTTTTCAGACATTACGCCCGCAGTAGCTGTTCACTGTCTTTACTCCTTTTATCGAGCTATGTCGTGTGCTCTAGGGTGCTCTCATGATGTGGATTGCATCTCAGTGGCATGATGGCTCCTACTAACCAACAGATCAGGTGCTGGTACCTTTACCAATCTGTGAGTACCCAATTGTTCTTTATCCCCTGTTCAAGGATGACAAAACCCTTTACTTCTTTACCCTCCAAATCGACAATGCGGAGATAATTCGGACCTTCCATTCCCGGTTGGTCTGCTACTTGCCAGTATATCTTGTCTGAGAACATTCTGCCATGCATATTCACTATCATGTCTTGGGAAGAGCTCTCGCTAACATTGCTCTTCAGATATAGTATCTTAATACCCATGAACACGAAACCAAGGCAAATTGATCAGGTGATGAAAAATTCTCGGATGTAAACTCACAGACCTGTTCTTAATGCGCAAAACCGTGTAGAGATTTCCGTTGCCTTCCTTCTGATGATCAATTTGCCTCTGGGATTATTTTACTTACATACTTTCCAATGACTGAACATAGTTGAATAAACTTGATGTGCCTGTAAACATTTGGATTGAACTTACTTAGCATCCTGGCTGAAGATCATTACAGTGTACTGTAGTGAGTACCTGGACTTTTATATAGCGTGGCTATGCGCTGATTCTAAGATCATGCATGAGCTCTTGTAATTCATTGCATAGAACATCGTTTGTAGCTCGTTTTCCCTGCCAGTTGACAATGTAGAAAATATCAATCACGTGACTATGTATTTCTCCCTCGCAGGGTCCATCCTATGCGCCACTCGCGACTAGAGCATATCTCAATTCCCGGCGATATCATACACTCAAGTCCGGTGACCTTGTCCCGAATGTATTCGTCAATGCAACAGGTCCGGCTGTCCATTGCGCGCCCCTGTCGATTTGTCGCTCATCGCCGTTATTCCGCACCGTTATCCGCACCCTCACGTCGTTTCCATCTATCCAGAAGATGCCTCGTGTCACCACCCCAAGATCCTCATGATGTAGAATCTACAGCCCCAGGGGATGTCAGAGAAGACCACAGCATCAAAAGCGAACAAACGTCGCCCAATGGCCCGTCGGCCACATCTCCGTCCCCCGACTCGGTCAATTCGGCCACGAAAAAGTATGGATCTGCTGTACGCAGAGCTATGAGAAACCGGAAGTCAACCCAACAATCATCGACGCCAGCAGCCACTGTACCTACATGGTTCTTTGAGCGCAACACAGTGTCTCGCAGCCCCGCAATCCACGGCCCTACACAATCACTACAGCAGGTTAGGATAGCCAAGTCAGGGCCACCGGAGCCGGAAGATGTCACAAATGAGAGTCTGGCTTCTGGTGGAGATCCCAATTCGCCTGAGCCCAGTGAACCAGCTCCAGAGAACCGGTATGCGCTTGCTCAGGAATCATGGGATGAACTCCGAGCCTCGGTCAAAGCAGGCTTGCGGCTACCGCCTGCAAAGTATACCAAGGAACCTTCTGTGAAGAAGTCGCATCTGGCACTTCACTACCCTGGGAATGATGGGATCTTGTTTTTGGATGCAGTGGTGAAAAGGCTTTCGCATGAGCTAGGTACTGACCTTGTCACCCTCAATGCCCAGGATATTGCCCAATTATTCAGCGAGCAAGATCTGGCCGATTCGGGAGTAACTTCACCGATTCGTTCCCTTGGGTATGAGGTCTACCGGTCCTCTGTCGCAACACACTGGTCAGAATTGGAGGATCATGAAGATGGTGAAGACGATGTGTCTGAGATCCCCGGTGGCCCTCGTGGAATGCACGGAGCAATTGGTGTGCCTCGTTTCATCACAATCGAGAGCAGCAAGGATTCGGGAGACATTCCACTTCCCAACTGGCTTGGGCTGAAAACGCTCTTAGGGTCTATCAATGGTCAGCCAGACCCGGATCCTAGTGCTGGGGCTTCTCGGGGTGGCCAGCATGCCGAAACCCGCTGGGTTCAACTCGTCAACGAGATTCTCGGTCAGCCAGTGCAGCCGACTACCACTCTCAATGCCTCTGCTGAAAGCCCTGAAACGGACGCCAGCAAGGTTCAGTCATCTAGGGACATTATTGTGCATATTCAGGATTACCGTGATATTCAGAACACTCGGGAAGGCTCTAAGTTCATTTCTCTTCTGCACAAAGTGATCCAAGATCGGAGAGGGGCTGGTTCCAAGCTTCTGTTGATCGGAACTACCTCCCAGGAAATCCCTTCCGCGCCCTTAACAGACGGTGCTGGACTCCTTCAGAATGTTCTTGATGATCAGTATTCGAAGACTTTGTTCGTCACTCCAGCTATGAACTCAAAGGCAGCAGAAACTGTCTTCGCTGAAGATCGTAAGAAGCGCATCATGGACATTAACATCCGCCACCTGCAAAGCATGCTTCGATTCCGTTTGAATGAACAGGCTTCGCCGGTCACGGATGATATTCTGAGCAACCCCGCCTGGCCGCTAGAGCCAACTACGATCAAAGAATCCGGAATTGAGGATCGATACTGGTCATACAACCAAGTTCATTGGATTGCCACACTTGCACTTGGTTGCGCAGAGACCAATGAACCGTTTGGATTTGAACATATCCGCCGCGGTATCGAGCTCATGGATAAAGGTGACAAGGTGACCAATGAGTGGTTGAAGGAGAAGTCTCCCAAGCAAAAAGACTCGGAAGCGGGCCAAACTCGCGAACAGCTTCTGGCTTCTTTGCGCAAAACATGCAACACGCACGAGAAGAAGCTTCTCAATGGTGTGGTCGATGCAAACAGCATCCGCACAACATTTAACGATGTTCACGTCCCTCCCGAAACCATTGACGCCCTGAAGACCCTCACTTCTCTGTCACTTATCCGTCCCGAGGCATTCACATACGGTGTTCTTTCCACTGACAAGATCCCTGGTCTTCTCTTATACGGACCTCCGGGTACTGGTAAAACACTTCTTGCCAAGGCCGTAGCCCGCGAGAGTGGCGCCACCGTCCTCGAAGTCAGCGGCTCTGAGGTGTACGATATGTATGTCGGTGAAGGCGAGAAGAACGTGAAAGCCATCTTCACACTCGCCAAGAAGCTGAGTCCCTGCGTCGTCTTCATCGACGAAGCAGACGCTATCTTCTGCTCACGTACCGGAGCTAGTAGCCGCACATCCCACCGCGAATTGATCAACCAGTTCCTGCGCGAATGGGACGGTATGAACGACCTCTCAGCCTTCATCATGGTAGCCACCAACCGACCCTTCGATCTAGACGACGCTGTTCTCCGCCGACTGCCCCGCCGACTCCTAGTCGATCTGCCAACGGAGGAAGACCGCCTCGCAGTCCTAAAGATCCACCTGAAAGAAGAGCAACTCGACCCCTCTGTCGATTTAGCCGAGCTAGCCCATCGCACACCCCTCTACTCAGGCTCCGACCTAAAAAACCTGTCAGTAGCAGCCGCACTGGCCTGCGTCCGCGAAGAAAACGAGGCAGCAGCCAAGCATACAGGCTCCGAGCCATACACCTACCCAGAGCGCCGCATTCTGACACGGACTCATTTCGAGCGTGGAATGGAAGAGATCAGTGCCTCCATCAGCGAGGATATGTCATCTCTATCTGCCATTCGCAAGTTCGACGAGCAGTACGGTGACCGCAAGGGCCGGCGCCAGAAGAGCGCTGGGTGGGGATTTATCCCTGCCCCTAGTGGTGAGGCTGCAGTTGAATCAGCACGTGTTCGTGATTGATCTTTGATCTTTGGTTCCGTTCCATTTTGTTTCTTTTCGCCGGCTTTTATTGAATTGTTTTGTTCGGAAACCGGGGGCTTTTCCTTGTGTACTATTAGCGATATGATAGACCTGTACCAATAGTCAAACTTATATACTGCCATCAGTGGGCACTCGGCATTTACGCAATCATTTGACGATCATTGTGATTTTTTCTTTGGAATGTGGCTTGCCTGGTGAATCGTAGTAATGTGGTGGAGTCTCGCTTGAACCCCAGGCAGAGACATTTGGGTCTTGCACGGTAATCAGGTTCCTACATCTACGTATGCGTTGGGGGTTTCTTTACTCTTCTTTCTCTTCTTATAAGTTAGCCTATTTAGGCAGCAAATAAAGAGTTGCATTGACATGATACTTGGAATGGAGATATATAGAGGAGGAAGTGGAAAGCAGATCAATACCTCCTTCTCACTTTATCCTTGACATTACCAGAAATCCTTTTTCTCTGTCCACTCCAAAATTGCCTTTCTCCTCTGTATCGAAATTCAATCACTGTCAATATGTCGGTGCGTGATCATCTCCCGAAGCGTGGGCATAGTATAATGAAACACTGACATCTCACCTCACTCCCTAGAATCCATCCGGGTACTTGATATCCCCAACCAAATGTCATCGAGTACATATAGGATGATAGCAACTGACAAACATATCCTAGAGTAACGATCCAAGACCAGTGCATCGCCGCATACAACCAACTCCGCGCAGGCAGAGGAACCCCCAAACCAAAGTTCATCATTTACAAAATCTCCGACGATACCACAACTATTATATTAGAGGAATCATCCCCAGAGACAGACTACGAAGTCTTCCTCGAGAAACTTTCTTCTGCAGTTGACAAAGATGGAAATCCGGCTCCGCGGTATGCTGTGTACGACGTGGAGTATGATCTTGGGAGTGAAGGCAAACGGTACGAGCTGTTCACCTTTATAGTCCATTCGATGCTCTGGGAATATCACTGACTATGATTGGATCTCTAGGTCTAAGACTGTCTTCATCCATTGGGGACCATCTCATGCTCCGATCAAGGTATACTATAATCCCCGTCATTTAGAGATATATATCAGCTAACCAAACAATGATAGCTTTGTATGCTTTATGCCTGCAGCAAAGAACAACTAAAGAAATCCCTTGACGTCAGCATCTCCATCCATGCAGATAGTCCGGATGAGCTCGAGTGGAAGCATGTATTGAAGGAGGCGAGTGGGGGTAAGGCATAGGTGCATAGATGCAGGCGTGTTGGGAAAGGATCGGCACGTCAAGCAACAAGGCGTATGGGCTGAGCTCGGCACTTATCTACGGGAAAGGAGGAAATGATAGGCAATTATTAGGATCATGTTGGTCTCAGGGTGATCATAAGTTGTGCTTTAAGTCGTAACACCCCGTGGCAAGGGATACTCCGCTCCTATGTAGAACTGTAATTTAGCAAAAAGCAAAGCTTTAGGGCTAAGAAGTATCGACGTGGTCCGTGTCACGCCGACTTGGCGTCGAGCTCAATATAAGCGAAGTCTATACTTCGTAGTACTCGGTTATTGCTGGTCAATCGCTTCGTATTGCCATATTAAACGCGGGAACATGGTGTGATGGCTAGTACATGGTCTAAAATGGGTATTAATAGGTATTCAGCGGAATCGGAGGTATATAAAGGCCCACGAGAGTATATACAAGAAAGAGCAGCCCGCAGGATATACCGGCAAAGCATCTCCGCATTGGGGCACGTGCCATATGACATCGCGTCTGATCATCCCGCCACCTTCTCTCCCTTGACTCTAGGGTGAATCTTCTGTGAGGAGTCTGATCTCATTCACCCATATTTTCTGCACTCTTTGCATCACCAAGGAAATCTGGGGTGGGAGTGCACGGGCGATCGAGACGAAAAAAAAAACCTTACAGCTCCCCACTTCACCCGCACAACCCCCCACATCACCGAGATCGCGAAATGATGGCGACAGGGTCTCGCGACGCCTCTGTTCGTGAGGCCAAGCTATTCGTCCGAGAGGTCGTGCGCAATGACTGGGAATTTGACGCTGAAGTTCCTTCCGCTTCCTCCGCCGATGGTACCCTCTGCCATAACCGCGAGGTGGTCGAGTGGCGAGTACGGGAATTTGACAGCCCAACCTCAGAGCTAGAGGCGCAGAACTCCGACACAGAAGATGATGATGATCCGTCAGCGGCTGTAGGAGATATCGCAATCGAGCGCCGTCGCAAGCGTCGTCGTCAGATGGACGAGGAAATGGCGTGGAATACCGGTTTGCGCATGTGGATGGCTAGGCGCAATGCTTGGTCTGGGGCTAAGACTCGGCGGCAGATCCGGGCTGAGGAGGAAAAGCATGCCTTGGCTGGGCAGGCCGACACAACAGATCTATCGGATACCGGTGGTTCGGCGGCTACCTCTCCAGCTACGAGTTTGCCTGGTCGAAGCACCGAGGCTGTTGGCGCATCCGATCTGGCGGCCAAGACAGAAACTTCCCTTTCAATCCAGGACCGAGGGAAGGTCGAAGAGCTTCAGCGGTTAGCAGAGACGACCTCTGGACAGCAAGCGGACCTTGAAGAAGGGCAATCCACTGCCCCAGACGAGGAGACCAAGCCCAGTGATTCTCTAGGAAAAAAGATTACTGAACCCGATAATCTTTCCACGGACCCTAGTCATCTGGCTTCACTCCCTGCCGTGGAAGATCAAACAGAAGAGGAAAAGGAAGAAGAAGAACTCGACGAGCCACTCCTGCCAGTTGCGCCTCCCTTCATTTCAGACGACAATCCTGTCCGCGCAACTATCAACCCCGCAATCTACCCATCAATCTACACCAAGGTTGTTGTACAAGGCATGACACCTACGGTGCCCGTCAACCTAGCCCATTTGACCAAAGCCATGGTTCAAGGCTGGAAATCAGATGGCCAGTGGCCACCAAAGCCAGCAGCGACATCCATTGTCCTCGCAGACGATGCCACCATACCCAAAAAGGCAGATTCCACTGCCAATGACGCTCCTCAAGGGAGGCGGAAGAACAGTATCACAAATGCCGTGAAGAAGGTTTTCCACTTTGGGCCCTTCCACCGCCGCGGCTCCAGCAGCCATGATGTTGGAAATGGGACTGGTGCTGGCGCTGCTGGCGCTGCTGGTTCTGCTGTTTAGGTACATTACGAGGAGTAGCTAGCTCGCTAGCAAGCCTACCTTATTCTGCTACATATGGATTATTGCATACCGATTCCAGTTTGAACTTATGCGGGTCGAGGGATTCTTGCATCTGGCATCGGAGGTTTGGGCTTTATTTGGCGTCTTTGTCGGTGATTTTGAAATTGGTTTTTCTGTTTATACTCGGGCATGTTTATCGTTAACTTTGGACAATGGGGAAATATCATGCATCTGTCTAAATATATACATGTCCCGGGCAACCCATAAGTTAGTATGTACAATCACATGGACCTAGATCACGCTTATCGGATCCTTTTCTGGGGGCCGTTAAATCGTGTGAATTAATAATGCCTTAGCCATGTAAAATCTGGTCCTCTTTTCAGGCCATGTTCGTGATGAAAGAGATAAACAAGCAAATTTTCCCTCACTTTGATTCCGTCAGGTGTTATCTGAAGAGCTACTGTACTAGAACTAATAATCTCGATGTGTAGAGGCATGCGGAATGAAACTTTGATTGTCACCAGTGACCATCGCGCCCTTGAAGGCTTGATAGACTGTCGCAGGATCTTGAGACAGATCAACAGCCTCGCACTGGCCGAAATTCGGAAGAAAAAAAACTCCAACCGTGCAGTGTTGGATATCTGTTTCCTGATCTTTGGCTTGTGCAGATGTCCCAAATACAAACTCCACATCGTCCCCGTTGAGTGCGGATCCCTAATGCAAGATTGCATAAGCTCTGCCCATCTTATTTGCCAGTCTCATAGTATTGATCCCAATTTTGGTCATCGAATCGAGATAGAGAGGGAAATTCTGGAGAGGTGCGTCGTTGTTAGTGGTAGTTTTTGCTCCCTGGTTCGAACAAACTATGGGCAGGAAATCATTTGCACATTTCCATACCGCTATGGCAAAGCTTCACTGCCATCCCCAACGCGGAAACTAAGGGGGGGGGGGGCCGCCTTGCCTTCGAGGAGTATCTGTGCCACAAAGAACCAACGATACGCCAATGGGCTGAAGACGCCCGTGATGCCTTCAATGACCTCCGCAACTCCCCAGATCCTCTTCTGCATTTTATTATCAGGATCTCAATCAAGAGGGTCGAAAAACTGCACGTACAGCATGGGAGAAGAAGAAGAAGAAGAAGAAGAAGAAGTATGACGAACTACGAGAGTAGCTATCGGGGGAATGAGTAGTTATTGCGGAGAGCCATGGTGAGGAACTAAGGGAGGTCAGCGCCGAAGCTCTCAATTCACAATTTCCCGAAAGCTGGGGTTGAATGTCAACGACGGTGACAAGATCTTGCTCAAGATGCATCTAGCGGATACTAGTCCTCATGCACATCCCTATGTCAATAAGACGAGGTTGGGCGATCCTGCAAGTCGATTGGCAGTAGCTATCAGGGAATTAAGCGGGAAGTTCTATGGGTGGTTGACAACAAGTGGGAAAATGAATCCAAAAGATGAACTCTGGTGGATGTTTTGGAGAGGCTTACCCCGGAGAAGAGTCAATCTCCCCCACGGCGCTGGCATGTAATGCGCATGGTCTCAGGGCTGAGACCTCGAAGAAGCATACATGTTCCTAATTGGGATGGCTTTCATCGGCGCGTCAGAATTTTTTTTTTTTTTTAAAAAAAAAAAACCCCCTTGGAACATGGGAGAAAGAAAAAAAAAAAGGAAAAAAAAACATAGACATAGCATGTCCTGGTTTCGATCCAGGGTCCTCCGGGTTATGAGCCCGGCGCTCTTCCCCTGAGCTAACATGCTGGGATAATTGCAGTCTTCTCCACTTTTGGCTTTATAACCGGAAATGGACGCAATCAATATTTTCGCAATTAAATGTCCATTGTACATTGGGATCCTTTCTGCATTAGTTTTAGATTTATGGCGATTGATTCTAATAAATATTGCCGACTTAGTATTTCTTATCCTTGCACTGATCGCACTAATCAATGGCGTTTTGGTGTTGTCTATGCAGTTTCAACCATGTCTCAAAGAATATATAGTTATCGCGTCTGCAAACCGATAAACACCAATAAATAAAGCAAGCCGACACATGATTAACTATATACAGTCACTTCATAATCGTACCAAAGTTACCAATTAGTTGCATCACCTTCCACCAGCCTGAATACCCCCAAGTCTCCCTCCCCGACTAGCAGGGAAATTGCGGGCACTCAACAGCGCACCTTTAACACCCCGAATATCTGCCCTGAAGCCAGCAATAGCATCCTCCTCAGCTTTCCGCAGACCGGCATGGTTATCCGACCCAGATGCATGGGTAGCATTCCACACACCGTACGTCGAACCTGTTGAGTACGCGGGAGCACTATAGATCAAACCATCGCAGTAGTGATGGAGATCCGAAAGACCAGTACGCATATTGTCATCGAGAGTGCTCGCATTCTTCTCCGAATCAATGATTCCTCGCAGCTGTGAGGTAATGGACTCGATTCGGCTGACGTGATTGTCAACAGCAGCCGTCGGCGTTGCGATAGCCGAGTCTGCCGAGTTGATCGGGTCCGTAGTGGTAGGTGCTGGTGTTGGCTCTGGGCTTGTCTGTGTTGCGACGTCCCGGTGGAAGAGTTCAGTTGGGTCGGAAGTGATGGAGTCGGTGTCGTTTGCCTCTTCTTCTTCGTCACCGTAGGGCTTGGGCTTACGTGCTGTGAGCTGGGGCGGGATCACGGAGACTGTCTTCTCGAGCTTTTCATTTAGCTTCTGCAGATTACCTTCTGCTGTCGTTGCTAGCTCGTGCCGTGCGCTTGTTAGGTTGGCGAGCATTGGTTTCACTAGGTACTCGCTTGCGCCGTAGATGCTTGCTCCCAGACCGGCTGCTCCATAGAGCGTGTAAACAAGGTTGCGCATTGTGACTAAAGGTGGTGGCTTGTTCGACTCGAAGAGGAATTCCGGATAGGTGATTATGGGAGGCACATCGCGGGAGGCGGTGGTGGGCGCCGCAACTGGGCGCTGTGGCGGCATGGCATTGGTATCGGTAGAGGTTGGTGTAGATGCGGCAGGAGTAGAGGATGTGTGTTCTGGCCGAGAGTGTAGGGCATGTTGTGTCTCTTCCTGCGCCTTATCATCGGTCGCGGTAGAGCTACTTGCCTCCGCGTTTCGGGAGACGCCGAGGACCTGCTGGATGTCCTCGGAGCTCAGTCCTTTGGACTCAAGGAAGGTAACTTTGCGGTCTGTTGGTGCATCTTTGATTGACTCATCGTCCAGAAATTTGGATGCTTGTGCTAGCAGGTCATCTCGAGATGTAGTTGAGGGTGCGGGCGCATCGTCGGAGCTCGGCGATGATGACGGGGATTCATCTGCTGTGCTACTAGCTCTCTGCCATGAAGGAATAGACGACTTGCGTGTGTTATCAGACATTATGCTGTGTCTGAGTTGCCAACCAAAGTGATGAGGAGGTTAGAGTGGAGAGGAGAGGCTTCCCCAGACTTGGAGCCATGTGAGCCCCCGACCTCGGCTGTTGCAACATCGGTGTACGCCTCAGGCATCAAATATAGTTCTCCGTTTTGACGCGGTTTTCTACAATTAATATATTGGAGCTCTGTTCGAACATGATGGAACTTGAAGCAAACAACAAGTAATTGATTAAGAAAATCCGAACTAGAGCTGAACTAAAGGTGTGAGACAAATGAAGCCTATCGAGCTAAAAACGCGAGACGAACTAATTGTACCTAACCCATGTCCATTGAACACACTGAAGTGTACTTCGAATGAAATTTAGCTATTCATACATTCATACAGAATATAACAAAAATGAACGCCTTTGAAACTGAATTTCGTAAACCCCGAGATAGAAGAGCCACCGCCCGGCAGAATGGCTCGGCCAGTACTTCATTCGCTCAACGTCAACACAACTTGAGACGGAAAGTACCAGTGAGTATGTGCCCCTATTCCTGTTATTTCCTTTGCCTTCTGCCTTGTTCTCCTTAATCATAGTGGTATTGGCATCTCTCAGGGGACAATTACCCCCCTGTCCCCTTGTAGCGCTTTGTTCCTCTGAATCGTGGCGTCCAGGACCTGTGCCTCCCCGTTTGCACCTCCGCATCGCATCCTGTAGATGAGATGATTGGGCGGGGGATATCTTTCCTGCCTCTTCCAGGCGTCCCCCGACTTTCTGATGGTTTAAGTCGCTACTGCCACACACTTATCCATTACTCTATCCCACATCCTTTTCTGTGTTTTCTGCACTCCCACAAGCCCCCCTATCACACTGGGCACCATGTCACTCCGCCGATCTTGTCGATCGCGAGGCATTCACGACGAGACCGCAGAACCGGACGCTAACATGAGGACCAGATCATCAAGACAGACTCGTGCTACTACTTCATCTGTATCTGTCTCGCGATCTTCATTGGACTCCCCTGGAGAATCGGTCAGATCACTCCACCTGACAGTTAAAATGCCTGCCAACAGATTGCGTGAAGCGACGGGCAGTGGCCGCGCCGGGCGCCGCTCTGTCAATGTGTTTCGGGAAGATCCCATTGTGTTAGGACCCCGCTCCAGTCGGAACCGAAAGAAGATTGTAGAAGTTGCTACGAGCGATGAAGAAGAAATCGAAGACCAAGAGGAAGATGAGATCGACGACGAGGATGCACCTGGAGATGACGACGATGAGGATGCTGATGCGGACGGTGACGCTGACGGCGACCTCGATATGGATGACACCCCACCACAGCCGCCTGTAAGACGCAGCAAGGCTGCTCCTGCACCTCGCGTAAAGCCACCTAAGAGTGTCGAGGCCAAGGAAATGGAGATGGATGAAGATGAAGAGGATGAAGAAGACGAAGAGGAGGAGCAAATATCCGACTCCGACGATGATGCCGAGGGTGAAATCGAAGATCAGGACGAAAGCGGAGTCCCAGATGTCACCGTCGATGACATGGATGAACTCGATGACGATATGCTCGACGAAGAGTTGGAGGGTGAACTCTTGGATGGCGGCAAGATGACCAAGCGTCAGCGAGGGAACCTTGGGAATGACTTCTTGCAGCTCCCTATGGGTAAGAAAATACCGGAATAAACGGCAAATTCTGGCGCTGACTAGCAAACAGAGCCTCAGGTCAAGAAGCACTTGACAGCGGAGGAGCGCCAAATGCGCCGTGCAGAGATGGCTCGGCGCAGGAAGAACCTGAGCGAGAAGCGCAATGAAGAGGAAAAGGTATGCGCATAAAGTTCGTGTTGGAAGAACCCCCGCTTACATGAGAATCAGATGGACACAATCAATCGACTTCTCAAGAAGCAGGCACCGAAGCGACGTGGTCGTGCTGCGGCAAACGATGCTGCCGATGGCACCCCCGCTGGTCAAGAGACATCCGAGCCCGAGAAGGCTGATCCTATTTTTGTCCGATGGGTCAGTGGTCCCAGTGGTTGCAAAGTTAACGTGCCAGAAGAATGGCTGGGTACACCTTCTGGACGTATGTTTGGCGCCCCTCCATCTGCCCCTGTGGGCAAAATGGTTGAAGAACTTTGATGCTATACAGTGCAACTTACAACGGAACGGCGCTCTGAGAAAATATTTTATACGGCATTCGGGAATGGATTGGATCATCTTCATTTGAAAGGGAATAATGTGGAATGGCGTTCAAAATATGTTTTTATTTACAGACAGGCTTGAGCCATGCAATCCGTCATGTTTGACACTCCACATACTCCGTCTAATGCGCCAATTGAGCTATATCGTAGCTCTTTCATATCAATCAGCCAACAGGAGGGCATTGTACAACACACCGTGTTGCGAACCTAGTCAATCTGAGGCACTCTACCAGCGAGTGTTTCAAGTTGGCCCTTAAATCAATACCAAATATTTCCGGTCAGAAGACCGGGCAAAGTGCAAGGCAGCACCTATACTACCCCGAGCACCGGAGTCTCGGGACAGAACACAATATCTGACGAGGCGTATTTCCGAACGAAGTAGAACAAAGTAGCAATTAAGCCATCTCCTACGCTCAAAAAGCCAATGCGATGGAAAGTCCAAGCTCACTGTTTCTCCGTGGTTGACGTAGCGGCGTCGCCTTGAGGAGGGGAAACGTCGGATTTCTCCTTCGAAGCAGAAAGACTAGACAAACCAGAAGGCTGGCGGTTTGCGTTCGCCTTCTCGTGTTGTAGTTGTTGGAAAGTCGGTTGGAAGGTGTAGTAGCCTGCAGATCGGAAAATTCGCGGTTAGGAAACCGGTAATTGGAGATAGACATCGCTCATAAAGAACAAAACATACCTGTGAAAACACCGACGCCAATAGCCAGAAGAGCAGGGACAAAATTGCGACTCATGTTGTGGTAGTCAAGAGATCTGGAAGATCTGATGGGTGTTGTGGGGGAATGGCAGACTTCGGAGGTGATGCGGGAGAGAGACGTTATCAGTTGGCTGATTAGCGGCGCGTGAAATTGACCCTTCACCACGCGTCGAATTACAAGAAGACCATTACGAACACTATCTGACGTTTTATTCTGCTGTATTTCGTGATTTACAACCCGAGGATTCTTATATGCTCCATTTCGACGCTCTCCGATGACTTAATTGAGACATGGGCGATCCCCGCCAAGGATGCAAATGGAATCATGGCGGCAACGAGGTTATGTCCCCGACTCGGACTCGGACTCAGAAGATGGATTCGATTCGATAGAGGCCAAGAAGGCGAATCTCGACAATGACTCTGATGGTCCCGATCTCGACTATATCTCCACCCCCATCTCTGCGTCGACGCCGAATCTGAAGGAAGGGACGAACGGGTCAACACAAGAGCATTGTGAACGGGATGGTGCCGAGCACGGCTCCATTACACCGTCAGATGTCGAAGATCACGCTTGCCGAGAATCGCCTGAGAAAAGAATTCGAATACAGCAGGCTACGACATCTAAAGCCAACGACGAGCGGAGAACTATACACACAGAGCTCAAGGGAGGGGCCGAAGGCGATGCAAACTCCCATGATGAGATTACGCCAGCCCGTCGACGAGGACGCAAAAAATACGGGACTTGGTCGTCAGCTACAAAAACGAGGAATCGTCGCAGCAGCGAGTTGCGCATGACCCCAGCAAAGAATACAGAAAACATATATGACTTGCCGGAGTCCTCGCAAGAACAAGAGAAGGCTTCGTCGAAACCTGCAAGTCAAAAGTCTACCCCGAAAGCTTCGAAATATAGATGGCAGTCACCACCCCGAGTTATAACAGAGCCTCGGACCTCCAGGGCTAATATTCGCGTTGAGATTCCTCGATTTATGAGCTCCTCGCCGGATGAGCTGAGCTTGATTCCTCTGCCTACCCGGAAGAAGACCCCTGTGGTAAATCGTGTTCAGCCGAAAGAGGTACTACCACCGCCAGCACCGCCGCATTTAAACTCGGATGACGACTCCCCCTTATCTTCTGCACCGTCGTCGCTTGGCTCTGACCCAGCCCACAATCCCATGGAAACAGAGATTGTGACTAATGGTGATCAGAATGGGGACGGGCAGCCACAGACAGCAACGACCTCTGACCTGCAAGACTCACTAGACGACCTGCTGCCTCATTTGGATATCCCGGAAGATGTCTTGCGGGAAATGCCCCAGGCAGAACAAAGAACATTCCGAAAGCGCAATGCCATCCAGTTGCAGCCGTATTACTTGGAACAGCTCAAGTACGCCCAGCAAATGAAAGCGCGAGGCGTCAAACCAATTCGTCAGGCTGTTCCCCAGCAGGCACAACAAACTACAGATGAGAGCCAGGGGCAAGATTCATTTGACCCGAACGTGCCTCCATCAAGCCCTCCCCAGGAGGAGTATCTTCCCCCTGTCAGACCGGAAAAGCCGCGAAACTCTGTTAGACAACACCAGGAACACCATGACCCTGAAACACCTCGGAATAGGGAAGCGCATATGGTGAAACGGCGGAAGATCTCACACTCTAGCACACCTCGTGCACGCCGGGATCTTATGCATAAGCCGTCTAAACCTCACGGAATCAGAGACACGGCCCCCAAGAACCAGCGTGGCACTACCGCTTATGAGCTTTCTTCCAGTCCCCCACACACAGGCCGTCTATCTTCCGCATCGAAAACACCACGGGCATCAGAGGGATTCCGCTTTCCTCGTGGATGGACCCCACCACCCCGGGTCACAAGCCCTGGGGCCCAGGAAGAAGAGAAATCGGACGAGGATGAGCCAGCTGGGCCGGGGTCTAACAGCGACGAGGACATACAATCTGTTTCCTCCAATAGTCAGCGATGTGTCAGCGAGAAGGACCAGGCGGAGGCAGAAGAACGTGCGATTCGACGAGAGCAACGGCGGATGCGTGGAGTCCTTCCTGCTTCATGGTTTAGGCTCGATCAGAAAGCCAAAGAAGACAGAGCAAAGCCCTCGCAACATGATCGTCATATTGGGCACCGCCCAGATGGAAAAGGTGTTGCGCGAAAGTTGATAAGGAGAGGTGATCGCTCGAAACCAGCAGCCACACAGCAGTCAACCAGCCTCTTTGATCTTGGAGACTCTGATGATGATGAGGACGAACGTACCAACAACAGTACGACGCTTATTACTGATGGGTCCAGTCAGCGGTTAACTGGTACAACTCGCTCCGAAGACCCTTTCGCACTGGAAGCAGGTGATATATCGGAAGATAACCGTATCGACTACATGTTCGCACCAGCACTACGCAACTCCCCTGGAAATCGACAAAAGCGAAAGAGCTTGAAGAGGCCGAAGTCGAAAGAAGGCGCGGCTAATGATGAAAGGCAGAGAAAGAGGCCGAAACAAACTCGAATGACCGATGCTTCGAATGGAGGACGAAGAACAAAGAAATCGTCTACTGTTGCACGACCACGCTTAGGCATACTGGATGCACCAGATGTAGCTACACAATCTCGCAAAGAGCAGCCACATTTCCTCAGGGTTGCAGCAAGAAATGCTCGCTCCCGCCAAGATGGAGGCCGACAAAGCCCCACTCAGAAATTCTTGAAGCTAGCTTCCAGAGCTGATACGGTGGATGCGAATGAGTCCTTACGAGATTGGAAGAGGGGGGCAATCCGGCAGACTAGAATCAGTCCACCGCAGCCTAGGGCTCGCAAGCGTCCGCAAGCACCAAAGAAGGCGCCAATCCCTGGTCCTCGTGGTATGTCAAAAGCTGGCCATGCCCGAAATACTCGAATAACCAGCCATTTTCCCACAGAGGATGAGGCTGGTCCACCAAGCTATTTTGCTGAACAGACACAAGCATCACCGGAAACTGGGGCAATCTCAGTCACATCAAACCAAACTCCCAAACCAAAATCTTCTTCTCGTCGCCAGCCAGCGCAGCCAGAGAAACGGGGACACACCTGGGTTATCCCTAGGAATACTGTAGTTACTTCCTTGAAAAGAAACACCCCTCGGCCTGCTGTAACGAGTTCGGCAGGCCCTAGTGGGAGCAAGAAATTGACAGCGACCGCTTTCAACCAGTCACTATCCCAGATAAATCGACGTTATCGCAACCAACACACGTGTCAAGGGAACAGGCCTAGCCTGACTTTGGATCGCTACCTTACCGACAGTGGATCGACAAGTGGCGGCGTCAATTCATTACCCAGACCTCCGCCTGCACCTTTAGTTGAGCCAAAAAATCAGGCGCCAGTCCAGAAAGCGCCTCCAAATCGACGACGACTGAAGAAGCATACTCCAAATCGTATAAATCTTGACAATGAGGAGTTCCGCCAGACGCAAGACACTGCGGTGTTTGTATCCGACGATCAAGAACCTCCCACCGTAACCCAGGTCGGAAATGCGCAGCCTTCATCTTTGAGTGTTGGTGGACTGTTCAATTGGCACCGTTTCTACCCAGTCGACTTCGGTACACCATCCTTACGTGATAACACTTTCTTCCATGAATCGACTTTCATAGGAAGCGGGGAGTTTTCCAACTCATTGCAGGTCGCAAAGCGTGACTTGGATGGAGGTGCTAGTTCGTTTTCTATTCAAGCCAGGGACCAAACGTACCACTGGACCAGCTGGAATGATACCGTATCCTCTGAAATGGGCAGTGTCTTTGATGTGGTAATCGACAACGTTGAGCGAAGTGCTACCACGTCGCCAGAAGTGGGTATCACAGCTGCCCTGGGGGTGGCATCGCGCTTATACAGGCTGTTGATCAAATACACCACGGAGAACCTAGTATTCATTGATCCTGTTGACCGGACCGGATTTATCACCAGAGCTACGGGGCTGGTCTCTGTTGTCAGAGACCCCCTTGTTGCCTTTCTTTCTAGTGATGAATACAACAAGAACGGCCTAGTCAAGATTGCTTGCTTTAACGTGGTGTTCTCGAACCTGATTTATCAAATTGCTTCTCACCAACTTGTCGGTCCTACACTTGCCGTTGAAGCAATGGACCTTGTCAAAACCTCTGCTACAGATGTTGCGGGATTGATTATATCTGATGTTGGCTCATCCGAGTTCAAGCGATTCCTCGAGGAAAACAACAAAACTGAGCGTCGCGAGTCAGGCCTTCGCGACGAATACCCATCGGTGGAGGCTTACGTTGTGATCAAACACTTGCTCCGCAGCTCCGAGCAATACAAGGGCTGTTTCGAAGATCTTCAATTGGAGACATTCAACAGTAAAGTCATCAACGACGAGAAGGATGTTAACAGGTTAGAGGCTGGATGGCGTGGTTTGTTCACAGTCCTGCCATTCAACGAGATAGATCAGCTCGGAATAGGGCGAAACGGATACCAATTCACCTCTGCCCATGATAACTGGAAACTGGTCAAACGACTTCTCTCTCCTGCGCTGGATCACTCCGAGGCGAGCTCCATGACTCAGCCTTTCTCATACAATGGCTACTGTCGAACCCTTTTCCACCGATGCCATCGTCTCATCAATACATGGGGATGGCGAGAATGCAAGCCCATTCTGGACACACTTTTCGACTTCTTCGCGAAAAACACTCTGTATAACCTGAAGCTCGAGGAAGCCCGTGGATCGCCCTCATTTCTTGATGAACTAGATGCTAATCCATCTCTGGACGCCCGAGTTGGAGAGCCTTGCTTCCATACATTCCTCAAGATCATAGCGAGCGGTCTACGTTTCCTTACGAAGAGATATGACAAGAAAAAGATTCGAAACTTTGCCTGGCGTCTGCTACCCAACCATGGCCGCGTGTATCCGAAGGAGCAACCGTTGCGACATGAAGACCTTGACGCACTAAGAAACCACCATGATCTTCTGAGCACCCTGTACTGGGCTGTTCCTGATGGGTGTCGTCCACGACTGGAAACAATCCGCAACCTGGTCCACCCTGCAACCTCACATCGAGAAGCGTGCAGTATCAGTTTACGCTCTTGGTCCCGACTCGTTCGATTCAAACTTTCTACAGACGAGGAAGTCTCTGGTCTCGATCCTTTCGGTGACTGGTATGGCTATTTTGTCACAGAGCTTCAACAACAACATTCCTACGCCCGCAAAGAGATTGAGGCTCAAAGCACCGACGACAACCGAGTCTCTCAGCAGCTCATTGAGCGCACAATCTCCCAGAATCAACGGCAGATCGAGACCCTCTTGAGTACAGCGCTTGCTGGGCTGCGCGCTGCCGTTGAGCTCGCCCCTCAACTGGAACATGCGCATAGGCTGGTTCTGAAGACGCCGTTTGACCTGATCCTCGGACTCTTTAATCCGAAGCTTCCACGGGTGAACGTCGTTGTATCTGAGGCTTTGCAGGTGCTGGTGGTGTACACCCAGAAAGATGTTCCCGCTGCATCGGTAGCAGAGACTCCCACGGTAGTGGCTACTGATGAGGACAGTCAAGAGTTTGGGGACTGGACTGCTTTCGAGGATGTCTGGGGAGAACAGACCGAACAGCAGACTTTTCCGAGCGAAGCAGTAATTCACGTTGAGAGGGCTTTCCATCCAGTTGTGTCCCAACTTGTTTCTAACTGCTTTGGCGAAGACCACTGTCCGGAAGATGCCATTCTTCTCAGCGTGGTGGATTGTTGGACCTCTATCGCGCAGGTCCTCGTTCGCCATAGACTTCGGAACTGGGACAACTATCTGAGTGAATTCGGCAATGACTCTTGGACACGGCTTCGACAAACGGTTCAAACGAGAAAGTTCGCTCCACAGTTCCTGGCAGCTTGTATCGAGAAGGACTCGCGCATTGTCTCTGATTGCCGTGTTCAAGTTATGGGCATGTGGATGACATCGTTAGTTGAGCGCTCTTCAATGCTGAAGTTTCAACATCGACTTACAGAGGCTCTGTTGAACGAAAACCCGAAAGATCCTTTGCTTGGGAATCTTCCATTTTCCAAGGATAAAAAGGACCGACATACGATCACGCTGGAGGAGATCAGTTCACGGAGACTCTCTCTGCTCTCAAGTCTATCATCCAATATGCGCGAGCAGCTTCAGAACATGGAGCTCGATGGTAGCCGGGACTTCTCAGCGACAAAACAAGAGTATTCTGAGATACTCCAGCGGGTGATGACTTCCATGAAAGATAACTATCAAGAGCTAGCAAACGGGACAGCACACACCGCTCAAGGAGCATATGTCAGCTTTGTGCATAGCGTCATCGGCTTCCTTCAACAACACACCAGCGATATCAAGCCTATAGATCCCTTCTTCACAGACCCTGCCTCGTTCCCCTTACCATCCAATGACCCACGCTACATCGTTGCCAAGCTTAAACGTTATGAACCGAAGCTGTCTTCAAGCTCAGAAATCCAAACTCTGACTGGGTTCTTCCAAAGCATTTCCGAACGCGCCGTCATTGATGGCCAACAAGACTACCTGGTTGATCAAATCCACACATCGATGAAGAACACCTACGAAGCCGGAAAATCAGACAAGCCCACCCTCCGCGCAACCTTCCTACAGTGTATCTTCCCAGCATATCTCGAAGAAGCCCTTGGCAACCGCGCTGCCTGGCTACTCAGCCGTCCCATCATCCAGACTATCACACTTGTGTTTAACGACTTGATCTGCAATCTGGACACCCTGGACCCAGCCTGTGTATCATCGGTCGTTGAAATGATCAGCGTTGTATTCCAATCATCCACCCAAGCACTCTCCAGTCTTGAAAACCGTCGTCATCGCCTCGCAAGCCCGGCAACCCTAGCAATGCTCGCCGTGTTCATGGAAATGATCTCGTCTGCTCTCCCAGTAGTAGACTACGTCAACCGGACCACAGGCTCCGGGGAGGAAATCTTCCCGTTCATCGAGTGGTTCCGCAACTTCACCAAGGCTGTCACAGATTATCTGCACGGTACCGACTCAAGTGCAGGCTCATCACCGAGCGATGCCTTCATCGCGTTCCCAGACGCACCAGGCACTATAGCTGGCGGGAGATCGGACCTCTTCCGCACGGCTCACTCCCTCGCATCGACGGACCTCCAGATCTATCTGAGGAAATGGTCTTGGCATCGGGGAAAGTATTATTTTACTCGTCCTGGACACGAGTCGCAGGAAATCGGAATTGAAACTGGGGATTTTGCCTTGATGGACAACCAAACTGAAGCACTAACGGCCTTCGAGGACGCGGCCAGCACATTTATGCATCGGGCTGAGGTCTTGGAATTGCTATTCTAATGTTAATGTGGCTATCCTTTGCGTACTGCATACATGGCATTGATATGGCAAGACAAAATAATTTATTACGAGTATCTAGACAGTTCAACAATGTTACCATGTACCATTATTTTCCTTATAGTCGCTTCCATGCGTCGAAATACCCCTGGTATAAAATAAGAACAATTGCTCTGTAGATACTAGCGATGTCAAGATTCAAGAGGGCAATCCTGGGTTATCCAAACATAAACGAAAATAACGATAACCCATTCCAGCATGTTAGCTCAGGGGAAGAGCGCCGGGCTCATAACCCGGAGGACCCTGGATCGAAACCAGGACATGCTATGTCTATCTTTTTTTTTCCTCTTTTTTTTTGGGTCAACACTGGGGATTTCTACCGGGAACTCTTTGTTCGTAGATGAACAAATCTTGCTGAGGGAATCTGGTTATTTCGCGCTACTCCCCAACTGACGTAGCCTTATACTGTACCTCAATTCTTCCAATCTCACTAAATCTACGCCGCACTATCTACTACCTACTATCTACACATATCTGCACCACAAGCTGGCGAAATGACCATCTCCCAAGAACTGTCATCATGGTCCTCTCCATCGTACATCGAAACATCGTCGGCTCCTTCAGTTGGCAACAAAGCACCGTCGTGCCCACAGTTGGTCCTTCCGGCTGGTAAGCCAACGATCATATCATTCCTCCGACACTGCGGTTGTCCAGGTCCGTCACCTACGGTACTATGCCTACACAATTTAAGCCAGAGCTAACGTATGGTATGAAGTTGCCGAAGCCACATTTCTCACAATGAGAAACGCAGCATCCCAATACCCTAATATCAATTTCATGGCCATCTCCCACAGTGACAAGCCTTCAACAGACAAATGGCTCGAAGCAATCGGTGGTACTGGTGGTGCTTCGTCAGCCTCCGTGAGTGTGCTTGTCGATGCTGAGCGTGAAATCTATGCAAAATGGGGCTTGGGTGTTGTGCCCTGGAGCCATGTTCTAAGTCCAGGGGGCTTACTGGGGGTTTGGAAGATCGGGAAGGAGAACGGTATTTGGAATAGACTTACTGAGAGTGGGAGTAGGTGGCAGTGTAGCGGGCATTGGGCCGTTGATGAGGAGGGCGTTGTGCGCTGGGGTGGTCCTGCTGCTAGAGCGGATGAGGTTATTGATATTGAGGCGGCTATCGGTGCTTTGCAAAAGACTGATACACGCTGAGAAGTGGTTTATATTCGTTTTCAATTTCATATCGAGGATGTCACAACACACAGGACTCGCCCTACTGTTTTTCTGGCCCCCTGGCGACAGAACGGCCACGTGCAATCAAATACCTACTCTTCTTATTAAGACCAGCTTTGATGCGATAAAGAGAGGTACTGTTTCTTTCAGGGCCCTCACCGCTGGTCCATCAGGGAGCCACGCTCCTTCAGTCTCATCATAAAGGTCCTTCAAGGTAAGTCAACCGACCCAGGGCCAAAGAAGAAAAGAGGTCCTGGAAAGGCAAGCAAGGTCCTACTCACGTTATTCTATCGCTCTAACACTCACTCTTCTTTGCAGTGGGCTTCGTCTTGCGACGTCTCACTTTGTTTTTGTCTTGCGGCCTTCACTACACTACTTTTGGCTTCCCAACATGGTACCCAATAAATAATAAAAACGCAAACTTCACACAGCCTGGATGAAACACCGCCAATTCCAGACACATTAGCCAGCCAAGAACTGAATCCTGAGATATGGAGCAAGTGGATTAGCTGCGTGTCCAACCCTAGTCTCACGGTGACTGAGTTCCTTGCTCACTGGAACCAGGCAAACAACGACACAAAATACCGACAAGAATTCAATGTTGGCAGTTCCCTAAAGCAATTCGATCCCATCCTGACTTGGAAAAGGGGTATCCCAACGTGGATTGGGAGTCAAAGGAGGCTATTTCCATGGAGCAACTTCGAAGCCAGGTTCTGGAAACTGCTATCAACATTCCCGCGACAAGCGAATAGCTGCGCTTGTGGCACGATCATCTAGTGGAAGTCGTATGGAAAAAGACGAGTATCATCTCTGGAGTCTAGAATGGACTAAGCTTCTTTATAAGAGGAATTACGGCAAAATTGAATCCGAATGTCGCTTTCTCACGTTTGTTCAACCATCAAATACACCATTGTGACCAACCCGAGAAGTATCGTCGAATTTTGCAGCATACGCAATGAAGTTGAAGAATATGAAGGAGAATTTCTCCTAATTGTTAGCGGCTGGGATGGGTTGACCAACTGATCGAATGAGTTTCTACAACCTCTTTTCTCGCTAGGCAGAGCACGTTACACTTCAAGTCTACCCCAGGAATCTACTTGGCAGCAAAAGAAATTCTTCGAAGTCAATGTCGCGCAGGTCTGCTCGGCCTTCGGCGGTGAAATTGAAATTGATATAGAGGACTTGGGCATGACTTTTCCCTCAAGGACTTGACTACTTTGTTCGTTCGGAGGTGTAGCGCTATATGTCTTAATCAAAGAAGACATTTCTGTCGTATCGACCGAGTTGTGTGCGCTGACCAACGTCAGAAACGACCAACCTGAATCCCGCAATTTATCAAGACACATTTGTGGCGACTGCAACATTCTAATCCCGACTTCTGTTGACTTGAGCCGGCACATGTATCACAAGCACGAGAATCACGAGAAACCTGAATTGGATTTGCGCTGTACGTTCTGTGGCTATTTGTTCTCGTGAAAGGACCACAGAGATCGACATGTCAAAGAGACTTGCCCCAGAAACAGGCCCATGCAGTCTTTAACCCGTGAGGTCGAGATCGATCAATCGTATCTGCTCAAAGATGAACCCAAAATGGCTCAAGAGTGTCCGACAGGCCTGCTCGTTCCTCTTGACCATTTGGACAGCTTCTAGCTTGCTCCACAATGGCAAAAGAAGTCCAGCGAGCCGAAGAAGTTGAGGGTGGTTGAAGTTGGGGTAGAAAGGACTCGGATACGGGCTATATAGACAGCTACCACGTATAGAAAATGAACCTACTGAACCGCAACTATCAGCTCAGTCTAGGAGCGTGATTAAATACCCAAACGGCAGGATGCCGCTAAAAGGTTATTAGCTGACTATAACCACCTGCGGCCTGAGTGATGTAGAGTAAAATGTCACCAAGTTATATTACCTTTAGATGAACTCAGCTCCTTGACAAAAAATACAGATCTCCCAGGAGAGCACTAAGCCTGGTATTGATAATATGACTGATAGTGATCTGTCCCTCATAGCGTCCAAGATGGCGGAGAATATTACCCAATTCAGCATGTTAGCTCAGGGGAAGAGCGCCGGGCTCATAACCCGGAGGACCCTGGATCGAAACCAGGACATGCTATGTCTAGCTTTTTTTCTTTTTTCTTCATAGCTCATTTTTTTGTTAAATTCTAGCCAGGGCGCGGTGCGATATGTCGACTCTTCTCTTATATAACGAGGGACAATATGGAAACCTCATGCTATTCATATCTATTTGACAATCTAACTGAAATGGCCCTAGCTAGTGGGAGTTACATGTAAAAGCCACAAAAGGGAAATAAAACACTTGAACGTTTTGCTAGGCTCATGACACGAAAGCGAAAGGAACTGATCAAACTTGTGCCTCCAGGGAGAACAGGAGATGTAGCGGGGGAAAAAAAAGAATACGCAGACATTAGTTATAAATGGACAAGGAAGAGAAGAGAAGATAGAGCAGCGCTGAAGTAGAGCGGGGGAAAAAAAAAGGCGAAGAAGGCTAGATAGAATCATTCAAGATATACCAAGCCCTTCACCCTCCATCCGCTTAACAGAGAATTTAAGCAATCATTCGCCGGGGGTAGCCTTGCTCATGCTAATCAGACGCTTCACACCGACCTAGAATTATTGCCGTTAATTATCAATCTAGATCAGGGGGCGGAAAGTAAAGTTAACTTACCATCCAGTTGCCACACTCATCATTCCGGTTGGTAATGATAGCCACCTGAATAGACTGAGCGGCCGCGTAATCACGAGCCTGGATTGCGCCAGCCAAGTTCTTCATGTCCTCAATGGTGTTGGGCTTGAGCAGGTCCTCGTTGTTCAGATGATCAAAGAGGATGTTCAAACGACGCTCAGCATCGTCGACCTGGACCTTGAAAGCCGCGGGAGCTCGGGACTTGACGCGCGCCATGTCTGTTGACAGGATATCGAAGATAGGCTGTGCGCTCGCGGGGATATGGGAACGGTCACCGGGGGCTGAGGGAATGTCAGTTCACTAGGTTTGTAGTACTCAATTGGAAGTGACTTACGGTATTTGGGAGCCGGGGGGGCCGCACGCTGCGACTGGGCTGTGCTAGGCCGAGACACCTGGGGTGGCGGAGCGACTGCCTGGGCCATAGGAGGAGGCTGGGTCGCGATAGGGGTGCTAGGCGCATATGGGTTCACAGGAGGGGGCTGTGACGCCGCCTGGGGGGCATATGGCGAGGCAGCGGCCTGAGGAGGGGGAGGCACTGGGCCACGGGTTTGGAGCTGCGGGGTTGCGGCCTGAGAAGCCGGGCTTGGTGCGTACCGGTTGGTCGGTGGGGGCATGCTGGGAGGAGCATTGTAAGGCGAGGGTCCGCGAGGGATCGACGCCGGAGGAGCCATAGTTGATCCCGGAGCGCCCATCGGCGGTGATTGGGGGAGACTCGCGTACGGGTTGGGAGGCGGCGGGGAGGGCCCGGGGATGTTGGATACCGGTGGGACAGCAGATGGCGGCGACATCATACGCGGGGGAGGCACTTGTCCCACCTTAGGCGGAGGGGGCACAGATGGTGCCCGGGGAGCGCCAACTGGAGGGGGTCCAGTAGGTGGAGGTCCTTGACTCAGAGTCGGCGACTGATTGGGGAACGGAGAGGCGATGGGTGCAGCCGCAGCGGCAGGGGTTGAGCGGCGGGGGGTGGGAGCCTTGGCAAAGCCCTCGGGCAGATCGTTCCATGCAGGAAGGCCGGTAGCCGTGGTGTATGTGGTGATGGGAGGGTTGGCCGGCGACTGGTTGGATGCACGGGGAGGGGGAGGCACACCAGCACCTGCGGGCTGTCCACCGAATGCAGATGGAGGACCATAGCCTGTGGGTCTCATGCCCTGAGTTGGCTGATACCCAGTCGCGGGTGCATATGCTCCTCCGCTTGGGATAGCAGCATAGGGGTTGGGCGGCTGGGATGGCGAAACAGTCGTCTGAGGGGCATAAGGGTTCGCAGGCTGCGTGATGGCGGGCGCAGCGGGAGCGTAGACGTTGGGAGGAGGGGCTGGGGTAGCAGCAGGAGAAGCAAGGTTGGGTTGCTGCGGCTGGTAGATGTTGGGCTGTTGCGGGAGAGGCTTGAAGGCGGACTTCGATCCAACAGCGGCCTGCGCCTTCTGCGGTGCCTGTCTGGTGGCCAGTTTGATACGGTTGCGTGCCAGTTCAGCCTCGGGGTGCTTCTCAGGGACAAGATCGAGGTACTTCTGAGCGATTTGCAGGCGTCCGTGGGTAGCGACAACATCGGCATATTCGACGTACTTGTCGTACAGGACACTGAGGCGCCACTCGGAGTCCTTAGACCGTTCCGTATCGTGGAACTTGGTGACTTGGCGGAAGATAGTAACCTTCTCAATCAAGCCCTGCAGGGCGCGGACGTGGATGGAGAAGCCAGACCCGTTAGCATTGGTCTCAATTCCCTTCTGCTCGTTCTCGCGGAGCTCATCGACCCAGATAGCGACAACCTTTTCAAGCTTCGAGCCAGCCAAGAAACAGAAAGAGGCATCCTTGCGGGCACTCTTATCATCTGTACCCTGGACCTGCTCCAGAAGGCGGTCACCAAGGGCTTCGCAAAGATCAGGGAATTCCTTCTCGTCGGCAAATGTGCACAGGGCAGCCATAACCTCTTTCCAGTTGGACAGATCGGCATTGTGCACAACATCCCAGAGGTTCTTACCAACAATAGATGCGAGCAGGCGCATATAGTTGGGACCACCGGCCTGCTTAGAGAAGTAGTGTTCCTGAGCTTTCTCGATGCATTTGGGACCACCACAGATGGCAATCATGAATGCGTCAGACATACGGTCCTCGCGGAGTGCAACATCCAAAGCCTTCTCGAATTCACCGAGGAGCAGAGAGCGAGTGATCTGCTGCTCTGCCTCAGTCTCAGATCCATTAAATATCTGGAAGGGGTCGTTGGTTTGAGCACCCTTGGAAGCAGCCAATTCAGACAGGAAGCTGTCATCTTCGGGGTTGGGCTCAAACATAGATTGCAGGCGCTTGTGCTTCTTAGCTCCAGTCGGCTTCTCGGCGACGCCGTTGGCCTCTTCGCCTTCCTTCTTGTCCAGACCAAGCTTTGCGAGGCTATCGGCAGCTTCATCAGCAGCCTGATCCTGGAAGCCCAAGTACCCGACCAAATCTCTGCGGGGGTTGGCGGAGATCAAAGCCTGCATAACCTTCCAGTCTGCCCTTTCTTCTTCACTAGCGGCGTCTGTTGCGCGAGTCTCGCACAACGTCTTCAGGTCACCCTCCTTAAGAGCGTTCTCAAAGGCCTCCGTGGCATTTCCAACACTCTCATCAACCTCGAAAGGTGTGATCTTGATCTTGGACGCACGAGAGTCCTTCTCGTTGAGGCCGAAAGAAACTACCCGACCACCAAAGCCAAAAGTGGCACCGCATGGCCGTTCGAGCCAGCGAGGAGCCTTGGGAAGAGTAAATTTGGAGACTTGAGGCTGTGTTTGAGCCTTGTTGAAGAAATCTTCGCCGTCCAAAGCTTGGTTGTGATCGGCGATAGCCTGGGCATTGTCGGTCTTCGTGTTCTGCAGGGTCTGGACCGAGATTCTTCCATCGAATGAGGCGGTAGCAAAGAAGTTCGGGTTGTGGGGGTTCCAGCGAGTCTGGAAAGTCCAGTTCGTGACGACGGGGAACTCTCCATAGGCCGTACCGTCCTGCGGGTTCCAGCAAATGTTGCGATTATCCTTACCGGAAGAAAGAAGAAGGCTGGGGTCATGGTCACACCATGAAAGCGAAAGAACACCAGACTCGTGGCCCTTGAGTGTCTATAGAAAGTATGTTAGCATTCGATGCTTTTGACGATGATCAGTAAACATACCCGCTCGGGGGCGTGGGAGTTGCGCAGATCCCAGACATAAAGGTATGGGTCTGATTCGAGAGGTGTCGATGTGATAAGCTTGGTGGGCTAGACACGATTTGTTAGCAAGACAACTAGAGCATATAGATGAGCGGCATGGTGTTCTCTACCTTCTCAGGGTCCCATGCAACTGCGCTGACAGCTTTGCGGCCCATGTTGTTCAATGTCAGACTTTCTTTCTTGGTCTTGACATCCCAGACTGTAACAAAGCCGGCGCTGCTACCGGTAACCAAAATGTGAGGGACCTTTTTGTTCCAGTCCAAGCAGTCGATATCGTCTGTGCGGGCAGCATTGTTACCCAGGCGGAATGGGTTCTCGAGATTGTTTAGGTCCGAGATGAACAGCTCTCCCTTAGCACCACCGGTGGCGAGAAGGTTCGAGTGTTTGGGATTAAACTGGAGGGCCTTGATGGCGCCGCTGTGTTTGGTGGTTCTTGACATCAAAGCATCGCTGGGAAGTCGGTTAGCAAGAATTACTCATGACCAGGTATGGATGTTCCACCAACCTAGATCCAGCAAGTAGCTTATCGGCGTTCCATAGATCCAACGATCCGTTCTCCAAACCACCGGCAATGATACCCCGTTTACTGTCCTCGGAGGTAGTCCAGGCGAGATCGTTGAAGCTAGACAACGTACTAGGTCAGCAAAGTACTTCCCTATCAAGTCCCGGATGACAACATACCCAGAGTCCGTATCGATCTTAGCTAGCGGCTGCAGCTCCTCACTCGCGTCCTGGCGGTCGAGACCCAAATCCCACAGCTCGAGACATGTCTTGTTTGAGAAGTCGGCATCGACAGCTCCAGCGCGAGTTCCGGTGGCGATCAATGGCGATGCGGCGCCAGGCGACCAGGCAAAGGTGGCCGTCCTTGGGATTTCCCTCAGACGCACCATGATGATGGTACGGGAGGTATGTTTTGGAGATGATCGAGGCCAATAGATCAAAGAAAGGGAAAGGAAAGGAAAGGGAGCTTAAATAAAGGAAAGAAAATAATAATCACCCCCTATGAATAATTGACAACGGGGTGATGTTCTAGAGGTCCCAAGTATAGTAGTAAACCAAGTGGCCTCCTGGACTTGGAGGGACCGGGGAACTCGCGCTAAACTGCTTTGAGACTCGCCAAAACACCCCGAGGCTTGACCTGCACGTGATATCCAGTTCCGCTCTGGGTGAGTGAGTCTTGATCACAAGATACTGCTTTCAACACACACGCTATCTGCTTTTATTCTCCGCAGTTATTGAAGCTGGCCGCATTGTCGCCTGTAATCGAGTTTTCCACACATCAACTCCAAGCGGAACAGCACATCATGACCGACACCACTCGATTGAAAAGCACCGTCTACGTCGGAGGTCTTGACCAGTCCGTAACGGCGCACACTCTTGCAGAGGCGTTTGTTCCTTTCGGCGAGATTGTTGATATTTCTCTGCCCAAGCCAGATCAGCCGAACTCCACCGACCTTCACCGTGGATATGGATATGTTGAGTTTGATCTACCACAAGACGCCAAGGAAGCAATCGACAACATGGACGGCAGCGAGATCTACGGACGTACCATCAAGGTCGCCCAAGCAAAGCCGCAGAAGGACGCCAACGAGGGACTAGGCAGCAAGATCGCAATCTGGGAACAGGTGCGTAGGACTCGATTTTATATTTGGTCGCATTCGGAACTAACCTCATTTTCTACAGGAGGGCTATTTGGCCAAGCATGCAGTCAGCGAAGAGGACCGGGAAGCTGCCGAAGACGTGCAAGCAGCCAACGGTCGTCCGCAAGACCCGATGCAGGGTTTGGAACAGCTAGATGTTGCCGGGCCAAAGCCCGAGTGAAGCTTGCTAGACTTTACGATAGCTACGACGAAAATGACAAACAAAAAGGCACAAGCACAAATGCAAAACACGACAGTACTATTTGCCACAAGTACACCATCAGGAACCAGGCTCGCGAAGTCGGAATATGTACACGGGCTCCCGAACCCGAGCCCGTTCCTTTTTGTCTCCGCTGGCTTTTCTCAAATTATACTCAACGGCTTCACATTCTCCTAATCAACAATACATGCGGCAGGAATTCCAAAAAGCTGCGAATCGCATTGAGAGCTCAAAGAAACATGATGGTACATTTAGTGCTCACGGCTCTCGGGGCTGTTGCGGTAGAGACGCAAGGTCTTGTCGGTCATCAGCTTCTTGCCGCAAGAGTAGACGGCAGCGCCGAGGGCAACACTAGAATCATGGCAGTCAGCATCAAGTTCGGTCTGGCAGAGCAGATGGGACGCGAAAATTCGGGTATGGCTTTCGGGACTGAGCGGGAAATCGTATAGATAGGGTTAGACATACGCAAGAACGAATCCTAAATGTAAAAATCATGTTAGATTGATTGTTTGTCTTAGACTGTGGAAATGGTAGCATGACATACCAATGGGGAGCAATTCTGGGGGAACACGCTTGAGCTGACGCAGACGCTGGGAGATGGTGTGGGCTGTAGACACAGGGTTAGTTCAATTGCGATTGCGACAGTCGCGACGCCTGTCTATATGGACTCATTGATCACCAGATCTAGTGATCCAGGATATTCATACCGGAGTGAGGCTCCTTCTGTAGCCAGGAGTTAGTAACCGAACCGATCGTATGATCACGCCCTAGCCTCGGGAGAAAAGAACATACCGGGGAAGCAAAGGCAAAGGCCCGAGTAGGCTGCATGCGCAGCATGCGAGTAGGGAACATGGCTGTAGAGAGTTGCTAGACGAAATGCAAGCAAGAGAAGTAGTGGGATGAGGAGGTTGGACGGGCAGCTTTCCAGAAACGTGACTTCGGGTGTAAAAGCGAGAACGCTCAGTGGCTCTCGCTTGACCGCCCGCGGTCATACCCGGCACTTCACAGCTTCAATCACCCAACGTCGCTCTTCCCGGCTCACTTTCTCCCCTCCTCTCTGATCATACCACTCCAATTCTTTTTCTCAAGTGTTGTCTCTTCTGAAGCTACACATCGCAAATATGGGTGCCATTCCGGAAGCCGACCCCGATGAGGTTATGGAGACCAAGCCCTTCAAGTTCGTGACTGGTACGTTCTCTCTCCCCTCTCCCGCGAAAACCGGGGCCAGTCGCCCTAATTAAGAGTCAATGGCTAATTGAATTGCAGCTGGTGCGTTTACTTCCGATTTCTGTCCGCTTGTTTCGCTTCAAGGATGCGTTTGGGCGGTTTCCCCCGATCGGCTGGTGGATGGTGAAATTGACAATTTTTGATTGAATCGCAGGCTACGACGCTCGTTTCCCCCAGCAGAACCAGTATGTGATTTTGTTTTCGCTCGATAAGATATGATAACTAACGTTCATTTTTTTGTAGGACCAAGCACTGCTGGCAGAACTATGTCGACTACTACAAGTGTACCACTGCCAAGGGCGAAGACTTCCGTCCCTGCAAGCAGGTATAACAAGCAATATTCCAATTGAAACAGAGCCATATCTAACCAACTTTCCTACAGTTCTACCACTCTTTCCGCTCTCTGTGCCCCAAGGCCTGGACCGACCGTTGGGACGGTCAGCGTGGTACGTATTGAATCCCTGGTCGTGCTTTCATTCTTGCTAACGATTTATGATAGAGGCTGGCAACTTCCCTGCTCACCTCGACAAATAGATAACCAACGAGCATTTTGGGTTGGTCAAATGAGCTCTGTCAATTTTATGTATCGTCAAGTTCCAATGTACTCTACTGGGTCACGCGGGATACAGTCCCTATCTTCCTAGGTCATTTTGTCAAAGCTAGAAAGGATGTCTATAAACTCGCCGTATTGCAAAGACACACATGTCAGCTGGTGCAATTCGTAGCATGTGAGGATAATTCCTATCTGTCATTGTAGACAGTGTGCCAGGCATGGCTTACAATTGCAGTTGGCATATAACCACATCTTAAAAGTCTATCACAAAACAAATGTCCTTGCGGAAATGCTCTAAGTGCGATTCAGTGTGTATCTAATTCTATATGATCCCAGTCTCCCAGCAAAATATTACCACCACATCCTGTACAGGGTAGGCATGTTCAAGGCAGTTCTTTAACTCACCTCGACCACCACTCGAGTCTCCAACGAAAGAGACACCCAAAGAACGCTAGCTATATACAAGCCTAAATGATGCTCGTAGGTCCCAAAAGTGCACCACCCAAACAGAAAATAACAAAAGATGGCAAAAGTCGTATGTACCGAAAAATGATCGGGCTGAGGCGTAAATGAGGTTTTGAGAAGGCGGTTGGATGGCAAGAGAGCCCGAAAGATGATGGCGGTTTCGCATCTCTACCTTCATAGGGCCTTCATCTTACGGTAAAGCTTCTTGTGCTCCTCAAGGAAGAGGAAAGTAGCAATGGTGTGAGGGCCCAAACGAATAAAGCTAGGAACCCAACCACGGAAAGTCCAAGCAAGACCTTCCTTGCGGCAGATGTCACGCAGAAGACCGACAATGGTGTGGCCGCGGCTCTCAGCAGGAGAAGCACTCATAATGCGAGTCTTGATCACATCCACAGGGCTGCAGACGGTAGTAGCCACAAATCCAGCCATGAACGAGGCTGTGAAGTGCGTGCCCAGGTTATCGGCCATACCGGCCTTCTCGATACACATGCGCTTGAAGGTATCATAGGAGGCCAATTGCGAGGCAGTCATAAGAATCGCACGGGTGGAGTTAGGCCACACTCCACGGAAGAGAGAACTGAATCCCTCAGTCTTTGTCATCTGCACGAGACCGTGGAATGCGTGGCGGTAGTTACGGCGCTGGGCTGGAGGGAGGGCTGCGTCAGATTGCATGCGGACATTCATCACATCGGCTGGATTACCAGCGATACCGCCGATGAAGCCAGATGCGCAGGCCATGCCGACCAGGGTCAGCATGCTCGGCGCGCCGCCTGCTTCTGTGGGCGTGGCGAAGCGCGACTTCAGTTCTTCATATATACCAAATCGAGTGGTGGAGTAGGTCATTTGACGGAGGAGCGCGGCCGAGAGCTATAGGTCCAGAATCAATTCGTCCCCTGTTAGCCAGATTTTCCCTTTTTATTGGTCGTGCCCTGGCATCTCTGCCTTGCACTGGTCTTGGGACCTTGCACATACACCACTGTATAACCCGGTGAAACCAGTATTCTTCACAATATGTCCAAAAGTTCCAACCATTGTCCTCGGCGCGTCAGGCGCGCGTGTCTGTAACCGTACCTATAATGCGACAATCGATCTATCAGCGTTCCGTACTCGAAATCACGGGTGGCCACAAAGGACCGAATCGTCTCGGACGAAAGGCGGCCGCGTACCTTGACTAGAAAGACAATGTCAGTATATATAACGCGATCAGCTAGGAATCAATCAACATACCCAAATCCAGCGGGTGTGTCACGCCTGCAGCAAAACATGACGCCGAGCCTCCAAACCAAAACGGGTAATGCACCTGCTTTGGTTTTGAGGGTGTTTGAACGGGCGCGACTCGGTGAGCCGGAGCCTCCATCATCTTGCCGCTGTCTGCCATGGTGACTCTCTATGAAAGGGAAAAACACAAGGAGGGGAGGAAGTTGCCCTTTTTTTTTCTCGGACTTTGACGTAATTTCGCCAAATTCAACGGAGACAAATCAGACCCCCGATGACCCACTCGGCCCGTCTGCACCAATCACGGCGTCGGTTATGTGTTTCCTTTGCGCCGAGCAGCCTGTAAGGAACATACTACACTGGGTCCCTGACTGCTTTAGATGGCTATCTCTCGGTGATTGAAATAGACACCGAGGGTATCGTCGCGACTATCATGTTTCTGCGCTTGATATCTGCGGACTTTATTCGGCTATGGAGGTCTTCGGTTTTATTGCGGTTTATTGCGGGTGTTGGATAACCGAGGGACGAGCCCTGGAGGGGTGTAGAGGGGTGATAGATATCCACAAATCCTAAGGTTTAGGTGAGACGATCAGGGTATAGCGTATATAAATGTCCACAGTGGACACACGTGCTATTGAAAACCAAATAAAATTGGGCATATTGATATTTCTTGATACTGTAAGTTGACATTACAATGGGTGAGCGTACATATATACCTTAGCCATGGCTTGAGACAACACAAAAAAGGAAAATGGACAAAGTGCAGTATAAAGGTCCATAAGAGGACAAAGATATATCACGTAACTTATTCAATTTCTAGTAAATTGGCAAATCAAGTCGAAGTCAGACAAACTATAGCATGTGTAGGCCACACCAGAAGCAACAGCGGAGAAAACATTTGCAATTAACTAGAATGAAAAGAGAAAAAAAAACTGTAGAGTATTGCAAAACCCTATACCCAGCTCAGTCTTAAATGCACACCGAGTTTCCTGCCTGAAATACAGATTGATCTTCATCAGATATGATAATGTACTTCGGGGACTAATTTCCCCGGTCCGAAGATGTTTTGATAGACGTTGACCGCAGACAATTTCAAGCTCAACCAACCCAAGACTCACCACCAATAATGCGGCTATTCGCAACAGGCCGAGCCTTGCGCGCCAGCAGTGGCCGCTGGTCAATTGCGTCAACCCGCCCCCGAACCGCCATTCCGCGCTCCCTCTCGCTGAAGCCGATCACGCTCTCCCGCAGTTGGAGCTCAACCCCAGCCCGCCAAACCAACGAGCAAAAGACGAAGAGCGCAGCATCTCAAACATCAGAGCAACCATCAGACCTTACAATCGAAGCTGACACCTACAAAACCGACCAATGGACCAACACCCCCGACACAATCCTCTCCCACGTCGGCCGCCGCCTCTACCTAGACGAGAACCACCCACTCGCCATTACACGCAAACTAATCGAAAGCCAATTCCCAGCACCCAGCTACGGAAATTACTCAGAGAAAAACCCGGTCGTCTCAACAAAACACAACTTTGACGTCCTCGGCTTCCCAGCAGACCATCCAGGCCGCAGCCGTACAGATACATACTACGTAAACGACAAGACAGTCCTGCGCACCCACACAAGCGCCCACCAACAAGCCTACTTCCAGCAAATCGCCCGCAATGAAAGCACCCGCCCAGAAGAAGTCGGATACACCGTCATCGCGGACGTCTACCGTCGCGACGCAATCGACCGTAGCCACTACCCCGTCTTCCACCAGATGGAGGGTGCAATGCTTTGGAAGAGGCCATCTACGGACCCGCTATCTGCGTCCAAGGAAACAGCTGCTAAGATCATGGCTGATGTGGAGAAGATCCCTAAGCATGATGTTATTGTCGAGGATCCTAACCCGACAATTCACGACCAGCGGAATCCGCTGCAGAGCGAGCACCACAGTGCCGAGGAGGTCGAAGCCGTAGCTGCGCATTTGAAGCGCTCACTTGAGCGAATGGTTATTAAGATCTTTACGGAGGCGAGTAAAGCGGCAGCGGCTAGTAGCGGCGTCGACGTCGAGGCTGAGCCGTTGAAGGTGCGCTGGGTGGAAGCTTACTTCCCCTTCACGAGTCCGTCATGGGAGCTGGAGGTCTTCTGGCAAGGAGACTGGCTTGAGATTCTGGGGTGTGGAGTGATCAAGCAGGATCTACTGATTAACTCGGACGTGCCGGACCGGATTGGGTGGGCATTTGGACTTGGTCTTGAACGCATTGCCATGCTTCTCTTTAACATCCCTGATATCAGGCTCTTCTGGTCGCGTGATGAGCGGTTCTTGTCACAGTTCCGGGCCGGGGAGATTGCGCGCTTTGAGCCTTTCTCTAAGCATCCCGCTTGTTATAAAGATGTTGCTTTCTGGTTGCCTGGTGCTGCTGTGACTGGTGGTAGCAGCGCTGCTGGAGGTGCGGTGCCTTTCCATGAGAATGATGTGATGGAGGTTGTTAGGTTGGTTGGTGGGGATCTTGTTGAGGATGTTACTCTAATTGATGAATTTACGCATCCTAAGACTCAGCGGAAGAGCATGTGTTATCGCATCAATTATCGCAGTTTGGAGAGGACTTTGACCAATGAGGAAGCTAATGAGATTGATCTTAGGGTGCGGGAGAAGTTGGTTGGTGATCTTGGTGTTGAATTGCGGTGATTTGGGGTTGGATCTTGTACCATACTGTTACTTTAGGTGAATTTGTAAAATATAGCATTCCTCTCATCAGAATAAAGACTTTGGGACAATCGCACGAAGCCAGTATGAATAGGCTGAGAAACTCAAGCATCTACCTTACTACAAGTATTCCATTATGAAGCAGGTCGTAGAAAGAGACATGAAGACATCAGAGGCTTTTTGGCGCCTCAGAAAGTGTATATTGTACAGATGAGGAGAGAGGTAGCAGGGGGTAGAGACCCAGATTGCACGAAACAAGTGAAGGCACCACCAACACGAGACAATCCGGACGCCTCCAGGCACATGCAACAAAGGTGTATCATACAACCGAATTCAAGGGACAAGCAGAAAGATAGCAAGGAAGGAAAGGTTTCTCCCGGGTCCAAAAGTCAGCCGTATCCGAGTACAAAACCCTATCGTGATCATGATGTATGGTATATGGTACAGAGAAGAAAGAAGATGAGGAAAAGGCGGAAAGAAGTAAAGAATTATAAGGTTCTTTCGGAAGCAATTTAGTCGTTCTTGACGACACCGACCTTAGCAGCCTAGTAGAGAAAAGAAAGTCAGTCAAAATGGTCTTCCATATTGGAAAAGACGTGGCACTCACCCGCAAAACGCGACCGTTAAGGGTGAAGCCCTTGCTCTGGACGAACATGACATCGCCATCCTCGAGACCCTCGGCCTTGGCCATGAAGGTAGCCTCATGCAGGTTGGGGTCGAACTTCTGGGCCTTGCCATCGACCTTCTCGGCGGGGTCGAAGCGCTCAAGACCGTGCTTCTGCAGGGTGTTCAGGAGGATGTGCTGGGTCATCTTGAGACCGGAGACGAGCTCATGGAAGTCCTTGTTCTCATCGGTCTTGGCAGCAGAGAGCTTGTCCGCGGGCACGGCCAGCAGCGCGCGGTCAAAGTTGTCAATGCTGTCAAGGAGGTCCTTGGCGAAACGCTGGATGGCGAAGTTACGGGCGCCATCCATGTCACGCTTGGTGCGCTCCTGGAGGTTACGGAAGTCGGCGACGGAACGAAGGTACTTGTCCTACAGATGGAACGGTTAGATTGAGGACGGATGGCATGCAGCTCCGATGAATGACAAACCTTCAGCTCAATCACTTCCTTGTTCTTCTCATCAAGCTCCTTCTGAATGGGGTTCTCAGCCTCGCCATTCTGAGCTTCCGATGCCTCCTTTGCCTCCTTCTCTGTGGAGTAGCTGCGGATGGTCTGGGGAGCGAATGCCCGAATAGCAGGCACGCGCGATTGTGTTGTCTGCCGCAGCGCCTGCGATGCGGGGGAAGAGGAGGAAATGACGGAGCGGGCGGCCTTGGCCTGTCTGAAGATGGATCGTTGGAACATTATGAATAGTGAGATGTGGAATTGAGAAGCTGGGGAGATTCAGTGATTCGGGATGCTCTCGGACAAAATTCATCGGGAATCACCTGACCATCTTAAGGAAAAACGCAGGGCCGAGTGGACCTTCTTCTGCTTTCCAGCAGATCTAGCAGATCTACAGAAGCCTCGACATTCAAGTCTTCAATTGAAAGTCATGCACACTTTGTTAATGATAATGATAATCGGCTTGCAGAGATCATGATTCAAATGCATACAATGCATGTTTTCGAAACTGAACTATATTCTTCATCTCTGGTGACATACATCTACTTCTTAAACAGAAGACGTGATTCCTCGGAAATGACAAACATGATCTTGACGAAAATTAGCTCTATCACACGCTCAATACAGCCCGCATTCTATCCGCGATGGCTCTCTCCGCCGCCTCACTGACAGGCGCAAACACATCATATCCGTGAGGAAGAGCCGGATAAACATGAAGCTCCGTCTCGATATTCTCCTTGGCAATCCGCGAAACATAATTCAAGTTCTCCTCAAGGAACATGTCCAAAGTACCAACCTCCAGGTAAGTCCTCGGAAGACCCTTGACAGTAGCCGCACGAGCCGGGGAAGCATACTGTGACACGCGATCGGTTCCATAATCATCACCGAGGTAAGCAGACCAAGCAGTGATGTTTGATTCATGTGTCCAAATAAGAAGACCCTCCATTGCTGGAATGGGGACATGGTTACGGTCATCCAACATGGGATAGATGAGCATCTGCTTTGCAACAGGAGGCGAAAGACCGCGATCCCGAGCCATGAGGTTGATGCCAGCAACCAGGTTCCCTCCTGCACTCTCTCCAAGTGTGATGATGCGCTTGGGATCGACTGAGAACTGTGCTGCGTGCTCCTGCAACCAGACCAGTGTGGAATAGCCGTCTTCTGCTGGTGTCGGGTAAGGATGCTCCGGTGCCAATCTGTAGTCGACAGAGAATACCTGCACGCCGGACTTTTGGGCAAGTAAATCCTGGGCCCTTTTGAAAACCTTTGCTTTGCCCATGATCAATCCGCCACCGTGGAATTGCAGAATGGCCGGCTGTGGTGTTGTTGTGTCGAGGTCTTTTCTCCAGTGTCGGTATACTGCAATGGATTGCCCGTCATATGTTGGGATTTGGTGTTCTTCATAGTTGACATCGGCAGCTTCAGGAAGCAGCGCCATCATTTTTCCAAAACCGGGTTCCACGATAGCTCGAATAGAAAGTGGATTGCTCAGATCGGGCTTGGGACCGTTGGCTTTAGCTGCCAACACAGGCGCTACAGCCTTTTGGAAGGCTGGGTCGAATTGGAGAGGCATTGTATGATTATATATCAAAGTTGTTTAAAGTGAATTTGTTTTTCAATAAGAGACAGAACATTTAAAGATTTAAATACATTGTCTATGTGATAGATCAGACTTTGGCCCCCATGTCTGCCTAGCCCCGAAGGATGAGCGCTTAGATAATTGATGCGGCCGAGGTAGGGCTCAAAAGTCTCCGCAAGAAGCCCCAAATGGTCTCGGAATCGGCTTATAGGAGTCCGAGTCGGCTTGATTGATGCCGCAGAGATCTCGGCGACTTTCATCATTTACTCATGACTCAGTTTGGCATTTGATTTACCGTAATATATAGATTAAGAGAAAAAAAAGAATGCAAATCAACATTCAAATGGATTACTTGTGCAAGCCGGAGAAACCCCCGCCGTAAAGCTCCTCTAGCCAACTATAGCCTTTTGAAATAACCAGGGAGACAATACACATTACTAACCACCATGTACACGAACCAATTTGATAATGCTAGTTCCATCGGCTAGTATTTCCTTCTCTTCCTCGAGTTTATAATTCCCCCAGCGAGGCAACAATACCGTCCAGATATACCAATAAAGAACTCCGAAGAGGAGACTATAGTAGTTAGTAATATTACTATGTACGTGAGAGTGTCTTGAAACTCACATTCCAATTCCAACGATCGCATAAGTTGCATAGAAGAAATCGACATCCCCTTGCCACTTGGATGGAGGTATCCATGGTGTTATCAATAGAGTCAGACATACCGCGACTCGTAGCCAGACAGCTGGCAACCAAGCTTGAAATGGCCGCACAAGATCTGGCTCTCGATAGCGAACTATAAGAAGGCCGACCGTAGTTGCCAATGCAAAGATCTGCCCTGGGTATCCCTCCAAGTCTAGAATGAAGTTGTAGACATCACCTTGTGGTGGGAGAGCTATGACAAGAGCGGAGGGGATATAGTGTACGATCAGTCCACCCAGTGGAGTCCCAAATGGTCGAGTTGATGAAAGGATATTTTGCCATGGAAGGAAACCTTGTCGTGCTATTTCTTGGTTGATGCGTGCCTGTAGTGTATACGTTAGCCTGTATATTATAGTCCAGAGGCAACAACATACCAAGGCAAATGTCACCACCATCACATTACCAGCAGCTGAAATTGCGACGGCCAGTGGGAAGAAGGTTTTTCCAATGTGATCACCAAATAGTCGTTGAAACAGCAATGCGCCCACCAATTCCCCGCTGTTCTTTATTTCTTCCAGAGGAATGACGAGGAAGTATGAAAGATTCGCCAAGGTATACAATGCCCCAGCTGTCAGTAGAGCAGTGGGACAAACAGTCTTTACCATGTCAACTGGATTATGCACCTCATTGAGAACATTGTTCACGTTGCTCAGACCAGCATATGAATAATAGACCTTGAACAAAGCCGTCGAGAGCACACTCCAGCTCCAGTTTGACCCTTCCCACATTGCATCCCAAGAAAAAGAACTACCAGAGTTTGTCCCTGGAGAGTAGACATCAGTATCTCCATAAAACTGGAGAAATACCACCCAAATTCCCGTCAAGGACATGGCACTAATGAGGAAGATTTTCACCCATCCAAGAACATTCTGGATATAGATTCCCGTTTTCAGAAAGCAGCCATGAATAATGGTAATGACCGTTAAAAGACTAACAGCAAGCGCCTTATGCTGAAATTCAGTTGGCGCAAGACCAAGTGCAAAGAAGGTGTACTTCGAGAAAATGATACAGTTGCTAGCCGTGAACCCCAAAAGCACCGCTTGGGTTGCGACCAGGCTCGAGGCAAGAAACCGTGGTCGGGGATAGGTATACTCAAGATACACCTAGATATAGGCACACCCGTTTAGCTCATGCAACCCTGCGTTATCAGCGGTATTCTTTTACCTTTTCCCCTCCTGACCGAGGTAGCATGCAACCAAATTCCATCGACACTGCCAGACCACAAGCTGACAATATAGTTCCGACCAGCCATACTAGAAGTGTTAATCCAATGCTTCCTGCGGATTTGACGATGGAGCCTGGAGTTGCGAAAATGCCGCTGCCAATGACACGGGAGACGACCAATATGTATGCGCTTGACCAGTTGAGGCTTTTCCTGTAGGTCACTCCTGGTAGATTATCGGAGAATGACGTGGAGAGTTCATCATCTGTATTATCATGTGGTTGGAGTGTACCTTGTGAAGGGGTATCGGAGTGGCTTGATGCTCCGAGAAGCGGCTGTGTCTCTTGGATGCCCATAGTGAGGTTGATGTAGGAAACAACAATCCCACGTCCGATTTAAATATTTCCAAGCAAAGTCGATGATTACAGAGGTAACCAGCGTTATTCACAGGAGAAAAGGTGCTTTTGCGGAAGTTGCTTGGAAATCATCACATTGGCTGGCACGTCATTCAGGCTGGATGTTGTGTATTTCATCCCTGCATTCTGCTGATTGATTCTGCTAATTGATTCTGCTACTTGACTTGGCTTATCACCTGACATAGTCCAATGTAACCAGCTGGAGCTTCTGGATTTCTCATAACTTGTTAGCTTATTTCTGCATCATATGTAGCATGGGTAAAAAGTACGAAAAGCTTAAATAGTCCAGATTCTGCTTCAAACAAGTGCCAAATTCTATGACATTCACTCTATAGATAGATGATCCAATAGTATTTGGTAACTTTTAATCGCGTTATAGGAAATTAGCTTCAATATTCTACCAAGTTCGGAATTGGGGAATGCTGGATATGAATAGTTATAGAATTAGGATTCATCCTTTGGATGCCACTATTAATGCAACATCATCTGAGAATGCTTCTCCATGTCCCGTGCCATTCTACTCAACTGATTAAATAGCTAAGTTTGTCACCTTTCAAATCCTTCAATGGTAGCGACCACCAGACGGATTCAAAATTACAGTGAGCGAAATGCATAAAAGACAAATTAGGAGCGCTGTCAACCTCCACAACGTCGAGATTCCCTTGTTACCAGTGAAGCAATATCAAAAGGCTTGACTTTATTATTGCATATAGAGATAGTTGTCAATTAGCTTCAATGCCAGAGATTCCAGTCTTTGAATGGCTTGTGTAGCGCTGTCACGCGATCCGATTCATCTCATTCCACTCTTATATGCAGCAGGCGTGGCAGCTCATGTGCTGTATAGAAAGAGAAATTTCCTCAAAGGATGTTCGATGATACCTCGGACCGGTAAGATTTTACATCGTAGATCTGATAGTTCTTGAAATCGTGCCCCACTCCACTTCCAGCCTCGTTAGCCCTACTAGGTCTGTACTAGGCCTAGTGCGATGAGTCACTTGACGTATCCGGACCCCGATACTTACACCCTGCATATTTGTCTTCCTTTGGAGAGGCCGAGTTCTTGCCTGAGTCATATAATTAGGCTTAGCATGTATCTTTGAATCATTGCTGCTTGGCATTAGCATAGCGCCTTCTACACTTTGTGAGATTACCGCGGGGTATGGGATTCATGGGAACGAGCAGGTCTTTAAGACTTAGAATTTAAAAGCATCGGAATCCACATAATATATTGCTCCTCATACCTTTCTTTCTTTTCCTTGGTTGTGATGAGGTTGGTGCTCTGGGTTGATAGGTCCTTTTTCTTCTCCTCACGATCTCTCTCTCTACCATTCATCGGTTCTCCAGCCCCAATACTCCTCTTTGATATTGCTTCTTTGCTTGAATGTCTTGTAGTGCATTTCCAGATATTGAAACAAAGTTGACATATCTACAATGGCAAAACAGCTACACCGAGACTCGACCATTTCGAATTGCCCAATTCGGCCGCAGAAAGACTAAGAATGAACAAAACAAGCTACATAATCTGATATTTCAGAAAGGCGAAGACTTGGAGACTATTCGAGATATCAGAGGGTTGAAAGATGATCAGGAGTTCACTCTGGAGGCAAATGGCTTTGCGTATCGGAGGTACCCTCCGTCCTGGTCCACGACGCCAAAGGATTACTGGGACCCAGAACAGATTCGAAATGTGTTCCTGCCGGAGTGCGAGGCAATTCTGAGGAATGAAATCGAGGGGATCGATCGGGTCTTTATCTTTGATTGGAAAGTGAGTAGCATTATTTCCCATCACCCACCTTTTGCATGTGCTTATTCATTTATACCACGGGCAGGTCCGGAAAAGAAAGAGCGCAAAAGAGCAGAGAACTAGAAACCAGAATCTGTTGAATTTTGCCAAATATGTTCATATAGGTATGCCAAATGACTCCGTGCTGTCATCATCAGTCCATATGGTGATTTAGCAAGTGGAATGCATTACTGACAATGTCTAAGATACGTTACTTACAAAAGACGACCTTGGAACCCCCATGATTGACCGAATTCGCAATCATCTCTCTGAAGAAGATCGTCATCTTCTTTCCGAGCGAGTGCAAATGATAAAGTGAGAGCTAACCGCTATCCCTTCCCTTATGAACTCATACAAAGTATACAAAATCTTTATCCCTTGAGTCACAACTAACCTGAGCAACTTCAGCATGTGGCGACCGCTAAACGGCCCAGTCGAAGATCATCCTATGGCTGTGTGTGACGGCCGAAACATCAACACATCTAACCTAGTCAAAAGCGACATGATCCGCGGTGATTACACAGGATCATTGCTATATCCACTGTATGAGCCAAAGAAGGCCTGTCAATGGTATTATATGAGCAAGCAAGATGTTGAGGATGTACTGTTGTTCAAGAGCTTTGATTCGAAGGAGGGCAGTGTGAAACGTGAGTGATGTCCGCACCTTGAGCTCCATATTCTACCCTGAGATCCAAGCAAACGAAAAAAAGCAAATCAATAAGAAGGAAGACCTAATTAAACATTGACTGTGTTTTAGATGCCCCTCATACATCATTTGCATTGCCTTATGCCCCGGATAATGTATGTCCTAGGATCAGTGTGGAAGTTAGAGCTTTAGTCTTTACGCCATCGACGTAAATTGTCTAAAGCTGTGGTGACATAAATGTTGATAAATCTTTTTTCCAAAATGGAAATTGTAATATCGACTAAGAAACACGACAAAGTCCACTATCATCCCAGCCTGCGCTCCCAACTCCTTTCCTAGCAATAAATAGATTATTAGGATCCCTCGACTTCTTGATGTCCAGTAGCCGAGGATAATTCTCGCCCCAAAAGGACTCTTGGAAATCAACTTCATCCGCATCAGCTTCATTCCCGTATGCGCCCATTTTTCCTGGTTCAAGGGATCTGAGCATGGGCACATCGTATTTGGTGATATTAGAAGCAACAGCTTCCTGCTCTTCAAATGACAATTCCGTACTAATGAACCGCGCAATGATCACATGAACAATCGCATCTCGCCATGCAGGGTTAAGTCCGGACTCGATATCACGATTTCTGGAAACCTGACCCCCAGCAACAAGAGCACCGACAACAGCTTCTCCAGGACCGTAGCTGAGACTCGAAAGACCTTTGGTGAGCTGCGTAGAGTTTCCAGATTCAAAAAAGGAGCGCGAAATAAGACGCGAGCCGAGCCGCATTTGGAGACCGGTTGTATCGTTGCCTGAGAACATTGTCAAGTACATGCTCGACATGGAAGGAAATGCCACGATGGCATGTAATGGTGATATCCCTGTCCCGTTCTTCAGGCTTGATATCACTGGCGACATGATCTCCCCGACGAATTCAGTGTTTGTTTGGTTGACGAATAGCTGAGTGGCCAAAAAAGTTGACAAACCCGGAGTTGCAGTGCTAGAATCGGGGATAATGCCATACCACCCCGAGCCACCATTGTCGCTAAGACGAACAATATGTTTCTGATACGTATCAACACCATTCCAAAATGACTTAGCGGCCTTTGTGCTGTAGTTCGTCATTGTGTATACCACCGGGTAATCGGGATAGGCCTTGACAGTCACGCTGACAACTACGCCGAATGACCCGCCACCACCGCCTCGTAATGCGAAAAACAGATCGGTGTTTTGATAGGCATTCGCAAATACGAGTGAGCCCTAAAACAGCGTCAGTGTCAGCAATCAGGCAACATTCTTGGCAAATGACAAGTGGGCAAGTCTTACGTCTGCGAGAACAACTTGGAATTCCAGCACATTATCACTGGCCATTCCATGCATCCAACCAAGATATGAATGTCCGCCGCCTTGTATGTAGCCACCAGCAGCACCGACAGTGTTTGAGGATCCTCCGACGACCATGAGACCTTGAGAGCCCAGGTACGCGTACATGTCGCGTAGTTGAACACCTGCGCCAAGAGTGACAGATTTAATCTTCTCCGATGTAGCAGTTTTATCTGGGATCTTGGGTACAAATTCATCGGCAACAGAGATATCTTTGAACCCGTGAGTGAAGATTTGTAGAGAATGCGGCGCAGAAGACCGGCCAAGGAAGTCATGTCCAGTATTCTTGATGACGAGTTTGATATTATGATGTGCTGCGAACTTGACAGCCGCTTGAATGTGTTCTGCTGTCTGGGCTATGACCGAGAAGAGTGATATGCGACCTTGTTTACATGGTGTTGACCGAAGGCTCTCGACGTAGCATTGTTCCTCTTCTTCAGGCCATGTTTCCCAGTTCTCCCATTGCAGTGCACCTGAATATATCAGTACAAGTCAAAGACAGAGCTAATTGAGCTGCGAGCTAAATTTAGAGTCGAACCTGGTTGGGCTGATCTGTAGGATGAACTGTATGCATTCTCCTTTACAATAGCACACTCGGGATCATTGAAGTGGGCGCCATGGCAAGGGTATGCAAGTGGCTTCACTGCGACTAGATTGCCATCGACCGAAGAGTTCAGTACAGCCCATTCGGCTTCACTTGGCCAACAAGGCTGACTGGGATGGCAGCGACAGAATTTCGCGTTGGTGGATGCTCCACTGGCGAGGAGCGCACCAAGGCTCAGTAACCAATGCCTCATTTTGGTGTGAGCGATCTGTAGATGAACAGTTTATTTCTGCGATATCATTGAATATTCCCAAGTAAATGTATAGGAAAGTGATGTGTTTATTTGTTTTTGGTGAGGAATGTACCCCATGCAACAATTGACAGTTCACTGCCGACATTGAAAAAGAATGCAAATCCCACACCGCAGTTGCAACGTGTCCATTGCAATATTGACCATCATTGCAAATACTAGTAGATGCAAAGTATTGACACATGTTGGTAGACAAAGATATTGCCTGAGATTGGACGCATGCCTATACGAAGGCTCTTGGATTGGCTTGATCTTTCTGCAAGGAGCACAAATTGACTGTAAGACAACCAACGCCAAGATAACACTCGTAATTCACTCATCCATTGAAGAATCTTGGAAAAATTGCAGCTCCAATTCCGCGTTACTACTGTGCATCCTCCTAGCAATATCCGAAACCAGATGTCCCGTGAGACGTGGACTGTTTCTCGGTCCGTACCTGAGCCCAATACAATGTAAGCATAACCGCGGACTGTACCACTTGTTACCCCCTTGCTTCATGGAACATCACCATTTCTGGAAGCTTTACAATACAAGGCCATACTCCTACAAGCAAAGCTCATCCTTAACCATTTTCGGCACGCACGCTTGAGCCTGGAAGACTTGATTAGATCACATGTTACTTCTGGTAGTAAGCTATACAACAGGGAGTATTTATAATTTTGAGAAGACGGGCAATTTTTCAAGAAGCTCCCGTGCCAATGATATTAATCGTGCACCTGTCTTCTTTGATCTCTCCGCTTCCTCTTCTTCTTCTGGATACTGTCAACCAAGCTATATTCAGCCCACATAAAAGAAGAAAACGCACCTTTCTTCCACACAAAATCCTTGTTCGCCATTTCAAAGGGATATCTGTACGTGAGTTTTGCAACATTAAGACGAGTCATCCGAAGGGCTAGGTTTGTTTCCAGGGTATACAGAAAGTCCAGTTGAGAATGGACGAAGAGCGTCAAAGTTGTCATGCGTCAGGGTCTTGGACCATCTTTCAGGCCAGGATCTGTCAGGCTTAGGTCAATAAAATGGCGACCGCTGCATCGAGTAAATGTCCACAGACATTTGAAAATATTCATGAACATCTTGCCACTTCAAATACCTCAGCCGGATCAACTTACGCCGTTGAAAACATATACTTCGTCAACATATGATCCTGGAGACGTGCGAGCGATAAATCTGCCGCTGACTGCAGGCGGCAGTCGCAAAGATTCATTGATGCAACCAGCCAAGAAAGGAAACTACATAAGCTCTTTATCATTTATAGATTGGAAATCTTTGAAGGAAGCATATAACTCTTCTCGAAGTTTGAACCGCCGAGTAGGGTCTTTGAACAGGAACTAAAATACCGAAGATAGTGCCATGGATGTTGTCTCGTAAGCAGCGAGCCTATTTGCCCTTGGTTAGAGAAAGTGTTCCAAGCAGCGAACACATTAATTGACCTGCAGGTCTCACAGAAATACGCCCAAGTTGATATTCAACTCCCTCTAAGTGGTCTCTCAACAGCTTTTGTTCTCCGAGACACTGCTGTCATATAATTTGCTACAGAGGTAATAGTCCTATCCCGATTGTTGATATGACGCTGGATCCCTGTGTAGGGATTGACGCCTCTAGAGCTCTCGAAAACATTCTTTGGAGGCTTACAGTCAATTAGGTTGACTGATTCTTCCAAATCGACAAAAATATCCAGGATCGAGTACAAATAGCACCCCGATTAGAGAAACAACAAATCAGGCAGCTTCAATTCTGGGTCAGCTAACGAGGCGCAGTTAGGCCGAGAGGAAAAATGGGTCCAGCCCTACACGTAGGAAGCAATTTAGTTATAGTGGAGAAAAACAAACTACGTAGCTGGCATCGTTGACTCCGACACAATGTGTCACGATGTTGATCCCAAGTGGCTATGCTGATAGAAGATCGAATTGTTGCTGCACCTGATCTATCTAATGTAGGCGACATGGAGAGCTTCTTGGCCCAAAGTAAGGCTGGCCTGGCGTCCAATCAAGAGGCGATGAATATCAAAACCGACTGCACGAAGCGTTTTAGCCAGGGTATGCTGGCCAAGAGACCAAGAGACCACTAGTCTAGCCTGCATATACTATTGACTTGGTCTCTTGATAACCATTGGGGTAAACCTGTCTCCCTAGAAACATTGTCGATTCGAGACAGGTGTCAGCCAAAGTCATTGAACGCGATCAATGCCTAAACTCGGGCATTGGCATACCCGGAAATAATTACGATAATAGGGCTGCCTTGCTTCGCCAGGTGAACACGTCCGTCCACACCGCGCCCCGTATGGCATCGCGTCGGGTACGCAGTCCGAATGGAATATTGCCGGGAAGGTGATGCTACAGTGGAGGCCCCAAGGGTCCCAAGTACGTAGGCAGAATGATAACTGCAATTAGGGGGAGGCTGGGGTGAAGCAAGTCCAGAGGCTTGGACGAATAAGGGGGCGCAGCGGAAGTGTTGAGAGTCACGGGATGTAGCTGCTCGAGACATCTGTTCATAATATGTGCACAATATGTGGCGCATGCAGTGGCGCGGCTTTAATTCACCATAGTGAAGAATGGTATCTGAAGCCGGGGGACATCTGTCAGAGCGAAGGTATCCGAATGGCCGAAAACGGTGGATCAGGAACGTGGAGGGCAGTGCAGGAGGCGCAGCCGGTGTTACCGTGTGAAGAAGAAAATAAATAAAGACGAAAGATCCAGACTTTCTTTTTTCTTATTCGCCTTCAACCACTGGAACATTTAAAACTGGAGTTTGCCATTTGCTATTTGCCATTTGCCTTCTGTACGCTTATCCGGTGGCAACCTTTATCCTTTATCATCTCCCTCTCCAACCCACCACCAGCACCACCATCACCACCAAACACACATACCACTATGGCTTCTACCATGGCCTCTACCTTCAGCACTCGCTCATCGCGCTCATCATCGCGACCATCATTGTCCATCGATGTCGCCAACCTCCCTCCACTCTCACAGCCAACACCGCCCTCCAACACCCTCTTGATTACCGATCTCCACGACCTGCTCCTCTTCCAGCCCCCATCGCTGGATGAAATCCGCGCTCTGATCACAGCAGTCGCACCCTTAAACTCCTTTTCTCCACTCCCATCCATGCGCCGCATCGTCTGCTCCTTCCACAACACCGAAGATGCCACCGCAATCCGCAAGATGCTAGACGGCCAGCGCCTCCTAAACCGCGACGTCCGACCACGCATCTACTTCGGCGAACCAACAGCAATCCTAGACGGCGGCCGCCCGAAGCTCCTCGAAGCCCCGCAGATGGACAAGCTCTTCTTCATCTCCCCGCCTCCCAGCCCGCCACACGGATGGGTCATGCGCAACGAAGACCCGCCAAACAAGGAAGTCCACGCCACCGACCTGGCCCACGCCCTGTCGATGCTGAAGACCGACAAGACCCAGCCTGCGCCCGTATCCGCGCCCGCGCCCGCGCCCGTGCCCGCGGACCCTGCTACTCCAGTTTCTATCACATCCGACAAGCGCACGCCCAGCTGGCCCATGGCCGGCTCGCAGCAGCGCAGTCGCAGCAGCACGATTATCTATCACCCCGAAGACCACGGTGACAGTCCTAATCTGCCTGCGGTGATGGTCGAGGATATGACGTTCACGGCTGAGGATGTTGATATGGATATGGAGATGGATACGGATATGAGTCCGATCGAGATGTCTCTCAAGAAGATGCCTCCCAAGACTTCCCGACCTCCAGTGGAGCTTATGGAGTAGGGGATTTGAAATGATGCAGTGTGCATTGCTTTTTGCATTGATTTTAGCGATGGGGTTCGTTGCTTTTTCCGTTTCATTGTACAAAGACATCCGCATCTTGTTTGTGGTTTGCTATTGCTATTTGGATGGCGTTGGGAAAGCATGAGCATATCAGCGTTTCGGACTCTGGGTACGATTTTGCTTTCTTTGTTTTTTTGTTTTGCTTAAGTATTATGAGATCTTAATATTGCACATCCTATTTCTTACTGCTTTCTCCCTTTTTGTAATTGATTCCAGCGGGTATCATGTATAGCGTAGACCAGTCCTCCATTCATCCGAGCAAAGCATACAAGAGCAAGCAGCATGAGTGTGATAAGCATACTTCCCGACCTCTCAGATTACAGTACTGCATCGAGAGCAAGTGCCCTAGGTAGCGCTTCAAGCCAAGCTTCCCATGGTTCACAACCTCAATAACGAACGTGAGCCTCGTTTACGAGTTCATCGAGCCCAACATAAATGCTGTTTTCGAGTGTACTCAGCCGAATCTTACTTGAAGCAATCTGCTCTTCGAGAGACTCGATCAACTGATGAGTTTTGCGAATGTCATTTTCAGAAACCTTGACCTTTTCCAGATCATCGCGAGTACTAGATGTTGTATTTTTGGCTGGCGTCAGTTGAGTCACTCGTCTTCTTCTTCTGTTTGTTCTTTTTCGATATCTCACCAACCCATCCCAGAGCGCGGGCGATAGTCATGGGAATCCATATGGCCAGATATAACAGTGTCTCAATAACCATCAAGGCCAACCAGGCATTGATGTACGGGGCATGATTTCTGTGAGGCACATGGGGATCAGCTCTGAACAAGAGGAATACCGTAAACCCGATTGATTTCCTTGAAGGAATTGGCACCTCCATAGAGAAGGCTCCAGATAAATTCCCGGAAAAAGTGGTTGAACGTATGGGTTATTTTGAGAGAAGTGAGAGAAGTCTGTATTAGTTCTGAGAGGGGTGAGATGTGGTGAAAAAGTTCAGATTTGGAAGCTATGAGTGGCAGCCATGACGTTTCAAACACACACTTTCTGAGACGCCGTTTATATGTCGGGGATTTGAATTCAGTTTCAATAATGTCCAACTTACGAGAATGATGTAGTTCAGAAGAATCGAAAAACCAAATGGGGTCAAAGAAATGATATCAAACGAGTCAATTTACCATCCTGGAATAAGATCTATGTACTAAACTGCCGGGGAAAGGGCTAAATGGGAGCTGCCATTACGCCCTTATCCTTATCTTAATTCCCATCTCTATTCGTAGCCATAACCAACGGCCGATAAACAGCCTCCCACATCTGTACCTGAATCCATTCCCTCAGGTCCGAATTATTCGTAGGAATATCGTCTTCCTGGGCGAGACCCTCTTCCACAGAGCACTTAATCACAGCAGCAGCGATATCAACGCTGATTTCTCGTACATCCTCCACGCCAGGGAGTAAAGGCTCATTGGCATCTTTCAAGGCAGGGGATCGTGCCCCGAGAGCTTTCACTGCTGCTACTAGCATCTTCTTTGAGACGAGTTTGCTCCGAGATAGGACGGCTCCAAGACCGATACCTGGGAAACAGGTTGAGTTGTTACATTCCGCTGATACCATGGATGAGATTGTCAATTCGTATTCATTGGATGCTTCACTTTTGGGTAGGAACTCACCAATCTCATATTTCACGCCTTTATATTCAACAGGAGGGAATGGACTTCCTGTTGCAACCAGAGCACGGCCTTCAGTCCATTTGTAAAGATCCTTGGGCTCGGCCTCGTGAAGACGTGTCGGATTACTGAGGGGGAAGATGATTGGTCGTTCAACATGCTTAGCCATCTCCCGGACAATATCTTCCGTGAAGGTCTTGGGTTTCGTGGATGTTCCGATCAGAACATGGGGATGGACTTTCTTGATCACAGAAAACAGGTCATGACCTTCTTCGGCGGGCCACTCCTCGTCTTCTCGAGCGAATGATTGTTGGGCTAGTGTCAATTTGTCCCCGAGGGACTTGACGAGCAGACCGGGTTTGTCGATACACCTGCAGTATAAGGCAAGCTGATTACTATCTCATCACCATATTATCAGCTCATCAAAAGAAAACGTGATACGTACCATATCTGTTTGGATGCCTCCGACTTGGACTTGTGCGCCTCAGTTGCAATAGTCTCGGCTATCTGATCTGCAATTCCTGTACCGGCAGTCCCTGAACCGAAAATGACCACACGCACATCTTCCATCTTGATGTTGCTGACGTGCAGTGCCGCCATCATACCGGCTAGTGTCACACAGCCCGTTCCTTGGATATCGTCGTTGAAACATGGAATTTGTGATTGGTATTTGTCAAGTATCCTCCTCGCATTCCGTAGACCAAAGTCCTCACTGTGACTGTTAGTAGTCTGATGGAACAGCAATCTCTCCGACACAATGGCAAATGTGGAACTCACAAATGAATATACGCCTTAGGGAATTGCTTTCGGGCAGCAATGACGAATTTTTCCACAAAGTCATCGTATTCCTGGCCTCTTACTCGGTGCTGTCGAAGGCCAAGATATAGGTCGTCATGGAGCAGATGCTCATTCTGTGATTTTATCAGCACGATCCCCATAATATCATATCTGGAAAAGATTGTAATACATCAGTCCCACAATCCAACACAACAGGAAGTTGACGAGAAGGATGAATCCCAGCACAAAGCGTAGTAATAACTAGCTTAGCAACCGAAATAAGAATGGCGCCCACGCCTTGATCTCCAATTCCTAAGATCTGTGGGTGGAGAGTCAGTATTGCGTGTCTTGGTTGTTTGGTTCAATTGGAGTAGCTTACCTCCTCGCCGTCGCTCACAACGATGTAATCGACTTCCTCCACCTTGCCAAAGTTCGACAAGTAGTCATCAATATTATCTTGGTCTCTGATATCCAAGAAGCACCCTTCCGGCTTCCTGAACAGACGAGAATAATTCTGGATTGCATCACCTTCGGTGGGGGTGTAGATAATGCTAAACATCTCTTTGAGGTGAGATTGCAACAGCTATCCAGGGAATGAAGCTAGTCAGCAACATAATCTCACGCCCAAAATAGTAGGATCGTGTAAATCAAACCTTGAAATACAATACTTCATTTTGCGCCTTCATACTCGCCATAAAGGTATTCTTCGCGAGAGGCTCATCCCGGCTACTATATTGATCATAGGCACGTTGGACCTGCTCTTCAAGTGTCTGGATGTTTGGCGGAAGCATCCCATGCAAATTAAAAGTCTTGCGCTCTTGCTCGGTGAAAGCGGACCCTTTGTTAAACCGGGAGTCTTTGAGGATTGTTTCGCCCTGGAGAATTAGGTATATGTCACTGATGATGGATGGGACTAGGTGGCTTACATCGTGTGGACATATCAGCGGTCCGAAGGCTGCGCGAGGCAAGTTCTCGAATTTGGAGGGATTTTTGGGAGACATGGTGTATACAGAGGGGTCCTTGGAAATTCTCCGGGAGGGTGCTTCAAATAAATATGGCAGAGAGAAAGATGGAAGTAAGAATATTGGAGTTGTTGACATGGAGTGATGTCATGCCACTCTAATTGTACCACGTTTTATACCCCGCCTGCGACCAACTCCATACCCTGCATTCCCTGCATGCTATTGTTCTACAGGCATTCTTGGCGTCTTCTTGACTGGATATTCAAGCGACACTTCTTCCCGTTACGATGTATTTTGACAATTACTCTATTAGACGAATCAGTACATAGAGAAGGACTAGGTAGGAAGAGTTGGTCTTCCCTCACGCCCATCAATCTTCTTATTCCCATCATAAGGAAGAACCAAATTCATAAAGACCCCAACAACAGCAGCAATGATGAACGGAGTCTCCACCATCAAATTGATACCCTGCTCAAAGCCCTGCAATCGCACATTCGAGCCGCTATAATCCAATATCTGGGAAAACCAGCTGGGCGACACGATATCGATAAAGCCAATACCAAGTGCAGTCGTAAGAATGAAACGATTGCGCCTCGTAAACTCAACCAGACTAAGCACTTTGATACCTGCAACAACGATCGTGCTGTAGAGGAAAACCTGCATTCCACCCAGGACGGATGGAGGCATAGAGCCAAAGACGGCACCGAATTTACCGAATATTCCCATGAGAATTAGGAATACTGACGCGCACCACCCAGCTCGTCGGCTCTGTATGTTATCACGTTAGTATCAGCGAATATCTGCAAAATATATGGAGGGAAACCCTACAGCACATCCAGTCAAAGAGATAACACCGTTATTTCCAGCCTGGCTGACCATCGGCAAGCCCGTCCCCAACGCACTGATCAAGCTACCAATACCGTCACAGAGGATACCACCTTGAATACGGCTATTGAACACGACGCCATCAATCTCAACGCCTGATATCTCGGCGGTGGCCAAGATATCCGGCATGCAACTGACAGCTTCGCAAATGAATAGGATGAGGAGAGGCAAGGCTAATGCTCCATCGACTGAAAGTTTAAACGTGTGAACCCAGAGGAATGTCGCGACAGGGGCGGCATCGATATTAGTGCGTGACCAATATCCCGTTGCGCCAGATATCGCACATCCAACTGCTAGTCCAAAGACAACAGATGCAGAGCGCATAAGGGGAGATCCGAAAAGCTCGACGATGATAATCGTTCCGAAGACGCTGAATCCGAGGCCGATGAGTTTCGGGTGCCCCCTAGTCGCGAACATTAGTACTAATCTTGGATTTACGTCCAATTCACTTACCATGGCAGTGGATTTGGCGCGGCAGTATCAGGGCACAGAGCATAAAACCCCTTGCCGCCATTGCAGTTCGAGCTTCCACCCCAATTTTCCATTCCACTAGAAATCAAGTACACCCCAACGAGGAGAAGAAGTGTACCAGTCACTATCTTCGGGAAGATCCTATTAAGCGTCTTGGGCGGAACAAAAGACAGCAAGACCTGAATCCAGACAGTGCAAAGGATTGTACCAAGCATGGCACCCCAGGCATCCGGACAGGGAAGTCTTGATCCATCAGGAGAGGCGGGACACGTTCCATTCGCATAACGCATTTCCGCGTAACTAAATGCAATGGCCAGGATGTCAAAGGTCGGGCCGACAACGGATAGAAGACCAGTGCCAATGTAGAAGGGTGTTTTTGTCAGATGGACCCGCGTCACCTGCATGGCTGTTGCGATTCCGGTTGTGATGAACGCTGCTGAGACGAGGTACTGGCTCTGTTCTACAGAGAGGTAAAAAGCACCGCTTGCAAGAGCTAGAGGGGGTGATACCACCGATCCGATCATTGTCAAGGCATGCTGAAGACCCAAAATTATCGTGAGGAGAATTGGGACTTCGTCGTTTAACCCATAGAATGGGGCTTCATAGTCTTTGTACTTCTTGTTCAAGGGCCAGATATTTGGCGTCACGAGGTAAACATAGTCCTGCAATATTCGTTTCTTGTTAACTTTTGGAATGGCGGATAGGATAGTTCTCGTACATAGTCCCCGATCCATCCCTCTCTCGTGGTGAAATATCGATACAGGTACTGCCATCGGGTTTCGGCGACAGGCGAGACTTCAATAATCTGTGATCTCCTGTCGTCCGCATCTAGTTGTGCATCTTCCTTTTCCGGAAATCTCCGTGGATCATCCATCTTCATAGTCAAGGACAAGCTGGTTTCGAGCATGGGTAGACTGGCGCACGTAAATGACCAGGACATTCCCCATGATGATATATAGCTTCCCTAGACGAAGATCAAGATGATAACATTATCTTTACAAGATATCAAAGTCCAAGTGGTGTATCGTTCCTCGGCCGGCGAGATAAGCCGTTGATTGCTTAGCGTCGGCCGAGGGTCTAGGGAAACTTGGGGAATAAATACAATCCCCCGGAAAACAGCAATCTTGATTATTTTTCTTTGCGCGAGACATCATGACGGTCACAGTGCTCCCCGCATGCAAACTATTCCATGGAGCGACAATCATCACAGTCAACCAAAAGCGAGAGATCATTCGCGATGGATATATCCTAGTCGAAGGCGACAACATCACCGCCGTTGGGAAGTGCCCATACCCCAAAGCTTTGCCACCTCATACTAGTGAGATCGATTGTCGAGGCAAAATCATAATCCCAGGGTTGATCAATACGCATGCTCATCTCGTTCAATCCGTGCTTCGCGGGTTAGCCGAGGATCTACCGCTACACAACTGGCTCTGCGATGCGATATGGCCCCTCGAAGCTGTGTTCGAAGGCAAAGACGGGTTTAATGCAGCACGCTTGACCATGGCTGAGATGCTAAAAACCGGCACAACCTGTTTCCTTGATCCAATGTTGACCTACCGAGCTGGGTTTGACCAAGTGTGTGCTGCGGCGGGTATGATGGGTATCAGAGGTTGTCTTGTATGTTCAGACCATGTCTCATGCGAGATAATTTCTATTACTAACATTTATTCTGAATGAAACAGGGCAAACTAGTCAAATTCACAGAAACAAACCGTCAACTCTCCATTACCGACCCACGAGACAGAGATCTCCTCGCCATGTCAATACCCGAGCTCCTAAGCTCGCACAAGAAACACCATAATAGCCACGACGGCAGAATACACGTCTGGGCCGCAGCAGGGACACCGCGAGGCACATCAATCTCCCACTACCGTGAACTGGGCGAAACATGTTCCCATAACGGCATCTCAGCCACAATGCACTGCGCAGAGGCACCCAAAGATCGCATAATCTACCGCGATACATACAACTGCAGTGCAATGGAGTTCATCCGCGATGCCAAGCTTGTTCCCCAACCCAGCGAATCTCCAACCGACCAAAGCACCTTATCACATCGTCTAGTCCTGGCTCATATGGTGAATCTTGATAACGACGTAGACATCCCCATACTAGCAGAGACACAAACATCCGTGGCGCATAACCCTACTTCAAATCTGAAGCTAGCGTCTGGTGTTGCTTCCATTCCAGCCATGCTATCCAATCCTTTGCCTGTGAACGTCTCTCTCGGGACGGATGGTGCGCCGTGCACCAATCACTATGATATGTTTCAGGAGATGCACTTGGCGGGTATCGTTCATAAGGGTGTTAATCATGATGCGAGTCTCATTCCTGCCGAAGTGGCGTTGGAAATGGCTACTGTTAATGGAGCGAAGGCGCTAGGGTTGGAAGATCAGATTGGGAGCCTCGAGGTGGGTAAGAAGGGTGATTTTGTGGTTATGGATCCGTATGGCCGGGGTGGACTTGGTGCGGCGCCTTGGAGCGATGAGATCTTCAGTCATGCGGTCAATTCTGTTATAACGGTTGTTCATGGGTGTACTGGACGTGATGTTGACATGACGGTTGTTAATGGGGAGATTTTGGTGCAAGATGGGAGGTTGGCCGTTGGAGGGCGAGAAAAGGAAAAGGAGATTGTGCGCTTGGCTCAGGAGTCTGTGAAGGGGATTTTAGAGCGGTGTAATAGTGATCGTGAGGATGACGCTAAAGTGGGAGCGAGGCTTATGAAGCCGTGGTCGTATATTTGAGTAGTAGATGTATCTCATTCAACAAGCACCTTGACTCCCAAGGTGACATTACATGCCTGTATGCTACTATGCAAAACTAAATTTGGGTCTCCTTTAAAAGTCCTTCATATCTTCCCTTTGCCAATGCATAAACTGTTTGCAACCGCGGCATCTCAACCCCCCATTTCTGGCCCAGACGAACGGCATTTCCGATGATAGCTTCTACCTCAAAGAGCCTTCCCTGCCGTATGTCTTGCAGCATACTCATCTCTCGACCAGTCCCACTGCTAGCTCTTCTCTGAGCTATCATAAGCTTCTCCTCGGCAGTTTTCTCATCCACCCCCGGTATCCCAATCGTGCGAGCCAGCGCCACAATCTCCATCATCAACCCCCAAACAAGATCGTGAGCAAAGGGTGACGAAGAGAGTAGAAAGTCGCCGTCCGTACATAATGTCAGAGCACAAATGGGATTCCAAGATGCATTCAGAATCAATTTCGACCAACGGGCCACCTGAATATCATCATAAACTTTAACATCTCCACCTCCTTTCACCATCAGGTCGGCGAACCTGACAGCAGCTGTCTTATGAGATGCTGGTGCATTCGCAGGGAAGGTGCCTAATTCTAGAAGATCGAGCATCTCCGGATGGTGGATGATTCCTTGACTTGTCTGTGTAGCAGGAAGGTAAATGACTCCGCTTAGGATCGGATTGTGCGGAAATGCTTTGGCAGCCTCATCCTCAATGCCGATTCCATTCTGGCACAACACAATCGCTGTTTCTGTGTGGTTGCCGACGGCAGGTCGGATCATATCCATAGCAGAGAGCTTGCTTCCTGGAAGTGACTTGGTGGCCACCAGGATATAGTCATAAAAGCAGTCAGGAGGGCATTCCGCTGTAGAGCGGATAAGGCTGTCTGGCTTATATCTTACATCGCCGAACCGTTTACTCTGCAATCTGAATCCATCGTCTTTAACGGCAGAGTAATTCGAACGACACACGGCAGTGATAGTGCAACCAGCCTGGCGGAGCTGGTGTAAGTAGACCGCGCCTATACTGCCAGCACCGAATAATAGAACATTGGGTTGTTTCGCCATTCTAAAAGGAGCAATTCTGGTTTGAGGGCGCCTGAATACGAGTTTGGATAAACTAGACATTTTCGTTTAACCCCGCGGGTGCGCTTATTACGGATTAGTCAACCTCTACTATACTTGCTCTGGAGGCGAATGGAGATTATTTCAACAAGCCGTCCTTTCCCCGAGGTCATGCTTATCAGTTACTTCATGAAGCCACTGAATATGTGTGCAATTTCTCCCCTTTACGAAATATCCAACAGAATCCTCAGTAACCTGGGATCTTTGATTCCACCCAATAATGGCAGATCGAAGCGATAGCCTGAAGCGAAACCAGGAATCCCGTAAAAAGGGCCACCCTCAACTGAAAGATAAGCACCAGCAAGCTACAGTGAGTTTAAAAGGTCTCAATCAGAGCTCAGTAGCTAACACCACGTGGAAACGTCGCGAGCAGCTTCGCACCGCACAGAGAGCGCATCGCTTTCGAAGAAAGGACACGCTCCACAACTTAGAAAAACGGGTGGACAAGTTCGAGACTGGTATCGACGATATTATCCATACATTTTTCGATCTCAGCAAGCAATTGCTGGACATAAAAGCTCTTGAAAACAATCCTCTCTTGGCTTCAGCATTACAGCAGATGACCCGGGAGTGCATATCGCTGGCGGAGATGGCGCAGATGGAAACCGTAGCAACCTAAGATATGGCGGACAACATGGATAAACGAACCAAATGTACTCATCTCAGCCTACACCGATCTTGGCATGACCGATGCTAATTCTAATATGTACGTGGTACGTTGAGTAGTAAGAATGTTAGATTTGCCGAATGGAATGAACTTTATGAATGTAATCCCAGGAGTGTGTCTGCAACATTTTACAAGATATGGCATCGACAATGAAAAAAGGGTAGTGCCCAAATGTTCTCAAAGGAGCAGCCGACCAATGCCAAGTCTGTTGTTACACTGTCTGGATACATCAATCTGGAAGCCCGAGTCAGTAGGCACCATCGTAAGGAACTGCCCGGTTCTCCTCTGTCCATAGCTTTTCCTCTTCACACTCTTCCATGGAGGGGGTGTCATCCCATTGATCTTCCACAGCCTCCTCTCTGTTTCATCGACATGATATTCCCAATCATAACCCTTGTCGGCAACATGAGGGCCCAAAATCTTGTCGATGGATGCCGTATTACGATTGTAGCTTGCATCGTCATCGGGAAGCCGAATAGCGATTTGGGTTATGACGACGCGAATAAAAGGCTTGCCGGTGACTTGTTTTCCTCCAACTAGGAAGTCCTCCGTGGGGAGTGGAATGAATTGGACGACAACGTAGAATGCAGGCAGACTGACGTTGGTGTACATTTTGGTAATGTCTTCCGCAAAGGCTACTTTGGATGCTGGATTTGCATAGGTGCCGATCGGGTGGTAGATTTGCCAAAGAGACATGTTGATTGGATTGAGAGGGTTGTTCAGGAAGCTTTTTTGATGAAAATTCCGTGGAATCATCGGTAGGAGAAGAGACCAGGAGCTCCCCAGCTACTATAGTTTGCATTTTGTAGTCTGCTATTCATCGGATGCTTGTGTTTCTCCGATATGATCACATACCATCATATAGTCCGCAAAGTTTACCCCGTGATTATTCTATAGAAGTCACAGGTAATGAGATGCACTGCCCAAAAGAAGACATGTACATGGTCTGAGTGGACTATGATCATACTACACCGCAATGTTCTGTGCTAGGAGTTTCTGACCAAAACGAGGGTCTCTGGTTGATGAAATAAACATTCCTGTGGAATACTCGGTCGCACCATTCAAGACTGCTCCTATTGGTTTTTGTTGTTCAAGCTTGGGCCAATGAGATCCTTGATTTTTTTTTTTCTTCTTTTTTCTCTTAGTCAAATGGAGGCTTTCGCGTCATGTGAATGTGTTAATGATTCGTCTAGAATATACATGGGAACATGATAGCTTGGGCTAGGCCAAGGCCACCACCCGCCTAATACCAGAATATACATTCAAAGTCTCACCATGGACTTTAACAGGTGCGGCTGTACACATTATTCACGGAGCTGGTTTCCTATAACTTCGCAAATCGTTAGCTGACCAGTCGTGATGCTGTTATACCAAGATTGACTGCATCTACTCACTAGCCAAGGTTTACTGCCGGTGTAAAACATTTTGCGTTTGGAAAACAACAGCCTCCTTTGGGAGATATTGTGCAAGTAAAGCCGTATCCCAGTAAAGCCAGACCTCCTTGAAATGCAATCCATCCACAGCATCGCCGAGGTCCGCAGGACCGATACGAGAGATCCAACTGAGTGGAATACTGACAGTAGGCTCTTCGGTGCTATTTCCAGGCAGCCAGATATTGCGGGTATTCTGGGAAATTATAGTGGTTGTACCATCTTCATTGTTAATTTCCCAGAGACCGTGGAAGTCGTGTCGCAGTCTTTCAAATTGTCCGAAAAGGCGTTTCATCCATGCCCACATCTCGTCCCCACCATTGTACTGGGCGTTGTTCTGGTTGTGGAAAATGACATCTTTGGAATAGAATCGTAGACCAGACCCATGGTTGAAGCCATAGGAATCAACTGTGTCAACGTACTTTTTGAAGAACTGTTGAGCCGGTGTCTCTGGCCAAGACGCATTCCGGACAGAGGCGGCGGAAACACGGCTTACCAATTCAGGCATGATTGACGCATAAAAAAATGGAAGAAAGAAGACAGAGAATGGGACGAGAAAGAGGTCTCTTGTCTTCGTACTGGTTTTTCTCTATATTTCCAAGATTCTTATAGTTCGTTACCTTGGATGGCTGGCACCAAATCTAGGAACCTAAAACCTGTGCCGCGGTTTGTTGACGATATCGCCGAGGCGCAAGTCTTATACTTCGTAATCGATTTTGCTAAAGCCGAGCTTTCAACGTTCCGACAATGCAGGAAGCTCTAATCTGTCGTGGGTCATCTCGGCTTCCCGAGGTCTTCAATGATCAGTAATATGTCGCCACTATTCCGCCCATGTTTGGGTTGTAGTTCGATGGAGTCATGTTGTATATATAAACAGACCCAGAAGCCGATTTGCAATTTAAATGTGTCTATTTTTTCTTCATCTCTTCATTTGATTTGATTGTACTTATCTACATCATGGGTCTTGACTACAAGGTATTCACGAGCAAACGTTCCGGCGTGAATCGGTCCACACCAGCCGGCCATGATCACCTCAAGTGGGTGCCAACCACCTCGACCTTGATATTCGGCCAAAAGGATGCGATACTGGTCGATACCCAGTTGACCATAACTGCAGTCAAAGATTTGGTAGACTGGGTTGTGGCAACTGGGAAAAACCTCACTGCAATCTATGTCTCCCACGCCCACGCCGATCATTTCTATGGCAACGGAGCCCTCCTCGAGAAATTTCCCGAAGCAAAGGTCATAGCTACGCCGGAGACTGTCTCTCGAATGACAGAAGCCATATCTCCCGAAGGCATGGACTCTTTTTGGAGAAATCTCTTCCCTGGGCAGATCCCGGAAAAGCTTGTGATGGCTACTCCTCTCGAGCAAGACCACTTTTTTCTGGAAAGTGAGCGGTTAGAAGTGGTTAGAATGGGCCATACGGATACAGATGATACAACGGCCCTCTGGGTGCCTACCATTGGTCTGGTTGTTGCCGGAGACGCAGTCTACGACAATACCCATCCGTACCTTGGAGAATCAAAATCCCAAGAGGCGAGATCGCGATGGGTGGCTGCGCTCGATCAGATTGCGGCTCTGAACCCGAAAATTGTCGTTGGCGGTCATAGCGATCCATCTAAGGGATTCTCGCCTATTGCTGTTCAAGAAACCAAGGACTATTTGGATGATTTTGCGCGACTGGATGGACATACATCCAGTGCCGAAGAATTGTACACCCGAATGTTGGAATTGCATCCCACTCGATTGAATGTTGGGTCGCTATGGGGAGGTGCAACACTCGTGAAAAAATGATTCTACGTGTAGTCTCAATGTTGACCAAGTAACCAGCGACTGCACTTATTCTATATGACAATCTTTATCTTAGCTTATTCATAGATAATTTCAAAATGAGAGAAGTGAGGATCCAATTGATTCCAGGCCACCCAATATGTCCAAACAAAGATATTCAGAAACGATGGTTCAGGTAGCTTCCATGTTTCTTGGAGCGAAATAGTATCATACGCGATAAGGAAATGTCAAATTTTCTGTAGAATTTTGTCTAATGCTCCTTCGTAGAGAACCTTCAAGAAACTAATCCAAGTCTGTTGCACCTGTCGTGTCTCAAGAAGAGCCAACCCATCTCCCTAAGAACTCAATCTGTCCTTTGATATTCTGTTCGAACCAATCTCCGGTATAGATATCAAAATGACCAGCACCGTCAATAAACAAAAGCTGCTTTGGCTCTCTAGCCTTTTCGTAAGTAGCCATCTGAGATGCCGTGGTAACAAGGATATCATTTCCAGGAACAACCATCAGCAACGGAGTCGGCGAAATACGATGCACCATCCCCTGTCCTTCAAAAGCAAGCATATTGAGCTGTGTCTGAACCGTAACAGAATTTTCCCAACGGCCACCACAATCGTACGAACCGCGAACCCGCTCGTAAGCATGAGTACCAGGAAACATGGCAGTAGTGGTCCCCGATTGCGCTGCTTCCAAGGTTTGCGCAATAAGCGGAATTCTTTGTGGTTCTGATCCTGCCGAGATACGAGCACGCTCTTTCAAAATGGCCGGAATGCGGTCTTTGAAGGCCAATGATCGCGTCTCTCCAGAAACTGCAGGGCACTGCACTATGGCGGCTTTGATACGTTTGTCCACAGCAGCCGCATATAGAACATTTCCACCGGAGAAACTTGTGCCCCAGTACACTATGCGAGTATCATCTACACTGGCGAATGATGTTGCGAAATTGAACGCGTCGTAGTAGTCGGCTTGTTGAAGGGTCGGGTTTGATTCTTGTCGGGGTAGTCCATCACTGTCGCCCCAGTTCCGGTTATCATAGAGGAAGACATTGTATCCAGCTTGCTGGAATCGATCTGCGAAATCTGGAAGCCAAAAGTGGCGGACACCACCCAGCTGTTCACTATTAGCCACTTTCCTGGGAAAGTCCAATTTCTCATGGAGTACGTACACCGTGTGTCATAATCACACATGCCGATTTCTCAACTTGAGGATAGAACCAGCCTCGGAGAACAGTGCCATCGCAAGTTCTGAACTCGATGTTTTCACGAGGGAGGACCATTACTGTAACGTGATAGTAATATGTTTAGATAGATGAAGTTTTCCAGGTGCAAGTCGAAAATGGAGATGATCAATGACAAAGACGATATTTTGACATTACCTTTTGTTTTCTTTTACGAGCCTCGGTATGAAAATGGACAAGCAAGTAATCCAAAATTCAATGAAGCTCCTTGAGTTTTTGATTACGTCGCTCTAGCCGAGGTCGGTTGCTCGAATAGTAATCAGCCGACTTAAGCCTTTGAGTATGCCGAAGTGGCGATCGGTTTTGCTTCCTTCATTTTGATTGATTTACGTGTATGTTTATCCAGTGATCTAGCTTTCAGTGGATTGAGAATCTGCTTCACGAATATAACCAAGGTGAATATATCGTCATCGATGTACCCCTCCCGTAGATTCCTTTCAATTCAAATCAAAGAATGATTGTAGTATATGAGAATCGAACAATCGTCATACAATGAACCACCTTTTCCTTTACAAGCCCAGAAGTCTACTGGAGAGGCCTGTTAAGTAAAGCAGTAAACATACGCAAGCAATCAAGTGGCATTTCTTGAGATACTATTTGGGCTCAATTAGCCCTAGAATCTATTTACCGACAACGTTCAGCAAGATTCCATGCAGACAATTACATATCGTCGTCAACTGCAAAGCCTGATTCAACACAGTCAAACAAATTTCACGCGAATGGAGCACCTTCACCCGGTTCATCCACCCCCAAAGCAAGTTTACCCACAGTGGTGCCAGACTCAATGAGCCGATGAGCTTCTTTCAGTCCAGCAAGAGTCAACTTAAGACGTCTGTTAAGATTTGGCACCAACTTTCTCTCATCGACAAGACGAGCCAAGGTCCCGAAGATTCGATGATAATTCTCCAAATTCGTCCGATGATAAGCTGACGAACCAAGCCAATCCCACGAGAAAGTCAACGACTTTGACATGAAATCAGTTCCGTAAAGATCGAATTTGGCTTGCACAATCGAGCATACTTTACCAAAGGGTGCACAGATTTTGCCTAAGGCGTGGATATATTGCTCTGTCCTTGCGACCACGTAGACATATCTGTAATGATTAGTATGCCCATTTTTGGAAGACAAACAGTACGGCAGTGAGAGAGGGCAAGTCATACCTGATTGGGACATCCACGTTCAACGCCCTGATCTGGGCCTCAAGATCCTCCCTGTGATTGATAACATGGGTAGCACCCATTTTCCTACATGACTCTATAGTCTCAGGCCGTGATGCAGTAGCAATCACAATGGGAAGTCGGAGAACTTTCCTGGCGATTTGAACGGCAGCGCTTCCAACTCCACCTCCGCCATTGATCTAGTACAGACACTTGAATGAGTGTTCGAGTTCGAAATGCCACAAAGGCAGAAAAAGGAATTCACCATTGGCTAGTAGGGTAATGAAACTCACAATCAAAATACCAACGTTTTCATTCTGTTTAATCTCCAACCTGTCAACAAGAGACTGGTAAGCCGTACCGAAGGTCAGACCCATACTAGCAGCTTCGACGAAATCAAGTGATTTCGGCTTCGGAGCACAATGACGCTCATCGACTAGGAGGTACTCTGCAGTACTGCCTTGGCGAGTAGTAGAGCTCACGTAGAAGACATCATCGCCAGGCTTGAAACTCGTGCATTGAGGCCCGACTTCCAAAACGGTTCCGGCGCCATCGAAACCGATGATGTGGAAGCCCTTTGGCGCAAACTTGTAGTAATCTCTTTTGGGTCAGTATGCAGATCTTCCAGAGAGGGAGGAACATTATTACCTGGAGCGTCATCGTAGGTCCCTTTGCGGACTTTCGTGTCGATGGGGTTCACTGAACAGGCCTTGACTCTATACTAGGTCAATTCAATTGTAATGACCATTGAATTAGAATACTCACTGCACAAGAACATCCATTCCTGCAGGATAACCCGGTCGTGCAACATCCCGAGACTCGAAATTATCGACCGAACCATACTCGGCGACTCCGATTGCTTTCATTGTTTTGGGTTCCATCTTGACTATGGTCTGACTTTGCTCCGGAAAACTGAAAAGGGATAGCCTGCTATAGATATCGGAGAAATAGAATCCTTGAATGCTAATCCGAGGGTTGGTGAAGTATGATTAGAATATCCGTCATCCATCGCTGATGATTATTCAATGTTTCCGAGTACGAATACCCGAATGCCGGACCTTGATATCATGGGTCGCTTTGGGGGTTTCTTCCGTCATCACTCATGTGATGAGAACATGTCGTATGGGTAGTTCTACCAAGTCGAGCGTGTATAGCGTAGGCACTTAGGGTTGTAAGTCTAAACTATTTGAGTTAGCTGGGTTTGGCCGCGTGAAAGGTGGTACTTGATTTGATATAGTCTATTAGAACGCTTTCGACCGAATACCTTCGAAGGTGATATTGACCCTATAGGTATAGATGCGGAGAATTACTTGCCATGGTTATCCTAAATATCTTAGCATATAGCACCTAATAATATTCACTATTTTGCGCTAACTGGACCAACCAGAAATGGCTTTTGTAGATTATGAACAGAGCAATCCCATACTAAAGAACCCAGCTATTGCCAAGATCATAGATCATAAAATGACAGGGAATGAAAAAACACCAGTACGCCCCCAAATCGCCAGTAATAATAACTCCTCGCATGCTTCGGCTTTCTCTTTTTTTCTAGACTAACACTCAGAACCCATAGCTGCTCTGCCCGTAAGGCGTGGCACCGTATGGTGTCTGTGCGCTCGCGCCCCAGGCACTAGCAGCTCCATTTCCGTAGGAAGTCATGTTACCGTCAATGCCTTCGGGGGGCTCGTAAGCATCAGGGTCGTTGGCGCCCATCATATCGGCATCTTCCATGCCTCCGGCGTGGCCGTCCTCGCCTTCGCCGGAGAGGACGGAGACGGTGGTTGCTAGCTTGCGCTGCAGCTCGATGAGGCCCTGTTGGATGATCATGTCTGGCTCGAGCATTCCAATGCTCTCGACATCGACGTAGAAGGTGTGGGGTTCGGCGTCGTAGTCGAATGGCTGGTCGGGACCATTCGCAGGTTCCCATGCGGCGTTTTCAGAGACAGGCCTGAGATTGTGAGTGGATAATTCAGATACCTCCAGAAAGAAACAAAATACATACCATTCCTTCGCGGCATCCTGCTCATACCAGTAATCCACGTGCCGGAGGTTGTTGTTGGGGTCATATTCAAAGCCTACAGCAGCAGTAGGCGCCCACTTAGCATGTTCCTTAGCGGTTCCCTTCTTAGCGAGGCAAGTCATCTTAATCTCCTGACCCTTCCGCAACTTGCAAATCAAAGGTCCCTTTTGCTCGGGGTCGTTCACGACGGGGTTACCAATCGTTTCGTTGACACGTTCGCCTACGACGACCAAGTCACGCGCGTACACGGACATGATGCCGCTGCCGCAGCGGGCGTGCAGGGAGAGTGTCACGCTGCAGCGCACACAGTGGTCCTCGCAGTCGCAGTCTCGTGTGTAATCCAGGTCATCGCAGTTGTTGGAGTTGAGGGGGATCATGCCCAGGCGGTGCGCGAGCATTTCGTCTGGGAGGACGGAGGTGTTGCTTTCGATTTCGATCAGGTCCAGGGCCAGTGTGGGCACTTCGGCGAGGATTGTGCGGCGGAGGGAGTTGGCGAATGCAAGGTCCACGGAGCTGAGTCTGAAGTCCACGCGAAGAGGTTCAGCCTGGAGTTGTTAGGTCGTTGTTCTGGGATTTTTGTGATGCATTTGTCTACCTCGCGGACGGTTACTTGGGGCCCTGTGGGCTCTAGGTCCATCTCGTAGTCCATCGTGTGTATGCGGCAGCGCGGGTCGCTGCCACCGTTTGTCGAGCTGGGGTCTTGGCGCGGGGTTCAAGTAGATGGAGCTAAGGAGAGGAGAGGTAATTGAAATGGATCGAGAATGGGATAGTGTTCAAATGAGCTGTGGTAGGGAAGCCGGTCGCGAGGTTGGAACCGGAGTGGACGAGATCGCGGATTTGCTCCTCGGAGGCAGCTTTTTGCGCTTTTCCTAATCGGGACACGCAGTCAAGTGCCTGACATGGGGTACAACTACTAGTACGCTATTCCTAGTACTTGACTATATACTACTGACGTTGTTCTAACGTTGCTTTGGGATATTATCTCTTCTGCTTCCTTGCTGCTTTCCTGGTCGGAAGAAATGCTTCACATTTGGTAACGTTTGTAGATGCTGCGTTCAACATCAACATTTGTGCCTAGAATTAAGCGCAATGCGATCTCGACTCATTCTTGGCCACGAGGTAAGCAATGTCAAAGTAGACAGCAAGGAGCCACTGGCTGTTGAGCCCTCCTGTTGGTGTCTATCAAGGCGAAAGCAAAAAGCAGATATCAAGTCGCGAATGAAACAGACGGGTAGCGGCAGCCCATCAAAGATGCAGAAGTAGACTAAAGGAGACAAAGCCAATAGCAGAAGCGACGAAGCCACCGTAATTTTGGAGTTCATGTCGAGTCATCAAATTTGGAGGCAGTTCTCAGATGCGAAAGATAGGAGGTTGTAGGGGAGTCGGAGAGAAGAGAGAACTGTATGTGCATGCGGGACTACCGCTTCAAGGAGCTGCGATTCAACGCCTCCAATAACTCGGGTCGATTTGCGAGGGCCGTGGCCGCCGTTGAGTATGAGACCCATTGCCGTTTGCGCTTGTGCATCTCGGGCCACTCGGCTTCTTCGCGCTCCACGGTGACTTCAAAGAATTGATATGAGGCTTTCGGCGCTTGCGCCGTGAGGAGGCCGGAGGGCCTCATGTCTGGGATGAGACCCAAATCGCGGCTCACGACGCACACTACACCGGCCTCCTCCCAGGCTTCGCGGCACGCAGCCTGCTCGGCGGTTTTTTCATCCAGCTCCCATCCACCCTTGGGGAGCACCCAGCCCCCGGGTCCTGCGGATTGGATCATGAGGACTTTGGTCTTGTCGGCGGAAATAGGGACAACGCCGGCTACCAGTCGCTCGCCTTTCGATCCGTAGCCTATCACACCGTTAGAGTCAGAGAGACGTAAGGGACAGGTCGATCTCGCCCCACGTGCCCGCAAGAGCCACCAGCTGAATACTCACGTTGGTTGATCCGCCCAACGCGGGCTTCCATCGAGCGTATTTGTGCCATTGTGTTGAATGTGCTGTGACTCAATTGAGTATGGCCACGGAAGAGCAGTCGTGGTGGTCAAAAACGTAAAAAAAAAAGTCAAAATGAGTCAAAAGAGCGAAAGGACTCCTAAGCGATTTCAGAATGGAATTGGTCCTGAACCTCTCGAGCTCCCTCTGGAGAGTGAGAGAGTTAGGAGGGGGGCGGTCGGGAAGGGAAATTTTTTTCCCCTTCGGATATTGGGATGGAGAAGAGAATTAGGTCTTCCCAATCATTCCCGACGGGGGACAATGAAAAGAAGTACTAGACATGGTTCAGGAAATATCAGAGCATTGGAGAATGGAAAAGGGAAGAGGGGCACCGGCGGCGCAGGCCGGGTACAATGACATGGCCTTACATTACGCTCTCTACTACTAGTCACTACTGGTTATGCTTATTCTGTTCTCTCCGTTTGGCGTGCATTCTCAGTCTACTCTCTTTCTAGTCTATTTTAATTTATTCTATTCTATTCTTGCATTCTGTGTATACTGAATATATGGTCATGTGACTCTATCCCAAATGCGTCAACTTTCTCTTTCCTCCAATTCTGTTCCAAACTCTCAAGTTGGGACCGGGTCTCAGGTCGGACGTTGGCCAGCCGATTGAGCGGCTAAAGCACCCTGGATTGTGCTTCGTGTTGTGGGTAAAGACCCTAACTCCGGCTTGGTACCGAACCCGGAGATGACCAGGAGTATAGATCTGCCGATCAGACAAGAGGCATTCCATGTACAGCGTACAGCACTCCGTAGAAGCCAGAAACATACCTGCAGCAGAAATAAATGTAGCCTTACCGCCATTGTATAGAACCGGCGTATTTACACCCCACCAACTCCCCTCTCATCTCTCTCTCACTCTCTCTACACATCGCCACCACAAAGGGGCCAAAGTCCGACATGCAACCAGTTGACGCCGAACGCGCGCGAGAGCTGTCGCTATTCCGCCCACTAGGTCAGTCCCACTTTGTTGCAGGGAACCACTGAGATAGAGCTCCGTTACCCCGTGGCGTTTCCACTGGCCCTGGGGACCGACCGTATATCATACTAATGTCATGCAGGTTATCAAAGAAACTCGTGTGGTTACTGCAAGTCCGACAATGGAAGTACGTTTGCCTGGCTTCTTTTTCTTTCATGGTTGACACGTAACAGGTGCATCGTACTACACCAGTTCCACGTCCGTACGCCCGCACCACTATGAGGAATTGATCAATGGCGGCTGGAGAAGGTATGCCCCTTGAGACAGACAAATGGCCTGTAACCCATACTGACATGGATAGATCGGGGTCTCTCTACTACAAACAGAACCTGCAGCGATCATGTTGTCCCCATTACACGCTGAGGCTGGAGGCTTCCGAATATCGGCCCCGCCGCGATCAGCGCAAGGCAATCAACCGATGGAACAAATTCATCCTGGGCCCGGAGTATATGCGCAAGGCGGCCCGGCTCTGCCCGCGCACTCGCGAGTACGCACATTCATGCTCCATTGGCCTTGAATCACTGCTGACGATACCAGGGAGAAAAAGCACCGCAAATGCAACTTCGATGTGGTGACTGCGGTCCACGAGTCGGAGTACGGCAACGTCAAGCGGCCTATTGATCCTGCTACCAAGCGACCACTGGAACCCGCCCATCGCTTTGAAGTCAACGTCGAAGGTGACTCTGTGTCTCAGGCTAAGTTTGAGCTGTTCCGCAAGTACCAGACGGCCATCCATAAAGAGGATGTATCGCACTGGAAGCCGAAGGACTTTCAGCGTTTCCTCTGCTCGGGTCTCCAGCGATCGCCTACCTCACGCAACAGCTCTGATAAGAAGATCGGCTCTTGGCACCAGTGCTATCGCCTCGATGGCGAGCTAGTCGCAGTCGCAGTCCTAGACTTGGTACCAAGTGGCGTCAGCTCTGTCTACGTCTTGTAAGCTGAGCAAATCAACGGAGTCTCTTATGTGAGATATGATAAGCTGACAGTCCATACCACAGCTACGACCCAGCGTACGAGCAATGGGAATTCGGTAAGCTGAGCGCAATGCGCGAAATTGCCTTCTCACTCGAGAACGATTATCGCTACTACTACATGGGTAGGTCATAGTCGTGAAGCCATCCCTGTCCGTGGGCTACGTTTCTAATTATCTGGTTAAAGGGTACTACATTCATTCCTGTCAGAAGATGCGTTACAAGGCCAACTTCCGTCCCCAGTATATCCTCGGTATGTTCTACCCCGTATGCCGATGTGAACCGGTTGAGTTTGCTGTGCCACCTATGAGATCCAGCACAGTACCTGACCCCTTTTTTTTGTTACGCAGACCCTGAAAGTAATACCTGGGATCCGCTTGATGGCGAGTTAACTGAGAAGCTCAATTCTCGTTCTTATGTTTCCATGTCGAGGGATCGAGCTGGGATCCCGGCGCCTGCGGCTGAGCCGTTTGAGGATGAAGAGCAGATGACGCTCTTTGATGTTCATATGCCTGGTGTTATGACCGCGCCGGAAGTTGAAGCTATGGATTTGGGTAAATGGTTGTTGGTTGTTAAGCAGCACTATGTCCACATGGAGGTATGTATGCCCCTCTCTTCACCGAGGGAATTATTTACTAATTTTAATCAGGATCTCGTCGACTGGGAAAAATCAACCATCACTTCGCCTATGTCTATCAAGGGCATGGTCGCTGAATTGGCTGCAGCACTGGGACCTAACATTGTGAAGAACAGTGCAGTGGACTTGTTCAGTTGATAGAATGCCTATGTTATTGATATCAGCGGAGATGTTTGCTATGCAGAATGAGATATAACTAGGAGCATGAATGGAGGTCGATGCATCGAGTTGAATTATGTTGGTGTAGAAGCATTACTAGATGGCTGTATGAATTTCTTACTTCGCTTATTCTCATTTTCGCTTCTCTCAATCATTTGTAGACTATAGGCCTTGAAATCTTGATCAATTATAGAGCCAAGTCAAGAGCCAGTTTTCTCAACCGCTGTTTCTGCTACGATACAAGGGTATTAAGTATATGATCATATATCCAGAGCATTCAGTCACAAGCCAATAAGAGACAGAGGTAGACATGCTTAATCGACAGTTACACCATTTCATAACCGTCATACTGTACGGCACGACACTATTTTCTAGCGACTTTGATAGCTTCTCCCCTTTATGTGTCTAGAGAACCAAAAGGTTGCATATCCATGCATGTCCTAAAGCAGGGGATAAGGCAGTGACCGCCAATGTACAGAACAGCACAATGAAAAGTGAAGCTACAAAAAAAAGCAAGTCCTCACCGGTAGATAATAGTCCGCAGACTAACCCGACATTAAATTACGTTGCATCTTCGTCGATAGCTTTTGACCATAACTACGCTCTCACGCCTTTTATCCAAAAACATGCCCTTCCCCGATATCCTCCAATGGTCCAAAGACCTCCTCATGGGAAGCATATGCACCGGTCCCTCCCCACGCCATGTGGCAATAATAATGGACGGAAACCGATGCAAAAGAGCACGGGATCAGTATTGAGGAAGGACATTTGGCTGGTATTGCTGCACTGAGGAGGGTAAGTGCATACCACATACAAACATTAGTAACATAAGCACCCAAAAAGCTAATTAAATCTACACATGATTCTCCAGGGACTAAGAAACTTCTATAAAAACGGAATAGAAGTGGTCGCCATCTGCGCATTCAGCCTTGAGAACTTCCACCGACCAAAGGAACAAGTCGACGGGTTGATGATCCTGCTAGGGAATGTGATGGCACAGCTCGGCGAAGAGAATTCCCTCGCGATGGAATCTGACGTTCAAGTACGTGTGTTGGTCGCTTGGATTCGTTGGTCGATGGGTTTCAACGGTCTATTGCTAAGGTGGTGGATGCGACGCGGGATAACAAGAGTAAAGTTTTGAATGTTTGTATCGCTTATACCGGCAGAGATGAGATTTCTCGTGCTATGAAGGGGACTTTTGCTGGTTGTGTTTCACCGGACAAAATCACTGCACATGATTTGACGGATAATATGATGGTTCAGACTCCTGCGCCAGACATTCTGATTCGGACATCCGGGGTTTGTCGCTTGAGTGACTTTTTGCTTTGGCAGTGTCATCAGGAGACTCAGATTGAGGTTGTTGAGACTAATTGGCCAGATTTTGGGTTGTGGGATATGTGTTTGGTTTTGTTGAAATGGCAACGTCGGAGGTTTGCGTCGGCTTGGGATGGATTTACGGAAGCATTGCATGATTCACGCCTTTGACAGGGCGATGATGTATCGTGAACAGTGTGTGAAAAGTCTGTATTTAAATGGACTTTGATACTGACGAAACGTTTCTAAAGCAGAAGCTCCCTTCAGAATCTCCTGTAACAACCTCGTATAGTCCCATCCACAAGCTGTAGCCGCCATAGCAGTTGAACTAGCCTGATCCTTACGAGCTGGACGACCAGGTCCGATCATATTCTGCAATCTCCATTAGCTCAGGACCAAACATGTGTTATCAACGAGTGGTAAATGGACATACCGGTTTCATATTAACATCAAAAATAGCAAACTCCCCAGCCTCAGGTCTGAACCGCCGAATATCAATCCGGATTGGCGCAGTAGCTTTAATCAAAGAAGCCACACGCTCACATTGCCTTATAATCATCCCATAAGCAGGATCATCCGCCAACTCATTGGAAATAACGCGCGAGTTATCAGTAACAGCAACGGTTTCGTTATACGGAGCGATTCCATTATCATGGTTGAATCTCATGACAGGAGCCATAGCCCAATACCCACAGCTCTCAGGATAAGGGGACATAGCAGTAATCGTAGCCTACTCGCCAGCGAGAAGCTCCTCTAATAGAACGGCAGGCGACTCATCAAACAGCGACTGATCAATTCACTAGACTGCGACAGACTTTCACGCCGTGGCTTCCACGGCCGCGGACTGGTTTGCCCACAATTGGATAGGTTGGTATATTCTCCTTGATGAATGCATATAGAGAATCGGGATCATTGGTAGCTTTCACTTCCCAGGATTTCGGTAGTGTGAATGCATTACCCATCGAGCGAAGTCTATCGTTTAGGTAGAGTTCATCGTCGAATTTCTCAACTAGACCTGGTGGTTGGTCGATTACGGGCTGTTGATGCATACTCGTCGAGAGACGATGCTGTTTGGAGAGGGTGCGATGAGAAGACGATTGTATTTGCCCATAGGTGTGTTGCGCCTTTTTTTTTTACTGCGGCGAGGATCCCTTCTTCTGAGTCTGGAAAACACCAGCCTGTGTGGTATGTTGGAGATGGGTTGTGGATTGGTGTTAGTATGTTTATTCCTTTTCTGTGGAGGGTGTTGGCGATGTATGCGCCTGAGTCTTGTTAGCCTTTATCTGTGTGTGATTGTATGAAGTATTCGTTATTTGGATTTGAGAATCGTTACTTACCACCTGGCTTGCGTGGTTTGCGGACTCCATGTATGATAGGGGGTCAATTGCTTGGAATAAGACTGCGACGGTGGGCATTTTGGTTGACTGGCTACTCCACCGTACTCATTTGGTCATTTGAAGTGGGAGTCGCGATAATTTAAACACAGCGAGGGGATTGAAAAGTCATGGAGAGTTGCTCCGTGAATCGGTATGCGACGCCCCCTTTATCTGGGACCGATCCTGGTATACACGTACCTGTCTCCCCGACTTCTAAGGTCGTTGCAGACATTAACCTCGCCTTTTCCGAGGGCTGCTGTACTCCTTTATCCCTGTGTCATTGTTTCTGGGCTTTTGGCAGGGACTTTTATTGTCATATCGGGGTCGCGAAAATCGAACATTTCGCTTTTTACTCTTCAACACCATCCCATTCCTAAATCCTGGTATTACAGTCACCTCGTGGCTGGTACCAGTTGGTAGAAATCTCAACAGGTGACCAGTTGATGATTGATGGCTTTGCGGTACCTGGTCTCTCGATTGTAACTTTTGTTGAGGATCATGCCATGTATAGCTACGACCAATTTATGTTCCAGCGTCACAGTTTCTAGAACACAGTGTATGGATTCTCAACGCGCGGTGAGAACTAAGTGTTGATCGGCAGTCTAACGTGGCCATGTATGAGTGGAACTGCAAACACGCGAATAGTATCGGCTCATTGGCTTGTTCACCCATTCAAGATATCCAGGGGGAGTAGATAGAGGCTTTTCTCATCCACTAACTCATTGGATATCTCGGGCTTAATTTAAATAGGTTGTTCTTGGCGGTGCTGGCCATATTCGTACCCTAAAGAAAGTGCACAAAACAGGTTGCAGCATAGGTTTAGATGTCTCACACGCCGATTTTGAAGCAGTGGCGGGGTTGTTCCCTTGCCTGTTGCTGTCAAGCTAAGACCTCCAGATGCCTGGAACAAATATGGCAGGTTGTGAGGTCTTTCATAAAGTCGCGAAGTCCCCAAAGCGGTCAAGCGCTCTCTTCATGGGGGAGTTTAACCATTTTGGGAAATATTCGAGCGTCTCTCCATTGAGCTGATTACTCGCCCCACAGCTCCACCTCGAAGTCGTAGAACATACTCTTAGCCTACACTGGTCAGGTTATGGTTAAAACTCACTGGCTCTGGTCACATCGCCAGACTTACCCGCTGGATTGTTGCCTAGGCCTCGGCGTCCAGAAACAGTATCTATTGCGCGCCCCTTGGAGCAGATGCGAGCTCGGCTCCTCAAAGCGGACGATCATTGTTGCTTTATGGAAGTATAAAATATCTGTCAGTTCCTAGGAACGGAGTTAAGAGATACAACCTTCTTCTTTTTCAAGTGTCGTCTTCCTCCATCAATCATCAACTTCCATTCTCGAATCATGCACTTTTCTCAACTTCTCTCCGTCTTGCTTGCCACTGGCGTGCTGGCAGTGAGAGCTTCAAACTGCCCTCCGTTTCCTTCTTCGATGACCGTATTCTCTTTTGAATTCAAACAGCCAGATCCTCCTGTGATAAAGGCTGAGTTTAAGACTAACTTCATTCAACACAAATGGTAGGCGACAAATGCTGATGCCCGCCCTACTTCCATTGTCAAGCTAATAGTACCAGGAATCACAACTTGTCACATATCACAACTGGCTATATCAACAATTCGCCATCCCAGAGTTTCGTTCGAGCGGACGAAGCCTTCGATGGTAGCCTGGTCTCATCCTACTTCAATTACGCCAACACTACTAAAGAAGGTTTGGTGGACAACATTATGACCACCTACGGTCATGGTTCCGACGAGCCAGCTATGTGGAGAGGCTTCGTCAACTCCAACTTTCCTTTGTTTCCTGAGGACATACTAGTCAAATATGGTGCTGTTTTTGGCGGACTGGTCCGGCGAAAGTTCAATGAGCACCCTATGGCAGCTGTAAGTAGCCTTTTTCAAGTTCGGCTTATTGAGAGCAGGCACGTTGCTGACACTAGAAATAATGTTATCAGTGGAATATGCTGTACCAGGGAGTTATTCCTGTGACAGTCTACGTGAGCAACTGCAATGTCATGGTTGGGTACGACTATTTTTCTCCTGGGTTGCGCACCAGAGTTATCACTGAATACTTCAATATCCAAGTCTAAGCTGCTGCCAAACGAGTGCGGTGTATTTTCTTTGATCGATCAGTGCCGAATCTTGTCTCGGTGACATAACAATCAGTTGATATTGATCGCGTCCTACAACTCTCAATCAAGAATCTGGCTTCAACCACCTAGTGTCCCATAGAATAAATCTTGTTTCAATCAAGAGATAAGGTGCCCTGCGCAGTAAATTAGAGTCAACGTATGCGCTGTCCTCGCCTTGGCCATTGTAACTTGGTTTTTCCCTCAGGTTGGGTTCTGCCTCATCTTAAAATGCCGTGGCTGGCCCGGGCAAGGGCAGTCACATGACATAGCCAGCTGCCTAATCTAGAGTTTTCCAAGCCCCTGTTGGACATTTGGTTTGGTTGTGAGATATTGAATCATGGCAGACTCATGTATAAGACCAAGTGAAACCACTAAACGTACTATTGGACCTCTGGACAAGCGCAAAAAGACAACACGCTGTCAGCCTTGTGCGAACCGACGGGTGAAGGTTTGAGCAACCAACTATCTATTTCAATGTGGTCAAACTTACACATACGAACAGTGTGACGGGGGGACCCCCTGCGAAAGATGTGTCCGGACGCAGAAAATCTGTGCGCCACAGTGTCAAGAGCAGCCAGGAATGACATTCGTCCATGTTTCGGGACATTTGTTGTCTTCTTCAATTCCCACGCAAGTTCGGAAGCATGATGATGCCATATATCTGGAACATTTCGCTTCCTTTCTTCAGCGCTGCCAGTTCAGCAAAGACTTTGCTGCTACAAATGCAGACATAGCCACTATCATTGGCAAGTATCCTCTGCTTTTGCACATTTCTATCGCAATCGGAGCTTTGGATGCCAGTAGAAAAGGCTCCGTCAAATCATTTGGCGAGCTTCAGTCTCCTCAGTATGTTGCGTTCCGGGCTTGCAGTAGATCAATGCAAGACCTGCATTCGGCAGTCTCGACGGCAAATCCGGTCTTTAGAGATGATGTGTTTTGGAGCACATTTCTCCATGGACTTTTTGAGGTATGGTTTAATCCATAGATTCAAAATTTTTACTAACTATCCACACAGCTGATGGCTGAAGATTCCGGTACTTCATTCGCAAAGCACATGGTTTTTGGTACATCCACATTACTGCTCCTATTGAAAACTACAAATCCGCTTCCATTACCCACGGAAAGCTTGATCGATGCTTTTTGGATTCTTGAGACCAACAGAGCCATTCTCTATGGTGATAGTACTATACTTACTCCAGACAAATTGCAGTGGGTTTTAACGCGAGAAAGCTGGCCAAATCCCATGAAGGAAGTTCTCATCCTCATGATACAAACTTCCACATTTGCAAAAAGGCAAGTCAATCTTAATGACTTGTCTGGTAGATGCAACTGACTTTTTAGGCTCTTTGACGAAGTTGAAAACATTCCTCAAGAATTGAGACCGTTTGATTCAAGGGTGGACCATCTTGCGCTGAAAGGACTCGAGATCAAAGAAAGTCTACTCAATTGGCAACAAGGAAGGCCTATAGAAAGCTTGCTGGTAGACCCCTTTGTCCAATTGGCCGTCATCATTCACCGCGCTCTTCTTTTATACCATTGCCGGAATTTCATTTTCTATCCATGCTGGATGACACGAGCAATTCCTCAGCTTCAACCCAGCGAGGTCCGCAAATATGTCGCCACAATTTTGGATCTGTCTCAAAGTCTTCTTTCCGGTACATATATTCCGGGACCTCTCATGTTGTTTCCACTGCGAATGGCCGGAGTTCACGTACGTGAGAGTCGTGCACAGGAGAATGTATTGAGCACTATTCGCAACATACGGAAAAAAGGCTTTATTGTTTCAAATAGAATCGAAGCCGATTTACTAGAGTTTTGGCACTACGAAAACAAATGAAATGCCAGCATGGTTTACCATCGGTCGAGAGACACGTGATACGCTGGTCATCAACAAATATCACCAGAGCAGTATCATCTAACCTAACATGTAGACTGGGGCCTATATTCCGTCGTGAGCACTCACCAATCCTGCCCAGGTGAGCCTGAGCGCGCTCATAAAGCGGCAGTTCTAGATAGGAAAGACCTTACCCGGCAGACATTATCCGATCTATATAGGTGCATATAGTAAGAAATGATTCGATGTGGCCACAAGGTACAAAATTGTTTCACGAGGTAGAGCCCGATATATACGGATCTAAGATCGGGGCATAGTTTGGAATACGGCTGGCGGGCTACATCGGCGAGAGACCGATACGATATGGACCAGGATCAACAAACCTACGGTTTTGATACGAAATCAGCTTGGGATCCAATGTAGTATGCTGTAGTAGCCAATAAAAGAAAACTGTACCATCAACTTGACTCGCACGGCGATCTATACTCAACTGTAATTCTATTCGACATTTAGCCCTAACAATCAAACCAGAAACCCCTCAATTAACCACAACCAGCCTAAATACCAATGATTATAAATGGACATGCACTTTATCTGACCAACCATCTGGAAAGAAGAGTCATAGTCATAGTCATATCAAATCAGACCGGCTAGCGCCACGTATTTCTATCTCTTTTCTTTGCAATCCATTCCTCCCTAGTCCAGTCGCCACGAAAACAATAATAATTACCAAATTAAAGAGAGAATAAGACAGACAGAGGTTGGACAGGACAGAACGTTATGTCCTATACCTCAGCCAGGTTGCCACCACACCCGCGATTCCCATTCCCATTCCATTCCCACCGAAAGCCGAACATGCGCCGCGGACGCCATGCGACATATGCCCATGTCCATGCCCGAAACGCCAACAAGAGAGACAATAGAGACAGAGAAAGCACAGGAGAGGAGAGGATGAGAATACAAGATGAAACAAGGAGACAAAGAAAAGCATCTCATGCAAAGTCACATACACGCACGTGAGCATCTCTCACGCCCCATCCTCAATCCCATCCAACCCATCAATAAGCGACTGGGAAGGTTTCCTCCCAGCCCCATAAACCATCTCCATAAGCTTGGCCTTCTGTCGTTCACGTACAGAACGGAGATAATCATACGTCCCCTCCAACCCCCGGATCTGCCCATCAATCACAGCCTCAACAGGCCCAAGCATTCGCCCCGCGCTCCCTGAATTCCCTGCCCCATTGCTTCCATCCACGGACCCAACGAAACTGACGGAATCATTCCGTCGCACGAGCGGACTGACTAGTTTCCGTCGCAATGTTTCGAGATTCACCTTTAGCGTGAGGAGACGACCGCGATGATCGACGAGGAGATGTTTATTCGCGACTGTGCGACTGCGCACGTTCGCGAGGAGTTTCTTGTTCTTCTCATATTTGCGCACGACTGAAGCGTCAGGACCGAGAACGCGTGTCCAGAGGGATGAGAGCATTTCGCCCTCTGCACGTTCTTGGGCGTCTGATTCTCTGACGACTGTTCGTTGCAGGTTGAGAAATTGGCGGTCGATTGATTCGAATAAGGCGAAGAGGGCTGTCGAGTGGGAGAGTTCGCTGTTGATTGATTCTTCTAAGACGGAGAGGAACTCGGTGAAGGTTCGGGTTAGGGTTGTGCGGGTTCGTTGGGCGGAGGTTGGTCCGAAGACGGCCATCACGAGGTGGCCTAGGGGTGTTGTTGTTGATGAGGCTGGGGTGCCGTTTTCGAATTGGGAGCGTTCTAGAGCGCCCAGGCGTGAGAGCATGTTGTGCATGTTGTCGAAGACTATTGTTGGGAGGGAGCTTGGGGGTTGGGCGGAGAGGGTTTCCAGTTCGCGTTTTGCCCAGTCCATTACTATGAGGATGGAGTCGATGTCTGAGTCGACGTTTGCGAAAAAGCGGGTCAGTTCTAGGGAGAGAGATTTGAGGGAGTCGGAGAGTTCGTCGAGTTGGTGGACGATTATTGGGGCGCTGGTCATGTTTGTGCCGCGGACTGACTCGCTCAGATCCCAAACTGCTACACCTGTTTCTTGGAGCGTTCCGATTTGCTGCACTCCGTTTTCTGAGTAATATATCAATGGTTCGAAGGAGCGCGCAAAGCCGGATAGCTTGACGAGGTCTGGGATCGATTGTGGGAGGCCTGGGAGGAGGAGGGCGCGCATAAAGGCAATGGAGACTAGGAGCATGACGATTGAGAGGGTGGTGTTAGATTTGGAGCTTGTCATGCGCTCGAACTTGGAGCGCACCCAGCCAAACATGGCAGCAATGGGTTCTCGGTGCTGGACTTCTGCACGCACTGCGAAGCGAATGTCTTCATTCCCAAGAACATGTTAGTATACCCGCGCCTGCAGCTGAAACCAGATCAGACAGGGCCTACAGTTGCTCAGATTCTCTGCTCCAAAGCCCGGTTCATCGTCATCCGGACTATGACGAGGCGTACGATCTGACCTGGGAGCCGGAGCCGGACTAGGAGATCGTCCATTGAGAGGTGTATCTGCACCGGGTGGTAGAGGCACATTAGCCGCGACTGTGGTGTCGCTACCTTTCCCAGTGGCTGGTCTTTCGAGCGCATCCTCGTACTGTGGACTTGGTTCGCGTGATTGCGACGGCGACACGCTCAGCCCGACTGTGGGCTTGAGCTGCAATCGCTCTGTTTGGGGATTACCTTTGCGCAGGTAGGGCTGGTGGCGGTACCACCCACTGCCCTGGACGTATTCGTGTTGGAAGCCTGGAGGTGACCAGCGCTCCTGGGCTGGGTCCTCAAGGTCCCCATCTTCCCCGTCGGACTCCTCAGACCGGAACCCAGAATGTTGGGAGGGAAGACCAAACATTGGTGATCGGTGGGGATTTGTGTTGCTCTCGAAGTCTTCGAGCGAAGCATCCAGGGATGGATGGTCGTCGAAGACGTTGTCTAGCTCATCCAGCATGGCGGACGGCGTACCGTGAGTGTCGCGCCCCAGTGGGAGAGTCACTGCCGATGCGCAGCGACAGGGCGCAAAACGATCCTGGCGGGAGTAGAGTTGGGAACCAGTTAAATTCCCTCAGATCTAGAGTCAGTAAACGCGCCTGGACGGTCAGTCTGCGCAAGTCGTTATAGTTGGCGCAATCAATGCGCCGATGCGATAAGGTATCCGATGCGATACAATAGGCTTGTGAGTGCGATACAGATTCTTGAGATCGATGCGCTGAAGATGCGATCAAGGTTATATGGACTGGGATTGAAACGCCTCGTCGAGCAATGCAGGAAGGAGGAGATCCCCTCACTTGTAGAGTCGAGGAGGCTGGGCCAATCAGCCTATCCATCGGTCATGTGCTGAGACTCGAGGCGTGTACACAGTACTTCATGTATACTAGCAAGGTACATTGTTGACAGTTGATCACTGCGTCACAACGAGGTACCCACCAGGTACATCTCAAGTGCAGCTGTGCCTGACCGCCCATGTTTGCCCAATCCATACATCTGACATGATGGGCCAATCATAATACACGGTCGCATCATAGTTAAGACAAGCTGTTTGCAATACGTTTGTTAAGTTTAATGGGATATGAGGAACAAAGAGGAGATCAAAATCTATTGCGGGTGTAATAATAATACATGCCCGGTTCCTTGGATACCCGGAAATCAGCCCACGCCAGTGAGCCCAAAAAAAAAAAAAAGAATGCCAAAAGTCGTCAAATCATTTATGCGCAGGCCTCCTTGAGGTGACTGGAAAGGGGGTTAGTTTCAGCTTCAGCTTTGGGGTGTGGGTCGGACTAACGTGATGAGGTCGTTGCGCTCCTTGCCCTTCTTGAGACCACCGAAGGCCATCTTGGTTCCGGGAATGAACTTCTTGGGGTTCTCGAGGTACTTGAACTGTACGACACGTAGTGTTAATAATGAACGCGACATAAACTGCTGATATTAGGACTTACAAGAGTGTCCTCGTTCCACTCAACACCGGCCTGCTTGTTGGCGTCGGTGTAGGAGTAACCCTCGGCAGAACCGGTCTTACGGCCAAAGAGACCGTTCAGGTTGGGGCCGACCTTGTGGGCACCACCAGCCTCGACGGTGTGGCACTGGGCGCAACGGGTCTGATATAGCTGTCAGTGTTGTTCGGCACATGTACCAGTCGAAGCTACTCACCTGGAAGAGCTTGGCACCCTTGGCGGCGTCACCTGGAGTGGAAGTCGCGTTAGCCTTGGATTCGGCGGCCTTGTTCGCTGGAGCGTTGACGGCTTCGCGAGTTTCTTCTTTCTTGCGGTCCATGACAGCGGAAACTGCCACCATGGAGTGGACGCAGAAAGTGTCGAAAGTGACGGTCATGTTGAAAAATTATGACCAGGGGATGGATGCAAAGGTTGAGGTGAAGGCGATGCGAGAGGTTGCGATGAGGATGAAGTAGGTCAGGCGTATGCTAAGGTCAGACTGCATCCGAATGTCGAAAACATCTCAAGTGAGGAAACCACATCGTGGCCATAATACCGTCACTCTTCCTCGCGCGCAACTCAACTCAAGCACCTTCACCTGCACTCAATGGCGTGGAATTGGAGGAGAGTCTTACCGGGAGCGAAGGAGTCGTTCTTGGGAGCCATTGTGAAGTATTATGAAGAATATAATCGTAGATTAATAGTTGTACAAGTTTGAAGGAAAATGTGGAAGGGAGAGAGCAAGTTTTTCCCTTATGTAGCCCGGCCACTCTCGTAATCCGGGCAGCGGCCAATCAGCGTCGAGATTATTCAGGTGGACGGGCGCAACCGGGAACTTCGGTGTGTTCGCTTTCTTCTGAATGCCCCGGATACTCTTCTTTCTCTTGTTATTGTTGGGATTCTAGAATGTGGCAACCGGCTTTTACTCTTCACGTTCGATGAGTTACCCTGTTACGCCTCATGATCTCATCCCTCATCATCAGCCTGAATCTGCTTCCGAGCTATAGCTCCCTTATACTATACATAGCTGCATATGTAACATTCAAAGCCCGAGACATTCAAACTCCTGCCCGGGGTCCCTTTCATCACCCCGGGGCGACGTGGTCATATCCCTTCTTCCGATAAATGGCTGCCGGTTCCCCGTAGCTTCGAAATGAGTCTTCTTTCATTCGCCCCGGCTGATCCGCATGTGGATCCTGAGGCAGAGACGGTATACTTCCGAGTGAAGTCCGAACTGAATTTAGCCGCAACTACGTAGTTATGAACTAAAGTATAGATTATCCATTAAGAGTACACTAATACAATAAATAAACTTCACAAATGGATATATTGTAGTTCAATTGATATCAAAACCAGCAAAACACCTGACCAGCTCAAATTTTAACTAGACAGCACATGCGGCCACTCCGGACTAAAATACCCGCAGTCCCGAGTCACATGATCCTCTCCAAAAATTGCAACTCCGCATCAACAAAAAGTCGCGATAGCCACCTCACGTCAGAGAAAAGGCAAAAGCAAGAATGCCAACCCCAATCCCAAATTTCCTCCTCCCACGAGGACCACCGTCAGCCATGATGCTGCGCACCCTCCGACGCCAAGCGCAACCACAACGAACCTTCAGCACAACGCGCACAGCCTTGAAAAAGGCCAATGCCAACAGCAACAGCAAACCTCGTGTCCTCGAAAAGCCAGACAAATTTAGACCCCCGTCGCACCCCCAGCGCTATGTAGCTCCCTCCCCGCAAAACGCACCCCCAGGCCAACCATTCGAATATGGTCCTCGCACAACCCCCAAGCAAATCGAGGAGCAGAATACCAAGCAGTATCCGAATATGTTCCCGCCCGAAGGGACGGTTATGCATAAGTTTTTGACGAGTAAATGGATTCATATCTGGATTGCGATGGTGAGTGTACACTTGACTTACACATACCTTACCTGGAACACAATCGCCACAACCAGCCCAATCGCAATTGCTAACCACTCTCTTATCTAGAGCATCCTCACCACCCTAGCAACATTCACCTTCACAACAAACTTCAAAGCAACCTCGCCATTCGCACATCTCCTCCCTAGCTGGTCGGAGCTCCTAACAAGCCCCTTCAGTACGATTGGACGGGCGTTCTCTGTTTGGCGCATGCATGTGCAGCATGAGTCTATGCGTGTGCGGGAGCAGAGACATCGTCGTGTTGAAGATGCTGAGAAGAGGAAGGCCTATCGGGTCGCGCATGGCTTGGAAGAAGAGGAGGTTAAGAAGGATGAGGAGGTGAAGGAGGGTGAGGTTGATGTGCAGTCTCCTGTTGCTGCTGAGGGGGTTGGGGCTGTTGCTGAAGGGGAATTTGTTGATTGGGAGGGGAAGAAGAGGCCTGTTAAGAAGTGGTTTGGTATTTGGTGATTTGTCTATCCCATGTCACTTTTGGGGGTCAGTAGGGAGGAGTCGTACGGTATGATGTGCCCGTTTAGGGGCTTGTTATGCGTGTGTGGAAATGGGGGTATAGGTGGGGTGAATTGCCTAAATTGGGCATTTTGATATTGATATTGACGTTGATCTATGATCAAGTCATGTACATTAAAATATTGTTTTGCATAGTCCATAGAAAGATACTCCAGCTCAATACAAGTATACAAAAGACAAGAAAAGTAAAAAAAAAAAAAAAGGAAGAAGAATGTTGCGACAACACCATCTCCAAACTCCAATTGCAGAAATAGATGTAACATCTCAAAGCATATGCAATACCTATCCAGGGATATTCTTCTAATTATACAACAAAAAATCCATATTCAAATAACCTCAACACCCTCAAGCCCCTCAAGCACTTCCTCTCCAACACCCCCCTTCCCAAGAACAGCCTTAACCATCCGGGCAATAACACTCCTCTTGACACCACCTCTCCGCGGCCTCCAAACACGGGAAACCTCATCCTCCCCAGTAGCAGGGTTAAGCAAGGCAGATTCATCAGACGCCGTCGCACCGAGCATATTTACATTCTCGGAATTGGGAATACCAGGGTTCGTCAAGCGCGAGGGTGGGTCGATAGTGCGGATTGAGAGGAGCTTGAGGGCATCTGAGTCTCCGGTGCGGGTGACGGAGATGGCCAGGACAGCGTCTGCGACGGCGATTTCTTCGCGGTTCGGGTCGAAGATGATGTTCTCGCCAACGGAGATGACTAGTAAGGTTACTGGTGGGCGGACTGGGTGGGATTGCGCTGTTGGTGTGTGTTTTGTTGGTTTGGTGGTGATGCGTGGGTAGAGGTATTCAGCGACGGCCCAATCGTCGTCGAAGAAGGGGTCTTCTTCGCCGGTTGATTTCAATTTTGGGAGTTTAGTGCTTAGGAGGGCGAGATGGGTTGTTAGGGAGAGGAGGGGGAGGGGGTAGGCGAGGGGTTGCGAGAGGAGGAGGACCTATGGGTATGTCAATTAGTTTTCTCGTTATGGGCGTGGTATATCGAGGCCACGGGCTGCAGCGTCTCTTGCGCGGGATATGAAGAGGAATCACTCACATCAATATACAACCTCCAATGCCAACGCTTGTTAATAACAAGCCTCCCCTTCAACCCACCAGCCATCTCAGCATCCTTTCCATCCTCAACGGAACCCACAAGACTCTCCCTCATCATTTCAGACAAGAAAACAGGCAAAGCATCATCATCCCGGAACCCAGGAATCTCAATAGACATTTGCACCCACTCTCCCTGCCCAGAAACAGCAGCAGAGCCCTCCCCACCCTCGCGATTCAGCTGGTCACCCTGCTGGCCCAGACTGCGTGAGTCGAGGGTATCAGCGGCAACGACTGTCTTCTCAACTTCGGCTTTGACACCGACAATTGCCTGTGTGCCATCTGCGAAACCGATGCGCGCACTGCCGTTTGTGCCGGGCAGGATGTTTGTTTCTGCGCTTAGAGGTCTGAATTGTGTGGGTGAGCGGCCGTCCGGTCGGATTGGTGATTTAGGGAGGCTGAGGGAGGTGTAGAGGTAGGAGAGTTCGGCGGGGGAGAGGTGGGGGACTTGGGAGGCTGATGTTGCTTGTCTTTGGGAGGCCATTTTGACGGTTTGGTTTATCCCGAGTTTCTTTCAAGGATTGAGGGGCGATTGGTATGGGAATAGGGTGTTGGTGAGCTTTGAGATGCTTGCGCGAGGTTATCGTACTGTTGGCGATTCAAATGTGTGGTGATCGGCCTGCGATTTGGCAAGGGCGTGTGGTGGCCTTTGAATGCAGTTGTGTTTAAACGCGCAGACTGGAAGCTGTTGCCAATCTAGCTTCAGCTTTAGGTTGGTGGTTTACAAACGGGGAGGAAAAAAGTTGGTAAGGTCGAGCAGAGCAGTCTCAATCAGGAAATTTGGGCGGAGAATTGTTGTTCCGCTGATATCGGTGGAGATGAATTACCATCACGATCCTTTCTACTGACTGGAGGTGTCCTAATTCAATGTCATAATTCCCTCTTGCTATGATACTACAGAGCTGAAACCATTAGTATTTATATTTGTGTTATTCCAACGATTCTTTCACTCTTGCGAGTGGCAACCATTTTCTATACTGACTTCAAGTCACAAACTTAGTTCTACTACGAAAACAGAGAAGGATATGTGAGCAGATTGAAATGCATGTATGTACCGAGGTAGTAGTATGTAGGGTCTGGTCATCGCCAGAGAGAGCTATATTACAAGAGTATATAAACGGCTGGATCCCCGCCAGCGTCAAATGGGGAATGATACAATAGAGTGAACAGGCAAGCAGGCAATGAATTGGGAGCAATATAATGCAGGAATGAGTGAATAAGGGAAATAGACGGGATGAAGTTGGTCAATGTACAAGGGGAGGGTAAGAAGTATATAAACAAAAGAAAATGAACGCCATATTCATCGAGAAGATGTGCAGGGTAGATCAGGTATGTGAAGCAAAGGAAAGGTGGTATATCGTGCGGCTCGCGCACATGGTATCAAATGTGAAGGAAAGGAAACACGCCCCAAACAATGTGAATGTGAATGTCAATAATGACGAACGAAAGGACTCCATGAAAGGAAAGGGAAATGTGAAACAAGGCCGTATCCATCTATAACAAAAGGCTTGTAGGGGTATGAAGTGGAAATGAGAAACCTGTGGCAAAAAACCATGCCCATATGTGAAAATGAAAACTCCCCGAATGGCCAGACCGTGGGGAGAATAAACAATAATGCCCGAATCGAATTCCATACGCCTTGAGCTCAGTCTTCCGTGTTGCAATTTCGCCAGATTTTTGTGCTTCTCGCTTTGAAAAGTCGTGTATGTTGAAAAGGGAGAGGGTCATGTTTAGATGAAGTTAGATCCACGGGCAAAGTAGTCGGAGCCCTTGTTGTGCCATTCAGCCTCCTCGTAGGGAGGTGTAGGCCAGTGGCGGTTGGCCGCCGCGTGGTCGACCTTGAGGTTCAATTTACTCGGTGTAGATTGGTGACCAAATGCGGTAGAGTCCTTGGCACTAGGAGAAGGTGTGGGATACGGGCTCGGCATAGTACGCGACTTGTCCGCATGGCGGTGAGTTAGCGTAGGCGACTCAGTAGACATAGACTGAGTTTGAGCCAGGCGCCTAGCTGCCTTGTTGGCCGAGTGTAACACTTCGTCCAGCAGCTCATCTTCTTCCTCGGGGGTCTCGTACCGATGAACTGGGTGGCCAGACATCTGCTTGGCTCGGCGCGTCCTGCTCGAGATCGGGCTCGGGTTGCTTGTGACTTGAGGCATGGACTGACGCTTGGTGGTGTTTCCATCAGCGCTCAGATGCACAGGGACATTGCTCAGAGTAGACGAATCTAATGAATACTTGACACTCTGGAGCGCCTTGTCCAGCTCGCTCAAGTCGGACCCTTGCTTCGCTTCGTTGTTAGCCCCATCAAGAGCAATAGATGACCGGTTTGACCAAGGGATGCAACCCGCGTTGGCCTCGATGTCATCAGTTGGTGGAGGAGCATTGCGTCCTGAAAGTCTGCGAGCGCGCTTGCGCAGATGCGAGAAGAAGCTCTCCTTTGCTGTGGGAGTGTTGTTGCCGGAGCCATTCAACATCCGCTCAGCTTCTTGGCGGTGTACGTCCGAGTAGTGGTTGCCGTCGGAGTTGACCGACAGTTGACGGCCAATCTTTGTGCTAGCCTTGCTATTAGAGGTGTCTGAAGACTTTGAGCCTTGGTTGTGGGCCACTGTCGCATTGGCCTGGGCGGTGACAGAGTTGGAAAGAGGGGAGACAGGGCGAATAGAAGGAAGAATAGGCATAGGAGCGCCGTTGGCCCAGGTAGCCCGCTTGGTATTTGCCGGGCGGACTGCCTTGACAGGCTGAATCTCAGGCACAGTCACCTGAGAAACGACTGGTGGCCGGGCAGGGATGTCCTCAGCAGGTGCAGGGCTATCAGACCGAGCGATCAATGACCGGCGGAACCAAGAAGGCTTAGACGACAATGTAGGAGAGTCGTTGGGGGTAAGGGTGGGCGACTTGAAGCTCCTGTCAGACTGCTTGCGACCCAGGAGTCTGGCCGAGGTCGAAGACTTGGGGCGCACGGGATCGACCGCGTCGGCAAAGTACTCGTGGTTCAATGCTTGAGTAGATGTAGGGCGGTTCTTGGGGTCCCACATGAGACACCAGGTGACGAACTCAGCGAACGCCGCTGGCCACTGTGGGGGTTGAAGTACTGCATCCATCGCGTGAGGTGCCATCTTGGGGAAGGTGAAACCAAGTTTGTGAGCCAAGCGGGATCCTTCGCGCCATTCACCACCACCAATCTTCGCGCCAGACTTGCTATACCAGTTTCCGGGGCTGCCCATGATCTCACAGACGCGCCAAACCTGGTCCACCTCGTTGCCTCCAGGGAACAGGGGCTTCAGTGTAGCAATCTCCACCGCCATAGCTCCCATCGCCCACATATCCACCGGTGCGGAGTATTCTCCGGCTCGTAAAAGCACCTCGGGTGCGCGGTACCATCTCGTCGAGACGTATGTTGTGTACGGTTGCTTTGAGTGGGTTTCACGCGCCAGACCAAAGTCGGCAATCTTGACGGTGTAGACAGGAGGAGTAGAGGGAGGGGTGACGAGATTGGAGTAGCGGCTGAAAGTGGAATCGTTGGGGGCGGAGGTCGAGACGAGAATGTTCTCGGGCTTGATGTCGCGGTGGAAGAAGTGGTGGGCGTGGATGTGGTCCAGACCGGACAGGATCTGGTAAAGAATGCTCTTGACGTGCTTGCCGTCAAATGCCTTGTGGTCACGGGCCTTCATTAATTGGTAGAGGTTGCCGTCCATGTATTCCATACAGATGTGAAGCTTGCGGGAGAGGGGGTCCAGGAAGATGTCGAGGGCGGGAACAAGGTGAGGATGAATGGGGAGGGTCCGGAGGAAGATGACCTCTCGCAGGTCCAGACATGGTGCCAAAGAGTCGAATGTCTTCTTCATGGTTTTGATCGCAACCTGTGTCTATGTTAGTCATCGCGCATCACCCGGGCACATATAGCATTCCATACCATCGTTCCTCTCCGAGCAATGTGGGCTCCGGCAGTGCGTACACGTGCTACGGCGACGCTACCAAAGCTGCCATCGCCGATCTCCTTGATCACTTCAAAGCGATCTTCCAAAGTGGCCATCGAGGTATGTGACCTCGGGGCATCATATGTGACAGTCATAGTGTCTCTTCAGGTCTGGCCAGCAGATCGACGAAGAAGGGGTTTCTATTCTGGTCAGCTCAGTACTCAATACAAATATCAGAACCTAGGCGGACTCACAATTATGTAGGGGGAAGAGTGTAGTATATGGATATAGGGAATCAATTGCAGCAAGTGCTCATATGTGGGATTCAGTGCGAGCCAGAAGATTGGATTCCCATGGAGGAAAAGTAAGGAGTGACAAGGTAGTTGGAAGAGGGGGAGTGAAGGTGGTCATGTAGTGGGCGATCTGGACAGACCACTTAATGGGTACGAAGCAATAAAAAGAAATCCAGAATAGGAGAAGACCCGTTCTAGGTGGAGGGATCGGAGGACCGAGGGTGAGCCCCTGACGCGCTGACAGCTCGAGCTCCTAGACGGGGCCGTGGAGACGGTAAATTAATCACCTTAGGCCGTTGCAGATCAGTCCACCGTGGCAAAGTGGGAAATGAGCAAAAGGCTATAATCAGGCAAAGGAGATGTTTAGTAGAATATCACATATCAAAGAGAAAGAGAGAAAAGATGGGGGGAATTAATGAGACTATAGAGAAAGGGAAAAATAGGAATACAACACCATACGATACCACAATAATACCAACCCACAGAGAGAGAGCCACCAATACAATTCAAATACAAGCAAGTACCGGGTTCCTCCCGTGTCAACCAATGGGACCAACTGTGTGGAACGGGTACCTTATTCTTTATTACACATAAACATTGATTAATAGCTAATTTATTCTCTTCCAAAAGAAATATGAACTATGTCTCGTATTCTCTCGCTTCTCATTAATACACAATCTTATAAACTCTCTGTATTGTACGGTAGTCATCTGATGCACGGCGCCTAATAATTCGGGGGTTGGGCATACACCTGCAGCCTGTAACCTTTAACCACGCCAGTCCTGTGTTGGCTTTGGGCCGCGTCCTGTAATTTTACTGCCTCGAACTATCACGTCAAATCATTTCGGTCCTTCTATATCTATCACCTGAGATCTTTGTACGAGTCACCTCCCCATGTAGATGTAAATGTATGCACAGCTGAGAGCAAGGAGTTTCCCATATGTCATCGTCCCACGTCGGAGTTGTCTGGCAAGTTTACAAGGATTCTCTCGCTGTCTCACTCTCACTCTTCACTCTTGTGTTGCCACCCTGATCTTCCCGACCATCCGAGCTTTCCTGGGGAGCTTTTTGATAGACCAATGTTTGGGTGCAATTAGGTTCGGCTTCGGCCTCCAGAGCTTACATGCTCTGCTGCATATGAGGGGTTCTTTGTACGGAATACACGGTCTAGGACCCGTATGCAGGTCTCGCATCCTTTGTTCGACTCAAAAGTTCGCCTCGATGGTTGCCGTGGAATCCGTCTTGACATCATGAGTTGTTACCGCGTCATCCGGCTTTTCTCCACACAAGGGGACACACGTCCCGAGGACACAGACGCGGAAATGAAGAGTCGATCTCCAGGTATTGCATTACCTGCAGGAAGTTCACCTGTCAACTTTGACGAACCCTGGGGCGACCGTTGGCCCGCAAAGGATCCAAGATTATTAGATTATTGGTTTTACACATCCATTCCTATTCATCTACTCCCAACACCCATCGTTTCAATCCTCGGCAGTCGCCCCTATCCGATCTCAAATCTCAATCCTGAAAGGGGAAAAATCCAATACCAGTGGATCAAAGCCAGCAACGCGAATATACACACCGCGTCTCAATACGCCACTCAAAACCCCGTCACCCAAATACAGACCTCATAGTGCGATGGAGTCAACAACGCCATTGGCCAGACCCCCAGAACAGCCCACTCGCTCCACGGTGATCCAATCTTTTGCTCCATCACAACCACTCACGACCCCTCAAATACCTCACGAACGTCTAGTGGTGCACCGGTCGACTCGGGGCACCGCGGAATGCTCCACCGTGGACCTCGTCCAGGCCCGTCCCTGCTACCCGCGACCACTATGCGCTCTCCTGCGAAGCCTAGTGGGTGATCGCGCATGTCGCCACTGGAAACTATTTGCTTTCCAGTTTGTCGGGAAGCGCCCTCTTGTTCCTTGGGTCTTCGAGAAGGCTGTTCCTGGGTGACCATGGAAACGACCAACTTAACTCAACGGTTCTTTGTCGCAAGTACATATATTCGAAGAGGCATCTTTACGAGCGGTAAAATAAATTCTCAGAGTTGAGTCCGTCTGGTCTTGCCACTTGTTACCCCCTCAACCTACCTCTTATCAGCCAGGCAACTTACTGACAAATCGACAGTCACAGACGGATTGTACATGCACTGTCCAAGTCCTGTCCTTACAGCATGCTGGTACCTGCTGGTACCTGCACAAAGGAGGTTGATCCCGACCTCCCTAAATTCAAAATCCCAAATTACCCACAAAAAAATAAAGGATTGCCCAGGAACACACCGTTAGCAGTAAACCAATGCAAGCTAAATGCCTTAGTCCAGCCCAAGCGGGCCCACCCCAAACACCGAAAGTCTCCAAAATGCTCCAGTCACGATGATGTGAGCATCCCCAAATCGCTGGTACATACACACAGATCATGTCAGATCTAAATGGCGGATCGAATCGTGCATACCAACTGCCGGTGCTCCCAGTAGAGTACGGTTCCACCGTCACTGTAGTAACGCATAAACCCAGAAACAAAATGAAAGCCTAAACCCCCTAAAGGCAAACTAAAAGACCGGCATCTTTAACCTAACTCTACACAGTTGAGACTTCTGCGTTTCAGGAAGGTGTTACTTATTCGGCGCTTAATATATGCCCTTATTCCTTCATGGTTAGACTGGACTTCGCCCCCCTTCCCTGCCTCGTGCCCCTCGGCCCCTACCCCTTCCGCAGTGATGCTATATGGATAGACAATCTGCGGATCCCGGATGAAGCACTAATACCCGCCTAGGAAGGCCACCAGAAACTTCCAATGTTCCAATGATTTCCGCGCCGAACCCTGTCCCCGCCAGGCTGAGCCGGACGGATTATGGACTGCGAATTGATGATTACGGAGCCCGTGTAAAATTAGATCATCGCGACTTGTTGCGTACGTAGCAAATGTAGATTATGATATCCTCTTTGCCCCTCTAAAAGCCCCCCCTCCCCTTCGGCCCCGGCAGTGTAGGGCAGTGTAGCCCCTCCCCCTTTCCCCTGTTTGCACTGTACTCCGTATGTGTGTCATTTCATACTAGCCCCCCTCAGCCTCCCAGCATACTGGGACATAATTTCCGGCCTGTGGTTGACTTTGAAACTATCCCCTGTTCAGGATTTGGCATGTGGCCGGTATATTAGCATTGGCATTAGCGCCGGTTTCGGGCAAGCGGTGGGGTGGTGTGCTTTCTTTTTTGTTTTGTGGGCAATTACTGATGTGGGTGAATCAAATTATTGCTTCTATTTGCGGATTGGATAGTGTTTGTTTATTGTTACTTGACTCGTATTGTTATTGCTCGTTTAAGGTGGCATTGTTTTGCCGAGGCTGGTTTTGCTGTATAGTGTGTAGTCGACTGTTGGAATATATTGCTTAGTCTCATGTTGGTTTGGTGTGGCGGTTGGTCTGCCCCTTTTGTGGCTCTAGTGTTGTTGCTTTGATATCTTTGTTTCTGAGGTATTTTAGATAGGGGAGCTCGTTGAGGCATTTTATAGAAATTCTTCGAGAATGATCCTTTCGATTTAGATCGCCCCTTTTGTGAGGCTTGGTTGACAGCAGCAGACCAATCTCCTGACGGTTTAGTCAAATACTGATTCGAGAGTCGAAGCGGTTGTTGCTTGACTAAAATACACTCTGGTATTGTTTTGATATCCGTGGCTCCTTGAAAGTGTATCAAATGGAATTGATAGAGATTGTTAGAGCTATAAGCTCTAAGTCTTTTCTATTCCGACTTTTATGTGAATCGCATTGCTGACACCATTTCTAGGCAACCACAGCTCGGGCACCCGAGACTGGGTTGAAAAAAAAGGTGGAACCGCCAAATGAGGTTGATAACTATGCTGAAATGATTACTCTCTTCGGAGCAGTCGTGTAGAAACTGTCCAATATTTTATCAGTGGCACTGTCTAAGATTTATGGCACCTGTTGCCTTGCTTGGCTTGATTGGTTTGAAGCCATATTGCTTTGTTTCTTGTTGCCTTCCTTGGCAGAGAGCTGCTCGGCTTGAAGTTTCCTAATATCATACTACCTTCTTTGCTTGCCATCATCATACCCCATTCGCCTTGTGCTTCTATCAAGATTCAGACCAGGGGCTGATATATGAAGCAGAGATGCGTTTGACCGAAATTCAGATCATTCTACAGTTTATGTAAGGCTGTTTCATGCTTTTGCCCAGCTTGCACAAAGCTCCTAGGCAACCTTTTTCTCACTGGATTCATCAGGATAAGATGTCAGCTTTGCATGTTATATTGATTCCTACAAAACCCAAAAGTGAGCATTGATGAGGCCTTTCAACATGATGGGTTAGATTGAGCGAAGTGAACCTACGACGTCCCTCATTTCTTGAATGAGCACCGCAACCCCGGGCAACGCTCTCACCCAGCCAGCCAGCCATGGAGCAGCCTATAAATGATACTGTCTCTCCTTCGATTCCTTCCTCGTAAACTACCGCTTGAGAACCCCGATAATATTTTCGCAATCATTATGACCCCACGCCGCAACCAAGCCTCGATGCTTTATCGAAGCTATGACGAAACCCGTCAACTGTGAGTTTATCGAGCCAAAAAGCTTCAAAGAATACATGTAGAAGAAATGTACTAACAACATATCTAGTCTCGAACAGATCTCGCTCCCCGCCTTGTGAGTATCCCGTATCATTCAATGTGTTGCGTCGCTCACAAGTATAGGATCATCTGCTGTGTCTGCCACACCTATTATATCAAGTCTAATTTCCCCGCGAATCAGCTCAACAACCTCTGCCAGGCAATTTACGAGAACAAGGAAGATACCTATGATCCTCACCGTGATATCCCCTCCCCCACCCAACAGGTTGCAAAGTGCATTACCTGCGCCCAAAGCCAGGTGGTTGAGCGGAAGTGTGACCATTGCGATAAATTTCGCAGCCTCCACGATTTCTCAAAGAATCAGCGTTCCCGCAGTACCTCTGTAAGTTATATTCTACCCCGTTTTTTGGCAAGTTCAATGAATAACGCTTTTTAAATAGTACTGCGTGTATTGCATGCAAGAACAGATGGGAACCGATCCTGATGCTGAGACTTCTCGTATGCAGACTCTGTGTAAGAAAGCTCGCAACCCTGATTTGTACACCGGGCTCGGTGCAGCATTGAAAGTGAGTGATAAACACTACATGGACGGGCAATTTTGGAATATGGATTACTGAAGCAAGGGTCATCCTTCAGGTGAATCGCAACGAGGTCAACGATGACTACAAGAGTGCTCATCAGGCTCGTCGTGCCCACGAGGCCAGCCGAATTTACAGTACTGACCCCCCCCCCCCCCCAGGCATGCCCGCTATGCCCACTCAGCATCAATACTTTGACCGCACTCCCGTGGGTCTCAGAGATCTCATATCGATTTAGAGCTTGCTGACACATATAGCGCGCCGGTCACAACAGGCTGCCTCTTCCTGCGCCTCAGCGGGCTCCTTCTCTCCTCCTCCATCGCCGTCTTGACAACAGGGTTGATGGGCGATACCTGTGAGTTGCTGGATGCATATGCTGCTGGATGCATATGCCTCGTTCTAGGATTTCTAACAGCTGGGTTTTCCTCTTGTTCCATGATTCTGCTTTTTCTTTTGCTTTCCCATTGCTTTTCCATTTAATTTTTCTTTTCCTTTTGCGTTTCTGTTGTCTGTGGAATGAGTTAGGATAATGAGATGAAATTCAAGATATATACTTGTAAGACTGTAAGCATAAATTACAGCGAACCATGGTTGATTTGTTGATGATGACATCGGTTCCCCACAGTAAACAAACACCTATAAATATCCTTTTGATTCAGGCAAATCACATAGACTCTTTTATTAGTACTTGATTATCATTCTAGATACAACGTATGTCAGGATCTAATAGCGAATTTATATAGCTTACCCCTTCGGTCTGCTGATCACGGCCTGAACCCATCGGATCCCACCCGACAGCTGGCGATGACATACTTGAATCGCTAAAAAAGTGCCCTTTCTCCCTATGATAGGCGCAACGAAATCGTAATTAATGCAGATGTCGCATGGAAGATGCATAGTAAATTGCCGATCATGACGCTCCAATGCAGCTAGTAATATGACAGTGAAAAGTTGTGGCACTCTAATATATTAAAGAGCGACCCCATACATAGTGTGACGTCTGAAGCACTTTGGATGGCTGCGATCGCCACAACGTTTCACTCGCCCCCCACCAGCCCTAGGCCCCTCAATTTGCCCAATTTTTCTTTCTTTCTGGAATTTCCACCCTCTGTGGCTGATTCTTGTTTCCTACGCATTCAAACCCTGATAAATCCGGGAAGAGAGCTTACATTTCCATTGGACCCCATGGCCTACGATGGGTACTATTCCAACCCCTACCAAACAGGCCCCATGAACCCTCCAAACGACGGCTACTCGCCGACTCCTCCATACCCAACCCAATACGACGAGCGCATCAACATGCCACAGCCTCAGATGCCGACAAATTCTCCAGCTCCAAATCCAGAGCTGTACCCTGAGCCCCGATACCCACAGAACCAGAGCCAGGACCACAATCCAGGCGCTATCAACGACGCCGTAAACTCCGCCGTCCACAGCAGTGGCTCTACAGGCTATCTCTCGCCAGAGGTATTGTCCCAGATCACAGCGACAGTCATCCAGCAACTCAAATCAACCGGCTTGGACAACATACAAGGATCACCTTCAGCCCCCGGTCCACCCCCGCCCCGCTCGCAATCGCAGCAGCCAGCCTGGCAAACAGATCCGTCGGTGCGACCGCATGCTGAGTCCCCTCCTGCTATGGCTGCGCGCAGCAACTCTATCCCCCCATCTGTTCCTGTCTCGGGTGGTAGCACGGAACCTTTCAAGCCATACGTTGAGCCATACGTTGAGCCTGAGTACGGTGATACTCGTCCCAATCCGAGACAAACCCCCGATCCAAGTTTTGAGCGACGGGGTTCTATGTCGAGTCAGGGCAGTGCACGCAGTCATCACAAGGAGGCTAGACCTAAGCCGCCTGATCGGGACGCTACTGTTATGGAGATGACGACACTTGAGCGGATTTGGGGTAAGTTGTTTGAGGAGGGGAAGCCTACGAGGAGGCTTGGTCAGTTTTTGCGTGGTATTGCGCTTCACTTGGTATGTGCTTTCCTTTCTTTTTTTTACCTTTGTTTCATGTTTGAGCATGAGTGTTGACTTGGGCAGATTGAGGATTACCCTCCTGGAAATACTATCGTGATCGTTCCTCACAAGCTTCAAAAATTTTACAAGGATACTCAGGTTTCGTCGGATTCGTACCCATGGCATGGTGAGTATTCTATACAATGTTCTGTTATTTACATGCTGACAGTATATATATAGATATTTTCGATGATCGCACATCTTCTATCTCACGGCTATTCCGCGATGTCGAGGCCGAACATCATCTTGTACAAGATAAGCTTAGCGAACGTCCTGATATTCCAGGCCTGACACCAAAAGGCTTCGAGAGATGGGCTACTCTAATGATCATCGCCAACCCCGAGCGGGAATATGAGCGACTTCAAAAGGCAGTTCTCAATATGCCGATCAGCAACCCTGACGACAAGAAAGAGCGCTTCCCCAAGGAAATCCCGCGCCGCCTCTTCCCAGATATTGGAGATCTTAAGATCAGAGAAGAGATCGAAGACCAAATCATGAAGCAGTGTGGCGTCGACCTCCCCGAAATCACTGTTGAGGAACGTGACGAAGCCACCCGCTCTAGAAGATCTCCCGTGTCAGCCACATCTTCCATAGATCGGACTCATTCATACGAACGAGGCAGGCCTCCACCAGCAAAATCATCCCCACCCACAGCAAAGCCGAGAGTCAGAACAGCCTCAACATCCCCAGTCGTAATCGACGACGAAGACGAAACAATCCCCTCCGCCCCGATTGAGCGCGAACGCAAGCCCTACAGAGCAACTCCAGGAGGTGGCAAAGTCTACGAAGGCCCCGGCTCAAGTACAGGCTCAGGCACCCAAGCCCCAAGCCACAGCCACAGCGGCTCCTTCTCCACCCCCAGACAAACAGACACAAACATAAAATCCCACCAACCACCATCAACCAGAATGTCAATGCCAGACGCCTACGACCGAGACTCACTCTACGCCCGCACAGGCTCAGGATCAGGCTCAAGCACAACACCCGGCCGACGCTTTTCCCGCGGCTCGCGTAGCTCATCTCGAAGCGTGAACCAGCGCACTGGCGATTACAGACATTCGGAGAGTGACCTACTAAGCCGAGACCGTGACCATCTGCCACGGTATGGTGGTATTTCCGCGCAGGATCTGCAGTACATGGAATCTCCTACTTCTGTTTCGCCGGAGGTTGATGAACCCAGACGATTCCATCATAACCGTGGGAGCAGTGCCCGTCCTGATGAGGATTACTATCGGGGCATGCTTGGTGGACAAGGCGGGGGACCTGTTCATACTCATGCCCATGGGCATGGGTATGATAAGTATTATCGGTGAGGGGTACTCAGAGATATTGATATTGATATTGATACTTGGTATTGTTACGGAAACGGACATGGATTTGGATATCTACTTTTTCTTTGGGCTTTTTTTCTTTCTTCTTCTGTCCTTCAAGCTTGTTTCCGGGGTCTTTGCTTCTTGTCTTCTTTATTTTTCTTGTGTTTCTCATGTCCCAGCTTGGCGTTTCCTGGCAACAAAGATACCCCTTCTTTCTGGGGATTTGGGATTTGTGCATGACTGATGATCTCATGTCGAACTTGATGTCTTGGGTATATCTGTCGATATAATTTGTGGATATCATCGAGTGAAAAAAGTAAAGTTGTTCCTCGCGGCCCATATCCACCCATCTCTCGTAAGGCATAGTATAGTATCATAACCCATAATTTCAAAGCAAAATTTATACACAACACAGCTCTGGAGTCCCATTTTAATCATTATGATCCACTCTTCTCCCACCCAAACCTCTTCATAACCCTTACCCCATCCTCCCGACAAAAAACTCCCTCTTTCTCCCTCTCCCTCTCTTCACGCTCATACCTTTTTGCAATAACCCTAGCATCCCTCTCCTCCCTCTCCCTCCTCTTAACACCACGCCTCTCGACCCTCCTCCGCTCCTCTAGCGCCCGCACATCCCCCATCTCAGCATCAACTCTATACCCCCTGATCTCCGCATCAGATAACACCCACGGCACGGAGAGAACCTCAATCAGGAAACGGAGGCGCTCATCTAGGAATGCCATTTCGGCGTTCGTGTCTGGCACAAGCGTGAATCGTTCTAGGTTTATTTGCATCTTTTGCCGGAAGAGGGAGAGGGTTCCTTTTACTCGGATTGTTGTCCCTGGTTGGAGCGGAATGATGTTTATTGGTTCTTTGTCTGTTGCTGTTATGTGGGTTTGTTGCGGGTTTGGGTTGGTGTTTAGGGTCGTTTTCGATGTGACGGAGAAGTTGGACCAGGGGGTTGCTTCTGCTTCTGGCTCTGGATCTTGGTCTGGGTCTGCTTGATCTTCTGCAGGTTGGTCGGTGTGTTTGGTTGATGGGTTGCTGTATGGTTTTGGCTTTGGTTGGGTTTGTTGTAGGACTATTATGTCGATTGTGGCGCCGCTGCTGTCGTCCAGCGTTAGGATTGTTCGTCGGGTTATTTCTGTTCGTGCCACTACTAGGCCTACTAGACTGACAAAGCGGATTGGGTGGTTGTTGTAGAAGAAGATGTTTTGGCCTGGGTGATTGTTAGCTTCGGGTTCGTTGTTTTGTGTTGTGTAGTTATATAGTTCGGGGAATTAGGTGTTGGGGCATAAACGTATCACATATTAAAATGTTCCGAAAATATAAAACAGCAGGATCAAAGAAACGCTCATATATACTAAAGGTGAAGTATAAAGCCCAATGTGAACGTGAAGATTTCACGCCAACGCCTTTTTTTTGGCGTCTCGGTCTCGGCGTTGGAGTACCCGTGAATAGCCCGGATATGCACAAGAACACTAGACTTGTCGATCTTCAGGGGGCAAAGAATTGACCAGGATTCAGAGAAAAGTGTAAAATAACCTACCAAAAAACTCGTTCGATCTTCGGAGGCGGTGCACATCTGCCGCACCCATCTTCACCCAGGTGAAGTGCGTTGGTGACGCCTTGAAGCAGAACGCGGGGTAGAAAGTGAGGTCCACATTGCCGTCTGTCGCCATTGGGTCATCTTTGTCTTGGGCGTTTTGTTCTTGAAATGTAGACTTTAGATCTTGAGATGTTGTTGCTCATGGATGAGGTTGGACTGGAACTGAATGTTGGACGGGGTCACGTGTCTGTATATCAAGTCGCGCGGCGCGTTTCAGTTGTAATTCACATATTCTCTGTATTTCTAGATTGCATTATATGTCTAGATATAACGCTTTACGTGCATTCACTATTTGTGCTCGTGCTTGACTCCACGTCATTATTAGGTCCAAAGAGCGCCCATATCAGCTGAGATACCTAGCTAGCACCTTATTAGTAAAGCTTAGGCAGACTAGCAGCATATTATGCAAGTAATTTTACATCTCCTCTATCAATAGAGAGAAATTTCCCCCTCCATCATCCTCTTCTTTGGATTCCGCGGGGCCTCCTCTTGCCTTCTCCTCTCCTCAGGACTAATATCATCAACATTAGTGCCCTTCTCACCAAGAGCAGCCCTAACCTCCTCCTCCCCATTCTCATGACCAGCAAAAGCAACCGACAAAATCTCCCGTTCCAATCCAGAGACATGCTCCCACTCAATGCCCGCCTCAGTCATCATCCTACACCCCTCAGACTCACCCACAAAAGTCTTCGGCTCCTTAACTCCAAAATAAACCTTATGAACGCCTTCTCTACCGCCCTCCGTCGTCCGCGCAATACGCTGCGCACACGGCGCATTCCCCGATAGCCGTTTTCCGCACGGCTCCATCGTTACGTACATGATAAGCTTGCGGCCAGCCTCAGCGGGGAGGATTGTGCTGATTTGGTCGTCTGCAACTTTGTGTACCGCTGCGTAGTTGGAGAAACAGCATTGCTCGGCGTGGGTGTTACCTGCTAGTTCCATTGTGTAGCCTGTTGAGAGGATGCGGTCGTCGGCGAAAATTGGGTCGTTGTCTTGGCGGGAGAGCAAGAGGGCGCCGACTCGGAAGTTTGTTGGACGGGGTGGTGATTGTTCAGCTAGGGAGAGGCACTTCTTTATGTAGGGTATGTGAGGGGAGACGTTTGTCGTCATAATGGGTGAGGTTGATTGGTGGTTTACGGGTTGTGTTGTAATTCGATGCGGGAGGAGGGGGTGAGTTGTAGTCTTGATTGAAGTAGCTTGTAAAGTGAAAAAAACACAGTAGCTTTTGAAAGTTGAGAGACAACAGTGGCGTTGTAGATGAGCTTGGAGTGTTCAAGGTGGGCTGGATGTCAAGTCGGGGTTCTATGGCAAAATGACGAAATGGTCCGTCGCGTAAAATCGCGTCAGCTTGGAAGGCAACGAAGTCCCTACACTTGTTGGTCTTTTCTTGAGACAGAATCTCGATCCGATCTACTTGTGTTAAAGCAAATCACTATCACAAATTCCAAGAAAGCTCAGGCCCAGCTGTTGCGTCTCATTCAAACTCGCAATGGCGAAAGGCGCGAAACCCGAGCAAAACCATGCCTCCGAGGAGGAAATGCCCTCCGTCGAGGAGAACCTTTACAAGATTCTCGGCGTAGCATCAGACGCGACCCCAGAAGCAATCAAGAGCGCATACAAGAAGAGTGCATTGAGAAACCACCCCGGTAAGTAGTTCCCCAAACACGCCCAGAACGGGTACTAACTCGATATTAGACAAGGTCGGCGAAGATGCGCGCGAAGAAGCCAACGCGAAGTTCCAGCGTATCGCGCTGGCATACGGTGTCCTCTCCGATTCACGTCGACGAAAAGTATACGACCGCACCGGCAGCACAGACGAAGCCTTCAGCGAAGATGGCGACTTCAACTGGATGGACTTCTACCGCGAGCAGCTATCAGCAATGCTCGACAAGCGCGCGATCTCGGACTTCCAGAAGAAATATCAAAACTCAGACGAGGAGACGAGGGATCTGCTTACGGCGTATACCACGCACGAGGGCGACATGGATGGGATTTACGAGACAGTTATGCTGTCCAACGTTCTTGATGATGATGAGCGGTTCCGTGCTATTATCAACCAAGCTATTGCTAATAAGGAAGTGGAGGATTTTGAGGACTATTCCCAGGAGCCAGAGGCGAAGAAGAAGCAGCGGGTGAAGAAGGCTCAGAAGGAGGCTAAAGAGGCGGAGAAGTTGGCGAAGAAGATGGAGAATAAGAAGAAGAAGGAGGCTGCCAAGGGGTCGAAGGGCTCGGAGGGTAGTCTGGATGATCTCCAGGCTTTGATTACCAAACGCCAGCAGGATCGTGGTGCTGGGTTCTTGGCTCGTTTGGAGGATAAGTATGCGCAGCCTAATGGGAAGAAGCGTGGTGTTGAAGATGAGCCCTCAGAGGAGGCTTTTGCTGCTGTTGGTGCTCGGAAAAAGTCTAAGGAGGGGGCAAAGCCCAAGTCGAAGAGGTCCAAGGCTTGAAATGGTCTTGCTATCATGTTCTGCATCATGTTTCGGCGTTTATCTTTGTCTAGGAGTTGATTGCATCCGGTTAGCATACCTGTTTAAATCCAAGTTAACGTCATTACTGTTTGAACAATCTACTTCTGGTAACTTCAAATGTAGGAAAGGCAGGATATGCGCCTTAACCGCTTAGATATATGCATCCTCTTCCAGATTGTGATATCCATGCAGCCACCAGGTGTGGCTGCATGGAGGAAGCCTCGCCTTGGGCTGGCGCCTTCTCCCTGAGGTCTGATCTTTGTTCTCCCCGCAATCCCTTGCATTCTTTCTTTCCTTGAACTCTGCAAGATGTTCGAGCAGACTCCTTTTGTTTGATGGGCTATACTGCCCGCGACCGAGCTCCATCTTTATCCAGTGAGCTTCCCGAGCTCAAATTTGAGGCTTTTTGGAGCTTCTAGCTGACCGAACGCAGACAATCCCTCAGAACCCCAGCTCCATCGTCAAAAAAGGACGATCTGCTCCACATTCCTCGGTGCTTGGCGTCGTTGCAGCGGCTCGATGAGTTCCCCACCGGAGGCGGTACCGCTGTCGTACCACACAACTTCCCCCATATCCAACACTGAGCAACTCAAGAGCTTAGGAACCATATCAACGATCCCGATTGAAGAGAAACCAACCAGGCTAAGCCGTGCCTTGCAAAGCCTGCTGATTGCCCCGCCGAAGAATAGTGCGGGGACTTGTTCACCTAGAGCTCGCGCAACCCGCAGTCCAGTCGAGCCACTCGTCTCATCGCCTTTGCGCATCAGTTATTCAGACATGGCATCTGCTCCGAGTTCGCCGGAGAGGACCAGGGCTGGACCCGAAGCTCTCCCCCGGAGATCATCCGATCATGCCGTTGAAACTGGTCGACCGTCGAGCCGTCTTGGCATTGATGAAGATGCAAAGTCCGAGGGTTCCGCCTCACCATCTGAGCAGTCACATTCCAAAAAGCGCTTCCTGCAAGCCCGGGACAAGTCCCAGAACCGGAAGAGCATGGCAGCTATGATGTCAGGGTTAGAATCACGACTCTTCCCGAGGAGCTTTTCCCGCGGGAGAGATCCATCACGAGGTTCCCTACAGCGTGGTTCATCCCTTGACTCCAGATCCTCAACTTCGCCGGAGAGGGGTCGTCCGAGCTCATCCGGGAGCCATTCTCTCCATGTGGAGTCAGTAGAACCTGCTCCTAACAGGACCGGGAAGGGGAAAGCTGTCAATATTCACGACCATCTGAATAAATCAGATGAAGCCTTGCCCAACTCGTCTGGAAGCCTTCCTGATTATGTCAAACCGGCAGCTGTGGAGGAGAACGGGGAACGACTGGCCAAGGATGTGTTTGACCGTGACAAGAATATAATTGAAAGCAGTGAGAGTGACGACACTTCAAGTGACGATGATAGCACGCACGAGGGTACACGAGGTCGCAAAAAGAGGGCTGATATTACATCCATCACACCCAGCGACTTTGAAAAATCCAAGAATGAAAAGCCCAAGTTGACAGAGGGTATGTTGTATCAAGCATGCTAAAGCTCAATAAACTGACCCCCTTTTTTAGAAAAATCAAGTGAAAAGACGACTGGACCCCAAGAAAAAAAGCCTCGGAAATCAGCTTTGAAGGCCGTTGTGCATCCGCAGACAAGTTTCGATATCCCGACCCCTCGTATTCAGTCAGTAGCTGGTACACCTTACGGGTCAGACGATGAAGCAGAAATTGGGGATATCCATCGTGCCCAGAAGTTAAGCATTACCATGTCCGCTATTGATAATGGCGTGCACAACCGATCTATCCGAACAATTGTTCGCGGAAACTTTTCAGGCTTGTCAGATACCGGCGATCTGGGCCGCCGACGTCGACGGAAATATCTGGTCGCCACCGACCTAAGTGAAGAGTCAGTATATGCTCTCGAGTGGACCATCGGCACAGTTCTCAGGGATGGTGACACGATATTTGCCATCTACGTTATGCACGAGGACTCCACAAGTACCTCTGCGGTGCAGGTTGGTGAGGGAGCCAAGGTGATGAAGGATGCGACAGCGATCGTTGGCACTCAGACAAAGGAGGCCCAGAATTCCGGCTATGGATCCCGAACGATTCTAGGTCGCCTGGGCCCTGGAACTACCAGCAAGGCGCATTCTGCTGATTCCCGAGCGTCATCAATGGCTGAGGCAGAACGAGTGAGGGCAGTTGAAACTGTGTCTCAGACCTGTGTAAAGCTGCTGCGGAAAACGGTACTACAGGTTCGCATTGCAGTTGAGGTCATTCACTGCAAGAACCCGAAGTCCATGATCACTGAAGCCATTGATGAACTTGAACCGACACTTGTTATTGTGGGTGCCCGAGGACAAAGTGCTTTGAAAGGGTAAGTCTACTGTCAATCGTGTCATTGTAGGTACAAACTAACATCATTTTAAGTGTGCTTCTCGGCTCATTCTCCAACTACCTACTTTCCAACTCTTCAGTGCCGGTCATGGTCGCCCGCCGAAAACTGAAGAGACATTCTTCCAAGGGCAGGCTCAGCAGCGCAAACGTGCGCCTTTCCAATAACTTGATTACCCCGAAGAGTCTCTCCCAGGCCAAAGTGGACTAATTGGCTATGGACTCTCTTTTTTCTTTGGTTTTGTCTTGCTTGCATTTTCATGGATCATTATGAGACTACTAGCATATTGCTTAGCAGTTCACACGGTGCATCAGACCTGGAATTATTGCCTTCTTGCTGTTAACATGTATGGATATACCCCGTTGTCATGGACTCACGATCTCTCGTTATTTTACTCTCTCGTACCGGCTATGTCCCGTAGATCAGGTTAGACAGCTGGTGTTCTAGCTTTATGGCTTTCACTCTTTTACCAGATATGTATGTTTACCAAAGATATAAAACTCAATCTCAAATCAGCGATGATGTACTCGTAAATGCCAAGAAAAACCGACGCAATCCGAAATCACGACCCACCTCACCGCCCAAGCTCCCCGTCCCGTCGAGACAGCTGGAACCCCCCGTCCCACCTCTAACCTCCCCATACTACCCTTCATCTGTTCACTATGGCCGACATGGATGACCCCCGGATGAGTTCCATCAAGCCCCGGATCCGCTACAACACCATCGGGGGAATCAATGGACCTCTGGTCGTGTTGGACAATGTGAGACCGCCGGACCATCAACCGGGAACAACTTGCTAACGAACGTTGCGAATAGGTCAAATTCCCCCGGTACAACGAGATCGTCAGTTTGAGACTAGCTGATGGCACTGAAAGATCTGGCCAGGTGCTGGAAGCTAGAGGTTGGTCGCCCACTTTCTGCCGTTGACATACTGCCAGCCGCTGACTGTTATTTACACAAATAGGTAACCGAGCAGTCGTTCAGGTACAGACAAGATCGCTATTCATCGCCCCTAATGTGCAAGGCATTAACGCAGACTAGGTGTTCGAAGGCACTTCCGGTATCGATGTAAAGAAGACCAAGGTCGAATTCAGCGGCCACAGCTTGAAGCTCGGTGTGTCCGAGGACATGCTGGGTCGAGTCTTCGACGGTTCGGGACGTGCTATTGATAAGGGACCTAAGGTCATGGCGGAGGACTACCTGGACATTAACGGCCAGCCCATCAACCCCTACTCACGAGTATGTGCATCGTCGATATGATTTGGAACTCAGCTAACGGAGGCGCAAGGTCTACCCTGAGGAAATCATTTCCACCGGTATCTCTGCTATCGATACTATGAACTCCATTGCCCGTGGACAGAAGATTCCTATCTTCTCTGCCGCCGGTCTGCCCCATGTAGGTGGACACGAACACCGATGACAACTATATGATATCTTGCTAACACATATTTAGTCGGAAATTGCTGCCCAGATCGCTCGACAGGCCAGTCTAGCGAAGCCCAGTAAGGGCATCCACGACGATCACGAGGAGAACTTCTCTATCGTCTTCGCCGCCATGGGTGTCAACATGGAAACTGCCCGTTTCTTCACTCGTGACTTTGAGGAGAACGGTAGTATGGAGCGTGTCACCTTGTTCCTTAACTTGGCCAACGACCCTACTATTGAGCGTATTATTACTCCTCGTCTCGCCCTGACCACCGCCGAATACTACGCCTACCAGCTAGAGAAGCACTGTCTGGTTATCATGACCGATATGTCCGCTTACTGTGACGCCCTTCGTGAGGTTTCCGCTGCCAGAGAAGAAGTCCCCGGTCGCCGTGGTTACCCCGGTTACATGTACACTGATTTAGCCACTCTCTACGAGCGTGCCGGACGTGTCGAGGGCCGCAACGGTTCCATCACTCAGATCCCCATTCTGACCATGCCTAACGACGATATCACCCACCCTATCCCCGATTTGACCGGTTACATTACCGAGGGCCAGATTTTCATCGACCGTCAGCTCGACAACCGCGGTATCTACCCACCAATCAACGTCCTGCCCTCGCTGTCCCGTCTCATGAAGTCCGCCATCGGCGAGGGCCGCACCCGCAAGGATCACGGCGATGTCTCCAACCAGCTGTACGCCAAGTACGCCATCGGTCGTGACGCCGCCGCCATGAAGGCTGTCGTCGGAGAGGAGGCCCTTTCCTCAGAGGACAAACTCTCCCTCGAGTTCCTGGAGAAGTTCGAGCGCACCTTTATCAGTCAGTCCGCCTACGAGTCCCGCACAATTCAGGAATCGCTCGATATCGCCTGGAACCTCCTCCGCATCTACCCGAAGGAGCTGCTCAACCGTGTGCCCAAGCGTGTCCTGGATGAGTTCTACGCTCGCCAGGGCCGCAAGATTCCTAACCGGGATACGCGCGATAACTCAGATGAGAACCTCATCGACGCATGATGGGTCTACGAGTCATGGTTCCTGTTTTGTTGGAGGAGTCGAGGATGAAATGAAGAGAAAGCGTTTTGGCGGGGCTGTGTGTGTACTGATTGTCCATGTCAATTGCATATACTCCTTTCTTGTTCCTGTTTCTGTTCTGTTGCGGCTTTGTCGTTTGCTCTGCGGTCATACTTTTTGATTTATGTCTTCTCTCTCGTAAAGCATGATGCAATATCGAAGTCGAATTATAAGGCCTCGTGCTTTTAAAATAGATTGATTATGATAAAGGTCCATGTAAGATGTAGATATGAACTTTCTGTTGCAGATGTCAGTTTTGTAACGAGAGACAGGGACTATCGACCCATTGTTGAATGCTATAGAGATATTTGCGCTACTGTGATATGTTGTACTAATCGAACCTATAACGCTACGTAATAACAGAAGAAAATGACTTCTAAAGAGGGGGTATCAATTCTTTTTTGTATGTAGAAATGAAATGTACGAGGATATCCCCCAGTGTCCGTAAAAGACTGCAGTAACCCAAAAAAAAAACAATGCAGAGACCGAAAAGACTGCAAGCCGAACGAAAACGCTTTTTACAAAGTCCGGAATGTATGGGCCCAAACGAAGGCAAATCAAGTAATGCGATTCGACCCGAAAAAAAATGAAATGCGAAGAAACGTCTAGCCAGGGATGAAAAGCTTAGAAGCGCAGATCCCAGCCGATCTTAGGACCCAGGCGGGGTAGCTCGTCAGCGACTTGCTGGACATCCTTGTCACCACGTCCACTCAGGTTGAGGACGATGTCATGGCCCTTGCCCATGGTCTTGGCCAACTGCATGACACCCCAGACGGCGTGGGATGACTCCAGAGCTGGAATGATACCCTCGTGCTGAGCAAGAGCGCGGAAGCCATCGAGGGCCTGGCTGTCATCGGCAGCGATGAAGGTAGCACGGTCAGAGTCCTTCCAGTTAGACAACTCGGGACCAACACCGGGGTAGTCGAGACCAGCGGAGATGGAGTGGGTCTCGGCGATTTGACCGTGCTCGTTCTGAAGAACGTAGGTGCGCACACCGTGCAGAACACCGTGAGAACCACCGGAAAGGGTGGCGGAGTGACGTCCAGTATCAACACCATCGCCAGCAGCCTCGACACCAACCAACTTGACGCTAGGGTCGTTCTGGAAGGGGTAGAACATTCCAACGGCGTTGGAGCCACCACCAACACAGGCAACAACGGCGTCGGGAAGCTTACCAAGCTCGGCTTTCATCTGCTCCTTGGTCTCGTTTCCGATAACGGACTGGAAGGTACGGACGATGGTAGGGAAGGGGTGAGGTCCGATAGCAGAGCCGATGATGTAGTGGGTGGTATCGAGCTCGACAACCCAAGCGCGGAGTGCCTCGTTGACGGCATCACGCAGAGTGCGGCTACCAGCCTCGACAGCGACAACGGAAGCACCGAGGAGCTTCATGCGGAAAACGTTGAGACCCTGGCGACGAACGTCCTCGGCACCCATGAAGACGGTACACTTCATGCCGAACTTGGCGCAGACAGTAGCGGTAGCCACACCGTGCTGACCAGCGCCAGTCTCGGCAATGATGCGGGTCTTACCAAGGCGACGAGCGATCAGAATCTGGCCGAGGGCATTGTTGATCTTGTGACTACCAGTATGGTTGAGATCCTCACGCTTCAACCAGATGTTGGCACCACCGACATGGTCAGTCAGACGCTGGGCGATGTGGAGGCTGCTAGGGCGGCCCATGTAGGGGTAGAATGAGCGGAACTCTTCCCAGAACTTGGGGTCATTGTTGGCAGTGTCAAATCCGCGCTCAAGCTCAGCCAAGCAGTCCATCAAGGACTCAGGAACGTACTGCCCACCGAACTCACCAAACCGAGAAGGCTGGGCAGAAGGGTTCTTGGTCACGTTGAGGGCTTCAAGCTGGTCAGCGAGACCAGGTCCGGAAGGAGTATCAGCATCGCTGATAACCTTGGTGGGCTTGGCCTCGCCTGAGGGCTGAGCCTTCTCGATAGCCTCGATGATGTTGACCTCGCGGGTAATGGCACCCTGAGCATCACGCTCGAGCTTGCGTCCAGTAACACTGGAAAGATACTCCTCAGCGGCCTTAGCAGCCTGACCAGCAGGGGCCTTGCCAACGACGGTGATAAGCTGGCTACCAATGACAACACCCTCGGCCTCATCCTGGAGGGACAAGAAATGCTCACGAGTGCTGACACCGAATCCCAGTGCGGCTGGGACGTTGCCCGAGTACTCGTGGACACGGCCCAAAAGTTCAGGGATGTTGGCGCTCAGCGAGCCAGTGGCACCGGTAACACCCATGCGTGAAACGACGTAGATGAAGGAGTCGGCAATCTTGCAAAGCAAGCGCATGCGGGAGTCGGAGGTGGCAGGAGCGATCAAGGGAACGTAGGACAGACTGGGAGGGAATTAGCTTCTTGTAATGGATAGTATAGGATAGAACCTCCAAACTCACCCAGCACTTGCGCAGAGGTCACGGAAACGGACAGCCTCCTCTGGGGGTAGGTCGACCATGATGAAACCATTGACACCAGCTTCCTTGCAGTCCTTGAGCATGCGCTCCTCTCCGTACCGCAGGACGGGGTTGTAGTAGCCCATCAGAAGGAGGGGTGTCTTCAAGCCTCGGCTACGAGCAGTGCGGACAAACTCCAGGACGGTAGTGAGAGTCACACCATTCTCAAGGGCCTTAGTGTTAGCAGTCTGGATAGTGGGACCATCGGCAATGGGGTCTGTGAAGGGAATTCCGAGCTCAATGATATCTATATATCAGTTCCGTCAGTAAATCGTTCTAGCGCCACCGAGATCGGAGAACAGTACCAGCACCACCGTTTTCCATTCCAAGCATGGTGTCAACGGCCTGATCGACTGTGGGGTAACCAGCAGTAATATAAGCGACAAGGGCAGCGCGCTTCTGCTCCTTGCACTTGGCAAAGGTCGCCTTAATGGCGTCCATGGCGAAGTAGTGCGAAGAATGTGGGGTTTGAAAGAAAGAAGAAGTAAAACAAAGGGGGAAGGCCAGATGTGGCTATCAATCCCTTTTTTGCGGTGCAGTGGATGGAAATGGGATATAAACGTTGGATTGAGAGCAATTGACGTTGTCAACTGAAGTAGAGGGTGCTCTATGAGTCAATTGTCATTGCCGTTTTCGATGCCCCTCGGTCACGTGCGATAAGATACTGAGTCATCGGCTAACACGTGACATGCTCGACCCTATCACGTGTTATCTCCATAGTACTGACAATGAACTTTTAATATCAATCCTTACACAATGCGAATGGAATAAATGAAAATATCCTCCGATCTAATATCAATGCAGTTTCCACCTTGATACTGTCTGAAGGAATTCTGTGACTTAAGAGAATGCATTGACAGCCTATAACATTCGATATATATACCTGACGAACAACCTGCAACAGACTGACATTTTTTAAATACTAACATTAGAACATGATGCTGATATGAAAGAGGCAGATGCCTTTCCTTGCTATATATCCACCAAAGCGAGTGATTTCCTGTTTCCCGTCAACATTTTCATCTTATACTTACCTATTTCGCTTTTATCAAGAAGGGTTGCCCTATACCAATTAATATACGCTATTGCACCAAACATGAATTTTACCTCCAAAACCCCCAATTACCATAAAGAACCAAAAGATTCATATACTCTACAAACCAACCAGGATGAATAAAGATCATAGACATGCTTTATAATCTCGGACCTTCGGCCAACACGTCAGTGAGCCTCGGTTATCGATAGAGAAATATCCCCGCACGCCCCAATTCAAGCTCTACTTCACCAAACCTCATAGAACAAATCCACACTACCCCTCCAATACACAAAACAAAATGTCCAAAGCAATCTACATTTCCCCAATCGACGGCAAGCCCGGCAAGCCAGGCCAAGTTTACTACCCACTCTCATTGCGGACCGTGCCCAAGCCATCCCCGCAAGGGGGTGAACTGCTAGTCAAATTGACCGCCGCGTCATTGAACCACCGCGACCTTTTCCTCCGCCAACACCTGTACCCAGGCGTAACCTTCGACGTGCCCCTTCTCGCCGACGGAGTGGGTATCGTTATCGGCGCTGGACCGAATGTACCTAGCCCAGAGCAATGGCAAGGCAAGCGGGTGATTCTCAACCCCGGTGTTGGCTGGAAAGATTCACCTGATGGGCCTGAGGAGGCCACTGGGTACCGCATTATGGGTGGTACGAAGGTTTATGACAAGGGCACCTTGCAGGAATATCTTGCCATTGAGTATTCGGAAGTCGAGGAGGCGCCGGCGCATCTCTCCGATGCTGAGGCTGCTGCGTTGCCTTTGACTGGGTTGACTGGTTGGAGGGCTTTGATTTCCAAAGCTGGGGAGAGGAACTCTGGAGACGGGGCCGCTGTTCTGATCACCGGGATTGGAGGTGGTGTTGCGTTGATGGCGCTTCGGTTTGCGGTTGCGAGGGGAGCACATGTCTTTGTGACGAGTTCGAGCCAAGAGAAGATTCAGAAGGCTGTTGAGTTGGGTGCGACCGGTGGTGTTAGTTATAAGGAGGAGGGTTGGGAGAAGAAGCTGCTTGGTATGCTTCCAGACGGAAAGAAGAACTTTGATGCGATCATTGATGGTGCCGGCGGTGATTCGGTTGAGAAGTCTGTCAAGTTGCTCAAGGTGAGTGGCACGATGGGATGTTAGCATTGTATCCAAGGAGTTGCACTGACATTGACAGGCTGGCGGTGTCCTTTCAATCTACGGGATGACAGTTTCTCCCAAGATGCCGTTCACAATGGCCGCTGTCCTCAAGAACATTGACGTTCGTGGTTCTACAATGGGCTCTCGCAAGGAGTTTAAGGATATGATTGAGTTTGTCAATACCAAGAAGATTCACCCTGTGGTGTCACGGGTGCTGCAGACTGACTTGGAAGATTTGTCTGCTATCGACGGGCTGTTCGAGGACATGAAGCAAGGTACACAGTTTGGTAAACTGGTGATTGACTTCAGCAAGTCTACTGGCAGCAAGCTGTGATGATGATGACCCTTTATGAATGTATGAAGTCTATAAATATGGAACGTAATGTTTTGGCAGGAGCAACGGCAGTGACTTCTATAAACACAGCAATGAGCACATGAGACCTGCACCTCCATCTTCATGCACTTGTCACTTGTATTGTATCATCGTCTATCCAATCCAAGAAGCACTCATTTCACTCATTGTATAGCCCTCCATTCATTGCCACTCTCTCATTATGTCCAAGCGACAGCCCTCCGGGCGGGTGTCTCGTGTCGTTTCACGGGGTAATGGCCTGCCTCTCGTGTCGAACCTGATCCGCCCTTACCAAGAAGATGCTTGGGATGAAGATGGTTACCAGGTATGCCAAAGCCATCCTCGTGGAATGCATCTAACTGACAACCCGATGCAGTCCTTCGACGCCACTCATTATGCCCTAAAATCTGTGAATCAATCCATTGAACGACGCCTGTTAAAGCTTCAGGCCAACACCACGCGCCTTAAGCGTGAGCTGTGGCTGCTCCAGCGTCATATCAAGGAGTTTCGCCACCCTCTCTTCGAAGTCTGGGAAGCCGACATGCTCACACGGCTGATCGAGGTTGCATACGCTCATCAGCACCGAAAGCTACCGGGCGGCGTCGTGCTCGGGCAGTCGAGCTTCGCGGAACGTGAGAACCTCACGCATGCGTTCAGTATTGCGGCGAAGGGGATCCGTCAGGCAACACTTTCAAAGCTTGGTCTCGGCGAGAAGTATCATCAGGCCCTGCAGCGATATACAGAGGTCAGTCCCTGTTATGCTCAAGTTAAATGGACTTAGCTGGAGCCTGCCCTAACATGACCAAGGTTGCACCCTATCGAAGCGCGAATACCTTTCAAACAGAGTTCGCCTTCGCCAAGTGGCTGGTCGAGGAACAGGAGGACCGACCAGAGCTGTATGCATTTTGGTCCAAGCTTTTCCCTGTCTGCTACGACCGCACCGCCCAAGAGAGCGCCTCCATCTTCTGAATCACTTCATTTTCATGCTGTTACTGTATATGGCGCACTAGAAAGGGGGTGGGCACATTGGCCTGATGCTCGCACAAGCACTGTCTCACTGTCCAACCCTGTCTGCTATTGGTCTGTTCCTGGTCCGGATTCCTACGTCGACCAGTGCGGTCATTGTGTCTCATTTCAGCTTGCCATGTGCAAGCCTATTCTTACGAGACCCAAAAGATGGACTACAGAGTACAGTGACACTAAACTCCATACCTTTTTTTATCCTCCAAACTCGGAACCATCTAAGAATAAGAATCAGAGACAACCCTAATCAAGCCACAAACCAACTTGCTAGACATTCATCCACCTAATCAGCCCGCCAACTAACCTTGGAACCTCCCAAACCAAAAGATTACCACCGTAGCATCAAATGCAAAAACAAAGCCAGAAAATAGAAATCCTTATTCACTGCTAGATATCAGATCTTACCACATCCACAGCGGCATACCGGCATACATTTGCGGCGTACCATTCGCGCAACGTATGAATCAGCCTCAGGCCTGTGCAGCAACAAAAGAAAAACCACCCATCACTCTAGTCTGACAATTTATACCCTATCAATTTCCCGCATCTGCACATTACCAGGAATCACAATCACCAGCCCGAAGTGCCATATCACTCGGCTGTATACTGTAGACTACGTCAGAGTATACTCCATATTCCAATTCAGCATTAAAGTTTCCCACTCTCGCTAATAATAGCTTCCTTCTTACTCCGTCCAGTACCCATTTACCACCACTGAGACAGCCTAAGCGGTATATACCCTGCATGGGACGGTTGGACTTGGCACTTGGCCAGCGCTCCTCTCACCTCTCAGTGGGCGGATCAACCTCGTGGAGCTGCATTTCAGGGACCCTCCCCCGAGTCGCCCCGACTCGGCTATGTTCCGAATTCCTTGGTTTTTTTTTCCTTTCCGACTATAGTGTGTTCTCTAGTGTCTTGGCTATAAACAGCCTTTTGTGCCCCGGTCGCGTTACTACGCATGTACTTGTATTGTGTGCACAGCGCACTATGTCTGATTTCATTCAAGCTCAATTATGGGGTACCGGGTGCTCCATTGCTATATATTTATATATTTACAGATACATGCTGGTTGGGGGGGGGGGGGGGGGGGGTTTCATGTATGTCTTGATAGAAGCTTTTTAGGTAATGCTTCCCTAAAGATGATTGCTATTGATTTTTCTATTGACCTTCAATCCACTCAGTTACTGTCCATGCTGTACAAGTATAGTACACACTATATACAGCTCTTCACCGGAAGTAACGTACTAATATTAATCAACAATAGAAAAGATCAGCTCACAGCGTTGCATGTACCAAACCACACCCGCACGTTTACCATAATTAAGCAGCAAAGCATAAATGAAAACCCCCGAAACACGATATAGACAAAGTTAAGCCCATATTGTCGCAAGCTAACGTAAAAGTATACCTGAATAATGCAAATGAAGTGTTGAAAAACAAGAAAAAGGAAGAAAAAAACTACAACCGAGGCTCAGGCCCAAAATGGCTGCTGCCTAGCTTGGCACGCCCAAAAAGGAAAGGTTGCCTTGGCACTAGCGTAAATAAGAAGCCAATTGGGTAAAGTACAGCTCCTCCCAGATACCCAAAGAACAAAAAGGAAGGAAAAAGTGGGTATGTTGTACATGCTATGGAGACTGCTGTCGAACTTGCGAAGTTAGCTTTGATAGCGTCGGATCCGACCAGTTGTGTGGACAGGGTGTCGGTGATGGGGTCACCTCCGGAAGACTGGGGCGTGCTATACGGCCTATAATAAGAGCGAAGATGCGAGCTGGATGTGGTTTAGTGGATATCGTTTAGCAGACACTAATGTACTAATCCTGGATAATGCGCTAGCTTGATGTGCCAGCGGTGCTGGCAGATATTTGTCGGAGGTTCTTGTCATTCCGATATCCGACTGAGGCGGACGCTGATTGGTTGATATGGGGCTACACATGGACTTGGTGCGTAGTTTCTCATTCTTGTGATATTCTTATCGAGCTTTAGGTTCGGAAAGCTTTGGTATAGACGCGTTGAAGAGAAAATCTTGGAGCCTTGAATGGACCGGTTTGTTACTGTTGATGGTTCTGGCGGGTTCAACCTGAAACGGTCGTACTTTACGCGATGGTTTCATGGTCAGTTGATCAAAGCCGATCCTATGGTTAGATCAGGTTTAGTTCTCGATTTGACATTTTTTGCTTTTGCCCGGTAAAATGTTGTCGGGTAAATTCACTTCCAGTGTTGGATTTGGGGTTCGGTAGTGATATATACACTGACAGCGGGATATACATCTACATGTTTCTGCAACCACAATTCTATCAAGAGCTTTCAGAAGAACCAGATCTCGATTTATTCACAGTAGAATTGAATCTAGTACTAGAAACCATCACTTATCCGACCCAGGGCCTCCTATCGGAATTAGATCGTCATGTTTCAAAAGGAGACCGAAGATCTCTGTCTCACAGCCCCTGAATCATGAACATCTACGAAATCTCCAGGTACTCCCTATAACTGCCATATCGAATATCAACAGTAGAAGACCAGACAGCGAGAAAGCAGTCGAAGAAAACAGAGCACGCTTGCAAGTTGGTACAAGATCAACAACGGAACTGCTCCGTTTCCCCAGTCTTCACCTGAGTTCAACGACAAAAGCCGTCCCCATAGGCATCCGCAGCACTCCGTAGCGGCAGAATAGCGAGGGAAAAAAAAATGAAGAGCGAGACCGATACTATACCCAACTGTAACAGCACGGTGAAGATGAGTGGCTCCGAGTCAGAGAACGCGGGAAGAGACATCGGGCATCCCGTGCTGGAGATGGGAGATGGAGACAATCAAAGGACCACAATCTAACAAGTTCTGCGGCAGTGATTTCCTTTTTCTTTTGGATTCTTTCTGTCTTACCCCGCCGAAGTGCAGAGTCTGCGTATGCTGGCGGGGACATATCCCGAGACACCAGCCAGTGACCTGGTTCAGACAGAAGTTGACCGCAAAACTGCTGCGTCGATCGCCAAATCAGCGTGTCCGCTGCTTGTCTGATATGATCATCATAAACGCAATTGGTGGTCCCGCTGAACAAGGTTGCTACCGAAGGCCGAAGAGCTGATGGCGGTGCATTGGCTTCGGGCAAGTACCGCCTTCTGTCCGGGTATAGGGAGACAAAATTTGTATGTGTGTGCGTGCATGCATTCTGTGTTGTACACCGTTCTTTCGTGTCTCGTACCGACCGACAGAATAAAGTAAAGATATGGTCACGCCCTGGTCATGTCATATCATGATCCGCCACAAGGGCATAGGCATAGATATCAGAGGCGTGAGACTATTGCAGTGGCGTAGGCACCGTTGAACTGAAAATATCCTTTCTTTCGCTGATTCTCGACGCTAAGCTTAGGGGAAAGGAGTTGCTCCGAAGTTTCCACTTCTAGCGTGGAAGGATTGATTACCCCCGAAAAGCGCGGATGCTCCCTCAATTTCCCATTCAGCAGATCATGGTTAGAGCTATAGTCCTAATCCGGTGAATTTACGCGCTTTTGAGTGGCTGACTGGGACGGAGTTAATATGGAATACAGTTCATACCTTTCCGCGTTCGATGGAAGGATCCTTGACGAATGAGGAACATATCGATATAACGAAGTTCGATCTGGATTAAGACACCGTGTCTCAAGCGGTGAGTTATTCCCCAGAGATCAAATTCATTAGCTTGTTTACCCCGACCCCAAAACAGCCGCCCCATGATGTGGTTGAGCAAAAGAACCCAACCTACTGGGCGGGGCCACATTCCTCCGAGCTATGGTTGCTCCTTCATGACATGAAATTAAGGCAGATAACGGGCAATGGCAACAAAGAGTCAGGAAAAAGAACCGAGGATTGCCGCCATTTGCGCAAGCCTCAATAAACCCGAAGCCGAAACAAGAAATGTAAGGGTCTGCAAGTGACGAACCTAGGGCGCATACAAAGAATGTTCTTGGTCTGGTTTCACCATGAGAGTTTCCTCCGACCTGTGCACCAATCCGAGCCCATGGGCAAAGGTAGATCCTTGCTGAGAGGCCCTGGCATCTATGTCTTGCCCTTCACTCCTTCACTCCTTCACTCCTTCACTGTACTCCTTGGGAAGATCAAGTGGTGGTCAATCAATAATAGTCGCCGAACCCGTGCTCGTCATGCAGGGTGGTTCCACAGCTAAACAGGCACGACAGACAGGAGACAGGCACAGGCACGAGTGGCAATATTAATCACATACAGGGTACCGGATAACACTTGCATATGCATGGGGAGAAATCAATATAGTTCCTAGTTCCCAAACCGTAAAGTCAAATTAAGGCCAAAGGTTCAGCGACAAGACATCTCAACTGGGTTACGATGTACAACAGCTACGTGTTCGTCATTTATCTGCTGCTCAATAGTCCAATTAATAATTAACCTTAACTGGGGATGTGAGGGTAGAGAGCATATCGGAATCGCGAACCTGAAAGTCAAATCCGCAAGCCCAAAACCCAAAAATCGAACCGATCCGGTGCAAACCCCAACGTCAGAGACTAAATCCTCACTAGTTGTGTAGTACCGTGCACCGCGGAGGATCCTTTCAAACAAGGCTGCACGTCCGAAACCCTCACTCTCAGAGTGTGCGGGAGATCCACCTTTCTTGGTTGAGGATCCCCTAAAACGATTGGATTATTGGCCGCTGAGCGTACTCCGTACTCCGTAATGGGGGTAAGACCCTAACTCCTTACTAACGATAAAAGAAAAAAAATCTTTCTTTGGGGATTGCTCGGGCGGAGAGGCTGGTGATTGTGGGGCTATCTCGAAGGAAGTCTCCGAGGATTGGCCGATCAGACTACAAACGACCAAACGACCAAGCATTTCACCCGTTCTCTCTACAAACTAATTAAGATTGCATTAGATCTGAGAATCCTCAAGGGATGGTTATTGGTTTTCTTGTTCAAAGGGTTGTTGGATATTTCCCCTTGCTCTGG